CCAATAATAATAATAATAATAATAATAATAATAATAATAATATATTTATATCCCGCCCTCCCCAGCCAAAGCTGGGCTCAGAGCAGCTAACAACAATAAAAGTAACACAGCATTCTAAAATCAATTCATTTTAAAATCAATTCAAAATCAAATTAATGGCAAACATTGGGCTAGAGTTCTGGGAAGATTACCAAAGGAGGGGGTCAGGCTGTGCCTTGGCTAAAGGCCTGGTGGAACAGCTCTGTCTTGCAGGCCATGCGGAAAGATGTCAAGTCCCACAGGGCCCTAGTCTCTTGTGACAGAGCGTTCCACCAGATCGGGGCCACGGCCAAAAAAGCCCTGGCTCTGGTTGAGGCCAGCCTAACCTCTCTGTGGCCCGGGACCTCCAAGATGTTTTTGTTTGAAGACCGTAAGGTCCTCCGTGGGACATACCAGGAGAGGCGGGGCCATAGGCATTAAGCTTTAAGCTGAATCTAAGAAAAACCTATGGCCTGTCTAGTCCAGCATCCTGTTCTCACAGCTCCTGCAAGAAACTCTCGAGCAGGATCCAAGCACAAGAGCATCTCTCCCCTCCTGTAGTTTCCAGCGACTGGTACTCAAAGTGTTGCCGCCTCCGACTGTGGAGGCAGCCATCAAAAGCCTTCTCCTCCTCCATGAATTTGTCTAATCCTCTTTTGAAGTCGTCTAGGTTGGTGGCCTCCTGTGGGAGCAAGTTCCATGGTTTAGCTGTGTGCTATGGAGCAAATGAAATTAGCAGCAACAGCTCTTCCAGCTGGCTTCCATGCGAGATGTTTCCCTCTCCCTCCCACCCTGCCGCCAGTGTCCCCCCCCCCAAAAAAAAGTTCCTTGAAACCCAGGTCCTAGTCAAGGAAACAGGAGCCACATCAAGTATTTTGGCACTCGCTGAGCAACACACCTATATTACCAGCTAATTATCTGATCAATCATTAGAGCTGTCAGATCTGTCTGAGATAAGAATGGCTGCCTGCCAAGGTACTGAATCCAGGACGACTGTTTGATGTTATCGTGCTACAATTAGGCTACAAGCACAGCTTCGCGATGGAGGCCAAGAGAAAGACGTTTAACGAAAGGGGGGCGGCTTCCTGGGCCCAGAAGCAGCCAGGATTGGTCAGATCAGCAGGAATAAAACACTCCACCTCTTTATCAAGGACAGTTCCTATTGTTATACACCACCCCAGTCTCTTAGTGGGGAGAGACCTCAGGGGTTTCAAGCACTTAGCCAGGTTTGTTTTTGTTGGAATGATGATCAGCGGAGACTGTGGTGTCTTTCGTATGTATGGTTTCATTTACACATATATGGAACCTGAGCATAAGATGAAGGGGCTCACAGCATCAGCACCCCAACAGATCTTGCTTCTCCATTAGTCACAGCTTTGGATCCAGCACAGAGCAAGCAGGTCTCTGTGTCTGCAGCTCCCAGCCTGTTTCTAGCTCACCTCTCACTCTCTAACAAACACACTATCACAGGGTGCCAACTCCAAGGGGCCCCTGTCACTTCGGGGGCCCCAATTTTTTTTTTGAGGGGGCTGGGCTCCCCCCCCCCCAATGGATGGGTGTTGCTGCCTTCCTTTCTTTTCCACATTTGGACTTCATTTCCAAGCAGGCCCTGTAAAGGAACTTGAAAAAGGGTTGCTGGGATTGGACCAAAACCTCCGGCATCATTTCTTACTGCCCTTGCAATTGGAACTATATAAATTGTATATAAATTCAATAAACAGCAGCAGCAGCAACAACAACATGTGTGCACAGGGATAGCAGCAAAGTGGGCAGAAGAAATCCCGGCACCTCAATGTTCCAAACAAAAAGAGGAAACTGAGATTTGCATTCTCTGGCTACTTTTGCAGTGTGTGTGTGTGTGTGTGTGTTTTTTTTGTGTGTGTGTGTGTGTGTGTGTGTGTGTGTGTGTGTGTGTGTGTGTGTGTTGGTTGCAAAGTCCATTGGCCACACGTACTTCCAACAGCAAGAGAAGCTCCCATTGTCAGTCCCAGCTGCAGGCGCCTCTCAGCTAAGTCCCTCCCAGACTAGCAACTGCAACTACAGAAGGTGCACTGTAATTGGAGTGGGAAAAGGGGAGGGACATTGCCCAGAGCTTTGTCATTTACAGTGGTACCTTCGTTCTCGAACGTAATCCATTCCAGAAGTCCATTCGACTTCTGAAACGTTCGGAAACCAAGGCGCGGCTTCCGATTGGCGCAAGTGCCTCGGAAACAATAGCCAACAGCCGCATCAGACATTTGGCTTCTGAAAAACATTTGAAAACTGGAACACTTACAGTGGTACCTCAGGTTACATACGCTTCAGGTTACAGACTCCGCTAACCCAGAAATAGTACCTCAGGTTAAGAACTTTGCTTCAGGATGAGAACAGAAATCGTGCTCCGGCGGCATGGCGGCAGGAGGAGGCCCCATTAGCTGAAGTGGTGCTTCAGGTTAAGAACAGTTTCAGGTTAAGAACAGACCTCCAGAACGAATTAAGTACTTAACCCGAGGTACCACTGTACTTCCGGGTTTTCGCCATTTGGGAGCTGATTTGTTCATCAACTAAGCCGTTTGAGAAGCAAGGTTACACTGTACTTTCAAGTTTCTTTTCTGCCATCCCTTCTCCCTCCCTACCATATCACTATCCTTGTTTGCCCCCACCCCCAATATTTTCTTCAGGTTGGTGCCTCTGCTCAGTATTGTTTTTGCACCTAATAGCTACAGGTGAGAGGGATGGAGGAAAGACCCAACCATTAGTGTCTCCAGTTTCCAGCCTCCAATGAAGGAAAGCCCACCACTTTCTGTGAGAGTCCCTTCCACTGTCAAACAGCTGTTGCAGCCATATAGTTCTTCCCAAAGTTTAGTCAGAATCTCCTCTCTTGCCCAACACTCTGGAGCAATAGAAAACAAACTTGCTCTGTCTTCCACATGACAACGCTTTAAGACAATTGAAGGTAGCTATTTGCACCACTTCTCTGTTCAGAGCGGAGGGGAGGGAATTGGACAAATTCATGAAGGGCATCACCAGCTACTAGTCACAACGGCTTTCTTCTGCTTCCAGTTTCAGAGGACTTTGAACAGCAGTTGCAGAGAATCACAAGTCCAGAGAGTTGCACTCAGATCCTCCGGAGGGCTGTTTTTAACGATGAATACAAACTACATACCCCACAAGTGTCCCAGAAAAAATGGGACATCCTGTTTTTTCTCGTGAGAGAATGGCGGCCATTTTGGACACCATGATCTCACGCCATTTCACACTGCAATTTCCTTTCCCCAAAAGCCTATTTCGGGCCCTCGATCTTGTGCGGGGCACCAAAATAGATGTTTTGAGGTGCCGTCCCTGAAAAAATGCTTTTTTGAGGGAGAATTGCACAAGATCATAGCGTCCAGAATGGCTGTCATGATTTCGCTCAAGAAACATGGGGAAACGGTGTCCCAGATTATGTCCCGCATTTTGCCGTTGATGTCTTGGAGGGTTTGCAAGTGCAAATCTTGATAGGGCTATATTTTTCTATCCAAACTTTTTCTGTAACTGCTATACTATATATATTTTTTAAGTCTCTTTATTTCCATCAGTTAAATGATGGAGCACACAGAGACCAAGGGTGTGTGTGTGTGTGTGTGCATTGGGATAGATTTAAACCTGTGCATTATATTTATTTATTGTTCCTCACAGACACACTCCATTAGAAGTTAGATAAGAGAGAAAAAGAGAAGATTATCTGTGCCCTTGAGGGCTTATATTGGGGTGTACGAAAAAGAAGAAAGCTAAAGAAACTGTTATTCTCCCGCTGAATAAAAATGCCAGGTGTAACATTTCACTAATTACGGCACTGGTTTTTTACAGCAGGGATCTTAAAAGCCTTTTTTTTATTTTTCCAGAAAGAGAAGAGGGAGGAAATCAAAGGGGAAAGATTGACAAAAACACAGAGGAGAAGGTATAAAACAAGATTTATATCTACATAATTTCCTGTAATTGCTGATAGAAGATGTTAATATTCCTTTTGATGCTCTGTACTTAACGCCTGGGGTCTTTGGCGTAACTGCCAGGAATGGCAAGGAGTCAATGGGGATTAAATCAGAGGTTCCTTGGAGCAGTAGCCAAAAAAACAACAACCTTAAAAAACTTTAGGAATTGGTTGGGGGAGGAGTAAGAGGTGTTTAACTCAAAGTCAGATTATGTCCTCATGCCCCACTTCCTCCCATCACCAGAAAAACTACAGAAGCATATTGAGTAGGACAAGAATCACATTCTGAATAAGAACGTAAGAACTGCTGGATCAGGCCTGCATCCTGTTCTTACAGTGACCAGTCCGGTGCCTCTAGGAAACCTGAGCTTTCCCCCAAAGTTTCCACATTGCGTCCCCACTTCTGTCTTGGAGCGCTACCTTCACATATCCGACACACTGCAGCCTGGCCTGATACAACAAGCAATGTTCTCATGTTCTTAAACCCCCTCAGATTAATGGGCCTATGTTAGTTAGGTCCATCAATTTCCAGGGATCTACTATGAGCAAGAGGGACGCGGGTGGCGCTGTGGGTTAAACCACAGAGCCTAGGGCTTGCTGATAAGAAGGTCAGCGGTTCGAATCCCCACGATGGGGTGAGCTCCCATTGCTTGGTCCCTGATCCTGCCAACCTAGCAGTTCGAAAGCACGTCAAAGTGCAAGTAGATAAATAGGTACCGCTCCGGCGGGAAGGTAAACGGCGTTTCCGTGTGCTGCTCTGGTTCGCCAGAAGCGGCTTAGTCATGCTGGCCACATGACCCGGAAGCTGTATGCCGGCTCCCTCGGCCAGTAAAGCGAGATGAGCGCCGCAACCCCAGAGTCGTCCGCGACTGGACCTAATGGTCAGGGGTCCCTTTACCTTTTTACTATGAGCAAGACTAATATTGTGTGTGTTTTATATATATATATATATATATATGTGTGTGTGTGTGTGTGTGTGTGTGTTTTTAACATACCATTTTCAACAGTAATTAAACATTTTTTTTTATTTTTTCCTCTAAATGATATTTATTAAGAATTTTAAAATTACAGAAAAACAAAGAGAAAAAGAAGGAAAAAACGAGAAAAACAAACAGCAATCAAACAATACAAATCGATAAAAATCAAAATCAAAAAACAAAAACATAACACATAACACATCAAAATCAAAAATAAATAAATAAATAAACCACAAAAATTTAAAAACAGATCCAATATTCCCAAATCCTTAACTGTCATTACCTTATTTCATTGACCTCCTCACACCTTTTTTTGTATTCTAGTTATTAATTATCACAGCAAATCCTTTCCATTTTTCATAATATTCTGTCATTAAATTACCTTAATCTATTTTAACCTTATCTTACTATAAAAAACCCCTAAAACTTAAAACTTAAATCTTATTTATACCAATTTCTCATAACCATAGCATATTCTTACATAGTTCTTTTTAACATTTCTGCTAAAGCCAAATAATTTCGTTCCAACATTTTTCTAATACTCATTAATTTTACAAAACAATCCTAAATAAAAATTTTTAAAACTTTCTTCCAATCTTCATCCAACGTCTCTTCCTCCTGGTCCCGGGTTTTGTCAGTCCTTTTTATCCCATCCATCTAGTTCATTAACCTGGTAATCTTATGTCCGAGGCCCTTAAGTCTCTTCCATGTCCCTTCCGCAGATCTTCTTCATATTTATACCTGTACTTTACTTTGTCTCCTGCTCCTTTCACTCGTGGAAACTCCAACTTGACAGTATTTTTGTCCCTTCTCAACAGATCAGCCCCTTTTCCATAGTCCACACTGAACTCCATGTGGTATTTAAAAGCATGTTTCAAGGTCCCTCCAGAGTTGAGGACCCCCACAACCCCAAACTCCTCACGGCCCATTGCCAGACTTGAAAAGTCAAAACATCCCTGCATAGGGGGGGTCTATCCAGCCCCCCATCTCCAAGCCAAACAAAACTCTGTCTCTCCAAATCTGGCTTTTTCCAAGTTCATTTGACAGATCCAACAACTCATGTTCCTGCTGGGCCACAGCTCCCTCCATCTCTGCCACCCGAGGTCCTGCAACAACCTCCTCCCTCATCTGATCTGTCAGAGCACACTCCTGAGTTGATTCCTGGGTGGGTTCTATATAGATACCCACTACCTGTCCAAAATTTCTAATCGCAACAGTCATCAAATCTGTCTTCTCATGTAACTGTTCCAATAAAGCACTTGTCTTGCAGAAAGCACGCACCAGAGCCTCTGAGTACATTGTTATGCAAGGTCAGAAGTCTGTTCCCACGATCTTAATCTATTGCAGCTGCAAAGCTCCCCAGTTCAAATTTAATAACAGTTTCACAAGCTCCCTCTAGGGGAAGAACTTCTATTTGTATCCATCTCTTTTCTTTCTTTTTTTTTTAAAGCAGATCTAACAACAAAGTTTCCTTTTTCATATATTTTGTCAATATTTGTTCCTTTAAAATGCGAAAGAGAACAATGGAATCTCTATGTTTCTCTTCTTTTAACTATCTGTCAAAAACGTTTGTCTATAGTCAATGAACTTCCCAAAAACGTCTGTCCTGACACCCCGCTCCCAGGTTCAAGACGGTGGAGAATTACTTTTCTTTACACTCTCTTCTGCAGGTTTAAACAATCCGGAAAAAATCCCCCCTCTTCTCCTGCTTCCGAAGGGGGTTCAGTAATTTTAGATGATGAAAGTTGATCCTTTACAAATGATTTTCTAAACTCTAGTTTGCCATGTCTTTGCTTTAATCTATCTACAAGAAACGGAAGGCTGACTTCCTGTTTAGACCTTCCCGCTTCAGTGCCAAATTAAGAGGAATTTCTTTATCCAATTTTCCGTTCTACTCACAGGTCGTTGTTTAAAGTCCAATTGTCCAAATTTAATCTGCTCACGGGTAGTTGTTTTTGTAGCCAAATTGTCCCAGGAAAAAGGTAGCGCTCTCCGGCAACGGCTGTGCGGCTTCGCTCAACGGAAGAATCAGTTGACTCTCAGCACCGCGCCACTTGCCCCTCTTCGCTCCGGAGCTCGTAATTGGGTTCCTTTACGAATTGGGGGGGGCGCGAAAGGTGCCCGCCGAGTCCCATGGTCACAGGCTTCATCCGCCTGTGATTTTTTAAAGGGTCCCCGCTTCGCCGTAGCGGAACAGACCCGTTTTCCGTAGAGCCAGTCCCTCCGAATCAGAGGGAATCCGCCATTACCGATGGCGCCACCCCGGAAGTCTAGTAATTAAACATATTTTTACATCTTATTCAATTTTTTTGACTTCCATCAGTCCTGTCTGAAAATTTTCCAATCTAATCTCTCAGCATACATTTCTTATTTTCCCTGTTACGTTTAAAACTCATAACCAATATCTCTGTTCTTTATCTACTTTGTAGCACTTCCTATATTCCTCCTTACAAAACTTCTTGCAGTCCTACTAGCACAATTTGTTGGTTACAATTGCTTTTCAAATCGTTCATATACTTCTTCCAATCTTCTGTATATCTCTGGTCCCGCAGGTTTCGAATCCTTCCTGTCGTTTTGTCCAGTTCTGCAAAGTCCATTATTTTTGTCTGCCATTCTTCTTTCATCGGAATTTCTTCTAATATTGTGTGTGCTTTCAGCTTGAGTTCTGGCTCCTCTCAGGTGGGTGCCATTGTGGGCCAGCACTCGCCTTGCCCGCTTCGTGCCTCTGCATACTTCCGAGAAGCCCCAAAACAAACATTTCAAGTCAAAATGGAAGCTGGCCAACGTGTGCAAGTCTACACTTTTTAAAAAAGATCTATGTCTACACCTAGCTTCTAGCCACGATTGTTCAAGCTCCAGAGTCGGGCCAATACTCCTTTTCTTCAATCCATCTCCCATATAGCGATGGCGGCCTTTAAGCTTTCCAACCAGGTCTCTACTGTTACACGCATGAACATTTGTGCGAGGGCCCTTCCAAGCTGCCCTAGCCATCTGCCTGGATCTAAGAGAACGAGGAAGGCAGAGGTGCGTTTATGTGACCTATACCAGAACCAGGGGTAACCCCCAAACCAGATAGGGAGGCAGCTTGCCATAGTTTTCCCTCCGCAGGCGGTGAATGCAGCTGTTGTCCAACCGAAATCTGGGCTGCCCTGAGTCGCCTGGCAACTTACTGTGACAACTTCCTAGTGAGTTCCTAAGCACTGGCTATGACTAATATGGCGGCGGAGGATGGATTTTGATGATGATGTGAGAGTTAACAGGAGAAGCGGGGCAGCAGTGGAGTAACATGCCACTGGCAGCACCCCAAATTGTTGCTAGTGTTAGACACATCCCCAATCTTCAAGCGGAGGCTTCAGGAGTTCCAGGCACTTACCCGGGGTTTAGTTTCCTTGGGATGAAGGGCAGTGGAGACTGTGATATATGAAGGATATATGGCTTCATTTACACATATCTACAACCTGAGCATAAGGGATGCAGGTGGCGCTGTGGGTTAAACCACAGAGCCTAGGACCTGCCGATCAGAAGGTCGGCGGTTTGAATCCTCGCGACGGGGTGAGCTCCCGTTGTTCAGTCCCAGCTCCTGCCAACCTAGCAGTTCGAAAGCACATCATAGTGCAAGTAGATAAATAGGTACCACTCTGGCAGGAAGATAAACAGCGTTTCCGTACGCTGCTCTGGTTCGCCAGAAGCAACTTAGTCATGCTGGCCACATGACCCGGAAGCTGTACGCTGGCTGCCTCGGCCAATAAAGCAAGATGACTGCCACAACCCCAGAGTTGGCCACGACTGGACCTAATGGTCAGGGGTCCCTTTACCTTTACCTTTTACAACCTGAGCATAGGATGGAGGGGCTCACAGCATATAATAATTATAATAATAACAACAACAACAACAACAACAATAATAATAATATTTATACCCCGTCCATCTGACTCGGCTTCCCCAGCCACTCTGGGCGGCTTCCAACCAAATATTAAAATACAGTAATACATCAAACATTAAAAGCTTCCCTAAACTCCCCAACAGATCTTGCTTCTCCATTAGTCACAGTTTTGGATCCAGCACAGAGCAAGCAGATCTCTGTGTCTCCGGCTTCCAGGCTGCTTCCAGCTTAGCTTGCTAACACACCACAGGCTATTGCTCTCCTTTCTAGCAGCTAGGTGTGAGGGTGGAGGAAAGGCCCGCCCATGAGCACAGAGGGCACCCTCACTTTGTTGCAACCTGGCTCGTTCTTTTGGGGTGCTGATGAGGACACTTAAGTGGCCAGCTCAGGTCATCGCCGTGCAAAGAAAGTCCTCTGACCTGTTCAGCAACCTCCTCCTTTCTTAGATTCTAGCCCTCACTGAGTACCAGACCCTAAGAGTTAGAAGCAACTCAGCGCAGCATCCAGACTGACCCACAACGATATTATAGCAGCACGAAATCACAGCACGAAGCAAACAAGCCCTCCGGGGAGCAGTGCTGTGCTGATGACTAAGCTGTGAATGCCATCCACACAAATTGACAGCCATACAATAAAACCCAACCACAATGAACACGCTATATGCTTAGAATGATTAAGTAAAAATTACGCACCAAAGCTTCCAAAATGAATCAGCGGAGAGAGAGAGAGAGAGAGAGAGAGAGAGAGAGAGAGAGAGAGAGACGAAGACCTGCATGTGGTTAGAGATGGGGAAGAAATTCAGCTCACTTTGCTTTCAGTGGTGAACTCCTGCACTTTCAACAACAACAACAACAACAACAACAACAACAATTTATTATTTATACCCCGCCCATCTGGCTGGGTTTCCCCAGCCACTCTGGACGGCTCCCAATTGAATATTAAAAACACAATACAGCATTAAACAATAGAATTGAAACAGAGCCCACATTTGAAAGCCAGACTTTCCTGAATTTTGCAATGCAGTTCTACAGCTGAGTAATGCGCACACTAATGATGTAAGGTGAGCACAGCAATATTGGTGAAAACAACATGCTAAATGCCATTATATCAAGGGAAATTGCCTTGCAAAAATTGCTTTGCATCTGGCAAAATTTCATCAAAATGTGTGTATTCACACCAAAATGATGAAGGAAGACTTTAAGAAAATAATAATACAATACAATCGCATCTTATCCAGTGGTTCGGTTCCAAGGGATCCACATATACTCAAAAATGTGTATATTCAAATCCTTGGAACTGCCCCTCCACAAGCAACCTGAGACTTCTGGAGCATGGAGAGAGCTTTGCTTCCCAAGTATGGCAGAGAGCTTAAAAGCTATTTTTTGGAAGGTTTATCCATTCCCCTCACAGAGCTACAATTCCAGAGAGGTTCAACAACCAATCCCTCTTTCCCATAGAACTCTGGCAATTGTAGCTCTGCTTCGGAGATATAGGGGCATCTTAAGAACTCTCAGCACCCTTAAGAAATGTATTCCTGTTGTGTTTTATGATTTTCCTGATACTGTAAGTGAGCCGGAACTGGTCTGTGACCATAATAATAAAATTCAATTCAATTCAAACATCCCAGGATTCTTTGGGGGAAGCAGTTAAAAATGTTTAAAGTGGCACAGCGCTGCTTAGAATGTATGGTGCAGATGTGGCCCAAATCTTTCCTGGCATTTCTCGGTGACCTGGTGTTTCCATAGCGAATCTTTCACCGACTTGCAGCGACACACTAATATTTAAAGTGTGCCATTATATGCAAGACCTTTCCATTCTTTCTATTCCCGAGTCAAATATTCCACGCTAACACATTCGCACCCACAACACGAGGAGGGTGGCAAGGCAAAATGTTCAGGCTTTTAACTCCTTTCATAATTAAGGGGCATTTTAAATCCCCGGTGTTTTTAGTAATGGCTTATTTTAGGCGTGTTGTGCCAATGAATGGTTGTGGGGATGTATTATTCACCGAGCCCATGTCTTGTGAGAAATATTTTGACGGGTTAATGACTTTTGGTGGGGAGACATTTGCGCTTTTATTAACTTTGGATACGATACCCCAAGGATACAAAGCGGCCAATTTTGTAGTTAAAAGTGTTTGGGTTTCTTTTCTTAATGGCAATTTAATTGAAGTCACAATGCATTAAATACAATTGTGTTCATCCAGGTGCAGAAAGGAAGCAGGGGGGTCTAGTTAGATGAACAGATACGTGCAACCAGAGCCAGTGGCAGATTTGTGGCCTGTGGTCTACAGAGTCATAGATATCTCCAAATATATGGTAGAACTAACTGTATAAGAATGTGTCACTGATTAACATGGGCTATAAGTTGTTGTTGTTGTTAGGTTTACTTCTGTATCAACATATTCCTTCTCTCCATGGCCTTGGTGCCAGCAGTTGTGGACCCTGACTTCATTGTACTAAGCCAGGCATAGGCAAACTCGGGCCTCCAGATGTTTGGGGACTACAACTCCCATCATCCCTGACCACTGGTCCTGTTAGCTAGGGATGATGGGAGATGTAGTCCCAAAACATCTGGAGGGCCTAGTTTGCCTATGCCTGTACTAAGCATTGGTCGGGGCATATTCCTGCCCCCTTGCGACTCAACACTAGTCTCCTACCCCTGTGGAATCTGGTGGATAAGTTTGAATCCTTTTTTAGTGAATACTTACCTGGGACCCTTTCCTATGTCTTCTAGTTGGGCAGAAGAGAAGTGCAAAAAAAACCCCAACTTCTCATACCAAGTGGTCCGCAATAGTACTTTTTTCAGATTTCTTTTTCTTTTAAGATTCGAAGTTACATTTTAACACTCAACAGTTATCATCCTTACTCTACAATACTAACAACTTCCTGCTCACCCATCCTCAATGTTTTTATGATCAGGATTACATACAATCGCATCTTCAAAGCCCATCATACCCAATTTCATCCTCTTTAACGGGTTTCTTGAGATGTGCTGCTATTTTTTCTTGAACTTCAAACCCCACTGTGGACTTCACTTATAGGAAATTATTTCTTAAATAGATTTGAAAAAGTTTCCAGTCCTCCTCGAAAGTTTCTAAATTTGTGTCTCTTATCAGCGCCATAAGTTTTGCCATCTCTGCATATTCCGTTATCTTCACCACCCCATTCTTGCTTTGAGGATATTCTTTCCTCCTTCCGCTTCTGTGCATAACTATTCCTTGCCATTGTAGTTCCACACATAAATACAGTTAAAGCTTTCTTTGGAATTTCACTGTCCAGTAAGACTTATGGCTTCTTGGGGAGAAAAGTACGCAAGAGTACTTTGACATGGAACCTGCGGGCCAAAATTTGCTGCCCCCCAGTCTCCAGCTCTCATGCTGCCTCCCAAAGTGGGCACTGGAAGGAGCCACGAGTCTCTGGCAGGGTCCTAGAGCCCTCCCATCTCCTTCCCAAAGCTGGGAAAGAGAAAAGTAGGCTTTGGGGTGGAGGATGTAGGACTCTCAGACCCTGTCAGAGCCCTCATGCCTCCTTCCCAAAGCCCAGCACCTCTCCTAACTGGCTTTGGGAAAACAGCAGGGGGCAGGGCATCAAATGTTGCCAAGGGCTGCCAAAATGGCCTTGAGGGCCATGTGTTGGACTACGCTGCCCCAGATCCCCAGAAACCTGCTGCTAAGACACCTCTTATACTGAATAACCCATAGTCAAGATGGTTTGGAAGGTGTCTATCAGGGCTGGGTGATATCTGGTTTTCAACTTTGTGATACATCATCAGCTAAACATCGCAATATACTGATATATCACAGTGTCTGAATTAAGGATGGAGCTATGTAGAGGCATTGGCTGGCTTCACAGTTTTTCCCGCATTGTGATTTTTGCATAGCACACACACACATTGTGTTGTTTAGTCGTTTAGTCGTGTCCACCTCTTCGTGACCCCGTGGACCAGAGCATGCCAGGCACTCCTGTCTTCCACTGCCTCCCGCAGTTTGGTCAAAACACACACATTATGATTTGCAATATATTGCCATGTCAAAAATTATGAAAATTATGAAACTAATATCATGATATGGACTTGAAACTGGCTTTGGATGATATATCGCTCAGCCCCAACACAAACCATGATTCGCGATATACTGCCAAATCAAAAACTACTACACTGATATCATGAAATGGACTTCAAACCGGTTTTGGTTGTTATACTGATATATCGACCAGCCCTAGTGTCTATATGAACACGCGTCCCTGAATCGCTGCCTCTTCAAATTACTAACAGTGTTATATATAGGTTTGTGTTTCATGCTATTGCTTGAGTGATAATAATTGCTTAATATGTGAAAAACTTGAGAAAACATTTCCTTTCCTTTTACAGTCGTTTTTAATTGTCATTTTCAAGAACCACCATGAAAAACGTATGAGAAGAGTGTCACTTTGCAGAAGATTAACTACAGAAACACCAGAAGCCACTCCTGATTTAGGTTCCCTGCTTAATACCGGAGTGTGAAATAATTGTTTCTTTCCTCTGTCCTTTAGGCAGTAGCTGCAGTTAAAGGAGCAAAGTCAATATAATTAGAAGGCGTTGCCGTTTGGATTGAGTTGGAGCCTGCCTGGGTGGGGAGAAAGCAGCCCTGTTAAATCCAGGCACATCCATTGTTCCTGGAGATTACATCTAATGCTTCCTGTTACCACCCATCTTGAAGAAATTAGCAGGTGGGCAAGTTCGGTATTGTAGGTTGAGCGGCTGCGGTGCACTTTGCCTGCTTCTCCAAATGTGCGACACATGCCGAAAAATGGTTGCTTGCAGGAATGTGTTGTAAAGGAAGACATACCTATTGTTTCAGCAACCGGTACAAATTTGGACAAAAAATATTGAATCACACCAAAGGCAATTTGTGGGTTTCTGCTTGAGGGCAAGAAGGTGGATTTTGATAAGACTGTCACAATTTCTCCTGCCAGGAGAGGGCAGCTCTCAAGCCAGGACCTTGTAGGCAAGTGGTCTGCAAGTACAGTATGTGAATTGCCTGTTCTGAACAGGGTTACATTCAATCTGAAGGAATTAAGTAACCTGGAGGGGTTCCTGGGACTATCTTTGTCATATGAGGCCCAAGTGACCCCCTCTGTGGCTCAGAGTGCCCAGTACCAACTTTGGTTGGTACAACAATTACACCCTTTCCTGGATAGGATTAGCTTAGCTAGTGTGCTTTTTCCCCCAGTTATTTTTATACCTTTCATAAAGCTGACATTGCATGGAAATCCCAATGGAAAACTGTAGAGAATCTCTCTCCAGAGAGGTGGACAGCTGGAATCTGAGAACTTGCTTTAGCTAAAAATGATAATAACGCAGCAGAGTAATCCAAGGGGTATTGAAAAGAGGTAACTTCAATTTTGTGTGGTTCCCTTTGCTCTTTTAAAGGTAATGGGACCCCTGACCATTAGGTCCAGTCGTGACCGACTCTGGGGTTGTGGCGCTAATCTCGCTTTATTGGCCAAGGGAGCCGGCGTACAGCTTCCGGGTCATGTGGCCAGCATGACTAAGCCGCTTCTGGCAAACCAGAGCAGCGCACGGAAACGCCGTTTACCTTCCCGCTGGAGCGGTACCTATTTATCTACTTGCACTTTGGCACGCTTTTGAACTGCTAGGTTGGCAGGAGCTGGGACAGAGCAACAGGAGCTCACCCCGTCGCGGGGATTCAAACCGCCAACCTTCTGATCGGCAAGTCCTAGGCTCTGTGGTTTAACGCACAGCACCACCTGCATCCATTTTTGCTCTCTTATAACAATGCTATCATCCCTCCCACCCCCAATCACACAACCCCTTATGGAGAGGTTCCATAAGAAGGCCGGTCTGGTACAATGGTTAGGATGTCAGACTAGGACCTGAGAGACAAGAGTTCAAATCCCCACTTGGCCACGAAGCTCACTGGGAGCAAGTGTCATGGACTGGCTGGATGCAGAGGAGAGGTGGGAAACCCCAAAGGGAACCCCCAGGGGAAGAAAGCTCAGAGCCAGGGGCATGGGATGATGATGAGCGGTCAGAAGGAGAAGATGGAGAAGACTGGGAGGAGGAGGTGTCTGAAGCTGAAGAGGCAACAGGGTTTAGTGAGCAGGAAGAGTCTGTGGCAGAGAGCAGTCCAGACTCAGAGGCAGGAGTAGAGAGGGGCCAAGAGGCAGAGTAGAGGCAGGCTGCTGAGGAAGCCAGCTCCCTCCCCTCTGGTCCCCCAGAACATGCAGAGAAGTGAAAAGAGCAGAGGAGAGATTGGTTGCAGGCAGATGGCAGCCTCTGGTTGCTTGGGGGGAAACCCTGAAGAGAACTTAGGCATATCTGGGAAGGCAGGAACTTTCAGTCCCCACAACTGCCTCATTAGAGCAAGACCTACTGAGAAGAATTGCTGTGATCACTAGGCCTGTGCTGTTTTGGTTTCTTTGAATAAGGAGTTAACTTCAACAAACACTGCTTGTTTATTACTGATCTACACCTGACTCTGACTCCTGACAGTGACCTTGGGCCATTCACTGTCTCTCAGCCTAACCTACCCCCCACCAGGTTGTTGTGCGGATTAAATGAGGAGGGGGGAGAGCAGCATACATCATCTTGAGCTTTTTGGGGAAGCAAGGTGGGGTAGAAATGCAAGGCAATAAAATCAATAAGACAACTAGACGTTTACTCTCCGCAATTTCAGAATACAAATTTTGTAATGTATTTGCACACTTTGCTTTGAGTAATTAACAACCGTTGTACTCCGGTTCTGTATTTGTCTTTCTCATACTTACCTAAAACAAAAAAATACAAAAAATACATTTGCAAAAAGAGAAGCAAGCAGAAGGTACCAGCAGTGCATAACAGAGAAAGCTGTGGTGCTTGGTGCAAGAATTGCAACCGAACGCCAAACACAACCCATTTGGGTTTATGAAAAGCTGAGGGGCTGTGGAGTCTGCTGTAGTTCAAGTGGGCTTGTTAGTGCCATCTAGTGGTTCCCGGTTTTTGGTTTCTGACTGCACAAAGCTGAAAATTCCCAAAGTTCAGGGAGCTTCAACGGTATCTGCCGGTATCTGTGCTTTTCTTTCCTTGGAAAAATGTCCATTGGCATGAGAGCCAGGCATTCTAGACCAGCGGTCAGCAACCTTTTTCAGCTGTGGGCCGGTCCACCGTCCCTCAGACTATGTGGGGGGCCGGACTATATTTTGCAAAAAATAAATGAATGAATTCCTATGCCTCACAAATAACCCAGAGATGCATTTTAAATAAATGCACACATTCTGCTCATGTAAAAACACAAAACAAATGAAATACCATGAAAATCCCTGAAACAAGAAGTAATCGACTAGAAATATTATCTTATAAAATTAAACTAAATAACAAAAATCAAAAAGTTTAAGGGAAAAAATGAGGAAAACCTAGAATTGAACAAAGCCTTAACGGGATGCCAGCTACAAACCTCGTTTCACTGAACTATTCAGTTTCCTCAGAAGGAAATAGAGAAATCATAAACCTTAAATGACCATTCTACTCATGTAAAAACACGCTGATTCACGGACCGTTCGCAGGCCGGATTGAGAAGGCGATTGGGCCGCATCCGGCCCCCAGGCCTTAGTTTGCCTACCCCTGTTCTAGACTCCCAGGTGGAAAGAGACACATTGCTATATTGATGATCAGAGCAGTGAGGAGCATAAAAGGGCAGTTTGGGCCAACTCACACACACCCTTGCAAAAAAGTGAACTACATCATTAGAGTCAGAGCATCTCAAACCTCTTGACAGCAACGCTGGATGTGGCCATGACTCTGCTGGAGAAGGAACAGCGTTAAGAACCTCCCTGCTTTTCCTCCAAGCTTCTGGGATCACGACCAGTTCTCCACAAGCCCTGCGAAGCTTGCGGCTGCCATGATGTGCTTTGCTTTTCAAAACAATTACAGGCCGAGGAAAGCAAATGAGATCAGAGCGGTGTTGTCAAAAGGCATCGAGGCAGAGGACATCTCCAAGGGGACTGAGCTTGACAGTGACTTTTTCTTCCCTCCCTTATCATCGGCTGCTGAGACATTAGCGCTCTTCCTGTTCCCATTGCCCTGGCTGAGGATGAATCAAGTGTTGTCAGTGTCAGACCTCCTTGCTGAAAAGGGAATTAAAAGGGAGGGGAGAGAATGGGGGAACACTGGTTTGGAAAACCATTTTTGGCTCCAAGATCTGCCAGGCCAAGTTCTCCTTATTCGTGGAAATATCTTCTTCCCATCTACTGAATGTCACAAGTGTCAACCAGCCGTCCATGTCTTTTTCTTCTTCTTTTTTTGGCAATGTTCTCCCCTATCCCACGATAGGTCCTGTAAAACCCACAGATAGACCAGATTCAACATGGAACATGTGGGAAAACTCTACCTGGGAAGTGAGGTTAATATCATACAATGGGTCCATTGTCAATTATACTGATGTCCAGTTCAGTGAACTCAGGTTTTCATGGCACTCACTAGACTGGGAGGGGGGAAACCTCCAGATTGCAGGCCCATCTTGTCCCCCAAGTTTGGCCCACGAAGCCATTTCCCCCAAGCCATGACCCTCTGTCAATCAGCTGACACCATTGTGATGTCAGCTGATGGGTGGGGCTGAATTCTAGGTCACTTGTCAAATTTGGCCCATGGGGCAAATCCTGCTAAGGGCTAGATGATCCTTGGGGTCCTTCCCAATACTACAGTTCCATGCCCTCCAACGTTTCTTCAGTAAAAATAGGGACACCCTATTCCACAATGGGACTTGAGAAGAAGATCCAACCGATCCATCCTGAAGGAGATCAGCCCTGAGTGCTCACTGGAAGGACAGATCCTGAAGCTGAGGCTCCAAGACTTTGGCCACCTCATGAGAAGAGAAGACTCCCTGGAAAAGACCCTGATGTTGGGAAAGATGGAGGGCACAAGGAGAAGGGGACAACAGAGGACGAGATGGCTGGACAGTGTTCTCGAAGCTACAAACATGAGTTTGACCAAACTGCAGGAGGCAGTGGAAGACAGGAGTGCCTGGCGTGCTCTGATCCATGGGGTCGCGAAGAGTCGGACACGACTAAACGACTAAACAACAACAACATTTCATCATAATAATAATAATTCTAGTATTTATACCCTGCCCATTTGATTGAGTTGCCCCAGTCACTCTGGGTGGCTAGCAACATACCCTGTATATAAAAACATAATAAAACATTAAACATTTTAAAACTTCCCTATATTCCCCTGTGTCCAACCAGTTCATGACAAGGGGGAACGTCCTCCAGTATCTGCAAGCTGGGCTTGGAACGGTCCTTGACTGAAACCCTGGAGAGCAACTGCAGGTCAGTGTTGGCAATACTAAGCTTGATGGACAATGTCCAGGATCAGTATTTATTTACTATTTCATAAAATTCATATGCCTCTTGATCGTAACAAACCTCAAAGCAGTATAGTGCATCCTGGTTTGATTCAGCAGGAATCTGTGCTAAGAAACCCCCACATTGCGTAATTACCGTATTTTTCACTCTACAAGACACACTTTTTCCCTCCTAAAAAGTAAGGGGAAATGTGTGTGCGTCTTACAGAGCAAATGCAGGCTGCGCAGCTATCCCAGAAGCCAGAACAGCGAGAGCCTTCATCCTGCTGCCCTGAAGAGGCTTCACGCGGCTATCCCAGAAGCCAGAACAGCAAGAGGGATTGCTGCGCAGCGAAAGCAGCGATCCCTCTTGCTGTTTTGGCTTCTGGGAGTCAGAATTTTTTTTTTCTTGTTTTCCTCCTCCAAAAACTAGGTGCGTCTTATGGTCTGGTGCGTCTTATAGAGCGAAAAATACGGTATGTTTTGTGGTGCAACTTTTGGCCAAAAAGCCAGACTTAACAGAGAAATAAAGGACAGGAGGCTCCACTTTTCGCTTACAGTATGTTTTATTTCTCAGTGCATTAAATAAGAAAGTTTTGGTATCTATGGGTTCTTTAATAGTGTCTCCAATAGTACAAAACATTTCATACGCAGTAATGAAACCCATAGCAAATTGGGAGGGTGGGAGAAGATATAATTAACAGCTGGCAGGTCTGAACAGTAATGATGCACGATCTGTAGGCAAAAGCTTTCTTTTCCCTTTAGGGGAACTATTACCCTTTAGGGGGTCAGCATATGGAAGCCCCCAGGCTGAACCAGGTTTCAAAACTGCCCTGCCCACATCAGGTTTCCACATCTCAGACCCAAAGCGAGGTCTGCAGGAAGCTGCAACACGAACTTTTGAAAGCAGGCTGCTTTGCGATGGGGAGACCCAAGCTGGCTTCCGTGTCTGCCTGAAATCTAGCTGCCTAACCGGAGATCGCTGCTCTATAGCCTGATAAACCAATAGAGCTCATGAAACAGGGTGAAAGCTAGATGAACCTTGGTAGCTGAACATCAGCGAGAACACACGACCAGTTGCGAAGGCAAGGAGTTTATAACAAGGTGAGATATTTGCGAACAGTTAACACCACACAGAGATCCGGCCTAAACCGTCTTGCATAGCTCAAAACAGCTCAGAACGAGCTTTGTGGAAATTAATAGCACCTTTCCCGTTTGTTTGATTCCACAGCAAACGGCGGGTTTTGTGGACACCCCTGTAAACACTAAAGCAGAAGGGGCAGGCGGCTGCCCCCCCTCAAAAAAGATATTGCAGAGATGGAAATGTTTACGAAAATGTTGAGCAAAACGACCAAGGGGATGGAACAACTCCCCGATATGAGGAAAGCTCGCCATATTTATGACTTTTAGTTTAGGGGGAAAGGGGAGTATGAAGTGAGGTTAAAAAGATGTTTTTTCAAAAATATACATGGTGTGGAGAGGTATTAGTGCAGTGAAGTGTTTAGTTCGTTGAACATGGGAGAGCCAGGTTCAAATTTCCACTCACCCATATAGTTCACTGGGTGTGACCTAGGACCAGTCACTGCCTCTCAGCCCAAACTATCTTACAGTGGGTGGGGATTATATGAGAGGGAGAACCATGTACACCATCTTGAGCTCCTGGAGAATCAGCTAGGATCTGAATGCAACAAATGTAAGTCTTAGGACAGGCATAAACATAAAGAATGGTATTGACACCCACAAGAGATGAGATGGCCGCCATCTTGGACAGCTTTGAAAGAGGATTAAATCCTTAAAATGGCTTTTCTTATCTTCTTCTTGCACGCTGGAAGCCAGCCTGTATACGTACTTGCAGAGGCAAAGAAGAGTGTAGGAATCCCCAGTTATTACTTCTCTCCTACAAAGTGGCATGGGATGGGGGAGGATTTCTGATTTATAGCAGAGATCAGGCTTTTTAACCCCTGCCCTGGGACTTATCTTACGGGTTGGAATGCGGCTTTGAGTTCTCAGCTCAAAGAAAGGACCTGAATGTTTAAAATAACTGCATTACTAACAGGGGTAGTCAGTCTTTTAACAGGGTGTGGGTAAACTCTGGCAGAACCAGTTCCTTACTGGCTTTGCATCCTGAGAGAATGCACTTAGGATCACAGAATTGTAGCGTTGGGAGAGTCCCAGAGGGTCAGACACTCCAACCGCCTGCAATCACTTTTATTGGTTGTGGACTAGTAAATACTGTTGGTTGATAAGCCTAGCTGAAACCGATGAACCAGAATTCCCCTGGTAGGCTCTTTTCACTAGTGCATGCGTTTGTAGGCGAGCTTTCTCCCAATAGATGCATTTATTTATTATTTGTAAACACTGGTGGATGAGAGAACTGCCCTGCAGAGTATGGATACGTGTGAATTTTGTAGGACGGCTGTGTTTCGCTTCTCATGCTGTGCGACGTCGATAAATTCTGTGTGCAATTTCTCCCCCATCTCGAGTGGAGAGAGAAAGAACTGTGCAAGAAGGAATAGAGCAGTCTGCTGGGTGTGCATGAATTCTCTGGGACTGTACCTTTGCTCATATGTGAAATGAGGGATCTGGGACTCCAATCACCACCACTGCTCTCCTGGAAAAGCTGAAATGTCTCCTTCCTTTGTTTCTTCATATACTTACATGGCTGTGTTTTATTTTTTCCCCTTTCGAGTTTGCAAGAAGCTTGTTGGACTGCCTTTTAAACAAACTTCCTGCTAGATCTGTGATTTGTTCTGAAGTCTGTCAGGCCTGTCTTGTACTAGTTCCCCGATCAAACGTTTTGGTACCTAATGAAAAACCCACCTAAAAATTAAATTGGTACAACAGCCACATCCAGCATGAATTCACAGAATCACAGCTAAATATTCGGAATATTCCAGAATGCAGATGGATTCCAGCGCAGACACAAAAGGGTACCTTGGCAAGCAGGGGTCGATGCAAAGGCTTCCATGAAGGTAGAATATTTGGGCAGCTCTTGCATCAATAGCACCATCTAAGAAGTGTCTTTATCACACGTGGCCTTTGGGGTTTCTGGGCATGACTGTGGTCATCTGAGATGGACACTGACACAGGGGCAGAGATAGGGCAATGTAGTAACTGTGAAGTATACATTTTAAAGATCAAAGAGAGTTCAAGGAATGCCTTCCTATTCCGACGGGTTGATCCATCCTCCTGTCCTGCAGGGACCTCTGTGCCTAAATCTCTGGAAGATCTTCAGCCCTCGCTGTTGGACCTATCAATAAAAGGGCTCATTATAGTGGGACGCCTCCCAGATGTGAAAAAATACACATGTTGCAATTTTGTCTGACCTCAGCCCCTGCACAGTTTTCTTTCCAAAGAGGAAACTTTCCTCCTTGAGATGGAGCAAGATTGTTTCATTCAGCCTGGACACCGAAATCCACCTCTGAGGGCTTTCTGGCAGTTCCCTCACTGTGAAAAGTAAGGTTACAGGGAACCAGGCAGAGGGCCTTCTTGGTGGTGGCACCTGCCCTATCAAACTATTTGACTTTTTGTATATGCTGGAAGCTGCCCAGAGTAGTTGGGGCAAGCCAGTCAGATGGGTGGGGTGCAAATAAAATTATTATTATTATTATTATTATTATTATTATTATTTCATTTGAAGCAAAATGGTGATGAAAGCTGTACTGATCCAACCAGTGCAAAGAAAGCCTTCTGTGCAAAGCAGACCCACAAAATCAAGTACCCTGGAGGAAAAGGGTTTGAATAAATGGAAACTTTAAACTAGCAGGGCTGATCTAGCAGCAGATCTCCAGGGATCCAGGACAGAGTCCTTCCCAGCCCTCACTGGAGCTGCTGGGGTTTGAGCCTGGGATGTTCTGCATATAAAACAATTGGAGTTAAGTTAAGGCATGACCAACTTGTCCCCTTGATTTCAGTGGGGTCAAGGCATGGCCAGCCGAAGCTCAATGAGCACATGACGCAACTCAGCTCCCTTATAACCTGGCAATGGAGACGTCGCAGTCTTTCCCAGTGGCGCCACTGAGGATCGAACCTGCGGCCTTCTGCAAGGCAAATCAGACGCTCAGCCCCTGAGCTACGAGCCCTTCCCCAGCACAGCCTCTGCATGCAATTTGTCATTGTGGTTAGACACAATGGATCAGGGCCCTTACTGGTGTCCTATTTCCTTCGGCTCCTTTTCCCTTTGCTCTCGCTGCTGTCCAAAAGCGAGGAAAGAATCTGGTTGGAGTGATGCCGCTTGGTTTTCACGTTTGCGCGGAGAGGGGCGCCCAGGATCACGTCTTGTCCCGAGCCTGGTTCAACGGAAGACAAAGAATCTGAAAACAAAGGAAAACCAGGGACAGGGAGAGGCAGTCAGGCCTGGGGGCCAGATGTGGCCCTCAGGATCTCTCGATGCGGCCCTTGGGATTCTTCCCTGGGCCACCCCCCTCACTGGCCCCAATCTATCCCTTCCACAGGTGCTAATGCATGGCTGGAATACATCTCTGAACTGTGGCAATGCCTCGATGGAGAGAGATGTGATGTGGCAGGAACTGGGAGAAAGAAACCTCTTTTGCACAGCTGCAGAAGCTTACTGTACTGAAGGTAAGCATCATAGCCTTTGTATATCATCCACTCTTGCTTCTAGCCCTGCCCACCCTCTGCATGCAGTTTTCCCCACCCCCAGCAAGGGAATTTATTTATTTATTTATTATTATTATTATTATTATTATTATTATTATCATCATCATTACAATTTATTAATTACATTTCTATACTGCCCTTCACCCAATGACTGGAAATAGTTTTGTATTTATTTATATCCCTTCTTTTTCCTGGCCTGGGACTCAAGGCAGCTTACGCAAATTAAAACAAGGCAGAAAGCTAAAAACATATCAAAGATCATGCTTTAAAAAGTGATTAAGCTGTAACAGGATTAAAACAATAGAAAAACAAATCTATGAAAATACAGATAACAAAAACAGCACAGCACTTTTGAAAGCCCTTTCCTTAAAAAAAGTCTACTCCCAAAGCCTGTCAGAATAAAACAGTCTTCACTTGTCGGTGGAAGAATAAGGAGGGAGCCTGTCTGGCGTCTCTTGGGAGGGAGTTGCAGAGTCTGGGAGCAGCCACCAAGAAGTCTTGCTTACCGGGATCTGTAAGCTACTCAGAGAGCCTTTTCTGATGGAAGAGCTCCATAAATATTATTCAATCAAAGGCGCCTCCTCTCTCCCCATAAGGCAAAGCTAAGCAGAACATTTCCCCATCACTCACCATGGATTCCAATCATATGCTCTAAAATTAACACCCTCTCTGCTAAAATCTTCAGGGCCTCCCGAAGCTGTTGGACACCTTCACCCTACAAAGGAGAGGAGGTCTGGGTTGCTGGAGGCAAGGCATTGGTTCATGCATGCAAGGGACACCCGTTCCTTAGGGAAATTGCAACCACCCTGCTTAGGCTTCTTCCTTCCTTACTAAAACAGCCAACTTGTATCTGGACTGTACCACTGCAGACAGGAGGGGGAGGCGTCACATGGTAGAATATATATAGATGGTTGATAATCTATATATCCACGCACACTAGGGAGAAGGGAAGGCTGCCTTCGGTATAGGTCTCTACAACAGGTCCTTAGGACTCACTCGTTCCCGTCTGCACAACTCTCCGTTAACAATGGTTAATTAACAACCAGCAACCTGAAACCTGGCATTGCATGGAAATTGCAGTTTTGAAAGGTTCCGTGTGTCATCTTGACTCAAAATGGCACTCAAATGCGTCCAAGCATAGGTGAAAACCTGTTCACCCATGGTTCAAAATTTGGTCATGATATCTTAGGTAAAGGTAAAGGTAAAGGTAAAGATAAAGGTAAAGGGACCCCTGACCATTAGGTCCAGTCGTGACTGACTCTGGGGTTGTGGCGCTCATCTCGCTTTATTGGCTGAGGGAGCTGGCGTACAGCTTCCGTTTACCTTCCCAATGGAGAGGTACCTATTTATCTACTTGCACTTTGACATACTTTCGAACTGCTAGGTTGGCAGGAGCAGGGACCGAGCAACGGGAGCTCACCCCGTCGCAGGGATTCAAACCGCCGACCTTCTGATCGGCAAGTCCTAGGCTCTGTGGTTTAACCCACAGCGCCCCCCACGTTCCCATGATATCTTAAGAAGCATCCAAATGCATAGAGAACATGCAACTTTCCAAAATATACAGCAGATTATTGGGTGGGGGTTGTTGTTTTTTAATGTTGCCATTTTCGGAGAGTTAGTGTAGCCTGGCCATTCTAGATTCTTATGTTTTCGGCCATTAAAATGTATCTCTTCTGGGATCTACTTTAGCTGCAAGGCACCTCGCGGGGACTTTGCATACACAATACATAAAGGACCACAAGGCAAATCCTACGATATTAAGGAGCCTTTGCCAACATGGTGCCCTCTGGAGGTCGGCTCCCATTGGCGACAGCCAGCAACAGCGCAGTTGCGCAGCCTGATGGAAGTTGTAGTCCACAACCTCTGGAGAGCATCAGACTGGTGAAGGCAGATCTTAAATACCTACTAGCAAGGGAAGGGGGGAGAGTGTAGCAACAATAAAGAACTGGTTGTGCTCTTACATCTGTGCCTTTGTCTCCTTCGTCGCCTTTTTTACCGGGTTCCCCCTAAAAAAATAAAGAACACCAGGAAAGAATGAGGAACAGAAGCAGAAGAAGAATCCCAGTCGCCAACTAGGGGGTGTTTCAAACAATCTGTTTACTGAACATTGAGCCTGATTTGTTTGCAAGGGGAACTGATGGTGTTGGCTGTTTGGCTGAGTTTTTACTTTGATTTGTTGGTGGGGAGGCTAGCAAGAGTTATCCCACACTCCCAAACCGGCTTTCATTGCAACTGGATCCCACTGGAAAATAGTGATAGTTTACATGCGTTGCCACAAGGGAACCCCTTGACTTTCATAGAACTTCCTTTTGGAGTGAATGGTTGTGGGTGGCAGATTTTGCACAGGGATAGCTGATACTAACTTGCTCCCCCAGGAGGCAGTGATGACCACCAACTTGGATGCACTGGACAAATTCTGAGGTGGAGGGTGGGGGATAAGGCTATCTGTGGCTACTAGCCATGATGGCTATGCTCTGCCTCCATAGTTGGAAGATATTAGAAGTATGCTGGGGATATAATGAGATAGAGGCTACATTTTATCATACATGGTGGACTTGTAAAAGGGTAAAAGAGTATTGGGAAATGATACATAATGAATTGAAAAAAATGTTTAGAAGTACCTTTCCAAAAAAACAACAAACCAGAGTCCTTTTCGTTGGGGATAATTCAGGGGGAAATTCCCAGGTGTCAAAAAAGACTATTTTTGTATGCTACTATTATGGCCCGTGTTTCACTAGCTCAGAAATGGAATACGAGCGAAGTCCCAACCAAAGAAGAATGGCAACTTCAACTAATGGAATAAGCGCAGCTTGCAGATTTAAAATATAGCATAAGAGAAGAAGAAGAATATATACGTTTAAAGAAGACTGGAAAATGTTTACTGGTTATATGGGTGAAAATTGTGTACATTTAAAAATGCTGGTAGCATAAATTCAACAGTGTAAATAAGTTTTGATGGTGTAACAATGGATTACTGAATAGCTTTGTTCGTTTAAAATATGTGCGATTAAAGAAGGACTAGATGGGCCACTGGTCTGATCCAGCAGGGATCTTCTTAGGTTCTTATCATCCCTGATCATTGGTCATGCTGGCCGGGGCTGATGGGAGCGACAACTGGGGGGCCCAAAGTTCCCCATCCCTGATTTCCTTGCAGTTGCCAAGTGAGGCCACCCAAATACATGAATGAAGGAGGCACCAGGTGATTTGCCATGCATGGACTTGAAGGTGAACTCACCCTTTCTCCTCGATCTCCTTTGGAGCCTTTTGATCCGGGCTGTCCAGGAGAACCAGGCATGCCCTGCAGGGAAGAAAGAGAAGGGGGTAGCTGATGAGTGTAGGAATGCTTTGCTCCCATACAATATCTTGTGCTGTGGAACAAGACCTTGATCTGGGAGCGGCTAGAACTTCAGAAAAAGCAGTCCTCTCTTGAAAGGTATCTTCTGTTTATTAGGCAAACCTGCCCCACATCTGATGTTGCGTGGGATATCAATGAGGGGAAGGTGGGCATGGTTCAGCCTGGTGGGCCAAAGGAGGGGAGAGAACCATGGGCTGGAGGTTCCCAACCCCTGAGATAAGACCTTGGGCCTTTGGGAATGGGGGAAGGTGTGAGGAGGGCTGAGGCAGGAGAAATAAGGAGGTTAGAAGACTGCCACCGTTTCCATCTGTGAGAAAGCTGGTTTGCCTACCTGCAGCCCAGGTGCGCCAATAGGTCCCAGGGCCCCTTTGGGACCTGAAGATCCAGGTGGCCCTAGTTGGGGGGAGAAAATAGATCATCAGGTGAGAATATTAGGAGCTAGTCTGGATTATCGGCACAAGAAAGTATAGGATACGGCTTTACTTGAACAACCAGCATTCGGCTTAAGAGTCCTTAAGTTCGTAACCAGAGGTACCATTGTAGTTAGACAAAACCCAAAGAACTCTAAGAAGAGGAGAAGAGCCAATGGCCTATCTAGCCCAGCATCCTGTTCTCACAGTGGCCAAGCAGACGCCTCCATGGCAAACCCCCAAGCAGGACTTGAGCCCAAGAGCCCTCCGCCCTCCTGTAGTTTTCAGCGACTGGTATTCAGAAGCATTGCTGCCTCCAGCTGTGAAGTCAGAGCACAGCCATCATGAGGAGTAGCCATTGAAGAAAGCCGGCTTCCTGGATATTGTCCGCTAATACTTTACACATGGACAACAACACCCAGCTAACCCTCTCACATTCATCCCTGGACATCTGCAAAACCCACCAATTTCATTTTATTTTTCCTATGGCCCTTTTAAAAAAATTGTTTAATCATTTTTTCGATACAAATATCAACCACAAAAGACACATACAACAAAAACCATAATGACAATAATAACACAATTTGACGATTCAGATTTGAATACACTGATATACCTATTATTTTAAACAATATTTTCCCACCTCTCTTTCCTCCCCCTACTTCCCACCACTATTTTTGCTATTGCCCTTGACCTTTCCCAGCTCCAGAATCGGAAGTTTGCAACTCTGGGCGAGAGATTCTCTCAACGTCTCTTTTTTTCTAACAAGGAAGCGTTTTATTTTTTTTAAGAGCGTCTTCCTGGCATGGAGCTGAAGTGCTTGGCAGAATGAGAACACTCATTTGAACATATCTACTTGTTAAGCTGCATTGTTAAGGAGATGTCTCCTAATGGCTTTATCCCACTTAGGGAGTGTGTGGGTGGGGGGATTATAATTTCTTCCAGACGCCGACTATTAATTACACTTGCAGTTCGTTGGGGGAGAGGGGGGGGACGGATGAGGACTCCTTCCAAACTCAGCTTTTAATTGTTTCGGATGAAACCCCCACAAGCATCAGGCACCCACCAGGGCAACTGAATCAGCCTCCATAATTAATGCAGCCCTCATATATCAAAGTCAGGGATGAAATGAAATGAAGTCTAAATGGATGAATGTGGTAATAAGAACGGGGGGGGGCTGGAGGCCCTCTTGCGCTCTTGACGGGAGGTCATTTCTGAGTGCCTCTCATGCAAAACCACTTAAGAGTTTTTCCTTCTTCTTTAAATCAACATTTTTTAAAAAAATGGAAGTGCACACTCAAGTCTAATAGCTGGGATTCTTTGTAGAATTGTAGAGTTGGAAGGAATCCCAAGGAGTAATCTAGTCCAAGCTCCCACAAAGCAGGAATCTCAGCTAAAGAATCCATGGCAGTGCCTGGTTTCCTTACCTCTCTCGCCCTGACCTAACCATTGTGATCCACGCGACGGTCACCTCCAGACTGGATTATTGTAACTCACTCTACGTGGGACTTCCCTTGAGACTGACCCAGAAACTCCACTGGGTGCAGAATGCCGCGGCGAGACTCCTTACGGGGTCCTCGCTGCGAGATCACATTCACCCGGTGCTATACCAGCTGCACTGGCTCCCGGTGGGGTACAGGATCAGGTTTAAGGTGCTGGTTTTAACCTTTAAAGCCCTATACTGCCTAGGACCCTCATACCTACAGGACCGCCTCTCCTGGTATGTCCCACAGAGGAACTTACGGTCTTCAAACAAAAACATCCTGAAGGTCCCAGGCCACAGAGAGGTTAGGCTGGCCTCAACTAGAGCCAGGGCTTTTTCGGCTGTGGCTGCAATCTGGTGGAACGCTCTGTCACAAGTGACTAGGGCCCTGCGGGACTTGACATCTTTCCGCAGGGCCTGCAAGACAGAGCTGTTCCACCAGGCCTTTGGTCAGGGCACAGCCTGACTCCCTCCTTTGGCAATCTTCACAGAACTTTAGCCTAATGGTTGCCATCAATTTGATTTGAATTAATTTTATAATGAAATGATTTTAGAATGTTGTACTATTTTATTGTTGTTAGCCGCCCTGAGCCCGGCTTCGGCTGGGGAGGGCGGGATATAAATAATTTTGTTGTTGCTGTTGTTGTTGTTGTTCCAGCTGCTGTCCCTGTTGCTTCCCACTCCCTGCCTCTTTCATCCAGATCTATTTACCTGGGAGTCCAACGGGCCCAGGTGCGCCACGAGGCCCAGGCAAACCAGCCAGGATGGTGTCAATCACGGTGGATGCCAGCTGTGGCTCCCCATCTGCGTTAGAGAGAATCAAGGAGAGGAAACTGCTGTAATTGAGGAGCGCAGGAATTTGGTGAATGTTTCCCATCATTTGGGGACATCGTAGTGATTTGGGGCTCGTCCCCACTTCCACTAGCCCCATGGAGGGGTTCCAGCAGTTTTCGCCATGTCTCATTCCTTTCCCAGGAAAAACCTGGCCTTTAGCAATAAATCGGAACAAACAGCATTCTGCGGGGAAACCCCTGAATTGCCATTTGTTCCAACTGAGCGCTAAATAGAGGCTTCCCTCCTGGGGAAAGCAGTGGAACAAGAGGGTAAACCCTTTGTTAGCCGCCTTGAGCAAGTCAGTGAAAAATTATTACAGTGGCACCTTGTTTCTCAAACGCCTTGGTACTCAAACAACTTGAAACCCAAACACAGCAAACCCGGAAGTAAGTGTTCTGGTTTAGGAACTTTTTTCAGAAGCCGAACGTGCTCTGTTTTGAATGTTGCGCTTCCAATTTGAGTGCCATACTTCTGTTTTGAGTGTTACACTGAGGTCTGTCTGTTTTTCCTATTTACTGTATTTTTTGCTCTATAAGACTCACTTTTTCCTTCCTAAAAAGTAAAGGGAAATGTGTGTGCGTCTTATGGAGCGAAGGCAGGCTGCGCAGCTATCCCAGAAGCCAGAAGAGCAAGAGGGATTGCCGCTTTCAATGAACAGCAATCCCTCTTGCTCTTCTGGCTTCTGAGATTCAGAATATTTTTTTTCTTGTTTTCCTCCTCCAAAAACTAGGTGTGTCTTGTGGTCTGGTGCGTCTTATAGAGCGAAAAATACGGTATTTTGCGTTTTTGTTTTTGCGGCTCTTTTTGTTTTGTTTTTGTGACTGTGTGGAACCCAGTTCAGCTACAGATTGATCAATCGTGAGACCGCAGTAGATTATTTATTGCTTTCATTTTATGAATCAATGGTCCCGTTAGATAGTAAAATCAATGTTAAATTGCTATTTTAGGGGTTGTTTTTAAAAGTCTGGAACGGATTAACTCATTTCGCATTACTTTCTGTGGGAAAGCACGCCTTGGTTTTGGAATACTTTGGTTTTGGAACGGACTTCCGGAACGGATTAACTTTGAGAACCAAGGTACCACTGTACAGAAGGCTAAGAATAATACTAGCTGGAAAGTAATATACAAAATCAGGTCTGTTAAAACAGAGATAGATTAAAAACAGTACAGCACTATTTAAAAGTGGGACCTAACCTAACTGCTTCAGTAATGTATGGATGCTTCCCCACCCGTATTCTGGAAGGTCTATCAATTGGATCCATGTGAGGCTAAGAGATCATAGTTGCGGCTTGCTCCAGAATGGAGCCTGCTTTCCTTACCACGGATGGTTGAAAAAATGACAGGCAATTGCTGACAGCAGGAAGCTCTGGTGCATTGAAAGCATGCTGGATAGTCACAATCAGGCACACCCACACCCCAAAATACCCCAAATAGGTCTGTTCTTCCCATAATTGTTTTGGGAGTGTGTGTCGTCCATAAGCTGGGCTCTACTTCCCTCTGCTGTTGGCAGTTTGGAATCCCATGTCATTGGTTTTTGGGTGTGCTGCATTATGCAAAGGAATCTTTTATGCATTAGGTCTCCACAGCTTGAAGAACCGGCGTTTCCAGCCAGCCTCAAGGGAAGGGAACTTGCGCAAAAGCCAATAAACAAAACTAGCCAAGCTCCGATATTTGCAAGTGCAAGGCCAGCTTTGATACAAGGCAGTATAGATCCCTGCAGGATCTGAACCAAGGACCATCTAGTCCAGTGTTTCCCAAACTCGGGTCTCCTGCTGTTTTGGACTAAAACTCCCATTATCTAGCAAGACCAGTGGTCAGGGATGATGGGAACTGTAGTCCAAAAACAGCCGGAGACCCACGTTTGGGAGACCCTGATGTAGTCCAACATTCTGTTCCCCAAAGTGGCCAAGCAGATACTTATTGTGAAGCACATGAGCAGGATGTGAGGGCAACAACATTTCTCCACATGGCTGGTGTTCCAGCAAGTAGAATTCAAAGATCTCTCATCTCAAAGATATCTCATCCATGGCTGGAGGCAGCAACGCTTCTGAATACCACAGGGAGAGGACTCTTGTGTTCGAATCCTGCTTAAGGGTTTTCCATGGGGTCATCTGGTTGGCCACAGTGAGAACAGGACGCTGGACTGGTCATTGGCCATTGGCCTGATCCAGCAGGCTCTTAAGTTCTGATGAGAGCAAGCTATGCAGAGCCTGCTTGGTGTATCACACTTGCTTTATATATTTATTCTAAAAATGCACATTCCCGAATTCTCAAAAGAAACCCAAGGCAGCTAGCAAGCCCAAACATCACACACTGTTGAACGATATTGCTATCCCCGTGCCAAGTCCCAATCATATTGTCACCAAACACCAAGCTAAGAATTAGTGCCTGAGCGTGCTTTCCCCCTCTCCTCAACTCCCAGGGTTGTGCCTCTTAGATTTGTGAGCCTGAGAACAGGAGACCTCGCAGGGTCTTCTCACTGATTGTTGTAAACCACTCCGGGAACCTTTCAGGGCTGATCAGTTCCAGCCAGCATGACCAGTGGCCAAGCACGTTGTCCTAAAACATCTGGATGCAGCCAGATTGACCGCTGCCCAAGGATGGAGAAATATGTCAGACTTTTCCCTTCATGTTTGGTTTAAGAAGGCCTTAAAGGTAAAGGTACCCTTGACCATTAGGTCCAGTCGCGGACGACTCTGGGGTTGCGCGCTCATCTCGCTCTATAGGCCGAGGGAGCCGGCGTTTGTCCGCAGACAGCTTCTGGGTCATGTGGCCAGCATGACTAAGCCACTTCTGGCGAACCAGAGCAGCGCACGGAAACGCCGTTTACCTTTCCACCGGAGCGGTACCTATTTATCTACTTGCACTTTGACGTGCTTTCGAACTGCTAGGTTGGCAGGAGCAGGGACCGAGCAACAGGAGCTCATCCCGTTATGGGGATTCAAACCGCCGACCTTCTGATCAGCAAGTCCTAGGCTCTGTGGTTTAGACCACAGCGCCACCTGTGTCCCTAAGAAGGCCTTACATATCACAATTTCAGAAAAGTTTGCTAATGTATTTCCTAGCAATACAAAAAATTGGCATGAGCAAATTTTTATTCTGAAAGCGTGGCCCAGAGAAAAAGGTTTGAGGGCCCCTGGGTTAAGCAGATGATTGGCTCCTCTTCGAAATGGAAGGAGACCTACTTTCTTTCTCAGCGTTGGGCTGCAGCGAGTACAGAACTCCTTGCTGGAAGGTTAATGGGAAGCCAGGAGATGCTGGGGGTCCTGGGGGTCCCGGAGGGCCAGGAATGCCGGTTTCACCTGGATATCCCCTGGGTCCCGGAGGTCCAAGCAGCCCTGCGAACCAGAACAAAGAGAAGTCAGGGATTACCCAGGCATTTGGAGAATGCTAGCACTGCATGCACTTGAGATAGCAAGGTCCTGTTCCGGATGCCAAGGCATCACCCTGGAACATGAGGAGCACTGATTGAGAGCCTCTCCCCCAGCACCAAAGCCTGGCTGGACATGCGCTGCTGTTCCATTGCCAAGTCACAGCCGTACCACAGCTGGAACATCAAGCACCATGTGTTTACATGCAAGTTCCAGATGTTCCAGGAGGCAGTCATGGTAGATCAAGGAGCAAGAGATCCTCAGTGTCTCAGCTTTGAGCCATGGATGGGAGTCCGAATTGAGGTGGAGACCAGGAATGGTGACTACGAAGCCAGAAGTCCAGACCAGCCAGCAAGGAGAGAGCCACACCATAAATTTAAAGTGCATCCAACACACATTGAAAGCACATGGTTTCTACCAAAGAATCCTGGGAAGCTGTCGTTTTTTAAGGGTTCTTGGGAATGGTTGTTGTTGTTGTTGATTTCCACCCCGCCCATCTGACTGGCTTGCCCCAGCCACTCTTGGGTGGCTTCCAACAAAATATACAAAGACACAACAGAGCATTGCACATTAAAAAAACTTCCTGATACAGGGCTGCCTTCAGATGTCTTCTAAAAGTTGTGTGGTTTTTTATCTCCTTGACATCTGATGGGAGGGCGTTCCACAGGGTGGGCACCACTACCAAAAAGGCCCTCTTCTTGGTTCCCTGCAACTTCACTTCTTGCTGTGAGGAAACTGCCAGACGGCCATCGGAGCAGGACCTCAGTGTCTGGGCTGAACGATGGGGGTGGAGACACACCTTCAGGGATCCAGGGCCAAGGCCGGTTAGGGCTTTAAAAGTCAGCACCTGTCAGGGGCTGGGCAGAGGAGGAGGAAAGTTGGAGACCGCCTCCTGATCCTGACCCTTCCAGGGAGGAGGAAGAGGAAGACAGTATAGACTTATAACAGTGGTTTGAGGGAGGTCAAAGCTCAGGGGCAGATGAGGGGGAAAGTTGGGAAATAATGGGAGAGGAGGAGCAGGCAGAACCAGAGCAGCAGCTGACTTACATGTTGTCACTAGAAAGCATCCCAGGCCCACCATCTCCCAGAACCTGGTGAGCCTTAAAAGTAGGAGAGCAAAGAGCTTGAAGACAGAAGGCCCTTAGCAGTACATGAAGAGGTGATGATGATGACGAATGAGGAAGTGGGAGAGAAGGGGATGGAGATTCACGCGGGACAACGCCATTATCCAAGAGGCTGGGTTCTATAGCCTCTCTCTGTAAAGTTTGAAATATAAAAGGACTGCAAGAAACTTTTCCTTGTCTTTATACTTTCCTGGGCAACCAGCCGGGGGCCGCTGACAGCATCCTGACAGCACCAACACTTTGAATTGTGCTCGGAAATGTACTGGGAGCCAATGTAGATCTCTCAGGACTGGTGTGATATGGTCCCGACAGCCGCTCCCAGTCACCAGTGTGACAGTTGTGTTCTGGATTAGTTGTAGTTTCCGAGTCACCTTCAAGGGAAGCCCCACATAGAGCGCATTGCAGTAGTCCAAGTGGGAGATAACCAGGGCGTGTACCACTCTGGCAAGACAGTGCACAGGCAGGTAGGGGCTCAGCTGGTGTACCAGATGGAGCTGGTAGACAGCCACCTATGGGTCTGTGAGGGGGAAACTACATCCCTGTCTGGAGATGCTGGGGGGTTGAACCCGGGATATTCTGTTTGCAAGGAAGACACTCTACTACTGAGCTGTGGCCCTTCCTCCCGAGACTCACCTGGTGGTCCAGACGGGCCCCTCTCACCAGTCTCTCCCTTTTCACCTTTCGGGCCTTGCGGTCCTGGTTTCCCAGCTGGCCCCGGTAATCCTGAAAACATTGAGGGCACAAACAGTTTGGCAGAAAAGACAAGAAGCTGCACCCCTTTGAAGAGAAGATGTACGTGTGAAGCTGAAAACAAATATGTAACATGAGCAAGAGCAGAGTGCAATTCACTCAGGTCAACCCAAGCGGTGGGCTTGGGTGGAGAGATGAGCCAGTAGGATTCAAAATGAAAACACACACAAACATACACTTGCAGACTCTGCAAGAAAATGCCTTCTCGGTGAATTATTATTATTATTATTATTATTATTATTATTATTATTATTTATACCCCACCCTCCCCAGCCAAGGCCGGGCTCAGGGCGGCTAACAACCAATAATAAAAACAAGTTGAATGAATACAGCTTAAAAACAAGATTAAAATACAACATTAAAACATTAAAATGCAGCCTTATCACAGGAGGAGAAAGGAAAAAAAAGAAAGAGGGGGAGGGAATCAAATTGACTCCAAGCCAAAGGCCAGGCGGAACGACTCTGTCTTACAGGCCCTGCAGAAAGAAATCAGATCCTGCAGGGCCCTGGTCTCATGAGGCAGAGCGTTCCATCAGGCCGGAGCCAGTGTTGAAAAGGCCCTGGCTCTGGTTGAAGCTAACTTCCTTAGGGCCCGGGACCTCTAGGGTGTTGCTATTTATGGACCTTAAGGTCCTCTGTGGGGCACAGGTCTGAAAATGTTATCAAACACCATCAAAAATGGGAAGAGGCTCTCTCCTGTCTCTGGAGAAGGAGGGTGAGCTCCAATGCTAGCCATACCAGGGACTCAGCTATACAGCTGCAAATATAATGTTTTAAGTGTGTTTTAAGTGCATTATACAAATGTAACACTAGATGGCGGCGATGAGCTAATGGCAAATTCCATATACCGTGGTACCTTGGTTTGCACACATTTTGGATTACAAACACATCAAACCCAGAAGTGGGTGTTCCGGTTTGCAACCTTTATTTGGATTACAACCCATTTTTGGGGGGGATTAGGAATTTTTTGGGGGGAGGCCCCATTGGCGAAAGTGCACCTTGGGTTACAACCTGTTTTGGTTTACAAACAGACCTCCGGAACGGATTATGGTAGTAAACCAAGGTACCACTGTACTATATATTTTACAACTTTTTTAAAAAAACAACAACACATTTTCACAGTGTTTTTTCTATGTGTTTAGATTCAGCCGAGGGCTGTTTGTTGCCTTTGTAACTTCCTGGTCCGCTACTACAGTAAACAATATACTGGACTCAATGGCCCTCTGCTGATTTATCAGAGCTTTCCCTGTGGTCTAACTTGGGCGACAACCCCATGAGAAAAATGTTAACCAATTAAATTAATTTATTGAACTAAGAGCAGCTATTGCAAACCAGCCGGGTATAAATGCTGCAAGTGAATAAATGAAATAAAGCACTGTAATGCAGAAGTGGGATGGAACGGACTTGGGCTGCAAGTAAACAAATAAAATTACAGATAATCGCATGCAAAAGCGACACAGTTCCGCTGCAGTCTGATCGGCTCCTCCTTCGCACAGCGTGATGGGCAGAGAAAGGATTCTCTGCAGTTTGCTCACCGATGGGTCCTGTTGCTTTCCTCAAGATGGTCCCTGGATTGGCCAGGGGAATGGCATCTGGCACCAAGCCGTCGTACCACGTGGGGACTGTCGTCTTTGCCATCGGCAGGTCGTTTTCCGACGGCGGAGCCTGCTCTGCAGCCTCAAGCAGAAGGATCTGGATTCAAGTCACAACAATCAACCGGAGCCCCAAACAGCTTGAGAGACCCGTTTAACCGTGAGGTCATCTTACCCTGCAAACGCCCGCTCCAACCAATTTGATCTGCAAAACTGGGACTGTTACAGAGGCCACATGATACTCATTCAGCCAAACCCCTCAGCTCCTCACAGCAGCCCTATCACTACTTTATTCAAACCCCTGCTGTTGTTTAAAACCCCCATTTAAAAACCTGCCTTCTCATTTGCTCCCGACTTCAGAAGCGCCAACTTCTAAAAAAGATTGCAGGGGCCCGACGCAACATCCTGACATCATCATCATCATATACTTATACCCCACCCATCTGGCCTGGCCTCCCCAGCCACTCAGGGCGGCTCCCCACAGAATATGAAAAATACGATAAAACATCAAACATTAAAAACTTCCCTAAATAGGGCTGCCTTCAGATGTCTTCTAAAAGTCAGATAGTGGTTTATTTCTTGACATCTGATGGGAGGGCATTCCACAGGGCAGGCGCCACCACCGAGAAGGCCCTCTGCCTGGTTCCCTGTAACCTCACAGTGAGGGAAGTGCCAGAAGGCCCTCTGAGCTGGACTTCAGTGTCCGGGCAGAACAATGTGGGTGGAGACGCTCCTTCACGACATCATGAGGAGCCAGGCATGGACCCAAACACAGCGGTAGCATGGCCCCACAGGCCAGCGGCCAAGTTACCATTGGCCAGTGGTGGCTGCAGCAGCAGGAGCCACCAGCCACCGAAGCCAAGCTGCACTCGGCTCCATATTCGCCCTCTTCCACCCTCTAAATAATAGGGATGGCGGCCCCCTTATAACAAAAAACAGTGGAAGGCCCCAAAGTGCCTTGGCCTTGGGAGTTGTTGCCTATGCCTGACTTCATGCAAATCAAGGACTGTGATGAGCCAATCCTCCAATGAGGGCTGCGTGATGACGGCCTTACATTTGTATGTATATAGGAAGAAAATAATTCATTTTTTCCATTTTGGAACCCATTGGAAAAGCGGGACCACGTTATAGGAAACTGCAGCCATGCAGAAATGATGCGGGTCATTCTATCAATCCCATAGGGAATCAATCGTATCTGTGATTTGTGTCATGTTATTTTGTGATGTTCCGATCATCCTGGCCTGCTTCTTCCACTGGACTGGGGGACACCAGCTCAGGTCAAATACTGGAAGGTTTGAGACAGAGTGCCTGGAAGCTAGGATTTATAGCAGACATTTAATTTGCACTCCGGAGGGTTTCTGTTAAAAGATGTGGGCGGGTTTCACAATAACAGGCTAGGGAATGTGGTCATGCGAGGAATCTAGTCATTAAATGGGGCTTCAAAGAGCGTGTGTGGATCAGGGCTGTCCTCACAGCCAGATGAAGGACACTCGCCGCCTGAATGCAAAGCCACGGAGAAGGATGGATGGGGTGCAGAGTGGCTAGGGGGGCATCTTGTCCAAAAACAGAGGAGATGCATCACCAAAAGGAAGAGGTGAAAGAGGACCCAGGTTTGCACGTGCTAATTTGTAGGTAGATCACTGCAGATGGTGACAGCAGTCATGAAATTAAAAGACGCCTGCTTCTTGGGAGAAAAGCAATGACAAACCTAGACAGCATCTTAAAAAGCAGAGACATCACCTTGCCAACAAAGGTCCGTATAGTTAAAGCTATGGTTTTCCCAGTAGTGATGTATGGAAGTGAGAGCTGGACCATAAAGAAGGCTGATCGCCGAAGAATGGATGCTTTTGAATTATGGTGCTGGAGGAGACTCTTGAGAGTCCCATGGACTGCAAGAAGATCCAACCTATCCATTCTTAAGGAAATCAGCCCTGAGTGCTCACGGGAAGGACAGATCCTGAAGCTGAGGCTCCAATACTTTGGCCACCTCATGAGAAGAGAAGACTCCCTGGAAAAGACCCTGATGCTGGGAAAGATGGAGGGCACAAGGAGAAGGGGACGACAGAGGACGAGATGGCTAGACAGTGTTGTCGAAGCTACCAACATGAGTTTGACCAAACTGCGGGAGGCAGTGGAAGACAGGAGTGCCTGGCGTGCTCTGGCCCATGGGGTCACAAAGAGTCGGACATGACTAAACGACTAAACAACAACAAATTTGTAGGTACGGGTGCAAATTTAGAAAAAAATACTAGAACTGCCTATCACTAAACACAGAATCTTCAAATATCTTAGCTCACTCTGCCCAACAAGGTGATTCTGGGGATCCCACAAGCAGGACCCGAATCCAGTAGCCTTTGCCTCCTTGTGTTCCCCAGAAACTGGGCATCTGGGCAGACACTGTACAGCAGGGATGGAGAGAGCCTGCAGCCCTCCAGATGATGATGGACTCCCCCAACGCCCATCAGCCTCACCTGACATAGTCACCGGGGAGGGAGGATGGAAGTTGTAGTCCAGTAACATCTGGAAAGCTACAAGGTTTGGGGGAAGCTGGTCTAAAGAATAGGAAGCCCACCCTACAAGATTGAACAGAATCTTTCTTGCTGTATGGAGCAAGCTTTGAATGTTTAGCCTGCAAAAGAGGAGACTAAGAGGAGGTATGATAGCCAGATTCAGATATCTACAGAGCTGTCACATGGAAGACAGAGCAAGCTTGTTTTCCCCTTTTCCAGAGGGGAGGACATGAACCAGTGGCTTCAAGTTACAAGAAAGGAGATTCCGACTCTCCTTCACTGGAGATTTCTAAGCAGGGGTTGGATGGCCATTCTTGGGCTGTGACTCCATCACTACAGGGGTTAGACTAGATGACCTCTGGGATCCCTTCCAACTCTAAGATTCTATGATTCTAGGGCATAAGAGCCCTTAGCCTATCCAACTCTTCCTTGAGAAGCTTATTGTTTTAAACTGCACTGTAATGTGTTTTAATTGCTGTAGCCCACCCTGGGACCTTGGGGTGAAGGGCAGGTAATAGACAGTAGTGGTAGTAGTAGTAGTAGACGACGCAGGTGGCGCTGTGGGTTAAACCACAGAGCCTAGGGCTTGCTGATCAGAAGGTCGGCAGTTTGAATCCCAGCGACGGGGTGAGCTCCCGTTGCTCAGTCCCTGCTCCTGCCAACCTAGCAGTTCGAAAGGACGTCAAAGTGCAAGTAGATAAATAGGTAAATGGTGGGAAGGTAAATGGCGTTTCCGTGTGCTGCTCTGGTTCGCCAAAAGCGGCTTAGTCATGCTGGCCACAGGACCCGGAAGCTGTACGCCGGCTCCCTTGGCCAATAAAGTGAGATGAGCACCGCAACCCCAGAGTCGGTCACGATTGGACCTAATGGTCAGGGGTCCCTTTACCTTTTAGTAGTAGTAGTAATAATAGAAATAATAATAATACTTTACCTTGGCTTCAAGGGTGTTCAGCCTCTCAGTCATATCTGTGAGTCTCGTGCAATTCATACATTCTAAAAAGGGGGACAGGGGAAACACAGTTAAAAACAAATTAACAACATTTTGAAATATTTGCCATTCTTTTCATTTTCATGTATGTATTAACATTTATTGTTTGCTTCTGCCCCACTGTTCAGCCAAAAAAGACTTTCTGAGTGGCGGATTCTAACAAGTTATTTGTATTTGGCACAACTAAATGTCAAGAAAAACCCTCTTTCCTAGGTTGAATATGAAAATAAATAATCAGTTGGCTTCAAGATGCCAATCGTAAGGGGGGGGTGGGGAAACATGGCTGCCTCCAGTGTTTACATGGGGCTGCCATGTTTCTTCTCTATACAGTTCCCCCTGACAGCAACAGAATGTCTTTAAGGCTACATTTGCACCATAAATTTAACGCACTATGACACAACTTTAAACAGTTATGACTTCCCCCAAAGAATTCTGGGAGCTGTAGTTTGTTAAGGATGCTGAGAGTTGTTAGGAGGTTGGTTGTCAAATTACAATGAGAGTTGCAAAGAACCACCAGTGTATCTGGGACTGTCAGCCATAATTTTTCAGCAAGTATTGGTCAAGAAGAAAGTCATTTTGGGGGGGAAACATCTCCACTCCCAATCCCCATCATTCAATGAACTATTTTATTAGATCAACTATAGATTAATGAAATCTCCTCTAGGGACAAATATTTATATAAAGAAGCAAAAATACACAAAAAGATCCTTCACGGTGCGTATTGATCTCCAAACCAAGGAACATCGTTTTCTTTCATTACAGATTAGTTGCAAGATTCTCAGCAGTTTTAGCAAATCAATGCATGAACGCAAAGTTTCATCCATCCATCTCTTCCTTCAAGTATCAGAAGACAGAGACATACGGCAGTAAGGGCCACTGCTTGCGGACTCACACATTTTATGAAATCAGCCACTTGGACCAAGGCAATAGCAACAATGCTATATATCAAGCCACTAGATGGCAGCATTGGCAAAGCTATGGCCACAGTGTAGACCATCCTTCTCCAGCTTGTGCTGGCTTGAGGCTGATGGGAATTGTAGTGCAAAGGAACGGGGGGGGGGGGGAGAGGACAACAGGTTGGAGGAGAATCTACCAGAGAAGAAAAAGAGGACGGGGTTAAGGTGAGCCTCCTACAGCAGGTTCTTCAGCAGCAATATTTTAAACGGCAGGAACAAATGGTTCTCTCTCCCTCATTAATGTCCAAACTCATGGTCATTCAATGAAGAGGAATGGAGGAAGATTCAGCAAACCTAGAACAAAGAATTCCTTCAGGGCAGGGCATGGTTAATCTACGGAACTCCCTCCCACAGGACTGTCCCTGTTGCCGGAGCATGCTGGTCAGTAATCACACTGTTCCAAGTTGAACTCTTTACAGTCATACCTCGGGTTACAGCTGCTTCAGGTTGCGTTTTTTTGGGTTACACACCTGCCGAAACCCAGAAGTACCGGAAGGGGTTACTTCCGGGTTTCGGCGGTCGCGCATGCACAGAAGCGCTAAATCGCACTTTGCACATGCACAGAAGCGCTGAATCGCAATCCATGCGTGCGCAGACGAGGGTTGAGAACGCTGCGGGTTGCGAACATGCATCCCGCACGGATCACGTTCGCAACCCAAGCGTCCACTGTATTAGCAAAAACACGAACCCCACAGATTTGGTTGAGTGTCAGGCCTAATGAGAGGAGCAGCTAGCTCATTTCCAGTGGTCTTACTCCACGAAAATCGGTTGCCAAGACTGAAAGTCCCCTCCTCTCCAGGGCTTTCCCCTAGCAATCAGTCATGTAACGCAGGGCCAAGAGAACCCTCCCAACCCCCCGGACCACTTGAAAATTGTTTGGTGTCTCGGCAGGCCACTTAATGGTTTTTCTGAATGCTGCAGCCATCGTAACACACTGTGCTAGGGGCTGTATGTTATCAAGCTGTGATTTTACACCAAGTTTCCTTTTGTTGTAGTGTTTTATCGAGGTGTGTTTCATGCCCATCACGACTTCAGTGGGAGGAAAACGTGAATGAACTGTAAGCTGTGGCAAACCTCAACGCAGCACCTTCTACGACTGCAAACTGAAGAAACATGGGCCAATGGAGGGTTTCTAAGGCATTGGTTTCACTCTGGAAAGTCAGGTAATTCCATATGCCCCCCCCCATCACACATTTAAAAACAGTTCTTCCAAAATTCTCTTCATTGCAAATTTCAGAAACATTCTGAGAGACTCCCTGCAAGTAGAAAACCAGGTCTTCAGGGAGAGAGCTTCTAATCCAGTCATTTGACTGGTTTTCTACTTGCAGGGATTTTAAAAAAGGAAAGGAGGCATTCCAATGCACCATCGTTTCAGCTGCCTCATTCTTATATCTGTTTTGCCCAGATTTCAGGACAGAGAACTTCCCAGAGAGTTACCCTTTTGTGCTTTCTTAACAGCCTTTGCAAAAACCCCAACAGCATCCCTCAAAGAGTTCATCTAGCAACTAGAGGATCTATTACTTATGGTTTCTTTCTGCCTATCCGTTCCTTGGTGACGGCTATCATTGTTGCCATTTCCACATGGAACCCCAGAGGCCTGATTTTGCAGGAGGCCCAGCCACACAAGCTTACCATTTCAAGATAAATACAGTGGTACCTTGGTTCTCAAACTTATTCCGTTCCAGAAATCCGTTCCAAAACTAAAGTGTTCCAAAACCAAGGCACGCTTTCCCATAGAAAGTAATGCAAAACGGATTAATCTGTTGCAGACTTTTAAAATCAACCCCTAAAACAACAATTTAACATGAATTTTACTATCTAACGAGAGCATTGATCCATAAAATGAAAGCAATAATCAAAGTACTGTACTGTACTATAAAATAAATAAATAAGACAGTGTTGTAGATGATAAAAATCAAAATTTAAAAATTTTTCGCAGTCACACAATCAGTCTATCAGTAGCTGAACTGGGTTCCGCACAGTCACAAAAACAAATGAACCGAAAATGCCTCAAAAACGCAAAATAAATAGCAAAAACAAAAGCGCCAAACTTAATCCGTTCCGGAAGTCCGCTTGACTTCTGAAATGTTTGAAAATCAAGGCACAGCTTCCGATTGGTGCAGGAACCCCAGAAACAATAGCCAACAGCTGCATCAGATGTTCGGCTTCTGAAGAACATTCAAAAACCGGAACACTTACTTCTAGGTTTTCGGCGTATGAGAACCAAGGCATTTGAGTACCAAGGCGTTTGAGATCCAAGGTACCGCTGTATCTTCTTTGTGGAGGCCCGTCCGTCCCAAGGAGCCCAGTCCTTGAACCTCCACTTTCCTTCAGCACCGCATCCCATCTGCAGCTGTGGGACTCCTCTGGAGTAAATGGCATGTGTGCACACCACAGCTGGACTTCAGTTCCTTCCAAGCCTGCTTTATCCCTTTCCCCGCTTTTTTTTCCAAGGGTGGCAAAAGGCAGGCATCCAAACTTCCCTCTCCCCAGATGTGCCTTGCTGCCATCACAAAAGCCCCTCTTGTTGTGCGCTTTTAGGTAGCTCATCTGCCGAGCAGATGTGCGGCTCCCAGAGCTCCCAAGGCTTTCCCTTACAACAAATCTGCAGATGTTAATCGAGGTACAAAGCTGCTTCCTAAGCAACCTTTTACCTCCTCTGGAAATCCCCGGAGGTTCCTGATTAGCCTTCGCAGGAGACCTGAAATCTATTTTCAAATCTGAGCTCAGATTCTTCTCTTTTTACTTTCTTTTTTTAGTGTGAGCACACCGAAGCAATTTCCAGCTGCATGCATTTACCAGCTTGGGAAAAGCAAGTGTTTCACAGTCCAGAGGGAAGATGAACAGAATGCTACACCTTTGGTATTATGGGTTGGCGGCGTTATGAGAATTTAAGGCAGGGGTCAGCAAACCTTTTCAGCAGGGGGCCAGTCCACTGTCCCTCAGACTTTGGTGGGGGCCCGGACTATATTTTGAAAAAAATATATATGAACGAATTCCTATGCCCCACAAATAACCCAGAGATGCATTTTAAATAAAAGCACACATTCTACTCATGTAAAAACACGCTGATTCCTGGGCCGACCATGGGCAGGATTTAGAAGGTGATTGGGCCAGAGCCGGCCCGCAGGCCTTAGTTTGATTTAAGGTCTCAAATATATAAATTAAATGTTCATGAATGTACAAGGCGAACACATACATAGGTATGTAAACCACACGTCTGAAATAGTACAGGAGAACAAGCCAGAAGTCATTTTGACTCTCCCAGTGACCTCAAATATTCCTCTGCAGTTTGGATGGAAATGGGAAAACCCTCCCCATGTCTCTGTGCTCACAGATCCTGCCTTAAGGGCACATTTAAGATATGAATAGGGTGAGCCTGTGACCTGGACTCAGGAATTAAGTATTTATCATCACAAAAGAATGGCCAGGGTGCCCAGGTAAAAGCAGTCAATGACCATTAACAGGTTTCCTGCCAGACAGGATTCTCCTGTAGACTGCCCCCCCCCCATGTATTTCTGCTGGGGACCACCTCTTTCTGTATGTATGATGTATTGGGCTACAGGGTGGCAATTTCAAAAGTCTATATAAGGGCTTGCACACCACTGGCCGGGGTTCCTCCTCCCTCCTGCATGTGGTGAGTGGGGACCCTGTTGCAACAGTTTAATAAAGATCAGGCTTACTAGCTGTGTTGCTTCTCAATATTCTCTGGTTGGCCTCTGTTATTTTCTCCTACCGATAGGGAACCGACTTAAGGACTCTACATGGGCTCTTGGATACCCCATAAGGCAGGCTTCCTCAACCTCAGCCCTCCAGATGTTTTGAGACTACAATTCCCATCATCCCTGACCACTGGTCCTGCTAGCTAGGGATCATGGGAGTTGTAGGCCAAAAACATCTGGAGGGTCGAGGTTGAGGAAGCCTGCTAAGGGAAACAGAGCAGATTTTGCAACAGAGTCCCTTTCAATTCTTGGGGTCCTGGAGTTAGATTCTAAGGGAGGAGGAAAAGGCTGCTGATCTAGCCAGACATGTTTCTTTGTGAGACAATGACCTTAGCTGGTAGGTCTTTCCTAATGTACAGTGGTACCTTGGTTCTCAAACTTTGTCCGTTCTGGAAGTCCGTTCCAAAACCAAAGCGTTCCAAAACCAAGGCGCGATTTCTCATAGAAAGTAATGCAAAATGGATTAATCTGTTCCAGGCTTTTAAAAACAACCCCTAAAACGGCAATTTAACATGAATTTTACTATCTAATGAGACCATTGATATAAAATGAAAGCAGTAAACAATGTACTGCAGTCACTTAATCAACCAAGCAGTAGCTGAACAGGGTTCCAAACAGTTGCAAAAACAAAAAGTGCCGCAAAAACAAAATAAATAGCAAAAACAGACAGACCTCAGCGTAACACTCAAAACGGAAGTATGGAACTCGAAATGGAAGTGTAACACTCAAAACGGAGCACATTCGGCTTCCAAAAAAAGTTCACAAACCGGAACACTTACTTCTGCGTTTGCAGTGTTTGGGTTCCAAGTTGTTTGAGTACCAAAGCATTTGAGAACCAAGGTACCACTGTAGCTGCTAGGCAGGAGAATGGCGGCCAGTGCGAGTGGGGCAGCTGTGGGAAGTCAGGGACCTTCAGCCTCCACAGCTGCCTCACAGAGGGCAGACCTACCGAGATTAAGAGTTGCTGTGCTCAATAGGCCTGCAGCTCCTGATCAGGCCTGGTTTCTTATAACAAACAGTTAACTTGACTTATTCCTTGTGATTTATTGCTGGCTCGCTCCTGACAACGTGCCAATGCACTACCTATCTAGGCGGGCTTGAAACAGAAATACAGTCATACCTCATGTTACGTTTGCTTCATGTTACATTATTTCAGGTTACTTCCGGGTTTTGCCACTCTCGCATGCGCAGAAGCGCAAAATGACGTCACGCGCATCCGCAGAAGCGCCGAATCGCAACCTGCATGTGCGCAGATGCGCCGCTGCGGGTTGCGCTCTTTTCATGTTGCGAACAGGCCTCCGGAACGGATCCCGTTCACAACCAGAGGTACCACTGTATTTTTAGAAGGCAGCGAAAAGAGTGCAGTGTTGTCAAAGAGTGCAGGGAGTTCCAAAGTGTGTGTTCTGCCATTACTAAATGTGTATTGTGGATATAGTGTCATCTGGTCCAACCCCCTGCAGTGCAGGAATCTCAGCTGAAGCATCCATGACAGGCGGTCACCCAACCTCTGCTTAAAAGCCTCCAAGGAAGGAGAGTCCATCACCTCCCGAGGGAGACTGCTCCGTTGTCAAACAGCTCTCATTGTCAGAATGTTTTTACCGAATGTTTAGTCAGAATCTCCTTTCTTGTAACTTGAAGCCTTGGGTTTCAGTTCTCCCCTCCAGAGCAGGAGAAAACAAGCATGTTCCCTCTTCCATGTGACAGCCCTTGAGATAGTTGAGGAAGGCTCTCATATCTCCTCTCAGTCTCCTCTTTTCCAGGCTAAACATGCCCAGCTCCTTCAAGCGCTCCTTGTAAGGCTTAGTTTCCCGATCCTTGATCATCTTGGTTGCCCTCCACTGCAAGAGGAGATTTCTTGCAGGAAAACTGGTCCCAAGTTGTTAAACTGGTCCCAGGTTACAGTGGTACCTCGGGTTACAGACGCTTCAGGTTACAGACTCCGCTAACCCAGAAATAGTACCTCGGGTTAAGAACTTTGCTTCAGGATGAGAACAGAAATCGTGTTCCAGTGGCGCGGCGGCAGCAGGAGGCCCCATTAGCTAAAGTGGTGCTTCAGGTTAAGAATAGTTTCAGGTTAAGACTGGATCTCCGGAACGAATTAAGTACTTAACCCGAGGTACCACTGTATTTTAATTGTGATGACTTGTTCTGGAATATACTCCTCTGCCATTAGCTCCCCCCCCCTTTTTGTTTTACATTGACATTTTTACTTTTCTCATGTGGCCCCTGTAAGCCTGCCCAGAAGGGAACGTGGCCCCGAGCTGAAAAAGAGCAGCAAAGAGTTCTTACTCTCTCCATTGGGGACTGTGCTGTAATGTAAGCAATGTGTATTCCGCAAGGAGGACATTTCTGTAAAGATTCCTGTAAAAAAAACCAAAAAACCCTCTCCGTCCAGCTTCCTATGGCTCAGAGAAAACTACGCTTGGCAAGGAATCTAGAAAGCTGGTTGGAAAGAAGGACTTATGTTTTATACGTTTCATAAATATTTCCTTTTTTTAAAAAAAGAAAAAGAAAGAGCCCTGGATTATGAGAGAATCCTGTAGGGCGAGTGCCAAAGTAGAAATATGTTTTTACATGGAAACAGAGGTTCCACCTGCTTGGGACGAGGACTTTTTAAATCCTTGATTTATATGACTTTCTGGGCCAAATACAATATATTTAGAGGCAGACAATTAATGCAGGTTGATCTAATTTAACCTGAAGGATTCATGCAGAGCTGCTTCCAGGGAGTATATCTCGGGGGCGGGGAAGGAAAGCAATATTTATCCATTTATTTTTCTATCTGTCCATGTTGCTCAGGGGTAACATATTGGGCGTTATCCCCATTTTAACCTCGCAAACGACCCCGCTATTCCCTTCAGGGAATTCAAGGTGGGGTACATGGCTCTGTTCCCATATCCGCTCACAGCTGCCCTGTTAGGCAGGCAGTTTATTTATTTATTTCGCGACTGCATTTATAGCCATCTTCCCCCTGGCTAAGGAGCTCAAGGTGGGGTGCACAATTCTCCCTCTCCTCATTTAATCCACACAACAGCCCCCAGAACTTCCAAAGGTCCCTATTTTCTGGATTTACAGAAGCCATCCTAGTTTCTGATTTGATCCCAGAATGTCCCTCTTTCCCTTAGGACGTCCTTATTTTAATCGGAGAAATGTTGGAGGGTGTCTTCCCCAAGCCAAGTTTTGGAATACCTCTGAAGGCAGTGCTGTATAGGAAAGTTTTTTTTTAATGTTAAATGGTTTATTATGTTTTTATATACAGTGGTACCTCGGGTTAAGTACTTAATTTGCTCTGGAGGTCCGTTCTTAACCTGAAACTGTTCTTAACCTGAAGCACCACTTTAGCTAATGGGGCCTCCTGCTGCCGCTGTGCCGCTGGAGCACGATTTCTGTGCTCATCCTGAAAAAAAGTTCTTAACCTGAGGTACTATTTCTGGGTTAGCGGAGTCTGTAACCTTAAGCATATGTAACCTGAAGCGTATGTAACCCGAGATACCACTGTATGTTGGAAGCTGCCAAGATTGGCCAGGGCAATCCAGTCAGATTGGCGAGGTATGTGTTTATTTGTTTGTTTGTTTGTTTGTTTGTTTGTTTATAAGGACGTCCCTATTTTAATTGGAGAAATGTTAGAGGGGATGCAACCCTGTGAGGTGGGTTAGGGTTGGGAGTTTGTAACTGGCCCAGTCTCACCCAGTAAGTTTCGTGGCAGAACAAAGTCTTAGCCCAATGCTCCATCCACTAAAACTCTTCACCACAGTGGTTAATAGAGGTTCCCACTCATTACAGTGGTACCTCGGGTTACAGATGCTTCAGGTTACAGGTGCTTCAGGTTACAGACTCCACTAACCCAGAAATAGTACCTCAGGTTAAGAACATTACCTCAGGATGAGAACAGAAATTGCGCGGCGGCAGCGGGAGGCCCCATTAGCTAAAGTGGTACCTCAGGTTTCAGGTTAAGAACAGACCTCCAAAACGAATTAAGTTCTTAACCCGAGGTACCACTGTATAAGGCCTGAATTTATGACACAACAGTCTGTGCCCTCTTGCTTGTGTCTTGCCTGTGTCTTGCTCCAAGGAGCTCAAGGTGGCGGACATAGTTCTCCCCTTCTTCATATAACCCCCAGAACAGCCACCTTGTGAGTTTGGGCTGAGAGGCAGTGATGGGCCTCCAAGATCACCCAGTGAGCCTCATGGCTGAGTGCAGGATTTGAACCCTGCTCTCCTACGTCCTAGCCCAAAACAATAACCACTGTACCACACTGGCAGCCAGAGCACCTTCAGAGTATAAATCCTTCCATTCTGGACAATGATTTGTCAAGAGATTACCTGTCAGGGAACTGCCATCGGAGCCAGGGGGAGAGGGAGGGCTCCAGAGGGATTCCGGAGAGCGTCTCGGGAGGGAGAGAAGCAGCACATCTTCTGGGGAAGGAAATCAGCGTAGCACCAGTGGAGAAGGGGGGCAGATGGGGGAATCGGCGAGGTGGCTCCATGACTCCTCGCCGGGGACCAGCGGGGAGAGCACGGGTCCTCCGCTGCCCACACCCTCCCTGCGCAGAAGGCTTCCGCGCAGGGAGACTAGGCGGAGACTAGGCGTCAAAGAACTTCTGTGCTGGAAGAAGTTCAAGAAACGCCCACTGACGGATTCTGCCAGCGATTGAGACAGCCACGGGCGAGTGGCTGTCCGGACAGAAAAGGTTCACTCAGGCAACCCAGCCAGGTGGGGCGCCGATTTAAGCACGAGCAACCCCTAGAACCATTACATTACCCAAACATCCTGTTCCAATTTCACAACAGCTTTGTTTACTAAATCTATGGGACAATCAGCTGAAAGGTTTCAGCTCTCGGGAACTCTTGACGGGGACGGTGGTGGCTGCCAGAACCTCAAAATTGCCCCAAAATGGAAAACCTTACAGAACTTGAAACTTTCACTTTTGTATTTTTTTTTTAAATGTGGAGTTTAGCATTGGCTGGGGGGGGAGGGACAACAACTCGTAAATTGCGTGTTGCCAAAAGCTTGGAACACCCTGAAAAAGTATACACTTTTTTGGTAGGGTTTTGTTTTATATACAACAAATGCAGACTCACAGGACTCCCTCAGTACAGCACAGCATGACATCTGGCATTCCTCGTGGTCTTAAGTTCGCTACCAACCTAATATTAAGTTTTTTTTCTGGATATACTGCACTGCTTTTTTGTACCTCCCTTATTTTTATTGTATCAATTTGTTTGATTCACTGCAATGAAATATATATATAATTTTAAAAACCCAAACCCTTCCCCAGCATAGAAGCAGGTTCCCAAGCCCAATTTCACATTTGCAACCCCTTGCTCGAGTCTGGAGGCATTTGCAACAAAACAACAACCCCAAAACAAATGCAAATAAATAAAATGAAAATTCAGTTCTATGTGAAGCCATATAGGTTGCATCTTCAGGTCAATGAGAGGTTGGCTCCATTGGGTTCCTGCTGGGGCCCCTGGTTTGGCCAAACCTTGCTGCCTGCTGGCCTTTCTGCAGCCTCTCCTATTCCTCCTTGTTGCGGTTGCCTGTTCAACCTGCCCTCTCTGCTAGAAGCCCCTAGCAATTGGCTCCTATGTTTGGAACAAACCTGAACTTTTTTTGCACCCCATGGATTATCCCGCCATTGCTGGAAACAGAATACTAGACTAGAGATTCAGTTTGATCTGGCCAGGCAGTTCTTATTGGGCTCCTCTTGCTACTAAGCACACAGAGGCATAGCTCTCAAATTTCCCCTTTTTTTAAGGGAAATTCCATTATTCCAAATAGGATTCCTCGCAAGAAAAGGGAAAAGTTGACAGCTACACACAGAGGTGAGATGCAACGCTAGCACAAGTGGGTTTTTTAATTTAAAAAAACAAAACAAAACCAGAATATCACCTTCCTCCGCTTTAGTCATTGGGAGTTGCCTTATAATCTTCACTCAGACAACTTATCTCTCTTTTTGCTTCTGTGCTGCTGCCAGTTCGGATCCTGCTGCCAGCCTGCATCACTCCTAGCCGGCTAACAAGCTTGCAAGAGGCAGCTAGATAAGCCTTAGCCAAATGCTTGAGAAAAGATGCACGAAGATAGGAATCAAGTGCCAGCCGCTAAAATGCAGAGGGATGCTGCCTAATCTAATCTCTCATTGCCAAACGCCTCTTCTTAAGTAACACGGCTAAATCTAAGAATCTCTGCGAAATAAAACATTGTCTGCTCGCTTCTTTGTCCAAAAGACTGATGGGCTCGTTCCACAAACTGTTGCGCCCATGATGCTTTCCTAGCTAATGCAGATCCACAGCATCAGATGTCTATCTGCTTCTGATAAAGTATTAGCTGCTCGCTATCGCCCTCCAATCTTACAGGAAGCCATGTTCGAGAAGACGTATTGTCTGCGTTTGGGGGTTGTTGTTGTTTTATTGAAACCATATGAGTGCAGAGTCTCAGGTCCTGGTCTGCAGCCAAAACACATCAGCAGAAAATTACGAGAGTGTAAAATGGTGAACTGGATTAAAGAAATAAAGGAGGGGGTGTTACCTTTAAATAGGAGGCAGAAATCTGCCTTACGCCATCAGATCATTGGTGCTTCTAGCTGGGTATTGTCTACACCAGGCATAGGCAAACTCGGCCCTCCAGATGTTTTGGGACTACAACTCCCATGATCCCTAGCTAACAGGGCCAGTGGTCAGGGATGATGGGAATTGTAGTCCCAAAACATCTGGAGGGCCGAGTTTGCCTGTGCCTGGTCTACACACGGACTGGCATTGGCTCTCCAAGGTTTCAGGCATTCTCAGCACCACCTGGGGATGCCAGGAATTGAACTCAGGGCTTTCTACATGCAAGCCAGATGCTCTACCATGGCCCTTCCCCAGTAGAATTTCAATCAACAGGTGGATTAAAATAAAAACTGGGATAGCTGGGATAGCCCATTGAGTAGAGCATGAGATTCTTAATCTCAGGGTCGGGTCCAAGCCCCACTTTGGGCAAAAGATTCGTGCATTGCAGGGGATGACTCTCAGGGTCCCTTCCAACTCTACAGTTTTATGATTCTATGAAAATATTTCTACCTTATCACCCAACCAAAGAGTGGCCCAAAGATGGTTCATGAAAACTCATGGATTGTCTCACAATTGAGCATCCTAGAGTTGGGCTTGTCCCCAGCAAGCAAGCTCTTTCCATGCCAGGTAACCCCAAGCAGACATGGCACAAAACAGCTTTTAAGTTCTCTTGCACCATTTGAATTGGCCTCCCTTCAACAGAGGGACGTGGGTGGCGCTGTGGGTTAAACCACAGAGCCTAGGGCTTGCCGATCAGAAGGTTGGCGGTTCGAATCCCCGTGACAGGGTGAGCTCCCGTTGCTCGGTCCCTGCTCCTGCCAACCTAGCAGTTTGAAAGCACGTCAAAGTGCAAGTAGATAAATAGGTACCGCTCCGGCGGAAAGGTAAACGGCGTTTCCGTGCGCTGCTCTGGTTCGCCAGAAGTGGCTTAGTCATGCTGGCCACATGACCTGGAAGCTGTACGCCAGCTCCCTTGGCCAATAAAGCGAGATGAGCGCCGCAACCCCAGAGTTGGCCACGACTGGACCTATTGGTCAGGGGTCCTTTTACCTTTACCCTTCAACAGCATGCAGCCAAAACCGCACAAGTTAAATGTGCGTAAGATGTGATCGCCCCATGCTTTTTATTATTGTTGTTGTTAAAAGCGTGTGTTTAAGATTGTAGGTTAAATTCTGTCATTATTAAGCACAAAGGAAGCTGCCTTTTCTAAATACAGTGGTACCTCGGGTTAAGTACTTAATTCGTTCCGGAGGTCCGTAATTAACCTGAAACTGTTCTTAAACTGAAACACCACTTTAGCTAATGGGGCCTCCTGCTGCCACCGCGCCACCAGAGCACAATTTTTGTTCTCATCCTGAAGCAAAGTTCTTAACCTGAATCACTATTTCTGGGCTTGCGGAGTCTGTAACCTGAAGCGTATGTAACCCGAGGTACCACTGTAGGCCAGTGGTCCTCAGCATTGCCTACAATGAATGGCAGTGGCTTCCCAGGGCTTCAGATAAAGAATTTCACCCAGCCCTATGTGGAAACATCAGGGATTTAATCTACGACCGTCTACATCAGGCTTCCTCAACCTCGGCCCTCCAGATGTTTTGAGACTACAATTCCCATCAACCCTGACCGCTGGTCCTGCTAGCTAGGGATCATGGGAGTTGTAGGCCAAAAACATCTGGAGGGCCGTGGTTGAGGAAGCCTGGTCTACATACAAATCAGCTTCTCTGCCCACTGAGCCACACTGTACAACAGGCAGTGAGCTGAATGCAGAATACAGTACTGTATCTGCAAAAGCAGAGCCCTTAGGTTTCACATTGTCCCCAGGGAAAAGTAGCCAAGATTGCTTTCTAAAAATAAAACGAAAGACTGTCTAGGGCTCCCACAGCACAACCCGCCGTTTGCTTTAAACTTTTACGGATGCCCGAGTCCCCCACTTCCCTTCCCAGGGCCTATAATCTTTTTTACGGGCAAGCTGGAATTACCGAAGTGCTTTGCACTTAACTATGTCATCCCGGGAGGAGCTGGTGGCTCTCGGCTCAAAGTACACACAGCCCCATTCTCTCAGGATGTGCCTGCCCTTTGCAACAAGAAAGGGAAAGGAAAGGACGGAAGTGCCCTCAGGAGGATCGCGCCGCAGACTTGGGAGCGGAGGGGCTGCCTTGACGTTGAGTGACTAAGATAAATTACAACCTTTGTGTTATTGCTCAGCCTTCAAACAGGAAACTCCAAAGTCGGTGAACCCTAGGAAAGAACAACACACGCAAGATGTGCTCTGTAATTTGCTCTGGATGCTACCCGCTCCCAAATCCCACTCCCCTCTGCAATTGTTTTTGGAAGGACAACTGCATTTCCGCCCACGTTCAACCCTTCTCTCCAACACGGAGCCCGGCACTCTAATCACAGAATCACAATGTAGGATGGGACCCCCAATGGTCATCTAGTTCAACCCCCTGCGATGATGGACTCACAGCCAAAGAATCCCTGGCATACCTAGGTTATATGTGCTTCTCAAATCCAGCTTGGTGAAAAGTGCTGGAGGTGCTTCTTCGTGAGTCCTGGCATCAGAGGGAGGGGGCAGCGGTTGGGCACAGTGGTGAGGATGAGATCACAGAAGGCAAGTTAATTCGGCCGAGATTTCAATGTTTAGAAGACATCTGAAGGCAGCCATGTTTAGGGAAGTTTTTAATGACTGATGTTTTAATGTATTTTTAATCTTTTGTTGGAAGCTGCCCAGAGTGGCTGGGGAAACCCAGCCAGATGGGTGGGGTAATAATAATAATAATAATAATAATAATAATAATAATAATAATAATTCAACACCTCCTCATTAGTTATGTGGATGATCCCAGTCAACTAGGGACGACAAGTGAATGCTAGATAGCCAATCAATGAAGGCAAATTTTGTCAACGGAGAAAGAGAAAGAGAGAGAGAGAGAGAGAGAGAGAGAGAGAGAAAGGAAGGAAGGAAGGAAGGGAGAAATGCAAATAGACTGGCAAATGCTTCTGGAAAGCAAACAATCGTTGAAAACCTTGGGGCGGATTTAGACACGGCTGAAAATGTTCCCAGTGAACAGCAGGTGATTTTGTCTCAGTCATGATCAGAACAGTGTATCAAATGATAACTGAAGATTAATAGCATGAAACAAGAACCACCAGCCCAAGTGGAGTAACATATGTGAAGTTAATCTCCTTTCTCCCTCCCACTGCCCCCCTCCCACCCGCAATGGCGGCATCTGAAAGGGGGTGCCATCTTTCTCCTCTGGCAAAATTCCCCAGAATTCCCACTGGCTAACTCTGGGAGGATGGCAATCCCTTAAGCGGAGCTAAAACGGTTACACATTTTCCTTCGACTGAACTTCCAGATCTCAGCTGTGGCAGCACAGCCATCCCCAGGAACAGTTTTCAACAGGATACTGTTTTAACTCAAAACTTTACAAGTTGCCCGGAAATGATTTTCCCTGCTGGTGTCTTTGCTTGTCAAGGGCAAAATAAGCTTACTGCATTTGTTGTTTTGCTAGAACACAAAGAGGTGGATCTTCAGAATTCGCTGACAGCTGAAGACGCAAGACGCACCTTTGCAAGGAGGGAGTTCCACAACTTAGGAGCTTTTAAGGATGGTGGAACAACCAAGAGCCCTCCCCCCGGCATATCTTAGCACCCAAGAGGGCCTATAGGAAAGGAGGCAGCCTTTCAGGTATTTGGGCCCGAATCGCTTAAGACTTTAAACATTAACGTGAGCAACTTGGAACAGGCCTGGAAACAAACTGGCAGCCTGTGGGTGCAAGATCTCTGCTCTATATGCCTATAATCCTTGTTTCTTCTTGTGTCAGTCGCCAGGACGGCAAACAGCCTCTCATGACCCCAGAGACTAGCAGCAACCAAGATTCAGCACGAGAGACAGCAGAATCCCCAGCTATAAATCCAGATCAAGTTCAGGGGCTGAATATACAGTGGTGCCCCGCAATACGAATGCCTCGCAAGACGAAAAACTCGCTAGACGAAAGGGTTTTGCGTTTTTTGAGTCGTTCCGCAAGACGAATTTCCCTATGGGCTTGCTTCGCAAGACAAAATGTCTTGCGAGTTCTTGTGAGTTTGTTTCCTTTTTCTTAAAGCCGCTAAGCCGCTAAAAGCCGCTAAGCCGCTAATAGCCGTGCTTTGCAAGACGAAAAAACCGCAAGACGAAGAGACTCGCGGAACGGATTAATTTCGTCTTGCGAGGCACCACTGTACAACGAATTGAAGAAAATGTTCCATTTAACATTTGTTTAAAAACCTGAAGCATTTTTATTAGGGATTGTAGGGAAAGATATGCCAAAAAAGCTGAAAAACATCTTCATGTATGCGACAACGGCCACAAGAGTTTTAATAGCACAAGGATGGAAGACTGAAGAAACCCCAACTAAAGAATCATGGCAAGAAAAGTTGATGGACTATGCAGAACTGGTAAAACTGACATACAAGCTACAGGACAAGGATAACTGTGACTTTAAAGATGAATGGGAACCCTTTACAAAGTACCGTATCTGAAGACACAACAAAGCGAACTGGACTCTTTGGCTGGCTTTGAATAAACATTCACAAACTTTTTATTGATAATAATCAGCTAAATAGTTTGAGGATCTATACAAGTGTGTAACATGCAGAAAACAGCATTTTTAGAGAAATCAAAGACTGGAACTGAGGGACGTCAGGGGTGGGGGTGGGTGGGTTCTATGGAGGAGGGAGGGGAGGGAGGAAAAATGGGGGGGGGGAAATAAGGATGATCTGTTTCTGGATAATATGTTTTGTTTTAATTTTAAAAACAAAAGAATAACAGGAGACACACACACACACACACACACACAAAGTTCAGGGGCTGAATTTGGGAGGTCCCTGAGCTCAAGGCTGACAGGAGCCCATAGAGCAATCTCCTATACCACCAGGCCTGTAGGGGCAGAGCTGGGATCACCTTTATCTGTTTGGTTGTTGACACTCTCAAATAACTTTGATAGGTCAGTGAGACAGAGCTCACCTTCGCTGAAGCCATGCTGACTCAGTGTCAGCAAGACTTGTTCTTCCCTAACACACACCTTCCTGTAAGCCTGGGGAACCCAATGCCTCCCAAGGCACCCGGTGGTACAGGGAGCATACCAGGCTATGGGACTGAGGAGGAGTGCCTCTCTTCAGGCCACAGGGTTGGGCTTTTAGGACTCTAAAGTTATCCACAAGAGGGCAGAGCCTGGGAAAGGCAATCTGCAAGCAGAGACTTTTCAAAGGCTAGGCTGGCTTTCTGCCTTCATTAGAGAAAGTTGCTCACTGGGAGCTATCCATGGTCCTGACCACTACTAGCACCCTGGATCCCCATGGGAGCCAGAATCAGATCTGAACACAACACAGCCAGTGGTAACCCCAGCTGCTAATCCTGCTCAGAGTAGGCCCACCGAAATCAATGAAGCTAAGTTAGTCGTGTCCCTCAATTCCAATAGGTCTACTCTGAGTAGGGCTAGAGTTGAATGTTACCCTTTGCTTTGAAACAGGCGCCCAAATGGTGCCCCAACAAACATCTCAGGCATCTTTTTTTGTGCACGCAATGTTGAGGTTTATAGCACTATATGAATGTTGTGAAATAAAAAAATAAAATAAAATAAATTCTTGCTCCTACCTATCACCGACACCTGTCAGAAGGAAGTCACTTCATCCTGCCATAGCAGGCTCAATATTCTTTAAGTGTTTAAATCTACTGGGTATGGCTCATTTAAAAACTGTTTGCTTTTCCAGCCAAATATAGAGGAGTTAAAAACAGGGGGGAGCACAATCGGCTATATATTATTTGAACACCACTTCAGATATCATAGCCAAATTTTACATTATGGTTTTCATTTGTGATTCGATAGATGCCAACATGATTCAGACTGATATTTTTCAAAACTGCACTGGCTTCAGCTGAATTTCTCATGGTACTTCCTGAGATCAAGGAGCAGTCCCATCCCCCACCCCAAGTTTGGAAACAATTGAATACCATTTTGGATCAAGATTGTGGATTGAACCTTTCACAACTGCACTACTTTCAAAACTGATTTTGTTTCGTTTTGTTTCTTAGAATACCCAAGCAAAGCCAGGCAGCAATGAAAAACTGAACAGCTGTTTAAAACCCAGGGCATCATTATGCGCCTTCAAGTCGATGTTTGGCATCCCCAATGAATGGGTCAGCCAGTTAATGCAACGTGCTCCTCATTCCCCACTTCTGACACCATGTAAAATTTCTGGGTCCAATAACAGGTACCAAGAATGAGGAATAGTTTATTCAGAGCTTTGTTCAGAGGAGGCTCCAAGGCCCTCTGCTAAAACTCAAAACTAAAAGCCTAAGGAACTGCCCAGGTGATGTGACTCAGGGTATAACACTAAAGGAATATCAATAAATGGCAGACTTGGCCTTTACAGATGGTGCCCTCTGTTTAAAAAAAAAATGAAACATTTTCCATTTCAAAATCTGGGAACACACACACACACACTCCAATTGTTTTCCCACCCACCGGACCTCAAACACACAAAATCATACTCTAGCCAACAACTGCAAGGAATAATATTTGCCTGGTGTATCGGATTTCCAGCTGACAAACATATAGCCATGGAAGAGGAAGTAAAGATTTAATTCCCTTTTTATGCTCCCCACCGTAGAACATTATTTTAAGCAGATGTTTATGACTTGGGCCATGAACTAGACCTTATGAACCATCTGGGTGTATCTGTTTTGTCTCAGTGAATGCCCCCTCCTCCCCCCCGGACTCATGTTGTATCCCAACACATTTGAAGTATAAGGTAACTATAACAATGGAACATTAACCATTCGACCTCTCATCATCCACTGTAAGATATCCCATGTTTTAGGGATAGACAGATCAGGTCGGGGCAGTGTGGTTTAGTGGTTAGAGTGTCAAACTACGACCTGGGAAACCAAGGTTCAAATCCCCCGGCAGCCACAAAACTCATTGGGTGACCTTAGGGGGCCTGTCACTGCCTTTCAGCCTAACATACCTCACAGGGTTGTTGTGGGGATTAGGGAGATAACCACTAACGTCACCTTGAGCTCCTTGTAGGAAAAGGTGGTTTATGAATGGAATGGATGAATGAATGAATATTTCTGATCTGTGTCTTTCCAAAGTGCCATTCTGCCTCGTTTCTACATAAATCTGGGATGATGCATTTTTATCACAAAGCACCCTCCCAAAACTCTAACCACTACACCCTGCTGCCTCTCTCAAACCCCTATTTCCCCATCCCTCTCCTCCACTTCTATGAATCCTCTTTCCTGTACTTCCACTTCTTCCAATCCCATTTCCCAATTCCATCCTCTAACTAAAAAATACCCCCCCATTATACCTGTGGATTCCTGCGGAATGCATTCAGCGCATTCTAAGAGTAGATGTACAATGGCCTCAAGCACGCTTGAAAAATACATTTTCTTGTCCTTGAGTACGGATAAATTTCTTCACTTCTGGGAAGAGGAAGTGGGAGGCAGAGGTGGCCCTTTGCAGGATGCAGGCAAACAGAATTCTGCTTGCAGGCTGTAAGCAAGGCTGTGCATGCCCTCATCCTGATATTTTGCACCCCTGATAGCATGTTCAAGGCGTAACCGTTCTACATACAGTGGTACCTCGGGTTAAGTACTTCATTCATTCCGGAGGTCCGTACTTAACCTGAAACTGTTCTTAACCTGAAGCACCACGTTAGCTAATGGGGCCTCCCGCTGCAGCTGCGCCGATGGAGCACGATTTCTGTTCTCATCCTGAAGCAAAGTTCTTAACCTGAAGCACTATTTCTGGGTTAGCGGAGTCTGTAACCTGAAGCGTATGTAACCGGAGGTACCACTGTATTTCAAGGAATCCAGCTAGACATCCATCTCTCATGACAGCAGATACAGTGGTACCTCGGGTTACATACGCTTCAGGTTACAGACACTTCAGGTTACATACGCTTCAGGTTACAGACGCTACAGGTTACATACGTTTCAGGTTACAAACTCCGCTAACCCAGAAATAGTGCTTCAGGTTAAGAACTTTGCTTCAGGATGAGAACAGAAATCATGCTCCGGCGGCGTGGCAGCAGCAGGAGGCCCCCTTAGCTAAAGTGGTGCTTCAGGTTAAGAACAGTTTCAGGTTAAGTACGGACCTCCGAAACAAATTAAGTACTTAACCCGAGGTACCACTGTACATGTTTCTCAAAGTCATGAGAAATGCGGCAAAACCCAAGAATCCATGGGTGTCAGCCGAGATGTTTTTGGACTTATGTCATGGTTGGCGGGTGAGCTGGGTGATGACCAAACATTGAGGGCAGCAAAGCCGGGAGGGGCCGTTATGGCTAAGGTTACCTGCGGTTACTGTGGAAATCTTGACCAAGTTTCCATTGTGGATGCAGATAACCTTGTGGGACTGCGGATAGAGATGGGAAAGCCTGTCCATTGCAGTCTCTCTCAGAGAGGAGCAAGCAAAATGATCGAGGGAATGGCACAACTTCCCTCTGAGGAAAAGCTGCAGCGTTTGTGGAGTTTTTCAGCTTAGAGAAATGGCGCGTGAGAGACAATGTGGTAGAAATTTATAACATTACGCTTGGCGTGGAGAGAGAAAGGGTTTTCTTCCTCCTTTGTGATGCTAGAACTTGTGGCCATTCGATAAAGCTGAATGTTGGAAGATTCCGGATAAAGGAGTTTCTTCACACAGTGCATAGTTAAACTGTGGAACTCACTGCCACAGGAGGCTGTGATGGGAACCAATATGATGCTAGTAGAACTTGTGCCCATCCAATGAAGCTGAATGATGGAAGATTCAGGATAAAGGAGCTTCTTTACACAATGCATAGTTAAAACTATGGGCACCAACGTGAAGGAGAGAGGGCTCCTTGCGCTCAAATCCTGCCTTGTGGGTTTCCCTCAGGCATCTGCTTGGCCACTGTGAGATCAGGATGCTGGGCAAGAAAGGCCACTGGCCTGATCCTGCAGGCTTTTCTTGTGTTATTATGCTCTTAAAAGATGTAGGGTTGTACCACCAGGTTCTGAAGCATAGTCTTCTAAGGCTCCCTTCCAGGTTTAGAGATGGGAGTTCGTGCTCTTGCCTAATCGGGCATCTCTTGGCCCACCCAGGACTTTAATGAACTTGTTCCTTTGCTATCTGCCTGGGGCTGAAAAAAAGCAAAGGAGTCGATCGACCCCCAGCAGGCCATAAAAAATATGTAGTGAATTGATTTTGGCATGGTGGTTCCCATGGTGCACTGGCTTGGAGCAGAACCTCGCCTACATGCAACGCACCAAATCTCGAGGCACACGGAATGCCAACAAACATTTCCAAGTCTGACCGCCGAACAAGGAAACATAACATGGAAATTACAGAAGAGCAAATTCTAAACAGACCTCTGGGAGCTCGCTCCAGTTTCCATCCCAAAAGCAATACATGTGAGAAGCACTTAGTAGCATATTATCCCAACGCAAAGAGCTTGATTCAGCAAATTGTTGTAATGATGGCAATGGTTTCTGGGGGTCATCGGAGAGGGAATTAGATGCTATTTTGAAACCAATGGCTTCTTTTCTTAAAAAAAATAAAATAGAGTTAAAAAATAAAAGGTTCTTTTCTCTTTTTTTGGTCAGGTGCCTCTTCTCCTTATTTGATTATTCAGTGCAATTGCATCTTAGAATCATAGTCATAGAGTTGGAAGCATAGCTGTCAACTTTTCCATTTTTTAAGGGAAATTCCCTTATTCCGAATAGGATTCCTCGCAAGAAAAGGGGAAAGTTGACAGCTATGGTTGGAAGGGACCTCAAGGGTCATCTAGTCAAACCCCCTGCAATGCAGGGATATTTGCACTTCTTCACGTGCAATTTTCCAATGTGTGTGCACATTAAGAGGAAGTGTATAGAAGAATGCATTTGTTCACGAAAATAATGTACATTAATGCACAACATGGAGGAAGCTTGCTTGAAAAATGTGTCTATCAGGCAACACTGCATGCAAAAAGAAGGTGTATATTCAGAGAAATGGAGACTAAAATGCTGGGGAATTTTCTCTGTGGACCTTAAAAAAACAAAACAAAACTGCAAACTGATACGGAAATCAGCTCTAGACTGGAAAAATGAGAAACCCAAATTGACAGATTTGTCTATCCCCAGGTGCAGATGTATCCTTGCACACAGCTGGGATGGCCATTCGAAAGTGACGTCCCTTCCCGAAGCAGCTGGGATTGGAAAGTTATGGCTTCTTCCTTCTGAACCAGACAGAGGTCAAAGATTCCTCTCAAACACGCTGAGTCAACGTCAAGCGTGAACCTGGGGTTGATATACTGTCCAGACATCTGGGGTGATCTGCCGTCCGCATTCTCTTGTCTTGAAAGCATTAAGGAAAGGGGGAAAACAGCAAGACCATAACCCTCCTCCCTGGTCCGACTTGCACAAAGTCTGCATTCATTTCAGACACCTGGATCTAGGGCTCTGCATTCTGGAGATAAGTCAAGAGTGCTCCAGAGGGGGGTGTGGGGTGGGAAGCAAGGGGATGGGAGGAAACCAGCAGGAAGAGGCAGCTGGATATTCTCTAAGTGCTTTCAGTCTTTTGCTCCAGGATTTTGTGAAGCAGGGCCTGCCCAAGATATTTTGCCGCCTGAGGCGAAAGAGGAGACCCTTATTCCATGCTCTGAAGCTGACCGTACTAGTCACAATGCACATTTTTTGTTTTGTTTGCAAAGAGCTACATATGCTCCTCTGGGTGTGATTCTTCTCCCTCGAATGCAATTAGGCTGACGTTTGCTTGGACTGTTTCATAGGAGCCAACTCCCAGGGGCCGAGGAGTCTTCAGACCCCCCCCCCAATAAAATATTTGAGGGACCCCCACAAAGATGATGGATATTACCATTCAAATGGTGTGCATGCACCATGCCATGTGATCGGTTATGGAGGTTGGGGCTTACCTGGCTAACTTTGGGGGAGTCTGGCCCCCTCAAAATTTTATTGGGGGGCCAGAAAGGACCTCAGGCCCTAGGAGTTGCCTCCTATGCAGGCGACACAGCCATGGCTTGTTCTTTGCTACATAACACACAGTTCTCTCTCCGTAGCATTCTGGTTCATCTTGACTTCTCTGCATATAACGCCATGCCAAACGGCAGAGAAACCACTTTTCATTTACCCAAAGCAGAGAGAATCAGATCCAGATGAGAGCATGAACACAGGCCAGCCAGGCTTCCATAAGTCCCACACTCCTTCCAGCATATCCCAATAAAAGAGCTTTGATTTAGGGAGGAGGTAAGGCCCTCCAAACTGCCGGATCCAGCATTCGTCTCCTTTCTGTAAAATATTGTTTGCTGAGGTCCGTCACAGCAGAGAGCTGAAAAGCCAACCCCGTTAAATCAAGACTGCTAAACAATTCAGAGGCTGTGAGATGTAAACCTCAAAGTGGACAGAAGAAACAGACACTGGTGGAAGAGAGTTATTTGAAGCATAGTGAGAAATGGTCGTGGTTCTAGGTCTAGTTGGCTGGCATTCATTAACCCATGGGAGGGATTCCCCAAGAATGGTGCAAAAATAAGGTACCTGAAGATTTATGGGAAGGAGCTACTGCTCAGTGGCAGAGTTCATGCTTAGAATCACAGAATTGTAGAGTTGGAAGGGACCCTGAGGGTCATCTAATCCAACCACCTCCAATGCAGGCATCTCAACCAAAGCATCCATGTCAGATGGCCATCCAAGCTCTGCTTAAAAACCTCCAAGGAAGAAGAATCCACCACCTCCCAAGAGAGGCTATTCCACTGTCAGGACTGCAATACCTCAAGGACAGCCTCTCCCCACATGAACTGACCCGGACCCTGCAATCATCATGTGAGGCCCTTCTTCATGTGACTCCTCCATGAGAACAGACCTTTTCTGTGGTGGCTCCCTGCTTGTGGAATGCCCTCCCCAGGGAGACTCACCTGGCGCCTTCACTGCACATCTTTAGGCACCAGGCAAAAACAGTCCTCTTCTCCCAGGCTTTTGGCTCATTAAATCACCTATGGCCTTTTAAAACTGCAGCCAGGGGGTTGTTTTTATTTGTTATTTTGGTGTGTATTTTGGTGCTTTTACATTGTAAACCTTCCTGCCATCTTCAGATGAAGGGCGTTCTCGAAATTTTAAAAATCATCACAATAAATAATAAAGCACGCAGGCAAGATTTGAGGACAGGAGACCTCTCCCTTCCTGTGGTTTCCGGCGACTGTGGGGAAAGAGCGAAACCCCTGGCAAATTGGGGAGCGGGTGGAACGGCCAGTCCACCACATCAGATAGTTTGAGAAACACTGAGTGCAGACAATAATGAGCCAGGGAGACTAATGGACTAACTCAGGCCATTTTCCTATGTCCCTGGGTTGGACTGCATTGCTCTGAGGGTGCTGGAAAAAGTTATACATTTGTGTTATTAAGAGCATGCCTGTTCTCTGGCTAGTGGCCAGAATGCCTTCTTCCACCTCTTTAAACAAAACAACAACAATGAAAGCTCTGAACCATTAGCGAAAGAGTAACCTCACACATACACACACCCTCGCCCCAAACATCATTTTCTAATGTGGTTTTCAGCTTTTAGGTTTCCTTGTTATGCATAGCAGAATTTGGAATTTAGGGGTGGGGGGTGTTAAAAATATCCCATGCCAAGAACATGTGCTTGCAATATGTTTGCAACATTTCAACAGCAAAAATAAAAATACAAACAGGCCAAAAAAGGACATGAGATCCAAGGGTGCCCTCAGCCAGTGTGCTTGACCCACCTCAAGCATGAAGGAAGCATTACGTCAAACGGTACCTGGGCCAAAAGTTCCATGTGCAACCACTTTGGTGAATGATGCCCATAAAAGAGCAAGAAATGTCACACAAAAATGTCTTGTCACCTTTCTCCTTTACTGCTCTCAAGAACCACCACCCCCACTCCATGACACAGCTACTGCATAAAATTCTCAGCTTTCTTTCTTTTTATAGTCAGTTGATCAACCGTACCTGTTTTATAGTTTTATAGTCAGTTGATCACTCGTCCCTGTTTAAGTTGTCCAATTACAGCTGCGTATGGGTGGCGCTGTGGGTTAAAGCACAGAGCCTAGGGCTTGCTGATCAAAAGGTCGGCGGTTCGAATCCCCGCGACGGGGTGAGCTCCCATTGCTCGGTCCCTGCTCCTGCCAACCTAGCAGTTCGAAACCACGTCAAAGTGCAAGTAGATAAATAGGTACCGCTCCGGCGGGAAGGTAAACGGCGTTTCCGTGCGCTGCTCTGGTTCGCCAGAAGCGGCATAGTCATGCTGGCCACATGACCCGGAAGCTGTACGCCGGCTCCCTTGGCCTATAGAGCAAGATGAGCGCCGCAACCCCAGAGTCGGCCACGACTGGACCTAATGGTCAGGGGTCCCTTTACCCTTTACTTTATGTTGGCAATTCAGCAATGTTACTTAACCCGGGGGCAGGGGAGAATACTTGACACATGCAGATGTCGCTGCAGGCAAAACAGTGGTACCTTGGTTCTTGAACATAATCTGTTCTGGAAGTCCATTTGACATCCAAAGAACGTTCGAAAACCAGAACACTTACTTCCAGGTTTTCGGCATTTGGGAGCCAAAATGTACGAGTACCAAGGCATTTGAGAAGCAAGCTATGACTGTACTTCCAGTGATGTGACCCTTTGTGGGAGTGAAGGGGGAACATCTCTTCTAAGACAGGAATATAAACTTCTAAGAAGGTGCAGGTCATTTGTGGTCTTGTAATTCTTTTTTTTTTAAAGTATTTTTTATCGATTTTCAGATAAGTTAGCAAAGGATTTAAAAAGCAGAAAAGAAAGGGAAACCTCAGAAATTGAGAAAAATTATCAAATAGAATAGATAGAATGGACATCTGAAACACATCAAACTTTTTCACAGCTTGTGTGAAAGCTTATTAGTAGAGAAGTTAGCATTGATATCAGGGGAGATAGCAGGTGCCCCCCTCCCCAAAAAAGTAAAAAATGTTTCTGGTAGGGCAGGTCTTTGAGAAATTTTGGCTCAGTTATATATCTTCCTATAGACATAAAAACGCAAGTCTGTCATCATGCAGTCCGCATTTGAACATTTGTAGTGCTACATCACAATCCTGGATTTTAATGATGTCAGAAAGCAGCTCTTAACAACAGCAAAGATTTGAATGAAGCAGGGATGAGCTGTACAGATATTGGGGGGGGGGCTTGAGAAACTGTGAGGATATGAGGGGCTTGACAGAGCTGTGAGGGGATGAGGGGTTGGGTGAGTTGTAAAGGGTTGGCAAGATAGGGGAAGGGGTGGGAGGGGGTGGAAGGAGGTGGGGTTGGCCAGCTGTGCAAGCAAGGGTGGCAGCCCCTAATATATATAATCAGATTTATTGAAAATAATTCCTCATTAAAAACCTAACCAACGAATGAACTGAACACTGCAGCCCCAGTTCTGTGGGTGGATCTGAGTAGCTCAGCAACACATGTCAAAGCTCTGGACCTGTTCACCTCGAGAAGAACAGGTCCACTGTCTACCCACCCAAAGCTATGGAGTGTCAGGAGCATGGAACAAAACGCCCTTTCCTCACACCTCTCCCACATCAGCAGAGCCATGGAACAGATACAACTTTGCTGATGTTTTTATTATTCTGGTTTGGCAATAAATTCATGAGCTGCCAGAGAGGATCAGAAGGGGAAACACCCCATGAATCAGCCAGGGTGTAGCTGAAGGGGAAGTGGGCTCCCCTCCTTGGCCACCGAGTTGACACAGGATCAGCATCTCGTTTCCAATGATCTCTGGCCAAGCTGACACTTCAGATTGCACAAGAGGGCCTTTGTCCTTCCAGGTGCGGGAAGCGGGGGTGGGGGAACAGTTCCCAAGCAAAGGACACAAAGGCCGGTCGTTTGCAGGTGAGTTAGGATGGAGCCACATAGAATTGCAACGGTCACACCTGGAAGGTGATCTGCCCACTCTAGGTTCTGCAGTACAGGATGTGACCAATTGTGTAGTGTTTCAGAGTGGCGGCCCGTTGAAGGCCCGTTAATATTTCTGCAGCAGGGTCTCAAAGGGCTTCCTGTCCCCAGAGTCCTGGAGTTGCCCCATGAGCATGAAAATGGAAGCATCCCTGCCAACTCTTTAGGGCTACGGTGTCTCCAGCCCCCACAATGTCTGTTGGGATGGGGCTGAACCACCCAATCTTGAGGGGGCAGAGGAGACCAAGCACAGAGCCAGATGGTCGGCCTCCTTCAACCAGTGCTGTTCTCACGATGGAGTGACCAGGACTGTCTGGAGCAGCCTTTCTCAACCTGTGGCTCCCCAGATGTTGTTGAACTACAACTCCCATCGCCCCTAGCTAGCAAGGCCAGAGCTCAGGGATGATGGGAGTTGTAGTCCAACAACATCTGGGGACCCACAGGTTGAGAACCACTGGTCTAAAGGGTCCCGGGGGCATTTCACTGTGGGGGTCCCACAAGGTCATCTGGAGTAGCAGCAAAAGAGCCAGTGTGGTATAGTGGTTAAGAGCAGTAGATTCGTAATCTGAGGAACCGGGTTTGTGTCTCCGCTCCTCCACATGCAGCTGCTGGGTGACCTTGGGCTAGTCACTCTTCTCTAAAGTCTCTCCGCCTCACTCACCTCACAGAGTATTTGTTGTGGAGGAGGAAGGGAAAGGAGATTGTTAGCCGCTTTGAGACTCCTTCGGGTAGTGATAAAGCAGGATATCAAATCCAAACTCTTCAAAAGGACTTCACGGCCCTGCCATTGCACTGTCTCCCAATGGGTCGTCGCCTCTGCTGCCCAGCCCAGGGCAGGGCGAGTAGGGACTACACGTCCCATCATGCCTCCACGCCCTTCGCCAAGCTCACTTCCTCTGCCAGGAGCTGAGTGAGCGCAACGCCATGCCATGCGGTGGGGACTGGCCTCCTCTCACTATCGACCTCCCAATGCGACAATTACACACGCATTGTGCGTCGTCAGAAGCATGAGTTGCACATCAAGCATGTAACAGCATGCAACAGCACACACACACCCCAATGTAGTTACTGAGAAGGTCTTCTCATCCTTTGTGCTGATTGGAGCCAAGCAGAGTATAAGGATATGAATCAGCCACTGAGGATTGGCTTCCAGGGTCACTCTGAAGAAGGCACATGGGAAGAACATCTGTTTGCTCCAAAGCTAAGCAATTAAATGTGCTTGTGGGAGGGGGGTATTGGTTTGCTTTTCTTTTTCTTTTATTACGTATTTTGTACTCTCATTTTGTATTTTTTTTGTGAACTGCCCTGGGATCTTCAGGTGAAGGGCAGTGTACAAATTTTAATAATAATAATAATAATAATAATAATAATGGCAATAAATAATTTGGGAGCACTGAAAACACAAGAAGCTTTCGTTTCAAGAGAATGGTGTGCAACACATTCATTGTTGAAATGCATTCCTAATTATTATTATTGTTGTTGTCATTATTATTGTATAATTATTTCATTTATTTCTTTTGTAACATTTAAACCCTGCTAGGTTGCAAAACCCCTCAAAAAAACTACCCTCAAAGCGGTTTACAAAAAAGATAAAAGAGTAAAATTAGCACTAAGAGAAATAATCTAAGCCTTTCAAAAAGTTGAATTAACAAAAGACTAAAAACAAATTAAAACTTGCGTCAGCTTTCTAAACATCTGGGTTTTAAACAGGTGCCGGAAAGACCGCAGTGAAGGCACCTGCCTACTATCAATCGGCAGGGAGTTCCAAAGGATATGTGCTGCCACACCGAAAAGTCACTTTCGTGCAAACACGGAATGGATATTAGATGGCACCTGTAAGAGTGCAAATTATAAAATTGTTTTCTAATCAAGGAAGGTGGTATAATCTTAGGGGATGGAGGGTGGCTGTGACTATCATGAAGTCTTACGGACTTCTGGATTTAGCGTGACACTACAGCATTCTTGACAAATGGCACACCCAGTCCTTCCTTAAACACCTCCGGCAAGGGCGAGGCAGCAGCCAGTCCAACTCACAAACAGATAAGAAATTTCTCTTAACTTTGGCTGGGGGAAAAAGATGGCAACCGTGTCTGAGCCTGGGTGTAGGATGAGTAAATTCCCTGTTTATATCCAAGTGAAATATGTCCCTGCCCACCATTTTATTTGCCATTTGACGGAGGGCAAATTGCCCTGTCCTGCAAACGGAGGATCATCCTGACATATTTCCACAGCTGCTGCTGCGTTTCTGATATCACAGGGAGCCAAGAGAGTTGCTTTGGAAGCGAGGAAGGGGGTCGCAATTGCCTGTGTCCTGAGTCACGCAGCAGTTGCTATGGCACTGCAAGTATTTTTCTGTTTTCCTATGACTATTTAATCTACCGTTAGTAACGATGATTAAACCACACATTGAATTACTCCCAGGGAGGGCTTAAATTACCAAAGAGGCTTTCTGGAGAACTTAACGAAGCTTTACACTATAAAAAGGCTAGAGAAAGAAAGAGAGAGAGCGCAGAATTTGTATTTTAAGGAACAGGCCTGTTGCCCATTCTGAATGCAATTCTAGGCTTCAGGTACCTGAAGGGCTGCAAAAATGGAAGAGGGAGCAAGCTTGCTTTCTGCTGCTCCAGCGAGGAGGACTCGAACCAATGGATTCAAACTATTAAAATAGGAGATTCTGGCTAGACATCGGGAAGAACTTTCTGACAAGAAGAGCTGTTCAACAGCAGAACGGACTCCCTCAGGAGGGGGTGGACTCTCCTTCCGTGGAGGTTTTTCAAGCAGAGGTTGGATGGCGGTGTGTATGGAGGTCCAGGGCTGCCCAGACCACAAGACCCCCCTCTTGGCCTCGCTGATGTGGTCCAAAGGAAAGCAGAGCAACACGTTTGGCACCAGATTGGCTACAGGAGTTGCTGGAAGGAAGCATACAAGGCACCTTCCAACCGCCTTAGGGATTCCACTCTGGATTTGTACAGTGGTACCTCGGGTTACAGATGCTTCAGGTTACAGACGCTTCAGGTTACAGACTCCGCTAACCCGGAAATAGTACCTTGGGTTAAGAAATTTGCTTCAGGATGAGAACAGAAATCGCGCGGCAGTAGGAGGCCCCATTAGCTAAAGTGGTACCTCAGATTAAGAACAGTTTCAGGTTAAGAACGGACCTCCAAAACGAGTTAAGTTCTTAACCTGAGGTAACACCTTTTCTTCTCTTGAAGATATCCTGCAAGGCAGCGGAGGTTTAGGATTAGAGTTTTCCTTCTCCTGTATTGTATTGTTGTATTGGATTGGATTGGATTGGATTATTTATAAATTACATTGGTACCTCGGGTTACATACGCTTCAGGTTACATTTGCTTCAGGTTACAGACTCTCCTAACCCAGAAATAGTACCTCGGGTTAAGAACTTTGCTTCAGGATAAGAACAGATATAGTGCTCCGGCAGCACAGCGGCAGCAGGAGGCCTCATCAGCTAAAGTGGTGCTTCAGGTTAAGAACAGTTTCAGGTTAAGAACAGACCTCCGGAACGAATTAAGTACTTAACCGGAGGTACCACTGTAATTCTATTAACTGTTAACTACTTCCTTGGCCTGTTTTTCTGCTGCTGTGTAATATGACAAAGACTATAATACTTGGAACCATCAAGACTATTGGTTTCCGCAGGTGGGGAGCAGTTGCCTATTTGCTGTTGTCTTTTAAATTTTCAAGGGCAGAATTAAGTTACTGTAAAGCAAGCGTACCTGCTGCTTTTACTGAACAAGTGCGTTCCTCTGTGTAAATAGGTTTCCTTACTTAGTACAGAAAATAAAAATAAATATTCTGAAATTAAAAAAAGACATGCAGTTCCATAGTTTGGATGCTGTTGCACTAAAAGGTGGTTGTCGTAGCTGCACAAAAGCAGAAAAGGCTTTATTGCTGTAACAGAAGCACAGAGGTCCTGTAGAAAGAAATTGTTGTGCTCAATATCTAACAAGCCATCCATTTTAATCAAAAGGGAAGGATAGCAATTGCCAGCTACCTTTCACTTTCTGACCCCGCCAACCTATTTTTACCACCACGCAGTCAAATGGAAATAAAAGGTATTATTCGAATTTCACTCTCCGCTGCGTTTTGGCATCAGTACCAGCTGCCAATAGGTTACATACCAAAAAGCTAAACATTAATGTTTAAGCCAATTAACTCAACCCCATCACAAGGTGCCTGGGCATATAGACAGTCATAGGGTCCATGAGCACAGCTAATGATGTCTGATGGAAGAGCAAAGCCAGTGGGGAAGTTATAGCTTGCTGGATAGAGAACGTGCCCCACATGCAAAAAAATAAATAAATAAAGGTCCCAGGCTCAATCCAGAGCATCTCCAGTTGGATTGCAGCCTGAGAGACCTTGGAGAGCAGCCGCTGGTCAGGGGCAAAGGCGTGAGACTATCACCTTGCTTTTCCCAATACTATGGCTGGCCCTGTGGCCGCAGACTGTCTCACCAGAGTGGTGCATGCTCTGGTTATCTCCCGCTTGGATTACTGCAATGCGCTCTACATGGGGCTACCTTTGAAGGTGACCCGGAAACTACAACTAATCCAGAACGCAGCAGCTAGACTAGTGACTTGGAGCAGCCGCTGAGACCATATAACACCAGTCCTGAAAGACCTACATTGGCTCCCAGTATGTTTCCAGACACAATTCAACGTGTTGGTGCTAACCTTTAAAGCCCTAAATGGCCCCGGCCCAGTATACCTGAAGAAGCATCTCCACCCCTATCGTTCTGCCTGGACACTGAAGTCCAGCTCCGAGGACCTTCTGGTGGTTCCCTCACTGCAACAACTAATGTTACAGGGAACCAGGGCCTTCTTGTTAGTGGCGCCCACCCTGTGGAACGCCCTCCCATCAGATGTCAAGAAAATAAACCACTATCTGACTTTTAGAAGCCATCTGAAGGCAGCCCTGTTTAGGGAAGTTTTTAAAGTTTGATGGGTGGGGTATTATTATTATTATTAATTATTATTATTATTACAGTGGTACCTTGGGTTAAGTACTTAATTCGTTCCGGAGGTCTGTACTTAACCTGAAACTGTTCTTAACCTGAAGCTAATGGGGCCTCCTGCTGCTGCCGCGCCGCCGGAGCACAATTTCTGTTCTCATCCTGAAGCAAAGTTCTTAACCTGAAGCACTATTTCTGGGTTAGCTGAGTCTGTAACCTGAAGCGTATGTAACCCAAGGTACCACTGTATTATTATTATTATTAATATTATTATGTGAAAGGAACCAGAGTGGGGAAGTCTAGCAGGGTACTGGAGGAACTGCCCACTGACGACTCTGGGGAGGAGCCCAATGCGTTGGAATAGGCTGTGTCAAGGCACTGGGGGAGGAGGATGTTCCAGGAGAGGAGTCAAATCTCAAGGTGGGTCCCAGTGGCACAGACTCCCAGGACACTGCTCCAGATCCTCCTCTTGTCACCCAGAGGTGCTGCACCCACTTTCCCACCTCTTTTTTTGTGTCAGCTTCACCTCCAATCTTGGTACTCCCTGCCGGAGCCTGCCCCAGGCCATCCTCTCAAATTCACAGTGAAAGAATCCTTGACAGGGAGCCAGTGTGGTACAGTGGTTAAGAGCGGTAGGCTCGTAATCTGGTGAACCGGGTTCTATTCCCTGCTCCTCCACATGCAGCTGCTGGGTGACCTTGGGCTAGTCACACTTCTCTGAAGTCTCTCAGCCTCACTCACCTCAGAGTGTTTGTTGTGGGGGAGGAAGGGAAAGGAGATTGTGAGCCGCTTTGAGATTCCTTAGGGTAGTGATAAATCAGGATATCAAATCCAAACTCCTCCTCCTCCTCCTCTTCTTCTTCTTCTTCTTCTTCTTCTTCTTCGAAAAACCTCCAACGCAAGAGTCTTCTGAGGCAGCCTGTTCCATCGTGGAGCAGCTGCTAACCACCTGAAAGTTCTTCTAAGGTTCAGTCATAATCTCCTTTATTGTCATTTGAATTAGCTCAGGTGGTTAAAGCGTGGAGCTGATAAGGCCAAGGCTTGATCCCTGTACGGATGCATAGCTCCTGCATGGTAAATGATCCATTGGGTCCCTTCTGACTCTATGATTCTATCAATCCACTGGTTCAGGTTCTGCAATCTGGAGCAGCTGAGAAGCTTCCTTGCTCCATCTTCCATGTGGCAGCCCTTCAGATATTAGAAGCTGGCTCTCATTCCATCTCACATTCTTCTCTTCTCTAGGTTGAACATACCCAGCTCCCTCAACTGTTCCTTAGAAAGCTTGGTTTCCAGACCCTTGATCATTTTGGCTGTCCCTGAACATATTTTTATTTTATTGTCAGAAATGACCATCAAGCACCACCTGCTTGATCAAGGTAAACAGAAACCACAATCAATTCCTCACACAACAAGAAACAAGAAATTAAACCACCCTGTGATCTAATTACGCTACTCAGCCTCGCATTTTATACACAGGCTCCCCTCCGCAAAAGGAAACATTTCCATTTCTACAGAAGAACTGGTGCCAGAGCCTTTAACCGAGGTTGTGCGTACACTGTTTATCTTTTGACATGACACCTTCAATTCAATTAAGCTCAGAGATTAACTCACTTCTATACTATTAAGCCAAGTAACAAACTGGTGCCAGGGCAATGCGTCACACCGGTCTCCTAGTTCTGAGTCTTTAAATCCTTTTAATTGCCGAGCAAAGTTTTGCACACTCAATGGCAGATGATGGGAAACAAATTTGGCATGCGTGGCAAAGGTCTTCTGTCTGAGGTTCAAACTATACATTACACAGAACGGTGTGATTCATTCTTCTGTTTGCTTTCTAGCTATATTACACTATTACGCACACACACAACAGACACAGGCAGGCAGCATCTGAGTAAATGAGCAGGCACAGGCCAGCAGGGCTAGGTGAAGGGGCAGCTCTGCCATTCTAACCAACAACCCCCCCCGCCCCCGCCTTGCACATAGGAAGTTTGGATTGCATCCTAAAATTATTTCTGAGGGGCCATCAAAGCGCACTGCCAGCCTGTGTAAGCAGTACTGAGCTAGGTGGGCCAACTGTATGACATTTTGTAAGGCAGTTTTCTATGTTCCTATGTCTTCTTACCTTACCATGAGGTTGCTAGGGCTTCCCCTCGCCTTTTAATTTTTTTAAAAAAATGCTTCATCTTAAGGGGGGGGGAAGATAGCTGCTCCTGATCTGAACTGGGGGGGCTGTTTTTACATTGCACCCCCAATCCCCATAAAATCATGGAGAAAGCATGGGCAGTGTGTGTGTGTGTGTGTGTGTGTGTGCGTGCGTGCGTTTAGGAAAGCGTCTGTCCATCTGTTCTCTATGCGTTCGGATGACTCTTGGGATATCATCGCCTAATTTGGCATGACAGTGCCTGAGATGGAAGAACAAGGCTTTCTTCTATGTTTTCAGACCATCGGACGCCATTTGGAATCAAGATGGTGGACCAAAGCATTCAGAACTGTACTGATTTTAATACTGCACTTGTTTCTTAGATTTCCCAAGCAATGCCAGACACTCTTCTCTCTCTCTCTCTCGTATACAGACACATATGTCTTCATAGTTAACTTAGCAACGAAAAGTCTCTGTGGCTTCTTTAGTTGGCAAATTCTCCAAAACGCTGGCCAGATGAATACGCACTGATTGAGCAGAAGCCTTTTATGTCAGGGATATAGCGCCGTTATCTGCCTCAACTAAAAAAAACAACCCAACAACTCAAAAACCCTGTATATCCTTCTTTCAGACAGGGCCTGTTCGCCAGAGACATCTGAACACAAGGAAAAAATAAATATAACATTATGTCAAACCTAATAATTCACTAGTCTGGGTTTATCCAGCCTAACTGAGTCAGCAGTTTATTTGATTAGGGCTATTCCCAGATGTCTAACATCATAGTAACCGTTAGCAACCAGTTCACGAACTCCATTGAGAGATCAAATGTAAAAAGTTTTTCGGGTTGTCGGCTGAAGTTGCGACTTTAAAGAGGAGGAACAGAGGGAGTGGGTGGGGCTGAGGCTTTAAACTCTTATTAACAAATAAAAAGCTGCAAAATGGGGTGGAGGGGGTTGCTTAACATCCAACCCTGTTTTTCCATCAGTTCTTTTCTTCCTGCCTGCCCCTCGGTACTCCCCAATGGCTTGAACCCACACCCAGCAGGTGGAGAAGGAAGAGTAACAGCGTGAGGTAAATTAAGTTGCATTATGCAGCTCCCTTCAAGATGAAAAGGCAGGGGAAGCAAAAGGAATAAAGGTTGTACAAATCAGGAGGAAGAGGCGAGACGGCTATAAATCTGTCAGATGTTTCTAGAACAGAATCAATAACCTGTTGGGCCCCTTCACATGATACATTTATATTTTTTCTTTAAAACGGGGAGAGGGAGGTAGACAGTGTTGTCAAACTATTTATTTATTAAATTCACATCCTACCTTTTTTCTCTGAGGAGTTCATGATGGGCATACATCATCGGTAAGAAAACTAAGGCCCGGGGGCCGGATCCGGCCCAATTGCCTTCAAATCCGGCCTGTGGACGGTTCGGGAATCAGCATGTTTTTACATGAGTAGAATGTGTCCTTTTATTTAAAATGCATTTCTGGGTTATTTGTGGGGCATAGGAATTCGTTCATTCCCCCCCCCCCCAAAATATAGTCCGGCCCCCCACAAGTTCTGAGGGACGGTGGACTGGCCCCCTGCTGAAAAAGTTTGCTGACCCCTGGCATACATGGTTCTCCCTCTCTTCACTGACTTCCCACTACAACCCTGTGAGGTAGGTTAAACTGAGAGGCAGCAACTGGCCCAGGGTCACACAAAGTGAGATTCATGGCTTGGTGGGGATGCGAACCCTGTTCTCCCAAGTTCTAGTCCAACACTCTAACCACTACACCACACTGTCCCTCTCCCTTCATGCGTGGCAGCCATCATGGGCAATGGTCAGGACCGATGACCGAATGGCAGGCAGGCAGGCAAGCGAGCAAGCAACACAGGTGGCAGGCAGCCCAGGCAAGATGTTTAACAATGGAGAGGAGGTGCTATAGAAAGCAGTTTGTCCAAGTGCTCTCCAAAGCTCCTCCCAACCTCCTTTAAAAGGTGAAAAAGCTAGGAGACAACTGTGAAAGGATAGGCAAGGGGATAGGGCAGCTGTAAAGAGTGGGGAGGGTCTGGTCAGATGTAAAAAGAGGAGCAGTTAGCTAGATGTGAAGGACGGGGAGCCACCAAAGAAGTTGTCAGGTAGGCAGGTTTGGTACATGGAGTGAATGTGGGATGTAATCCATTGGGAGCAGTCAAATACAACATTCCTTGTTTTGCGAGAGTGGACATGCAAAGAAATGTTTGATCTAGCCAGTCGAAACTTCCTGTTCCTCCTGGTCTGGAACATCTTTCTTCGCATGTGACTAGTAGGTGAGCATGACCTTTCCAGACCTGGTAAAAGGACAAGGCATGCTGCCACCCTTCTCTTCTCCATCTTCTTTTCGTCCTGCAAACTTCCTGGAATGAACTGCTGGTTGCCAGCCAAGCAGTCCCCCAGGTCATCTCCCTTATAGGGTAAACCTGTTAGTATAAGTTTGTAACTTTAAGCCTAAAGCTTGCCTTCAGGGATCACACTGCGCTCTGCTTGATTGTGAGTAAACTTTCTTTTTATTACTTATGACTAAGACTGTGGTGTCTTTATTCTTTTAGGGGGGATTCAAGGGGTCTTACCAGGAAAAATATTAGAACACATTTCAATCTGGACAAGCCAGATTGAATTATGTATTGTCTTAAGAAACTCACATGAGTTTGCAACTAGTAAAGGGGAATGCACTCTACTAAGTAAAAGAACTTGCTAGTGCAAGTTAGGAAGGATATGAATAAACAATGTATCCTCTCCTGCCACCCTGAACATTCCCATAGTGAACAGGGGTGGCAGCCCCTAGTACAGTGGTACCTCGGGTTACATACGCTTCAGGTTACAGACTCTGCTAACCCAGAAATAGTACCTCAGGTTAAGAACTTTGCTTCAGGATGAGAACAGAAATCATGCAGCGGCGGCGCAACAGCAGCAGGAGGCCCCATTAGCTAATGTGGTGCTTCAGGTTAAGAACAGTTTCAGGTTAAGAACAGACCTCCAGAACGAATTAAGTACTTAACCTGAGGTACCACTGTACTGCTGTTTGTAAGACATGACATGAAGGTTGGCAACATTGACCCTTCCCATGTGGGAATCCCTTACAGACGACCGCAGAGACAGACAGTCAATCTGTGCATTCACAGCAGTGACCGGGGGAGAAATGGCTGCTGGGAGAAGCACAACAGGACACCTTCATCTGCTCAGCTGCAGCAAAACATGTCTCTCCCAATTCGGTCTCTACAGTCACTGCAGGCGTTGCAACCATCCAATAGTTTGACCTCAACCCCAAAGGCACACTCCTCCATCGTCTCCCAAGATGGACGGATGCCAATGGCATACCTAGATGGCATACCTGTTCCTTCAGAGGAGTCCAACACAGTCCAGATATGTTATAATTGCTCTTATTACAAGTGTTCAGGTGGATGTCCTTAATGGGCTAGACCCAGAGAAACTAGCAGGTATTTCCAGATTTATTTGACATCTCTTGAAATCGGGATACACCACTGAACTAGGTGTGGGCTGTCTAAGCTATTGGTGATATGTGTTGTTGACTCAGGGAACATCGTCTGACTCTCAGTTATGAAACGAAGTGTTGAAGCAACAGTGCTGGTTAAACGACAGGTACAAATTCATAATTCTCCTCTTATGCATCTAACTTTGGGGTGCCTTATGTCCTCTGCCGCAACTGGGGATGGGCAGAATTGGATTTGGTTTGCATTTGAAGGGAACTCTAAAAACCTGCGGTTTCCACTTCCGGGGTGGCGCCTCCGGGAAATGGCGGAATTCCCTTCGGACTGAAGGGAACCCGCTGCACGGAGGCTTGGGTCCTGCCGCTACGGCGCAGCGGGGACCCTCCAAAACCACAGGCGGAAGAAGCCTGTGGACGTGGGACTCGGCGGGCACCGTGAGCGCTCTCTCCCCTTGTACAGGAGCCCGGTAACGGGCTCCGGAGCGGGAGGTGCGTGGTGCTGTGAGTCGACTGCTTCCTCCGTGCAGCAAAGCCGCACTGCCGTTATCGGAGAGCGCTGCCTTTTTCCTGGACAATTTGGCATCTAAAACATCTATCCGTGAGTACCTGATCTTGGAAGAGTTGAACCACTTTTAAGACTGGTGAATAAACAAATAATATTGGACTTGAAATTGAACTTAATCGGGACTCGGAACGGAAAGGTCTAAACAGGAAGTCAGCCTCCGTTCTTTTGTTATGTGAAGAAAGCAAAGACAAAATATACTAAAGCTTGAAAATTAAATTCTAAGAGAACTAGAATTCAACATCTAAGATTTCTGAACCCCCCCTTTGACTGCAGGAGAAGAAGGGGGTTGTATTTGGACTTTTCAATCCTGCGGGAGTGAGTTTAAAATAAAGCAATTTTCCACCGCCCTGAACCAGGAGCGGGCTGTCAGAATTGACGTTCTGAAGTTTATCCAGCTCGACAGTTAGTTAAAAGAAGGGTAACATTTTGATTCTACTGTTGCCTCTTGAATTTGGAAGGGGGAATTTTGGATAAAGTGTTTCTGGAAAAAGAAAGATTGTTGCTGTTGCTTTTATTCCTTTTAAAAAAAAAATTCCATCTAGTGGAATTCAGTGAAATTGCAACGCAGAGAGATTAAAAGAGAAGGACTATTGGACTATTGTCGTGGGAAAGAATTTTCTTTGACCTTGAAGGACAATGCTAGTACAAAGGCTTGAACAATTGTTCCTGGAAGGTTTTTCAAAACTAAGTGCCCAGCTGGACCAGATGCGTCAGGAGACGACCTTGATGATGGAAGTTACCAGAGCACAGCAGCAAACAAATGAAATTCAGTTAAAGGCTATACAAGCATATGAACCTGCTGTAGTGACGGAGGCTTCAGAGATGGAGGGACCTTTGGACGGGCAAGATCAGCCTTTGAACTTGACAAATGAACTTGGGACAAACCAGATTCGGAAAGATGAAATGTGGTCAGATTTGGAAATGGGGGATGGATCGACCCCCCTCCATATGGTTATTTGGACCTTCCGAGTCTAGTGATGGGCTATCAGAGGATTGGAGTAGCCGAAGTCTCCAAGCTTTGTGGAAATTTGAAGTGGTATTATTTGCTGTCTGGCTTGGGCAATGGGTTTGGGATGGATTTGCTGCAAAGGGTCAAAAGCATTTTCTTGCTGGAGCATCCACGACTGGAAGGGAATCATCAACAAGAGTGGCGAAAGGGGCAAGAAAGAGACTTGAGGGCCTCGGATACGAGACAACCAGGTTAAGGAGCCGGATTATCGAGGTTAAAAGGACTGACAATCCCGGGTCCAGGGGAGGGGAGGTTGGAAGCTGACTGGACTGAATTGGATTTATTATTATTTTTTTCTTTTTATTTTTTAATATTGGGAATGTTTACAAATGTTTGAAGGATGTTGAATGAAATTACATGGCCTAAGTAAGGATTGGTAAATGATTTGTAAAAAGGTAATGATGTAAGAATTTGGTAAATAATGAATATAAGCTATGAGTCTTAAAGTTTTTATATGACAAGAGGGAAAATAGAATAAGGAAACGTAACGACAGATTGTTATGAAAAAAACAGAAAGGATTTGCTGTAAAAATTAAAAATTAAGAAACAAGAGAGGGGAGGAGGAGGAAGTCTAGAAAGGAAGTCAATAGAGATTGTAAAGGACTTTATATTTTTGTTTTTCTGTTTTTCTTTTTTTTTCTTTGCGGCTGGGTTTTCTTTTCTTTTTTGTTTATGTACTATTTTTGTTTTTTGTATTCTCAAAATTTTTTGGAAATTTTTGTTGTTATCCTTTGAAAACTTAATAAATATCAATTATAAAAAAAAAATAAAAACCTGCGGTTTCCAAAAACATAGGAAAACCGAATCACAGCCATCCTTTAAAGATTATAGTCTGAATTCTGTGGTACATTTCTCCAACCGAACAATGTTTGCAGAAATGCATATATTAGGGGAAAGCTTGCATATAAATTAATACATCAGAGAAAATAACATACACAACTGTGTTATGTTAGGAGATACTGCTTGAAGAAAGTATGTACATTCCTCAAAACTGCATACAAAAATGTGTTTATTAGGATAAATTCAATGCTGGAGAATTTCCATGAGGTTTTTTTTAATGCAAATGGTTACAGAGATGTGGAGACCTGAATTTAAGTCTGGAAAAAGGAGAGATGGAGAGGATTAAATTGACCAATCCTTCCATCCCCACCCTCCATCTGACTTCATTTCCCCAACTTTGGCAACCTCCCCCAACATAATGCCCAGTCCATTTGTTTTGGACTACAATGCCCATCAGCCACTGCTCGCATAGCTGTGGATGATGGGAGTTGTAGTCCAGAACATATGGAGGGTACAATGTTGTGGAAGGCTGTCCTAGAAGCAGAATCAATATGGGGGGGCAGTGAGGAGTAAAGTTGGAGGGAGTTGAATATACAGAATTCTTGTCCGTAACAGCAATGCAGTTGTTTTAGATTAACGTATAAATAGACATTAGTGTAATACATCTGTTGTTAATCCACGTCTTGGTGGAAGAAGGATGCCAACACTTCATTTATTAGACCCGTCGAACCTATAACATCCTTCCCTGTGTTCCTTTTGTCTTTTTCTCAGAGAGTATAATAGGTTCCAGGATGTCTTTTATTTCACTATATAGACCGTGTTTCCTCCTGTCGAACAAGAGCAAGACATAATGGATTCCAGGATGTAATTTATGCGGGGTTTTTGGAATCGGACACTATCCCATTAATTCTGAAACTTTCTGACAGTGAGCTGATTCTCTCGCGCTACCCTTACTTGTTAGCTGTTAAGCACCAGGGAGGTTGCGAGGGGAAAATTAGGAGAGGGGGAAGCAATCAAGTCTAAGATTGTAGTCCAAGGCATTTTGCCTGCCTGTCACCCATTTCAGTCTTCCTGGGAAAGGATGGTTAGAAAAACCACTTCCCCTCCTAAGCAGCAAAATCTTAAGAAGAGCTCTAATACGGCCCCATCTGCACTATAGATTTAAAGCACACCACGTTAAGCAATCATGGCTTCTCCTAATCCTGGGAACTATGATTTGTAAAGAGTGCTGAGAGTTGTTTGGAGACCCCTATTTCCCTCACTGAGCCATGATGGCTATGCTCTGCCTCCACTGTCAGAGACAGTACATCTCTGAATGCCAGTTGCTAGGAACCATAAGTGTCAATCAGACAAAGAAAGTTAGAAAGCAAAATGTGGAGGCAAAATTCTAAAGCTTATTAGGCAGCTATGATGGGAAACAGGATGCTAGTGTGATGGACCTTTGCTCAGACTTAGGAACCATCTGCATTATACATTTAAAGCAGTGTCATGCCCCTTTAAACAGTCATGGCGTCCCTCAAAGAATCCTGAAACATGTAGGTGCTGAGAATTGTTAGGAAATTCATTCTTCTCACAAAGCTATAATTCTCATAGTTTCCTGGGGAAAGAAATTGGTTGTTAAACCACTCTGGGAATTTTAGAATTTTAGTTTTTAGAAAGTAGACCTCATAGAGGGTATATATAGATATATAAAACTCAAACTAAATCTCAGTGTGAGTGAGTTTACACCTCTTTAGTACACATAAATGCAAATGTGTGTGCATGAACACAAGGTGCACAGCTTGCCAATTTTGTGTGTGTTTACTGTACATATTGCAGCTGGTGAGACATATTTTGTACTGAAATGAAAAGTTAGAGTGGGCAAGTCATATTTAGTGTGAAAATGCAGTTACTTGAACCCTAAGGCACCACAATTGCTATCTATCTATCTATCTATCTATCTATCTATCTATCTATCTATCTATCATCTATCTAATCTATCTACCAACACTGCAGCTGGGGATTTTTCTTTTCTTTTCAGTTGATAACCTATTTCAGGGCAGCCATGCTTTTCTAAAATACTATCATTTACATGTCCAAAGAGGTTGCCACAGAGATAAATGGGTGGGCCTTTTCCCACCTTACCTGGCTGGCTGAAGGATGGAGACCAACAGGCCAAGAAGGGGTGAGTATTGCTGGATGCTAGAAGCTGGAGACACAGAGACATGTCTTGCTCTGTGCTGGAATCAAGAGATGTGGTTTGCAGCTTCCCTGGAAACCCAATGGGGAAGCAAGATCTGTTGGGGTGTTAATGCTGTGAGCACCTCTATCTTATACTGAGGTTGTATATATGGGTAAACAAAACCATGTATCATAAAAACACCATAGTCTCCATTGTTTTTTATTCCAAGGAAACCAAACGCTGGGAAAGTGAGGGAGACTGGGGTGCACTTCTGGCGTCTAAACTGATAGGCTACAGGGCAAAACTTGTAGCTTTCCCGCGCTGGAGAAGTGCCTCAACTCTTTTCAATTCAGTTGCCTCATTCTATGCCTTCTCCCAACAACTTTTGGGGATGGGACGTACACAGCAAACTGGCAGAATCCCCTACACAGAGGATTCCAAGGCAAATAGTCCATCTGTACACCCCAAGAGCCCTTCAGACCCTCTGGCAGAGTTAACGAATCAGGCTTCAGAACAGGGGTCAACAAACTATTTTCACAAGGGGCTGGTCCATTGTCCCTCAGACCTTGTGGGGGGCCGGACTATATGGGGGGGGAATCCCCCCAACTCTCCTCTCCCTTCTCCACAGCACATGACGAGCCCCAGTGGCTGCTTACCTGTGCCTTGAGAGTGACAGGGGCTGGTGGCAGCAGCGGGACGATGAGCGGCGTGAAAGGGCTGGCTCCAGAGAGGGGCTGCTTAAAATGGTGCTCAGCCAACTGCGGCTCAACAAAGCCCAGCCCTCTTCCTCCTCTAGGCAGGGCAGGGAGAAGCCAGGAGAGAGGGAGGGAGGGAGGGAGGGAGGGAGGAGGCGCCGACGTGGTGTATGTGAGGGAGGGAAAGGGGGGAAATGGCGCAGCCCAAACCATCAGAATCCCCATGCCGATCCATGCAGCGATTTTCGGACTGTTTGCGGGCTGGATCCAGAAGGCAATTGGGCTGGATCCGGCCCCCGGGCCTTAGTTTGCCGACCCATGCTTTAAAAACAACCAGTGCTTATTTTGCATCTGGAAACAGAAGCATTAGTCCCTAAAGCACAAAAGCTCTAAAAAGAAAAAGAAAAAACACAGAGGGAAAAGGTATTAAATTCCTTCTTGGGGGCCACTGGTGCATCCTGCAGTGCAATCTCCTTCCCACTCTCCTTTCCTCAGAGTCCTCCTAGAAAGATACCAGCAGATAGCTAAAAATGTGATGTAGGAAAGTGGAGGATGAAGTTTAGGGCAGTATTTCTCAAGGTGGGAGGTACCATCCTGGGGGCGGAGGGGGGGCAGCAGGGAGACACTGGATCTGAAAATGAAGATCAGACTTTGGAAAGCTGGTATCACTGGATCAAGTTCACAGATCTTGTTGAAATAATTAAACTAAAGAGCTGTAACTGGATTTCGAATAAATGTGCAATTGTTATCATTTTGGATTTTATTGTGTTGTTATCTTCCTTAGTGGATTATGCAGTGGGTGATGCTTTTTATATAGGGTGGGGGCACTGGGGGTGAGTTTATGAAGCCAAAGGGGCAGTGCCCCCCCCCCAAAAGGGAAGTGCTGGTAGAGGACTGTCTTCTGAAGCAAAGCTACAGGGAACCAGGCAGAGGGCCTTCTCGGTAGTGGCGCCCACCCTGTGGAACGCCCTCCCACCAGATGTCAAAGAGAACAACAACTACCTGACATTCAGAAGACATCTGAAGGCAGCCCTGTTCAGGGAAGTTTTTAATGTGTGACATTTTAATGTATTTTTAATCTTTGTTGGAAGCCGCCCAGAGTGGCTGGGGAGACCCAGCCAGATGGGTGAGGTACAAATAATATATTATTATTATTATTAGTCCACTTCCTTCTGGCTTATAGAAGATTCAGCCCACCTTCATATACACAGGTGTCTCATGCCCCCACCCCCACCCCCCGAAACTCTGTACTAACAGGAAATGAGACAGAGTTCTTTCGGCAGGGAGGAGGGGAAAAACAGAGGAAGAACTCTCCAATTTCACAAAGTCAACCCTCATTGTCAAACCAAGAGGCAGCTGAGAATTCTCCCAGTCCAAAGGCACGGTACGGTGTTCGAGAGACGACACACAAGAGAAACACAAAAATATCTCGTTAACTTTTTTTTTACAATTCTAACCACTGAACAAGCTACTCCCCCCCTTTCTCTCTCAATAATTTATACCTGAATGGCTCGTCTAGACATGACATCATTTTAAGGTATGCCTGGTGTTCTGTGGTCCGTTTACAATAACCAGGATGTATAATTGCCTTCGTTCAGGTCAGCAAAAGGGGCGATTAGTGGGCTGGGAAGTGGAGGGGGGCAGTGGCGGTGGTGGAGGAGCAGAGGAGGAATATCACAAAGGCCTTTCTCTCCGCAGCTGTTCTGGAGAGCGGTTTTTATAGCCTGTTGTTTTCTGCCAAGGAGACGGAGCCCTAACAATGCTCTCGAATCCACACTGAACCGCTATCCCTTGCAGGGAAGCAAAAGGGAGAGTGAGGGAGAACGACACATACCGCAGATAATCTCCGATTCGCAAATGGTTTCGGTGTGAACAGTTCCTATTAAAGCCATGAAGGGAAACCAGCTGTGGATGGCGGCCAGGATCTACTCGCATGGGTGAAGGCTGAAAGGCAAGACCCTTGATTCTTTTGCAAAACAGATCGTGGAGCTGCTGTGGGACTTGAGCAAAAGGCTTCCCTCTATTAAATGGACAACCCTCTTATAAAGGACAACTGCTATAAAAGTTCAATCACATCTTGTGCGTGGGTTCAGTTCCAAGGATTCCACATACAGTCGTACCTTGGTTTTTGAACAGCCTAGTTCTCGAACATTTTGGCTCCCGAATGATTGAAACCCGAAAGTGACTGTTCCAGTTTTCCAACGTTCTTTTGGAAGCCAAACACGCAACGGGGCTTCCTATTGGCTGCAGGAGCTTCCTGCAGCCAACCAGAAGCCACGCTTTGGTTTCCGAACGTTTTGGAAGTCGAACGGACTTCTGGAACAGATTCTGTTCGACTCCCAAGGTATTCACAAAAATGCATTTGCTCAGTGCTATTTTTCTAGAAAAAGAGGTGCTGGAACTCACCTTCAACGTCTCCTTTGTTCTCTTTTAATTGCAATGACGCCCACCTGAGAGGTACTAGAATTGAGTTCCAGCGAGTTCTGGCTGGGGGGAAAAAAATCTTGGATATACTCAGACCCTTGGAGTCACTCCTCCACAAACATCTCAAGGCTTCTGGAGGCAACATGCAGAGATTTTTTTGCCCCACCTCCCCACCCTCAGCAAGGGAAAGAGCTTAAAGGCTCTTTTTCTGCTGTGCTTTCCCAGCACAAAAAACCTATTTTGAAATCTTTGCCTTGCTTGCATTTAACTTACAGGATTTCAACCAGTGGCCTCCAGACTCATATGGTTGAAATTGTGCAAGCTAAATGCATGTACGATGCACCCATACTGTATCTAATTTGTGCCCACTGTTACCTTTGAAGGATTTCAAACTTTTAAAAAATTGAGTCGTACCAGCTGATAGCCTTCCAGGCTCAGCTCCTAACCTCAGAGGCTTTGCAGAAGTTAAATCTCGGGCGCAAACTACGTGCTACGGGAAACATGTGTACATGTGTGAGATGTGCATGCATGATTATGCAGGCCATTTTTATTTTGAAGGGAAAACAGCTGGCCAGGCTCTATATCGGCCTTCCAATCAAGAGCAGGGTCCAGCGTTGGGTTTCCTGCCAAAAAATCACCCCCCGCTGCCCCCAAAGGCGCAGTAGAAAGCATATTTAGGGGTCAAATAGCAGTTGGGAGGTGGGCAGGAAATCAGGGGCCCACACAGCTGCATTTCATTCAAAATAAGAGTAGTTAGGTGGCTTTAAAAGTGGGGGGGGGAGTTAATATAGTGTACTGCTTCCTCCTCAACGTATGATGGGAGCGAGGACACGTTCTCCTTTGTAGAGCACATGACTGTAAGCCAGAGGTGGGAAGATCTGTAGCCCTCCTCCAGATGTTGACGGACTCCAAATCCCATCGGCTCCAGCCAGCATGGCCAATGGTTTCCTGTCCCTGTAAGCTAATCCCGAGAAACCTGCAGTTAACCTGTAGAGTTTAATCTTGCCTTTCAGCCCTTCCTCAGCAGGCCAACCAGATGATTTTAAGATCATGTAGCTGCTGGATGATGCAGGTAAGTATATCAGCCATAGGGTAGAGTCATCTCTGTTTGCTGCAGAAAAGGTTGGATAAGCCTTTCTGAACTGTGCAAGTGCTAAAAGTTAAGGGTAGCTTGAATTTTTAAATCCTGTTTCTTTGAATTCACTTAAGGGACATGGGTGGCGCTGTGGGTTAAACCACAGAGCCTAGGACTTGCCGATCGGAAGGTCGGCGGTTCGAATCCCCGTGACGGGGTGAGCTCCCGTTGCTCGGTCCCTGCTCCTGCAAACCTAGCAGTTCGAAAGCACGTCAAAGTGCAAGTAGATAAATAGGTACCGCTTCGGCGAGAAGGTAAATGGCGTTTCCGTGTGCTGCTCTGGTTCGCCAGAAGCGGCATAGTCATGCTGGCCACATGACCCGGAAGCTGTACGCCGGCTCCCTCGGCCAATAAAGCGAGATGAGCGCTGCAACCCCAGAGTTGGCCACGACTGGACCTAATGGTCAGGGGTCCCTTTACCTTTACCTTTTTATTCCCAACTTATTGGTTTGATGATCCTTTAGCTCCCCCCTTGTTTGTTTGTTTGTTTACACATTAGTGTTTTGCACTTATATCGTAATGCCCTTCAGCCATCATCATCATCATCATTTATTTATAGCCCGCCCATCTGGCTGGGTTTCCCCAGCCACTCTGGGCAGCTCCCAACAGAAAATTAAAAACACGCTAAAATATAAAGCGTTAAATACTTCCCTAAACAGGACTGCCTTCAGGTGTCTTCTAAAAGTCAGATAGTTGTTAGATGATCGATCTTGAACAAGGCCTGTATAATTGGTGACACTGTCTGCCTTTTTAAACATATACACCTAAGGTGTCTTACTCCCCACCCCCAATTCTTCCAGTTGCACCTTGTAAGCTTTCCAGTGGCACATTTTGATATTTGAATACCTGAAAGGCCACCTCCTTCCTTCCCTACAGACTCTTTCGGGTGCTGAAATTGGCAGAGGGGGCCCTCTTGGTAGTTCCTCTGCCCTCAGAGTCTGTTGGGGGAGGGACACAGGACAGGGCCTTCCCTGTGGTTGCCCCTAAATTGTGCAGCTCCCTCCCCAGAGGGAGGTGTGCCTGGCGCCTTCATTGCACAGCTTCCGGAAAATGCTGAAGACTCACCCCTTTACCTCGGTTTCTGGCACATGCAGTGCAAATCTATAGGAACCATCTTATTTTGATAATTTTAAGTTGCTTTTAACTGCTTTTAACGTTGTGCTTTAATGTTGTAACACACCCTGGGACCTTAGGGTGGGAAACAAACAAACAAACACACACACACTTCCTACTGCCACTAACTTACAAAAACAAATACTTCCTCCTGCCACTAACTTACAAATCCATACCATACGTTTAAAACAGATGGCTCCCCCCGCCCCAATAATCCTGTGCACTGTAGTTTTCTAAGGGTGCTGGGAATTGTAGTTTTGTGTGAGATAAACTACATTGTCCAGTATTCTTTTGTGGGGAGGGTAGCATTCTGCTTTAAATGTATGATGTGCATATAACAAAAGTAAATTTAGCCTGAAGTAGGGACACCTTGATAAACCTACAAGATGCTGCCGTTTCTTAAGCTTTCACCCCCATAAAACGCTGCTTCTTTTTTTGAGCTTGAGATATACAGTGTATTTCTATTCTTCCTACAGTCCCTGCCCCACGCCAGTCTCTTGGTAGTCCCAAGCAGAGAGCAATTGTGTGCTTTTGGCTAAAAACACAGCATTTGAGAAACCAGATCTTGCTCCAATATAAAGGGAAAACTCCTGGATCATTTTTGGAAGTTGTACAGACAAAGGAAGCCCATCTCTTGGGGAGCTGGATTACCAAATGCATTCAGGGCCTCTTGCAGAAATAAATCTGGTGTTGTTCAGCTCAGTCTTCCCAAGCGGACTGCTTTTTGTGGGTTTGAGGAAGGGAGGGGGAATGCCAGGGGGTAGCCTGGAGATGTAAATGGTTTTATTTAAGAGCAAAACACAGAGAATGGTCCATTTGATAGACGATGCCTTTAAGAACCAGTAAAAGGAAACATTAAAAGAAATTATAGTAAAGCTATAGGAGATTTTCGAAGTGGCTTTTTCAGATGTATTGCTTTCTTTAAGGTACAGGCATTTTCTTTGCCTCGAAATCAAACGGGTTCTTCAGGTTTTTTGAAACATCGCAACACCTGCAAGGCCTGTTTGACCAGCAATGATCCAAGTCCATTTCAAACTAATGAAACAAACCAACACCAACAGCCTAACTCAGTATAAAGCAGCTACCTCTGTTCCTATGTTCCTCACTATGATGTGATGGATTGAGCTTCTATTCAAATCCTCCATTCTTTTTCTAAATTTGCATTAACACATTAAAATATGGAAATCACGTGCAAATATGTGTCTTTGACACAAAGGGTTGATAGTTGTTTTCATTGTTTATTATCAATTTTATTTTTTTGTTGTTTATAATGAGGTAAACTGCCCTGGGACGTTTGGTGAAAACAAGGTCATATATACGCAAAACAAGATACAGTGGTACCTCGCAAGACGAATGCCTCGCAAGACAAAAAACACGCTAGACGAAAGGGTTTTTTGTTTTTTGAGCTGCTTCGCGAGACGATTTCCCCTATGGGCTTGCTTCGCAAGACGGAAACGTCTTGCAAGTTTGTTTCCTTTTTCTTAACACCGTTAATACAATTGTGACTTGACTTCGAGGAGCAACTCATAGAATGCCATGTGGTAGCCTTTTTTGAGGTTTTTAAAGACTTTGGTGATTTTTGAAGCTTTTCCAAAACTTTTCCGACACTGTGCTTCGCAAGACGAAAAAAATCGCAAGACGACAAAACTCATGGAACGAATTAATTTCGTCTTGCGAGGCACCACTGTAAATAAAGATAAGTGGCCACCCTAACTTTAGCACTGCTCCCCCTACACCTGAGAAAACTCCCTCCCCTCCCAATTGTACACAGAAATACTGAATTTTTGAAGGCACTCCGAGAACCTTTTTGCCTAAATGGTGGGATTTAAATGCCTTAAAGAAACAAACAAATGGGGAACAAGGGGGGAAAATGAGGTAAACCTCCTGGGAATTCCTGCCAAATGCACATTCTCAGCTTGTCATTACTGACGTTTAACGAATGAAAAAGAAAGGAAATGAATGAATGTGAGAATCGGCATGGTCAGCAAGGGGTTACTTGATCCCAGACCAGAACCAGCTCCCTTTCCCAAATAGCTTGCACCCTTTGACTTGTATCTCTCTGTGTGTGTTTTTAAAGAAGGCTTTCTAAAAAGAAACGAGAAATGAAAAATTCAGAGAGAAGGCCTAGTTCATTTCAGGAGCCAGGAGTGGTGGTGGGGGGGGGAACCAAACAAACTACAATTCCCAGAATGCTTTGGGAGAAGCCACGGCAGTTGAAGCTGTTTTGTGTAACCAAGGAAGCAGACAAATCCTTAACAGCAGAGAGCCGGGGAGAGAGGAAAATGAACCAGACACAAAGTATGCTGATAGACGGCCTCACTCGGACCAAGCATGTTGCCAACGCCGCTCTCATCAGAATAGTGGACGGCAACATCCTGGCAACGACTCCGGGCTTCAACATCCAAAGCCAAGCCCTGGTCTTCCTCCAAGCTTTTTTTAAGGAGCTGCTCCAAGTCAGAAGAGACGGGCTCTACTTCAAAGACCGGTATTACAAGTGTGTCAGAGCAGACGACCACTCCATCTACCTCAAAGGGAAAGACAACGGGGTGATTTTGGCCAAAACAGGGACCTTCATCGTGGTCGGCACTTACGCCCAAGGCATGTACCCCAGCGTGTGTGTGGAAGCCGTGGAGAAGCTGGCGGACTACTTCAGAGCAAAGGGAAACTGAAAAGGCTGTGGAGATGGAGCCATTTTACTCGGAGACCCCGCGCAGCCCAGCCCAACAAGAGAACGGTTCGCCATCGGCAACAGAGAGCTGCTGATGCAAGGACCACAAGTCCTTTTCACAAGCATCCTACTTGTGGGGTTGGAGGGGAGAAAAATTAAATGCATGAGAAGTAAAACTTTGGTACTTGATTGATATATGTGTATAGTTTCAGGTTCTCCCTGGCCTGAAGCCTTGATTGGTTGAGACTAGCTGCAATTTCTGGCTGGGGACGTTGTGGCCCTCTCTGCCTGGCCCTCAGGACTTTCCACGCTCCAGGCCATGCCTTCCCCCCAGGACACAACCACCAGCAGCCCTGCTCCCAACCCTCTCTCAAGTGTTGGGATAGTGGTTCTTGCTTTCCTGGGTGGAGGGGTGGAGACAGTGTTAGAAATTCCCCAGGTGCCAGGCACATTTTGTGACTGGCGCGAGTCTGGTTGTGACCACATGGAGCTCTCTGTATGTCAGGTTGGCGACTGACAACTGGACGACCTCCAGCTTTCTTAAGCAGGTAAGCAAAAGAGCTTATTTACTGCATTTATATCCCACCTTTTTCTGCAAGGAATACATGGTTCACTCCTTGGTTAAATCCTACAATGACCCTGTGAGGGAGGTTAGGAGGCTGTGAGTGATTCCAAGGTCACCCAGTGAGCTTCCTGACTGAGTGGGGATTTGAACCCTGATCTCCCAGGTCCTAGTCTCGCACTCTAACCACTACACCACACTTCCTAGAGTCCTTCTGCTATGGGGCAGCTCTATAAATTAAGCAGGTAAATAAATATGGGGAAAGCAAAATGTTACTTGGAGAAGAATCTGAACTATTTCCCTTGAAGCCTGAATGTGATTTATTCTGGGTTGTTTAATTTGATGTTTTAATGTGTTGTAAACCGCTTTGAGATTTTTTCCCCTTTAAAATATAAAGAGGTATAGAAATGAAAATCATCATCATCATCAATTTCATCGGGGGGCGGGGGGAATGGCACCTAGACATTCCATTGTGGCAACCGTGACCCAGGTTTAAGGTAGCATTTGATGATTAGCTTATATATCTGAGTTTCAGGCACTGGTGTGGGCACAGAAATTTGGGGTAGACTGGAAGGTGTACTATAGAACAAAGGTAAGGGTCATCATATCCATTGCTCCACCAATCTTTATCTCTGGGCCCACCCACTTTTGACTCCGAGCATGCCCACCACTGGCATGTGAACCCCAAAAGATTCCCCATGAGGGAATATAGCCCTCGGGGCTAAATATTTACCCCTCTGTTCTAGAACATTCTGTGTAAGAGATTGCTGCAATGGCAAGGTATATATACCGTATTTTTCGCTCTATAAGACGCACCAGACCACAAGACGCACCTAGTTTTTGGAGGAGGAAAACAAGAAAAAAAATATTCTGAATCTCCGAAGCCAGAACAGCAAGAGGGATCGCTATGCAGTGAAAGCAGCAATCCCTCTTGCTGTTCTGGCTTCTGGGATAGCTGCGCAGCCTGCATTCGCTCCATAAGACGCATACACATTTCCCCTTACTTTTTAGGAGGGAAAAAGTGAGTCTTATAGAGCAAAAAATACGGTAATTTGATTCAGTTCTCCTTTAAAAGCAAGCTGATCTAATTTATACTTACTGTTATTTTTTATTTCTACAATTTATATACCGCTTATATTTTTAAAAAAAACCAAACTCTAAGTGGATTACAAAACAGATCAAAACATCAAAATAAAAAGTAATAATGATGGAAGTCCGTCAATGATGCTGCTGATGACGGGCTTGGTGCTTCTGGCAACAATGACTGGGACAAATCTGTAGTTTTTTAAGGGTTCTACCTTATGTCATAAATAGGTCATCTAGTGATCCTCTCTCTGGAAAAGAAACATTTCACCACTTCTCCTTCCTTGTACCCATATGGCTTATTTCTCCAAAATGTAAACCTGTGCATGTGTATGGTGTTAAAAAAAAGAGATACAGTGGCACTTCGGGTTACATACGCTTCAGGTTACAGAACTTTGCTTCAGGATGAGAACAGAAATCGTGCTCTGGCGGCGCGGCGGCAGCAGCAGGAGGCCCCATTAGCTAAAGTGGTGCTTCAGGTTAAGAACAGTTTCAGGTTAAGAACAGATCTCCGGAACGAATTAAGTACTTAACCTGAGGTACCACTGTAGATGAAATTCAGAACTTATCGGAAGTTAGGGGAAACACAACTCAGCTGGATTCAATCAGCTGGGAGGCATGATGCTCTGATGGGTCCAGGAGCCCACCTGTCACCCCTGGCCCTAACAGTTCCCCTACAAAAAAAATTCATTGCATGCCACTGCCTGCAACCCTAGAAAGCTGCTGCCAGCCAGTGTTAACAATACTGAGATGGAAAGCTCAGTGGTCTGCCTTGGTCTAAGGATGATTCCTATGCACCTAAATCAGAATGCATTACACAACCATAAGGACACGAGACACCTTTTTTTAACAATGTGAGTCGTAGGAACAGAGTTTCTACACTGCCACAGAATCGCAGCATGCAAACTGCCCTTCCCGTTATCAGCCTGGCGGAGGGGGTAATTTTGTTTCCCGGATTTGCACCGTTCCATTAGAAGGAAAGAAAACTTGGGTCTAAAGACGGGAGAAGAGAGAGATGACGTCTGATATTAGCAAAAGTAAAACAAGGTTGTCATTTTCTGGCTGCCCTCAAATTGGCGCCAAGTTTCCCGGGTTGGTGGGGGACACACATTTGCCTCCCAGGAGAGCGTCCCTGGGCTTTGAACTTCGAAGCATATGAGAGGAGGAGAAAGAGGCTAGTTGGAGGTGCCAGCATCATCTTGGATTGAAATCAATCAGACTGATGCATGATTGCAATAACTAGCCCACATCACCTCTGCGCTGCCCCTTTCCATATGGTCTTTATATCAGGATTCCGCAGGCTGGGTGGCTCATTTCCTGCTGCAGCTAAAAAAATCCCCCTCGCTCCAAAAAGAGAGAAAGAAAACAAAGCAAAGCGAGACTGATCGTCCAGCAGAACTGTTTGACTAAAGTCCCTCCAAAGCTGAAGCAACAGCTCCGATTAAGTTCTTTGTTATCTTATCAACTTAGCTAGATGCAGAGAGAAGCCCAAACAAGGCAGGAATTAACTTAAGACTCACTCCAAATGTCAGGGAATCTGACATGTTCCATCACTTGGGGTTTACCTGAGACTTCTTTGGGCCCAGGGAGACATAGGAATAAAACCAGGAAGCACTGGAGGCCTCAGAACAGAAGCATAGAAGCATACCCTCCAACATTTCTCCAGTGAAAACAGGGACAACCAATTCTATTAGTATTAGTAAAGTGGACGCTCGGGTTGTGAACATGATCCGTGTGGGATGCACGTTCGAAACCCGCAGCATTCGTAACCTGCAGCAGCGCATCTATGCACGCGGGGGTTGCGATTTGGCGCTTCTCCGTTCCTGTACTTCTGGGTTTTGGCAGGTCCGTAACCCAAAAAAACACAACCCGAAGCATCTGTAATCCGAGGTATGGCTGAATTAGTATTAGTATCACCCTGCCCATCTGACTAGGTTGCCCCAGTCATTCTGAGCTACTTCCAACATATATAAAAACATAACAAAACATTACACATTAAAAAAACTTCCCTGTACAGGCCTGCCTTCAGATGTCTTCTAAAGGCTGCAGAGTTACTTACATCCTTGGCTCCGGGGTCGCATAACTACATACGCTCCAACATTTCTCTGATGGAAATAGGGACGTTCTAAGGACATTCCAGGATCAAATCAGAAACCAGTACAGCTTCTGTAATTCTGGGACTGTCCCCAGGAAATAGGAACACTTGGAAGTTTGCAGTAGCCAGACCCAAATTAGTGATTTGATCACTGCTTGGGGCCTGCACAAGATATTCTGCTGCCCAGGATGAAGATGGTGTCCCCACCAGAGAGCAGCTGCACTGGCAACTGAATCTTGCAGCAACCCTGGCAATGGTATATAGTCCTCTGCTGCACCTGAGAGTCGCAGCCCAGCTTAGGGAGTTCAGGGCCAACCCTGGATGTTGGACCATATCAGGTGAGCAAGAGGCATCGTCAGAGTTCAAGGACACATTCCAGCCAAGGAAGGTGTGAAGCAGGGCCTGATGAGGGTGGCCTGGGAAAGGGCCTTCTCTGTGGCAGCCCCTCAGTTGTGAAACTCCCATGCCACCTTCCCTATACAGCTTCTGGCAAATTCTGAAGAGACGCCTCTTCGCCCTACCCTTTCAACGCTTGAGGTGTGTCTTTTTAGGACTCACCCTATTTCTCTAATTGAAAGACGCTTTAAACTGTTTTTAATATTTTGTTGCATGGTTGTGCTTTAATGTCGTAACCTGCCCTGGGACCCAATAATAAATCATAAATAATTCCACTCAGAACAAATCAGAAGCATGACATCTCGCGCAGGGAAGCCTGCGGTTCGGATGCAAGGATCCCAAACGGTGCTCCCCGGGGAGCACAAACAGTCTCCAAATTCCCCACGTAAACACAGCCGTGGTGCATATCAAATGACAGGCAGCCCGTGAAGAAGGCAAGCCGTTTTCTTCCAAAAGATAAAATCTAAAAGCGAAGATTTTAGCTAAACAGCGGAGTTTAGCTAGCTGCCAGCAAGACTTCCTCGCAGGCTGGAGACCTTCCTCGTCGGCTGCCTGGTTAAGAGTTAAAATTCCTCAGATAATTCTAATTTAAACAATCTGTAGCCATCAGCACTAAGGAGGTGCCCGCCAGCTGGTGATGGTTAAGTGGTTCCTTTTTTTTTCTCTTCCAGAAACCTGAACCTATTAGCAAAGGGTCAAGACGTTCTGTTATACTCCGTAGCAAGTTTCAACAATGGTTGAAACCCTCTCGTAGAATGCAAGAGTCTTCCAGGGATGGGGAGAGAGAGAGAGAAGATTTCATTTCAAGAGAAGGTTGGGAAAGGAACTCCCACAGATCTGTATTTCCAACTTTGAACAGTGCAACTGGAAGGTCCTGCAAACCTGGGGTATGGGAGGAGGGGAAGGAACCTCCACACACTTTCATTCACAGATGCTTACCTTCCTCACAGTTCCTTCCCGTGAAGCCAGGACAGCATCGCCATTCCAGGGCAGTCAGTGTTCTATAGGAGATCTTGTACATGGGTCTGATGAGAGTCCTGTAACTAACACAAGCAAGAGGTCACACAGACTGCTCTGCCCCAAACCTGCCAACCTTGCAAATATCAAAAACTGCATGTTTGCAAGTAAGCTCAGGTATGCTTTAATGCAAGGCTGACACCGCACAAAACACAAAACACTCACCCACACTTCCCATTGGTCCTAGGCCTAGGAAGCATGGGTCCATGCAGTTTCCTACTTGTCCTGCTCCTTTCCCAGGGAAAATCCACTCTTTAGTGCTAAATAAGAGCACAAGCCAGGCTTTAATACTCTTAATTTACCCTGAACATTTAGGGAACTAGTCTAGTCCACTGACTGCACACCACTGCTGTTTATTCTGACAGACTGTGTGCTAAAAAACAGTTTTCCCCCAAGGGGAAAGTGGAAGTTTGGGACAAGAGGAAGCGTGGATGAACTCTAACAAGGGTACGGACTCCCAGGTAAGCGAGTACAAGTGCAGCCTCACCACAGTTTCATGAGAACATAAGACCCTCCTACTATACAAGGCCATGCTTTCTCCCTCTTCCGTGTGACATCCCTTTAGATATTTGAAGATGGCTATCCTATCGCCTCTCAGTCTTCTCTCCTCCAAGCTAAACCTGCCTAATTCCCTCAACTGTCAACACACACAAATGGGCTCCAAAGCGCCCCAGATGAGCCTGTCAACTTTCTGCTGGCACAATCGAGAAGGCAATTGTGCGCTCAAATGGCTTCTTTGCAAAACTTATACGCATTGCAGGGCAAATGCTTTAAACACACAGGAGGAAGACATTTCCTGTGTAGTCCATTTGGGTCACAGGATGCTATAAGCCGTATCTCTACCCCTCCCCACTCCCCCCCCCCAAAAAAAATATTGTCCTGACCAGCTTCCGGTCTTGAAAGTGTCCTTGTTTCTGAAGAATCAGCCTTTGGTGCCAAATGTGTAATCTGATGTTCTGCATTCGGAATCGTTGCATGCTTGAATTCCCCTTAAAACAAACAAACAACTCTCCCCGCCCCCAAAAGTGAAGTTCAAACATTCCAGCCGTGACTATTTACCAGTGACAGTTTCGATTTCTTGGTCCCTGGTGATTCCTTGCCCTTACCTTTGCCTTGTTAAAATGCCTTGTTAAAATCAGGGTGAGTTGCTAGATGATAACCTACAGGTATCTGGTTAGCCTCTATGAGAACTGGAAAATGGATTTTAGCTGTGATTCCTGAATTGCAAAGGGCTGTACTAGATGACCCTTTGGGTCTCTTCCAATTCTATGATTCTGCTTTGTAACACGTTGGGAGGGCAGACAGAAAAGAACACTGCCCCCCCTCTCACAGAAAAAGAAGAAATCATAATCTGATCCAAGCTTGCACATACCACCCCCAACAACCACCTTGGCACACCTTAGTAAAAGCTGGAGGCTGATCCTGACACTAGCTTGCCTAATACCCTCTTAAAGCCATCTAAACCCGCCATCCCCGCATTGTGTGGCCAGTGAAATTCGCAGAGTTAATTATCTGTTGCCTGAAAAAGCACTTCCTTCTGTCAGTCCAGTAAACCGACTGCCAAACAGTTCCACTGGGTGAAACAGAGTTTATCCTTTATCCTTCCCTTTAAGTCGTCTTCTGTTTCACGACAAAAAAGCCCCAAGTGTTTCATCCTCCCTTTATCAGAAAGATGGATCAGTTCCTTAAATAAATAAATCATAGAATCATGAGAGTTTGAAGTGGCCTCAAAGGTCATCTAGCCTAAGCCCGCCCACTTCCGATACAGCATGTTCAAGATCGTGCACCGTCCGTAAAAGCTCTTCCAAATGGCCAACTGAAATGCCCTTCCTTGCAATTTGGACTCTGGAGCATCAGAAAGCAAATTTGCTCCATCGTCTATTTGACAGCCCTTCAGGATATTTAATGGTGGCCGTTGCGTGGCCTCTTGATCATTTCCCCTGCTTGGCTCATTGTGTTTGCCCTGTCTGCACCTTCTCCTTTTTAACTCTGTGTCATTCTTTCCTTGCCTGCTGCCTCCAGATGCTTTGGGTTCCTACTCCCACCATCCCTGAATCTCAGTCTTTAGCTGCGATCCCTGCATTGCAGGGCATTAAGACTAGATGACCCCTGAGGTCCTTTCCAACTCTACAGTTCTATGATTCTATGATGCGTCATGTACACTCAACATGCCATGTCGGACCTGCTTTCGTATCCATTTCCACAGCGCACAGGTAAACTGCGGCATTCATTCCCACAGGATGGGGCGAGGACCCACCAATTTAAAAAGATCAGACAAATCTGTGCCTGTCAGTGGGTACTGTCAGGGCTGGAGTCAGACACTGGTCAGAATGAAAGACATGGGGCTCCATTGTCAGTGCAGTTAACTCTGTATTCTGCTGGGTTTCATAAATGGAGAGATGGCTGTTGCTTGTGGGCTTCCACTGTGAGAATGGCCTTTGGCCTGAACTAAAGGTAAAGGTACCCCTGACCGTTAGGTCCAGTTGCGGACGACTCTGGGGTTGTGGCGCTCATCTCGCTTTATTGGCAGAGGGAGGCGGCATACAGCTTCCGGGTCATGTGGCCAGCATGACTAAGCCGCTTCTGGCAAACCAGAGCAGAGCACGGAAACGCCGTTTACCTTCCCGCCAGAGCGGTACCTATTTATCTACTTGCACTTTGTGCTTTCGAACTGCTAGGTTGGCAGAAGCAGGGACCGAACAACAGGAGCTCACCCCGTTGCGGGGATTCAAACCGCCAACCTTCTGATCGGCAAGCCCTAGGCTCTGTGGTTTAGACCACAGCGCTACCCACATCCCTTGGCCTGAACTCGCAGGGCTTTTTATACACTCTTAACTTCTTCACTCCCTTCAGAACCACTTTTTTAATTATTATTATTACTACTACAATTGATTTATTAATCGCCTTCCAAACCACCATCTCAAGGCAATTTGCATATAAGATGATAAAAAATAGGGGGGCGGAGTCAACCAATACATTGAAAACAAAGGCTAAAACCTTAACAAGTGCACACTTATAGTAAAGACACCTTTATCCAGTTGGGAAAGACCATCAAAACAACAAAGTTGTAAAGTGCAGCTAGGGGGCGACTATCATATCTCAACAGGGATGCAATTCCACAGGACAGGGGCAGCCTCCCTGAAGGCCCTGCTCTGAGCTCCTGCAGAGAGGGCTTCTGAGATCTTTGCAGGAGAAACTCTCCCACAGACTGCAGTGATCTGGTGGGTGTACAAGGCAGTCTGTCAACTACGTGGGTCCTTCTCTGTGACGGCAAGCAGCCTGCCTCTACAACCCTGAGAAGAAAACCCAGCATTCCAACCAAGCCAGGAGAAGTTATTCAGACAGCGGTTACCTCACTAAGTTGGCACAAGGTCCCGGCCACCGGCAGCTTTGATAAACCCTCTGGATCACAGTCTCTGAGCCATTCTGCACCTGGCAGGAAACAGTCCGGGTGACCGTGTGTTGACACCAGTGCCTGCGGAGAGGAACAGAAGGCAAACTCGATGTCATTAAGGCCAAATCACTGACTGCTGCAAATCAAGAAGGTGGGACAACGAGCACAGAACAGAGTGGGGCTAGATATTCTTAAAAATTCCAGTACTGGCTGGTCCACTAGGGCGGCTGCTGGGACAGAGCCCTCCCAAGGAGTCCAGCGCAGAGACCATAGCTAAGCCACAGCCAGCCCCGCACTGCCAGAACACATGGATCCTGAAATAGCCTGGGCCCCTTTAAGAGCAGAGGCTCCGCCCATTAGGGAGGAGCTAGATGCTCAAAGGAAGCTGGAGGTCCAATTTAAGGCTCTGCCTAAGTTTGCCGGTTGTTAGAACGACATTCAAGCCTGCCTTGTCTCACTGCCAGTGTAGGCTCCCCTTGGGGCTGTCCAAGGTTCTACCTTACCATGCTTTTCACTGCAAGAAGTGAAGTTATGGGGAAGGAAGCAGAGGGCATTGTCTCTCTCTCTGTGTGTGTGCAATGCTTTTTATGAGTTTCATTAGATATTACAAGTATTCCATTCATCTTCAAAACAACACAAGGTACACAAAATACAAAAAAAAAGATCATGAAGAAACACCCACAGTTAATGAAAATGTTCAACACTATATGTCTCCAGGGTCTTACATCATGATTAGATAGTCTATTTGCTCTACGTGGGGCTGCCCTTGAATCTGTCCCAGAAACTCCAGCGGGTGCAGAATGCTGCAGCGAGGCTCCTCACGGGGTCTCTGCCATGGGAGCATATTCACCCAGTGCTTTTCCAGCTGCACTGGCTCCCGGTGGAGTACAGGGTCAGATTTAAGGTGCTGCTTTTGACCTTTAAAGCCCTTCACGGCCTAGGACCCTCATACCTACGGGAGCGCCTCTCCCAGTATGCCCCATGGAGAGCCTCAAGGTCCATAAATAGCAACACCCTAGTGGTCCCGGGCCCTAAGGAAGTTAGATTAGCTTCAGCCAGAGCATGGGCCTTTTCAACACTGGCTCCGGCCTGGTGGAACCCTCTGCCTCATGAGACCAGGGCCCTGCAGGATCTGATTTCTTTCCACAGGGCCTGTAAGACAGAGTTGTTCCGCCTCGCCTTTGGTTTGGAGCCAATTTGATTCCCTCCCCCTCTTTCTTTTTTCTTTTTCCTTTCTCCTCCTGTGATGAGGCTGCATTTTAATATTTTATTGTTTCAATATTTTAATGTTGTATTTTAATCTTGTTTTTAAGTTGTATTCGTTCAATTTGTTTTTATTATTGCTTTTTGGCCGCCCTGAGCCTGGCCTTGGCTGGGGAGGGCAGGGTATAAATAAAATTTATTATTATTATTATTATTATTATTATTACTACTACTACTTTTTAAAGGTGACTTCCGTCTACCTCACTGCGGGTCTTTTTTTTCCTTTTTCCAAGCAGAGGGCCTTCTCAGTAGTGGCACCCACCCTGTGGAATGCCTTCCCATCAAAGAGATAAACTATACAACCTTCTGTAGACGTCTGAAGGCAGCCCTGTATCAGGAAGTTTTTAATGTATGATGTTTTGCTGTGTTCTGTTGGAAGCCACTCAGAGTGGCTGGGGCAACCCAGTCAGATGGGTCGGGTACAAATAATAAAATTATTATTGTTGTTGCTGTTGTTGTTATTAAAGATGTCACATGTTCTCATCCTGAAGGCCCCCTCAGCAATCTGGCTACCACATTTTGCACCAGCTGGAGCTTCTGAACCAGGTCGAAGGGCAGCCCCACAAAGACTGCATTTGGGAAACAAGCTTGTTTCAGCTCTCCCTGGAGATAGGATGAGCATCCAAATAAATATAATGTTGGCCAGCCCCTGTTTCAGATGCTAGAGAATGCACAGAGCTACTGGGAGGAAACCACAGAACTGACGTCTAGCACTACCTCTACTGAGAGGGTAGCTATCATTTTTGTGCCAATGAACCTGGAGGAAAGGAAACAAGGTGAAACTTCATCTAAGCAGAATTAAACTCCATGAAAAGATTTACCGCTGGAGGGGACGGCACTCAAGCATTGTTTACATTGCCCAACGTACTTCAAAGCCTGCATCCCAGGATAAAGGATTTCCTAGCAATAAAGCAAGCCACCTAATTAAAAAGCTCTTCTCAGTCTGTCAGATGCACCCTCTAATCTTTATGGGAGTAACATGGCTTTGACCAGACAGAGCTGTAATTTTAAGACTAAGAGAGAGGCCTTTTTTTTAACAACAACAACTTTCAAGTAAATAATGGAGTCGGCTGAATTTTCACAAAGCACGTGGAAGAAGCGTCCTTTATGTTAGATTTTTGTGTGCCCCAGTTGTTCCTGTGTGATTCTGAGAGTCCTATCTAGGCACACTTGCAAACTTGGAGGCTTTCGGTCAGACTTGGAGTTCAGGCAACCCTAATCAATGTCCAGGATTCCAAGGAGCCATGGATATGGAAGTTCCCATGACTCTCAGGATCTGTGCATGATACCATGGTTCCCTACCTACCTATGGCCTGATGGTTGCATCCTGGTAAGTAAGAGGGAAAGAGCGTGATTTCACAGTGGAGTCTCAACGTGCAGCCCATCCAATTTTGGACCTGTATAGTTTTTCAGTATCTGGAGTATGCTTGGCATACCTTCTTGGGGTTCTTTAAACCAGACAGCCTTACAGACAGAAAACCCCTTCACAGAGAGAACTTGTCCTTTGCCTAGTAGGACATACGACCACACAACTCGCAGTCGTACTATCAGGAGCTGTGTAGACTTAACGCATTATAAGCAAGTATTCTTCATGCGCTTGTGTAGAGAAAATGAGACTGTTTAATTCAGCTAAGAGCTACTCTTTGTTGTGTCACCTCACCTCAAAAAAGATATTGAAGAGTTCAAAAAGGTTGAGAAAAGAGCAGCTCAAATGATAAAGGGAATGGAGTGCAGGTGTCTGCGACTTCTTAGTTTAGAGAAAAGACGAGAAAGAGATGACATGATAGAAGTTTATAAAATTATGTATGGCATGGAGAAAGCGGATAGAGAAAACGTTTCTCCCTCTCTCATAACACTAGGACTTGTGGCCACCCAAAGAAGTCAGAATATTCAGGACAGGTGAAAAATAGGGACTTCTTCATGCAGCACATAGTTAGACTATGGAACTCCCTCCCACAGGAGACAGGGATGACCACCAACTTGAATGGTTTTAAAAGCCAGTTTAGACAGATTCACAGAGGATAAGGCTACTGGCAGCTCTTAGCCCTGACTGCTATGCTCTAACCTCCGCAGTTGGAGGCAATAATGCTTCTGAATACCAGCAGCTGGAAACCACAGGAGGCCAGAGAGTGCTCTCTAGCTTGAATCCTGCTTGCATGTTTCCCACAGGCATCTGTGAGAACAAGATGGCGGACGATATGGACCACTGGCCTGACCTAGCAGGCTCTTCTTATGTTCTTATAGTGGACTTTGGGTCAAGATGATGCAGCTATACATCTGAATAACCCCACTTACAGCCCATCCAAAAGACACCTAGTTGTAAGGGAAGGGAGAAGGGTTCGAGTTCTCAGTGGCAGCTAGCTTTCTATATGCAAGGAATCTTTTTTTTTTTCCTGGAGTGGGAGGAATGGTGCAGTTCACAACCACAAGAGCTACACAGCCTGAAGTGGTACAGGCAAGATACTGGTTGATGACGTCTGTGAGTTGGGGGGCGGGAATTCGCCTTTCTTTTAAACCAATATCTTAAAACAGCCCCACTGATGTGCAAAAGCGTTCCAAAGCCCTAAGACGAAACGGTAATGAAAAGACCTCCATCTTAGGTTTTAGAGATTATAGATGCCCCCCCCACCCCCGTCAACTCTATTACATACAGATGTACTGGTGCAAGAAAGTTAGGAACGCAGCTGGCCCGAGCCCAGGATAGCAACAGATACGCTGAGCAAAATGTAACAGCTCAGATTTCAACTCCCCAAGTGCACAAGCCTGCTGTGTCTTTCAAAACTATGTCCATCAGCAACTGATTTAACAAAAGCTTTACAAAAAAACGCCTTACAGGGTTCACTCTCTGCTCAGTGTTTATATTTATGGACTGGGCTACTTCAGTATAAGTGGGAGGGCTGCCAGGGGTTTTTTGGGGGGGGTCTCAGTACTGTGCCCCCTTTGGGGGTTCTCTGCTTCACCTGGGCCACTGCAGGAGCAGGGGAAGGAATTCAGTCCAGTTCACATTTAAAGGCGAATCTGCCTAATTCACTTTTCCAAAACAATTCCCAAACCAAAGCATAGCCAAAATTCACCCCTTTCCTAAATTTTACAGTGCAGTTCTCCGATCAAGCAATGTGCACTGAAATGCTTACACTAGGGTAAAGCGTTATTACAATTAAATGCATTGTTATTGCTGTTTTTATTGTTAAATCATGTAGTAAACCACTGTTAGAGAGCATTTGTGTGATAAGCAGACATATGAGCCACTTCCTACAAAAGGTAAAGTCTCATAGCAATTCAGAACAAGAGTGAAATACTGTTATGGGGATGGTGGGAGGTTGTCTGGATGATATCTTGTGTCCCTTCCAAACCTGTGACCCTGTAACAGGGGACAGGATCTACAAGAGGAAGCTGGTGAACTGGTCAGACCAATTCCTTTGTTAAGTAATGGCCTTAGCTGGCCAGTTAAAGGTATGGAGTGATGGGGATGGGAGATAGCATATCACAAGCAGGGGGCCACCACCGAAAAGGCCTGTTCTCATATTGCCACCCTCCAGACCTCCCGTGGAGGGGGCACACAGAGATTCTGGGCCTCAGTTGCAGAGCGTGTTGGGTCCATAATTGGGTCTGGAAACGGTACAATGAGAATAGGTCTGTTCCATCAAGCAGATGGAGAGATGGGGATGCAGGACCACTCCATCCAAGCAAGGTAAAGATCCTTGAAATAAATGGAAAGATAAATAATATCAGGATCTGTTGCTCAAAGAAGCACAGTTCTGTGACTCTGCATGGCTGGAATGGATCTCAGAGCTGTGAGCTGCCTTTAAAGCTTTTGTTATCAGCCGAAACAACTGCACCGAATTATCTCCTTGTTTTCCTAAGGAGGAAAGGTCTCTGTGCGATATTTAATGGAGATCAGCTCTGAGGGCACAGAAAATAGTGGGAGTGTTTTGATAAGGAGAGGGTCTTCCCCCCCCCCCCAACCACACCCAAGCTTCTCCATAGTGTTTCATTCCAGAGAGATCTCATTTCTCTTCAAGAGGGGAGAGGAATTTCAATAAAAACTCAAAGGTCATTGCTTCTGAGAGGGGAAAGGGGGCTGGCTGAATTCAACAAAGACGTTTTGAACTTTTGCTTTAAAAATACAGGGTGGGGGCAGTGGGAATATGGAGCGAGTGGTGGGATCACAGATTGTGCAGCTCAACAGGCTTGCACTACACCCAGCTTAATATCCTTGGTCCTTTAAGTGCAAGAATGTTAAGTACAGCAGTCTTTTGCCCTTTCTTAAATTGTGGCAGTAGTTGGGTATGCAGATAGATAGGAGGATACAGATTGGTGTAAAAGATGACAGCTCTTGCAGTGATATTGCACTTGAACTATCTTGCTGGACGAAAAATCTGTGCAAATCACACACACCCCAGCAGTGGTTTTCAGTGAGTGGTACCGCCTCCTGGGAATGGTGGGATTACCTAGGGGGCGCTGGAGGTATAAATGACTATCAGACTTTGAAAAACTGGCGGTGCTTTTTTTGTCTAGGGGTACTCCCATTTTCCTACTCATATTGAAATACTGCCGCCAGAAGAAGAAGAAGAAGAAGAAGAGAAGTAGTTTGGATTTGATATCCCGCTTTATCACTACCCTAAGGAGTCTCAAAGCGGCTAACAATCTCCTTTCCCTTCCTCCCCCACAACAAACACTCTGAGGTGAGTGAGGCTGAGAGACTTCAGAGAAGTGTGACTGGCCCAAGGTCACCCAGCAGCTGCATGTGGAGGAGTGGAGACGCGAACCCGGTTCACCAGATTACGAGTCCACCTCTCTTAACCACTACACCACACTGGCCAAACTGAGGTTCACAAAATGTTTAGGGGTATGTGTGCCCCTGCGTCTCCCCAGAAAAAAAGCACTGAAAACTGGTATCACCGGATCACATTCATCGATTTTGTTGAATTAATTCAACCAAATTGAATGGGACTTTATATAAATGTACAATTAATTGTTCCTGTTCTGAATTTTATTACTATCTTCCTTAAAACGGGTGGTGCAAATTGTTTCCTGGATAATGCTTTTCATAGGGTAGGGTAGAGGACACTGGAGATGAGTTTATGGAACCAAGGGAGCAGTGGCCCAGAAAAGTTTGGGGACCACTACTTTAATTAAACAAACAAACCATCTAAGCCTGTGGCTATTGCTATCCTGCTGAAACAACCAAGAGAGCCCTTGATTTTTTAAAAATCCCTGGTCACAAGGCATGGCTATGCTCCCCTTCACACTCACTGCAAGGTAACAAAGAGGAATAAGGCCGAACGGAAAAGCGTGCCACACAATAGCACAACACACTGACACGCACCCACAAACACACATACAGACAGGCATCGTAGGAAGAAGAACCCTTGCCAAAAAGCAGCGGTTCTTGCCAAAGTGAGGAGGGAGGGATGGCAGGCCCCACAATTGTTTCTCGCAATATCCAAGACACACCAGGGAACGCAGCACTTGTGCTAAAAGCAAGTGTTTTATTTCAGACATCGAGTGCTAGTGAAGGTGTGCGTGAGTGTATGGGAGAAGTTACAGCCTCTCAGAAAGACCCTAGAGCTGGAGAAAGGTAATAATAATAAAGAAAAGATCTTAGAGCTGGGAAAAGGGGCAGAAAGGGACAATAAAAAATATCAGGTGGGCAAGGGGAGTGGATAGCTGTTTTAGTTTAGGAAGAAAAATCAGCCAAATTTGTTTAGTCCAAAAAAATAATAATCAGGCATTGTGGGGAAGGGGGATATTTTCGCCCTCCCTTTCAAAACACTAGGCCAGCCATAGCCAGGGTGGATGCCCCCAGATGTTGCTGAATTGGAGGCAGCAAAGCTTTTGAATACCAGTTGCTGGAAACCTCAGGAGCTTGAATGATGCTTATGGGTTTCCTCCAGGCATTTGGTTGGCTAATGTGAGAACAGGATGCTGGACTAGGTGGGCCATTGGCCTGATCCAGCAGGCTCTTCTTATGTTCTTATGCATTCCAACTCCCATCATGCTTGAACGCTGGTCATGTTGGGAGAGGCTGGCAGGAGCTGGGAGACCAACAACATCTGGCAGGGGGGTACAATATTGCCTATCTGTCTCCAAGAACTTGGGATCATGCACTTAAACCCATTAGAAATAGATTTAAGAGAGGCAAGGAAAAAACTCTGGGGTTTTTTTTTTACTACCCAGACTAGATGTGGTGTAGTGGTTAGAGTGTCCGACTCAGAGTGGGGAGCCCAGTTTGAAATCCTTGCTCAGCCATGAAGCACGCCCTGTGACGTTGGAGCCAGTCACAATTTATCAGATGGAAATACCTCGCAGGGTTGTTGCAAGCCCCGTATTCCCAGGCGGCCTCCCATCCAAGTACTAACCAAACCTGAGTCTGCTTAGCTTCCAAGATCAGACAACAGCGGGAGCATTCAGAATAGTATGGCCGTAGACAGCTGTGGCGAGCATGAAATAGGGCCGGAGGGGAAAGCCATTCAGAAATAATTCTGCCTCCAGTCCAACACCGGAGAAAGACTGTCACCATTGTGGCTAATAGTAGCCATTGGGAAACCGTGCCCTCCATAAATTTGCCCAATCTTCTTTCAAAGCCATCCAAACTGGTGGCCATCGCCGCTTCCTGTGGGAGGGAGTTCCATAGTTTACGTACTTTCTTTTATCTGTCCTGAATCTTCCAACATTCAGCTTCATGAGATGTCCACGTGTTCTTAGTATTATGATAAAGAAAAACTTTTATCTGCCCACTTCCTCCGTGCCATGCATAATTGTATAAGCTTCTATCATATCACTTCTTACTCACTAAGCTAAAAAGCCCCCAATTCTGCAACTTTTCCTCCAGGGGGAGTGGCTCCGTCCCCTTGACAATTTTGGTTGCCCTTTTTTGAAACTTTTCCCAATTCTTCAATACCCTTTTTGAGGCGAGTTCATTGTTGGGAAGGTGGGACGGAAATCAAACAAGCAGGCTTTCAAAGAGGATTTGACGTGTTCGTGGGAGAGGACAGATCTATCAAGCCAGCACCAGCGGTGAAATGAAACCTCCATAGTCTGAGGCACTGTACCTCTGAATACCGTTTGTTGCATAGCAACAGCAGGGGAGCACCAAAATCATTCCCCAGGTTTCTTGTGGAGGGAAACCTCTTTCCCATTCCCTGCAGTCCTGACAAAAATCAAGGTCTCCTAGCAGCTGTTTATGGTTGTAAAAGAAAAAAAAGAGGAGATACAGCACTTTCTGAAGGAGACTGTGATTTTACCAGGAATGGACTGCAAAACATAAGAGATGCTTAGATCAAACACGATGAGACTTTTTGTTAAAGTGCTATTTTATATTCCTGGTTCTATATTTGGTGAAGACCCTGCCATCTGGCTCTGATGCCTGCTTAGCTGGGAGTAAACACCACCAAACTCTAAGCAAGGACTTCTAAGCAGGAATGTATAGGATTCCACAGTGATTTCTGTTTTTCAGGACATTTTATACAGAACCAGGAAACAGCATTCCTTCACAGTGCCCAGGAGTTCCCAACTCCTAAAGCTGGACGGATTCAGAAGCCAAGTTCGTTTGTATGCTGCCCTTCCGATAATTTGCTTTTTGGCTCAGCCTGAGCAACTGATCCATTTAACTTGGCTCACGGTCCGGTTGAAAGTGTGTTTCCATGCAGCTCTTTTTTGTAAAAAAAAATAATAAATGAATCCCAGGGTGTCGCGGGGAAGGTGCTGTATTTCTTCAAACAGTTGCTCCCTTCGCTTTTTCTTCTTGGCCTGGCTTACTCAAATGCTGTCCAGCCCACATTTCTGCACTATGTAATAAATGCATTTTTTAAAGAAAAAGAAAGAAAGGTTTGCTCGGAGCTTACGGGCAATCAAGAGCAGCTTATCTCTGTAAATGTGAAGTGAGAGGCACTGGCTTGTGTAAAAGCAAGTTCCCATCCTGTATTTCTTCATGCTGCTGAGTTATGAGGTGATTTGGTTCACAAGTTCATGGCATCTCTGAGGTTAAGCGCTTGGGTTAAAACCGCATCTGCCTATTCTGTTCTGCTTCTCCCATCTACTGAGTCCCGCTCAGGACAAACTTCTTAAAACAAAAACTCCCAGTTAACAGAATAAAAGGGCTACACCAGGGGTGCCATGGGGGGGAGGAGCTAAAGACCCCCCCAACAAAATTCAAGGAGAGAGCCAGGCCTCCTCCATATTCTGCGGCCGGCCTCCCCACGGCTGTGCCAGGCCTTGCCGGGCCTACCCGTAGCTGTGGCAGGCCCTGCCAGACCTCCTCCTAATGCATGACATCAAATGTGTGTGCTGTGCGCATGACATCACACGCGCACGCTGCCCACCCCCCAAAAAAGTTGGACAGAACCCGGTGACTGTAGCCCAAATCTTATGCTCTCCTTAAGCCTCAGCTACACATAGGTCTCTGCAATATGGAGACGGCAATACTAGTCTACCTTGAACAGCGTTTGTAAAAATGGAAACAAAGCTGTACTTGAAAAGAGTTCTGGACGCTCAAAAGCATTATCTAAAGGCTATGTTTTCACCATCTTTGGCCACGGCTGTATTACTAATGGGGCATTTAATACTGAATGCATTGTTTGTTTGGTGCATTTACATCTCACATTTCCTCCAAGAAGCTTAAAGCAATGTACATGGTTCTCCCCCTTCCCATTTTGTCATCACAACAACCCTATGAGGTGTTGTATGCTGGGATGAGAGACAGCGGCGGGTCGAAGCTCATCAAGTGAGCTGCATAATTTAAGGGGAACTAGAACCCTGGTTTCTCAGGTCTTAGTCCAACACCTCAACCATTACACCACACTGGATCTCTTTATATTTGTTTAAAATATACTTTACTTTTAATTTACTGTAATTTACTTTTAATAGAGAATGTTGTGTGTCTGCAGTTAGGGTTGCCAAACCAGCAGGGCTGAGCTGAAATATCCAGCATCGCCTGGCCCCCTCCAGGTGGCGGGGGGGGGGGGGGGCTTGACTCTCCAGGTGAGCAAGAATGCCTTTAATTAATTCACTTTTTAATGAAGAAGACTATATGTGCAGCTTGCAAGCTTCAGCCCAGCAGGAGCTGGCTGCAGATTTTTGCATAGGCTCCTTAGCAGGTCTGCTTTCCTCTGCTCCCTCCTCCCAATTAACCCCCATCTCCAAGGCTCAGTGGTGGGAGGGGGAAGAATCACAGGGGCCACCCCTGTGGCATCAATAGGGCTCATCCCTAAATCTCAGGTTTTGGGCCTGAAATCTGAGGGTCTGGTATGTTCCTGACCTGGCAACCCCAGAGGCAGAAACACTTCTTGCTGGAAACCATGGGAAAGTAGAGGGCTCTCCCACTTGTGGGTTGGCCACTTTGAGAACAGGACACTGGGTTAAAATGGGCCTGAACCAGCAGGGCTCATCTTCCATACCCTCCAACATTTCTCTGGTGAAAATAGGGGCATCCTAAGGGAAAGCAGGACATTCCGGGATCAATTCAGAAACTGGGGCGGCTTCTGTAAATCCGGGACTGTCCCCTGAAAATAGGAATACTTGAAGGGTTTGCATTTTGTAGTGTTTTCCTATTACGTTAATGACTTGAGAGGGATGCAGGAAAATCAGCAGAGATTGGCAGAACCCCAACACGACAAATTCCCAGGATAAAGCCGCCCAGGAGGCCGAGCCACTGCTTCCCATCAGGTCCGCGCAGCCACCGCGCCCGTTCAGACAGAGCCGCCCCCCAAAGCGGCAGCTCCTAATGTTTCCCTCGCTGCCCCCGCCCCGACCTCCCTCTCCATCTCCTGACATGCTCAGCTTGACCCACTAACTCAAGCCAACTGTGGAAAGGTCAAATGCAAAGACTGACTCCCAGAAGGGAGAAACCACATCAAGGAACTGGGAAGGAAAGGAGGGAAGGCGGGGGGGGGGGGAGAGAAAAGAAAAGAAACAGCAGGTCTCTCCCCCAGGCCCACCACCCCGCAAGCCTTCAAGTCTGGCAGGCGCAGATGGGGGGAGAAGGAAACGAGGCAAGCTTTACGTTTATTTATTCTGGAGCCAGACCTGAACAGGAGCCAAGCCGTCCCGTGCCAGCATATAATAAGAGCTCTGAATTGGGTAGGTGGGTCTCTCACACACAGACACACGCTAACTTTTTGTCAAAAAGTATAATGTTTCTAGACCTTTTGGTTATGAGATTTCTGGCAGGGACCATTTCCCCCCTGGGACAGTCAAGTGGTTTTCTTCCTTTTTTATTTTTAGGGGAGTTCTTAGGAAAAAAACCTATTCTCCTCATAGGGTTCCAATTCCCAGAATTCCCTGTGAAGAGGGATTGACTGCTTAAACCGCTCCAGGAATGATAGCTTTGGGAGAGGAATAGGGGGTCTCCGCGCAACTCTCAGCACCCTCGACAAACGACAGCTCCCAGAATTCTTGGGGGGAAGTCATGACTGTTTAAAGTGGGTGGAAGAGTGATGTAAATGTGTGGACAATGGCACAAAATCCTTGGCTTGCACTCGCCGGCTTCTCCCTTCCCTCTGGTGATACAGGCCACATTTGCATTTAAAGATGGAAGATTCGTACATTTGTACAATCAGTTTGTACTTTCGATTCTCGTCTTTTCCTCCCAAAGCGGGTCAGCCTTCGGACGAGGCTTCCTCAGCTCCAGGTCATTGACAACTTTAGGCTGGTTCATTTAGGCTGGGGAACTTAGATCTCTTCGGAAGCAAGGTATGGGGTCCAGATTCACAGCTGTTCTCCGAAATGTTGGTAATGCTTGTTCTGGAAATTAGAGGTGCTCCCTCTACTGGAAGAAATGATATTCCAGGCTTGTGACTTCCACTACAGCGACGTCCACATTTTCCACCTTGGAGAAACTCTTTGCAGATCACATCCAGGCCGATGACAATACCCAGCACCCTCGAATGCACCTCACAAAGGCCCATCAGTATTGAAAACTGCCCACCCTCCAGCAGATGGCTATAAGCCACCGTTTTAAAATTCCCATAATGCCTTGGGACAATGGCACACTGGGAAACATAGGAAGAAATACTTGAGTGAGTGACTGAGTAATCAATCATATATAATTGTGGAGTTGGAATGGACCCAAATGTGTGAGTAGTATATAAATCTGTATAAATATATTACTTACAAATATATAAATTACAGTCTTCGTCAATGTGTTGCCCTTCAGCTGTTTTGGACTACAACTCCCATCAGTCCCAAAATACCTGGAGGCCACCAGGTTGGCAAAGGTTGCCCTAACAGATTGAAAGTTACTGATCTAAAGGAAAGAACCTGTGTGCAGAACTGTTATCGGTGAGTCTGGCTGATTGATTCCGTGTTTTAAATCAGAAGCAGGAACAATGACATTACTAACCTCCTCCGTCCCTCCTATCTGAGAATTTTAAAGGTTTTTTTTTTACATTTTTATTCTCCTTTAAAAGGGGGGGGGTGACACAAATGTATTTAATATCAATTTATATATTTTATTTTATTTTTTGTTAATGACCCTGTGCATTAGGGCATGTTATTTTAGTGGGTGAAATTTCATTTTTGCAAATTTCTTTGGTGAGGGGACTCAATAATTTGATTTTTGAGTGTGAGGATTTCAAATTTGCTATTATTTTTTGTGAATGGACAACAGTTAGCTTGGGAGAACATTTAGCTTGGTCAGTCTACATTTAATGAAGATGCACATAAACTGCTTTTGGAAAACCAAAGAATTTTACCTTCTGAAAATGTCAGGTAATGCTAAATAATAATAATAAACAATAAAAATAATATTAATATATAACTGCAAGTACTTGGCAATCATTTTTAATGATTTCTATGTAATTTTACAGACGTTTTACTTACCAAGGAAAACTATAACCAAAATATCTTTTGAATTCCCAAGTCATGTTACAACAACTTCTTAGCACCCCTCGTTTTTGGAAGCTGCAAGCTCAAAAACTCAACATACCTTACTGTGTATATCAACTTTTATTGGTCTGTTGCCTTAATCATAAAATCATAGAATCATAGATTTGGAATGGACCCCAATGGTCATCTAGTCCAACCCCCTGCAACGCAGGAATCACAGCTAAAGAATTCCTGACAGATGATCATCCAACAACCTCTGCTTAAAAACCTACAATGAAGGAGAACCCACTACCTTCCGAGGGAGTCTATTCTGCCATTGGGAGCCATTGAGAGCCAGTGTGGTATAGTGGTTAAGAGCGGTAGTCTCATAATCTGGGGAACCGGGTTCGTGTCTCCGCTCCTCCACATGCAGCTGCTGGGTGACCTTCGGCCAGTCACACTTCTCTGAAGTCTCTCAGCCCCACTCACCTCACAGAGTGTTTGTTGTGGGGAAGGAAGGGAAAGGAGAATGTTAGCCACTTTGAGACTCCTTCGGGTAGTGATAAAGCAGGATATCAAATCCAAACTCTTCTTCTTCTCTTCTTCTTAGCATCAGAAATTCTTCATAATGGTTAGTCAGAATATCCTTGTAACCTGAATTCAGTGGTTCAGGCATATTTGTTAAAAAACAACAACAACTCAACAACTTTTGGGTTTCCCTTTAAAAAGCTGAACAATTTTGCGGTCTTCCTTTAAAAAGCTCAACAACTTTTGGGGTGTCCTGGTTTTTACTTTTTGAAATTTGGCAACCCTATCTCATATAACCTATCAGTCTTCTTTTCCCCAGGCTAAACATACCTGGCTCCCTCAACCATCCTTTATAAGGTGTCATGGAGTGGTTGGATGCAGGGGGGGGCAGCTGGGGAACCCCCAAGGGAACTGGTGGTGGGACAACAATGAGTGGTCAGCGGGAGAAGAAGGAGCAGAGTGGGGGGGGTGTCAGAAGGCCAAGAATAGCCTGTGGCCAAGAGTTTCTTCACCCATTTTAGGGACTTGGAAGGAGAAACTTGCCTGCAGAACACAGTGACCTACTGGGAATATATAAGGCACTTCGCTGGCAGTTTTTGATGTTGCTTGGAAGTCAAAAGATACTGATACAGTATTTGTAAACGGATAATGTAATTATTAATTTTTCTGCCTGCTGCCACCACCCCGAACAACCAGTTACAGTATATCCAAATAAAAAACATATCTTCATCTTCAACCTCAGAAACCACCATGCCAAATTTGGGGGTGGTCTATTCAGAGGTGTCCAAGCCAGCACAATTTGGTGCCCCATCTTGATTCAAAATGGCCTCCAATGGTTTCCAAATGTAGAGCAAGAATCACGTGATCTTGGGGACCATCGTGCCAAATTGGGCAACCATACCTTCAGAGGTGTCCAAATCAGTGCTGTTTGAAATGGTTCAGTAAGCCATTTTGATTCAGAATGGCCCCCATTGGTAACCAAACATAGATGAAAACCAGTTCCTCCAACTCGGGAAATGCCACACCAAAATAGGCAACACAAAGTGTTCAAATGCATAGCAAACAAACACGTGGATAACAATTATTTTATTTGTTTGTTTGTTTATTTATTTATTTATACATACCCCACCCATCTGGCTGGGTTTCCCCAGCTACTCTGGGCAGCTCCCAACAGAATATTAAAAACACGATAAAACATCAAACATTAAAAACCTCCTTAAACAGGACTGCCTTCAGATGTCTTCTAAAAGTCAGATAGTTGTTTATTTCCTTGACATCTGATGGGAGGGCATTCCACAGGGCGGGCGCCACTACCAAGAAGGCCCTCTGCCTGGTTCCCTGTAACCTCACTTCTTGCAGTGAGGGAACCACCAGAAGGCCCTCGGAGCTGGACCTCAGTGTCCGGGCAGAACGATGGGGGTGGAGACGCTCCTTCAGGTATACTGGACCGAGACAATGCACAGACAAAGCATATGTCTGCAACCAGCAAGATTCCATCCTGCTCAGTTTGACTGTGCACATGTGTTACCCTGCTGGGAACAGGCATGCACAGCCAAAGTACAGTGCAGGGTTGTTTAAAAGTCCTCTTGGCACCTGACCAGGAATAATCTGGGGCTGTCTCGATCCCACTTGGTCAGAGCCTGGATCCACTTGACCCATTTTGTTTTGGGAATCAGGCTTGGGCTGAATCCAGTGTACAACCCTATTCATTTGCTGCCATATCTGCTTAAAATCAAAATGGCGTTTGACGGTATCCTAGCCCACAACCTGCTCCTCTGTCTCAGGAACTGTCACACCAAACTGAGTGGCAGTATCTTCAGAGGTGTCCCAAACCGCACAGGTTGGAACAGTTTCGTCCACCATATTGATCTAACACGGCACCCGATGATTTCCAAACATAGGACAAAACCCACTCCTCTATCTATTTTCAGAAACCTCCTGAGCAGCACAATTTGGAATGGTATGGTCCACCATCTTGATTCAAAATGGTGCCCAATGAAATCCAAAGTTAAGACAAAAACTGGCTCCCCCATCTCGAGCACTGTTGGGCCAAGTTTGGGGGTGATATTTCAAGAGGCCTTGGACTGCACAGAGAGCAGATGAGCAGACAGACCACTTTCCAAAATGGGGATAGGGATGGAGGAGAAACTTGACCCATCTCAAGATTTCAAGGAGAATCTATTTAATCTGCCATTTCCAAAAGGTTATGCGAACCAAAACCCAGCCATCCTCCAAAATTCATGCTCCTCCAGTCAAACATGTATATACCATGAAACAGTGTGCACAAAAATACTATACAGTGGTACCTCGGGTTAAGTACTTAATTTGTTCTGGAGGTCCATTCTTAACCTGAAACTGTTCTTAACCTGAAGCACCACTTTAGCTAATGGGGCCTCCTGCTGCTGCCGTGCCTCCGGAGCACGATTTCTGTCCTCATCCTGAAGCAAGGTTCTTAACCCGAGGTAATATTGCTGGGTTAGCGGAGTCTGTAACCTGAAGTGTATGTAACCTGAAGCATATGTAACCCGAGGTACCACTGTACATGCATTTGTGTAAAGAACATTTTAAAATCCATTGGATTCCTGCATTGCAGGGGGGTTGGACTAGATGTCCCTTGAGGTCCCTTCCAACTCTACAGTGCTATGATTCTGTGATTATATAAGGGGAAATTGTTCTGTGAAAATACTCACATTTTAGGCAAAATTGTATCTAAAAATGTGTGTGTTGGGAGAAATTAATACTAACACACTGATGAATTCTTTATGAGGACTTCAAAAATAATAATCACAGACTGATGCAGAAATGGAAAGGACTTGAATTTAGGACTGGAAAACAGAGAAACTGAGATAATAAAAAATAGACATAGCCACCCATCCCTAATAAATAATGACCAGACTCTTAAAACATGGCTTCATTCACACTTTTTACAACACAAAAATAACTCCACCTCTACTGCTCTCAGCCAATCGAAGGTCACCTGCTCCTATAAAAACCCCGCCCATTCTCCTTTGTCACTCCCTGTGCCTGGAACTCCCCACTATTTCCTCCAGGAATTGAAATGAATGAGTGGAGGGGGTCAAATGATCATGTAGGTAAGACCTGGACGCCTTTGCTCTTGACAAAGATGGACACTGGTGGTGGTTCAATACAGAGACTCACAAAGCAACAATAGCATCCCCATCCCGGATTGAGCAGTTTAGGAGCAAAGCCTTCTTTATGATCTATTTGAATTGAGGATAAGATTCACAACACAACCCCCTTCAGGTTTATTGAGAGACAGTGTGGTATAGTGGTTAGAGTGCCAGCCAGACTAAGAACCCTGGGAGAGGAGAATTCATATCCTGCTTTTTCTCAAAGTAAGAAAGCTCACTGGGTGAACTTAGGCCAATCAGTGCCTCTCAGTCCAGTCTACCTCAAAGGGTTGTTGCAAGAATTAAAATGGAGAGAACCGCTGGATAATTAACAACAACAATACAGCTCAGTTTATCTACTGCAGGCTTGCCCAACTGACTATATACATGGGGTTTTTTCTGCAAAAGTTTTTATTCTCATGGTTTTGCTAGTTTTCAAAACAACACCACCCCCAGGCTGTCTCCTCATCACCAAAAGAAAAGCCACCATGAAAGTTAATGCAATCTTATATATATAGTATATGTCTGCTCAGAGGTAAGTCGCACTTCAATGGAGTTCTGGAGCTTACTCCTCGGTAAGCTAGAATAGCAGCCTCCCATCCCCAGCAGTGCTCCTGAACTTCGCCTTTCCTCGCTCCTACAGACCACCCTGGGATTTGCTGGGAAGGGAAGCTTGAGTCACTCACCGGCGATTGGCAAAGCCATTGCCCGACGGCCCTCCGGAACTCGGCTCCGGGTAGTTGTGCTGCAAGGCCGACGCTGGGAACTGGTAGAGGAATCCCGTCCCGAGGGTACATCCCCAAAAGGAGAAGCAGAAGCAGCACCAAAAGAACGCCAGCGGCATTTTGGGAAGGGCCGCTCGGCTTGGAGAAGCGCTTTGGACGGCTGCAACCTGGGCGCGCAAAAGCGGCGAGGGGGTCTCCCAAAACCGAGCCACTCAGAGGCGCATCGTCCCCAGGCTGCGGAGGGCCCCGCGCGGGAACGGGGCTGAGAGAGAAAGAGACCAGAGACAGGAGAGGGATTTGCCGTCGGGGGCTCTTGGTTGTTTGGGGCAGCAGCCGGAGAAGAGACGGAGGCTTCCCAGTGGCCAAAGCGCGAGCTCCGTGCGCCCTGGGCGCACAAGCAGCCTGCGGGTGCGTTTTCAAACCAGAGCGAGGTTGCTTCGCAGCGGCTCTCCCCGAAAGGGGCGGGAGGTGGGGACGTGAGTGGGGGGGCTTCCGATTAACCCTTCAAGGGCGTCGTCGTCGCGGCTGCTCCAGCAGCAGCTGTCTTGGAACAAGCCAGGAGTGGCGAGGTGGCACAGCAGCTCCGGGAAACTTTAGAATGAACCTTGCCTGAAGGCGCAAGTCAAGTCTCTTGCTCCTTTTGGGGGAGGGTGGCCTTTCCCCCTCTCGCCTGTATGTAAATACTGTTCTTCTGCCACTCAGTAACCTCAGAGTAGCTGACAGTCAATCATTAATAATATGTCCCCCAAGTGCAAAACAGATCCATTCATATAGTGCCTTGAAAATTGCACATATTTTGAGATGCCCACAAGGAGCAGAACCTCTAAGTGCTTTTTATATGATTTGGCATTTGTTGATTACATATACAGTGGAAGCATCATTTTCATCACATGCCTGGCAAATCTGGAAGTACACCTGATTATCAAATAACACACACATTCCTTGTTGATGTGTAGAAAACTTTTATTCTCGCTTTTCCCCTTTCACAACTTGGACTTTGTTACTTAACCCATATGGAAGTGGACTTTGCTTGTGTCTTTTGGGGTTTTGTTTTTCATATTTTAATTTTCATCTGTTGCTACAATTGTTCTCTCTTTTTTATGTGCCTTATAAAACGGAATACAAAATTTTTACAAAAAGCAATAAATTTACGTTGCAGGGGGTTGGACTAGATGGCCTTCATGGTCCCTTCCAACTTTAGAATTCTATGATTCTATGACTAACTTCCATAATAAAACAGCAACCAAAATTTAGAAGAAAAGAATCGAAGCAGGGGTTCATTAAGCAATACATCTAAAAGCAAGGAGCCTTGTGGCACCTTAAAGCAGAGCTTTCCAAACTTTTCCTGTTGGTAACACACTTTTTAGACCGGCATTGTTTCTCAATGCAGTAATTCAGTTTTACTAGCAAACTATAAGTTAAACTAACCCCTTTCCAGCCCTGGGTGGAGCGCAGGCAGCATTCACGTGACACACACACTGCAGCCGACACACTGACATGTCGCGACACACAGTTTGGAAAGCTCTGCCTTCAAGACTAACAAATTCCTGATGGCCTTCCTTCAAGGGCTGGCCCACCCATGAAGCAGGGTGAAGCAGACACCTCAGGTGGTGGAAGCCCCCGAGATGGCCCTCCCACCCACACCACTAGCAGAGAAGCAACATTGGCACCCACTTTCTGCAAGATCTCACGAGATTTCATGGAGTGCATGAGAACTTGTGAGATTTCAGTGACATCTCGTTGAGATCTCACCAGAAGTTGGCATCAATGCCAGTGCTGCTTCTCCACCAATGGTGGAGGTGGCACAGCAGGCAGTGCCTGTGGAGGCAGGTGGCACATCAGGGATGCTGGTGGAGGGTGGAAGTGCTGGTGATGGAGATGGTAGGGAGGGTGACATGGCAGGGCGTGGCAGCACTTCCCATTTCATCTCACATGGCAGAACAGGAATTGCCACCACTGGTGACGGCAAAAGCTTTCATGGACTCCAGTCCACGTTTTCACAGGCATGTCGTGAAATTTTTGTTTGGCAGGTACAGAAGGGAGTAAAATATAAGGTCAGTGGTCCCATTGACCGTTGTGGGGTTGAGTCCACAAAAACTTATAAATGTGATTGTCTTAAAGGTGCTTGCCACTTTTGGTGACAGAATTCTGGACAGCACAGAGAAGACTGGAGCAAGTAACTGGTGAACTGGATTCTCACGCTTTTGAGATAACCTCACTAAAGCTTTCTCCTAGTAACGTACCAGAACTTATAGATGTAACAGACACATAGACCTCTGTTTCTAATTAATAAGGAGATTCATTATACCTCTGATATAAGCTCTGACATGAATTTGGTGATAATTGTTTTCTCATTTCACTAAATCTCGGTGCTGACAGAAATCAAAGCTCTGCTTCATGTATTCCACTGACATTCTCTGAAGGAGAATGTAAATTGCAACACACCCATTTATCAGGGGTGTTAATGGAATATAAAAGAGATAAAGGGGCAGGAAGAGTAGTATAGGTGAAAGGAAAATGTAAGCATAGTCATCTGGACATCAGTTGAACTTAGATGATACAGTTCTTCCTGGAACGGTATTGTTTCAGAATACTGGGGAGGTCATCAACTCAAATGTTCATCTTGCCAGATCTTAAGAAAATTATTGTAGGTCCCATTCCCAAGTGAAGTCATTTCCAGGCCAACAGAAAGTAGCTGTTTTTATGACCGACCAGTAGAAAGAAGCCAGCATTGCTCTGGAATTCTAAGAATTCCAAAAGTTGGAATATTTAGGTCTGTCATCTTGATTCAAAATGCCTTCATAAGATATCTAAACATACATTGAAACCCACTCTTTGACCTTGGAAACCATCACACCAAATTGGGTGACGAGGTCTTCAGAGGTATCCAAATCAGTTTAGAATTGTTTGGTCTGCCATCTTGATTCAAAACGGTGTCCAATGGCATCCAGACAAAAAATGGATCCTGTCTTTGGAACTTTCATACCAAATTTGGTGATTATATCTCTAGAGCAGGGATCTCCAACATGTCAATTACTGGTCAATCGTGGGGCGTTGCTCAACAACTTTGGGTCTTCTTCCCCCAAAAAAGCTCAACAACTTTGGTCAATACAATGGGTATATCACTGCCAGTTTTGTTTTTTTTAGTGGGAGTAGATTGCAGTCTCTTGGAAGTTGGACATCCCTGCTCTAGAGGCATCTGAATGCATTGAGAACAGGTGAGTGAAAAACTTTCCATGATATACAGTAGATTGACATAGATATGTATTACTCATGTCATAACGAATCTTCTAGAATAAAGGGACATTTCACTAAAGAGCAATCACCAGAGGCAAGCAATTTAAAAAAGAACAAACGAAATATGCTATTCAGTGTCCCCAAAGAGTTATATTTTGGAAGTTTGTGGGGAATGTAGATTTCGGCCACGCTTTTCAGCTCACAAAAATGCATTGCAGTTCTGATCTGATTTATTTGTAGAGAATGTTTGCGATATATGTCAAACTCCAAGCCAGAGGACATGTCTGCATTATGAATATGTACCTTGATGGGGAGTCTGTGGCCCACCAGATGTTTGTTGGGAGTCCAAGAACCATCAGCCAGCATGACCAAAAGATGAAGGGAGACGGAGTCCAACAACATCCAAAAGGTCACTGGTTCTCCAGCTGTGAATTTATTCTTCAAACATGGATCTGTTTATCACTGAGACGCCACCTTCCATTCATAATAGGAACATATCGGTAGACTTGCCAGGGGAAATTTAAACCTTACAGAAATACATTTTTTTTTAAATAATTCAGAAAGAAATTCCTAAGTGAGGGACAAAACAAATCTACTACATGGCCACAACAAGCCTGCAAAGTAGCTTAGGCTGCCCCCCCCCCCCCAGTTCACCCAGTGAGCTTCAGGGCCAAGTCCTAGTCCAATACAGTGGTACTTTGGTTTACAACCATAATCTGTTCCGCAGGTCCGGTTGTAAACCAAAACAGGTTGTAACCCAAGGCGTGCTTTCACCAGTGGGGACTCTCCCCCCCAAAATTGGTTGTAATCCAAAAAAATTGGGTTGTAATCCAAAAAAAGGGACACACTCTTCCAGGTTTGATGTGGTTGTAATCCAAAACGGTTGTAATCCAAAACAGTTGCAAACCAAGGTACAGTGGTACCTCTAGATGCGAACGGGATCCGTTCCGGAGCCCCGTTCACATCTAGAAGCAAACGTCTGTGCTTGCGCGGGTCATGTTTCGGCGCTTCTGTGCATGCGCGTGACGTCAGTTTGAGCGTCTGCGCATGCGCAAGCAGCGAAACCCGGAAGTAATGCGCTCCGTTACTTCCGGGTTGCTGCGGAGTGCAACTCGAACGCGCTCATCTCGAAGCACATTCAACCCGAGGTATGACTGTACCACCGTACTTTAACCATTAGGCCACACTTCACCACACAGGTTGCTGTTCATCCCCTGGGAGGAGTGTACTGATCCCTGTGGCACGTCTAACTCCTCCACCTCCAAAGAAAGAAGAGAAAAGATAAAGGTTTGGGGAAAGTGATTTGGACCAGGAAAATGGCAAGGCACAGCCTCCCCAACCTGCTTCCCTCCAGATGATTTGGAGCATGGTCTTCACGAGGCCCGGCCATGGGAGTTGTAGTGCGAAACATCTGGAAGGCAATAGGCCAGTGGTTCCCAAAGTGGGTGGTACTGTCCCTTGGGGGGGGCAGAATTACCTAAGGAGCTGCTAAGAGGCAGGGGGGCAGCAGGGAGGCATTGGAGGTATAAATGACTATCAGACTTTGGAAAGCTGTTATCACCGGATCAACAGCCTCAGCTGGCAGAGCACTAGACTCTTAATCTCAAGGCTGTAGGTTCAAGCCCCATGTCGGGCAAAGATTCCTGCATTGCAGGGTTTGGACTAGATGACGCTCGTGGTCCCTTCTAATTCTACGATTCCAAGTTCATCGGTTGTGTTGAATTAAACCAAATGTGCAATTAATTGCTACTATTTTGAGTTTCATTGTGTTTTTCTCTTCCTTAGTGGGCCATGCAAATCACTATTCCAAATAATGCTTTTTATAGGCCAGGGCAGGCGGCACTGGTGGTAAGTTTATGGAACCAAGGGAGTGGTGGCCTCCCAAAAAAATTGGGAACCGCTGCACTAGGGAACTAGTTTTTGAAAAGCTGTTGCTGCTCTGTTTTGAGATCCAGGCAGAGCTCTCCAGCACTGCACCTCTTTTGGCCTGAAGACATACACAGGTCAATGGAGCATCTTCCAGGGTGTTTGGGGAGAGAAGAGAAAAGCACAAGGTTTTCTGCTGGAAGGAGCAAAAGAAAAAAGGCATTCCCTTCTGGAGATGTGTCATGTAATGGCCTACATTAGCAGTAATAAATAGGCTGCCTCGTTTCCCCCCCAGGGTGCCTATCAGAACTGCCTATTCTGAACACTTTCTCAAAACTATGCTGATAAATTGGAACCAGCTCAATTTGGAAAGAGAGGCAGCCAAGACAAATATCTATTCATTCAATTTATCAGGGAGATTTTTTCTTTCTTACTCCCCCCCCCTTCTTTTCTGAAGAGCAACCCAGAAAGAAAAACGGACCAGTTCTTATAAACCAGACATGCTATTAGTGAGCAATATTTTAAAAACTATATATTTTTATAGCACTCAACGTATTGATAAAATGTTTGCTGGGAAATGAGGGCTACAGATATAAATTTGTGATCCGGTGCAGCGTGGTGGTTAGAGTGTAGGACTAGCACTTGGGAGATCAGAGTTCAAATCCTCACCTGACCATGAGGCTCACAGTGTGTGACTTAGGGGCCAGTCACTGCCTCGCGGCCTAACCTACCTCACAAGGTTGTTGTGGGGATTAAATGAGGGGGTGAACCATGCACACCACCTGGAGCTCCTTGGAGGGAAAAAATGTGGTATAAATGCAGTAAATAATAGTATTAGGAAGACGGAGAGCTGGTTCATAGCATCTTTTGACACTGGGCCCCAGGAGGTGTGCTCAGGGAGATCTTGAGGTGATGAATGAAGTCAAGGAAGCATCCAGAAGAGAAGCTGTAGTAATGAATGACTTCAGCTACCCTCAGACTGGCTACATATGTGTTCCAGTCATGACACAGAGGTAGATATTCTGGATACCCTAAAGGACCGTGCCCTATGCTGTGGTAACTTCCTGGTTGGATTACTGCCACGTGCTCTACTTGGGGCTGCCCTTGAAGACAACTCGGAAACTTCAGCTGGTCCAAAATGCAGCAGCCAGTTACCGGCTTGTGTTTTTTTTCCCAATCTCATATGAACCCCGTTTTAAAACAGCTGCGCCAGTTGTCAGTTTGTTTCTGGGCCTAATTCAAGGTGCTCATGTTAGTGTTTAAAGCGCTAAGCTACAGTATGTGCACTGCCAACTCCGGAAAGATCAGCAGATACAGTTCCACTTGGTAGAATCATGGAATTGTAGAGTTGGAAGGGACCACAAGAGTCGTTTGGTGCAACTCCCTGCAATGTGGGAACCTTTTGCCCGAACCCATCATGCTGAGATTAAGAGTCTCGTGAGCCACCTCGCTTCTAGTTCCAACCTCACTCAGAAGCTGTGACGGACTGGGAGAGGGCATTCTCTGTGGCAGCCCCTAGGTTGTGGAATTCCCGCCCTAGAGAGGTGTGTATGGCACCTTCACTATACAGCTTCCAGGTGATGATGATGCTGATGATGCACCTCTTTACCCTGGCATTTGACACCTGCGCTGTGTTTTCAGGAGTCAACTTATTCCTGTGATTGTGATCTGTTTGAAACTATTTTAATTCTTAAACTGTTGTAACTCACCTTGGGACCTGCTGGGGAAGGGTGGGTAAATAATCACAATCACAATAGTAACAACAACAATAGCTCTCTGCTGGATGATTTGCAGCTAGGAGGTGATAGGCCCAGTGGCCATGATCTTGGAACATCAAAAAAAAAACCAAGATCATGGCCACTGGTCCCATCACCTCCTGGCAAATAGAACGGGAAGAAATGGAGGCAGTGAGAGATTTTACTTTCTTGGGCTCCATGATCACTGCAGATGGTGACAGCAGTCACGAAATTAAAAGACGCCTGCTTCTTGGGAGAAAGGCAATGACAAACCTAGACAGCATCTTAAAAAGCAGAGACATCACCTTGCCAACAAAGGTCCGTATAGTTAAAGCCATGGTTTTCCCAGTAGTGATGTATGGAAGTGAGAGCTGGACCATAAAGAAGGCTGATTGCCAAAGAATTGATGCTTTTGAATTATGGTGCTGGAGGAGACTCTTGAGAGTCTCACAGACTGCAAAAATATCAAACCTCTCCATTCTTAAGGAAATCAGCCCCGAGTGCTCACTGGAAGGACAGATCCTGAAGCTGAGGCTCCAATACTTTGGCCACCTCATGAGAAGAGAAGACTTCCTGGAAAAGACCCTGATGTTGGGAAAGATGGAGGGCACAAGGAGAAGGGGATGACAGAGGACAAGAGGGTTGGACACTGTTCTCGAAGCTACCAACATGAGCTTGACCAAACTGCGGGAGGCAGTGGAAGACAGGAGTGCCTGGTGTGCTCTGGTCCATGGGGTCACGAAGAGTCGGACATGACTAAATGACTAAACAACAACAACAACAATAGCTCTCTGCTGGATGATTTGCAGTTATTCCTCAGGGACGTCTGGCAGCAAAAAGGAAGAGCACATACACCACAACACAGAAGGTCACATATTCGTTCCTCAGCATCTCCAGGTAAGAGTTTGATTCCTGTCTGAAACTGGAGAACTGCTGTCAATCTACAACACTAAAGATGAGACACCTGTGGCTTTCAGGACCCATCCTATTCTTGTGAATGTTTCCACTGTTTTCGACACTGAATTTATTTCACAACCAAGATGCGCATTGAATCCTATAGCTGGTCTCTTAAACCAATTGACTTTCACGGCTTCTCTCCTGCTCAGCCTTACAGCCCGAGCATCTCCCAAAGGCTGCCAACTCCCTCCCCCCTTGCCCATCTGCCATCACTTCATTCCCAGGCATCCAGCTTGGCTGGATTCTCAGGACCCCCCTCCAGTAACTTATTCCACATGGAGGCCAAGAGTTTTGCCAGATCAGCCTCTGCCTCCCCCCGCCACCTCACACACAGCCTCCCCTCTTTGCATTTCTCTCTCATGCTCTTGTTTTTCACAGACTTTTGTCCGAATCAATTTGATTAATCCTCTTCACCATTTTAAAAGGCATCTCGGCTGAGCCACAGGGAGATCTTTCTGCAAACCCAAACGAGAGGCCGGATCCCCTTTGCTTCATAACTTAACAGTTGAAATACAGCCTGGTATTATCTCCTGGCCTGAGCTTTATCTCCCCGCCCAGATCCCATCTCCTCACAGACAATTCTTTGCTCTATAGATACCACTCTTGAGTTGTCTGGATGTGATCATACGCGAACAAAACTGCCACCTCCTTGATTTATCGCCTGTTTCTTCAGAAATACTGTCTGGCATCATGTTCTACATTTTCCTTGCTACGTACATCATTCAAACCTTTTGCTATATTTAAGGGATTTTTTAAAAAGTGAATTGGGTTTAGCAATCATGGCTGCGATTGCAGTACAGAGCGATGGAATCAGGCTTCTTTCAACACAAAACCCTGTGGGATCCTGGTGCTTATTTTGAGAGCCGAGTTTCCCTAGCCACGGGGAAAGGTCACCATGGAGCGAACAATTCCTGTGATCCTCCTGGGGCTGCTTGGTTCTTATAATCACACCATGCATGAGGTGAAACAGAAATCATAGAAACTTTTTTTTCTTATAGTATTATTACATTTGTATTCCAGCTTTCTTCCACAGAGCTCAATGTTGTGTGCATAGTTCTCTTCCTCCTCATTTTATCCTCCCAACAACACTGACAGGTAGGTTAGACTGAGAGAGGTTTTTTTTTCTAACAGGGGGACAGATCAATCTTCCATACCCTGCAAGCGTCCTGGGGGAAAATGGGGCATTCCATTTTCTTGTGCAAGAGCATGGCAACCATTTGGGGGTGCCGTGATCTTGCATGATTTCACACTGAGTTCTTATGCAGAAAAAAGCACTTTTACTATGGAAAATAGCACATTTTTGGGGACCACAACCTCAGGTGGCGCCCCAAAATATGGCCCTGGAAAAAAAATGTATTTCAGGCTCTGTGATCTCACACAGGTCACATGACTTGCCAATTTTGATACTCAAGATGTTGGAGGGTATGGTCTTTAAGTGTTCACATGTTAAGAAAACGGGGGGGGGGGGGGGCAGCAGGTCTATCAGCTCAGGGTGGGTGGAGAGGTATCCTCTTGCAAGAGAGATATTGTGCCTGAATTTGCCATTTCCCTCTGCCCTCCTTTTCCCAGCGGCGTAGCGTGGGTTGTCAGCACCCGGGGCAAGGCAAGTAATTTGCGCCCCCTAACCCGGGGCAAGGCAAGTAATTTGCGCCCCCTAACCCGGGGCAAGGCAAGTAATTTGCGCCCCCTAACCCCTAACCTGCCGCCGCTGCCAGCTTCTTCTTGCTGCTGCCTGGTCTGGTCTGGTGTGGTTCTCTCCCGCGCTCAGCGCTGCGCTGGGCGGCCGCTGCACTGTCCCTCCCCCAGATAGTCCCTCGCTCTCTCTCCGCACCGCACGCCTGGCACCCACCCCCTCCACAGTGGGCGGCGACCCAGGGGCTCGGATTCGCACAGCCAGCACTGCAGTGAGAGAGAGTGAGTGAGCCAGGTAGGGGCAGAGAGCTGCGAGTGCGAGCGCCCCCCCCCCAGATGTTGCGCCCGGTGCGGCCGGCCCCCCCTGCACCCCCCACGCTACGCCACTGCCTTTTCCCTTTTCCTTTTGTGTCGTGGATTTTCAATTTTAAGTCCGTAAGGGATTTCCATTATCTTTGTGAGCCGTGGTGGTATAGCATCCTGCATTGATGCTTTTGCCTTCGCAGCACACACATCGTAGCAGGTGGCTGCACTTGCAGTGTAGCCCCGGGGTGTGTGTGGACATATGGACACTCTTAAAAACACGGGAAGCTGCCACACATCACACCATACAATTTGTCCATCCAGCCCCATATTGTCTGTTCCGACTGACAATACCCAGCGCCTGGGGCAGAGACAGCAGTCGTCTTTCTGCTCTCCTGGAACTTGGGTCTTTTAACTGGAGATACCGTTGGGGACTGAACCTGGAACCTTCTGCAAGCAAGTCAAGTGCTTTACTATGAAGCTTCAGTCCTCCCCTTGTGTATGGACCAGAGGATGATAAAAAACCCGACTCACCAATATTTTCCTTCTTTCCCCCGCTTCTTGCTGCTTTGCATCCTTCAGTGCCTATAATCCTGGCAATCGGTCAAGAGCATAAAATTCTGACTTGGCTTATAGAGCCCAGGCTGATTTAGCTGTAGTTCCTTTATTTGCTGCTGTCCCTGTGGCTCTTCGCCTGTGGTCTAAGGGAGCCCTAACAGAGGTCTGGGGCTGGAAGCAAGCAATGGTTTTCATGAGGATATTTCCCTGCCCTTTCTGGTCAGGCCACTTTTGCAGGTGTGTGTGTGTGTGTGTGTGTGTGTGTGTTGCAAAACAATGCAAAAAGTCATGGAAGCTGTTTGTCACAGGTGAAAGCGCTCTCTAGTTACTTCCCTAGCCAGGCAGTTCAGCTGTCAAAATTAACCTTTCTCAACCTCTCTCCTTCCCTATCAAATGTTTCCCATTCAGCCATGATTGGCTAAGGGCCCCCAAGAGGTTGATGGGTGCTGTCTTCTTTCAACTGAGTGTATGTAAGCCACTCTGGGGAGCCTTTTTGGCAGAAGACTGGAGTGCAAATGCTATAAAGAAAGAAAGAAAAAAGAAAAAGCTTCCATGGGTGCCAAATTGCTTTTTTTAAAAGTCTAACAGCTGCCTGGAAAGCACTTGGGGATGGGTGCAGCTGGACAAGGAAGGGTTTTAACCAGAGCTACCTATGACAACCTTAATGATGATAGATGCTGGTGAGGACGACTTTTTCCTTTTGCAGCAACTGAAAGATGAGCTGCAATAGGAGGTCCTCCTGTCCCACCATCTCTGTTATCCCCTGTCCCGACCTCCCCCACTCCCCAAAATCACAAATGTGAGAGTGTCAAGGGAGCCTGGTAGATGAACGAGCTGCCCCAGAAGCAAATGACGACTGGAGCTGAACTTTACAAAACTGTTATTTCTCAGGACGTATCAAGTTCCCGCAGGGGAGCTGTATCAGGATGTCAAATGCACCGCCCGTCACCAGGCAGCCGACTCACTCCTTTTAAAATAAAAAGAGAGAAAGTATATGTACTGGGAGAGTTTAGATGCAACAGTCTGGGGCATGTGCAGGCCACCCAGACTAGGCTGGGCAGGCAACAGATTCTGCATCCTGCACACAACCACACTAGAGAATGCAATGGTGGTGTATAACCAAGGGGAAAGTGCAGTTTCAGATTTCAGCTTCCATTTTAGCAGAAAACAGAACAGGGCAGGGGGCTGGACAAGCTGCTAATCCCCAGAGGATACAGAGAAAAACTGCCAGTCATATCAGGTTAAAGGCGAACAGAGAAAAAGGAAATGAATTTAAGTCTGTTCCGCCACTAGGTGCTACTGTTGGTCCATGGAATCTGATACTGCCAGTTGCTTCATCAAACACACACCTTTCTAATATTACTTTGCAGTGTACAGTGTTATACTTTGAATGAATTTAGTCTCTGGTAACTCTAAAGAGAATATGTTACATGAAAATCAGTGGCAATGTATGAAAGGAAAAAAGCTAGCAGACGCACAAGGAAATACTACAAGGCCTGAGAGAGCAGACTGAAAAAACCCCTAAGTGTTTTTCACTCAGTATATAATTAATGACAGTGAACAGGAAAAGAAAATCTTCCACCCATTTTGCAGTCTTGAGGAAATAGCATGTTAACTGTGCTCTAAGTAGATTTTTTTACGTTAGCATAGTGCACAGAGCATGTAGCGCATTTAAAAATTTAATGAAAACAGTTATAGCAGCAGCAAGAGGACTACTTCTATTAGTGTACTGCTACCCAGTACTACTGAATGTGTTCCACATAGTTTGTCTTATAAAAGTTTATTATTAATGCAGGAAATTGAGCCTCCTGGAATAACAAAAGCATTGCTCAAAACCAGCTAAGGTGGCGAGGAAGAACAGAGGCTCATTGCATCTTACTAGCATTAGCTTCCAGATTTTTCTCTCCTTTGGTTTTTGTAGCTTGATCAGCATGTGCTTCATATCTCCTTTTTGTAAACCACTTTGAGGTTTTTTTTATACAATCAACTGGTGTATAAATTTTATGAAATAAATGTGTGGTCGATGAAATGCTGATTAATGTGTTGCTCTTTCGTAATTGGGGGGAAAAAACCTTTCAGATTAAGTTTCAACCAAAACAAAACATCTTTTAACATGTTCCGTCTTTCTAAAATGTTTGGATAGCCTCTCATCAATTTGAAATGGACTGTTGCTTGTACATAGCTATGTAAGTATGTTGTTATTCTTCTGAATACTTGGAAAATAAAGATTTATGGAGTACAGTAACTTCTCTTTATGTAAAAGTTTGGGTTGGGTTTTTTTTAATGTTAAGTAGTTCAACTTGGTGAACCAGGGGTTTAAACAGCATAATTCTGTACTTGTTTACTCAGAACTAAGTTATCTTTTTCTTTTACTATAACCGTTTTTTTTTAAAAAAAGCCGACTGTTGTAATGTTCTTTTGGGAACTGCTATGTGAGGTCTACCTGAAAAACAGTACATAAATATCTGAAATAAAATAATTAATAAATATCCCCAACATACTACCATACTACTGAGTAACTTCCAGATTGGGGGGTGTGTGTGTGTGTGTGTGGAGCTAAGGATAGGTCTGGGTCTACTGCATAGCTGTCAACTTTTTCCTTTTCTTGCGAGGAATCCTATTTGGAATAAGGGAATTTCCCTTAAAAAAAGAGAAATGTTGACAGCTATGGTTTACTGGCAGTTCTGTGGGTGATTTGCAGATTGATGAGGATTCTGATTACCAATCATTTAACAATTGCAACAACAAATGATATGCACACACTAAATTCTACTGCAGAAATGAAGAAAGCTTGGGGATTTTTTTGTGTGGAATGAGCTGGGAGTGTCACTCAGTTCTGCTACTAGAAACAAAGTCCTGGTCTCAGAATTTTCTTAATTCTATGTCTTTTGTACAGGACACATGCCTGTTGTACTCCAGAAAACTCATTACCACCAGGGAGGGTGGCGATCCCATATACCTTTACCTGGGAGTAAAGCCCCACTGAGCCCAATGGGGCATACCTGTCAGTAAACAAATGCAAGTCCTCCCTAATTAAGGTCGGAATTCTATGCACATTGACCTAGAAATAAATCCCATTTGAACACAGTGGTCGTTCACACGTGCAAGACTGGGCTTTAAGGATACGACCCTTTGTCTGAGTAAACATGGAAATACCCGGCTGCTTTGAAACGAGCCGTCTCCCTTTTTCTCCGCCGGGGCTCAGCCTTCTCTCCGCCCTTAGCAACCGCGCCTGGCAACGTCGCGTGGCTGGGTTGGGCGGAGTCAGCCGGCATCATTCGACCCGCCCTTTCGGCCGTTTGCTCGGGTTGGTTTTCTACGCGAGGCCGAGGCTATGCGGCCTAGTCCGACGGGGCGATGCTGAAGGTGAAGATACTCTTCGTTGGCCCCAGCGAGGTGAGTGAGCGAAAGAGCGCCTGGGGTCCCTTTTGGAGGAAAAGAAAGCTCCCCACGGTCTTACAGTCGCCTCCCCAGCCCTTAAAAGCGCTGTGAACCATAACCATCATGGGGCAAAGCTTCCTCTTGACTTTTTCAGATTAGGACAAATCCAGTATTTTGTTTCCAGCAGAATGCCTTTGGGAAGCATATATACCCTGACGTGATGGAGGCAGACTATTCCTGGCTGTTTGCTTTGAGCACCTGGTTTTCTGGTACACTGCCTCTGAACATGGAGGTTCTGTTAAAGGCCAGGGTAATAACTGTTAATAGAACTGCACATAACCACGTTGTTTTTAGGGGTTTAGAGACAAAACCGTGGCATATCGGTGTCCCCGTCAACTCATTAACATCTATTTATTACTACGGTGTGCTCTCTGTGGCACTTCCTCTGTGTTTGTTCTGAAAGCTGCAGTTAGTTCAGGATGCTGCCGCAGTGTTACTGGTACGAGCGAGACCATGTCCGCATATAACACCTGTGCGGGTTATCAATTTGCTACTGCGCATATCTCAAGGTGTTACTATTACTATATAAAGCCCTAAACAGCTTGGGACTGGTTTACCTGCAATACCGCCTTTCCTCATATATGCCCGCTTCAGTCTGTGGAACTAGCACTGTTACAGGTGCTGCCTAATACTCCTTCTGCATTTATAATAAATTTATATTTTAGCGTGGCAGTTCTTGCACTTTGGAACTCCTGGCTTACTGACATCAGGCAGGTGCCTTCACTGTACTCTTTTCAGCACCTGCTAAAAGCATTCTTGTTTAGACGAGTTCCCCAAAATTGTAGAATGTTTGCGTGTGTTTTGATCTGTTTTAGGTTATCACTGATTTTAGTTATTATTTGAATGTTTTACAGAGTTGTTTTGAATTGTTTTACTGCAAAGTTAATTGTATTATTCTTTCTGTAAACTGCTTTGAGGTTTTGTTTTACAATCGAGTGCTATATAAATTTTATGAAATAACAAATAAAAAAACGATCTTAACATTTGGGGAGGATCGTAGCTTAGGGGTCAGAAAACATACTTTGCATGCAAAAGATCCCTGGTTCAGTTTCTGTCACCTCCAGGTAGGATTGAAAGAGACCCCTTTCAGAGACCCTGGAGAGCTACTGCCAGTCAGTGCAGACAATACTGAGCTAGATGGACCAATGGTCTGACTTGGTAGCAGGAAGCTTCCTATTTTCTATTGCTAATCTTGCTTCTGTATTCACTTGTGATAGGCTGGAAAGTCTGTCTTGGCAAACTTCTTGTCAGAGAGCACCGAAGGCATTGGTAGTTACCTCCCAACACATGCAGTAAGGTGAGTTTCAAGCAGGTAGAGTGGAACTGCTAGCAAAACATGGATTCCCCCCCTCCATACAACAGGGGGCAGAACTGGTACCCTCTGGAAGTTGCTGGACTACAGCCCCCATCATCCCTGACTGCTGGCTGTGCTAGCTGAGGCTGATGGGAGTTGGAGTCCAGCATCTGGAGGTTCACAAGAAGTTCTCCATCCTTGCAAAACAGCATGGTTGCAAAATCTACAAGATTTCCTTGACATCAACTTCTTGGTTTTATCTTCATATCTAACCAACCAGGCCTTCTTCAAGTGATGAAGTGTTGGTATTTGTTACACAGTTCAGTATGTGTGGATTACTAGTAAAGTCTTAAAATGGTACATGAAATGGGGGAAGGGGGAATGCCTCATAACAGTGGGCAGCTGCTCCAGTGCCAAGCAAGCCAAATGCAGAGGCTGGATGGAATTTGGGGCTGTGAGATTTTTTACTTTAATAATTTTTTTTTAACATGCCTTTCAAGGCACAGTGCTTACAAAGGTGGCTTACAAAGCTAAAAGCACATTCCTAACTAAATATGTCCCCTCACAAGTAAGTTCTGTTGAATTTAATGGGACTTGTTCCCAGGTGAGTGGGGATGGGTTTCATCTTTAGACACACGAAAATACAATTACGAAACACGCACACAGCATGGGTAACTAAGAACTGACATTGGAAAAAGGGATCAGCAAATATGGATGGGAGCTCTGTCCTTCAGGTAGGCCCAAAGAATGCCAGCCTTATTGATTTGTATAAAATATGTATTTTTAAATTCTAGGATCCTAGAATACGAGATGCCAAATTTCGGTGGAAATGGCAAAGGAGCAGGGTGTCGGTTTGAACTGTGGGATTGTGGAGGAGATCAAAAGTAAGTGGATCACTTACGTATCCTGCCAACTTTCTCAGAGTAAGTTGGTGTAATTCAAACGCTACACCAAGCCTTAGTTAAGGAAGGGGAGGGGAGGCTATTCACGAGAAGTTGGGGCAAAGCCCTACCATTATTTTTGATCATTTAAGAAGCAGAGGGTATTCTGGGCATGTTGGAAACATGCACTTGTGTAAGGGGCATTCTAGTTTGTGGTTGGTGAACCCCTTTCTAAAAAATGAAATGCCAGACAAGGCACAGATTTGGTGGCCTGCTTGCACAATGGAACTTCTCTTCTCTGTGCATTCCTTGTATTGCCCCTAAATATATTCTGCAGGGTTGGAAGAAGAGGCGTAGGAGAAGAGTCGGTGGAAGAAGATTGGAAAAGATTTAAAGTATACTTACAGAAACATTGTAAAATTAATGAGTGTTAGAAGGATGCTGGAATGAAACTATATGGTTTTAGTAGAAATGCAACAAAGAATTAAGTAAAAGTTGATTGATAACGGGTTAAAATGAAAAAATTTAAGGTTAGACAGTCAAGATAAATTATAGAATAAAAACTGAGAAAGATGGGAAGAATTTGCTGAAATAGTGAATTGAACTAGAATACAAAAAAAAAGGGAGGTGTGAGGAGGTCGATGAAACAAGTAAAGGAAAGGTAAAGATATGGAATATTGGATGTGTGTTTTAGTTTTCTCTTTGTTTCTTTTTGCTGTATTGTTGTATTGCTTTTCTATGTTTTTTTTTCTTTTTCTTTTTTATTGTTGTCTTTTTCTTTTTTTTGGTAACTATTTAAACTTTTAATAAATATCATTTTTTTTAAAAAAAAAAAGGAAGAAGAGGCGTAGGGACATGCAGCGGGAGCAGGGGAAAGGGAATTTCCATTGTGCAGGCGGAAATCATTCTGCTTACAATAATTTCTTAGTTGGATACAGCCCAGTATGTGCAAAGCAGCTGCAGAATCTCAACTGAGATTTTTTTAAAGCAAAAAAATGATAAAGGTAGGTAAGAACCTACAAAGAGCCCTACTAGATTGGGCTAATGGCCCATCTAGTCCTGCATGTTGTTCTCGCATTGGCCACTCAGGTGCCTGTAGGAAACCTGCAAGCAGGACTTGAGCACAAGAGCACTCTCCTCTCCTCTCCCTTTGTTTCCAGCAACTGGTATTCAGAAGCTTTGCTGCCTCTGACTATGGAGGCAGAGCAGAACCATCATGGCTAGTAGGAATTGATAGTCTCATCCTCCAAGAATTAGTCCAATTCTCTTTTCAAGCCATCCAAGTTGGTGGCCGTCATTGCCTCCTGGGAGAGAAAGTTCCACAATTTGCTGCATGAAGAAGTACTTTCCTTTTTTTCTGTCCTGAAAAAATCTTCCAACTTTTGGCTTCATTGGATGTCCATGAATTCTAGGGTAATGAGAGGAGAAAAAATTCTCTCTATTCACTTTCTCCATGCCATGTATAATTTTATTAACTTCTATCGTATCATCTCTTTCTCATCGTTTCTCTAAACTAAAACGCCCCAAGCACTGCAAGCTTTCCTGATGGGGAGTCGTTCCACCCCCTTGATCATTTTGGTGGCCCTTCTCTGAACCTTTTCCAACTTTACAATATCCTTTTTGAGGTGAGGCGACCAGAACTGTACACAGGTGATGCCAGCCGTGCTGTTTCTCTGTTGCGCTTCCAGATTCGAGACTTGCTGGCCAGCACTGATGAAAGATTCCCATGGGGTCGTCATTGTTTTCAACCAAGATTCGCCCACCCATTTGAAGGAGATTGAAATGTGGCACTCCTGTTTTGTGCAACAGCAGCAGCTGCTGGAGAGCCAGTGCCTGCTCATTTCGCATCACAAGCCAGGCAATGCAATGGACCCGGAGAATCTCACCTTGCGTAAGACCCTGATGCCTTGCTTTCCTGGCTCTAACCTATATTTGGTGTTATGTCAGAATTGCCAATAATTTTAATGGTTTGCTTCTTAAACTTCAAAGCTCCACCGCTGAACAGGCTGCAGGTGGTCCACTCTAGCCTCGAAGAAGATCCTGAAGATTTCCGGATGGAATTTGTGAAGTACCTCAAGGGCATCACCAAGTTGGTGAATGAGAACCGAGACAGAGAGGAGATGCTGCTGATCACTTAAAAGCAGGAGGAACGCTGCTGCAAAGAAAATAAAAGAAATACCCACTTAAACACACACACGCATACACTCCTGGTCTTTTACTTTCTACCTAACCCATTAAAAAAAAAAAAAGAATTTGGATTCCTCGGGTTTACACTTTAAGAAGCAGTTTTACAGCAGTGGAAGTGGCATGTAGTGTAGTGGTTTGAGTGTCGGATTAGATCCTGGGAGACCAGGGTGCCAAGCCCCACTCCGCATGAAGCTCACTGGGTGACCTAAGGACAATCACTCTCAGCCTAACCTGCCTCATAAGGTCGTTGTGAGGATTCAGTGAGGAGTGGGAGAACTGTGTATGCCACCTTGAGCTCCTTGGAGAAAAGAGTGGGATATAAATGCAATAAATAAAATAGAAGTTCTTAGCTTAATCAGGGATGAGAAACCCTTTTCAGCCCACATTCACTTCAAGGGATCTCATGCCAGTGGCGAGCAGGGCCAGAGGCAACAGTGGGTGAAGCAATGAATGTAAATTTTAACTTTGTACAGCAGGCTGGTCTATAAGCACACATACGCCTTTTCCCAGCATGTCTTATCTCAGACCAAGGACACATTCTAGCCCAACAAAAACATGGAGAGTACAAAGCAGGGTTTGTGAGGGTGTAGCTGGGAAGGGGGAGTAACCTGAGGAGCGTCCCAAGGGCCAGACAGAGCAGCTTAAAGGGCGACATGTGGCCACCAGGTCTGAGGTTCAAAAGACACTGTTTTTTTGTCTTGGTCTTTCAGATTGCAGGCACCAGAGCACTGGACCAAGTGCTGTTCGTTTTTTGGTCTCACACTCATCAGCTAGCTCTCACAAGAGCTTGGGACCAAAAGATGCTTGTTTTTGTTCTCACACTCTCGCATAACACAGCTGGCTTGTGCCAGAGTACTGGACCAAAAGATGCTTGTTTTTTGGTCTTGTGCAAAACAGCTGACTCCCGTGAGAGCTCAGATCCAAAAAAACAAGCATTCCAATTTTGATCAGTGGGATGTTGGAGGGGTATGGGTGACTAACAGGCTAAGCTGGCTACACCTTGGTTTGTTTGTTCCTGCATGAGTGGGTTATGTCCACCAGTGCCTAGTTTGTGCACACCACAGTTTATTAAGCAAAGTATGGCTTACTATTAAGGATAAAAGTGGCTGCTGTGCTGCACTGTGGGAAAAGATGATTCAAGGAAACCATGGCCCATGGAACATCAAGGGCCTTTTCTTGTGCAATGATGGTGCGCCAGACTGTAAGTTAACTCCCAACTCTTCAATTCTATGATTCCTTCTGCTTGCATCTGTATTTCCCACAGTGAACAAAAAGGGGAAGAACTTGGTAGGCTTTGAGAATGCCACATAAGACACAAAGATCTGTAATGCACACCATCACTTCCCCTTTCCCCAAAAATAGAGCTGATCTGTAAATCATATGGATGCCTACCCCTTTGCTGAGCAATTCCATATTTTACGAGGGAGTCAAATTCTAACAATTTTGGTCCCAGTTCATGTTCAACTACAGCTGAAGTTTGTTCTGGTTTCTTGTTTATGTCCATAAAAGTTTTGTAACCAGTTCACACAATAAAATTTAAAATAAAGAGGCACATTATAATGATTGATTGTACAGCTGCACAGAACAAGCTAACAAAAGTCTAAAACTCACTTTGGGGCAATACCTTTATTAGGTCAACTATAATGAGTGCCGCAACCCCAGAGTCGTCCACGACTGGACTTAATGGTCAGGGGTCCCTTTAGCTTTATAATGTCACAAAATAGTGCCTAAGAGTTCTCAGTAACTCAATAAGTCAGCAATAAGGGCTAGGAAACCTATCAGATGGGTCTGCTCTACCCGCCACCCCCACCCCATATTATTCTAAGAGCTTCTAGGTCAGGAGTGGGGAACATTCCTTTCTAGGCAACCTTTTGTAGCTCACATGCCAAGAATTTGTAAGCTTGCAGGCCAAAGTGGGCACAGCAGCAAATGTAGGGTTGCCATATGTCCAGGCAGAAATCGCTGAAGGTCTGGGGAAATCTGTAGGCATAACAGCCCACATCAGTAATGTAAATCTTGGTGAATTTCATGAAAAATAGCTCAAAAAGCTCAACTAGTTTGGTTAACATTATAAAAAAGCTCAAAACCCAACAACTTTTCTGTCCAGATTTTCACTTTTTAAAATATGGCAACCCTAAGCATTTTACAATTATATACAGAAGCCTTCTTTCTACACGTATACAAACATCACCACCCCATCCTCCATCCTGGCCTGGTAAGAAGAAGAAAAAAGAGAAATTTAATAAGGCAGCTTTCAAATGAGGCCATGAGCATGTGTTTGTATCTGAACTTGTAGACAGCATACTTTTGGGGGTACACACATATACACACTCATCTGCTTTCCATCTATTCTGAGCCATACACCACATGGAACCTTTTAAACAAGAGGACAGGAATAACATGGTTTCCTGATGGTACTTGCAAAGATTTTCAACTGCGGAAGAATGTCCTACATTTCCAAAGCAGAAAAATCATAAAGTCACTATGGGCCTGTTTCTGCTTAGCAATGCATTTGCTCGCTTTTACTCTAGTATGTGGTCATTAAGATCAAGTGTGTAGAAAATACCAGACATGGTCTTTGGGTGTTTGTGAGATGCAGCCTGAAAGATGTAAGTAAGGGCACTGAACTATTCAAAGGTTTGTTACAATACTGTAGGGAATCGTTGCTGGGAAGTTAGGGGGATTCCAAGCAAAACTACGACAGATGACACATTTCACAAAGTAGAATAGTCAGAAGGGTCAGACTGTGGTTGCTAGATAAACTTCCTAAAATAAGGGACCCTAAAGTTTTGGTATAGTCTATGTCTGCATTGGGAGTACACAGGTACCTTGGTTTAAGAACAGCTTAGTTTATGAACAACTTGGATTAAGAACGCTGCAAACCTGGAAGTAGGTGTTTTGGTTTCTGAACTTTGCCTTAGAAGCTGAACATGTTCCGCTTCCTGTTAAGTGTAAATTGAGTCCTCCGCTGCTATGGGAAAGCACGCCTTGGTTTAAGAATGCTTTGGTTTAAGAATGGACTTCCGGAATGGATTAAGTTCGTAAACCAAGGTACCACTGTACATATAGACACTCTGTTTTTCAAACACACTGACCAGTGTCCAACACAAATTAGACTCACGTAAGCCTACTGACATAAATGTATTTGGCAAAACATGGACATCTTGTTGTGTCAATAGAGTAAATTTGAATGGAAGAGAATTATGGTGCAAACAAAAATATTGCCACACCTGCTTGGTAATTATTTTCCCACAGGATTAAACTAACTTGCCACCTTGTCATGCTTTTTCTTTACAGTCACAATTCTTCTTGAGTCTTGTGAACAGACCCCACAAGGGGAGAAAGAGCAGACTGACAGGAGATAGCCAAGTCATTTTCAAATATCTCAAGGGCTGTCACATGGAAGATGGAGCAAGCTTGTTTTCTCCTGCTAAGGAGGGTAGGACCTGAACCAATGGCTTCAAGTCACAAGAAAGGAGATCAGGAATAACTTTCTGAGGGTAACAGCTCTTTGACTCACCTTCATTGGAGGTTTTTAAGCAGAGGCTAAATGGCCATCTGTCATGGCTGTGATTCCTGCTTTGCAGGGGGTTGGACTGGATGACCCTCAGGGTCCCTTCCAACTCCACAATTCTATAATTCCATGTAAACCCTAGTGCAGTTTTACCATGTGAAAGCAAAGCTATTTTTGTGCACCAATTTGCAAAAACCCAGCCTCTATTTCCCCACCCCCCTGCAGTTTGAAGAATGCTCCCCCGCGCTTAATTTTTGTCACTCGGGCTTTTGAGCCCCCTGGCACGTAACGTGTGAATGCGCCCTTAATTTTTGTACGCGTGTACCTCTTCCTTTTGAAAAAATACCCCCCTACGCCCCGCCCCGGGAGTCCTTGCCAGCCACAGCTCCCCCAAAACCGGCTTTCCCCGTGGTTATAAACCTCCCCGGCTGAAGCTCCCCTCCCGCAGCCCGCCAGCCTCCCCTCAGACGCTGGCAACCCGGCGCATGCGCAGAGCTCCCCCTCACTCTCCTCCTCCGCCCCCCAGCTCCTCGCCCGCCCCTTTTGCCTGTCAGGATGAGGCGGCTGAGGCGGCCCAGGGCCGGCGGCGGAGGCTGAGGCGGCGGCCCCTGTTGTGCTCGCTCCTCTCCCCTCGCCTGACTTAGCGGGCCCGGCCTCGGCGTGAGCTGGCTCAGCCATGGCCCAGCCCGGGGCGGCGGCAGAAGAGTCGTCGACCGAAGGTGAGGAGGAGGACGAGGAGGGGAAGCCCGGGCGCGGCCTGCGAAGGCTTACCTGGGCCTGGGGGGTCGCGTGTGTGTCTGTGGGGGGCGGGCAGATGGCGCTGGGGATGCAGGCCAGGGAGGCTTGGAAGGGGGGCGGCGGAAGTGTAGCCCCACCCCCAGGGGGGGTCTCCCCTCTCCCCAATATCAAGCCTCTGACACCCCCTGTTCGTGCCCCCCCACTTTTAAATTGTCACTTCCCTTACCTCCCCCCCCAGTGGTTTCTCCTTAGCAGTCTCCTCCCTCCACATCAAAGGACTATTTCACCCCCCCACCCAATCTCGTGCTTTACTTTATTCTTCTCTCCCCCCCCCGCACGCCAGTAATGTGTCTCCTTCTCCTGCCCCACCACGACAGGCATCCCCATGCAACTCCTTCTTTTGCTTCCCTAACCCTTACTTCTCCCTCCCCCCTCCTCGCAGTGCTATCTCCTTATCAGTCTTCTCCCTGTCTCGTGCTTTATTTTATTTCTCTTTTATCCTCCCCGCCCCGCAATTTATCTTTCTCCTGCCCCCCCACCCCACCGAAGGCATCGCCTTGCAATTACTTCTATGCACCCCCCCCCCAGCCTACTGGTTTCTCCTTAACAGTTTCATCCTATCTTTAAGGACTGTTTCTCTCCCCCATCTTGTGCTTTACTGGTTCTCTCTCTCTCTCTCTCCCACCCACACCCACACCTATTAATTTATCATTTTCCTGCCCCACCACTACAGGCATCACCACCCCCAGCCTACTGGTTTCTACCCTCAGTAGTTACTCCCTTCAATCCTCACCTCAAGCGCTTTGTGTTTTTCTGTCTTACTCCCCTCATGACGAATCTCCTGAGTTTGTAGCACCTTAAAAGAATAACATTTATTGTGGCATTAATTTTTGTGGATTGGAAATCCAACATTCAAATTACAGTTAAAATAATTGCTGGTAAAATATTCCACCACCACCTTTTTGCAGCCATATACAACCCATTCCTTTAGCCTACTAAGCCCTGTGCAAAAATGAGTCCAATGTTCCATGCAACAAAAACTTCAAGCTTTCCCCCTTCTGCACAGTGGGCAGCCTCAGTTCCTTTTTCCTTCAGCTTCATGCTGTTGGCAGTTGCACATCCGCAGCCCTGGGTTATCCCATGTTTCTGAAGTTGTGGTTGACCTGTAAGCCTTTGGTGAAATGAACAAGACAGATCCAGTGGTCGAATTCTTCTTGGAGAGTAAAGGTAAAGGGACCCCTTACCATTAGGCCCAGTCGTGACCGACTCTGGGGTTGCGGCGCTCATCTCACTTTATTGGCCGACGGAGCCGGCGTACAGCTTCCGGGTCATGTGGCCAGCATGACTAAGCTGCTTCTGGCGAACCAGAGGAGCGCACGGAAACTCCGTTTACCTTCCCGCCGGAGCGGTACCTATTTATCTACTTGCATTTTGACGTGCTTTCGAACTGCAACGAGAGTCAAAAGGCTCTGTAGGGTTGGGTTGTGGAGTTGAATTTTGAGGGAGAAGTGTGAGTGTGAAGGAAGAGTGTGTGTGCGCATGCGCACACATGCAAGTCCCATGTGGTAGCAGAAGTGCTCTTTCTGTACAATGAAACAGCTGTTATTTTAGCTGGTGTGACACTACTATTGAAGTGTGCTAATGGGATTTACCTGGATAAGGATGTGCCCAACTTTTGAAAATCAAATTTTATGTGGTGCTATCATAAGCTACATCAGCTACATATTTTTACATTAAAATAAAATTTATATTATGCATAATACAATACAATACAACATATTTATGTTACTTGCATCTCCTTAGGAAAAAGTCAGGTAATGAGGGGCATGATAGAGGTGCATAAGATTCTATATGATGTGGAGAAAGTGGATAGGCAGGCATTTTTCTTCCTCTCTCTTGATACTAGAGCCCTGGACTGTCCGATGAAGCTGAATGTTAGAAGATTTAGGACAGACAAGGTGCTTCTTCACACAGCACACATTTGAACTGTGGAATTTGCTCCCATAATTCCGTTCAACAAGATGTAGTGATGGCCAGCAACTTGGATGGCTTTAAAAGAGGATTACACAAATTAATGGGGGATAAGGATAGAATTAATGTTCTGCCTCCACCTTTGAAGGCAGTGAATACCAGTTGCTGGGAACCACAAGTGCTGGAGTGCTGTTGTGCTCAGGTCATGTCTTAAGGCTTTCTGTAGGCATCTGGCTGGCCACTGTCAGAACACATGGGTTGAACCAGGTGGGCCTTTGACCTGATCTAGCAAGTTTCTTCTTATATCCTTATTCCACTTATCCACTACTGCTGGGCTCTCAAAGAAGTTTGCAATAATTAACAGAAAAGTAAAACAGCTCTAAAACAATAGATTGTAAAACCAACAAATCAGATTAAACTAACAATGCAATAAAAGTTGTTGCTACTGTTCAGTAAAAAAATTAAAAGGACTTCTGAAGCAGGAAGATCTTAACAATTGTTCTAAAACAAGGAGTGAATTGGACAGGCCCAAAGGATTGAGTTCCTAAAGAAGCTGAGCCAAAACAGAAAAACTACCACTTTACACATCTCCACCACTGAAGACACATAGAGCAGGGCTTCATCTGCAGATTTTTAGAAGATGCAGGTGTGGGAGACATATTTGATAAAGGACAAATACTATTTAATGTTTTGAGTGTAATTACTAGCACTTTAAATTTGACATGAAGGCAAATGGGCAATACAGTCCTACCTCGGAAGTCGAACGGAATCCGTTCCAGGAGTCTGTTCGACTTCCAAAACATTCGGAAACCAAAGCACAGCTTCTGATTGGCTGCAGGAAGCTCCTGCAGCCAATTGGAATCCACAGAAGCTCCATCAGACATTTGGCTTCCAAAAATAGCTCGCAAACCAGAACACTCACTTCCGGGTTTGCGGCGTTTGGGAACCAAAATGTTCAAAAATGAAGCTGTTTGAAAACCAAGGTACGTGTTCTTCCTTAATAATAGCTACATAATGTTCTCTCTGGCTACAATGGTCAGGAGTTCAGCTGCTGCATCCTGGATCATAGGTAATTTCTTCACACCATTCAAATACAGCCCCATGGTAGAGTAAACTGCATTAATCCTGAACAGTGACACAATAGTCAGCAGTCTCTTCCCAAGAAAAGGGCGGAGCTAGCAAACAGTACCGAACACTTGGTACCTGAGAATCAAGTAGCAACACAGAGTTTAGGGTTATGTGACTGACAATACCTGTCATGGCAATATGGATTTATTTCTATGAGACTGTTTACCCTACTCATCTAATAATATACATCACAAAGTACCTCATAACAGAAAATGGTGCTTCCATCATAGGCAGGACAGTGTGAAGGACCACTTCATCAGATCTTAGGCAGTAGGCAGGCTGTTACATGATAACGTGGTCCTTCAGGTATCCAGGACTCAAGCCACTTAGGGATTTAAAAGGAATTACTAACACTGTGAAACCTGTAAACAAATTGGCAACCAGTGCAGCTGTTGCTGGATAGGTATCTTCTTCTTACTTGTAGCAGAGTAAAATTGTCTTCCATAAACACAGTTTTAACAATGAGTCCATAAGTGACTGTGGAGGCCAATTCTGGACCCACACGTCCTTCCACAGTGGGGACATTGGTTCCCGGGCAGGAGTTGATCACGGTGTGGATTTGCCAAGCATGCCTTCCTCTTAGCACGTTTCTCCCTTGCGTTTTGAATTTGAGTGTCTTCAAAGTCCACGACACCTTTGGTGAAGGCAGTTCTCCAACTGGAGTGCTCGCAGGCAAGTGTTTCCCAGTTGTAGTACAGTGGTGCCTCGCAAGACGTTCCGCGAGTGTCTTCGTCTAGCGGTTTTTTCGTCTTGCGAAGCAACCCTATTAGCGGATTAGCGCTATTAGCGGTTTAGGGGCTATTAAAGGCTTATCGGCTTAGCGGATTAGCTGCTAAAAGGCTATTAGCGGCTTAGCGGCTTAGAAAAGGGGAGCGAAAACATCTCAAGACTCGCAAGACATTTTCGTCTTGCGAAGCAAGCCCATAGGGAAATTCGTCCTGAGAAGCAACTCAAAAACGGAAAACCCTTTCGTCTAGCGGGTTTTCCGTCTTGCGAGGCATTCGTCTTGCGGGGCACCACTGTATAAGTTTTTTAGATTTGCCTTGAGACAGTCTTTAAACCTTTTTTGTTGACCACCAGCATTACACTTTCCATTTTTAAGTTTGGAATAGAGTAGTTGCTTTGGAAGACGATAATCAGGCATCCGCACAACATGACCAGTCCAATGAAGTTGATGTTGGAGAATCATTGCTACAGTCTTCACCATACTGGTGCCTAGTTTTGGACTAAAACTCCATCCATCCACAGCCAGCGCATCCTGGAAAGCACCAGGCTGGATAGGCTTGTGTAATGTTATCCCATGGGCCCATTAACATCCTTCCAACCATTTTCTGGATCACTTAAAATTTCCTAACACTCTTCAAAAGGAAACTCATATAGGGTGCATTACAATAATACATCCTGAATGTAATTAAAGGATATGTTACTGTCGCCAGATCTGACATTCTCACAAATGATGCATACTAGCCTAAGACAGGCAAAGACCCTTTGGGCCATCACTGCCCCCTGTATATCCAAATACAATAGTACCTCCAGATGGTGAACCAGATTCTTCAAGGGAAGTACTATCCCATCCCAAATGGACTGCATCTCTGTTCTGCAGTCTGTTCCCTTCTGATCAGAATCACCTCTGTCTTGTCTGGAATAAGCTTCTGTTTATTGGCCCTCACCTAGCCCGTTTATACCAGAATATAAAGATCCTTTAGGTAGTCTTTTCTTTGGAGCTTCTTAATATGCCTGCTCTACTCTCCCTCTTCACTAGCTATGTAAAGATTTGGGAAGCCTATTTTCAGAGGGATGAATCTGGAAAAGTAAGTATGTGGGATGAAGAGAAAGGATGTTATTTGAACATTACTGTTCCTAAGAACAGCAGAATGTGAAGTATTATACTGGGGCTGAAAACATAATATATTCAGTTTATGCCTCTATTAAAACTCTGTTAGTATGAGTCATCTTTAGTACTGGCTGGTGATCTGAATAAATATATACTGAACCATTCACAATATGTTAATGCAGAGAGGGAGTGTAAAATGTAAGCTTGTACACTTGTGGCTCCAGCCTAAGACTTTTGAGTGAATTTATGTGGAACAATGTAGAACTTGCAACTGGAATGGTACACATTGAAGGTCCCACTGAGGCATCAGTTTGCAAGGTAACATTCTCAGTTCTTCTTCTATGAAAAGTAAAAAAAAAAAAAAAGCACATCAGTGATAACCTGCTGGTGTTGTAGGAATTTTGTGGTAGGTCAATGGTAGTCATAGATTTATTCAAGAAGAGTGGCTCCTTTACCTCTAGTACACTAATTAAAAGCCTATGGAATATCTACCTATGTATATAAAGAGCAGGGGCCAGAAATGCTGCAAAGAATTTAGTTGACAGGTTCATGTAAGAAATGTATCACTAAGGTCAGGGAGTTCACTTGGATGAACTAAATCCAGTGAAGTGACTTAACATACTGTTTTAGAATTGAAAGAGGTACTGTATTTATCTGGGCAGGTAATTATGATTATTTGTGTTTGGAGAGGCAGTTATAACAACTTCTGTAAGAAAACTTTTACTGAAGCTTCATAATATTAACCTAGGACATTCTGGGGGAACGTTAGTTTAATCACTTCATGATTGACCAGTGGCATGTTTTTTGGAGAACAAGAAACAAAGACTGGATAATTCTTTGTAGGGGAATGGATGCAGTTAAGCAAATATCTTTATAGACAGAGAATTAGACTTGTTGATCTTTACTTGTAGTGCATTCTTAGCTGCCAAATTATATTTTATGCAGTACATCAACCAAATCTGAACTGAAAAGAAGATTGAACCTTCATTTTTGTTCATTTGCAACAAGACCAGAACTGTTGTTCAAAAGCCTCTGTTGAATGTTAACTGGAACAAAGTTTTTTTTTATTGGTTTAGAATAAGAATTTGACATTATCACATCCTTTAAAAAATATATATATGATTTTTAAAATTTTCAGTGGCTGCAGTTGGAATGACTCATGAGGGCACAAAACTATATTTTATCCCCCACTTTCCTCCAGTGAACTCAATACTGCATGCATAGTTCTTTCCTCAACCTTTATCCTTATAATAACCCTGGGAGGTATGTTGGGCAGAGAGGTGGTGACAAACCACAAGGTCATCCCCATGAGTTTCACAGCTGAGTGTGGATCTGAATCTAGATCTCCCCATTTGTAGTCTGGCACTCTAGCCCAGGTGCATGGAACCTGTTGCGCTCCAGATGTTGTACTCAGCCCCAGCCAGCAGGAGTGGGGCTGGATACAAGCAACATTATCTGAGTTGCTGGTAAGAGATGCGTGAGGTTTCAACTACTGCCCAGCTTTGTAACTTCTTCAGCCTAAGTTTATAAAAGTTACTCACTTGCCAGCCCACATGTATAGATTAGTCATTTCTGGCACATGGGTGGCCTGAAAAGGTCGTAGGAAGAACCACAGTTTAAGAGTTTCCCTGCCTACTTGCCTGAAGGTGACACCACAGGTGGGTAGCTATTTACGGGTCCTGGTATACAGTGTTAGATGGTAGTGGTGGCCGTGTATAGGTCATCTTACAATGTGAATTTTATTTATTTGAAACATACTGATATCATCCTTCATTCTGTTTAGAGTTTTAGGGCATTGTACAATTTATTTCAGGGTGGTGACTGTAATTCAGACTTGCAGATTAGGCTTGAGAAGGATGCTTGCCCAGCATCTGCTCTGGTCACCTATCTCTTGTATATCACAGCAGCTGGTTGCACTAGTTCACAGAGAGCTGGACTTCATGCATAATTTTCCCCAGAATGTCAAATGATGGTGGGATGGGGGCTGGTACCCTGCCACCATTTGCATGGGACCTGATGGGTCCTGGTTCTGAGGCAAGCAATTGCTCTCTGGCGTGCTTCTCCTGAAGGGAGGCCAGCACTCACAAAATTGTTCCCTGCCATCACCACCACCTGCTTTGGGTCAGTCCTGGCTTCAAGTGTCCCTGTTTTCTTTTCTTTTTTTTTAGATGATATTTATTGAAAAAAATTTTAAAATTACAGAAAAAGACAAAGCAGAGAAAGAAAAAAGAAAAAAGAAAAAGAAAACAAGCCACATCCAACAATACAAATTCAAAAAACAAAAATACACCACAAACAGATAAAAATAAAACCATCATTCTCAAATCTTCAACTTTCATTACCTTCTTTCTTTGACCTCCTCCTCCTCCCTTTTTTGTATCCTAGTTAATAATTATCGCAGCAAATCCTTTCCATATTTCATAATATTCTGTCATTACATTACCTTAATCTATTTTCATCTTATCTTATAAAAACCTTAAAACTTAAAACTTAAATCTTATTTTTACCCACTTCTCATAACCATAATATTCTTGCCTAATTCTTTAAACATTTTTGCTAGAGCCAAGTAATTTCGTTCCAACATTTTTCTAACAGTCATCAATTTTATAAAACAATCCTAGTGATAAAAAATTGAAATAGAAACAATCCAATCTTCATCCAGCGTCCCTTCCTCCTGGTCCCGGGTTTTGTCAGTCCTTTTATCCCATCGATCTAGCGCATTAACCTGGTAACCTTATATCCGAGGCCCTTAAGTCTCTTCCATGTCCCTTCCGCAGCTCTTCTTCATATTCACCTTTCACTCGTGGGAACTCCAGCTTGGTAATGTTTTTGACCCTTTTCATCAAATCAGCCCCTTTTCCATAGTCCAGACTAAACTCCATGTGGTATTTAAAAACATGTTTCAGAATCCCTCCAAAATTCAGAGCCCCCACAGCTCCAAACATTTCACGGCCCATTGCCAGACTTGGAAAGTCCAAACATCCCTGCATAGGGGGGTCTATCCAACCCCCCATTTCCAAACCAGTCCAAACTTTATCTTTCCAAATCTGGCTTTTTCCAAGTTCATTTGTCAAATCCAAAAGCTCATGTTCCTGCTGGGCCGCAGCTCCCTCCATCTCTGGCGTCCAAGATTCCGCAACATCCTCTTCTCTCATCTGTTCTGTCAGGGCACACTCTGATTTAATTCCTGGGTGGGCTCCATATAGTTTCCCACTGCCTGTTCAAAATTCTGACCGCATTAGTCATCAAATCCGTCTTCTCAGTTAACTGTTCCAGTAGGGCATTTGTTTTACAGAGAGCACACAACAGAGCTTCTGAATACATTGTCCTACAAGGTCACAAGCCTATTCCCACGATTGTAATCTGTGACAGCTGCAAGCTCCCTGGAATTAGTTACAGTTTCCCAGTCTCCCTCTAGGGGGAAAACTTCTATTTGTTCTTGCAACAAAGTTTCTTTTTTGAGATATTTTGTCAATATTTGTTCCTTTAAAATGCGAAAGGAAACAGTGGAATCACTATGTTTCTCTTCTTTTAGCTATCTGTTAGCTGTTTGTCTCTGGTCAATGAGCTTCAAACGTCAGTCCTGACACCCCGCTCCAGAATCAGGACGGTGGAAAGTTACTTTACTTTAAACTCACTTCTGCAGGTTTAAACAGTCCGAAAAAGATCCCCCTTCTTCTCCTGCTGCCGAAGGGGGGTTCAAGAATTTTAAATGATGAAAGCCAATCCTTTAGAAGCGATTTTCTGAGCTCTAGTTTACGTTGTCTTTGCTTTATTCTGTCTACAAAGAAACGGAAGGCTGACTTCCTGTTTAGACCTTCCCGTTTCAGTACCAAATTGAAGTAAATTTTTAAGTCCAATTCCTTTCTGCTCGCAAGTCCTTATTTAAAGTCCAACTGTTTAAAGTTTAAGTACTCACGGGTACTTATTTTAGAAACCAAATTGTCCCAGGAAAAAGGCAGCGCTCTCCGGCAACGGCTATGCGGCTTCGCTCCACGGAAATAGCAGTTGACTCACAGCACTGCGCCACTTCCCCCTCTGCGCGCCGGAGCCCGGTAGTGGGTTCCTTTGCGGGTTGGGGGGGGCGCTAAGGGTGCCTGCCGAGTCCCATGGTCACAGGCTTCATCCGCCTGTGATTTTTAAAAGGGTCCCCGCTTCGCCGTAGCGGAAAAGACCCGTTTCGCGCGGAGCTAGTCCCTCCAGTTCAGAGGGAGTCCACCATTGCCGATGGCGCCACCCCGGAAGTCTCCAAGCGTCCCTGTTTTCTCCCCAAGGTGATTGGGGTAGCAGTGCATGTAACACTACTATAGCAGCATGTTGGCTGAACTTCTTGTCTCTTTTCAAACTGAAACGAAGTGTTTCATTTGAGTGAATCACAGGATTTAATGTGTATTCAGTTCGTTGTTCTTGTGAAGCAATTAAGTGGAGAAAGTTAAATGAATGCAGTTTATGTGAAGTTGCTTGTTATGACTGATTGGAGCTTCATAGATTTATTGTGTTTGTGATTCAGAAATTTTTGTGGGCCTTGCTGGCCAACCAAAAATTTGTAGTCGCTAGCAACCTGCTCTCTCCCAAAGGAAAGGATTGTGTCCCTGGCTTAGTGCTATGTCCCTATATACAATGTCAAGGGCAATCTTCTATTCTCTTCCTCAACTCCAAACTTGGACCTGGATAGCAGGGTGAGGTAAGGATTGCTCCTACAGTTACATTGCTCTTCCAAAGTATTTGGAAAAGCAGCAGCAACACAAGCCCCCTTCTCCCTTCTTCAGGGAGTAAGTCTGCAGTATATCAGTTTGTTGCTGCACTTCTAAGGTGCTTGGAATGCTTTTGAAATGCAGTGCCAAAACTGTCCACAGTCCTTCTCCTGATCCTTGAGGTGTGGGGTGGGGAATCATTCCCACAGTTGCACTGGGTTTTTTTAAAGGATTTTTGCAGCTATTATAATGACTATCCTACTTTCTACCTCTGAGATTGGCTTGCCCCATTTGTGTTTCATTTCCCCAAATCTGTTTCTGTAGTTTAGAGGTCAATGTGTATCTTCATGTAGCCAAAATGGCACTATCTATGCACAAGAGAGAAATATTAACAGACTTTAGGGAAACCTCAATGTTTGCAAAAGTACCAAAAAGAAGAAGAATAAAAGTGCTAAGGGGTGTTTTGTTGTTGTTGCCAAAACAGTTTAGTAGGAACTGAGTGTGGCAGTGGACTGCTGACAGACTGTTGGGAGAGAAAAGGAAAAACCAGGTGAGAAAGAAGATGAAATGGAGTATCATGGATGAGGGCATGGCTGGGTGGATGGATGGAACAAGAGCATTCCACCTTGCAGTATTTTCTAGCTTTCTGACATTTTGGGTGCCTACAAGGATTTTTGCAATGCTGGAAAGCAATAGCCAAAGAATAAAAGTGAAATATGCAGCAGATCTTTTTGTCTTATAATTGCTTTCATAGCAAAAGCAACTTCTTTATCGGAAAATGTGGATTTTGTTCTTATCATCTCCTGAAGAAGAAGAGCAACATTTTTGTCCAACGGCCTGTCCAGCTACTAATTTTGTATGTTCTTTGCTTACTTCAGGATATCTTCAGGGTGCTGTGCAAAAGCAGTAGTGAATTCCCTGGGTGTACTGTAGCCTTTATGTAAAAGCTTTATCATTCTCTATAATTACTAGGGGGTATGGCTGGTTCATCCATGAGGCAAGGTGAGGCGACTGCTTCGGTTGGCAGGATCCTCTGGGGCAGCAGATCCTGATGTTGATTTTCTTTCCTCTCTTCTTTCTGATGTAGATCTTCCCTCACTCCTTCTTCCCTGGCAGGAAGTGGGGTACCATTTTGGGATCTGCTTTAGGTGCCAAAATGTATTGGGCCAGCCCTGCTTGGGGGGGAAACAATGTATTCTATATTATTATGAGCTGGTGATTCTAAGACCCACCCTCACAAGTTCTGTAGTTATCTCTTCCTGCTGTTGCTGCTGTCCAGTTATTTGTAATGTGACTGGGTGTTTTAAGAGAGAAAAAAATCAGATCTTCCACCCCCTCAACCACACTCCTCTGCTTGCTCTCCAGCATCTCTCCCATGCACTGAGAAGCTTGGGCAGAAATGGAAGGGGCTCCGTTTCTCCTGCCGCTTTGCTGAAGAGCCGCTGCGCAGAGAGGGAGAGAATATTTTTTTTCTTGTTATCCTCCTCTAAAACTAGGTGCGTCTTATGGTTGGGTGCATCTTATAGAGCGAAAAATACGGTAGCCATTACTACAGGTGATCTTATATTCCTCTAAATAGAGGAATGTTTCTGAAGGATGATTTTGCTGTTCTCTTTGTGCAATTGCCTATACATTTTGCGCAGTTGCTTATACATCATGGTGATAGTGGGGATAAAGTAGAGTTAAAGAAAACCATGTATATAGTGTGTTCCTGTTTTTGCTAGGAAATAATGGACAAAGATCAGAGTCTTAATGATGGATTCACAGGATTTCCAGCCAAAGGTTTTCTATGTACTGGGAAAAGTGAAAAAAGGAAGCCTGCCCCTCTCTAGTTGAGTGCAATTTTCCACCATGCCTCCATAGATGATTACTGTATGTGAGCAGTTTGATTAGTACTAAGCAACTGCATGGTGGATGTGTGTAACAGTGATATAGATCAGTTTTAGAAACTGAGATATGAAAGCTAAAATGGCACCTTAAACCCAGGTTGTGGGCACAACAATGAAATGTCTAGGCGTGCTTTTTTATAACAAAAATACAAAGCTGAAAATGAATGAACTGCAGCTCTCTGCAGTTTTAATCTGAAATCTTAGGCACAGTACTGCGCTCAGAGCTCAGAAACTGCTCGTGCTAATGAAATTCCCTGTTGCAAAACGCACCTGGAACAATGGGAGTTTTGAACAATGATATAGATAGTACGACTTCAGTGCAAAGAAGAGAGCAGGATGATTCTTGCATACATCAGGACTTTCAACAGCTCTACTGAGTCGTCCCGGAAGCTATCAAAGCAACTTCAGGAATGTCAAAAGCAGCTCCTGATGTGATACATGGGGTCAAATGTATGCTCATTTGTCCCTGGGCTTACTGGATTTGGGCTGACATGTTGGATGAGGCAGCATGGAAGCCTTAGCAGCTGCAAAATAGTTTGATAGGCCATGAAACTCATTTGGGAAGGCACTTGGACAAGTCATTTTCCTGTTACCATAACCTACCTTTCAGAGCTGGTATGAAAATAAAATGCTGCTCTGATGTTTGGATGTTAAATGTGGTCTGCACATTTAAATAATAATACAGTATGGTAAACATTCAAATGGAAATAAACTGTGCTATATCCAACTCTAATTGGAGTAGTCCCACTGAAGTTGATACACCTAAGTTAGTCATGTCCATTAATTAAAATGGGTCTCCTCTGAGTAGGACTGACAATGGATGCAACTCCTTTCAGCCATGGAAAGTCCAGATCTTCACATAAGACGGCACATGACAAAGACTGAGATAAATACTGTTGAATCTTTGGTTTAGCAGACTTGCTTCTTCCTTCTTCCTCTGTTGTTGATGATGACTTTGCAGCTGGGGTATGCATTTTTTGTCCTCAAGAAGTGACAATTTCCCCACAGTGAGAAACACCATGTATTTTTTCACTCCTGTAGTTTTAGTCTTTAGCCTCTTGGTTTTCATAATATGGTGCTTGAAGGGTACTGTACTTTGCTGGTATCAGCCAGTTACTTTGGGCAGTGGACAAGCTCTATTCAGCCTTGCAGTGGCAAATACAGACATTTGGGGTCTGTAACTTGAAAGGTTTGTCATCTTGACAACCTTCTTTCAAACAAATATGTGGGAGGGAGGTGGGGCTGCTCATATTAATCCCTAGATTCCAGTAACCTATGGAAACATGTTTATCTCTAAGAAAGTGCATCTTTTTCCAAAGCTATCAGGTGTTCAAGGACAATGACAACATCATTCTCTTAAGAATTTAATGAAGTTAGAGCTGATGCTCATAGGGTTCCAAACTGAAAGGAAAGGCTATTAGTTTTAAAGTGCAAGGTTCTGATCTGTTGATTTCTCTTCTGTGCCAAGGAAATATAAAATTCATGTGTGGAATGAATTGTTTCAGTTAAGTGGTTCTGTATGGTGTAGTTTCAAAAAATCACCACTAAGTTTTTAATTTGTTTGACAAAAGCAGGAAGGAAACATAGAGAGATCAGGAACAGTTTGGCTGTAGAGATAGGAAGGAAATGCAGAAAACTGAAGATCCAGCAAAAATCTTTGTTTCTTTAGGATCCTCTTCAAATCTGTGAATTTTAACATAGACTGGATAGAATTTACAGTTTTTAGTTCATAACCAGGAGCAGATTGGTAAACACAAACCCTGAAACATTCTCCCTTCTCCTACTGAGTGATTTAGCCTCAGTGGTTATAAGTTGGAAATACCACATCTTGCTCTTGAACACTTCTTATGCGAAAGTCATTTGTAAGAAACCCTTGGTTTGCCTTGTGACTGGATCCAGTTGAGCAAGTATCAAGTTCTTCCTTTGGATAAAAAGCATTGAATAACCAGATTGTTGATCCCTGGATAAGAAGCTTGCCCCTTTCTCCTGAAACTAATTTTACTTGTTTTTTATCATATTATTGCACTGCCAAATATAAAGTTGTCTTATGAAAGCCCCTATGCAGGTTAGTTAGCTGTTTGTAATATGTTTAAGATAATTGTGATAACTGTTGTCCCGTGGCTGTTATTTTAAAAGAAAGCCAGTACCCTATACATGTATTTTTCTTCAGGAGAACCCATAAATATACTTTGTAAGGCAGTATGACCCTTGTTTTTTGCTTATCTATTATTAGTTTGCCTAATGACCCAGGACAGCATAATACAATTTGTACTGGCACACATGAAGCAAAGCATTCTTGTACTTAAACAAAAAACCAAAGATTCTCTACATTGATGTAAAAGTTGGCTAGAAAGCAGTTTGTGGCTTTCTAGGTCTCTGCTCATCATAATATTGTTAGTATAACCTCATTTTCAACTTTATTTCTCCCACTGTGATTTAAGAGAGGAACAAAGACAGTTGTGCTGTTGAAATAACGAGAGATCATATTCTACTATCTTCATATGCTTGCAAGCTGCTGCATTATAGCTTGTGATAGTTTGTAACCTCTGCTCACTGGGCAAGTTGACTGCCCTGGATCTCTTGCAAAATACCAGGTAGCTACTAGTGATCAGGAAATGTAAGTGAGTAGCCAGTAAGAGAAGTTTTACTATGCTTCTAGGTTTGCCTGTGTCTATTGCAGGTCTGGGGGGGCAAGCAGCTCTTACTCATTCCCTTGGGAACAAATGGTGCTATAATAAAATACAGAACTGGGAAGCTGCCAGCTACATAGGGGCATTCATGACATAATGGAATATCTGAAAATATTTGACTGTGGTCAGAAAAGAAGTCAACTGATGGGCATGCCAACCCCAGCCTATATGAATCTTGACACCTTGCAAAATTGGATGAGGGGAGAATACTACACACCCTTCTCATAGTAGCAGAATGGCCCCTTTGTGGTCAAAGGTGTTGGGCGATATGCGTGTGAAGAGATTTACCAAAGATTTCTACCCCCACTCCCTTTAAAGCCTATACATAGAAAAAATGAATATTCATAGTAAATGTGTCTAAATTGTGTTGGACAACCCATTTTTTAACGATTCATTTATTTTATATTATCTGGTTTAAAAATGTGCTATCCTATTTGGTTTCTGTGCTTGATGCACAGTTTAGCTCATTCTCATTTCTGTGTTTTAAAATTTCTGAAGTGCTGTCTTTGAGCAAAAAGTGTTCTTTCTGTGTCTCATCCAGCCTCACAACAATCCTGTTTGCCTGGCTGCAAATTCAGTCTGTCAAGTCATCGGAAACCCAATAAAGCAAGCACCTATTGTTCCCATGGAACTGAGGCCATGGGATACTTGCTTAAAGTTGTCCTTAAATATATATGAGTAAAACTCTTATTACAAAGAGTATGCATCCCATAGTGGGGTTTTTTTTTTTGCTAATGGAAGCAGTTCCACATTTGCAAGGCAGGGCCCTTGATTTTTGCCCAGCTCACCCCCCTGCCCCACCCCTCGTGCCTCTCAAAACTTCTTTTGAGGTCTGGGGTACCCTCTGGAACAGTATGGGAAATGACATAGAGAGCTGCAATTGGGAACAAGACTGCTAACTCTGTTGATGGTTATGTAGCTTGTTTTGCTGCCTGTAAGAAGGACAAAGCAGTTTAGTAATTTATCCAAAGGGAACCTCATGACAGGTATGTAAGCTGTTTCTGATTTTAAGGTTAGTACTTCCACACACACCCATGTTGTCCCCCCTGAATATTTTATTTGACCTTAACTGGATTGTTACTGATGCATAGACAACCCCCTTCCCACCTACTTGCTTATAGACTAACCCAGTACAGTGGAACCTCGTGTTACGTACTGTCCTCCTTGCGAATGCTTCGAGTTACAAGCTCCGCTAACCCGGAAGTAGAGGCTCCTGGATACGAACTTTGCCCCAGGATGCGAGCGGAAATCGCACGCTGGCAGCACGGCAGCAGCTGGAGGCGCTATTAGTGAAAGTGCGCCTCATGTTACGAGCGGTTTCGGCTTACAAATGGACCTCCAGAACGAATTAAGTTCATAACCGGAGGTACCACTGTATAATATATACAGGTAGGCTGTGGAACTGTTTGGCATTCATGGAGCTGCTACAAAGTAAATGGGTTGGTTGCTGAAGTTCTGATCTTTCTAAGCATGGGTGCTACCAGCTCCCTCACAGTCATTTAATACTACATCAGTAACTGTCTCCTCTCGTCCCTCTGTAGGATCCTTGTGTTCTGAGGAATAGCTGTGCATGTATCATATATGGGCCTTTGCTATTGCCGTTGTCTTAGAATAAGTGACCAGTCCCTGTATGTGTTTTCTCCCTGCTTGGTATATGGTTATGCAGTTGCATTGGCCTGGTATTATAGAAGAATACAGAATCAAGGGGGGCAAAGGGGTCTGTTGTGGGAACAGGAATGACACAGAAGCGCATGTACATTGCTGGAAGGCAAAGCAATGCAAAGCAAATTATCTGGTAGCAATTCACATATAAAACACACAAAGCATTATCCAGTTAAGTTGGCCTTGCTCTGAATATTCATGTTTTTTTCTCCGAGTTAAATCAGGCGAAGTCAAATTGCTTCACCTCTAAACTGAATGTTCATACAGAGATTAATATGATTTCATTCCAAATCTTTAGTTAATCTAGATTATTATCCTTGTTAATACAAGCCCTGAGGGACTTTCTTTCACCCATTAACTGTTTTGAAAGAGACGACTCAAGTTACTGTATGACTTAAAAAATTTTTTATTGCCTCCTACCCTATGAAAACTACCCAAGACTGTTACACAATTTAGAGCTATGGTAGCAAAGAGAGATTGACAAGAAAAGCAATATAGCTTCATCATCTCTTTGAATGATTATGTGTGCATAAATCCTCATAACTGAGAACCAAAAGGGTGATGGGAGCATAGCCCATTTGAAATCTGAATTGTGGGTGAGAATATATTCTTCTAGGCCTTGTGGGGGGGCAAGTCTAATTTTTATTAAGAAGAAAACTAAATGAAACAGAATCTTCCTGCTGTTAGAAAATTTTCTCACTTAATTTGTGGGCCAGTTTACATAGGTAGCTGAGATGGCAACTAGTTTATAGTACAAACTTTGGAGATGGTTGAGGGCTTCTCTTGCCTTCATGCTGCTAGGGAATCCTGACAGAGGAGAGCCATTCTCACACATGTCAGACATGTGCTTCCTTTTATCCTGAGGCTTTAAAGCGATGAACAAGTTTTATTTTTTGATTAAACATGCTTTGTGCTGCAAATGCTGTGAGTTTTCCAGAAGCAAATGCTGGCAGTTACTGGGCAAAATTGTCTATGAGATGGAAAGCAAATAATCCATTCTGTCTATTTCAGTCATAAATAAATAATTTGAGGCAGAGGCACAATACAGGGCTCCAGTAGGTAAATGATGTAATTGAGGGGCATGGGATTATCATAGTGGTCCTATTGCATGATCCCAAAGAGATACAGGATGGTATCTTATGGATCATACTGACTATGATGATTTGATAGCTCTAGGGCCTGGCATACTTCAGTAAGGCTCAGCTGGGCAAAGGCAAGACTTGTTTATCAGCTTTGGCATAAAATGGCCTGTAGATCAATACTTCTGGAATGTTATATCTTTGGTTCCTGATTTCAAAGTCACCCCGGACCTCTAATCACCTTAATAGGGTGAAGGCTCAAAACATTTTATGTGTGAAAGATGTGCATGAAGATTGCAAACAAAAACTCATTGGTTGCCTTGCAATTGCCTGGAGGCCATCTGTGTGGTGTGCTGCAATACATCTATCATCCTTCAAATGTGGCATAGAACTCATTGTTTTGTAGCCAGCATAGCTACTCTTCTGGACTATTGTTTCAATAGATGGCTTTCACAGTCTTCATTCAGAATGTTTGGTCCAGCTACACTTAAGTTGTTCTGAACTTGTGATGGCTTGTTTTGTTCTTGTTGCATTCAGGAAAAATGTCTGTATTGTGAATTTGGAATCTGACTGTGCTCAAAAATAATTCTATGGATAATTAGCTGTGCCTAAATTCTGGAGTGGCCTTCATGTACTTTGAAAAACTAGAAACTTTAGCATAGTTGCCATTGAAATCTGGCCAGTTTCAAATATACTGGGTATAGCTGACATTATCTATCTATAACATCTGTTTCCCAGTTCTTTGCGTATGTGAAAGACTTTTGTTTTCCCTCCTCCAACTAAGTTCACAAGTAGAGCAGTCCAAATGAGGCAAAGGAGTAAAACCCCAGGACCATGAAATCCAGATCTGTGCTGGGCTCATGTCAACAGGATGGAAGGTGGAGAGGAAATGGTGTTTCTCCTATTACTTTTCATGCCTTTTTAAAAGTGTGGTTTTCCTTGTCCTCAGTCTTGGCCGGAACAAGTGTTCCTGCTCCAGGGACAGAGTATAGCATCTCTCATCTAACCTGACCTGCTCTCAGAAAATCTTCTTTATGTCCTCTGTGTAGTGTCCACAGCTGCAAGGAGGAGCTTCAAGTAGGAGGCTGTCCCAAGGCCATAGGATTCTGCCCTAACAAAAGTTAGGCAGTCAGGCAATTATTTCCTCATTCCTTCCATCCTTGAAAGAAGTGGTAGTTGAGATTTGGATTCCAGGAGTGAGTGGGACAAGAAAGCATGAGTGGAGAGTTCATGAATCTGAAAGAATGGGAACTCATGAAGCACCTTTACCAAAGCCCCTAACTCCCAAGATTGAGTTGACCTAAAGACTCTTTAAATCTGAATTTTATTTTGCTTTTCTAATTAGGCACAAATGCCGAGTATGCTTAAACTAGAGCTGTGTCTAGCACTGAACTGCCTGAACTAAATCTAGCTTTCAAATAAGCATTTTCTCAGTCTCTTCTTTCACCTACACTTTCTTAATTGCTAAATTAATTGAAAAGCATCACTCAGAACTTGTGGGAGGAATGAAGTCTGTTTTTACTTCTCATAGCACAGTTCAGAAAGTGTTTCAACATACTTCATTATGCTTAACCAATTTACAAGAAGACTGCTACTTAAAAAGAGCTCTTCTCTAGGTTAGGTTAGAGTATGAGGATTTTGGTTTGGGTTGTGAGCCAGTTCCCTTATTTGCTGTTTATCCTGGTGCTGGCACACATCTTTAAGATGTGGCATAGTCAAAACTGGTTCTTGTGTTACTCAGCTGGCCAGTTGAGGGCCAGGAGAATAAGAAAGGAAGTTGTCGTGTGTGTGGTGTGTGTGTTTCCTAGCCAAAAGTTAGACCAGAGATGGGGAACCTATAGCCCTCCAGGTGTCGGGTCAGATTGACCAATGATAGGAATCGGGAGTTGTCATCCGGCCACATCAGATGGGTCACAGGTTCCTCATCCATGGGTTTGAGCAACAGTTTGGCTCCTGAACAGCTGTGAACAGAGTGAGTTGTATACCATGAAATGCACTTCCTTTTATACTCTCTCTTCTCCAGCCTCTTCATAGCTTGTCTCCTTCCTGAGGTCAATATCTCCTCCAGATTCCATGTTATGAGGGCTCAAGTAGAATTTAAGACTTTGGGTGGTAAGAGATGTTCTATGCAAGGGGGGGGGGGAGAAAAAGGAAAAAGTAGTAATAGTTAGGAATTCTTGAATTAGAACAGGTCAGCTGTCAGCCCTCCTGTTCCTCAAGTGTCATCTGAGAGCTGCTGTTCCATCTGTCTGCCTCAGTAGGAGAGGTTGGAATCAGGGCTCATTCTACCATCTTTGCCAAAAGCCCAGCTCCATCAGGTACCTGCTACCACTGAACCATGCAAGCTGGTCATTACAAGAACAACTATTTAAGAATGAGTGCCTGAGTTTGATTTCTTTTCCTCGTTCCTTCCTTCCCCTCTTGTCTTGTGTGTTGTATTTTTTAGACTATAAACCTGTGGTCAGGGCCTGTCTTGTTTTAATTAATTGTATGTAAGCCACTCTGGGAGCTTTCTTGGCTGAAGAGCAGGGTACAAATGCTCCCAGTAATAAGAAGTCTGCTTCAGAGAAACTGGTATGACAAGCTTTTTTTGGACATAAAAGCAAAGCAAAATGAGAGATACTGTGAATTGTAGGAAATAAGTTTTCCTATGTAGCATGAATTTTGTGGGCCCCATAGCAACCTCATTCCAGTGCTTAGAAAGCATCTTGTTCTGTGTCTCCTGTTTCAGTCAGATGGTATTGCATTAGTGCCCTTGGCCTACCAAGCTTTGTTTACTATATACATAGCCACTGTAATTACATATGGAAGATTGTAATACATTGAGGAATTGTGAGAGTACAGCTGCACAAATATTAAGATGGAAAAATACATAAATAGTGACACCAATTTTGTTTCATATTTCAGATCGTTCAGAGAGGTTTGGGACAGTCCTCTGTTTCAATATGCATGTCTGATACTATTTTGGCAGAACAGTTACTTAACTTTGGGATGTTTTTTCCTAAGTCACTTTGACTTGAGAATTCTCATGTTCCCCAGCCTCTAGTTTAACCCTGATATTTCTGAGTGGCCCTAAGTAAGTCTCTTAATCTCAGCTCCTTTATACCTTGGGAACTGCAGGGGACCAGGATGTCGATAGAAAGAGTGTGGTGATAATGGTGTTTTTGTTTCTCCATGAATTGACTGAAAACCCAGAGATAGCTGCTTGGAATATAATATAGTGCATGGCATGATAGGGCCTAAATGGGCAGTGCTGTGATATCTAATCTGCCTGTATCTCTGTCCCAATTACGTATGAAAATTGCCTACCTGGCAAGGTTGTCTCTGGCCCCCAGCCCCCACAGGGTATTTGATGCCCAGAAGCAGGTGCCCAAGGGAATCAGGCCCTCAGGTAAAAAAAGGTTGTCTGGTCTAATTTAGAACATATCAAAAGAAATTTGAGAGCATGATGCTTACAATTAATATTATCCTATAGTAGCCTAAAGGTGGATGGTGTTAGTACCTAGAAATCCATGTACACCAACTTTTATACCAGACCCAAAAGACCCAGAAACCCCTCACAGTTCTGACAGGTACTCCCATATGAAGGCATCTAGAACAAGGGGGTATAGCATGGCAGGTGGAAGCAGCCTTCTCCTGATAGCAGCCACCTTCTCTCTGGTTGATAGAGGCACCATAGAGGAGATACAGAGCTTTAAGGTTTAGAAGATTGAATAGAATAGGTGTGCAGGTGCTTCTCTTCTTAAAGATAGCATGCATGCTTGCTGTATGAACTCATTTCTGAATTCCCCCCCTATTATATATGAAATGGGTATTTAATACTTCAAGGTGCTTTAAGTGCATTTGTTAATTGAAAGTTTTACTGCAGGGTTTAGCAGGAGCCAAAGTGGTGCTCAGAATAGAAACAGGATACAAGCTGGTTAATTTTTTGTGGTTAATCTACTTGCCTAGTGTGACTTAGAACTTTTAATATTGGTTGGAAAGGTATTATTGTGAGGTGGAGGAGGGGTAGGCTGTACCTGGTATCCTAATTCCTGGATCCAACAAGAATTCAATTGCTGGAATAGCCAGGCATGTTTCTTGGTAATGACCTAAGCATGGTTCTTTAAGGTAAATGAAAGAAGTGGCTTTGTGCTAGAGGGTAAGTGGGTGGACCCCCCTCCCTCAGATTTCTGGTAGTTAGAAAGACAAGGCTGTAGTTGAGATGTGTGAGTTAGAAGCTAGAAGCAGGCTGCTAACTGGGCAGCTGAGAGACAAAGCCATGCCTAATTTCTGGTAGAATCAAATGCTGTGGCCATGGGAGAAGCAAGACCCTCTTGGGGTGTTAATACAGTGACCTTAAGTTGATCAGCGGGTAAGAAATTGTAGTAGTAGTAGTGGCAGTAGTGGTAGTAGTAGTATTAATAATAATTCTGTTAATCTCTGTTAACACTTGAAAATGTGCTGCTGCAGTTGTGGCAATATGTCCAACTATGGTCATGTTCAGTTTTGTTCACAGTTGGTGAACTAAGTTGGACCATTAGCCCAGTACTGTCTCTTATTGTGCTAGCAAATCAAATCAAATCAAATATTTATTTGTACAGTATTTGACCAGCATTAAAGAAGCAAAATAAGAAGCAAATAGAACACTTTATTCAGATATGTATACAGTGATACCTCGGTTTAAGGACAGCCCTGTTTACGAACTATTCAGTTTATGAACTTTGCAAAACTGGAAGTAATGTCTTGGTTTGCAAACTTTACCTTGGTCTAAGAACGGAATCTGAACGGTGGAAGGGCACCGGCGGCAGGAGGCCTCATTAGGGAAAGTGCACCTCGGTTTAAGAACAGTTCTGTTTAAGAACGGACTTCCGGAATGGATTAAGTTTGTAAACCGAGCTATCGCTGTAGTAGGATAGAATAAAATGGGCTTCAGTGTTTTACAGAGTAATAGTAGCCATGTCACAAACTCCACAGTGGAAAATTACAGAAGTCAGTTCCTGGTGGGTTTTGCTTTCTGCAGCACAGTGCTTTGCCACACTGAGAGTGATTGATACATTTTGATCTGAGAGGTGCAAAAGGATGTAAAATGCACCTGATCATCCTGACATATCATACGGTAACAGTTTTCCAGTGTCTCAGGCTGTAGTTTTCCCTATCACCTTTTAAAATGAAGTTATTGTGGATTGAACCCAGGACCTTCTGCAAAGCATGTACTGTACCACTGAGCTATGGCTCTTCCCTAATGTAAGCGAAGAAGCAAAGGCAGCTTCTGTGTACAGGATTACCACCCTGCATATTTTGTGCTTCAAAGTGAAGGCTTTGCAGTGGGTTAAGTATTGATTTGTCACAACATGATAACTATAAAACAGGACAGGACACCCGCCCCCAATTATTTATATGCTGCCCATCTGACTGTGTTGCCCCAGCCACTCACATCAAACATTAAAAACTTCGCTATACAGGGCTGCCTTCAGGTGTCTTCCGAAAGTCAAATAATTGATAAAAATCAGATAGGATTCATACTAACCTGTGCTGGTTCCTTCTAGTCCAGGGGAAGACATGAGGGCTAGAGTTGGTGGTGCAGTCCATAAGGGCATCTGTTGCTTTAAAAAACACAAACTAGCAAACTAGCCCTACTGTTAGGTAGTGTGAGGCAGCTGCCACAGGCACCAGATATTGGGGGTGCAGAGAATGGTAGTCAGAAGTTTGACGATGTGTGTTCTGTGGCCTGCTCTACACCTCCAAAACTTACCTGTCACTTTCTGACATACTGGAGGATGCTGTTCATGTCCTATTGGTGAAACTAAGGTTCATTTGCCAACCCAGAGACTATTGACTGGTAGGGCACATCTCGTCTTTTGCCTCAGGCAGTGAAATGTCTTGTGCTAGCCCTGCAAACCAGTTAGTATCTAAAGCATTAAACTAGCCAAGGGCAAAGCTGTCAATCTGGACAAACTCTTTATGCTTTTTGCCATGTTCCTTTCTGAAGAATAATTTGCCTTAGTGAGTAAGTGATGAAATGCAGCTCGTTTGATTGTCGAGGTCATGTGCCTTTTTTCTCCCCATTGGCCCATTTTTAGCTCTCCTTCAACGAGTAGCAGAACTGGAAAAAGTCAATGCTGAATTTCTACGCACGAAGCAGCACCGTGAGCAGGAATTTAATCAAAAGAGGGCAAAATTTAAAGAGCTGTATCTGGCTAAAGAAGGTAATACTTAAATTTACTGAATGTAGAAATTGTAGACATTCATGTGGTCTTTAGAGTAACTGAACAAATAAGCTATTTTAATTTGGTGTCGTTTTTTCACATTGTGAGTTTGAGGTTTCAACTACATGCGTTGTTGTCTTGCAGAATGTCACAACTGTGCACTCCAAAACGAGTCACTACCAGAATATGGGACGACACAGAACATCACACCTTAAAATGGGGATATATAGTGCTTGCATTCATTGCTTCTGTCTCTTGATGTGGGTAAAACCACCGGACACCTGTGGATTAGGTTGATGTATCTAGTTACATGTCTAGCTATATTTAGCTCAGCTTCTTTGTGCAAGTTTAGAGAACACCTCAGGAAGCGTCAACTGATTGGAAATGTTGGTGTCATCCTGAAACCTCCATGGGGAGCTGATGATCCCATTTGTTTGGATAGAAGTGCCATGACTACTAAGGAAACGTATTCATTGTTTTTGTGTTGACTGTTGTATCGCAGACTTCAAGACTGGAGACAAAGAATGTCCTTGTTGGTAGTGAAAAGAGAGCTGGTAACTAAAAGATCTGAGACCAGACTCAAACTTTGGTGGCTTTATGAGTGAAATACACCCTGGGCATATTGGTAGAAGTTTGGCAAGCTCCGGGTCACAGTACACAGACAGGTCTGACTCATGCCCTTATCAAATTAGATAGACTACTACTTAAATTCCCATGACTCCTAAATATGTGCCCTTAGAAATTCCAAAGAAGCCTGAACCACTACATTAATGATAATCATTGATATGTCTGGAATTTTTTACTTGTATATTACTTTGGACTTCACTTTCCTATACAGATGGAAAGTTTGGGAAAGCTTTTACACCAGGGATGGGGAACATCCCCCCCAACGTGTTGAAATCTCTCAGGGAAAGTGGGGAGCATGTTCCCAAAGTGGGCAGGACCAACCCGCGCACCCCATTCACACACCCTTCCCTTCCCTTCCTTCCCTTTCTCACTTTGGCTTCCCTGCTGTGTGGTGAGAAATGGGAAGCCCTTTCTCAGTGCAGAGGTAAAATGCTGCAATCTGTTGATGTATGACGAAGCGGCAAAATAGTACAAGTGAGGGGCATGGCCTAAGGGGAAGGTGTGTGACAGGGGTGGGGAGACTTCAGACTGGTGGTATTTACTTTATTTTGTACTAGAACCCTAACCAAAGCCACCAAAGAAAAATATATCATTAGATTTAAAGAGCAGGATATTATGAACATATTCCGAGACTAGGCATTTATTTCTGTACAGGAATCAGTACCAATACCAGAACTGAATGAGCTCATATTCCTTTCATACCAAAGTCTGTTCCTAGTTAGCTTGCTCCATTTCATCAATCTAATTTACATGGGAAAATATCGATTTCTTGCTATTGTTAAAACAATTGTGCTTCAGAATCTCCCCGTCTTGCCCGATCTATTGCAAATCACCCAATAATCTAACAGTAGGTTTGATCTACCTTCTGCCCAAGGGAGAGTGTTGCGGGACAGATTAAGAGGCCTGGTGAGTCAGATTAGGCCCATGAACTGGAGGCTTCCCACGCCAGCTTTATATCACCAATCCTAAAGGGAGAGAGGGAACTTGTATGGCAGTGATGTAATGCAGAAGTTCTTGTACTAGGAAGTTCTGTTTCGTAGCCAAAGGAATAATTATTTTTGTGAAATATAGCTGAGCATAAGGTAAATTTTCCCACTCCTAGCATGGTAGAGGCATAAGTAAGATGCCAGTGATCCTCTTGGTTAGATGAAGCAGTAAACTAAGTGTAGAGTTTACAGACTCATTTATGCCTAAAATGAGGAACAGCAGGAGTTCTGTCCCCTTGGCTTCACTTTGAACCTCTGCATTAATGTATTGTGCTTTTAAGTGGAACTACTTTTCATTTCAGAGGATCTGAAGAGGCAAAATGCAGTACTTCAGGCTGCTCAGGATGATCTGGAGCAACTGCGAGCGCAGCTTACGGAAGCCCAGGCTGAAATGGAGAATATTAAAGCCATTGCGACAGTATCTGAAAATACAAAGCAGGAAGCTATTGATGAAGTGAAGAGGCAATGGCAGGAAGAGGTTGCTTCTCTGCAGGCTATCATGAAAGGTGGGACTGACGGAAATGGGTGAATTGCTATCAAAAAAGTTTCATATTCAGTGATATCGCTGATCCCCAAACCACTGCTTTAGTAGCACTGAAACCACATGCTTGAGATATCTCTTGTAGAAACGAGAGTGTATTATTTGACGTTGGAAGGTTCACGTTGACATTTGAGGTCATTCTTCAGTATGTTTTCTGGCTTTCTATACTTTTTGCAGCCCCCAAACTCATTTTGCATTTAATTATACTGTACTTAGCAAATTATTGTCCTGTTTTTCTTAAAGTTTACTTCAAATAGGTAATATATATATATATATATGAAGACTCAATCACAAGCAAGTTAGAAATGGCAGAAAAGAGATAGTCTTGTGTATTTAACAAAACTATGAAACAATCAGCAGAAGGGAAAAAATACAGCAGAAGTTAAAAGAAATAAACATTTGCCTTCCGAATTCCTGAACTGTCACCTCCATCTTTGTAGACCAGCCCTGGATTTAAGATTGGCAGGGAAGGCCAGTTTTTAATTTGATTTCCACTGCCCTCAGAGGTTTCAGGAATGATGACACACATGAGAGGGTCTTCTCAGTGGGGGTCCCTACAGTTCCGAGACATTTTTGAATAGCAAGTGAGAAATGTGCTAAATATATAACAGTGTGACCTCTGAACCCTACTTGTTTGCTTGGGAAGTATGTTCCTAAGGTGGAGAGGATCCATAGCTCTGTGGTAGAGCATTGCTCTTCATGCAGAAAGCCCAGGTTCAGTTTCTGGCTTCTCTGTGACTGGGGGTAGGCCATCCTCATCTTGAGGCTTTGGAGGACTGCTGCCACTCGGAGTAGATGAACTGGGCAACTTTTGGCCCTCCAGATCTTGCTGGATCCTGACTGTCAGCTGTCTCAACCAGCATGGTTGGCGCTCAGGCATGATGGAAGCTGTAGTCCAACAACATCTGGAAGGTACCAGGCTCTGAACCCTTGCAGTAGGCAATCCTGAGGTCAATGGACCAGCATTCTATCTCTGTATGAGGCAGCTGCATACGTTGTTGATTTCAGCAGGACATCAAATAATCTGCTTAAGGATCTCACTCTGAGACGTATACCAGCCTTTTAATGAGCTTGTCACCTAAAGAAGATGTGGGGGATTAAAGAAGTGATGAGCAACTTGTTATTGTTGTTGTTATTAAACAGAAACTGTCAGTGACTATGAACTCCAGTTTCATCACAGGCTGGAGCAAGAGCGAGCTCAGTGGAACCAATACCGAGAGAACGTGGAAAGGGAAATAGTGGATCTGAGAAGACGTCTTTCCGAAGGCCAAGAAGAGGAAAACCTGGAAAATGATATGAAGAAGGTAAATCAAAGCATACTTCAACATGTAGTACTGCCAGATTTGTTTGGAAGCTGTTTGCCCATTGTCTTTCTTCTTGAGAACTGGGAAATAAATAACATAACTAGGAGTGTATCCTCTTTTTGTCATGACTAGTCAGCTTAGAAAATAAAAGTAGGAAACAGAAGCTGGTATGAACTAGAAATGTTCTCTTTCTGCTTTGAAACTTGAAGCTGTGTGCCTGTGTTGAATTATTCCCACAATATTTAGGTTTGTAGCACAAACATCTCTTTAAGTTATTCTCCTTCCTCCCCTCTGTTCTCCCCCAACATAAACTCCATTCCTGCTATTCTGCTTTCCCCTTGGTATTTCCTGCTCAGGCACCCTGAGACAAGTAAGCAGGAGGATGCGATAGAGATGTGGAGAAAATGGATAGAGATATTATTTCACCCTCTCGTAATATTAAAACCTAGGATCATCCTGTGAAACTGAAGATTTAAGACAAATAAAATGTAATACTTCACACAGGTCATAGTTACGCTACCACAAGATGTGGTGGTGGCTGCTATCTTAGTCGATAAGTAAGATGGCTGCTTACAGGGGGATTAAACAAATTCATTGAGGATGCAAATCAGTGGCTACTAATCATGGTGAGACTATACCACCTGTAGAATTAGAGACAGCATTCTCCGGTATACTTGTTATACTGGAACAGCAGCAGGAAAGGGCTATTGCCCTCAGGTCCTGTTTTGTGCAGTTTCCATAGGGATCTGCTTTGCTGCTGTGGGAACCAGGAATGTTGGACTAGACAGACCAATGAAGGTGAACCTCCAGTCATTCCCATTTGGCCCCTGGTATGGTTTGGCACAAACTACAGTCACCTGATATCATGTGACTGTAGACATGGGACAAGTAAACCTGTCCCTCCCCCACCTGTCAAAGTGGCATGCAGGAGGTTGGGGAGGGAAAGGGTTCTGGATCTGGCCCACTAAACATTTGATCCAAGGGCTCTTCTTATATTGACTTTTTCTTAAGCACAGGGCCATAGACAGGATAATTATGATAAAAGGAGTAGGAGAGAAGCATCCATATACTGTCCTGATTTCATTGGAGGAAGAGTGGGTAAACTCTAGCATACTCAGTCGAAGTGTGGACACAACATTGAGAGTCCATGTCTGAGCAGCAGATCGTCACAGAAACCTGTGTATAAGCAGTACTTGTGATCTGAAGAAGCATATATGAAAGATAGGCCTAGCAGCCATAACTCAGTCTGGTCTCCAGTCATATAACCCATGTGTTCAGAGGCTGTGAATATTTGACAACAGGTCAATAGGGCACAGGTATTGCTGCTCTTGTGAACCTCTGTTAGCCCATGCCAAAATGTGCCTCTTGGTTGCCTGACTCGATCGGAAGCAGTGCTGCTGTGGGGTAGTGTGGGAGATGGGCAAATCTTAATGAGGTGTAGCCCACCAGGAAATTCTCTTGTGCAGGTCCTGTTTGTTTCAGTGGGACTTGTATAGGGGAATTCCTGGTGAATTCTTCCTTGTACAAACATCTTTTTTTTGTCTCCTTGTATGCATATCCCTGTTGATATAATTTGAAAATGCATGCTTTTGTGTGTGTTTTTAAAAATAGAGCTGTTATAATGAGATGCATGTGAAATTTTACGTAAAGTACTGATGCACATGTAGTTGTTTTTAAATAAATATCTCAATCTTTTGTCGCTGAGAATTGGTGTTTTGTGAAATGCAGGAATCTGCTTCCCTTAAGTCATATTTCTAATTTTACACACAAAGTGTGGTTATAGTAAAACATACTTAGTTTTTTGGACAGAATGGGAGCCTTAATGCTTAGGCTCCTCTGTGGACTAAAAATGATGGCATTGATTGAGGCATTTAAGGAGTTGGAAGCTATTTCCTGGAACGCATCATCTGCTTAAAAGGCAGTAACATCTTGACTTTGTGTGTGTGTGTGAGAGAGAGAGAATGAGAGAAATTTGCAATTGTGCAATTATGGCTACTATGTGTAGTTACGTTCCTGACATGACATAAATACTTGTAGATATTGGCTGACCTAACTGGCTGCTTTTTGGCTACTTAAAATTAACTGGCAGGGGCTGATACGTTCCTGTGTGTTGATGTTACAGGTTTAAGGCATGTTTGCATAATAATGTCTTCATTATCAGCTGAGAGTGGAGGCAGAGGCAACCTGTGTCCCTCCAGATGTTGTTGGGTTACAGTTCTCATCATCTTTAACCATTGGTTGAAGCTGATGAGAGCTGGAGTCCAACGGCATCTGTAGGGCCATTCAAGCATGAAAGCAATAGAAAGATGGTATCCCTGTCCCAACCTGAAATAACTGCAGCAGGGTGCAGGAACCCCCTGTCCTGATGTGAAATGTTGGGCTGCGTGGAAAGCACGACATATTCATAACTATTTTGAATTTTTAATTCTGTTGATGCCTCCCTTAGCCTTCAGTAAGTTAGGCTTAAAAATATATATATATTAAAATGATCTGGGCCATGACTGTTGTCAGAGGACACATTAACACAGAAGCCTTGTTTGAAGTTAAACAGGCCTGGTCAGTGTTTTTTCATGGTATCATTTTAATGTTCTAAGTGAATTGTTGAACTTAGAAAACTTTGGCTGCTTGATTCAGCAAGAGCTGCTAATTTGAGGTCCACAGTTCTGTACTTGAGAGTAAGTCTCATTGTGAGACGTGCTTCCCAGAAGACTATGCAACATATAGCCATCCTACACAAACATGTTTGCTACTGAAAGGCTACAAAGTCTGAAACCTCTGAGCTCTGTGGCCCATCTCAGTCTTCTGAGACATTTGGGGCATGTGGGTTGCATAGGAGTATTCCAATTTGAGGCTGCATTTCTGTTACATTTCAAGCAATAGAACAATAAATGAACCCTGGGCCATTGTTTGTTTGTTACATCGTTTAATGTTGACTTCAGGCCCAAGAAGATGCAGAGAAGCTTCGTTCAGTTGTGATGCCCATGGAAAAGGAGATTGCAACTTTGAAAGACAAACTGACAGAGGCTGAAGAAAGGATAAAGGAGCTGGAGGCTTCAAAGGTGGGTGAGGAAAATGTCCAAAGATCTTGTGTTTGTAAGATTGCAATGGGGTCATCTGCCTTGATACAGGAAACTAATATTTTTCATAGACCGTGCTTCTCAAACATCTTGAAGTGGGACCTGCCTGTGAACTTAATATTTCAAGCCCTGTTTTCCCCACTTGTCTTCAGCAGAGGATTGTAGAAAATCTTGTATAGCAGGCAGATCTTGAAAGATAAGCAAGCAACATGTGTTATCTAAGTCTAAAGCTTCAGGCTCTATCTTTCCACAGATAGTGGTGGGGAAGGTATTGTAGAGATGTCAAATTGAACAGGGCAGAGATGGTTGTGTGGACTAGAGAACTACCAGTATGTTCATTTTGGGATACAGAAATCTTGTATGTATGTGGCCTTTGAGTTGGTGTCCTCTGTGTTCTGAACAACAAAGAATACGTTCCAAGATCTATTTACTGTTCTTTGACTCTAGTTTTTCATCTTGGCAAGTATATACACTCATTGCAGATTTGTTAGTTTCTAGCATTTTCAGATAGATTTGATTGACTTCGATGCTAGTAAGTTCTAGTGATTTACTAGCTTTCTATTCAAAATGACTAATGATAGTATCTTTAAATGCTGTTGAGCATTTAATGGCAAATAACAGGAGCTTTGCATTTACAATGGTTGTGTGTGCCACCACAAAAACTTGATGGCAACTATAGAATTGGAGTAAAGGACTCTCAGTGGAGTTTGTTATTCCTAGAAATGTGCTTGAATTCACTAAGTGGCTATTAACTTCAGTCTTTTAAGTACAGCAACTGAAGCCAACTGCATGCATTTCACCATAATCTTCCTCTGATTGATTATATACCTTTTTCAGGTTAAAGAACTGAATCATTATTTGGAAGCTGAGAAATCCTGCAGGACCGATCTAGAAATGTATGTGGCTGTTCTGAACACTCAGAAATCAGTTCTGCAGGAAGATGCAGAGAAGCTGCGGAAAGAACTTCACGAAGGTGTGAATTCTCCCCTTTGCTAAAAACATAGGAGGTGGCAACAGTAGACCTGTGCTTTAGATGAGGAGCGGGCAGCCAAGTGCTTGGGCTGAGCTGCATGCCCACATTGGCTTCCAGAGTCTTCCACTTACTTTCCGCACAGTGGTATCATACAGAGCGTGGTGCTGGGGATCATTAGAGTTTTAATCACAGGGCAGTAAAAAAGGTGGGGATTTGCAGGCAGGGCTTGTCCCAGACTCCAATTCTGCAATTATTTTGCACATAGTTAAACTATGGAACTGTCTACCATGGGAGGCTACCCACTTGGATGGCTTTAAAACAAATTCATGGAGGATACAGCTATCAATAACTACTAGCCATGATGGCTGGGCTCTGGCTCCACAGTTGGAGGCAGCAGTGCTTCTGAGTACCAGTTGCTGGAAAGCACAGGAAGAGGAGTGTGCTCTTATGTTTGAGTTTCACTTGTGGATTTTCCACAGGCATCTGGTTGGCCACTGTGAAAACAGGATGCTGGACTGGATGGACCATTGATGCCAAGAAGCAATGGGGAGGCAGGAGGTGGGCCCCTCCAAGCATGTTAATTGCTTATTTACAGTCAACCAGGGTAGAGCCTAGCCTAGATCATATAAATGGTGACTCTTGCGAGAGTAAGTGCCTTCTTTGTTTCTGTGCAAGAAAATGTGAGCATTTTCTTAGATTTAAGTAAAAAGCTCTAATGTGTGGAATAGCAAACAAATGTAACCAGAGTTACTTGGGTGAGAGAAGTGAATGGTGACCATTAAAACCCCAATTCATTATCCTTGTCTGTTTCTGCATAGTCTGCCATCTACTAGAGCAGGAACGGCAGCAGCACAACCAGCTGAAGCACACCTGGCAGAAGGCCAACGACCAGTTCTTAGAGTCACAGCGTTTGCTGATGAGGGACATGCAGTGGATGGAAATGGTGCTGACCTCTGAGCAGCTTCGGCAAGTGGAAGAGCTGAAGAAGAAAGATCAGGTTGGTGTGTGGGTATGTGTGTGTGTATGTATGTGTGTGTGTGTGTGTGTGTGTGTGTTGCAATCAAATATTGTTGCCTTTTTCAGAGTACAATAATTGTGGGTGTTTGGTGACAAGGAGGCTGGAGGGCAAGGATGTGGGGAGCATTTGTTTCTGGGTTTCGAATATTTTTTGACATATGTTATTAAGGCAGAAATTGTTTCAAGGAGGTTAGTGTTCATTGTCATGTCTGTACACATTTACAATGGTTTAATGTGTTGTGTGTATGTATGTGCACCCAAGATAGCTGGGCTTCTTTGTTTTTCTTGTAACTGCTGTGTTTGAGACAGCAAATGTTTGTTTATTTGTTTCATAAAATTTATACACTGCTTGATTGTAAAAAAACCAAAACAACCTCAATGCGTTTTATAAAAAGACCTGCTCTGCGTGTATTTGATTTCTCTGTGAAGGAGATCGCTTATTATTCTTAGGTAACACTGAAGCCGAGTACAGTCTCATCCATAAAAAGGGTAAACATTTTTACATGTTCAATTTCTAAATGACATGTGACACATATTTGTGAGATGCATGCGACTTGCTGCAAATGGCTCTGCAGCTGCGTTCACTTGCTTGAGTTTTGCGCTTGGCGTGCACTTTCAGTTCTTGCCATGTGCGTAAGACGAGGGGTCTGTGGAGATCCTCATGCTCGGCTCATAAATGACCTAGGATTTGCAAATACTGGAGGACTATTATGAAGACTCAAAATGAATGTGAGCAGAAAGCAAACCTGTTCTTCCCTGCTGCATTAAACCCACATGTCCCAAAGCTTCCCTATGGTAGAGACCTTTTGCTTCCAGCAGCAGTTTCCCCTCCAGGCAGCCCTTCAGATCATCTGTCATGCAAACCAGCTGCTTCATTTGTTTATGCTTGGTGACTTGAAAGGCTGCACTTGGGCTGTGGAATGTGAGCAGAATCAAAGGGGGCGGGTGCTGCTTGCAGTTGGCCATGCCTGTGTTGAATTTAACTTGCAACAATTCCAGTAGATGCACTTGCATAGTTGAGCACCCCTGCTTCAAGTTTTTGACCCATCCCTGTTTGTTAACACACTTGTGGTCTGGACTGAGATCTATGGAGGCCTGATACCATGTGTGACTAATACTAATTGATGGCAGCTGACTTCTAAGCTGATGCAATAGCAGTACGCCTAGATTAGGGATGAGGAACCTATGGCCCTCCAGATGTTACCAAACTGACTCCCATCAGCCTTGGCCAGCAGTGCTAGTGGTCAGGGATGATGTAGTGCAGCAACATCTGGAGAGCCAAAGGTTCCCCTTCCCTGATCTAGATGACTAGAGGGTTGTTGTTGTTGTTACAAGCTCCCCTGCCCCCAACCTTGCAGGGGGAGTTGACTAGAGGATCCTTTGGGTACCTTCCAACTCTGTGATTCTATTATTCGTCCACCATTTTGTGATTGTGTTCAGTTGGACCTTAGAGCTCGCAATTAATTATTCGTTCAGTCCAGAACTTGAGTCATTCTGACACCTAAGGCTCCATTTCTCTTTTGTTTGCAATATTTTCCTTTGGGACGTTCCCCCCCCCCCCATTCCTTCCCTGCTTAGCAAGGTGCTCAGGCGTCATCTGCCACCTTGAAATTCATAATGGTATAAGTGACGCTGAAAGGACATCAAAACACTTCATTGTTTTTAGGAAGATGAAGAGCAGCGGAAACTTCATAAAAGGAAGGAAGACAAACAGAGAGGCCCCGATGATGAATCGAAAGTAAGCTCCATCACTCATGATGAATCCCTTCCGCAGTTCCTTGGTGAAGAGGTAAAGCTGATTTGTTTAGCATGTGTTTCCCAAAACATTATTGATTGTATTTAATTTTAGCAAACGCTACTGATGGCAAAAATCAATGGAGACTCCTTGGTAGCCATCTTGGCTTATTCAGACCAATACTACAATGTGTTGAGAGCAAACTGCGACCCTTATCATGGATTCCAGGGTTCAAACCCCCACTTTGGCCATGAAGCTCACTGGGCCAGTCACTCACTCTCAGTCTAACCTACCTCACAGGGTTATTGTGAGAATAAAATGTGGAGGAAGAGAACTACCTACACCACCTTGAGCTCCTTGGTGGAAAGGTGGTGTTTAAATGTCAACATAAAATAAATAAAATAACCTGTAAGGAGTGCGACACGGCTTGGAGGACAGGATGCACTTCACTCTTCAAAGGAACAAAGAACCGTGTTGCATGAGGGTAACCTTAAACCCAATACCCCCTGTGGCAGGCAAGTCCTTCACCTTGTTGCAGTAACATCTAGGGATATTTTCCATGTGATCCTGTCTTGTCACATGAGTTTTCTCATTCACTGCTACTTACTTACATACATACATAATTTTATTTGTATGCTGTCTTCCACACCATGCTCAAGCTGGCTTGAAGCATGAAAAAAACCACATAACCACAACATAACAAAAAGTAGTCATAAGCAATAAATAAAACATTAAAAAATACACAACCAAACTGAACAATTTTCACATAAATCACAATAAGTACTATAATAAAGTTACAAAAAACCAATAGCAACAACTCCCCCCAAACCCGACATCACCCTAGTCCAAGAGTCTGCTCAGCAGCCTCAGCTTTTGTAGCTGGAGTCAGTCAGGGACCGCCCTCGCAGGCCAGGTGGGAAAGGCCTGCAAGGCAGGGAGCAGGTCTTCCAGGACTCAGCCAAGATGGTCTCCTGCCACCTCAGCAGCCCCAGCCTTTGTAGCTAGAGTCAGCTTGCTTATCATGTGTTGCCAAACTTGAAGTCTTAGCATGATGAATGGTATTTTTTGTGTATGATCTGCCTTTTAAATGTATGGCTATAGTCTAGTAAATGTGAAACAAATGGTGCTGGAGTAAGACAAGACCTAAATGAGCAGAATGTAATTTTCCTTGGCTTTGCATAAGATTTTGGCAAGAGATACCGCTTGTTGGAAACCACAGGAGGGGAGAGTGTTCTTGTGCACGGGTGTTGCTTGCTGGTTTCCCTTTGAGGCATCTGTTTGGCCACTGTGACAACAGGATACTGGCCTAGAAGGGCTTCCATTGGCCTGATGTGGCAGGGCTTATCTTACATTCTTGGGCCTGTCCTTTTAAAAATAGTTTAACAATTGACAGTTGATAACTATATACTCAACATACTACTCAGCCTACAATGGAATGCAGATGTTTCAGCTCTTTCCCAGTGAATTCCTACACTGTTTTGTTTTTGTTTTTCCTTTTGAAATATTTCCCTCAACCTTTGGGACCTTCCCCCTCTTTTTCGGAATGAAACATGAGGCATCAGTTATCCAGCAATTTTCTAAAGCCTTAATGTCACAAGAATTAAATCCTCATCTTAAAACTCTGGTAATATGCACATTAGTAGGGACGCGGGTGGCGCTGTGGGTTAAACCACAAAGCCTAGGGCTTGCCGATCAGAAGGTCTGTGGTTCGAATCCGCATGATGGGGTGAGCTCCCATTGCTCAGTCCCTGCTCCTGCCAACCTAGCAGTTCGAAAGCACGTCAAAGTGCAAGTAGATAAATAGGTACCGCTCCGGCGGGAAGGTAAACGGCGTTTCCGTGCGCTGCTCTGGTTCACCAGAAGTGGCTTAGTCATGCTGGCCACATGACCCAGAAGCTGTACACCGGGTCCCTCGGCCAGTAAAGCGAGATGAGCGCTGCAACCCCAGAGTCGTCCATGACTGGACTTAACTGTCAGGGGTCCCTTTACCTTTTAATATGCACATTAAAGATTTGGATTGCACACAAAACCTGAATTGTAAAGATAATTAAATATGGTGTGAAGCCTGAAGTTACTACATGCGAACGCAGAGGAGCTGATTTCCTAAACCAGCCTTTGCCAAACTGGTGCCCTTTAGATGTTTTGGCTGTTCCAGCTTGGGCTGATGGAAATTGTAGTCTAATACACCTGCTAGGCACTGGGGTGGTGAAGGCTGCCCTTGTCCTAAACTGGGAAGTTTAAGGTATGTCCATGCAGGGGGGCATATGTGGTTCTCACCTGCTGTGCTTTGTGGCTGAGTGGGGATTTGAACCCTGGTCTCTGCCAGGTCACTCAGCATAATTCTTGTGGTGGTGAATCTGAAATCCATTCTAGTGATAGGAATTGGCTTTGAATTTGCAAGTTGCACAGTTAGACCCCATTATTTATGTGTTTTAATAAGCAATCTGGTAAACAACTGGCTTTGGCTTGAATGTAACCATTGTTCTAAGTTGATCGCCTGGGCGTACTTGCTGTGCTGGTTTTTGTCTTCCTTATCCCTTTTAAAACTGAGTTGGTTTTAAGTTCAGCCACCCTCAGTAGAGCAAAGTCAGTATTTCTCCATATTAAAACGGAAAGTTTTACTGGGGTATATTCAGGACTGACGGTCTTTCCCTTGCTATCTTGCCTATTCTTCTTTCAGTTGCGTTGTGAAGCAGCAGAACATAATTCTTGTGTCTACGGGAAAAATTCTTTGTTTTAATCCTTTAACTTAAGGTGGCTGTAAGCCAGTTTTTCATAGGGCATGTTAATAGGATTTACATGGGTTCTTTAAATGAGGTTCCATAATAATTGGCTCCCACCAGCACTAATTGCCTCCTCTGTGTCTTAGTGAAGTCCTGGTAAGCCACACAAGAGAATTGTGTACTTGAGGTTTGATGCCTAAGCCCTTAAGACATTTTTATGCTGCTTCGGCCAGCACATCGTGCCATATTGCTTCCTGCAAAGGCTATACTGTAGTAAAGTAGGAAGCTGGAGTTGTGCAGATGGTTTTAAGCAGCACACCCACCCACCCCTGCATTCAATTCAAAAAGGAGATGTACTGCTACAGGCATGCTTAAAAAGGATGTTCCTTTCAGATTAAGTCCCATGAGCTTGTTCACATGAGAGGGGCTTTGGGCTCAGTGGTAGAGGGCATGCATTGCATGCAGGAGAAAGTCACATATTCATTCCCCAATGGCATCTCCAGGTGGTCCTGGGAAAGATCCCTTCCTGAAACCCTGGAAAACCACTGCCAGCCATGTTGACAACCCTGATTGTACATAGACCAAAAGTCTGACTTTGTACAACGCTGCTTCCTGTTTGGTTAAAAAAAATGCTTTAATTCTACTTTAATCCCCAGGCAACAGTCCTGAATTAGCAACCTTCTTAATGCTGTGAAGGAATTATAGGAAATATTAGTCACATGGAATAACAAAATCATTAAAAGATAGAATTGGAAGGAACCCCGAGGGACATCTAGTCCAACCCCCCTGCAATGCAGGAATAATTTTTGCCCAACCTGGGGCTCAAACCCACGGCCCTGAGATTAAGAGTCTCGTGTTCTACTAACTAGTTCTTTCAGGTTTCTGTTGCTATGTGCTTCAGGGAATTTGGGACTCTACCCTCCTCTACTGGAGTCATGAGTCTAGTTGGGGGTGAGAGTGTGGGGTGTGGAAGACATTGATCAAAGAGATTTATTTTTCTTCTCCCATATATAATATTGGGATGTTATAGGGTTGCCTGATTCACTATAGGTGTACCGGTAGGTCAAACAACAGAAATGCATACGTGAAGTTTCCTAAGGCAAAGTGTGATAGTGGACACTAACTTGCCAACCTTTAGAAAGTATTAGACAGACCTGTTCTTCTTCATCTGTTTATTTGTGGCAATTGGCCATAACATTTAAACAGAATGTTAGTATTTGTAAATGTAAAATACTGCATGAAACCAACAGGAGTTGGCGATTGCTTTTGTGCTCTGTATGTAGCTTTCCTAGAAGCATCTGGCTAGCAGCTCTCCCAAGTCAAATGCTAAACTTGGTGAAATTTACAAGGAAAGATCTCTGGCTGAAACTTTTCAGAGCTGCTAAAAAATACAAGGAAAGCCTTCTGGATCAGGCCAGTGAACTGGTACTCAAAAGCATTACTGCCTCCAGCTGTGGAGAGCAGAGCCACCATGACTAGTAGACATTAATAGCCTCCATGAGTTGGTCCAGTCGTCTTTTAAAACCATCCAGGTTGGTGGCCATCCCTGCCTCTCATGGGAGCAGATTCCATAGTTTCACTGTGTGCTGCATGAAGATGGGCTTCCTTTTGTCTGTCCTGAGTCTTCCAAGATTCAGCTTCATTGAATGTCCATGATTTCTAGTGTTATGAGAGAGGGAAGAAAGCTTTTCTCTATCTGCTCTCTCCATGCTTCAAAACTTTATAAACTTCTATCTTACTTGCCTTTCCTCTGAATGAAAAAGTCCCAAACATTGCAAAGAAATTTGAGGAAAGGTGCCAGTCAGGGTAGACAAGATTGGGTCTTGGCAGCTTCTTCTCTTCTCAGCTGTAAGCACTGCCTAAGTGTTTTTTATCTCTCTTTAAATTATAGGTGCATATAAACAGTACTCACGGTTCAGTCCACTCACTCGACACCGATGCCCTGCTGTCTTCGGGAGAATCTCTCAAGTCAGACAACGACATGTTCAAAGAGGGGCTGCGGAGGGCACAGTCAACGGACAGCTTGGGAACATCAGGATCCTTGCAGGCCAAAACTCTGGGCTACAACAACAAAGCCAAATCGGCTGGGAATCTTGATGAGTCTGACTTTGGACCCTTAGTTGGGGCGGACTCTATGTCAGAGAACTTTGACACGGCCTCCCTTGGCTCTCTGCAAATGCCCAGTGGGTTTATGTTAACCAAAGACCAGGAGAAAGCAATCACAGCGATGACACCAGAGCAGGAGGAGACAGCATCCCTGCTCTCCAGCATCACACAGAGTGTTGAGAACGCTTACGTATCTCCTAGCGGTTACAGATTAGTTAGTGAAACCGAGTGGAATCTCCTTCAGAAAGAGGTAAGTTTTGTATCCACCATCTTCCTCCCTCCTGAAGATTGCTGCTGTGGAGGATGGTGCATCCACCAAGTACAAAAAACTTCTCTGCCCTGCCCAGAATCCTTAAACCTCCACCAGCACTTGCTGCAGCCGCCATCACAGTGCAGTCTTCTGTGATACTTTGGCATTGTTTTTACAGAGTTTCTGCAGCTTCTATGGCAAATGATTAATTTTATGTTCTCCAGGTGCAAAACGCTGGGAACAAGCTGGGCCGGCGTTGCGATATGTGTTCCAATTATGAGAAACAGTTGCAAGGAATCCAGATCCAGGAGGCAGAAACCAGGGATCAGGTGGGTCCAAGGTTGCTTTCTTCCATGCAAAAGGGTCTTGATGCTTAGAAGTTGCTACCAGTTCACTGAGTACTTACAGGGCAGCATAGCTCTCGGCTGCATGGACGTTGGCAGAAGTGAAGCTGGCCAGCCTTCAACCTTTGAAATGAGAAAATAAAATGATTCCTGGAGTGTCAGACAGAAGTAAAATTTTCACATAGAACTATTACTATACTTCAGTATAAAGGAGAAGAAATGTTAACACTTGCGGGGTGGGTTTCTGTGGTTCCCAGAATTGCTTCTTTTCTTGTAAAGTATAATTTGCTTTCAGGGTAGGAAACCACTTTCTTTTGAGGGCCACATCCACATCCCTTTGCAGTAGTAATGTGTTAGGGGCTGCACCCTGGGTTGGTGTTGGGCAGGAGCAAAAGTGGAAGGGGGTCAGACTCTTATTCTCTTTCTGCCATCATCCTTCCCCCGCACCTTCCCCTCCAGTGGGCTCCTCAGGGAAGGATAGATCACTTTTGCCAGCGATCTGAACTGATTGCTTGCCAAGTGATCTTTTCTCCTTCCACATGGCTCCATCTGTCCGGCCTTTCTTCCTCTCCTGTCGTCATCTTCCTCCTGGCTCCCCACCTCTGTAAAATTAGGCCATGGGCTGTATGAAATTAGGAAACCATCCTTTCTCACTCTTTATCTTCTACATTGTCTTCTGCATCTGCTTCAACTTTGTTAAATCTGACGTATCTAACAGCTCCCTAGCAGTATTCTTTTATCAGCTGTGTTAATAATGAAATCAATAATCCACTTCCTCAGTTACATTATACAAAGATCTGAAATGCTTAACTTCATTGCTGTGTGGCTGAATGTTTCACTCTTGCTCAAGTTCTTGTTAGGCTCTTTCTACTTACCTGTTGTTCATAGTTTTTTTCCCTTTTATTTTGTCTCTTACACACAGCATTTTCTTAGTTTACCCTGGTGTTATATGGGTACTTTCTTATGTGCCTTCACTCTGACATTTTAGTGTACATGTATTGCTGGGGAAGGACAGGAAGCTCAATGGGTTATGTGTGTGGTGTGTTTTTTACTTGTGAGTTTACTTGCAAGCTTGGTATTCTTTTTGTAAGAATTTTCTTCCTTTGTTTTATGTGGTTCCCACCCCCCTCAAAACAGCAAAAATATATACATTAACAACTCCCTAGCTAAATCAGCAGAGCGCATGATCAGCATTTCTCTTCTATAATCAATTGGCATTTTAAGGGAGAAACCCCACCTGTGTTGATCTATTTCCTTATTCAACCTTCAGGTTAAAAACTTAGAATCCTCCCTCCCGGAAAGATCTGATAAGATTGCCATTATCATTGGACATTCGAAATATCTCACAAACAGTGACCTTTGAGTCTCAGTTCAAGATGTGACTAGTATATCTCTTGGATCATGAGTGTTTCTTGAGTTGTGGTTTCTTATCTGAAAGGCGGGAATCAATAGATGCATCTTTATCTGAGTCTGAACCCGCCCATCCACTAAACCAACCTGCTGTACTCTAGAGGTTCAGTATGGGCCCTAGTCAGCATGGCTGTGGTGGCTGGGGCTGATGGGTGTTGTAGTTCAAAACATCTGGAGGGCACCAGGTTGGGGGACGCTGCACTAAATTAAAACGGGAGGCAGCTGGTTTCTCAAAGGCTCAGTCTAGACCCAGCTGAGTCTCCAACACCTGGGACCTCTGCTCCCTGCATATTGCCCATCTGATAAGGTCTAACCACCTTCTCTTCTGTGGTAGCCGCAAAGCTGTGGAGCTCTTCCTGTTCTGCATCTCAGCTGCTGATTCCCATGCACAAGTCAAGAACAGGCAAATGTGAATGAGCAGCTGACGTGCATCAGGCTTCTGAATCTTCTGTTGCTACTCATAGCAGGGAGAGGAGATTAAAGGAGGCCTTTGGCTGCATCTGGGCTCAGGCAGGTGTGATCTGGTGGGTGGAGTGAGTGTTGTGGCCTTTGGGCCTTGTGCAGTTCAAAGACTGCCCCTGCTAAAAATGTGTTGCAGAACAAGAACTTCTGTACTGTATTACTTTATTATTAAAATGTCTCACATAGAGTTGTCTTGCCCCTTCCCTTCTGTGCATAAGCGCCATCAGTTTTACTATTTTGGCAGAGTTGCAACACACACCAGGGTGGTGGAGGAAAGGGAATCTTCCTTCCTATTGCAAGTGTTACCAGTGTCAAAGCAGTTGTAATAAAAACCTCTTTGCTGTTTGTGCAAAACATAAAGTTTGGATGGTTTAGGGCTAGGCAATTCACAAATGAAGCATGACTCAACCTGTACTTTCAGTCAATATTCTTCTGAGATTCACATTTCTAGAAGTGGGGAGCCTGCAACCAACCCTCTGGTATTATTGGGCTTTAGAAGCAGCACTGGCCCTATTGGCTGGGTCTGTTGGGAACTGGAGTCCATTTGGAATTCTATAATAGCTGTAGGTTCCCAATCTCTGATGTAGAGACGTTGTTTGCAAGATTAGGGTTGGCTGAGGTTGAATTTTAGAGTTTGTTGACTCGGGGATGGTTTCCTGGATTGACAATCGTAGAGTTGTTAGGGACCCATAGGATCAACTAGTTCAACCCCCTTCAATGCAGGGATCCCTTCTCCACGTGATCAAGGAGGTCTACAGTACACCCAGTCACAATGCAGCACTCACTTTCTCGTATAATTAATTCACAGGTCACTTGTGGCTGCAGGGAACTCTGCACTCCACCTACCTCTGCACATCAGTGATAACAACTCCGCTATTGTTTGCATGAGAGGTGAGTCAAGAGCCCCTGAGTTTGTGCAGGGGCTCCTTTCCTCTCTTTCAACTCATTTCAGCCTCTGATTCACCCCTTGAGTTAAAATTGGAGGTTGAAAAGAGTTTGGGGGTTGTTAACCCAGGGCAGCCTTTTTGCCAACCTGGTGCCCTCCAGATGTTTTGGACTGCAACTGCCATCAGCCCAACCCATCTGGAGGGCACCAGGTTGGAGAAGGCTGCCCTTGGTTCATTGATCATGTAGACAAGCCCCTCTGACAGACAGATTACCGTAACTGCTACCAGATTTTTCAGAGTCTCTCGTGTCCAAAAGTTCAAACTCTTCTTCACATTTAAAATACGTTACACTTCAGCTTTTTTGTGCATAGCTACACCTACATCTAGAAAACTTGGCATACTTGATTTTTGCAGTCTTTACAGAAAGCTTTTGATTTTTTTTGCAGAGAAGAAAAGGCAAGTTGTACAACATTTTGATTACAGTTAGGAAAAGAATTTTGATTACAGTTAGGAAAAGAATTCTTTGCAATGAATCAGTTGCTGCAGTGTTGGAAAAGGTTGCATCCTATACAAGGAGGCCTTTGGTCACAGCCACTCTCTCATCAAGAGTGCAAACATTAATTCATGGTGTGTGTTTTTAATCTACGGCAGTCTTGATCCCTCCAGATGTTTCAAACTACAACTTTCATCGGCCAAGGCAGTTGTAAGTTCAGAGCATCTAGAGAACATGAGGTCAGTGAATGCTGACCTACTGGGATAGCTCAGTTGGTAGAGCATGAGACTCTTACTCGGAGGGTTGTGGATTTGAGCCCCATGTTGGGCAAAAGATTCCTGCATTGCAGGGGTTGGACTAGATGGCCCTCGTGGCTCCTTACAACTCTACAATTCTATGATACTATTGTTGGACAGTTGTCCTCACCCCACCCTCTTTTAGAAGAAAGGTAATTTATGGTGTGCTCTTGTCCTAACCACATAGGTGAAGAAGCTTCAGGTGATGTTGAGGCAGGCCAATGACCAACTAGAAAAAACCATGCGAGAGAAACAGGAGCTGGAGGAGTACATGAAACAAAGCACTGAAGATTCAGGAAATCAGGTACAGAAAACCTGGAGAGAAGCAAAATCCTAAAGGAAGACCAGCAGTCTGCAGAAGGGTATCCTAGGCCTGAACCTTTTTCATTGTAAAACCCCAGAGTTCCCTGGAAGAACAGTTCAAGCTTTTAGCAGAACTGTTTTAAGTGTGTGGGGGGGGGGGGGGGAGGGGAGAGAGACGATTGGCAACTACTACTGTTTTTAAAAAACAATTACTGGTATTGAAGAGCTTTCATTTATTTTCAGTTGCTATTAATTGCTATGTAAGCTCAGAGCAGCGTACATACAATTAATTAAGACAAAACAGTCCTTGTTGATAGGTTTGCTGTCTAAAAAGACACAGCACATAAGCAAAAAAGGTATGAGGAGGGAAGAGGAAAGAAGTGACCTCTCCTCATCTAACCCTATACTCTCAAATGTCAAGCATTTAGAGCCAGCTTAATACCTACCCAGTGTGAGATTTGGGAGAATAACTCAAGAAAAGCTGATGCTTCTATTCCAGCCCTAGATTAACCCCATAAGTGTGATTTCCCTATGTAAACAGCTTCCCTTAATGGCAGTGATATAAAACAATCAACCAACCATGGAATTTTAGTTTGATATATATATATTTTAAAAATATAGACAAAAGAAAAGGAAGAATGCATGATAAAACAATATCATAGTTAAGGGGGAAAGGAAACTCCCTAATTACAGAGTATCACAGGCAGTCTTCTGGGGACCATTAGAGTAAAACAAGCAAAGGATTTCCAGACTTCTCTATGTTGTTGTGTTTTGGCAGAAACGATAAAATCACCATCACCATGTATATAACTCTGGATAACATTGCATGCTTTTGATGAAATAGACAGTAGTCCATGAAACCTTATGCCATAATAAATTTGTAGGGGTATTCAGCTAAGAATAGACCCATTGAGTAGACCCATTGAGATTAATGAATATGACTTAAATTACGTCCATTAATTTCAAAGGGGTTACTTAGTTGAATATTACCTTTAATCTTCAAGGGGCCACAAGACTCCTTTGCCACTTTTATAGCCTAAGGAGAAGTTTAGATGTGTGCAAGTTACGTAGCCAGATCATAGCTGGAAAAATATATGTGCGCAGCCTGAGGAAGTACCAATCACCTTGGGCCTGCCCATAAAAAGCAAGTTTAGAGTGAGAGGCTATGATGTTTGCTGTTTCCAGGAACTCTTCTCATTGTGAGACTTTTGCAGGTGAGCTGAGAGTTGGTTATGCCCCTGGGTGAGAATCCAGAGGCTGAGAGGGAGAATGTGTCAGAAGGAAAATGAATAGATATTGATTTACATATATGAGTAACTTTGTATTAACTTGTATTACATGTACCAGTAACTTTGTATCACATTTTTATACGTCACTCTGCATTTTTGTAATATTTTGTTTTAAGTTGTCTGTTGTTGTTTCAGTTATCTGTACGCTGATCAGAAAGATTTTAAAAAATATTTTAAGCAGTATATAAATTAAGGAATCAAATGCATCTATGCTTGAATGATATGTGATCAGAAGCTTGAAGATCTTCCACATAGAAAATGGAAGACAAATGGAATGTATGTAATCATGGCCTCCCAAATTTTATCAACTGCTGTTGAGAAAGCTGCTCGGGTGACTTCAGTTGCATGCTATATAAGAAACCATGTACCAGAAACTCCTGCACTAATAGACATCCCCACCAATCTGTCCGTGGCCCTTTCAACAATACTGAATTTAGTTTGAACATACTGACTGAAACATTGCAAGGGGCAACACACCATCTACTGAAAACTTTGTATAGTTCTTCCTTTTTGTGTTATATTTGTGTTGGTTGATAAGGTCTTCTTTCCCCCCTCCCCTTTAACAGATCTCCTCGCTTGTTGTTAGAGTTCAGGAGTCGGAGGCCCTGCTTAGCGAACTGCAACAGGCATTTTCTCAAGCCAGGAGAGATGTCCAGGACCAAATGGTAAAATAAATGCAGACTTTTTTTAAAATAATCTTGGGGTTTTGAATAAATAAATAGTGTCACTGTATGGCTTTTTACTCCAAATGACAGCCTTGTAATTATCCACATGCCTGCCCTTCCAAGGCAAAGAATGGTTGATGCCAGGCAGTTAACAAGCTTGAGTGCTGTCCATCCTCACCTACATATATGTATATATATAGAGAGAGAAATAAGGAGATTGTACCTGGCTGACTCCTGACAGCAAAGCTAGGTGTGCATCTGTTTCCTTGTTCTCTCTGCTTATCCAGCTGTTGGAGGAGCCCAGATATACACATGGTGGTGGGGAACCCATCAAGATGGCCACTTTCTAAGGAATATTAAGGAAGGCAGGGGAAGGGGGCACTGAGGACACTGCAGCAATAAGAGGAGTAGGGATATCTCAGTTGACCATGTCCTGAGAGATGCAGAGGAATCCAACAGAGCTACTAGCATGTTGTGGTTAGAATACTGGGAGACTAGGGTTCAGTCCCCACATGAGTCATAGCCTCTCAGACTAACCTATCCCACAGGGTTGTTTTGGGGATTAAATGCGGGGGTGGGGGTGGGGAGAGAATCATGTGCATTACCTTGAGCTGCTTGGAGAAAAAAAGGTGAGGTACAAATGCAATAAATAAATAATAAAATAATGATGAATTCTACCTGCAGTGTAAAGGCCAGAAAGGCTGTCTTGTCAGAAGATGGTAAATGCTCAACCTAAAGTCTCTTGGGGACGGTTGATGGCAGAGCTTTTATGTCTTCCATCTTGTCCTGGGGTAGCTTATTCTTATTCAGCAATGGCCTGTATTGCTTCCATGGCTTTTGAACCCACTCTATCTGCACACTAGAACAGTGGGAAAAGTGGATTAGGGATTACACAGGTGGGATTCAGGTAGCTATGAGTCCAAAGTGTCTTCCTAGTGTCGTTTGTTGCTGGCTCTGTCCCAGAAACTTCACAGTGATAGGAATGGACACTAGGCTAGAAGTGTTTGCCCATGTCTTGACCAGTAGGTCAGTCTTCCATTCAGGAGACAGGCACAAAATATGCCTATCATAAACTGGTTTTTGCCTTTAACTTCCTTCTTTTTCATATGTAAGTGCAGATTCTGATTTTAGAATTTGTAATACCTTTTCTTGACTGGCAGTGTAGATTTTTCTTCATAATGTTACCCACCATTAAATTGTTTTACTGATGAATGCTGAATGCAAAGTTTGTAAACAGCAAATGCATACTTATTTGCACACTCAGTTCTGAGCAGTAGAACAGTTGCTGTCATCCTAGTACTGGGTGTTTTGAATTTTTCTTTTCACTTCATGTAACAAGATTCCTTTTTGTCTGTTTACCTTCGGAATCATGTCGGTATGAATTATTGTTCAATTGTGTCTGCTGCAATCGATTTTACTTTCAGTGTTAAACTTTTCTAAGGCTATTAAAGCTCTTTGAGGTAATTGAGAACTCTGACCTTGCAATGGAGCAAGGGCACCCTTGTGGACAAAAAAAGACACATCTATCCTTTACTGCTTCTGGTAATATGCTGCTTGTTGGAATGAGAAACCATGATGCAATTGATCTTTGGTTGGTTAGCTGTAAGGTGTTTTTCTGCAGCAGTTTAATTCCCACTGACTCCAAAATGATTTAAAATCACTTCCTATCTCCAGTCTGGAGTAGGTGTTGACACAAAGAGAGGCAGTGCTTTACTTTCCATGAGCTTAGAAAATGTTGGAGATTCAACTTCACTGATTTTGAAACCGTGACTTTGAAATATTTGTGTGTGTTTTTTCCACCGGAGGCTGTCCTGACACAGTCGAGGGAACATGTCTCGGAGGAGTTGTTGAGACTCCAGAAAGACAATGAAAGCCTTCAAGGAAAACATTGCCTGCATGTCTCTTTGCAGCAGGCTGAAGACTTTATCCTGCCAGAATCTGGAGAGGTAGGAGAATACGTTTGTGGTGATTGACTGGAAGTTATTCTCAACATGAAAAGCTCAGGGAGATAGTTGAGTAAAGATGTACAAGTTAGTTTCAGGTGCCTCTGTGTCCACACAAACACAAAGATTCTCACTTCTGCCCCAGTGAGAGGTTAGGTTAGTACCTGTTGACCTTAACTTCTGGGCACATGCACAAATGAGCTTGCTGTGCGCACAAGTGTGACAATGAAATAAATGCCTGTTCCTTTAAAAGTCCAGTGTACCTGGGATAATGGCCTAACCTTCCCCATTGATTAGCAACCTGCCTGTCACATTTCCAAAATCCTCCATGCATTCAGGCTGCAATTCCTCCCTTGATGGTTCTGTCTACCAGGAGCAGTGTTCGAAACTCCCATAGTTCTAGGCACATTTTGTGACAGGGGGTTTCATTAGTACAAGCAGTTTTTGAGCTCTGGGTGCAGTACTGTGCCTAAGATTTCAGATTAAAACTGTAGAGTGGAAAGAAAGGAGGACCTTTTTCTGCCTCCCCACTTCCAGCTACTCTCTTAAGACTGGATAAGAGACCCTCTTAAGAATATTAGGGGGGTGGGCAAGGGAAGGACTAGACCATGTGAAAAATGAACATAATATTTTAGCTGCAGTTCATTCATTTTCAGCTTTATATTCTTGTTATAAAAAGAGTGCCTAGACATTCTGTTGTTGTGCCCATAACCTGGTTTAGAGTGCCATTTAGCTCCTAGCTTTCATATCTCAGTTTCTAACACTGACCAGGAGTGGGTTGGACATCTCTCTCTCTAGATTCTCACCTTTTCACTTTTCCTCCTTCCTGGGTTGCTGAAAGGTGTCAATGATCCATCTCTTTCTCTCTATCAGATACAATGTGTCCCAAGTTTCATCCCCTAGAGGTGAGCCCAAGTCTAATTGGCCATACCTGACTAATTGGCCATGCCACCTTCCCCCATCAGTTCCCTCCCCTGACTCTACAGGGTGAAAAGAAATAAGATGATTTCCTAGAAAATGTGACATCTCTCTACTGAATGTCATGCTTGATCCTTGCTCCCTCCTCACTAGTATGCATTTTCCAGTTGTACTCTAGGAATCTCACACAGGTGCCTCTTTGCTGAGACATCATTCTCTGCTTGAGGACTCTGCTCTGGTGCCTTTAGGCCATGGGACCTTGGTGTCAGATGTTCCTCAGTGTGGATCTCTATTTCCTCAACATTTCTTCCTCACCCCGCCACCATCCCCCAGCTGACTTTCAGAAAGAGATTATCTAGCATTTGGACACACAGCTTTTTTGGGAGGGGAATCTAATGTTGGTTTCTCTCTTTAGTGTATACTTCCCTCTTCTGCTAATTTTAAAACCGGTTTCTACAGGGGGCAGGGTGGTAAATATTTTGTTACGTTAGGGCTGTGTCTGGGCATGGGAAAGAGAGAGTGCTTTGTTCTAGAACTGTGTCAACCTTCCTTTCAGGAACTCCGCGACCTGGTCCTCAAATATCGGGAAGACATCATTAGTGTTCGGACAGCAGCAGACCACCTGGAGGAAAAGCTGAAGGCGGAGATTTTGTTCCTGAAAGAGCAGATTCAAGCTGAGCAATGTTTGAAAGAGAACATAGAGGAGACTCTGCAGCTGGAAATAGAGAATTGCAAAGAGGAAATAGGTTAGAAAAGGGCAAGTGCTGGGCCTGGAGGGAGAGGGCAGCACCGAGCACCAGAGCAGAAAGGTACCCTGAGCTGGAAGGAAACTGCTCCTCTAGTTGCACAGAAGGATCAGTGCCATTCATTGCATCTAAACTACACAAATGCTCTGCAATAACTTGGTAACCCTTTCAAGAGCCTTGAAAGGTAGTTTTCCACTTCTCGTCCCCCATATTGAGAGGAGCATCCCAAGAAACTTTTTCAGGGTCATGCCCAATGTGCTTTAATGAAACCACTTGAAATAAGTCCAGTGTTTGAAATGGGATCCTGCAACCAAATAACTGGCTAGTTGAAATTGATATGGGAAATTTCAGTACTTGTTTTCTCATCCTGCCTCTAGCCGCTACTTCTTGACCCTCCTTGCCTCCTTAGGGTTGCCAGTTCAATCCTCTAGTGACAGCAGACATAGCATGCAGCCTGTCCACAGCACTTGCCTCATTATCCCCTTCTTATTTCCTCTGCCTCAATCAGACACTTCCCCTTTCCCTAGGCTCTTCCACACTCAAGTGCACTCCTCCTCTGGCCATCTTGCTTATGGAATTCCCTGCTCCTCCCCTTTCTAGGACCATTTCCCAGTCCTCAGCCTGCCATACAAAGGTATTGGTGGCCATAGGGTCTGTGTGAGACTTTAATCATAGCCCAACACAACAGTGGTTGTGATTTTTTAAAAAATTGATTTTATCTTTTTGTAAACAGCTTTGAGGGGTTGGTTTGGGGTTTTATTGTGTTGTTTTTTTGCAATCAAGCAGGGTATAAATATTAGGAAATAAAAATAAATCCATAAACAAGATTTTCCTCCCGCCACGGAAACTTCTTATCTCTACTGATTTTAGATAGATGGCATGAGCTTTGTGTCACAGGCTCAGAGTCACAGGACAAGATGCTTCATATTTATGCCTGAGAGCTAGTAGGTTCCTGAGAACAGAGCACAGGTATGAGGGAGCCACCTGCCACTGCTCAGCCTCCTTCCCTTTGCAAAGGGAGGACAGGGCCCTAATGTTCTGTGCCAAGATAAATTGAGAGGAAAAAATCAGCAGCTAGAGGCTCAGAAAGGAACATACACATTGAAATATGATAAACAGTCTTTTATGGAATTCCATCGGTGAGAAAGTGGTGTTGGCGACTTTAGACCCTACCTGGCCAGCATGAGCTGAACACAAGGTTGGTTAATGAGCTGAAAGTCTCTCTCTTCTCTTACAGCTGCTGCTTCCAGTCTGAAAACAGAACTGGAGAGAATAAAAGCAGGGAAGGAGCAGGTAAGGTTTCCACCTGAATGCTTTAGGGGATGTTTGACATGCTCTGGTGAAAAACAGCCTCTCTCTGCCCACCTTGTAGCAGCAGCCCCTGTAGAGCAGGTGGGCGTCACTTGCCCAGGAGTTGCAGTTGACATAAGTTTTCTGGGGCTGTTCAATAAAGGAGAGTGTTCATTGACTGCAGGCTTTTCCATTCTCGTTTTATTAAAGGCCAGGAAATTGTAAGATTTAGTTAACTTGCAGTCAGTTCATGCAGGTGAATGCCAGACAAGGGCAGTGTTGAACCTTATGCAACTTATTCTTGATTCACAGTTGGAATCCGCCTTGAAGGAGAAAAACCAACAGCTGGAAAGCTTGCAGGAAAGGAGAAACAGCCTTGAGGAGCAGCTGAAGAAGGAGTTGGCTGCAAAGGTAACTATTAATGAAAATAGGGTGTGTTCATGTAAAAAAAGGGGGGGGCATTATTTGCCACTCCAATGCCCCCTGACCATCAGGGCCATCTTACAGTGCAATGATAAGCCCTTTCATACAAATAAAAACTTGTTTCAGGCAAACCTGGAGCAGCTGATGTTTGAGGAGAAGAACAAAGCTCAGCGGCTGCAGACGGAACTGGATGTTAGTGAGCAAGTGCAGAGAGATTTTGTGAAGCTTTCCCAGACCCTTCAGGTAAGGTGGCTGGCACAATTGGTGAGGCACTGAATATACCAAGGGGAGATTCAGAAGAGATTTTCCAGACTCCAGAATCCCCAAGCTAGACTGGGTGGGCTCTAATGCCTGAGTAATAGTAGTAAATTGACAGCTAGTTGCCTTGATTATTATTATGGTCACTTAGCGCATCTGACAGAGTATATAATAATAATAATAATAGCAATTGTGGCACAATTTACACTGATTTATGTTAGTTAAACCATACACTAAAGAAAGTCCATCTTTATCATCTCGCTACAGTAACACCCCAGTACCCAAATAGCCTTTTTAATTTCTTCCCCTCTGATTAAAATGTGCTCCCATTCATTAAAAATGTTTCCCACCTATTGATCAGCTTTAGCAGCCCAACAGAAAACAATCCGTATGGGCTGATGGGTTTTTCATTGCAGTTTACAGTATTTTTATGATCTAAGGTCTGGGAACCCGGAAATAATGAACCAAATAATTTTCCCCCCTAGGTCCAATTGGAACGGATCCGGCAGGCAGATTCCCTGGAGAGAATCCGTGTGATCCTCAACGACACAAAACTGACAGACATTAATCAACTGCCTGAAACATGACACCCTCCATAGCAGGGCTCTAAGGCTGCAATTTTTTTGTTTTGTTTTGTGTTTGTTTCTGGTTTTTTTTTTTAAAGAAAAACCCTCATCTTTATAGCAAAACATTTAATAATTATTATTTAACTCTTAACTGAAAGAAGCAGAAGATGACACAGGGGAACAATGATCCAGGCTGTGTTTCTGGAAGGGAGAGATGGCTTTGTGTTGGAGGCAGAAAAGCGTCAGATGGAGAGATGAGCAAGATGCTTTGGGGGGGGGGGGCTTTAGTGGGGGACTGGACTTGTCAAAATAACCACCCTATCCTCCCTCTCTTACCTCCACCCCTACTCTGGAATTCGGCTCTCTTCTTTCTCTCACCTCTTCCCATTAAAAACAAAATATTGTGGTGAAGGTAGTTCTGCAAATCAAATCTTCCCTTCTCCCCAAACCATATTTTGGAGCGAAGCTGTTGAACTCCACCCCAATGAAGACTGAAGGGCTACCAGGGGTATTGAGTGAGAGAGCAGGCTAGGCAGATGCTGGTCTAGCATGCTGTATGAATATTTTATATTAAAATATGAATTTATCTGCAGGACACTGGATTTGGGGTTTTTGAGCTCGGTGCACACATTGTATCTCGTATGTTGTGCAGGAGGAGACCAATTGCTGTTGAAAAGTGTGATGGGACAGGATGTTCAGGGGATGGGGGGGGACAGTGTAGATGAGAAGGCTCTGAAGTCGTCGAAAGAGAGGACTTGGCCTTCGGGGGAAAGCGACCACTAGAATTAAAAAGCCTCGCCCTGCAGATTGTTGGGGCAAGAGAATGGGTGGCAAATGCACCCTGGAACGGCTGCAGGAGCAGTTTGAAAACAACACTTTTTGTGTTGCCTTTATTTCAGAGGTGGCAGGCAAAGATATCCTGCCCTAGTTGAGCTGAAATTTAGGATCTTTTCATTTATGGGAGGGAGCTATATCCCACCATTCCTCCCCTCGAAGTGTGTGTGTGTGTGTGTGTGTGTGTTGGGGGGGTATTTAATCTGAATACAAAGGACAGAGGATGGAATTAGGTTTTTTATGACTCTTTAATAAAACAAGCATGTCGATTTCAAGGCACCGCCAACAAAAAGTGGAGCAGGTGCTTTTCAGACTCACAGATTTAGAAGCTGTAAAATATGCCGCTCTTTTAAAACAGATTCTGAAATGGCGGTTAAGCTTCAATGGAATCATTCTTGGATATGCCACTTGAGATGCAGACTCCCCTTGCTGTAGACTTTGGGTTGGAAGCTGATCATGGTCTGGCCCCGTTGTAAATCAGTGGGACCTCCATGCAACTCATTTGCCCTCTGCATCTAACCATTTGAGCATGAAGGCAGGGGTGGAATGTACTGCAGAATTTGGAGGAAACAGGCTTTGAGGCAGAGCCACCATGAAATAAACCTTATTTGCAGGTTCGAACGTATCAAAAGTATTTTTTATTTCTCTCAACCATGATTCCCTGCATTTCCAGTAAGAGCGTATTACTTCCTAGAAAGTGCATTTTAGAAGAAGGGTTGTGTGAAATGGGCAAGGCGTGCTGTATCCATGAGCTGCAACTCCCTTGCATTCCTAGCTTTTTCCTGTAGCAGAACAGATCACCTTCAACAGGGAGGTGCTTTGGGTGCAAAGAGCAGCCCATCTCCCCTTTCCCTTTCTGTTCCTGCTACTGAAAGACCAGCCATTGCTCCATGAAGCTGATTTGCTGGAATGAGCCTAGCATGGTCCTTAATATAATCATGTTCACCATTACCTGATTATTTCCCAAACAACTAGTGATCTGAAATTCCGCTTCATATTTTATCAGTGTAAGAGGAGGAATTACCAGAGTTCCTTGCCCCCACCCTGCTCCTGCCAAGGGTCCCATTCCAGACTTAACCACTTGGAGCCAGAAGTAATCAGTCACTTTGGCTGTTCTGCAGGTTTCTGTTGTGCTGGAAGCTATCTCCTATGGGGAGTCTCTTGCTCAGTGTGGTTCCACCCACATAATTGCTACAGAATCAGAAAACACGTGGTGGAATCCAGTCTGTTTGTGTGTATGTGTGTGTGTTTATGGGAGGGGTGGAATACTGCAGCAGTAAAGAAATGGCAAGCTTGGGACGCCTACTGCTGCGAGGAACATTTGCAACCAGTAGGATTGGGAGAGAAGAACCTAGTCTGCATTGACAAGTTTCTTTGGATTGTTAATTCTGTCCTAGAGGCTGTAGGGGAGGTTTTCCTATTCCTTCAAGCATGCCTGAGGCTAACTCTCCCTGTTTTGCTCCTGCCATTTCAACATTGCTAAATCTTTTTCAGTATGAGTCAGGATGGATTTAATGACTCTCCTGTCCACCTTCTCTGGTGAGCCATCTTTGGAAAAGCACCAACTAGTCAGTTTTATTTAACTATTTGTCTTAAAGTGGTTAGAAACTGGTTAAATAGGAAGAAAACGATATAGCATGTAGAGTAGCACAATAAGGCCATTACTGAACTCGTTACAGCTTATGCATTGAAGAGCAGTACTTTGCGAGGTCAGGTGCTTGATTAACTGAGTTTTTCCATCCAGATGCCTAGTATGGCTTCAGAGACAACAGGAGAAGTATGTTTTCAGCTCCTGAGGACAGGGGAATAGATAAGCAGTACTAGATTTTAAAACTTTCATGGTTGTAACTAAATTAACATAAGATTGACAGTGTAATGCAGAAATTCTCAAACTTAGAACCCAAGATACACACAGGATGAATTAAAGAAGCCGTCCAAATAATTTAGAAAAGGGAAAATACTTTTGTTCAATGCCGGGAAATCCTCAGTGAAAGTAAATGATTTAATTGTGGACATAATTTCTTCTATAATTAAGCTCCCCCCCTTCTTTTTTAAAAGGGAAAGTTGTGCCCATCTGACCTTAGGTCCTGGCTCTCTTGCTTAATTTGTACCATTGGCTTTCAGGGTTACGCACTGAGCCTTAGCTACTACAAACAGGGAATATAATACAGTAACTCTTGAGAAAGGGGCTGTGTGCAGAATTTAAGAGGAAAAGCCTGCAAGTTTTAGCTCTGTTCTGTATACTTGTACAGTCTTAATATGTGCAAAATAAGTTCTTGCAGCATGTCTAACCTGTTAACATCTTCTTTACTTGACTCCTGTGCCATTGCTATACAACCTCTTAAAGCATGGTTTGGATAAGAATAAGGGTAGGAGGCAGGCAAGTCATCTATAAATATAGTCCCTTAAGAAAAAAATTAGTTAAGCCTTTAAATTCCAAATGAGTGTCTGGAATACTACATTCCAATGAACCAAGCCTCTGGTGTCCTGTGAAACTGTGGATGTAAAATTCTCCTGTCTACCAAATTCAGAAATGTAACCATTTGTTAACTGTATTTGAAGGTGTATCCTTAAGAAGTGTTCCAAATTAAAGGAGGTAAAAAGTATTTTGTGATCCTTCTCATACTTCCTTTCTGCCCAGGTGAATGTTAGGTCATGAGGCTAGAAAGAGATCCGTGACGCTTTCCTCAAAATGGTCATAGTAGGAGACCAGTCTAATGTTCTGTTCATCACTGAGCCTAAGGATTTGTTTCCATTATTATCCTGTGTTAAATCATCCTTATGACATCAGGGCAAGTTCTGACTTGCTTTTATGCGCAGAAGTGAACTGCAGGTTGCAGGGAGGGCAGATTACTGCATTTACTCAAATGTAATGCACACTTTTTTGGCCAAATTACGTCGCAAAAATTAGGGTGCGCATTAAATTTGATGCCACCAGCAAATAGTTTTTTGGTTTCAATGTTTTTAAAATTGTGGTGCGCAGTAGATTCGATGGCACATTACATTTGCGTAAATACAGTAAGAACTAGAAAGGCAAAGATTAACATCCGCATAGAGGTTTTCTGTTCTAGTAAGTAAGGTATAGATTTTCTTTAAAAAGATATGGGGTAGGGGCTTAATTTGCAAATGGGTAATTGGCAACATGGTTTTTTACTTACTGGACAAGGGGCAGACTTGAATTAAATCGGGAGAAAACATAGGCTGACATTTTGCTGTTACGTTATGTGAATGCTGCAAAAAAACTTGAATACATGAGCAGCACTGACCTTAACATGGCACCTGCAATATCTAGGGATAAAACCGTGCTTGTGCTTTCTCCTTTGGTGTGTGGGGAATTTATCAGTTCTGTAAAGAGACTTTCAGAGTAATCCTGGTGATTATGCCCAAGATCTATTGGCAGGATTCTTCCTGTGTTTTGCCTTCTGGAGAAGAAACAGCAGTACATCATACCAAATAGTCTAAGCCTAGATTTAGAAATGAGACAAGCTTTCAAAAAAAAGTATTTATTCACAACAGAGATGTTTTATATATAAAAAAATAACCCAAGGAACCAACGTATAAAGTAGGACAAAGGCAGTTTGCATTCCCTTCATGTTTCATGAGTTTGCTTTACACCATTCATGACGGCTCTAAAAGGTCACATGGTTTCTGACATCATTTATCTGTTTTACCATCGCCTGGATGCGTTCTCCCCTGCATCAGAGAGAGAAAGAGAAAGCACTTCAGTGACTTCAGCCATTCTGAGCAGACAAGGCATGAAAAACAGTGCAACACACAACTTTCCTGGGTGGGGTTTTCACCACCACTACTGCAAGCGGCTACACTAGCAAACAAGTATTTATTAATTTATATACGGCTTCTGGGCAGTTTGCCAGTATAAAACCAATTGCCAAAAATACAATTAACGCACACGATAACAATTTAATCACGGAAACAACTGCACTTAAAATGTATAACGAAACAAGCAGCACAACAATTGGAAGAGTGAAGGAGGAGGTTCAAATCAGGTGAAAAGGGGAATGTTTGTCTGAGCAGGTGTGTCTTTCACAGCTGGCACAGTGTCAATACAGGTGGGACCCTCTTATTTCAGCACCCTCATACCCCATGTGTACGACCCCTCAACATTATTGCTTCAAAGTACAGCGGCAGCACAACAACTCAGCAGCCAGGAGGTGGGCCTCTTGACTCGCTCGCTGTTCATTTGCCAGGTGTTTCAAAGTGCAAGCACCCACTTACTCCTCTTTCAGAACTGCTTGGATGCATTTCCTCTGATAGGTGTTAAGGTTGATGCTAGGCTTCCGTGGACTGGTCCCCTTCTCCATTTTTCTCTGCTGATAATCCTTTTTCATTTTAACCTAAAGGCAAGCAGTAAATAGCGCAAGAGACAGATGCTTCAAAAACCCTTGAGAAAGTGTTTCAAAAATTGCCTTCCAACTTCATGTGCAGTGCCTCTAGCTCCCACCCTCTTCTACTTATTTATTTTTTAAAGGCTTTTTAGATCACTTGATAATCCCTAAGCATTACGTATACAAAAACAGCCAAATGTTACAAAAACAATCCACATCCACACTTACTTGCCGGATAGCATTTCCCAAGTGCCGCAGTTGTTCTTCGATTGTCTGTAGCTCCTTCTTCATGTCCTTTTCACTATCTGACAAGACAGGCAGCTGAGAGTGGAAGTTACGCAGTACCTTCTTCATCCTTCAGCCCACAAAGACAATGTCAGTCAATCAATCTTTCTATTATGCAGTACAGACTAGAACAAGATAAAACCAGCAGCCATGTATATCCACGATACAAGATGTGAGGAAGAGCTGAAGCATGTCTAAAATAAGCTATACAATATTAAAAGTAGATTAAAAAAGAAACAACACAGCCGTTAGAAATTGTAACAGCAGCTGGACAGAAAAAGGTTTAATCAGGGAAAATTTCTTTACAATTTTTTTCTGCCAGGAGAAGTTTAGCGACAGTCTAATAGTATGTTCAAATAATTTGCCAAAAGGTTTGCCAGATACCAAATATAAGTCCTACCTGAAAATTCTGAAAGAATGTGAATCAGACAATATCATACCAAAAGCAGCTGAGGGGGAGGCAATTAAACCCACATTTACTGACCATGGATGGTATTCAACGAAGTTTTACTGAGAATACTGAACTGGACAAAGCTTAATCATGTACATTCAACTCAATGGGTCTATTCTGAGGACAATTTAGTTGACCACCACTTCATATATTACTATACCACCACTGTCAGAGTCAACGGGCTCATTCATATGTTACATTCAACACAGATATAAGAGGTCTCTGCACACTGTGAAAGTGTATGCTAGTTCATTTGTGCAGCTCTTCTATTGTGCACAGAGAGTATACACATATTGAGTAACGTGTGACCACCCCCAACTTGTAGACAAAGTTAATTGTTTGCAAATTCTGCTTTTAGAACCGAGACAAACTTACATTGTCAAGTGCTAATTAAGCAGGAGCTGAAGAGGGGACTGTCACCCTACACTACAAGCATAATTTCCTAAAAACAAATTCAGTCCTTATTTTCAAAACACTGAAAGTTGCCATCAAAGCTATATATCAGTGGTACCTCTAGTTACTAATTCGTTCCGGAGGTGCGTTCTTAACTAGAGGTGTGCTTTCGCTAATTGGGCCTCTTGCTGCTACTGTGCCACCGGCACACGGTTTCCGTTCTCATCCTGGGGCAAAGTTCTCAACTCTTCCAGGTTAGTGGAGTTTGTAACCTGAAGTGTTTGTAACCTGAGGGGTTTGTAACTCGAGGTACCATTGTATTCCCAAGCAGGTCCAAAGACTAGTAATAATAATAATAATAATAATAATAATAATAATAATAATAATTTATTATTTATACCCCGCCCATCCGGCTGGGTTTCCCCGTCACTCTGGCAGTTCCCAAGTGAATATTAAACTGCATATACAAACTGCATACCACCCATTTTCTAATCAATGTTATGCAAAATTAAGCACATTAATTGTGGTACCCCTACTTTCAAAGCGCTCCCAACCCTCCTTTATTAAATTGGCTTCTGTCAACTGCTTTTCAGGAAGAATGGAACCAATTAACTTCACACACAATCCACTTGCAACTGTGTTGCTCACCTACTCTCTCGGCTAATACACTGAGACCACTCAGGCACACATCAGGGGGTGTAAGTTTGGCTAGATAATGCCAATTCCAAACAGCTTGCCCTTCCAAAGACAACAGCATTGTTTGGGGGCATCTCTGCCATTTTAAACACGGGTTTAAAGGCTTTAGTCAGTGAATAAACTTGCACGAAGCTGTTAGCAGCAGCTTAAGTTGTAGGTTTAGTTCAGCTGGCTGCCAAGCTGCATGCTGCTCAGCTGAAATGCCTCTCCACAACCTGGCTTTCTTTATCATTAATTCAGGCCCAGCAATTCCAAAGGGTGCACATCTTAAGGACAAGGCTTCAGCACAAGCCCAAGACATACTTGGCATCAGAGAGGCATGGGCATTTTCTTGTGAAGAGTGTGCCCTTTTACCTGTTCACAATGTCTTCCTGCTTCTCTTTGGCTTCCTCGTACTTGTCAGCTAATCGCTCTGCCATCTCCCGCAAGCTTCTCCTTTGGGCGAAGAGGAAATGTTATTCTGGGATAGTGGTGCGCATTTGTCTCATAAATCAGAACAAGTGGGGTCTATTATTTGTTTCTTATGAAACAAAGCAGTTCTAAAGGGCAGTGCGCCCTTCTCTTTCCATGTCTCCCAACAGCAGCTGGCATGTCTACATGAGGCTGCAAGGGAGAGTTTTTAGGAAATTTTGACTCTCATCCAAATCCTGGACACCAGTTGCTATAACTTAGCCGGTGGTGTGCTTTATGTGTGCCTTTTAAAAACGGCTCATAAAGGGAGTGTCTTTGTCTGAACCTGACAGGTCTGTTATCAACATGGAATGCATTTTCATGCCAACCGGATGGAAAACACAGAAATGACAGGCAGCAGAAGAGCAGCTGGGTCTCCCATAGACATCAATGGCAAAAGAAAACTCATAGCAAAGCAAATGAGACTTTAACAAACAAACAAACAAATAAGCAAAGAATTTTCTTGCACACCCTTAAATTTGGGATAGATGTGGAAGCAGAGATTTTATGAGTACAGTGAAATAAGACAACCGAAAGTAACTGAATCCATGTCCCACTGAACCCCAAACCCCAAAACTTCCACCACTGAAATCCCAGTAATGTCCAGGAAATCGCAGCAGCACTCCCCACTGATAACTTCTATGTCCCATTAAAAGACAATGCCAACCAATGTTGTTTGAGACATGTTATAAAAAACAGCCAGAAGCAAATAAAAGCCACAAACTGTATCTAGCCTAATATATGTTTTGGAAAGTGGTCTGTCCACCTGTATGTTCTCTAGGCATTCTTAAGATGTCATTGCCAAACTTGGTACAACAGTACCTGAGGCCAAGGAGCCAGTTTCTTCAGGTTTCAACCTGGGGTAAAACGCTTGTATCTAATATCGGACCTTGGTGGACGTCTCTGGAAAGGATGTTCTGAAAAGTACCTTACAGATCCTTCTAGGCTCAGTGATGCTTACTCTGGCTGGTAGCAGCTCTTTAAGGTTTTGCACAGGAGGGCTTTCCCAGCCCTAATACCCACAATCGTTTTTCATTAGCGATGGATGGGGTTAAACCAGAGATTTTTGACATGCAAGGCACGTTCTCTACCACTGAGTTCTGAGCTGCTCCCACGGGACGACCCAGTTCTTTTAAACTACCAGCCAAGCGAGCTTAAAAGGCAAAGAGACAGCCCCTCACCTTTCCTCTCGACAGTAGGCAAGATCTTCCAGCTGCTTCTTTTTCTGTTCCCGAAGCAATTTCACCCTGAGGAGCAAGGGTTGAAGGGATGGCCAAACAGTTAGGTTTTTTGATGCAACCTGTCTGCCTGGCTTGCCTTTCTGCTCTCCCCTACACCTCTAACCCATTGTTCAATGAGAAAAATAAATTATGAGGAACATGGGGGTTAACCGGGAGTGGAGACATTTAAAGACACACATACTACAGAAAGAGGAATTGTGCTATTAACTGCTCTGTTCCGAAAACGAGAGAAAGGAAGAGGATGACGACCTAGCTGTAGAACAGAGGTGGGCAACCTTTTTCTGGGGGGGGGGGGGGCACAGTCCCTTGATACTGTTAGGGGCTGCATTCTATGGTGGGCAGGCCAACCCCTTTTCCCACCCCAATCCAGAGGGCTGCTGGAGGAGGTGCATTACACCCTCACTCTCCTTTGCCAGAGGACAGAACTGACAGCTTGCAGAAGGCTTTTGAAATTAAGCCAAACATTGCCACCGATTGTCTTTCCTCTGGAGCAGGGGTTGGGGGCAAACAAGGCAGGGATTTCCACCCAGTTATGCCATTCTTTCGATTAGCCAATGATAAAGCAAATCAGGAATATGCTCTTCACAAAAATGTAAACAATTCCCAAGGGCAGGAAAGCTATTCGCTAGAGATTCTTGTCCCTATTGCATTACATCTGATGAAGTTGGCAGGTAATAGATTGCAGGATCAAGATCAGAAAATAGCCAATTGTTGCTGCAACAGGAGGGAAGAAGAGCAAGGAGTTAGAAGCCAAGGGCCCATTTTACCTTCGCTGGATCTCCTCTCGGGCCAAGTCCTGTTTCAGAATGTATTCCTCTCTGAACACTTGAGTGGCTCTGCTGAGAAGCTGAAGGCATTCTTCAGGGGGAGGGGAAACTTCTTTATCTGCAGACCTGGAAGACAAACACAACACCGTCTTAGCCATTATACCGTACTGCCGAGAGTTGTTGAGCTTTTTGGGGGCTGGCCCAGAGTTGTTGAAACATGGCTCACCCACCTGCCCTGCAACTCACATGCATTGTTAAAGCCACCAATCACCCGCACAATTGCCGCAGCCACAAATAACACGACCAATAGCCGCTGACAATCTCCGGCTCCCAGCGGCAAACAATCCCACGTACCCCCTGTGCCCTATCCGTGTGTAAGGCGCCCCCTAATTTTTAACCTACTTTTTAAAGAAAAAAAGCTCGTCTTATACACGGAAAACTACGGTACATGCTCTGATAAAGAGCATTTAGAATTATAGAATTATAGAGTTGGAAGGGATCCGAGGGTCATCTAGTTCAACCCCCTGCGATGCAGGAATCTCTTGCCCAATGTGGGGTTTGAACCTATGACCCTGATACAAAGAGTCTCATGCTCTACCGACTGAGCTATCCCAGGCTGCTTTGCCACACAAATGCTTCCGACACCATATGCCCTAAGGCTGTGTGCATCAAGAAGCTTGAACTGGAGAAGGGTCCAGTTATTTAGGTAAGATTTCTAACTGGCCTCAAACTGAGGGTTCAGCTCAGATAAGGACATTACAATCAAATTGCATTTGACAAAGCCCTCGAGTCGGATGCTCATCAACACACCAGAAAGCCAATCTATTTAAAATGCCCAGAAACACTTAAGTTGTTCAGTGCTGACTTTCCTCATCTCCTATGCCATCCTTCCCTTTTAGTTAATAATATAGTAAAGAGAAGCCAAGAAGCCCACCCACCCTGCTAGATTCATGTCCCATGAGCCTAACAACCCAGCCAGAACCCCAAAGCGACTGTGCCATGACTGAGCCGCAGGATATGCTGGTGCAGAAAGAGCAGCAAGAAATTTATGGTGGCACCAGTGAAGTTGCAAGAGCTGTCAAGTGTGGGAGAAGAGGAGCTGAGATCAGCCAGAACGAAAGACCACTGTGCCTAAGTCCATCCTGAAGATGGAGGTGGTGGAACAGCAAGTGTAGACCTTATGCAGGATTATAGCAATGAGAAGGGTGAATCCTGTCAGAGGGAAAGGAAAAGGGCTGAGAATACCAGATGATGGAACCCTCTCTTCCGAACAACACCAAAGGCCAAGGTGTGCCTTTGCCTTTTGGGGACACAGGAGTGATGGGGGATGATGAAAGCCTTTTGCCTCCAGAAAGATTTCATACTTCAATAAGAGAGGGTTAGCAGAATTGCGATCCAGGATATTTCGGATGTGTCGCTCAAAGGAATCCTGCGATTCGGCCAGGATGCGGAGAGGCGAGACTGTAACCGGCGAATCTTGCTTGGTGCACAGAAGAGGAGGGCATGGTGGGTGGATGGCAGAACTGTCAATACAAGTGTCAGGCATCAGTTAGACGTTTCCAAAGACACTCCCCACTTGCTTTCATGAAGTTCTTTAGAGGTTTTTAATTCTTTTACACCCCCCCCAAAAAAAGTTTACAGACCTTTGCAAAGAGCAGGCATGAAATGCTGGATAAGAAACTTCAGAGAATTATCAACACAAGCCTAGTTAGGAATAAGGGAAAGGCAAGTGTACCAATCAAGGTAATGAAGGGGTATGTCAGGGATAACCAGGAGAACCAACAGTCATGAATTCAAGGTCAGCAGAGCCTGGTGCCATGGAATCTTGAAGGAGTTACCTAGGCAATTCAGGAGTCCTAGCAACTATATAAGGGAAATATACTATGTCCTTGGAAGTATGCCTACCATATTTCAGCATTTAATAGGTAAATGTGGCTCAGTACGTACAGAAGAGGTTTGGTGACACATTCATAGCTCCTGGTGATGCAGACCATTGTGGGACCCAGAATGTCTGAGACGATCCAAAACCCTATAATTGAGGCCGCTTGGCTGAAGGAGCAGAACAGAAAAAAATGTCAAACTATCCCAGAAAACATTAGCAACCCCAACAACAGAAGAGCAGAGGCCACTTGCTGTCTTCAGACTAACACAACAAAGAATCTACCGTTGAATCTTAAAGAATCTAGCAAATATTTTAAGTGCCTATCAGATTTTTCCTTCACTGTAGCCACGTTTACAGCCTCATACTGATTTGGTTTCCTAGGCTTTTTGATGCTTAGTGTCTCTCCTGGTCAGTCTTCTGCAAAAACTGAGCAAGAGTAGAGGTCATCCCCACCACTGTTCTCAGATCTATAATTACCAGAGATAACCCCTCCAGCTCATTATCGTCTATTTAGGCCCTATTCCTATATTTTGACCCAATTTGGCTCTGCCTCTTCATCTGGAGGCTGAATGCAAGATTTATAAGTCTTTAAATATCCAGGAGCTGCAGTGGACCCTATGCTGGTGTCTTGCAGAGATTCTACCCATCACATCTATAAGACCACTAGGTAGGTCTTGAAATGTCACAGCAGGCAGAAATGCCTGGACAGTTCAGTTGGTTAAAGTGTGGTGTTAATAATGCCATGGCTGCAGGCTTGATCCCCGTATTGGACAACTGCATATTCCTGCATTGCAGGGGGTTGGACGATATGATCCTTGGGGTCCCTTCCAACTCTACAATTTTATGATTCTGTGTTTCAGTTTTCCACCAGTATCACCAATGTGCTGCCTTTACTGCAGTACAGCCTCAACTGGGGCTCTGTTCCCACACCTTGAAAAACCAGTTCAAAGTCGTGCATCTGTCACATTTACTAGAAGAAAGCTGAAATTTCCATTGGCCCATCCATGCATGTCTTGCTAGTTAAGAAGGCCTCCTTCTGTTGAACCCACCTGGGATGCAGATGTTTCCAACCTGGGATCTACACAAGATTCTGAGGGTACTCACTAAGGAAGTGCTAAGTGCGTGTCACATCAGTAAAGTTTTCTGTTTCATTACATCTCCCTGCCCATCTCTGGGTAATGGGGCTTAACCTTTTGCACACTGAAGGCCTCCTGCATATCCCCAGAATAAGCATTCATGCCTTGTTCTCTCATGTTCTCCAAAAAAGGCCCTTTTCCAGCCAACATCCTTACCCAGACCAAGAAAAAAGGGGCACCCCAAAAACAGTCAAGAGCCTTGTCTTCACCACAAAGAGACACAAACAGTTCTCCTTCCCTGTTCACCCTGCTTGCTCATCCAAATCTTAACACAAGCAACACCATTCAATGCTTGATTTTTCAGAAACTGAGTTGTGTATAACTGTTCTCGGCCTGGATTCTCCAGCAGTAAGCAGCTGCAAGAAGAATATGGATTTGGGAAGAAGTAGGCTCTTACCTGCATGGCAGAGGTTTTGTGCAAAGGATGTGCTCTACGATGCATTTCTGTTCTGCTCCAAGTTCTTGCAAACGGTCCTTGTCTTCTTCATCTGAAAAAGCAAGTAAACATGCAGGTTACTGGGGAGTCACACCTATCACCCCACAGAACAGTAATGAGGAAATCAGAACTCCTAGCCAAATGTCATGTGGGGGGGGGGTGGAGGGGAATCTGGAGGGGAAAGGGGATTGGTAGGGGGAGGGAGCCAAACTGGACTGAGAAACAGAAGATGCAAGTGATCATTTCAGATCTCTGACAAAAGCCATCTGTACCTTTCCTGGCAGCCAATTGGGAGGTGGAGGAAGAGAAAAGGAGGTGGTCCTGACCATTGGGAGGACGCAGATACTGACAAGTTTGCTCTGGCCCTACCAGTTTTGGATCACATTTTTGAATGGGTTGTGCCAGCAATATATGGGTTCAGTTCACACCATGGCTGTGTTGTGAGTGTCATGCCTTAGGCTCTGGTTCTCCCTCCTCTCTGCACGTGCTCCGATGCCCTTCATTATTTCTGGCTCAGTCAGATCTCAGTTTACCTCCAAATCTGAATTGGAAACTACAGTTTGATGTAGGTTTTCAGTTCTTGTTGGAGGTAAACTATGGTCTGCCAGATTCAGATGTCTCACTAAACTGTACCACTGTCCACTCTATTTATATCCCACCTTTCCACACTACTGGCACACACTACTCAAGACAAGTTGCATTTCTGAGAAACAAGGCGTAGGAATGCAACATTCCAAGGCAGGAAGATTTCACTACTACCTGAGTCAAGGAACTTTTGAAGTTTGTTGATCCAGGTGACTCCAATGCTGTGCACCCCAGCGTCATGTGTACAGTGATATCGAGAGGGACATTTGGGATCTGAAAATGCAAGTGAGATATTTATGCATTCATGGAGAGCCAACAAAGACATGGGAAGGTTTCAGTCCACATATGATAGCGACAATGTGGAACTGCGTGAAAATGGAACTGTGCCAAACCTGTTTATGTAAAGCAGTTCCATGAACTCCCAGCAATGACCCACATTGTTGCCACCCTCTCATTTATTGATGGGCAATGCTTGTGGGCTTCCTCAAGATGGCAAAGCAACTCAGACCACCGGGAGCTGCAGAAAGAGACAGTAAACGGCTTGCTGGGCCAGCTGGGTGATGCTATCCTGTGACATAAAGCTACATGCAAATCAAGGAACAGGTAGCCTGGCATTGATTAATTTTTGTATTTACCTGAAAGGTCGCTTTAATTGGATGCCAAGTGAGCAGAGCAAGGGGAAAGCAAGAGAGGTAACTGACTTGTGCTCCTACCTCTATGCAATTTGATTGGGCAGGAGAAGTCCGACTCCAGGGGTTCCTCCCCTTCCCTTGAAGCCAGTTTCAGTGCAAGCTCTAGTTCAACACATTCGAACACGTAGAGCGATGGAATGAGGTCAGTTCTTGAATCCCAGGATTTGAGAGACTGCAGGGATGATTTGGTTAACACTTCTAAATTTGTCCTCCCTTGAGATAATAGCTCAAGGGATTAAATTCACTTAGGAAGCACCTCCCTCCCCCGCCACAAAAAAAGGTAAATATGGGGGTTTTGTTTATTATTTTAATCGCACATTGCATGTATTTTAATTGGGAAACCCAGCACTTGATAAAGTGTGGGCTGTAAGTACAAATAATAAAGAAATATAAATAGAGAACCCTCAATTGTCTCCTAGTGAGCTGGTTGGGAGGGGAAACAATACTTCTTACTCTTTTGTGTGTTTATGCTTTTAAGGTCCAAATGCAGATCAACATTGTGCATTTCTGAGATGCACAGGGTTTTTAAAATAGCTCCTCAGTACAAGACAAATATGAAATATAAGACACCCGGCTGTATTTAGTCATGTCCATTAATTCCCAAGGGGTTGAGTGTTACTGACTGCATTTATACCTCATCTTTTTCTCCAAGGAGTTAAAGCTGGATCTCCTCCTCCTCAATTAATCCCCACAAGAACCCTGTGAGGTAGGTTAGGCCAAGAGGCAGTGACTGGCCCAAGGCCACCCAGTAAGCTACATGGCTGAGTGGAAACTTGAACCTCTCCCGGGTCCTAATCTGACACTCTAACTACTATACCATGGTGGCTGTTATGAATAGCATGTATGGCTATCTTGGGTCCACTAATTTAATTGAGTCTACTCTGGATACAACTGAGTTGGGTGCAACCTCCTTGCAGAACCTCCAAAATTGTTTATGGCTGCAGAGACAAAGGTGTTGATCAGGGGAAAACAAAACCAACTTCCGTAATTAAGATGAGCCACAGTTTTAGGGTTTAGGAACTGCAAATCATCAGCTGGGCAGAGGGCCATCATGCTTCTGTGGGAACAGATTGCTGGAGAGGGATTGCTGGAGAGGGAGCCACCTTGAACTCCTTGGAGGAAAAGTGGGATATCAGTACAACAAATAAATTTAGGAAAAGGATAAGAATGTGCAACAGCACTGCACTATTGGTCACATGCTCAGTAAGAGCATGTCATAATGTGAAAAACCTGTGACAAACAAGGAGAGGACTGCAAAGACAGCAAGCTAAAAATGAATACCCAGGATGGGGATACACTTGAAAACAACCTTATGCCAAGTCCACGGGTCTATTTTGCCCAATATTAGGACAGGCAGCAGCTTTCTGTGATCTCTGGAAGAGGCCTCTCCTACCACTTGCTACCCAGTCCTTTTCACTGGAAAAGCCGGAGTTTGAGTGTGGGACCTTTGGAGTGCTACAGTCCCTCCTCATATAATGGGGTGGTGGGGGTGGGGAAGCTCTCCTGAAAACTCCAAGCAGTAAGAGGCAAACATACCATCTGTTCATCATCTTCTTCTCCCTCCAGTACCACGCAGTGATAAAGCAGCCCCGACTCTGTGGCAATCACCAAGATGTTGGGAACGCATGAAAGGCAGAGAACCGCACAAGCGTCGTACCCGTAGTTGTCTTCAGCTGCAGGATGCATTGGCAGTGGGCCCAAGAGCCGACCAAGGTTTCCACTACTACAAAAAAGAAATGGGGGGCGGGAATCAAAGGAAGCCTGCTGGGAAGAGCCCAAACTTTTAGGATAGTTTGCTGCTGCTGCCACCACCCCCCAAAAATCTCCAAACAAGTAATGGCCAGATACCTGGAACAGCAAAGTTTTGCAGCCAACCAAGACACCAAACTGACCTTTCCAGCCACAGAGCAGAAAGGCTAGGGTAGCTAATCAGACACCAACCAAACCACCTCAACCATACAAGGAGATAATACAGGCAAGTGTTGATTCTTGAACCCTGGGTTTTCATTCAGAGTTGAACTAGAAGCAACTGTTTTGGTGTTCAAATCAGTACCCTCCTACCGCCCAGCCATCTATGAGGTCTGGTCAAGCACTGCCCAGTGCAAAAAATGAAGGTGAAAGGAGGATCATGAATCTGGGTTAGACCTTTACCTGTGCAGCAGACTAATGTAGGTCAGAAAAGTCTCCCCATTTTCATACAAGATGTAGAGAGGATACGCTAGCACTTCCTCCTTCTCTCGCTGCCCAGCAATGTTCTTGGGGACTGCTGCCAGGGGCCCAAAGTCGAATGCTACTGCTGTTTCTCCTATCAATGCTGTGTAGGCTCTCCTAAGGAAGGGAGCAGTCAGTTGAGTTTGTAGCAGTTCTCTGCACACATTCAGTTTGCCCAGCAAAAAGTGGCCGCTGGGGTGGGCTTGGAGGGGCAACTATGAGGGAAGCTTCAGACCTCACCCCTTATTGAGCCTCAGAGTCTCCTCATCAGCTTCTGAAAGATGAATCACTTTCACGGGTGTCTGGGGTGAATTCAGGCTGTAAATCCTTTAAAGCAAAATATGACATTTTAAAAAACGAGAAGTACATCCCAGATAATAGCTTCTATAAATCCAACCTCTATTAGCTGAATACCTTTACAATTTTCAGTACTGCACCCAACATTATTACACTGGCAGAAGCTGGTGCAGTATCAATTCAGCTGAAGAGCTGCCCTGGTGTCAGACCAAGACCAGAGAGACCCAGTTCAAAGCCCTGCTTAGCCCTCAGCCTTGCTGGGTAGTCCTGGCCTAGTCTCTCCCTCCAGGTCTGACATATCTACTACACAGGGTTGCTATGAGGATAAAATAAGAGGACAGAGCATACATGCTACCCTGAGCTCCTTGGAAAAAGAGTGAGAGAAAAACGTAATAAGTATTGCTTAAACAATTGCTCCGTGGGTCTCTAAGCATGTGGTTCCAAATGACCCCATCAAATAAATATTTAAAGGAAGCTAAATTAGCCTCTGAAAGCATTTATACTCAGCTAATTAGCTGGAAAAGGTCCTAGGATAATGCTGTGAGCCCCTCCATTTGATGCTCGGATTGTACATATGATTTTTATAAAACCGTATCTCAAAAAGACACCAGTCTCCATTGACCTTTATTGCAAGGGAACCAAACCCAGGGAAGCACTGGAACCCCTTGGAGGCTCTCACCGCTCAAATATTTTTTGGGGGGCGGGGGGCAGGCATGCAACAGAACAATGATACAGCATGTGCAGAGCACAGAAAATATTTCAGACATTTTATTGTCCCCCCCTAAAGTCAATGAGACAGCTGAAGTAAGAAAGATTGCCCAAGATCATTGAGTGAGTCTGCGGCTGAGCAAAGATTTGAACCAGAAAACTAAAAGTCTGTGGCTTACACTCTTCACCACTATATTCCACTAGATTTTATATAGAAAAAAAGGATGACTAATATATATTGGATACCAGCACCACCTTTTTAAACAGTCAGGGAAACCAGGCTCCTTGGATTTCTCAAAGCCTGCTCAAAAGCAAACCATTCAGAGCAATAAAGTTACCTTATTGTGTTGTCAGATGTTAAGAGCACAATGTGAGGGTCCAGTGTCTCACTGGGGTACCAGGCGGAATGCTTCAGAGTCAGGGATGGTGAACTAGTGAAGAACCTTTCAGCAATAGGGATGGTGCTGCAAGAAGACAGGTCTCCATCATGAAAGGCACTATGTTCCAACCCAACAGAGGGCTGCCAACTGTTTGACCGTTGCTGTGCCTTTGACCAGCAGCTTGGGCTACAGACGTTCATGCCCGTGTCCCCTGCCAATTTCTGCAGATCAAGCTGGTGTCAAGAGCACAAGAACAGGCCAGGCTTTTCCTCCCCAACTGGCAAACCTATCAAAAGCAAAAAAGCTCAAGGGATAGGCTTGTAACAGTCCTTTTTTATTTCCTAACTTGATGTGTTACATGAACACTACCCTTGCTTAAACTCTAGGTACTAAATAATTAGCTATCATTGGTCCTGAAGGGTCAGTACTCAAACATTTTATCTCTGTGGTAAAATAATTTAACTAAGGAAGCCTTTTTCTAGGTAAAAATGTAGTCACAGACTCGGTTATCGAAAGTGCTTCCAATCTAAAATCGAACTGATCTTCCCCATAAATGTAAAAAAAAAGGTTGAAAGAGTAGCTATTGTCCAAAAATAACATTTCCTGAAATCTTGTTTTTGAACCAATTAACAGTCCTGCTCCCACAAATGACCCTGCTTATGCCCAGAATCACCTCCCAGTAATGTATTTGTGAAGCTCTCTCTCTTCAAAACCTATTCTTTGGCACAGTCCCCTAGCCTCTTTCTCCTACTGGCTCCCGGTGGAGTACAGGATCAGGTTTAAAGTGCTGGTTTTAACCTTTAAAGCCCTATACGGCCTAGGACCCTCGTACCTACGGGACCGCCTCTCCTGGTATGCCCCACAGAGAAACTTACGGTCTTCAAATAAAAACATCTTGAAGGTCCCAGGCCACAGAGAAGTTAGGCTGGCCTCAACTAGAGCCAGGGCTTTTTCGGCTCCGATCTGGTGGAACACTCTGTCACAAGAGACCAGGGCCCTGCGGGACTTGACATCTTTCCGCAGGGCCTGCAAGACAGAGCTGTTCCACCAGGCCTTTGGCCAGGGCACAGCCTGACTCCCTCCCTCGGCAATCTTCGCGGAGCTCTGGCCCAATGGTTGCCAGTGGCTTGAATTAATTAATTTTATAATGAATGATTTTAGAATGTTGTTTATGCTGTACTTTTGTACTGTTTTATTGTTGTTAGCCGCCCTGAGCCCGGCTTCGGCTGGGGAGGGCGGGATATAAATAAAATTTATTATTATTATTATTATTATTAGTGCTATAACTATGTTCAAGTACATATATCTGAAATATTCATGTAACCATTCTTTGTTCACCATTGCCTTCATTTGCCTCTCATCATCCCTTGTCTTCCTTGTTCTGTTTATAGATGGTAAGCTCCATGAGGCAGGGACCTATCCTCTCATATTTGGTGAAGTGCACATAGAGATCACTGATACTAGCAAATAATACAGATTGCCAGGCTGTGAGTTCTCTGTGCAATGTCCTCTCCTTTTCTTCCACAATGGGGAGCAATTCAACAGCCTTTACTCTTTTCTCCAGCCTCGCAGTGATCTGTCAAACGTTAACTGTGAGCAATTTGAGCAAATGGATGGTACTACTTCCATTGCGAAGAAAAATTGCCTTAGCCTCCACTTGATACAGCAAAGCAAATGTGCCATCAGCAAGATGGACTGCTTCAGAACTTTGCCCAAAAGCAATCACTTTTAATGGAAAAGCAAGGAAATGAACCTAGAACCTCAGGCCTACAAAGCCTGTATCCTAACACTAACCTCAGCTACCCTTCTAAAAAAGTTTGAAAAGAGACTGTCTCTCTATACTGTAGCAGTGGAACGTGTGCAGCTGAAACAAAGTTCCTCCAAATATACAGTGGTACCTCGGGTTAAGTACTTAATTCGTTCCGGAGGTCTGTTCTTAACCTGAAACTGTTCTTAACCTGAAGTACCACTTTAGCTAATGGGGCCTCCTGCTGCCGTCGTGCCGCCAGAGCACGATTTCTGTTCTTATCCTGAAGCAAAGTTCTTAACCTGAAGCACTATTTCTGGGTTAGCGGAGTCTATAACCTGAAGCGTATGTAACCTGAAACGTATGTAACCCGAGGTACCACTGTAATGCCTGAGAACTTCAGTAAAAACAGTCATCAAATGAGATTGACACACTGTACTCAAAACTGCTTTCTTTACAGACCCAGATGATAATGAAGTAGCAACCGTCCCTAGTTCTAGAGCTGCAAAGCAATTATGAGAAATGGAGAGCCTACATACCTACAATTAACCACTGGTTTTCCACCTTCAAACTCAGAGTTCTTTCCCCAGCGTTTAGGTAACTCCAGCACCATCAAGCCTTTTGTTCCTATCAGAGCTACATGCTCCTGTGTAGGACTCAGTGCAGTTTGATACACCTCAAAAAAGGGTGAATTTATGCAGAGCAGGGTCTGGAAATCAAAGCAGCAATTGGTTAACGCTTAAATATTTGAACTTTGTGCAGAACAAAATCTTAAAAACTAGTGCAAAATGCGTGTGTGTCACTCAATTACACATTTGGCTGCTAGCAAACTGCACCTGTCGCTTCCTACCATTTTATCTGTGCTCACTCTTTCAGGCATGATCTGATATGGATGCTCAGCGATGAAGACTACCTATATTATTCTTACGCTTCATGCAAGGCACTGGTAGCCGCTACTGTTCTTCTATCTAAGCCAAGAGACCACTTAAACCCACAGGGTCTGCCTTGGACAAAAGCTTGGAGAAACCAGCAGTCATGTTCCTTCAATCATTCTCTCCCAATGCTCGGACATCAATTAAAAACACAGCTGCAGTGTAGTAGTTATCTAGACTAGAACATCAGAGACCTGGGCATGGCCCTCCTAAATCAATAAAAATACATAGCTTAACTGAGGTTCTGCCTCCCTAACAAAAGACCTGACCCCTCCCAAAAGTTCTGGGACCTGCATTCAAATCCCTGCTCAGCCACAAAACTCACTGGGTGTGACCTTAGGGGTCAGTTACTGCCTCTCAGCCAAACCCACCTCACAGGGTTGTTGTGTGTGTGGTGCTGGTGGGATTAATTGGGGAAGCATGTACAGTGGTACCTCGGGTTAAGTACTTAATTCATTCCGGAGGTCTGTTCTTAACCTGAAACTGTTCTTAACCTGAAGCACCACTTTAGCTAATGGGGCCTCCTGTTGCCTCTGCGCTGCCGGAGCCCGATTTCTGTTCTTATCCTGAAGCAAAGTTCTTAACCTGAAGCACTATTTCTGGGTTAGCGGAGTCTGTAACCTGAAGCGTATGTAACCCAAGATACCACTGTATGCCACCTTGAGCTCCTTGGGAGAAAAAAAACGCAATAAGCCATTCATTATTATCGCTACTGATAATGCAAGCCTATATGGAGGTGCTTTCCACAGGTGAGCCACCACCACCTTGAGGCCCGAAGCGGCGGCGGCGCCCCAAACACAGGTTGGCCACCTCAGTGAGAGCCGAGCCCTATCGGGGCGAAAGGCCGCACCTGGTACTGGCCCAGCCTGTCGGGCTCGTCGCCCAGGCCCCTCAGGCTGAGGGCGTAGAAGGCGGCGCGCTCGCCGTCCCACAGGAAGAGCTCCCCGCCGAGGCCGAACAACAGGTCCCGCGGGAGGGACGGGCGCGAGGACTCGGGCCCCGGCCCGGCCTCCTTGTCGGCCTGCTCCCGCAAGCGGCACAGCACGGCGTGGTGAGGCAGCTCCGCCCACCAGCGCTCTCCCAAGCCCGGCGCCACGGCCGCCGCCATCGTCGCCGGTCGATGAAGCCGGTCGGGGCCTCGCCGCCTCAGGTGCGCGGGACTACGAGCCCCAGAGTGCACTGCGGACGGTGACGTCGGCGTCCCGGCGGACCGATAAAGATGGTTAAGCCCAGTGGGCATCTTCGCCACGCGAGGGAAGTATGAGACCCAGAGTGCACCGCGGCCTGCTGACGCAAGCGGTCTCTGGACCGTAGACTTGTGAAAAGTTTAGACATGAAAACTGCGCGGGGCTTGGGGGTTTTCCATAGAAATTCTTATTATCCTGAGGTGGAAGTCAGGGCTGCTTACGTCGAAAGAACATCCCGCCCGTTCAAATCTTGGCAGTATTTTTGGCAATATTTTCTATTGGCTAGGCGGGGCGAAAAAAGCGGGGAAAGATATCCGGGATTTCATCTATTAATTTAGTATCTTTTTTGTTTTTTGCGAATATTGTGTTAGTTACACATAGAGATAGGGATTGGTACATTCATGTGTCTTATCATTCCAAACTTTCTCTTTTATAGTTGCCTAACTAATATTTTTCTTTCTTTTGTGCTTCATCATTCTAACATTTTCCATAATTGTTCAGCCACAATGGCATTTCATTTTTTTGTACGATCATTTTAGATTTTTAAATCACCCTTGTTTTATCAATATATCTCTACCGTTTGACCACACTATTCTTCCTCACGGTATTAGAAATATTGTATATCACACTTTCATTTTTCTTGATTGCTTTGGTCACACTTTTTTCGTAAAATTGATTCCCACCCTCCCCTCACGCACTTTATTGCTTTATCACTCTTACATTCCCATCTCCTTGTCTTTGAGGCTTGGCTTGTTTACTTCGCCTTCTTCCTCCTCCCACCGCCAAAACCCGGGAAGGGACGTTTGAACGACGAGAACGCCTTCCTTCCGGACTACAATTCCCATCAAGTGCCTGACTGATCCCTCAAGATGCAAGGTGCGCGGCGTTTCCCAGCATGCACCGGAGTCCTTTGCCGAACTCCATTTCCCAGGGCGCCTTGGGCGAGTGGAGGGCGGTTAAAGGAAGGCGGTAAAGTCTGCGGTGTAAACGTCGCTGCCGGGTTCCGGGTCTCGGGCTTCGCGAAGGGGATGGAGGGGCAGGTTCAGCGGCACCAGGCTCTTTACAAGGGCGCCCGGACCCCGCCTTGGAAGGAGACCTTCAGGCAGGTAAGGCGGCGGCGCGGGGTCTGCCCGAAACTCCCGTGGAACGCGGCGACTGCGAACGTTCCATGACTTCCGCGGAATGCGGCGACTGCGAACGTTCCATGCCTACTGCGAACGTTCCATGACTGGATACATTTCAAGGAGCCCTGCCGGCTCTGCGCGTTGCTAAAGGGCAGATTTGGCCGCCGTCCTACCTGGATGGCCGTTTCCGTAGGAGCCCAACCCCTAGGGACCGAGCATATAGCTAAACTCCCTCCCACAAGAAGGGAGCGATGGCCACCACCTTGGATGGCTTTTAAAAAGAGGATTGGACAAATTCATAGAGGCGGCGGCTGTTGATGGCTATCTGTGACGGCTATGCTCACAAACCATGTGTTTTTATAAGATCCCTGAACTGAATCTTAAAAAAAAGAAAATTGTTCAGAAAGCATTTCGTCTTCCTAAGTAGGGGATTGTGGGGAAAAGTCAGAGAAATGGTTTTGCCATGCTGGTGTCTCCATTGCAAGTCTTTATCTCTCTGTTCACTGCCCTCCAGCGCTGCGTGGAGAGGCTGAAGAGCAGCCGTGCCAGACTCTTGGACAGATACCGCCATGTGGGAGAAGACACAGCCCATCAAGCGAGCAAAGCCCTCTTGGTCCAGGAAGTGATGGAAATGGAATGGCAGGCTCTGCAGCCTCTGGATTTCCAGCTGCCCTTCCCCAGGAAACAAGAAACTTCCCCTCAGGTCACTGCGGTAAGAAGCAGCTACTGTACTATGTTCTTTGTGGGAGGCTGTCCATATCGCGGGGGGGGGGGGGGGGTCGACATGCAGAGGGCTGCAAGGCCAGCTGGCTAGCCCCAGCTGGGTCGTCCCCTTCCAGCCATCCGCTGCGAAGACCCATCGGCCTCTGCTCCGACGTAAATCAGCGACCCGGGCTTCAAAGCCAGGGCACACTATCAGCAGATAGAACTGCGCACACAGAATAGGCGTGAGGCTTGTGAAAGCATGCTACAACTACAGATTTATTAATCATAAATCAGGACAAAGAAACATGTCGCCTCTCTCTCTCTTCATCCTCTCAGAGAGACAGGGAAAAGCAAAAGCAATACACACAACGGAAGTTCCCAGCAAACTGTGCTGGAATGTAAACAGACATGTGACACGCAACAGTTCCTCACACCTGCTCCTTAAGGTGGAATGGAAATCTCAACAGTGTGTGTCTGGATTGTCAGCATAATGTCCTGGTGCCCACAAGGTTTCTGAGTGCGCACACACCTCACAGCCGCATGAAGTACCCTTGACAACCAGAGAGGTGACCTTTCGTTCCCTCGGAAAGTACATAGAGCCAAAGGAGGAAGTTGGAAGAGCGGCACTCTTTCACACTTCCTCTTTCAGCTCTATGTGCTTCTCAAGGCTCAGATTAATTCTAGTGGATCTGCCTTCTACCCAGATCCCTTGGAAGAACAACATAACTGTGTCTGTGTCTGTCTATCACTCCCTGAGGGTGGGTGGCTGGACTGATCCCAAGGGTGAAAGGTGAGAAATGCCCAAACAGCACTTTAAAATGCCCAAAGTGCACCTGCAGTACCGGTTCAATCCTAATGTGCCCATGAGCCTAAAAAGGTTGCCAGCCCCTGTAACTTAGAGGGCTGGCATCCCTCTGGCTGTATACAAATTTAACTCGTATTAATAATAATTCAAAGTTCTGGTTTAGACCTATGAAGCCTTATACAGTGGTACCTTGGTTGTCGAACGGCTTAGTTGTTGAACAAATCGGCCCCTGAATGCAGCAAACCCGGAAGTGGGTGTTCTGGTTTGAGAACGTTTTTTGGAAGTCGAACGTCCGGCGCAGCTTACGATTGAGTGCAGGAAGCTCCTGCAGCCAATCAGAAGCCGTGCCTCAGTCTTCAAATAGTTCTGGGAGTCAAACAGACTCCAGGAATGGATTAAGTTTGACAACCAAGGTACCACTGTACAGCTTAGGTCTAGGCTATCAGAGGGACTGTATTCTTCCACACAAACTTGCTCAGGCTCTGAGATATTTTGGGGTAGGCCCTTCTCCCAGCCCCACCATCCTCGCAGTTGTTCTCAGTGGGGACGTAGGAGAGGGCCTTCTCGGTGGCAGCCCCCATATTTTGGAGCTCCCTTCCTAGAGAGGCTAGGCTCTCTCCATATTGTCCTTCTGCTGGCAGGTGACGTCTGTTTTTATTCTGTGGAGCTAATACCAGCTTACTGTGCGGTTCCCTTTAGATGCTGGACGTCTTAGAGGAAATCCAGGAGGAGCTGATCTTGCAAGGTACTTGATTCTCCTTTGATTCTGATAGCCGCGGCTTTAATTTCTGTTGGCACAGCCTGTGACGCAGGGGACGGGGCTTTCTCCCTTGCAGAACAGCTGGCCGTGGAAGAGTACGAGCAAAGCCTGCGCTTTGACGAGGAGTGCCTGAATGATATCCTGGATGGCTTGGATGCGGAGCGCAAGGTCATCTGCCCGGTTTGCAGAAGGTGAGGCAAACACGTACAATGCTTTAGGTCAGGCCTTTCCTCTGCCTCATCCCAGTTAGATGATGTGGAGAAATAGCTAGCAGGTGGCCGAAGTTCGCCAGCGTAAGACTTAATAAAGGAAACAAAAAGGAATTTGTCCCTGTTTAACTTTCACCGCTGATTGCTTCTGCACCTTGCATTAATTCATGGCTGTTCTTCCTAGGAACAATCTCTGTGTGACGAGTCACTCGGTCGTGTGTCCGTGTGGGCTTTCCATCAGCACGCAGGTAAGCAGGTGCTCAAAAATCATTTGCGCCGTCTGGGGTAAAGGAACATGGCTCAGCAGCAGAGTGCACCAGATTTGTATGCAAAAGGTCTGGGTATGTTAAAACCAAGGGGGCAGAGAATGCATCAGAAATATCCCACCCACTTCTAAAAGGCCACAGGTGGTTAAGGGCCAAGGCCTTTAGAGCAGTGTTTCCCAGACTTCGGTGTCCAGCTGTTTTTGGACTACAACTCCCACCATCCCTCGCTAGCAAGACCCAGTGGTCAGGGATGGTGGGAATTGTAGTAAATGAGAAGACACAACAGAAAAGGCCCGTTGAGTTAAACAGCTGGGCAGCTTTCCCAGGCTGGATTGCACTATTAATTTTGTAAAGTTGTTGTTGTGATTTATTACCCACTTTTCACTTCAGGGTCCTAGGGTGAGACCCCTGGACGATTAAGTCCAGTCAAAGGCGACCATGGGGTTGTGGCGCTCATCTCGCTTTTCAGGCCAAGGGAGACGGCGTTTGTCCACAGACAGCTTTCCGGGTCATGTGGCCAGCATGACTAAACTGCTTCTGGTTTCATACTGTGCAACGGAACACTGTGACGAGTGCCAGAGCGCACGGAAGCGCTGTTTACCTTCCCGCCGCAGCAATATCTATTTACTAGCACTGGTGTGCTTTCGAGCTGCTAGGTTGGCAGGAGCTGGGACAGAGCAACTTAGCTCACTCCATCACGGGGATTCGAACCACTGACCTTCTGATCAGTAAGCCCAAGAGGCTCAGTGGTTTAGACCACAGCGCCAGACCCCACCGCGGGGAAGGGAAGCGGTTGGCAAGCGAGGTGTACATGTGTGGAATGGGGAGGACTGGGTTGCCTTCTCCACCAGAAGGGTTTGATTCCTTCTCTCTGTAAGGGGATGACCAAAGAGAAGCTCTGCTCCTCGCTGGAAGACAGCGTGACGGAACATGGCCGCCGCTGTCAGTGCTGGCCTGAATTTGCTGTAACCAGCTGGGCGGAAGGCGAAGCACATCTCCTCATGAGCTGTCAGGTAAGAGCCTCATTTTGTGACAGCAATAGTGGGATGTGCCCGCCCGCTGGAGAGGCAGTGTGGTGTAGTAGTTAGCATGTCAGGACTAGGACTGAGAAGATCCTTGTCCTTGTTTGGGAGAAGCGCGGGGGATATCCCAGGGTGTAGCCCCTATAGCGCTGCCAGTTGATGGAAAGTGATGAAAGAAGTCTTTTGATCTCCATAGCGCTGCACAGTATGAAGAAACTGCACACGGCAGGCAATTATTATCTTTCTTTTTGTGTTCTTAGGTTTGCGATTCGTGGACAGTTATTTTGTAGCCATGGCTCCATTTGCAGCACTTTCCAGGAAAGCAGAGAACACTCGAGTCTTTCCCCACGTCCCCTTCTGAGAAGCGTCTTATCTACGTGTGGGTTTAATACACACAAATGTCAAAAATGTGCCCTTTGTTGATTCCTTGATGCATGTTGTTTACGGTGGTTCTCGGTTGAACAAAAATACCTTTCAGTATTGCACATAGAACAAATGGGATATTTTGTTTTCCTGTTTTGTAACGTTAAGTGGGCACAGCTGCTTTCAAATGTTTATCTAGATTTCTCTGATCCTGCTATCAGAGCAGGGAGTGTTGCTTTTCCTGCTTAAAAAGTGCAATGTTCACTGAAAGGAAGGTAGGATGACATGAGATCATGAAAACCCACTGGGTTGATGTGTCAGAACCCCCCTCTAAGCAGACTCATGTCACATACAACCTTTTAATAATTCTTTGTGAATAAAGTTGGACTGCAACTGTCGCCATTCAGCTTTCTCTGAAGGAACCAGACTAATCTTGAATTAGAACAAGCACTATTGCCTCCTCTTGTCATTCAGGGAACCACTAAATTCCAAAACGGGCATTTGCAACAACTGAAAGTATCTGAAGATCTTTAGTACACCATTTGCACTACAAACTCTCTAATGTCAAGCAGTTTTTGAAGGCAAGAGCTTTTACAGGATATACTACACTGTTTATTCCTTTTCATATCAAGTGTCCCAGTGTACAAGTGCAAGTATACTTGGACTTGAGACATGCAAGGAAGCCTTCAGACCATCCAAGAGCGCCATTTTGCAGTGAGCTTTCCATTGAGAGGCCTGCTTCAAGCAGAAGAAACACCAGTGAACCAATAGTTCAAAAGAGTTGCATGAGGGGGGAAAAAAGTTGATTTTTTTTGGTATCACTGGAGGACACTCAGAGAAAAAGGAGGATGAACTCTCCCAATATCTGAGGATGGTTAGGGTGGCTGTGGTATAAATGTAGATTAAAAACCGCAATACGGGTTGGGAAAGATCAAATGTTTTTATTCTGGGTGTTTCAGTGGGGAAATTTGGATCACCAACAGCGTTTAAACAAAAGAATTGATTGCTTACTGGTGTCTACAAAAGCATGAAGCAAAAGCTATTAAGTGCGGAAGAAAATCTCTAGGTATGGCACACCCCTAGCATATGTGGCAATCCACATTCACAAAATAATCTTAAAAGTGCTATGATACTTTAAGCAGTCATGGCTTCCCCCAAAGAATTTAAGGCTGGAGTTTAAGGGTGCTCAGAGTTTTTAGGGGACCCCTGTATCCCCTCTTCCAGACCTACAATTCCCAGGGTTTCCTGTGAAGAGGGATTGGTGGTTCAACCACTCGGAGAAAGGTAGCTCTGTGACGGGACTGGGGGCTTCCTAACAACTCATCACCCATTAAACAAACAGCTCCCAGGATTCCTTGGGAGATGCTGTGACTGTTTATAAAGTAGTATCATAGTGCTTTAAATGTATGGGGTGAGTGTGGCCTTAGTCTCTGCTCTAGGGGTGGGGAACTGGATACAGCTTGCAAAATGGGATGTGCCTGCTCTCCCTGCTTTCAGCCAAGGTGCGCAGCAGCCCACGCCTGATAGCATCTGTGACACCATGTGTAGGCCAGGTGGGTTGGGCCAGACTGAGGCCTGCAGGCTGAGCTTGCAGACAGCTCTGCTCTAACAGCAGTTTGAACACTATTGTGTTGGGTTTTTTTACCTTTCTGAGATTATTGTATCCCTTTTTGTGCTTCTGCTTTATTTAATTTGCTTTGCTATTTTATTGTGTTGTTTGTGTTTCTGATTTGTGGCTCAAGTGACAAGGTTACTAGTAACAAATATAAAATGTGTAATAAAAGCATCTGCCACCGATTACAGGCTGTTTTGACAATACATGGAAACTTTGAAGCTTTGGGTGAGATTTCAACCCCAATTAAAGGAGCAGGCAGCCCTTTGGTTGTGTAGTACAACTTCCTATGGTATGAAAATGTTTCTATTTGTCTACATTTATAGACTCAGCAATGCTTCAACATTGCATCAGTGTTATTCTCCACCTCCAGTATTCTCATATTAAAAAGGACAATGAAAAGATAATCTTTGCAAAGATGGGATTCCAGTGTTGTTTATAACTTGAAATGCAAGGGAAATTGTTGGTAGTTTTATTTGAACAGAAACACACACACACACTCTAAAAACATGATATATTCCTTAGCCACAATCCTAGGCACTGTTTGTGGTTGTTTAGTCGTGTCCGACTCTTCGTGACCCCACGGACCAGACCACACCAGGCACTGTTACACAGGAGTAATTACAGTGACAGCAGTAGCAGGAAGGTCTCAGATTTAATCCCTGAAATCCCCAGTAGGAGCTGGGAAGTGAGGGCTGAAACCCTGGAGAGCTGCTACCTGTCATTGTGGACAATCCTGAAATCCTTTCCTTTGGTTTTTTCCTCTTCCAGGTTACCAGCTTGCTCCCCAAGTGCTGTTCTTTTCCCTCCTGTTTCTTGTTCTCCAGGGCTTCCCAATCTGTGCTAGACAGCACTGAGCTCGATGGACCACAGGTGTAAGCAAGTATTCAGCTCACTAGTCACCTATCACACAAGCAAAGAATCAGAGTTGGAAGGGATCCTGTGGATCATCTAGTCCAGGCATAGGCAAACTCGGTCCTCCAGATGTTTTGCGACTACAGCTCTCATCATCCCTAGCTAACCGGATCAGTGGTCAGGGATGATGAGAATTGTAGTCTCAAAACATCTGGAGGGCCAAGTTTGCCTATGCCTGATCTAGGCCATTCCCCTGCAATGCAGGAATCTCAGCTAGATCATACACAAAAGATGGCCACCCAACCTCTGCTTAAAAACCTCTAAAGAAGAAGAGCCCACTACCTCTCATGGGAGTCTGTTCCACTGTCTAACAGTCCTTGAAGGTGGGCAGTGCTACAGGGTGGAATGTTTTCCAAAATGAAAACTTCCAGGGTTTATTTTTCAATGGAAAACATAAGTTCATCAGTAACAACAAACTGACACAATACAGGCAGCCATGGCTGTTTCAAAGTGATTAGTTTACTTATGTGTATTCGGTAAACCAAACCAAACCCCTGAAACACCTTACTCAAGGGAATATTTATATTTAAAACTGGAAATTTTGCAATGCAAGTTTAACAATTTCCCAGTTCAAAGCATTGCTGGGAAACACACATCACTTGAAGGCACATTGTTGATAAGCACACTTGAGAAACTAAATAAAGGTATTGGCACAGCTAAGAGCTGAAAACATTTTTACCCTACGCTAGCCAAGAAGCAGCTTATAAATAACAAGGTAAAATGATAAACTATGAGGGCAGGGATCTGAAAGACAGGAGGCACACAAAGAAAAATGTGCCCATTCTTAAAAGTTTCGGAGTTAAGAGTGTAATTATATAGTTCTGCATACATACAAGGTGGCCCAAAAGTAGAGCTACAGAAGTAGGTATACAGCTGAATCAAAGAACAGTCAAGAAAGAAAGTGGATTCTAAAGCAGTATAAGCTACTTTTGGGCCACCCTGTAGATTCCAGCTGCCTGAAGGAACAATTCCTCCCCAGAAGAGGTCCTGCAATATATTGGGGAGTAGTGTCCATGGCAGGGTTGCTCCTATCGCAGAGCTCTTCATTAGAGGTGGGTGGGTGAGAATAGATGTGTCACGAGAGTAGCTGCCCAGTTTTGACCAAGAGCTAGCGAGTGGGACCACGAGGCCATCTGCAGATGCAAAAAGCTTATTGCCATATTTTTAAGGCAGAACAGCAACACTGATCCAATGGATCCCATTTTATTTGCTACTAGAGGTGAGGAATATGTGACTGGACTACAAGCTCCACCAGACCATTGGCTATGCTGGGTCTGATGGGAGCGATAGAGTTCAAGAACATTTGAAGGTTCTCCATCCCCACCTTTACACAATCACTTCTTCAGCTTGTTCATTTTCTCTTCCACCTCCCGCACGACACTCTGGAGTTTGACAGTTGTTTTTGTCAAGGCGGAAAAGCTTTCTTTCAGGTTGCCGACCCCCTCTTCTCTGCCTACGTTTTCAAGGCCATCAAACCACTGGAGGATCCCTTCAAGGTGCGCTTGGACAAGCTTTTGCTCTTCCAGCTCCGCTAGAAGAGCCTGTTCAGCTGCGCTTTCGGCCTTGAGTTGTCGTTCCAGCTGGTCAATCTCATCCTGGAGCTCTTGAAACTGTTCTGGAGTGTAACGGAATTCCTCTTGGCCTTTGTCTTCCGGAAGCAAAACATTTGGGGGGATGCTCAACACCGTTTTCAGAAGGGTGTCTTCCATTTTGCCAAAGAGGTTGTTGAAAATCTTCTTCATTAAAGAGAAGAACTGCTCTGTGCTCCTCCGGATTAGGGAAGGCGTGAGCTTATTGGGACAGATGCACTCCAATTTATTCAGAATCGTGTCCTCCACCACAAGCATTATGTGAGCAAGGTGGTCCTGGAAGGCTACATATATCCGCAACATGAACGTTTGAGGAGTAAAGCCGAAGAACTGGGCCTCATAGGCCATGGGATTTACCGACATTTTTGCAAAACTAGCTACACAAACACAGCATGGAAGTCTGCGAAATAGAAAAAAAGGACAGTGTTATAAGAGGTAAAAAAAATACTGGACAACCCCATTGGCAAAACCAGATACTGCCTGTTAGCTATTATTATTATTTTAGCTCAGCAAAGGGAGCTATTTTTATTATTATTGCTTGCAGCAATTATAATACTACATCAAACATTAAAAATACTACATCAAACATAAAAAACTTCCCTATACAGGGCTCCTTTCAGATATCTTCTAAAAGTCAAATAGTTGTTTATTTCCTACTGTAATTTCCTACATTCTGACATGACACAACATGGTAAACCTAGGAGAACAGGTCCAGGGGTGAATTTTTAGAAAAAACAATGACAATTTCATGAGGGAAGAGGGATGTAGTGGGGAGAGAGTGTCCTGTGAACAAAATATGATCTAAACAACTGCTTGCTAAGACGTTTCTATTCATCTTTCTCCTGCATTCTTGCGTTGTTCACTATGCTTCAATATATACATATAAATATATGTGTTAGCTGCTACTGTGAGTTTATGGTCTTACTGGTTTAGATTTCACCCACTAAGGTGTAATCCAGGTTAGCAGTAACTTTATAATTTTTTTACTGGCGTTTACAAGCCCCTCAAAGGCTGCAGTGCTAAAGATAAACTGAGAAAACGTTCAGTCTGGGAGAATGGCATTTAACCATTATTGTTAATTAAATTTATTAGTCACTGTTTTTTAAGCAAAATAATCTCAAAGCAACTTACAACAGCAGGCAAACTCATTTAAACCAGCAAAAAACAAAGAGACAGTCTAAAATAAACTTTTAATTTTTTTTAAAAAGCAGAATTAAAACATACAATTGTGTCTGTGATTGAATCCGTAATTATTTCCTATAGAAATACAGTACCAGACAGTTGGGGCAAGTTCCCGTTTCGAGATCTGGAGCTCTTGACCCGAGTTCAGGTCTCTTTACCTTTCCAAGCGGGGATTCGAACCCACAACCACCGCAGCCTCTCCGGTGCAGCACCGACCTGGAAGCCCCTTTGCTTCCCGCCGCTTTTTAGCCTTTCACCTCCTCGGCCCCGCCCACCGCGATCACAGAGATGGGGGCAGGCAAGAGCGACACCGTGGCTTCCAGTAAGCCGCCCTGATGGCGAACATGGAGCAATGAAAAGGTTAAGAGGGGATCGTTTCATTGGTATACTTTTTGCGACCTAGGAGGACGGAACCGTCCTAGCTAGCTGCCATTAACACTCCTGCGGTGTAAGCATCCCTATTGCAGGTTGCAGACTGGGATGAGGCTGAGAGAATCGCTGCCAACCAGAAATTAAATAATAGAATAATATATCATAGAATAATAATCTAATCTAACGAATCTGCAGTTGCAGGGGGGAGAGGTCCAGCTGAAGGGGTTGCCATCCCTACAGAGCTGTGTAGTGGAAATGCAGAAGACAATTGTATTTCGAGTCAGCATGTCCCTTTCCCTTTAACATCCCCAGTTGGATTCTTGTGTTTTACACCCCTGTGGGGAGTTTCTTCTGTGTTGCAAGTGCTGGCTGGATGCCGGCTGCAGAAGAAGAAGAAGAAGAAGAAGAAGAAGAAGAAGAAGAAGAAGAAGAAGAAGAAGAAGAAGAAGAAGTTTGGATTTGATATCCCGCCTTTCACTCCCTTTAAGGAGTCTCAAAGCGGCTAACATTCTCCTTTCCCTTCCTCCCCCACAACCAACACTCTGTGAGGTGAGTGGGGCTGAGAGACTTCAGAGAAGTGTGACTAGCCCAAGGTCACCCAGCAGCTGCATGTGGAGGAGCGGAGACTCGAACCCGGTTCACCAGATTACGAGACTACCACTCTTAACCACTACACCACCCTGGCTCCCACTGCAGGTAGTGGGAGACACTCAGCCACTCTGTATTAATCCTGAGTAATGCCAGGTGCACTTGATTACATCAAGGCAGGCTATAAAAGCCACAGGTGGGAGGGGCCCGGGGAGCTTCTGCCCAGATCAAAGGCCCTGATGCTGGGAGACCAACGGTCGCGGTCTTTCTCCTGCTGCTCTACCTGGAGCTCCGGGCAGCTGAAGGGGAGGTTGGGTGGCCCCTGTTGGGTATATTTTATGTTATGCTTTGTATGTTTGTTTGTTAATAAAACTGTCTTGGTTCCCCTCCCACCTCCTCATTCCTTTTGTCCTGATATTCTTGGAAAGAACTGCTGCATTTGGCAGCACTAGCTGCCATCCCTACAGTTGCTGATCTACGTTGCAGATTAGGGATTGGGCAGAGTTAATTTACAACATCCTTGCAGTGTTGCCCGTGGCTGTCAGCTGTACTTCGCATGGAGCTGAAGTTGACGCTTAGGCCAACCCTGCAGGGCCGTTCACTCTTGGTGTCAATGGGCTGAAAGAGGAACTTTGACAACCCTCCTGTGTGTTGACTGAGAGGAGGTGGACTTCCAGCCCAAAGTCCCCTCCGACTGCAGCAAAGGCCAGTGGGCTCTTCTTCCTCCCTCAGAAACCGCGGACTCCACTGAGGGATAGGAACATAACAGGAAGCTGCCATACAGGGAGTCAAACTGTTGGGTCATCTATAGCTCAGTATTGTCTACACTGACTGGCAGCAGCTCTCCACGCGAAGCAGATACTCTGCTGCCACTTAGCTACCACTGATATCCCTGCAACAAGAATCAAGTGTGTTCCTTAGGCTTAGAGCAGGCATCCCCAAACATGGCCCTTCAGCTGTTTTGGGACTACAATTCCCATCACCCCTGACCACTGGTCCTGTTAGCTAGGGATGATGGGAGTTGTAGTCCCAAAACAGCTGGAAGCCGAGCTTGGGGATGCCTGGCTTAGAGCATGGCTCACTCTTCCCCTTAGCCGCCTGCCTCTATTTTTAAGAAGACACGAGACTCCCATGTCGCCTCTGCAGCATGACTCTATAAATCTATTTAATCTATGGGCTCGAATTCTTCGATTCCGATTAGGCTTGCGAAGGCGAAAGAAGACGGCGCTGATTTGCCGGAGCGGAGACAGAGGGCGGGCAAAAGCGGGGGCGGGGAAGGCTCTTGATTGGCCAATCGTCGCCGGCACGGATTGGTCGAGGCTGAGGGGACGCCAAGAGGCGAGGGAAGTGTTTAGGCGGCGCCGGCGCCAAGATGGCGTACCAGACCTTCCGCCAGGAATACCTGCAGGTGCCTCCCGTCACCCGGGCCTACACCACCGCCTGCGTCCTCACCACCGCCGCCGTGGTGAGTAAGGGGAGGAGGGAGGGAGGCTTCGGCCTACCCGCCGGGCCCCTGTCTTCGGAGGGGGCGGGGCGAAGGGCCGAGGCTCATTAACATAGCCCCGCCCCCGCCCCGCCCCCAGCATGAGGTCGCCCAGGCTGGACTGCCTGCAAGCTCCCTTCCTCTCTCTTGGTGCCAGTCCATGAGCTTAATCAATGGCCTGCTTTAAGCTGCTAATTAAGCCCACAGTTCATCCCGCTCTTCCTTCTTCTAGAAATTCATAATACCCTTTTTAATATCCTCCCAGCCGCCCTGCGAGGTAGGCCAGCTCATTGAAAGAGAGAAACCTAGGAAGCTGCCTAATAATAATAATAATAATACAATTTTATTTATATTCCGCCCTCCCCAGCCGAAGCCAGGCTCAGAGCGGCTAACAACAGTGAAGTAATACAGCATTCTAAAATCAATTCATTCTAAAATCAGTTCAAAATCAAATTAATGGCAACCATTGGGCTAGAGTTCTGTGAGGATTGCCAAAGGAGGGGGTCAGACTGTGCCTTGGCCAAAGGCCTGGTGGAACAGCTCTGTCTTGCAGGCCCTGCGGAAAGATGTCAAGTCCCGCAGGGCCCTAGTCTCTTGTGACAGAGCGTTCCACCAGATTGGAGCCACAGCCGAAAAAGCCCTGGCTCTAGTTGAGGCCAGCCTAACCTCTCTGTGGCCTGGGACCTTCAGGATGTTTTTGTTTGAAGACCGTAAGTTCCTCTGTGGGACATACCAGGAGAGGCGGTCCCGTAGGTACGAGGGTCCTAGGCCGTATAGGGCTTTAAAGATTAAAACCAGCACCTTAAACCTGATCCTGTACTCCACCGGGAGCCAGTGCAGCTGGTATAGCACCGGGTGAATGTGATCTCGCAGCGAGGACCCCGTAAGGAGTCTCGCCGCGGCATTCTGCACCCAGTGGAGTTTCTGGGTCAGTCTCAAGTGCAGCCCCACGTAGAGCGAGTTACAATAATCCAGTCTGGAGGTGACCATTAGAGTGGTACCTCGGGTTAAGTACTTAATTCGTTCTGGAGGTCTGTACTTAACCTGAATCTGTTCTTAACCTGAAGCACCACTTTATCTAATGGGGCCTCCTGCTGCCGCCGCGCCGCCGGAGCACGATTTCTGTTCTCATCCTGAAGCAAAGTTCTTAACCTGAAGCACTATTTCTGGGTTAGCAGAGTCTGTAACCTGAAGCGTATGTAACCTGAAGCGTATGTAACCTGAAGCGTATGTAACCTGAGGTACCACTGTATACTGAGTCGGACTATGGTCCGTCTAGATCAGCACTGGCTACACTGGCTGGCAGTGGCACTCCCAACGTTTCAGACCCCAACCTTACTTGGAGATGCCATCAGGCGCTGGACCTGGTCTCCTTCCCTTGCAAGGTGGGCACTCTATCACTGAGTTATGACCCTTCTCCAAAGACTAGCTTTTTCATTTACGATCGAGGTGAGAGAACTGTGGCCCTCCGTCAGATGTTGGAGCATGGCCAGGGGTTGGGTATGGTGGGAGTCCCAATGAGCCGCTGGCTAATGCCCTGCAAGCCTATGCTGTTGGGATTACGGGTTCAAGATCCACCCACGCTCCTGTAGTAGTGGTACAGCATCTGCTTTGCCTGCACGGTGGGTGGCATCTCCAGGAAAGGCTAGGAAAGACTCCTGCCTGAGATCATGGAGAGCTGCTGCCAGTCAGATGACTAAGTTCTTCAGCGACAAAACGTCGGATTACCGGAACGACGTCTGAGCACTGAACCACTGGTATATCACAAGTGGACGCTTTTTTACTGTGTTTGCAAGTGTTTAAGAAAAAAAATATTTTGGAAGGAAAATATATGAGCACTGAACCACTGATATATTACAATTGAACTTTTTATTTACTGCATTTGCTATTGTTTAAGATAAAACCTCTTTAGGAAATAAACTACTTTTGCCCTTTTTATAGACATTTACTGTTTGTTTACAGATAGTTGCCTTGGTGATATTATCTTGTGCTGTTTGCAGTAGTCATCGTATCACCACCCTGCTTATTGGTTTATTGCCAGTTGGCAATACTAAGCTGGTTAGACCAGTGGCTTGATTCAGGATAAGGCAGCTTTCTGTGTCCCCTCCATCTCTAGGAGCTAGCCTAGTGTAGTGGTTAGGCTTTTGGACAAACAATAGGAAGCAACTGGGTCCACTGCCCACGAAGCTTTCACTGGGGTGACCTCAATGCAACTTCAACTTTCACCCTAACCTACCTTCAGGAATGTTGTGGAAGTTAAAGTTGGCTCAGAAGAACTGTGTACACTGTCTTGAGCTCCTAAGGTAGTTGGGTAGGAGGAAAATTTAGTGAACCTGAACTTGGGGCCACCTGTAATCAAAGCACAGGCTCTGTGCTTGAGCTCAACAGTATTTTCCAAAACCAGAAGATCATTGAGAATTAGCTGCTCCAGTTAGCAGAGGCTCTCAGTGGCCTTTTTCTGGTTCTGCTGTCTTGAGAATCTTTAATTGGCTATGCCAGCAATTGTTCCTTTGACATGTGCTCTACCAATGAAGTACTCCACCCCTTCCAGCATATGAGCCTTTCATTTTTCTATTTGTTTGGTACTCCCATTTACCAGTGGCGCCTGGAGTGACACCCATAGCTATGATTAATAAAGTCCAATATTGCCCAAACTGTGGTTAACCCAAACTCTTCTTTGCAAAAGTACCTGGGTTTCTTTTTTTGTTCCTTTTTTGGTATATTTTTATTTACTTTCAAGAATAATATCTAGGCACAGAATAATAAAAATGTCCGCAACGGTACAGGTGTTTGTAATTTTTAAGTCAGTAACAGCTTTTGCAAATGTTGGTGAATTCAATACATGAAGTAACAATATAACAAATAACTATTACACACCCTCTCCCATAAAATTGGGACGCTGGCCTGAATCAACATGCTCTTCTTAGGTTAAGTGGAAAGATCTGAGAATTGGAATACAAGGCAGAGTTGATTGACATACTAGCTCAGCCTTCACAAAACTGGTGACCTCCAAATGTTTGGAGGGCAGTTCCCATCAGGCCCAGCCAGCATGGCTATAGATGGTGAGTTGTAGTTCAATAATGTCTGAGGGACCCAAGTTGGCAAAAGCTGTATTGGCACCCGGTGGTTTCATTTGTAAGTTACCTCACTGAAATAATTCTAAGCTCTTTTGCATTCTCCTTTGTTTCAGCAATTAGAATTAATCACGCCGTTTCAGCTGTACTTCAACCCTGAATTAATATTTAAACACTTTCAAGTAAGTAGATTTTGCTTTGGGGGTTTTTTTGCACGTCAGTGGCTTTTAAAGGCAGTTGTTAAAGCCGTGTTTCCACAACTGAAAGATCACTGCCATTTTCACACTAGTGGAATGAAGCAGATGAGCAAACTACCTCTCCAACTGCGAAATGTTTTGGGGTTGCTGCAGGTGGAATTTGAGGGTTTGGGTGGGACAGACACAAGTGCTTCTGTGATGGCTCCAGGCAATGGTTCCGTGCATGTTAATACCATTGAGCGGTAATAGAATGATTGTCCTCTTTTAAGTGGAAGACTAAATGCAGTCTGATTACATCATGCTATGATGGGAATGGGAGCCTGTGTTATGTGGCCTGATTACATCATATTGTGGTGGAACGGAAGCCACAGCTGGATCTGCTGTGATTTTGTTTTCATCTTGTCTTTAAGACACCAATAGAGAAAAGAGGGGTTGAAAGGCAGAAGACTCAAATCTGGTAGAGTAGTTCAGAAGATTGCCATTTTAATGGATGAGGTTTGGGTCCACCCATTTAAATCTTTCATCTCTGGTCAATCTCTTTTTGTCCTCTTCTGCATTCTAAAACCTGGACCCATTATGAGAAAACATCAGAACCAGCCCTAACTCTGTGTTGCCCAGAACTGCCATTTTAGTGGAAAAGTGACTTCTTTGCTAATATTATTTAACATTTTAAAAAGTATTTAGATCTCCACTTTCACTTTTTATACAACGTAAGCATTCTGGGTCCTGTCAAATTTGAGTTCCAGTCAGAGAGCGGACTCATGGAAATTAATGGAGCTTTCACTTAGTGATGACGAAAAGGTGCTCTATGCAAACTCAGGTGTTAATTATTTAATTTCTGTCTGATTAAAGAAAGGGAAGAAAATATGTTTTCAGTGCGATGTGGACTTAACTCGTGCATTTAATTCATAAGCCAGGGGTCTGATCTCCCAAGACCCCACTGTTTTCTGGTGGCAGTGGCAAAAAAATCAAAAAGTAGACAGGGCGCAGGACTGGACATTGTGCTTTTACTCCTATCAGATTGATTGTGTGGTAAGCAAAGAGTGAATGAGGCCGTCGGTCTGAAAGGTTAGATGATTTAAAGCAAATTGAGATTTCTTCTAATTAAAGCAGGGGTCAGCAACCTTTTTCAGCCGTGGGCCAGTCCACCATCCCTCAGGCCATGTGGTGGGCCGGACTATATTTTAATAATAATAATAATAAATGAACGAATTTCTATGCCCCACAAATAACCCAGAGATGCATTTTAGAGAAAAGCACACATTCTACTCATGTAAAAACACCAGGCAGGCCCCACAAACAACCCAGAGATGCAATTTAAATAAAAGGACACATTCTACTCATGTAAAAACACGCTGATTCCCGGACTGTCCGCAGGCCGGATTGAGAAGGCAGTTGGGCCGAATCCGGCCCCCGGGCCTTAGGTTGCCTACCCCTGAATTAAAGCAATGAGGCATTTCCTGAGAGCATACAGGTAACTAACATCTGCTCCCTCATCTGTTTTGCAGGTATGGAGGCTCGTAACGAACTACCTTTTCTTCGGACCAGTTGGATTTAATTTTTTATTTAATATGATATTTTTGTATCCTTTGTTTGAATGGCCTAAAATTCCTCGGAGCGCAAAAATAATTATCGAAGGTTTGTAAGAGCCTCTCTGGGAAGGCATCAATACAAAGTTGGCAGGAGCTGCTTCTCTCAAGTTCAGCCTTTAGCAATGACCAGTTCATTCAAGGGCTGCTTGGTCTTTGGCTTATAGTGGAAAGATTTGCGCTGGCTTCACAGTTACATAGCCCACCTTGTATAGGCTGGTTTTAAAATATTTTTTGACACTGATCCCAGTGCCCCATCTTTGGGTATGACTGCCAAGGGAGGAGGCATTTTGGGTGTTGGCACCCAACTTTTGAACACCCAGTGGAGGCAGGAACATTGCACTAGGTGAAAATATTTCTTCACACTCTACCTCAAGACATTCCATGGGATTAGAGTAGTTACAGTAGTAACTGCAGTAGTTACAGACACATAAATTGTAGCTCATCCGTGATGTTTTCGTTACTAATATTTCTAATGGTATGTTTGGTAAGCTGCATGAGGTGTATGAAACGAGAGGGAAAGCAATGTTTTGAATAAATATATTTGTAGTCCTTCGAAGCGGATGAACTTTGGTACAGTAGTCCTATTGCTAAATATAAATAACCACTACAGGGACAGAACCCTGAAATGAAAATATGTTGGCTATTATCTGATTGTGATCTGCTTGTCACATACAAAACAGTCCTATTTACTAAAGCCGTTAAAAGTTTTAATGCTAGCTATATAAAAGACAATATTGTAGACTGCACAGGTGATTCACTAATTTGACTTACTGTAAATGGATGTATATCTCTGGATTTCTTTTATCAGGTTTTAATTGACTTGCTGGACCTGTAATTGAATTTGTAATGGCTTTTTAAAAGATAAAGGGACCCTTGACCATTAGGTCCAGTCGTGACTGACTCTGGGGTTGTGGCGCTCATCTCGCTTTATTGGTCGAGGGAGCTGGCGTACAGCTTCTGGGTCATGTGGCCAGCATGACTAAGCCGCTTCTGGCGAACCAGAGCAGCACACGGAAATGCTGTTTACCTTTCCGCCGGAGCGGTACCTATTTATCTACTTGCACTTTGACATGCTTTCGAACTGCTAGGTTGGCAGGAGCAGGGACCGAGCAACGGGAGCTCACCCTGTCGCGGGGATTCAAACCGCCGACCTTCTGATCGGCAAGTCCTAGGCTCTGTGGGTTAACCCACAGCGCCACCCACATCCCTATTGGCTTTTAGTCAGACACAATAAATGATTGATTGACTGACTAAACATAAATGCATATTCTTTAGAAAGTCCTGTGCTTAGATGAAGGCCATGGCTACAAAAACAAACTGTACAAATTTGGATAAAGGTCAGGATTCCTCTGTTGCAAGACTCACATTGAGATCAGCTGGTTTTTTACTGAGTTTTGTCACACCTTTATGTGGGTTTGGGTATTGTGTTCTTTCTGCAGAAAAGCAACTTGTGAATTTATTGGTAAAAGGAAACCTTGTTGGCTGAAATGCAGCCACTTTGGACAGGAAACTCCCTCTCCCCTCCTTCATTTTAATGCTGGTTGCTACTGAGTTCTGGGAAACGTGAGATGGCCCTTGCCATAGTAAGTTGGTAGGGTTGCCCTGGCAACCATATCACTTGGCTAGATGAGGAATGAGGCAGGTTGAAAGACTGATCCTTGCTAAGATTCCATAGAGTTATCTTCATTTTAGCAGACGCCCCTGATGTATGAGTTATGGAGCCTAGCCTGTCCATTTGCTTCACTTCTGTTAAGAATGTTGGCACATTTCGTGGCCGCTTGGTATGAAATCAGACTGCATATGCCCCTCTTTGCTGGCTTCAAATCCTTTTTTCCCCACCCACCTACCCAAATCCCGTCTGATACCCAGAGACTGGTTTCAGGAACTCTTTGAAACTCAAATGCAGAATGTATCCCCCCCCCCAATTTTTTATTAATTTCCCCAATCTATAACAAACATATCAACAAACATAAAAAAATCAGAAAACAAACAAACATACATACATACATGCTCTGTAATAATTCCACTTTTGTTGACATTGTTGGGTGACTTCATCAAATCCCCCTGGCTGAGTTTCCATATATATCATTGTTGCAGTTTTCCAAAACTATTTTCACATATAATTTACTTAGTCCATTAACATCTTTCTTTCATTTCATTTTAGCTTTTAACATAGTATTCTACAGCATCACATGTTTTAATCCTAGGCCTATCTGATACTCGCAAGTAATTCTATGTAAGTGCAGAATGTATTTTTCATTTCCCTGCAAAGGTAAAAATGGTAAATGCCTGCCTGTTATCGAGTGTTTTTCCTGACCTTAATAACTTCAGATACCGCTACTGCCGAATGCTTGAGGAAGGATCATTCCGGGGCCGCACAGCGGACTTTGTATTTATGTTCCTTTTTGGTGGACTATTAATGACTGTATCCTTTTTGGTGTTGAGATAAAGATACTGTGAGACTGAAAAGAGCTGTATAAATCATTATAGCAAAGTGGTTCTCCAGTGTTGCATCAATCCTTTTAGGGTAGGTTAAGCTGCGTATGGATAACAGGCCCAGGTGGACTTTGTGGCTCGAGTGGTGACCAAGACCTGGAGCTCCCTGGTCCCAGTGAAGCGTTCCCCAACATGGTGCCCTCCAGATGTTTAGGATTCCAACATCCATCACCCCCAAGCAGCAGGGTCTGTGCTCCTGGATGGTGGATGTAGTGTGGTGTAAATTAGATTGTTGGACTATGACTTGGGAGACCAGGATTCAAATCCCCACTGAGCCATGAAGTTCACTGGTGACCTTGGGCCAGTCACCATTTCTCAGCCTAACCTACCTCACAGGGTTGTTGTGAGGGTGAAATGGGGAGAACCACATGCACCACCTCCGAGCTCTTTGGAAGAAAAAGGTGGTATATAAATAATAACCCAAAATGTCTAGAGAGCACTAGATTTCAGAAGGCTGCTCTGTGCAAACACGCTAATCAGAACGGAAGCAGTAGCTCCAAACCATGTTTTCCCTGTTGTATGTTTGGAAGCTCAAACTGTAGTGGGGATTCTAAACAATGGCTAGCACAAACCATAGCTTGGCATGATATTTTAACTTTTTGTTTCGGCTTTTGTGACGGGCAGAAAAGGAAGTTGATAAATCTTGTTTATTCATCGGCTTATTGGGGGGGGTAAGGTTTGGATTTTTTAAAAGAAAGAACTGAACAAGAAGCACATCCTTCAGTATTGCACCATTGGTCTTCCTGCTGTTTGTTTTTAAATGGTTATGTTTTCTTGACATGGGTGCAGCCGCTCTTTCTTTAACCACTCCTCCACCAGCTTTTTGGCTTGTTCGTCAACTTGGTCTTCCTAGGACAGGCGTTTACGATCATGTTGGTTTACGTCTGGAGTCGCAGGAACCCTTTCGTCCGCATGAACTTCTTTGGGCTTCTCATCTTCCAGGCTCCCTTTCTCCCCTGGGTCCTCATGGGATTTTCACTCTTACTGGGAAACTCTATTATTGTTGACCTTCTAGGTAATGAGATAATGGTCATTCAATCAGTATTATTATTATTATTATTATTATTATTATTATTATTATTATTTTATTAACAACCATCCCTTCACTCTAAGGTCATGGAACTTTGGTGAAAGTCTTGCCTTTTTAAAATAAATAAAATGTGTTTATTGAGTTTCTAGAAACAGCAGCATACAGGCAATAAGCCAAGATTGAGGACTGTGTGGAGCACATTTAGAAGGTTCTGAATATTTCCCCTTGACTTTAGGTATTGCTGTTGGTCATATATATTTCTTCTTGGAAGATGTCTTTCCAAATCAGCCTGGGGGAGGAAGGCTTTTGAAAACACCATCAATTCTGTAAGTGTCTTGTTGTGTAGTGTTGGGTTATTATTATTATTGGGTGGGGGTGGGGAGAAACTGTCCCAAAACCAGAGCAGACAGGGAATTCTAAAACTAGGGTGTCACCAGGAGAGATGGGATCTGATTGGCAGAGATGCCTAGACCTATCTCTCATCTTTTAGTATTGTTGCCTTTGTTTCCGGGACCATGAAGGCTAAACACCTGTCTTTTGAAAAAGCTGAAATTCTACCAAAGTCTACCTGACCGCATACAAGAGCTAGATGAAACCTCCTACACTGAAGGCAGTATATTTCACTGATAGAGCGGATGCCTTGCATGGAGAAATTCTCAGGCACCATCCCCTAGCTCAAAGGATCCGTTAGCAGGTGCTGAGAAAGATCTGTATGAAACCCTGGAGATGTGTTGCCGGTCAGAGTAGACAATAATGGGCTAGATGGACCAGTGGTTTGACTCTGGATAAGGCAACCACATATGTATCGTATTTTTCGCTCTATAAGACGCACCAGACCACAAGACGCACCTAGTTTTTAGAGGAGGAAAACAAGGGAAAAAATATTCTGAATCTCAGAAGCCAGAATAGCAAGAGGGATCGCTGCGCAGTGAAAGCAGCAATCCCTCTTGCTGTTCTGGTTTCTGGAATAGCTGCGCAGCCTGCATTCGCTCCATAAGACGCACACACATTTCCCCTTACTTTTTAGGAGGGGAAAGTGAGTCTTATAGAGCAAAAAATATGGTAATTGCAAAGCTCTAGATGCCAAGGGCTGCTGCCAGGTCAAACTTCATGCTTTTGAGTGTAATCTCAAACGGATGAGAGAAGCCAAGTTGTCACAATCATACCACATCTCCGCAGAAGCAGTGATCTAGTTCATAACCAGAGAGGAGAAAATAAGCTGTACCAACCCATGTTCTTTTCAAACAAGGGTTTTTAATTCATGTTCAAGAAAATTGCACCGGATGTGGTGCATAATACACAAGACATACAACAATCAAGTAGCAGCAGCACATCAGTGTTAATTCCATAATGATATTCCAGTGAATAACAATTCAGACAAGCAGAGTGCCAAAGCAGTATTCCTGATATTCTGGCCTAGAAAGGGATGGCTCTTCTTTTGGACAAAATTTGACCCACCACACTTGCCAACCGCAGAGTGAAGGGTTCACATGGGCAGTGGGCCACAGTAGGGTTGGGGGGGGGGGCTGGCTCCTTTCTTATAATAGCCCTCATGGCAAAAGTAGTTGCCAACCAGGTTACAGAGAGCTTTCTGTACTTGATGACATGTGAACTTAAAATTTATTATTATTATTTTGCTTTAACAGGAAAGCCATATTTGATACACCTGAAGAGGATCCCAATTACAACCCTCTGCCTGAAGAACGGCCTGGAGGCTTTGCCTGGGGGGAAGGCCAGCGCTTGGGAGGCTGAACAGAAGTCAGACTGACAGATGTCCTAGACACAGGGACCTTTCCAGAGACACTGGCCTGGAGAACTTTCCCGGAGATTTATTTGCTCTCTTGTGGATAAAGGAAGTTTCAATAGCTTTACTAGTCTGAACAATATGATGCACTTTTTTCTTTTTTTAAGGAAGGGGTTGGTGGGAAGGTGCTCTAATCAAAAGACCTTTTCCAGGAAATTGACAGTAACTGCAAACCCTCGCCGGGGCTTTAGTTGCATTCCTGGGTTCAGGTGTGGATAATCTACTCCAAGCCAAGACAAACTGGAAGTGGAACATTCACAACTCATTTAATGAGATCATCAGTTCTTGTGTAAAAACAAAATATATTTCTAAGGCATTCTCCATCCCCATTTATTTGATACAGAGACTGGAGAACTTCAAAAGATGATTAAAACTTTTTGACTTTAGTTTTTCATTTGTGCTTGATTACATTTCAAACAACTGATGTCACTTTGATTTTTGGCTGTGGCAAAAAATGCTCCTGAAACAAACCAGCAAAGAGGAGTTGGTTTCTGTCTTCACAGACTTGGGAGGATCCTATAGGTAAAGTAACACTCAGAAGCTTTAGTGCTTTACGGAACTTGGCCTGCTGTCATGCCTGTGATGTGAGGCTTATTCCGGGCAGGGATTGGCATATTGAATAATTAACATTGTGTGTACGTATTGGGTAAAATGTGGAATTTGGACCCAGAAGCTGAACACATTTTGGCTTCAGTTTATCTTAAAAGAGAACGTTTCTACTTTGTTGTGCTGGTAGTGGGAGGGAAACTTGTATGCTGTTGCTATACACAGATGCTCTGAAGGAATAGATATTTTTCTGCAGGTGAGTGCTGTCCTCAGGGACACAGTTATTTACATCTGAATTTAAGCAGGATCAGGATCACAAGCTAGTGCAGATGCTGAAGTTATCTTTGACTTAACAGCACAATTCTAACCATGTCTGCTCAGAAGAAAATCCTATTGAATTCAGTGGGGCTTAGTTCCAGGTCAGGCTTCCTCAACCTCAGCCCTCCAGATGTTTTGAGACTACCATTCCCATCATCCCTGACCAATGGTCCTGCTAGCTAGGGAACATGGGAGTTGTAGGCCAAAAGCATCTGGAGGGCTGAGATTGAGGAAGCCTGTTCCAGGTAAAAGGAGCTGGAAATGCAGCCTGAGACTATGATCATGACCACACTTACTAGAGAATTAAAAGTAAATCCTCATGGATGATGAGGCTTACAATGGTTACTAGCTATGATGACTAAGCTCTGACTCCTGGTTGGAGGCAGTAGTACTTCTGTGTATCAGTGGAAGCCATAGGAAGGAGGTGCTTTTGTGCTTGGGTCTTCCTTGCAACTTTCTCGCAGACTAGATGGGCCATGGGCCTGATCCAACAGGGTTCTTATGTTCTTATACCCCAATGAATGCATACCATTCCACTATTAAGTCCTAAAACCAATGGAACAAATTAAATGATACATAACTTGAGACCTGCTGCTTTCAGTGGGATGTTGGCAGGACTCACTCTAGCTGGATTGGGTCCCCAGCCATGCAACAAAAGCATGGAGGGGTAGTGGTGAGGTCACTGGCATGACTATTATATAGCTCCTTCCTTACGCTTCCATCACTTTGGCCCCATCCACGCTGCATTTAAACCAAAATGCTTGTTTACAAAGCTATGTGTACTACCAACCTTACTGTATGCTTGTGAAACATGGCCCACTTATAAACGCCATCTCCAACTCCTTGAAAATTTTTACACAACACTTGGGAAGACAGGCGAACTAACACCAATGTACTGGAAGAAGCAAAGATCACCAATGTCGAAGCAATGATTTTTCAACATCAACTTTGTTGGACTGGTCATGTTGTGTGGATGTCTGATTATCGTTTTCCAAAGCAACTTCTCTATTCTGAACTTAAAAATGGAAAGCGTAATGCCAGTCGTCAACAAAAGAGGTTCAAAGACTTTCTCAAGGCAAATCTAAAAAAAGTAGTACAGTGGTACCTCAGGTTAAGTACTTAATTCGTTCCGGAGGTCCGTTCTTAACCTGAAACTGTTCTTAACCTGAAGCTAACGGGGCCTCCTGCTGCCACCGCGCCGCCGGAGCACGATTTCTGTTCTCATCCTGAAGCAAAGTTCTTAACCTGAAGCACTATTTCTGGGTTAGTGGAGTCTGTAACCTGAAGCGTATGTAACCTGAGGTACCACTGTATAAACACTGACAACTGGGAACACTGGCCTGTGAGTGCTCCAATTGGAGAACAGCCTTTACCAAAGGTGTCATGGACTCTGAAAACACTTGAAATCAAGACAAAAGGGAGAAACGTGCTAAGAGGAAGGCATGCTTGGCAAACCCTCACTGTCATCAACTCCCAGGAACCTATGTCCCCACTGTGGAAGGACATGTGGATCCAGAATTGGCCTCCAGAGTCACTTACGGACTGCTGAGACCAGGCATCCCCAAACTTGGCACTCCAGCTGTTTTCGGACTACAACTCCCATCATCCCTAGCTAACAGGACCAGTGGTCAGGGATGATGGGAATTGGAGTCCCAAAATTGGAGTCCCCCTGGTTAAGACCGTGTTCATGGAAGATAATCTTACTCGGCTACGAGTGATCGCCAGAAAAGAAGATTGAAACCACGTGGGTTCACCCAAAGAATCCCGGGTTTACCACTAGTTTAGCTCTACTTTACCAATAGCAGATACAATTCCCACCATCTTTAGATTCGGGGAAGAGAGCGGTATGTGCTTTAAAGGTTCTTCCGTTGCTATGCAACGGCGGCTACTTCCTTCCGCTTCCATCACTTGCACTCTTAACTGCCTGTAGGTGGCGCTGCCTTCGTGGAGTCTCAAGTGCGCATGCTCGCCTTTGAGAACCGCCCATCCACACTACAACTCCCGGCAGGCACTGGGCTGCTGCTGCTGCGGCTGGCGCCAGGAGGCGAGGCCCGGCGATGCACGTCATCCGGCGCGAGGCATGCTGGGAAGCGTAGTCCTTCCGGCCCTGAGGCGCAGGCAGAGGCGGGTCCCGGCGAAGCATGTTCCCTGTCGCCGGCGAGGAGGGCGGCAGCGGCAGCGGCAGCAGCCCTGCTCTTGCCGGGAGCTGAGGATGCCTCAGGGAGGCGGCCCGCTGCCCCCGCCCAAGAGACCGAAGCTGGCCTCCGCCACGGCGCCCCTCGGCTCGGCCCCGCGCAGAGCGATGTTGCTGGCGGCGCCCGGACCCAAGCGCCACACGGCACCCGCCTCCTCCGCCGGCTCCTCTTCGGGGCTCGACAGCCAGCGACGCAGCCTGCCCATCTTCCAGGCGCGGGGGACTCTGCTCGGGCAGCTCCGGAGCTTGGACTGCGCCGTCCTCATCGGTGAGGGAAGGGTTAAAAATAAGAAACAAACCGCCGTTATTCTTCCCCTCCCTCTAAAAGGAGGGGGAGGGGTTTGTGGAGGCCACGCCCTTCCCCGAGAGGGTGCGGGGAAAGAGGCTGACTCTGCGACAAGCCCCTCCTTTTCCAGTGTGCAGGGGCGGGGCCTGTGGAACTCCGCCTCCTTTCCACGCTTGAGAGGCGGGGCTGAAGCAAGCACCTCCCATTGTGGTTATTGCAGGGATGGTGGGCTTGTGTGCCTCTCCCTCCCCCCCCCCAAGGTTGTTAGGGAAGGGTTGTAGCCCAGTGGTTAGAGCACCTGTCTTGCCTGCAGAAGGCACCAGGTTCGAACCCCCAAGTTCAGGAACATCCGGAGGACAATCTCTGTTTTACGGAACTGGGAGAGGATTCCTCCCTGTTCTGCAGTGGGGCTGAGGCTTACACAATTCTGCCTCTCTTTCTTGCCTTCCGTGGGCCAATGTAGGGCCAACTTAAAGTGGCTGAGCGGTGTTCTCATTCCACTGGTGAGATGAATGGAAGAAAGCACACACCTGTCAGGCAGGAGACATCCCATCGAACTTGTTGGGCTCACTCTTGAGTAGATAGCTCTACTTGCGTTGACTGTGTGAATTTGGGAAGCCACCTCGGGTTAAGAACTTTGCTTCAGGATGAGAACAGAAATCGTGCTCCGGCGGCGCGGCAGCAGCAGGAGGCCCCATTAGCTAAAGTGGTGCTTCAGGTTAAGAACAGTTTCAGGTTAAGAACGGACCTCTGGAATGAATTAAGTACTTAACCCGAGGTACCACTGTAATTGGGAACTGACCTTAATGTATCTAACATGTGTCTCTGCTGGAGACCACATGCAATAACCTCCCATTGCCATTTGTTTAATACTCTGCAGGGGAAACAGGCTCAGGCAAGACGACTCAGATCCCGCAGTACCTCTATGAAGGAGGGATTGGGCGCCAAGGCATCGTTGCTGTGACCCAGCCTCGCCGTGTGGCTGCTATATCCTTGGCCACCAGAGTCTCAGACGAGAAGAAAACAGAGCTGGGGAAACTGGTATGATCCTGGTATTTTCCTGTGTGGAAGTGAAGGAATCATAGAATTGGAAGGGACCATGAGAGTCATCTAGTCTTAACACCCTGCATGCAAGAATATTTTGCCCAGTGTGGGGCTTGAACTCACAGCCCTCCGAGTAAGAGTCTCATGCTCTACCGACTGAGCTATCCAGCCTCAGAAGTTGAAAAAGTGACACGCTTCCCCACTTCCTCTCTCAGCTCTATGTACTTTTCAATTTATTTATTATTAATGAATTAATTGAATTTATATATTGCCTTTCTCCAAGTGCAGGACCCAAGGTGGCTGACAACATAAATTAAACAATGCAAGTAAAAACACGCAATAAATATAAATTTTAAAAATAGTTTAGTAACTTAAAACCATTGAAAAGCACAAAAGACATACAACGCCCACTATTGAAAACAATAGCTAGTTTAGTGGCCAACGGCCTGTTGGAGCAAAAAAATTATATTACCTTGTATGTTTATGTATTGTTACATTGATATTCCACTTTTTCATGAAGCATAGCTGGTGAAAAATATGTGCCACCTTCTTATTTCTGCACCCCCCACCCCATGACTCCTATGTTCAGGTTGGTTACACGGTACGCTTTGAGGACCTCACTTCTGAGGAGACAAAAATCAAGTTCCTGACCGATGGGATGCTGCTGCGAGAAGCCATTGGGGACCCCCTCATGGCCAAGTACAGCGTCGTCATTTTGGACGAAGCGCATGAGAGGACAATCCACACAGATGTGCTATTTGGAGTGGTGAAAGCAGCACAGAAGAGGCGGAAGGAACTGGGGAAGTCGCCACTGAAAGTAAGTGGTTAAAAGTGGTGGGCAGGAGGTTGCCAGTTGAGATATATATATATATATATATGTGCGTGTGTGTGTGTGCGCGCGTGCGCGCGCTGTTCATAAGAAACATCAGAGCAGTTTACAACAATTGCACATAAAACCATACAATAAAAATTGTATGAAAAGTTAAAATCAGACATTAACTAACTATTGTTAAAATGTCTACAGTGGTACCTCAGGTTACATACGCTTCAGGTTAAAGACTCCGCTAACCTAGAAATAGTGTTTCAGGTTAAGAACTTTGCTTCAGGATGAGAACAGAAATCTGGCTCTGGCTGCGCGGCAGCAGCAGGCGGCCCCATTAGCTAAAGTGGTGCTTCAGGTTAAGAACAGTTTCAGGTTAAGTACGGACCTCCGGAACGAATTAAGTACTTAACCTGAGGTACCACTGTATTTTCAGTTGCCTGCATAAGCCTGACAGAATAGAAAAGTTTTCAGCAGGCGTTGAGACACTAAAGGCTGTGTTTCTTCTTCTTGTCAAATTTGCCTCACCAACTCAGAGAATGACCAGTAATGCTTCTGCAAATGATGTCAGTGATAGAGCTGAAATATAAGGGTTCAGGCGCTCCCTGAGGTACCCTGGACTTAAATTGCTGGAGGGCCTCATATTGAGCTCTTATACTACTCATCAAGCACAAGTCTCAGTAACAAGGGTGGGTTGTTGTTGTTTGTTCTTTTCTTACAGATAATCATAATGTCAGCTACTATGGATGTTGACCTATTTTCCCAGTACTTCAATGGCGCTCCCGTCCTTTACCTAGAAGGCAGGCAACATCCCATCCAGATCTTCTACGCTAAGCAATCTCAAAGCGATTACCTCCAAGCAGCTCTAGTGACAGTTTTCCAAATCCACCAGGTACCACATTAGTTTCAATATTTTTGAATATCTATGGTACAGAATTAACCACATTTTTTATCCTGACCTTTCTCAGGAACAATTGCGCAAACTTTGGTTCTAATATCTTAAGAGGTATTCAAATGAGTGCAGTTTTGAAAGGTTTTGTATGACATCTTTATTCAAAATGACATTCAAATGTATGCAAAATTTGGCTTTGATATATTAAGAGGTGTCGAGAGTCATAGCGATCAGACAAGTTTACAAATCAGAGAGCAGATAAAGTATTAATGTAGATCTTCATTTTTCTGTATGTGCATCCAATTTAAATAGAATGCTGCCTGCTAGTCTGATTAGCCTCTTCTGACTGCTAAGTGGATTTCCAAGGGCTTAGGCAGAGCAAACTTAACCCGTTCTGCCACCTGCAACCTGATCATTTTAAAGGGCAATACCAGGGATTCAACTTGGGACCTTTTTTTGCCTGCACTGCAGGGGGTTGGACTAGATGACCACTGGGACCCTTCCAACTCAACAATTCTATGAAAGCATGTGCCCTACCATTAAGCTATGACCACTTTCCAATCATATGCGTCTCATTTCTTTAAAGGAAGCTCCTCCTCCTCAGGATATCCTGGTGTTTCTGACGGGTCAGGAAGAGATCGAAGCAATGACCAAAACCTGTCGGGACATTGCAAAGCATCTTCCCGACGGTTGCCCTCAGATGGTGGTGATGCCTCTCTATGCTTCTCTGCCTTATTCGCAACAGCTCCGGGTCTTCCAGACTGCACCCAAAGTAAGTACAGTGGTACCTCGGGTTACATACGCTTCAGGTTACAGACTCCGCTAACCCAGAAATAGTACCTCGCGTTAAGAACTTTGCTTCAGCATAAGAACAGAAATCGCGTGGCAGCAGCAGGAGGCCCCATTAGCTAAAGTGGTGCTTCAGGTTAAGAACAGTTTCAGGTTAAGAATGGACCTCCGGAACGAATTAAGTACGCAACCAGAAGTACCACTGTAATTGATGGCAGAAGTGGTTTGATTACTCGGACGCTTTCTTTTTTAAAAAAACTACTAAACTGCTCAAGATGGACTGTTTCCCTGTAGCATCCAAAATAGACAAAAGTTTGTAAAAACCCAAGAAGAGCCCTGCTGGATCAGGCCAAAGGGGGCCCATCTAGTCCAGCATCCTGTTCCCACAGTGGCCAGCCAGATGTCTCTGCGAAGCAAGCAGAACCTGAGGGCAGCAGCACTTTCCCCACTGGTGATTTCCTACAACTGGCATTCACTGGCTCTGACGGTGGAGGCCAAACATCGTTATCATGGCCAGTGGCCACTGATAAGCTTATCTTCCATGAGTTAAGTCTAATCCTCTTTTACAGCCACTCAGGTTGGTGGCGATCACTAGGTCTCCCCAGGGAGGTTTGTCTGGCATCTTCATTATACATTTTTAGATCCTGTTGATTCCTCCCTGGTAGGTCCACTGTCTCTCTTGGCCCTGATGCCATTCTGGGTCCCTCCCCAGGTTGTCCGTGGGCAACTCCTCCCATCCCTCATCCTGCTCTAACCAGCCTCTCCAAGACATCTCCTTGGGGCTCATGACCCCTTTCCCAGAAGGCTGTTCCTGAGCTGGTGGCTTCCACAGCTGAAAAGCCCCCCTCCAGGATATCCACTTGGCGTACATCCAGTAACAAACAGGGCAACTTGAAGAGGGCCTCTGATGGAATTACTCCTGCTTTGTTGTTTTTGATAGGTTATTTCTTGCCTGTCTTTAACGCTTGCATCTTTTCATTGTGAGGAGATGGCTTGCACCTTTTAAAAATATACTTTTACAGCAAAGTACAAACTTACAGCAAAGTACAAACGTGGGACGTGGGTGGCGCTGTGGGTTAAACCACAGAGCCTAGGGCTTGGCGATCAGAAGGTCAGCGGTTCGAATCCCCACGACGGGGTGAGCTCGAAGTGGAAGTAGATAAATAGGTACCGCTCCGGCAGGAAGGTAAACGGCGTTTCTGTGTGCTGCTCTGGTTCGCCAGAAGCGGCTTAGTCATGCTGGCCACATGACCCAGAAGCTGTATGCCAGCTCCCTCGGCCAGTAAAGCAAGATGAGCAACCCCAGAGTCGGCCACGACTGGACCTAATGGTCAGGGGTCCCTTTACCTTTACCTTACAAACTTAGAATGAACACTGATAAGGCTTTCTTCTTCTTCTTCTCTCCCAGGGTTATCGCAAAGTAGTTCTTTCTACCAACATTGCTGAGACCTCCATCACCATTGCAGGCATTAAATATGTTGTGGACACAGGCATGGTTAAAGCAAAGAAGTATAGTCCCGGTATGTGTGTGTTGGACAGAGTCATGCCAGCAGATAGAGTTGAGAGACTAGCTGAGGTAGAGGGTCCTGGGAACACAGGAAGCTGGCTAGTTGTGAGTCAGACCATTGGTCAGTCTAGCTAAGAAGCGTCTAAACCAGGTGTGGGGAGCCTTTGGCCCTCCAGAGGTTGCTGAACTACAACTCCCATCATCCCGGGCCAGTCACCAATATCAGCTGACAACACAACATCAGCTGACATCACCCTGTTGACAGGTGAGTGTGGTTTTGAAAAAATGGCTTTGCAGGCCATATTTGACCCTCCTGTCGGGCTAAAATCAGGCTATAGCCAGAGGTTCCCCACTCCTATTCTAGCCCAATGGAAGCTGGGCTAGTTTTCTTCTGGCACAGCACCCCCTGCCTGCAGCATGAAGTGATATAAACACTCACAGTTCCACTGTTTTATTCTCACCTCATTCTGCTGCACCAGGCCAGATGTTAAACAAACCAAGCAACAAAACTGAAAAACCATTGATCGCTCCTAAGTAGACATAAGTCAAGTTAAATCCTTGAGAGCCGTATCTGTTCTGTAATGGCTGTTGATCTCTCCTGTAAGGGAGTTCCTGTTTCGTAGAATTCTAGAGCTGGAAACCTCCAGCATCCCAGATTGGTGGTGAGGCAGCCTCTGCTTAGACACTCCTGAAGTCCACCACCTTCTAAGGCATACTTTGCCATAGTCAAAGGTTCTGGCTGATTCTTATTTATTTATTATAAATAAGAATGCCTTCGGCACCATTCAATCCAGCTACCCAGATTTCCGCGGATGAATGGATTGCTTATTATTCAACTAGTTTCGCTTCTCCAAACCATCTTACAGATCTCCTTCAATCCCCATTGGACCTCAGTTCCTGCTCTCTTAGTCCCACTTCTTCAATAAACTTTACTTCAACTCGCATTTTCAACATCATAATGTCAATGCAAAGGAATAAGGCCCCGGCCCAGACATGGTCCCGTTGGACCTTTTCCTGACTGATCCTCTTTGGTGGAGCGAACACCTGACTCCTGTATTCACCGCTATCTCCTCCGCCCTAGACATCCCCGACTCCTGGAGAGAAGCTATAATAGTTCCGATCTTCAAAGGCGGCCAGCCAAACATCCCTAGGAACTATCGCCCCATCAGCCTATTATCCATCCCGGGGAAAATATTTGCCGCTGTTTTACTGGAGGAACTTCTCTCATGGGCCCAGGAGAGGAACATTCTACCGCTAGAACAGATTGGTTTCCGAAAGTCAGCGTCAACCATGGACCATTGTCTAACTCTCTTTCACCTTGCCAGTAAATACACTGCTCCAAGGCAAGGCCACCTATTTGCCGCTTTCATGGACCTGGAGGCCGCCTTTGATTCCATTCCTAGGCAGAGATTATGGTCCAAACTTGCCCATCTGGGAATTGATCCGCACCTTCTCTCCCTAATTATCTCCCTTTATTCAAACACCACAGCTCGCGTCCGAACTAGTCCAAACGGCCCCCCACTACTCCATTTCCAACGGCCAAGGGCGTCCGACAAGGTTGCCTCTTGGCCCCTTTACTGTTTAATCTCTATCTTCATGATGCAATTTCCACTTTGAAGCTAGCATCTAAGTATCCTCCTCACTTAGCAGGCCACCCCGTTGCTTCCCTTTTCTATGCTGATGATGCCGTCATCTTATCCAGAACAGCTGCGGATCTAGCAAATGCAGTTAATGCATTTATCGCCTATTGTAAGGCGGAAGCTCTTAATATTAATTATAAAAATCGAAAGTCCTCCACTTCACTCGTTCCCGCAAACTCAAGTTGGAGCCGCTTAAGATCACAGGTGGCTACTTAGAAAAGGTAAAAGCCTTTAAATATCTAGGATTAATATTCACCTATAATCTCTCCTGGACCACCCATCTACAATCTGCCTTTCTCGCTGCAACCACGACCTCTAACGCCATTGTCCGATTTTACCACCAGAAGGGCGGCAAACACCTTCCAGCAGCAATTCAAATATTTAATGCCAAAGTCGTCCCTAAATTATTATATGGATGTGAAGTATGGACTACAGCAATATCAGGTAACCTGGATCGTCCACTTCATATGTTTCTGAGATCTCTTTCCGGCGTCCCGAGATGTGTCTCAGGTGCAGCCCTACGACTCGAGTTCGCCCAGCCTTCAATTGCTAGACGAGCATGGAGCCGAGCCATTTCCTACACCCTCCACCTATTAGCATCGGATGCTCGAATTAGAGGTGGCTTTTCCAATCTGATCCTAAGAGATATTCATAATTCCCCTTGGAAAACTACAATTAACCTCAAATTCCGCTCTCTTCTCAATTTGAATTGTAAAACTGTTCTTAACTTAGAGTGTATCAGCCCGGTGGCCCTACCCCTAATTAAAAGAAACTACAGCAACTTGACTTCTCCAACACAGCTTCTTGTGCAAGAGGACCGTGTTCAGGCCTAGCCCTAGCTATTCCACCCCCTGAAGGGATCCCTCTATACTGCTTCACAATTTCTTCGGAGACTAAGCGAAGGGCTTTTACCTGTGCCCGTCTCAACTGTTTTCCTACAGCAGTTCTGTCGGGTCGTTATTCCAGAGTTCCCATCGCAAACAGAACATGCTCCTGTAATGACACGGCCCTGGAGACTATGGAACATGTAATGCTCTTCTGTCCCAACTGGACAGATGAAAGATCTCGGTTTTTAACTCCCCTCGTGAATAAGTTCCATCTCCCAATCCAGCCTTGGATAGTGTCCCTCTTTTTGCAGGATTCTGATTGTTGGATTACTGAGATGACAGCTAACTTCCTGCTTAGTGTGATGAAGAGGAAAGCGGCACTAACTTCTTCCTTAACACCACAGATGCAGTCGATACGCCGCACAACCGAACGAAGTTCCAAGTAGCCTTATTGTACAAGGACAATCGAGTTAGGACTAATCTGAGGAGCTGAAGGACCCTTTAACGGTCCTCCTCCAGCCTCAGCAGCTTTTGGTTTTTTTGGTTTTTTGTTTTTTGTTTTTTTTTTTCACTTTCTTTAAGTATTCGCCCAGGACGATGTCTACCTCTACCTCCCCACCCCCATTTTATGTTGTTATTTCAATGTATATCATGCTATGGCCACTCGGCTAATGCAATAAATAAATAAATCAGAAGATATACACACCACTTCACTTTTAAAAAACCCCTCAAAGTGGTTTACGTGGAGAATAAAACAATAAAAGTATTGGTAAAAACAGTTTAAAACAACTCCTTAAAGCATTTTTTTAAAAACCAAAATCAGCAATAAACTAAAACCAGATTAAAACACACAATAACATTAGACTTGTCCAAACAAAAATATTTTTACTGGGCTCAGCAAAGAGAACAGTGAAACTGATGTCAATAGGCTGGGAGTTCCAAAGTGTAGGTGCTGCCCCGCTAAAAGATTGATTTCTTTGCATAACAGATATTTTGTGGTGCTTGGAATAGTGCCAGTTCTGTTTAGTCAAAACCACCTTGTGATTTTAGCCTATTGGTTTGGTTCCTTTCCTCTGGAGCCACAGAAAGCCAAATTTGCTCCATGAGAAATGATCTGGTTAATGGTGGGTGTTTTCTGCTCCTCCCAGAAAGTGGTTTGGAAGTGCTGGCGGTCCAGCGGGTGTCAAAGGCCCAGGCTTGGCAGCGGGCAGGCCGGGCCGGGCGAGAAGACAGCGGGCTTTGCTACCGCCTCTACACCGAAGATGAGTTTGAGAAGTTTGACAAAATGACGATACCAGAGATCCAAAGGTGAGGTTGCTCTTCCGGTGGAGAAGTGTTCACTGCTCTGTGAAGTACATTTCACATTGAGTGGAGAAGTGCTCCCTCTTCTGGTCCATCCTGAATCTCCTTCAAAACAGTTGCATTGGATCACCCCAAGTTCATAAGAGAGGAAGGTGGGTGGGGAACTTTGAGCCCACAGGCCAATCCTGGACTCCAAGGGGCTCCCACTCGGCCCATGAGATTGTTTCCCCGAAGGCACACCCACCTGCCAATCAGCCGCCATCACTGGGTGATGTCAGCTGCTCCAGGGGCGGGCAAGATTCAGTCCCGTTGGGTATCACAGAATCACAGCAGAGGAGATGTGGGAGTGTTCAATTATATATATATATGGGAAGCCCCCCAAAAAGAATTTGCATCACAGCGAAGGACTCAGGGAAGCTGGCAGTAAAAGGAAATATGTAACTCATTTAAAAATATATATTCATTTATTCAAATATTTATTTGCTGCTGTATAATAAAAGTGTATCACCATGGTTCATTACAGCATAAAAACATAAAATCAGACTGTAAAATGATATTTAAAAACAAGGTGTTTGAGGCTTAGAAGAAGCCGCTAAGTGCAATTTGGGTAGGGTGGGCTCACTTGCTTCAGCAAAAGTTCAGGCTGTTTGTGAGATGGCTCTCCTTCCACAGGTGTAACCTAGCTGGTGTGATGCTCCACCTCCTGGCTCTGAGAATCCCGAACGTCCTCACCTTTGACTTCATGTCAAAACCATCTCCAGGTAACTCAAGCTGTTCAATGTTATTCTTTTTTTTTTTTTTAATGATATTTATTGAAAATTTTAAAATTACAAAAGAGAACAAAAAAGGAAAAAACAAAGAAAAAACAAAGAAAAGACAAACCACAGTCAAACAATAAAGATTAATAAAAATAAAAATCAAAAAATAACATGACACAATTAAAAAACAAAAATATACCACAAACATTTAAAAACAAATCCAATATTCTCATATCTTTAACTGTCATTACCTTCTTTCTTTGACCTTCTCCTCCTCCCTTTTTTTGTATCCTGATTATTAATTGTCACAGCAAATCCTTTCCATATTTCATAATATTCTGTCATTACTTTACCTTAATCTATTTTAATCTTATCTTACTATGAAAACCTTAAAACTTAAATCTTATTTTTACCAATTTCTCATAACCATAATATTCTTACATAATTCTTTAAACATTTTTGCTAAAGCCAAATAATTTCATTCCAACATTTTTCTAACATTCATCAATTTTATAAAACAATCATAACAGAAGAAATAACAATCCAATCTTCATCCAGCGTCTCCATGTGGTATTTAAGAACATGTTTCAAAGACCCTCCAAAATTGAGAGCCCCCACAACCCCAAACATCTCACGGCCCATTGCCAGACTCGAAAAGTCCAAACCTCCCTGCATAGGGGGGTCTATCCAACCCCCCATTTCCAAACCAAACCAAACTTTATCTTTCCAAATCTGGCTTTTTTCGAAGTTCATTTGTCAAATCCAAGAATTCATGTTCCTGCTGGGCCGCAGCTCCCTCCATCCCTGGTGCCCAAGATTCAGCAACATCCTCTTCCCTCATCTGTTCTGTCAGGGCACACTCCTGATCTAATTCCTGGGTGGGCTCTATATAATATCCCACTGCCTGTCCAAAATTTCTAATCGCATCAGTCATAAAATCCGTCTTCTCATGTAGCTGTTCCAGTAGGGCACTTGTTTTACAGAAAGCACTCAACAGAGCTTCTGAATACATTGTCCTGCAAGGTCAGAAGTCTTATTCCCACGATCGTAATCTGTAACAGCTGCGAGCTTCCCGATTCAAAATTGGTTACAGTTTCACAGGCTCCCTCTAGGGGAAAAACTTCTGCTTGTTCTTTTCTTTTAAAAACATATCTAACAACAAAGTTTCCTTTTTCAGATATTTTGTCAATATTTGTTCCTTTAAAATGCGAAGGGGAACAATGGAATCACTATGTATCTTTCCTTTAGCTATCTGTCAAAAACGTTTGTCTCTGGTCAATGAGCTTCAAAGAACGTCAGTCCTGACACCCCGCTCCAGGATCAAGATGGTGGAAAGTTACTTTACTTTACACTCACTTCTGCAGGTTTAAACAGTCCAGAAAAAATCCCCCCTCTTCTCCTGCTTCCGAAGGGGGTTCCACAATTTTAAATGATGAAAGTTAATCCTTTAGAAGCGATTTTCAGAACTTTAGTTTGCTGTGTCTTTGCTTTAATCTATCTACAAAGAAACGGAAGGCTGACTTCCTGTTTAGACCTTCCCGTTTCAGTGCCAAATTAAATTAAACTTTTAAGTCCAGTTTTCCTTTCTGCTCGCAAATCCTTATTTAGAGTCCAATTGTCCGAAACTTAAGTACTCACGGGTGGTTGTTTTAAAAGCCAAATTGTCTCAGGAAAAAGGCAGCGCTCTCCGGCAACGGCTGTGCGGCTTCGCTCCACGGAAGAAGCAGTTGACTCTCAGCACCGCGCCACTTCCCCCTCTTCGCTCCGGAGCCCGTTAGTGGGTTCCTTTGCGGGTTGGGGGGGCACTAAAGGTGCCCGCCGAGTCCCATGGTCACAGGCTTCATCCGCCTGTGATTTTTGAATGGGTCCCCGCTTCGCCGTAGCGGAAAAGACCCGATTCCCGTGGAGCTGGTCCCTCCAGTTCAGAGGGAATCCGCCATTGCCGATGGCGCCACCCCGGAAGTCCTGTTCAATGTTATTCTATCTATACCAGGGGTTGGCAAGGTTTACCAGCCATGGGCTGGATCACTCCCATGGAGATTGTCTGTGGGCCATAGTGGTGCAGTGCAATGCTAGAAATCACGTCTGTGCATGTCTGCGGCGTTGAAAATTGCATTGGCACATGCCCAGACGCTGAAAATAGCGCCTGCACAGAAGCGTTTTCGGCGTGTGGACATGCGCAGACACGATTTCCAGTATCTGCGCGTGCACAGACGCGATTTCTGGCGCCGCTCGGCGAGTCCCCGCACCGTGCTGTGCCGGTTTAGCGCAGCAGACAGGGGACTCACTGAGTGGGTGGCTCGGGGGCTGGTAAAACGGTCTTCATGGACCACATCCCGCCCATGGGCCGCACGTTGCCGATCCCTGATCTATAGTCAGCAAAGCAGTTACACAAAGTCTAGAGCTAACCTGAGGAACGTGCCTGCTTCTAGTGGCTAATCGTATGTAGTGATTATCTATATACTGCTGTCGGATTGCTGTGCACGTTGAGCTGGGTTCCCTTGCACAGGTGGGGACAGGGCTCTTGTGCCTGGGTCCTGCTTGTGCGTTTCCCACAGGCATCTGGTTGGCCTCTGTGAGAACAAGATGCTAGACTGGATGGCCCATTGGCCTGGTCCAGCAGGCTCCTCTTATGTTCTTATGCAACTTCTGATACCTGTGGCTTGTGACCAGCTGTGTGAACCTCACCCCCATCTCCTTTGTCTTGACAGAAGCGCTCCAGGCGGCTGTGGAGCAACTGGCCCTCCTTGGCGCAGTGGAAAGGAAAGACGACCAGCTGATTCTCACCCCACTGGGAAGGAAGATGGCTGCATTTCCTCTGGAGCCCAAGTTCTCCAAAGTAAGGAAGCCACCTGTATTTTGTTTCCTGCGAGACAAATTAGATCCTTCTGCTTGCTTCTGTTTTCTTGCTCTTCAACTTCACTAGCAAAACAGAAGAAAAGGACAGCCACATCTTCCTCTGTTTTGCTTTTCTGCCTTCTTTACAGTTGAGAAAGTGTTAACTGACTTTGGTTCTGCTCCCCTAGTGAGTCCAGTACTATGTGGAAAGGAAGGAGTTGGCGTTTGAGCCCAGCTATCCAGCCTGGGAGGTAGGGTAGGTGCCACTCCTGAGCTGACGCTCTGTGCCATTGCCAGATGTACATGTAGCAAATCTGTAGCTGTGTTAGGATTTCATCTCCTGGAAACCCCTTCTGAACTCCACAAGCCACAATACTGCCTAGCATTGCTCAGTCTTAGCTGTCACAGAGGTGGTGACCCTGCTGTGTCTGGGCTCTTCCATCTTAGGCTGCCATGATGGAAGAATTCCCAGCACATAGGAAAATGGCTTATCAGGAAGAAGTCCACTCATCTATGTGCAGAAACATATTCTTTAAATAGAAAGGAGCATCGTGTCATGCTAGTCTGCACCTGCAATCTGAAATGGTCCAGGCCAGTCCCAAGTTTATCACTTCCACGGTGTGGCTCTTTCCATACCTGCCCTATAACCTTCCAGTTTGGCATCCTGTACAATTCCTCCTTGCCAGGCGATTGGCTCGCTTGCTGAATCTCATCGTTTTTAAAAGCAACCTCTTTCTACCTGTGTTTGGCAGACCATCCTGATGGCCCCCAAGTTCCACTGCACAGAGGAGATCCTCACCATTGTCTCCCTGCTCTCCGTGGACAGTGTTCTCTACAACCCCCCTTCGCGGCGGGATGAAGTACAAGCCGTCCGGAAGAAATTCATCTCGAGTGAAGGGGATCACATCACGCTGCTGAACATCTACCGAGCTTTCAAAAACATCAGTGGCAATCGGGTAAGTGGCAATCGGGCAGGTTTGATTGGGCAGGTTTTGGGTGCTCCTCCTTAAAACCCCATCTTCTGTAACACTTAATCTGCCCTACCTGTGTTCTGACAAGGATGCTTTGATACTTAATTCCTACATGTTCAGAACAGTCATTTTAAACAGAAATTTTGAGAAAAAAAATCAATTAAGAGACACTGATGCTTCCCTTATACATGTAATGGCAGACATTAAGTAATGACAGGTCCCAAAAAGCAATTAGTTGATGTTGTTGAACTTGTAAAAGTGCCCAAAGTTTTATAAGCTCTGTACAGATATTAGAGGATAAGATTGTGAGCCTGCAGGCAGGGACAGCACAAAAGGAAAAAGAAATGGGGAGGGAAGAGGAGAGCAAGCGAGTTCAGAAAGTCAGAGCAAAGTACTCTTTTCTCTCAAGAATCCTGCAACTATGTATACTTTTAAAATCAAGATTACCTCTGAGCATGCACTTCATTCAGTACCAGGTAGCCAACGTTTAGCCTTTGGTATCTGTGGCTAGGCGTCAAGTGCAGGCAAACATTAATTTCCTTTTTTTCTTTTTTTAAATATTTAGTGACTTATCTCTGGCTTGTTACTGGATTTCGTTGTTGGGGGAGCACCACTCCATGTTCTTAATGCTACTACTAGTGTACACATCTATGTCTGTCTGTCAATAGGTAGATACAATGTGTGTTCATTCGTGTATGAAAATTGCAAGGTGAGGTATATGGAGCTAACACCTGATCCGAGCAGTTACCTTCTAATTTCTCCTCTCGCACTTTCTCCTTTTCCTCAGGAATGGTGCAAAGAAAACTTTGTGAACAGCAGGAATATGATGCTGGTCTCAGACGTCAGAGCTCAGCTCAGGGACATTTGTATCAAGGTAACTATAGGGAGGCTTCAAAATGGTTCAGCATGTACCCTTTTTAATGAGACCCAAGTTGTTACTTTAGATGCCAGCCGGGGTGGGACAAAAAGGGGAGGGAAGCAATAAAAGTGCAACGAGAACAAAAGAAGAAGCAACTCCTCCAGTTAGTATTGAAACATAAATCTGAATCATACAAGAATAATAGTCCTTGACAGGCTTTGCCAGCCAGTGTTTTCGACTAGAACTCCTATCAGCCATGGCAGCATGGCACAACTCAAAAACCCAACCAAAATAGTGGTACCTCGGGTTAAGTACTTAATTCGTTGTGGAGGTCCGTTCTTAACCTGAAACTGTTCTTAACCTGAAGCACCACTTTAGCTAATGGGGCTGCCGCACTGCCGGAGCACAATTTCTGTTCTCATCCTGAAGCAAAGTTCTTAACCTGAAGCACTATTTCTGGGTTAGCGGAGTCTGTAACCTGAAGCATATGTAACCTGAGGTACCACTGTAAAAGTGATCTGGCAGCCTTGCTTCAGGCAGTGGTGGAACCCAGAAAGGGATCTCACACAGGAGGAAACACAGGGGAAGGTTCTGTGAGCTTAGGTTTGCTATGCAGGTTTGCAGTTCAAACTTGGGCTGGTAAAAGTAATTATAGGATGCTGTTCAATTTGCCAGGCAGCAATTGAATCTGTGAAGATTGTGGTGCGTCCCCCTGTTCATTACAGAGTGCCTGGAAGGGATGTTTTTTAAACTCTGTGCTGAACAATGGTGTCCTCAAAAGTCCTCATCCTGTTGTTGTTTTTGTGTTTTGCGCTTCACCGCCCAGCTTTCGATACCGCTGGAATCCTCCCGATCCGACACAGGGAACATCCGCCGCTGCCTGGCGCACAGCCTCTTCATGAACACGGCCGAGCTGCAGGCGGACGGCACCTACGCCACGACCGACACGCACCAGCTGGTGGCCATCCACCCCTCCTCCGTCCTCTTCCACTGCAAGCCAGCCTGCGTCACCTACAACGAGCTGCTCCACACCAACAAGTGCTACATGAGGGACCTGTGCGTGGTCGATGCTGACTGGCTTTACGACGCGGCGCCCGAATACTTCCGCCGGAAGCTCAGAGCAGCCAAGAACTGACCCGGGGACAAGGGAAGGAAAACCTACCCACCGAACCTTCATTGGCCTGAGCAGCATTCGCTCTCGGCCAACTCCGGGGCTGCATGCCAGTGGCAGATGCCACCAGGCCGCATTTTCGCATGCACACCTGTATCGGATGCATGCACGCACAGGCACGCAGCCCTCCCTCCTTGGCTGAACATTGCAGATCACTTTGGGAGGAGGGGTTCCTGTGTCCTCCCTGCTCATCAGACTTATCAACCCGACAATTGGGTAGAGAGATATAAGCCTCTCTGCCCACCCTCAGCATTGCGTCTACATTATTTTTACTTCTCTTCTTGCTGTATTGCCAAAACTAGTGGGATCTTAAGCGGGATGGGAAGAAAATGGACTGAGAGCTGTGGGTTAGCCACCCTGGCCAAAGAATTTGGGGAAGTGGGATTTTGGGGGCGAACTGAATGCACAGGGATTCGAGACTTTCCCCACTGATGAGAGAATTGCTTCCCAAGCGGCTGGACCTCGCGCATCTGCATCCACTTGTGAGCAAGTGCTTCCTGTAAAGTCTCTTTCAAAAGGAGCCTTGCGCAGGTACATTGTGCCAACTGCATCTGCATCTGTGCAGCAGCAAAAACTGGGTGACTGAAGTTTCATTCCAAACGATCCTTCTGCTATTGTGCCATAATGTATGTCTTAGGGGATCCTCTTATCTGAGGGAGGACAGAAGAGCTTGGAGCTCAGTAAATTGGAAAAGAGGTGTGTACCCAAAGAAAGCAGTTCTATTTATTTGAAAATGGCCTTGAAACAGACTTTGTCAACCCTGTGGTTTCGCGTTTTTGTGTCACAGCAACATGAATCGTTTTGCAAGGGGAGAGCAGTCTTTCAAAGCACACTTCTTTTTAGGTGTGAGATGCTAATTTTTCTCTTTCCCTCATTCGCCTTAGCTCATCTCAGGGGTGGAGAATCTTTTCCAGTCTGAGGGACACATCCCTCCCTGGGCAAACCTTCAGGGTCAGAGGCAAGACAACAGCTGGGACTCCTACCTTTGTGCAGCAGGCTATGTTCCAGCCTTGCAAAATCCAGGCACACAAACACCCCTCCATCAGGGCAAGGAAAAGGCGTTACTGCAGTCAAGGACACATCCCAGCCAGGCAAAAGGACTGAGGAGGGGGCGGTGCAAGGCCAAAGAGGGGCGTGGCCTAGTGAGAGTCCCAAGAGCCAGAGAGAAATATAATAATAATAATTTATTATTTATACCCCACCCATCTGGCTGAGTTTCCCCAGCCACTCATATTCCCCAGAAATATGAAATACTTAATTTGCCCTCTTCCAGGCCTGAAGTCCCCCACTTCTGGTTTAACTTGGAAGTCCACCTTGCTCACTTTTGCACCACGGTAGGTAGCACTAATTGTTCCGTACTTAATTTCAGGGAGGAGAAAGATAACAGCTACTCGAAACTGGCAGCATCACCCTCTGAACTAAAAGCCCCTAACCCTTGACTGATAGCAACTTTTGCCATGCTGGTGAACCTCCAGCTGTTTTGGACTACAACTCCCATCAGCCCCCACCCACATGCCAATCAGAGGAGATCATCCCGTGGTTGTCATAAGGACTAGGAAGTGCACTATCTTGAAACGCCACATCTTGCTTGTGTTGTTGACAGCCGCAACACACACGTTAAGGGTTACAGGGCACACTCTTATTGTGAGAACAAGGGAGATACCAACACAGTCTGTTTTGCCAGTAGGTTGACTCCTCTGGGGAAAAGCACCTGAGCTGCGTAATGGAGAAGGAAGATGTCCCTCTGGGGGAAGGCTGGAGACCTGCCAAAAAGCCACTAGTTAGCTGACAAAGAGAGAAAACTGTTCTTTCCCAATTCATTTCAGCAGCGCTCCCCACACTCGAGCACAAAAGGTGAGACAAGTCATCTGGTTAATGACTAGCCTGGTCACCATCAGGGACAAGAAATCCCATGAAGGCAAGTGAGCATCTGGTAGAAAAGAGGCCGGTTCCTCCATTCCTTCTCCACCAGCCACCTGAATTCATGCTGGTTGCAGCTAAGGGGACTTGCTCTGCCACCACCTCTGTGGTCAACGATGCAATGAATCCTGGGGTTTAGTCGTTTTAAATACTAGTTTTTGCACTGGAAGTGGTTTTTTTGTGGTTGTTTGCATTGATTTTTTGCCAGTCATATTTGCATCATATGATAGGTTGATCGCATTTATGAATCGCCCTGCCTCAAGCAGAGTGAAGAAGAGAAAAGGAACTAAAACCACATCATCACTCAAAGCAATTCCCAAAGTAAACGAATGCATAAAATAACTGTCCTTAAAAATAAAAGACCCACAATTACAGTTCAGGGCAAACATCAAACAAATGTAAAGTGATACATGTCAAGGCAAAAAAATCCTAGCTTCGCATTTATGCTCACGGGGTCTGAATTGATGGTGACTGACCAGAGACAAGACCTTGGAGGTGTGTGGCAGCTGTGAAACAAATTTCATGCTGAGCGCCATTAGGAAAGGAACTGAAACCTACCAGTTTTTACACAAATCTAGAGTGCGAGGAACACATTTGGAATACTGGGTAGCTCTGGTCACCTCGACTCTAAAAGTCCATTGGAAAAGGTTCAGAAAAGGGCAACCAAAATTATGAAAGGATGGAATGACTCCCCACGAGGAAAGGTAATAATAATAATAATAATATTATAATAATAATAAATTTTATTTATACCCCACCGTCCCCAGCCAAGACCGGGCTCAGGGCGGCTAACACCAGATATAAAACGATTGAAATACTACTTAAAAAACAAGATTAAAATACAACATTAAAATGCAGCCTCATTTCAGCAGAAACTCAAAAACATTTTTGGGGATGAAAACGTCAAGTCTTCACCAAGGCTAACTATCCAGACTGGTTCTATGGGGGCCAGAAAAAAAGCCAAGTAGGAGTAGCAATGCTTGGGACTTTATAGTTTAGAGAAAAGGCAAGACCGGTGACTTGGTAAAAGTTTATGAAGCTGCATGGCATGGAGAAATTGGATAGAGGGAAGTTTGTCTCCCTTTCCCATGTCACTGGAACTTGTGGGCATTCAAGGAAGCCGCACGTTGGAAGATTCAGGACAGGTAACAGCAAGGACTTCTTCACACAGTGCGTGAACTACGGAACTCCCTCCTACAGGAGGCAGCGATGGCCACCAACTTGGATGGCTGTAAAATAAGGCTGGGCAAATTCATGGAGGACAAGGGCTGTTGATGGCTACTAGCCTGCCATGATGGCCATCCTCTACCTCTGCAGTCAGAGGCAGCAAAGCTTCTGAGTGCCAGTTGCTGGAAAGCACAGGAAGGGAGAAGGCTCTGCTTGCAGTTTCCCACAGGCATCTATCTATCTATCTGGCTGGCCTCTGCAAGAGCAGGATGCTGCGCTAGGGGCGGTGCCCTATAGAGGCCCCTAGGCAGTTGAAAGCTCACAAATCATTTCCAAATCCTCGATTGTAATTATATTTCGAGCAGCGCCAGATTTACGTATAAGCTAAACAAGCTATAGCTTAGGGCCCCACTCTCTTCCTCCCCAATAAACTACTTCTTAATTCTATTTCACTATTAATATACTTCTTCTTAATTGTACTTCAGTTAAACAATTACTTTGATAAAATACACATTTTGTTATGTGCAAATGGCTTTAGATACCTTTTAGGTCCATAAATTACCATATAGCATATATTCAACACAAAAAACCAGCCACAATTTGTTGCTGACAAAGGACAGCTGGACATATAAAGGGCCCCATTACCTTCAGTAGCTTAGGGCCTCATCAAACCTAAATCCGGCCCTGATTTCGAGATCAAATCTATATTATTTTGAGCCGTTGTTGCAGGGCCCTTAAAATCCGTGGGGCCCTTAGGACGGTGCCTTCCTTGCCTATCTGGCACTGGCGAGAAGGTTCTCTCATTTTTCAATGCGCAAAGCGATCGCCGCTCAGAGAGACCCGCGCGCTTTGGACAGCTCGCTTGGAGACGCGCCTTGCGCGCCGCGGTGCCTTTAAGCAGAGCAGGCGGGAGGGAAAGAGGCGGGTCAGGATTTCCCCCGCCTGGCCCTTCCTTCCCTTCCGGCCCGTCTCTCCCCACGTGTGTCCGCCTCCCTCGATCCCCAGCCACCATGCTGCTCGCTCGCGCCCTGCGCTCCACCGCCCTCTCCGCCGTGGCGCGCCTCCCGATCCAGCCCCGGCCGCTGCTGTCCTTGCAGCCCAGCTCGGCAGCGCCTCCCGGCCTGGCTTTCGCCGTCTCCCGGCCCTTCACCCGCTCGCTGTGGGTGCTGCGCGGCGCCGGCCAAGGCCCCAGCCGCCTCCGCCTCCGGCCGGGCTCGCCCTCCGTCTCCTGCGCCTGCGGCGGCCTCCACACCGATGGTGAGCTACGCGCGGAGGGCAGGGGAAGGGGGAAGAAGGTCGCTCGCAAGGAACGCAGGGCTCCGGGCGGCGCTTGCTCGCGAGGAAGCCCCCCTTGGGGCCGCTGGGGATCGCGTCCGAGGAAAAAGACGGCCGCGATCCTTCTCCTAGCGAGCTTTTGTCCTGGGAAAAGTGCTTGGGGGCTGGGCTGCGAGCCAAGGCGCGCTTGCTCGCGAGGAATCCCCCTTGGCATCGGGTTGCTCGCGAGTAAATGTGCGCCTGCCATCCAAGAGGAGCTTACGCCCAGGGGGAGGCATGCCTTGAAAAAAATAGTAATAATAACGGGTATGGGTTCATCCTCATCCCCCCCCCCAAAGCGGGATTGAGCAGTTACTGAATTTCCATCCCACGTTTTTTCTCCCAGGAGCTCAAGGTCTGTGGTTTTCTCCCTCCGCATTTATTCCCCACAACACCCCAAGGAGATAGGTTAGACTGAGAGGCAGTGACTGGCCCCAAGGTCACACCCTTGAGTTGCATGGCCGAGCCCTGGGGTCTTCCCAGTCCGACACTAACCATTGGCTCTCTGCAAGCCTTTAAATTACCTAATTTGATAAAAGGATCAGGAGCTGGGAAGATGTTTGAGGGCAGAGGCCTGAATAGGGTCAGGCAGGAAGGGAAAGAGCACGTGTTTCCTAGTTCCAAAAGAAAATCTGGCAGTTCAGTTCCATAAATGCTTACTCAAAAGGTAAGCCTCATTAAGTTCAGGGGGACTTACTCCTGGGTAAACATGCAAAGGACTTGGGCCTCACTGCATCTCTAGTAATAGTTCTGAAAAGCGCCTACAGCCATGGCTTAGATGGATCCCATGTCAGGCTTCCTCAGAGTAGACCCACTAGTAGTCATGGCCTTTGATTTCACTGAGATTGCTCTGATTGTGTTGGATGCAACCCAATATTCATGGAAATAAGTCCAGTTGAAAAATGGGGATTTGAGTAAATGCTTAGCAGGTTTGTAGGGTGGTACAAAAACAGTAAAGTTTTTGGATTTTTAGCTCAGAAGTTTTGGTTTGCATAATAAGTGCTGTGGGTTACTTGTATTAACTGCTGCTAGTTATCTGGAATAAAAAAATCACTTAAAGTTTCAAATAGTGTGTGCTTAATAGTATCTACTTATTGGATGTGCTAGAAATAATAAGGATGTTGGTGATGATGGTCACAGCATTTAATAATGATAATAACATTTCTTCCAAATCGCTCCTTAACAGTTTTAGGACATGGACCAGCATTTGCCAGCATTCATGCCCGCTGTCAAAATGTTATACAGTGGTACCTCTGGATATGAACGGGATCCGTTCTGGAGCCTCATTTGCATCCAGAAGCAAACGTAACTAGCGACGGCACGTCTGCGCACGCGTGCATCGCTTTTCGCGGCTTCTGCACATGCGCGTAATGTCATTTTGAGTGCATGCGCGGGCGGCGAAACCCGGAAATAACATGCTCCGTTACTTCCAGGTTGCCGCGGAGCGCAACTCGAACGCGCTCAACATGAAGCATATTCAACCCGAGGTATGACTGTACTTCAAGCTCCTTGGAGCGCAGACCCGGTGGCGCTGCCAAAATTATTAAACAGCACTGCAAATTCCTTTCTTAATGGCTTGAGAGTGATGCTTTGTCTATCAATCAGGAGTTTTTGGTTCGTGGTGTCAGAGGGGGAAGAAAACCTGTTATTTTCCACCCCCCAACCTGCAGGTGACAAAGCTTTTGCAGAGTTCCTCACGGATGAAATCAAAGAAGAGAAGAAAATCCAGAAGCACAAGTCCCTCCCCAAGATGTCCGGAGGGTGGGAGCTGGACGTGCACGGCACAGAGGCCAAGCTAGTGCGGAAGGTAGCTGGTGAAACGTAAGCGTGCAAGGAATTTTCACAGAGGGCCTAAAAAGGACAGCTGGGGTGGGGTACAGTTATGCCTCTGGAATAACCCAGAAGCTGAGCTGCAAGTCCCATCATCCTTGGCCACACTTGCTGGGGCTGATGGGAGTTGTAGTTCAGCGGCAACTGGAGGCCCAAAGCTTCCCAGCATGTGGAGTAGAACACTAGGCTGCTCTGTCTTGATCTCTGCTTGCTGATTTCGGGTCCACTGTCTTGCAGGGTCACCGTTTCGTTCAACATTAACAACAGCATCCCACCGAGCTTCGACGAGGCTCAGGAAGGGCAGAAGCCGGATGAGCAAGAGGTAAGCGAGGAAGAATCCTTCTCCAAGGGAGGCACCAGAGTTAACGCTAAATCGTTTCTGGTAAATGAGCCACCATAGCTGCTAGAGGGCTGTGAAAATATGTGCCCAGGGCGTCTGCCCACTTACTATCTGAAACCAAAGGGACGTGTTGGTTGCCATGTGTGAATTTCCCCCCCAGCTCTCCTATCCCACTATTGGGTGGGTCGTGTCCAGAGTAGCAGCAGCCATGACCTCCCTTCTTGCTCTTGCTAGCAGAGCATCCTTCGGCCACTGTTCTTTCCGAGGCCCACACAGGTGTTTGTTTCTCTTCTCTAGCCTGAGCTCACGTCAACCCCAAACTTCGTTGTAGAAGTCACCAAAGATGACACCAAGCAGACGCTTGTGCTGGATTGCCACTATCCTGAGGACGAGGTGGGTGTTGTTTTCGAAATGAAAGTGTGGGGCCATGTGGCCCTTGAGCCCCCTTTTCTGGCCCTTGGGGGCCTTTCCCAAGGCCATGCTATTCCCTGGCCCCTGCGGCATGTCCCCCTCAGGTGTTTTAGGCCTGGCTGGAATATTATTATTTATTGCATTTATATCCCATCTTTTTCTCGCAAGGAGCTCAAGGGGGTATACATGGTTCACCCCTCCTCATTTAATCCTCACAACAACCCTGTGAGGGAGGTTAGGCTGAGAGCCACTGGCCCAAGGTCACCCAATGAGCTTTGTGGCTGAGTGAGGATTTGAACCCTGGTCTCCCAGGTTCTAGTCTGAGAGACGCTAACCACTACACCACACTGGAACTCTGATCATACCTCTTGCTAGCCTGGATGGAGGATAGAAAGTGGTGTGTGGGTGTATAAACTAGCCTACCTGAGAAAGTTAATATTTGCATATGTTGCTCCGCCCACGTTCGCTCCAGGCCCTGCCCACCATGCCATGTGGCCCTCAGAAGGTTGCCCAGAAGGGAATGTGGCCCTTACTCTGGAAGAAGCCTCTCTGCCCCTACAGTACAGTAAACCAGCTTTCCTCATCAGCCTGCCTGCCATCCAGATGTTTTCTATATCCCAACTCTACATCATCCCTGACCATTGGCCATGCTGGCTCAGGCAGATCCAAGTTGGGGTCCAGAACATCTGGAAGGACCCAGGCCGAAAAAATATTTACCACAGGGATGGGAAACCCACCTCGGGTACCACGCAGTACCTGTTCTGCATTTGTAAGAAATCCATCTCTTAATGTGTCAGCACCCACACTTTGGAACTCGCTGCCTATTGACATCAGGCAGGTGCCTTCACTGTGCTCTTTCTGGTGCCTGATAAAAACATGATTGATTGATTGATTGATTGATTGATTGTATATACTGCCCTATACCCACAGGTCTCAGGGCGGTTCACAGAATAAAATCAAAATATAAAACCACAAAATACATAATCAAAATCAAACCCAATCAGCATAATCAGCAGCAACCCAATAACTCTCACATTTTAAAAGAGGTTTTTAAAAGGCATTTTTGTTTAGGCAGATTTTTAGAAAGTTGACCCCAGTTTTAATCTGCTTTTGGTCTATTGCTACCTTAACATTTGGAAAGCCTCAAATTATTGTTCCATTTTTCTTACTGATAATTTTATTGTTTTATCTTTTTTGTGAACTGCTTTGAGGTTGTTTTTTTACAATTGAAGTGGTGTATAAATTTTATTAAATAAATCATGGGTAGGCAAACTAAGGCCCAGGGGCCGGATCTGGCCCAATCGCCTTCCAAATCTGGCCTGTGGACGGTCCGGGAATCAGCGTGTTTTTATATGCGTAAAATGTGTCCTTTTATTTAAAATGCATCTCTGGGTTATTTGTGGGGCATAGGAATTCGTTCATTTTTTTTTTTTCAAAATATAGTCTGCCCCCCCCCCAAGGTCTGAGGGACAGTGGACCGGCCCCCTGCTGAAAAAGTTTGCTGACCCCTGAAATAAATGGACAATTTACAGCTATTGGGGGGTAGCTATCTCAGTGAAATCTGGATCAGGTCCGTGGGGAGAACTGTTATAGGGCATGGAAGAGAAGCCCTATGTCATGTGCTTTGGGGGAGCAGCGAGAGAGTTTCTACCAGGCCCATGGGTTGGAGGGAAGGGTTTTCTTGGGGGGGGGGAGTGTGGCTTAGCATCCCACGATTGGACCTTGTTTAGCTGCTCTGCATCTACCAGCATAACTCCCCCCCCCCCCAAAAAAAGCTTAATACAGAACTATCTTAAAGCCACCCACCACTTTATTTTCCATTCCTGCCAACTGGGTTGTTTCTAACCACCCCCTTTAAAAAAACGAATCAGGTTGCTCCTGGCGAAGAAGAAGACAGCGACATCTTCTCTATCCGAGAGGTCAGCTTCCAGCCCACCGGAGACTCAGAATGGAGAGACAATAATTACACCCTCAACACGGACTCTCTCGATTGGGTAGGAGCAGCTGTATAACCAGGGTACACGCACGTGGGTGGTGCACTTATTTTGCATGGCTGTATTTTCGGTTTTACAGAAGTGCAGTTTAGTCTGGCTGCACGCTTGCCTAGAGGATAAGCGAAACTAGCAAACCTGCTAATATGAGCGTATAAGGAAGGCTTGCGCACCGCAAGGACCCTTGTGTGCATCTATGAAAGGACATCCACATGTCTTCCTTGACGCCTCTTGGGTATCATATTAGAAAGATGCATTATGTCCTGTGCAAGAGCTCAACACCAAGTGATGCGGATTTTCCAGAAAAATGTGAAAAGCTCCTGAATCACACAGGTGCACTTGGTTGGGAGCTACACAGAGCTCCCAAGAACATGTTTGTGGCAAATCCAGGTTTACCTAGCAGAAAGGAGTGTAACAGCTATTGTGTTTTTGTGACACTCACTCTCTCTCTCTTCCTGCCCCCCCTAAATCCCATTATATTCCTAGGCTCTGTACGACCACCTGATGGACTTCTTGGCTGACCGAGGGGTAGACAACACATTTGCGGATGAGCTTGTTGACCTCAGCACAGCGCTGGAGCACCGGGAATACATTCGATTCCTCGAAGACCTTAAACTCTTTGTCAAATGCCAGTAGGCTGAGAAGAGTGTCAGGGCCTGTATATTTGGGGGGGGGGGTCCTCAATTTCCTCTGCTTTTTTTCCCCCCACTGAAGGCTGGACTTTGTTTCCAAACGCTGTGGAACGAGAGCGAGAACTGGGAGCTTCACATGGGGTGTGTGTGTGTGTGTTAAACATGCATCCTTGGAAGGAGGAGATGTCACTGTTTCAGAACCCTGACCTGACCGGCGTCACGCAGATCCGCTTTGAAGTTTTTGTAAAACCCTGTAGCCTCCTCTCGCCCTTGGAAGTGTGGTTGGGGTTTTTGGAACAGTTGAAGAAGGAAAAGAAAATGGTCTCAAAATAAAACCAGTTAAAGGCTTTTGTCTGTGTAGAGTGAACAGTGTTGTTGACTTGTTTGTTGCTTTTTCACCCAGGTCTCACCTTAGATGGACAAGCTGGGGGGGGTGTTTGTGTGTTCACGTGTACACAGGATGGCTGTGGGGGGCACTTTGGTCGTGCCACTGCTAACGCACAGCCCCTGTAGGCGTTCCAACCAGGTGGCACAACCCTCTAGTTAGTAACGCCTTCGTTAGCTTCGTGGGATTATAAAGGCATGCTTCAACACTGTGAGTTGACATACCAAGCTTTAAACTGCACAACACAAAATCAACGGGGCATTTCTGCTTAGTTACACCTGTGGCTTTGACTGTAGTCTCATGTTACATGCTCTTTTAACTTGTTATATTGATTTTGCATTTACTCCGGCCTGAAACCGTTTGGTGAAGGGCAGGTTGTGAGTATTCACATTATTGTAAGCGGCAGATTCAGAAGTGCAGCATCCTGTCATGATAGTTAGTTACATCTTCACAGCTATACCCCCTTCTAAGATTGTACAATCCTCTTAAACAATGCTACTTAGGAATGCACTGCAATGATGTAAACTGATCTCCACATGTTGCCTTAAAGCTGGATCTACTTTCCGTACACATACATGGGCAAATGGTTTGGGGTGCTCCAATATATTCTTAGTGACCTAAATTGTGTTTCCCCTGAAGTTCCATTGTATGCAGCAAAGCTTGCACATTCTTGAAACTGAGGCGCCTTATGTTTTCAGGGTTCCTAAATGCTTAGCTTTGAAGCATGCAGAACAATTCCTCAATGTTCTTCCTGTGCCCCTTCTGCAGAGTGAGCCTAGGAGCCTATCCTCAGGGGACGGACTCCTTTCACTCTGATTGGCTCCAATCAGTACAAAGCGTTGAAAGATTTCTTCGCCGTGGCCAAGAAGCGTCAACCCTTGGCTGGTTTTAGGATGCTGGAGACACACAGAGACCCTGCCGCAGAAATAGTAGCAGGTCTTTTGACCTTCTGCAACCCTAGACCACTACATCTCGGAGCAAAACAAAACAAATGTGGTTGGAGTCCATCCAATGCATAAACAAAACTGTTGAACATTTAGGCCAGCAGAGGGCACCAAGGGAATTCTGAAAGTGTTTTTAAATAATGCCCTTTTTACATGCCAAGTTGCATAGAAGCAAGCTTCTGAGCGCCTCGTTACTTGGCACATCCCATTTCAAAGTGAGTGGGAGAAAAGGGTATTTCAGGCTGAGAGCCTGTGGGGAGTGTGGTAAAAGCTGAACAGGTATGTCCCTCTGTTTCCAACCTTTTAAAATTGCTTTTTAAAAAATAGCTTTGCTTTGCAAATAACAGGAGAGAAAGATTTAGGCCCAAGTCTCCTCGGTTTGGGGTATGTCAGGAGACCCGGAGATCTTTGGCTCTTTTTCATCCCAGTGGTTTTCCAGGCCCGCCCTGGCACATTCCTAAACCACCCCAGATACTTCTCTTTGCAGCTACCAACATCAAAGTGCCAAGCTTGGTAGGGCTAGGGAAGTTTCCATGGCCACAGGGAGCAGACATCAGATCCGCAACATCAGGAAGGGGATTCCGAAATATCCTGTGGTCCCTGGGATGCCCTCCATGAGATCGCAGCCTTAAATCTCTAACTACAACTGTCTTCTTGATTTTCTACAAAAAGAGGCCAGAACATGCAACGCAAGTGTGATACAGAACTGGGAGTGGCGAGGGACCCCAAAAGTCATCCGGTCCAATGCAGGAATCTTTTGTCCAACACAGGGCTAGAACCTACGACTCTTAAGATTAAGAGTCTCAAGCTCTACAGGCTCAAAAGTGCACCACTCCCCGATGAAACGCCCAAAGGAATCTACGTGGGCTTCCATTTCAATCACTTCATCAGACAATCGGTTTATTCCAAGGACTTTTATTGGAATTTCCACCCCCTGCCCTTCCATTTTCCAGAGTACAGTACAAAAGCATGCAACCCGCCACCCCGCCCCGCCCTAAATAGGCTCTCTCTATATTCATGGTACATATTTACAGTGCAGCAATGGTCTCGAATGCCATCGCTGTGTATGACTCATGCTTTCAGTTTGGGGGTTTGTGCATGTACACATACACATGCACACACCTAGGGAGAAATACAGGTTGGTTTTCACAACAGACACATACACGTTGACAGACAACGGGCCGGTGGCTTGGGTACAAAGCAGGGAAAATAAGAGATGTGGCAGCGTGGATTTAAATGCTATCCTCTATATGTTCTCGACATCATATTTTGGGGTGTGGGCGTGTGTCTTTATTACAGAGTCTTATAATTAAATAAGGCACATTACAACATCAAGAATATAACTAGCTGAGAAGCGTACACCCATTTGGAATAAGGGATGTGATCATAGCAGATTTTCTGTAATGGTGGCAGCAGTGTGTGATGGCATGCAGATCCTAAAAAGCTTAAGTCGCTCCTGAGCCTCAGAGATATAGACAAGTAGGGGGTGATTCTGTTCACTGCCAAAGGATATGCCATTTGCAGACAGTGGTGGTTTACCCAACAGAAGCATAGAATGGTAGAGTTGGGGGGTCAAGGGTCATCTAGGCGACAATGCAGAAATCACAGCAATTGCTTAGGACACCAGTACAAAAAGAAAAAAAGGGGGGAAAAGAATTTGGGGGGGGGGGAGAATTTGAACCCGTATGAACTGACCCGGACCCTGCGCTCGTCATCAGAGTCCCTTTTCTATGTCCCCCATCCCATAGAACGGGGCCTTTTTTGTTGTGGCTCCCCGATCGTGGAATGCTCTCCCCAAAGGGGCTCGCTTGGCACCATCACTACATGCCTTTAGGTGCCAGGCAAAAACATTCCTCTTTAGCCGGGCCTATGGCTATTAAATAATCTATGGCTTGTGAAAGTGTGGGGGAGAGGACTGTTATCATGATGATATTTTATTATTAGGCTGTCTGTCAGTATGCTTTTCATTTCAGTGATTTTATCACTGATGTTCTGCAATGTGTTTTTAATGTTGTACACCGCCCTGGGATCTTTTGATAAAGGGCGGCACATAAACTGAATTAACAATAATTTGACATTAAAAAAAAAAAAAAGGATTGAAGCAGCCATCACTTTTCTAACTGGCAATTACTGCTCTGCAGAATGCTTTTTTACTCAACTGGAAATAAAAAAAACCCTCAGGGAACAACATTTCAGGAGAGGCTTGACTTATCTTACCTACCTTTGCAATGTGCAACTTAGATGAGCTGCTTGAGACTTTTGCAATCAGAAAATCCAAAATGTGGCTATCTTAATTTAGGCATGCATACATGTAGGCTCCGCGTCATTAAAAAATAACTTTAGTACAGTTTTTATTTTCAATTACAAGGGTGGGTATTTTTGAGGGTGTGGAGGGCACCACAATGTTTTCAGTGCTTAGAGCCTCAAAAGGTCTTAAAATGTAAAGGACCCCTGACAGTTAAGTCCGGTCGCAGATGACTCAGGGGTTGCGGCGCTCATCTTGCTTTACAGGCTGAGGGAGCCGGCATTTGTCCGCAGACAGTTTTCCAGGTCATGTGGCCAGCATGACTAAGCCGCTTCTGGCGCAACAGAACACTGAAACCAGAGCAGTGCACGGAAACACCGTTTACCTTCCCGCCGGAGTGGTACCTATTTATCTACTTGCACTTTTTTGGTGTGCTTTCAAACTGCTAGGCTGGCAGGAGCTCCCTGGCCCTATATGCAGGAACATCCAAGCCCACTCCTATGCTTCAGCGACTGGGACAAAACTGCATTAATCTAGGGTCACCGGTAAGAGCAGAAGCTAGAAGCCAGCACCATCCTTGGTTCCAAGTCTCTGGTACAGGGAACCAGGCAGAGGGCCTTCTTGGTAGTGGCACCCTCCCTGTGGAACGCCCTCCCATCAGATGCCAAGGAGATAACTAACCATTTTAGAAGACATCTGAAAGCAACCTTGTATAGGGAAGTTTTTAAAACTTTGATGTTTTCTTATGTTTTTAGATATGTTGGAAGCTGCCCAGAGTGGCTGGAGCAACCCAGTCAGAAGAGTGGGGAACCAATAATAAAAATATTATTATTACTAAGTCTCATCCCAGCTGGGAACTCTCAGCCAAGCCGCCAAATGCCAGCTTTGGAACCAAACTGTAACACTGAGGCAATCAAACTAGCCCTCATACAGGACTATTGTATACATGGAGTGCTGACACTGTATCCATGCTCAACATGATCTAATATCCTGTTGAGTTTCATGCCCACCAGCCATGCAAGAGGAATTATATTGTCTGTTGGCCCACTTACGGTTATAAAGCACACTTTACAGACATCAAATTAATAACTACTTGAACAGGATTAGCAATAATTCGCGAGGTAGCAATGGATGGTTTGGTGAGGAAATATCAGGAATGGACGACTGACTGACTGCTGTAAGTCTGGAAAACGACAGGATTTGCTGAAGCCAATTTGGGGAGGGCGAAGAACGGTTGGCTATAATTCCCAGAGAGACAGAATACAGCTCTGAATGTTGGGAATGATAAATTTGAACGTCAGTCTTAAAGAAAAGTGCGGTCATTCCACAATTCCCTAGAAATGTGAAAGATGGGGGCAGAAAAGATGGGACTAGAACGAAACAGGCAGAAACAGATTTCAACAGAAACTTCCTGAGGGTTGGAAAATCCTTGAGCATTTCGGTCCCAATTTCTCTCAATATACACATCTTGCAAAGCAATTTTTCTCAGTGCAGTTCTGTATGTGGTTCTCTCTAATATATGCATTCCTAGGCACACTTCGCACCTAGCCATGTGCATTTTTGACCACATGAGTTAGCGGGAGAACTGCCTTGCAAAATTCAGAGATGTGTGAATTTTGAGAGACGCCTGAGTTTTTGGTTTGCATATTGCTTTGTAGAATGAAATTTTGATACATTTGCCTTGGAATTGGTTGGCGTGGGCGGAAGGGGATGGAAAGGGGTGGAGGTTTGGTGGGTTTGACCAGAAGAGCAAGGAGGGGTGACAGCTTCTTTTACTTAGAAAATTTATAAACCATTTGTTGTTGTTTTAAAAAACCTCCAAGGTCCAGTTATATATAAGACATATTGCTACAGTGTAGATTAAGTAGGTTCTCCTGTCATGTGCAGACTGAATTGAATTGAACTGAACTGAATGTCTCCTCTCTCACTAGTTGAAGCACAGATGAACTTCCAATCTTCTGTTAGTAAAGCCACTGGTTTTCCTTTTGCTGATTTTTGTGCACAAACTCGGCCCTCCAGATGTTTTGGGACTACAATTCCCATCATCCCTGACCTCTGGTCCCGTTAGCTAGGGTCATGGGAGTTGTAGTCCCAAAACATCTGGATGGCCAAGTTTGGGGGTGCCTGCTGTAGGATATAGACAAGCCACTGTTCTGATCATCATACAGGCACAGAACTTCATTCCTCATTATGCATGTGCTTGCAGGAACTTCAGACGGAATCCAAGAGAGTTTGCCATGGTCTTTTCATCCTAGCAATGGAGGTCGCATGCTTTACTTTGTGCTGATTGTGCATCCAAGATTGATTGGCAGTCTTCAGGCCACCAACTACTCTCCCTCCCTGATCTGCATGATCAACATTTCTTGATGCTAGCCAACCCCAGGCTTTGTAGATTGCACAGGGGGCTGATTCCAACCAATCCCACGGCAGGGAATCTACAGAATCAATTCCAGACTCTTCTGAAAGTCCATGAGATGAAAAGCTCTTACAAGCTCTACTACCAAAACCCAAGGGCTATGGATGAAGGTAAGTTGCCATCTTCCAATTTTCTGACTTTGATCCAGCTGCTTCCTACAGAACCAGCTGAAGCATGATGGATGTGGGCACTGGTGGGAGGTGTTTCTGATGCATTCTTTAAACAAAAAGGCACCTGTTTAAAGCACAGGGTTCACTGAGATATGCTCTTTTGCACAGGGCGGTCAGAAGCTCACAGGAAGGTGTTTTACACAGGAAAGTTTAAAATGCAAAGCAGAAGTTTTTTTGCACAAGAGGGGCAATGGTTCAGCCTGGCAATTAGGGAAAAACAGAAACTTAACCAGGACTCTGTTCCCCTTCTGACTGCCTAAAAGGTTGCAAGGGCAAGTTTTGTACATAAGTAAAGTTGATAAAGAAAATAGGCTTAAAAAAGAGATCAGAGCTGAGGATATTATGAGAAAAAAGCCGAAACACAAACTGAAATAAGAACTCTATTGAAAAAAAGAGCAGAAACCTGAAGCACAGGCCCTGGATGAAAACCTGCAATGGATCCTGTCTTGAGAAGTTGAACTGAGAAGACTAGAAACCACTGTACTGATGAGTATTTGCTGGGCTAGGGATAGTCTAGAATAGGTCTAACTGGATGCGGTTTATCTCTATTTATATTTGCTTTTGTGGGTATGTACTCAAAGTGTAACATTAGTTTGTTTATTTTTAAAGCATTTTATCAAAAACTGCTTGACTCAAAACTTGTAAGTGAAGGCATAGTTTGGTTTGGGGAAAAACTGGTCTGAAGCTTTGTGATTCACCTGATGTCAAGGTCTACTTTATATTGGGAGTAGGTTGGGCCAATTAAATTCTGAAAGGTAACAAGGCTGCTTAATGGAGGCAGCTTAGAACACACCTGTTCCATTATAGCAGGTTGCGTAACAGACAACATTGGGCTTGAGCAGGCAACCTGACTAAGAAATTCCAAAACAAAAATAAATAAATGCCGGGAGTGGTTCTGAATACATGGGTGGTTCTGAACCAAGCATTCTCTAGCAAAGAACATTTGGTGCACATTCATCGGTCGAATCGCCGTACGTCGCTGACTACATATATCACAACATGAAGCACAACTGGAAGATATGAGGCACATGGTCCAGTATACAACACCAAAATGTCTTACGACGTAAACAGATGTGGACAGCCGGAGAGCCAGCTCTTCCATGGGCCATTACTTGTCCCAGAAGCTGGGACTCCCACCGTTTTATCCCTTCGATATGATAGAATCATAGGATTGTAGAGTTGGAAGGGACCCAAAGGGACTTCGAGTCCAACCACCTGCAAAGCAGGAATCTCTCTCTCTCTCTCTCTTTGCAAGTCACAAACTTTGGTTGATGAAAACAGCATGGCGTGCAGGATGACACCACTGGATACGATGGTCACGGTAGCAGCAGTTAAGTGATCGGTGTGCGACATGCTCGGGGCTTCAGGATGTGGCCTCGTCTTCAGATACGTCAGGCAGGTCGGGGTCCTTCAACCCTTCTCGGCTCCCTTGCTTTCTGCGCACGTTCAAAAGATACACATTATAAAACCCCACCCATTACAGAAGAAAGCAAGCTGTGTGTGGTAGTCCCTATTGGAAAGGACCGTAGCTCATTCACAGAGCATCTGTTTTGCAGAAAAAAATGGTCCCAGATTGAGTTTCCATCTTCAGGTAGGGCTAGGAGAAAATCTCCTGCTGAAAGCCCTGGAAAGCCACTGCCAGTCAGTACAAACACTACTAGGTTAGATGGACCAATGGTCCACTCACTCACTCATCTACTTCTCCACTTTGGGAAGGTGTTTTATCGCTGGTAATATATAAGCTGGAAGCACAGGTGGTGAGTACAGTTATATAATTTTAGATTCTGGACTTCACGGTCTTATGTACTGCTAGGCTGAAATCTGCTCTCCAGTTTCTCAAATATTTTATTCCTCTGCAAAAGACACTGCCATTTTTCTAACCTCGACATTATGCGTTTTCCTTTCTAGGAAATATTTGTCCAGCTCCTTGCAGCTTCCCTGGGTGCCTGCACTTCCTGTGATGGCAATGTGGGCATGCAGGAAAGCTGTAGCGTACAGACCACTGGTGAGTTAGTTTGTAGAATGGAAGGAAGAACAGTCTAAGAGACTCCCCTGCCCGGTTCAAAAGGGAGGGAGGCAAGCAGAACAAAAACGCTTGTTAGGATTTCATGAACATTTTATTTTGCTTCTGATAACTTCCAAGTGCTGTTTCTTTTCTTGTTAATTGAGGGGGAATGGTGGGCAGGGCGGTGGGGATGCAGAATGGAGTTTTGGCACGACACTCATCTTACATACCCCCAAACTCTTCAGCAAAGCATTACTTTATTTTCTTTGAAATGTGGTAAGCCACTCCTGCTTCATTTGGGAAGGGGTGTGCGTTCCCTGTTCATTTTCCTGAATGTGAGTCTCTGGAAATCTGCCCCAGAGTCCTTCCCTGATGCTGTCATTAGGCTCAGGCCACAAAATTTTAGTCTCCAAGCTGTTTTGCCAAGCTCTCCACCTCCACCTTCTCCCCAGAGCCACATAAGGCGATCTTTTTTAAAAAAATGAAAAAAGCCATTTCCTGAAAGGGATCGGTTCTCTCTCCCCAATGACAGTGTTTCCCAGGTGATACAGTACAGCTAATTGCCTGAATTAATGAGAAATGCTGCCTAGGAGAGCCAAACGGTGCTCCAATTAACTGGTAACGACCGAGCTCAGGATGACACAGGTTCCGGTAACTTCTAGCAGCTTCCGATTTGCAGAGCAATCCAGAAAGGCAACAAATCCTCTCTCCTGTATAGCAGCAGCTCATTTCTTTTTGCATGGGGAGTCTCTCAGCCACAATGGCTATGATCTGCCTCCATAGTTAGAGGCACTAATGCTTCTGAATTCCAGTTGCTGGAAACCGGAGGAAGGGGAGAGGGCACTTGCGCTCGGTTCCTGCTTGCCTGGGTGGCCACTGTGAGGGCAGGATGCTGCCACTGGCCTGATTCAGCAGGCTTTCCTAATGTTTTTAGATCAGGCTTCCTCAAACTCGGCCCTCCAGATGTTTTGAGACTACAATTCCCATCATCCCTGACCACTGGTCCTGCTAGCTAGGGATCACAGGAGTTGTAGGCCAAAAAACATCTGGAGGGCCGAGGCTGAGGAAGCCTGTTTTAGATGATGCCAGTAAGCCTGACTCCTGGTAGAATTTTGAAAAGTGCATGGATCCAATGATGACACAATCCGTTCTTCGACCACTCAACCTCTGAGGAAACCAAATTTTAGGCTGGTGAAGGAGATTCTTGGAAGACTTGTATTCATGGTGGAGGCTCTTTAAGTCTCTTCCCTCCAGAGTCGCTGAGGGGAAACTTAGGCATGCCAGGATGAAGGCTCTGCAATGTTTGGAGTGCTCTGCCATTTAATTTGAATTTCCTTAGCATTGGAGTGGGGCGGGATGGGGTTCTAAGCTGGCCTTATTGATTCTGAGGTGGCTAAGGGTTTGTGTGTGTTTGTGACTTTCTTTCCAGGAGATGTTCCTTCAGAATTTTCCCTGACCGCCCGCCCCTTCTGGTCCTAAAAAGGCGCCAAAGAGGGATGAGTTAATCACATGATGCCTTCCCTTGTGTTTTGATTGAAGCGTGGGCACCCGGGGAGGCTGCCGAACGCAGACCACCGTTAGCTTGTAGAATGGAAGAAAATAACTCTTCCCAAACACCTCAAAAGCAGTGGAAGAAGGACCAAAACCCTGCACCCCACCTACAAGAACATCATCAAAATTTCCTCTCCCCTCCTCTCTTCTTATTCTCATTAAATTGAAGGACTGTTGAAGAAAAATGCGGGAGAAGTTTTCCTTCAGCACTGCACAGGAAGCTTATATGTCATTGGTCCATCTAGCTCATTACGGCCTGCACTGACTGGCAGTGTCTCTCCCAGCCCTACCTAGAGATGTCATTGGGGATTGAACCCGGGACTTTTTGTGTGCGAATCAGATGCCCCAACCACTGAGCTATGGCCCTCCACCTCTCCTGAGGCATCAGTCTGCAAATATAGTTCTCTCTGCTTGGGAAACTCCAGCTTAGTGTTCCGTTTGCCTCCATTTCTGGGACTTGTTTTGGTCCACAGCTCTCTTGTTAACCTTGAGTTGCCCACAACGCACAGGCTGCATCAATAGAAGTTTTTAAAAATAAAGGAAAGGGGAAAAACAAAGAAAGAGAAAATATGGAAGAAGGGGAAGAGGGAGGAGGAGGAGAAGGGGGTGGGCTGTATTCATGACTGAAGGTTGAGTGTGCCACAGTGGAACATACCCACTCTTCTAGGAACAGTGAAATAGATTCTCTCTAATAACACACACAGGCACCACCAAATTACGAGACAGGAGAAAAGGTCACAGCGCAACACACCGAGTTACCTTAAAGCTGGGTGCAAATAGACAGATGGGCTTAAGCGGAAACCATGCCTGGAGACAAACCACGAAGACAAAGGAAACGGGGGGAAAACCCAGCAATGAGATTGCATGAATTGAGACAGAAAGTAAAAAATATATACATGCAGAAATAATATTTTTTGAAAATCAACGGGTATAGGTGGGGTGAGAGTGAGGAAAAAGGCAAGGAGAGGGTATCTTTATGGAGGATTTGGAAGTTGTTCAAAGGAAGAATATGGAGGGACGGAAGACAAGGACTTTTGTCACACAGCCCATGATGATTTGATGGGGCTTTCTGGTGATCGGAGCCCCTGGCTGAGAACAGTCTTTCTCCCCAACACATTCTGGACTCCAATTCCCATCAGCCAACGGGGTCCATGGAGAGGAAGGATGGGAGTTGCAACCCAACACCTGGAAGGTTAGCCACTCCACCATGGACAGAGAGCCTGCCGCCCTCCAGGTTTTGCTGGATGACAACTACAGCGCCACCATCTGGAAGGCCAGAGGTTCTGCACCCTGCAGTGCGCAGTGACTCAGAAAGACTTATCCCTGGGTTCCAGGACCTAAATTACTTTGAGCTCAATGGGTGAATCCTACACCTGGAAGCAAGCTACTGAATACCATGGAGTAAACCTGCAAAGGATTGTGCTGAGAGTCAATTTAGGCAAAACCAGCAAAATGCATTTAAAGCACTCTGTGTACACAGTGTGAATATCCCGGTAGGCCTGTAAAGGCCCTCTTGGTAGTCAAGATAACCCCAGGACTAATTGGTGTGAGCTGTCAAATGAGATCATACATGCTCATCTGCTTTGCTTTGAAGCCTTACTTTTGGTTCAGTTAGTTGGGAGAGGGGAAGCTTCTCACACTGGCTGGGCTGTCGACTACTCCTTTTTTCCAAAAGATGGATGGGAGTGGGGAACAGGCCTCTAAGCCAAGGGTGGTTAACTGAGCTACTGTTGCCAGCTTACGTAGCTCGCTTTTCGTGTAAGTAGCCCATGTACAATTAGCCCCTCACCAACAAAGCCGCTTCAACATCCATCTTGAGGTGTGGCAGCAAGGAATTCAGCACTGCACTATTGCATGTAAGTCTCTTGGTATGTCTCTATAATGAAGTGCTAGAACTTTCTTTGGAATCCCTGAATCTGGGTTCTTCAGGGCATCAATCAATCCTTTGCCCTGGTCAGCTTTTGGACCCGTAGGACAGGAAACTATGATACCACTTTAAACAGTCATGGCTTCCCCCAAAGAATGCTGGGAGATGGAGGAGACAATTCCCAGAATTCCCTGGGGAAAGGGCTGGATGGTGAAACCACTCTGGGAATCATAGTTCTGAGAGGGGAATGGGGGCTTCCGAACAACTCTCAGCCACCCTCAACAAACTACAGCTCCCAGAATTCTTTTTTTGGGGTGTTTAGCAGCCATGCTTGTCTGAAGTGTTTTCATCAGGCTTCAAATGTATGTTGTGAACACATATTTGTAGTTTTTAGTAATTGCAGTATTGTAGTATATTCTACATAGTATAAGGTGTACTATACTAGTATAAGGTCTACTACAAAACTGTACCAGTTTCTATTTTAACCACCTGGCTCACATAATTAATTACTATTTTCCTTTCACTTCTGCACATCCTGTGGAGAAAACCATACAGGGGGAAAGATTAGCATCAACCACTGATAATTGGTTCGGTTTTATCGTTTCAGCATTCCCTGTGCAAAGGCGGTATTCCTTCTCTGCCCACAGATAAAACCTTAATGTCAAGAATACGCAAATCAGAACAGAAAGCTTCTGTCCCCCACCTTCATCTCACCCCCCCCAAAGAGAAAGCTTGCACTTTGTTTTGCTATTTCTGTCTCCTTGAAAAAGAGAAAATCTATTTCAGTTTGCCGCAATTTGGAACTGGGTGTCGAAAAGTGAACCCGGCTGTCCAAAGTTGCCATGCAAAATGATTAAACATTAATCCTGATGGTCACAGAATCAATATATAGTTTGGGGGGGGGGGTTGCGAGGGCAAGGAACACACCAATGACTATTTCTCTAAAAGTGAATTAAGGGCCGACTGTGCGATTTGAAAGCTTTTTTAATTGCCTTGTCTTTGGCCCTTAATTTACTTTTAGAGAAATATGAACACTGGAAACATTATGCAGAATTACAAGCTGGGGATTTAAAAATGATTTAAAATGCAACTTTTAGGGTACCGCTTTTCTGTTTGCTAAAAATGAGACTTTTGCTTTTCCCAATTGGTTTTGAATGCAATGCAACTGAGCACCATGAACAGTGCAACTGTGTAAGAACTCTTCCAGTTCCTCCTCAGCACTCAGCCAATCTTCTGCCTTCAAATAATTCTTCCCCTTTTGGTTTGTGGGGTCAGTCTGGATGATACCCAGAGACCCTTGCAGTTCTTGGATCCCTGTGCCCAAGAATCTCAGAGAGGAAGTTTTGCTGAACAGGTCAGACAAGTTTAAGACAATGACCTTAGCTGGCCACTGAAGTGTCCTCATCAGCATCCCAAAAGAATAAACCAGGTTGCAAGAGCTGCAACTAAGCGGTGGTGCCCTCCAGGCTAATGGGTGGGCCTTGTCTCCACCCACCCCACCTAGCAGCTATATAGGAGAACCATAGCCACAGCAATGTGGGTGAGCTGAACTGGAAGATGGAGACACAGAGACAGACTTGCTCTGTCCTGGATCCAAATCTGTGACTAATGGAGAAACAGGATCTGTTGGAGTATCAATGCTGTGAGCATGTCCATCTTGTCCTTTGGATGTATCTATGTGTAAATAAAACCATATATCCTAATGACACCACAGTCTCCGCTGACCTTCATTCCAAGGAAACTGAACCCTGGGAAAGGGCAGGCACACTCCGCGCCCCCGGGAGTCTCTCACTGCTCGGGGGTTGTGGTGGTGTGTAACGTGATTGCTCCTGAGCTTGTCACTTCCTCCCAGATCTCCACAGATCCAGGGTACAGAACCCTTTTCCTGCCTTTGTGGTGTGGCTCCCCTACCCTGCCGTAGACAAACACTAGAAAAAGAGGTACATACATTAATAAGTCTCCAGGAGCCGACATGGATCTCTCTTCTCGCCTCGCCTGGGCCTCAAATGGGTTGCTGAAAGATCGTTTCCTCAGCATGGCTTTCACTAAAATCTTTAGGGAAGGGGGTAAGAAGAAGAAGAAAAGAAATCAGGATTGCAAATGGATCACAGAGAAGAAGAACACATGCCACTCATCTATTTCTAGGAAGCCTTTCCAAACTTTCAGTCTCAAGATTGTGATTGCAGCCTTCTTTTTTTTAAATGTGATTGTATGTTTTTTGTTTTGCAACTGCAGCCTGTTCAGAAAGTTTTTCTCGCTCTCCAGTAATATTAGAGCTGATGGACATCCAATAAAGCTAAGTGTTCAAAGATTCAGGACAGATTAAAAAATGCTTGATATTTGATATTTATTTCTGTATACTGTCTTTTCTTTCTTTGTTTCAAGCTTTAATAAAAATAGCTTATTAAAAAAAGGATTCAGGGCAGATAGAAGAAAGCACATCTTCACACAGCAAGCTGTTAAACTATGGAACTCTCTCCCACTGGAGGCAGTGGTGGTCACCAATTTGGATGGTTTTACAAGAGGACTGGGCAAACGGCTGTGCTCTCCCCTCCACACTAGGAGGCAGTATTTCTTCTGAATACCACTTGATGGAAATCACGGAGATTGCTGATGCGCTTGAGTCCTGCATGTGGATTTTCTACAGGCATTGGTTTGGCCACTGTGAGAACAAGATGCTGGAACCCAGCAGAGCTACTCTTTTGTTCTTAAAGGGACAGAGTGCTCCAAGCACCTCAAATCACAAGGAAGGATTTCACAGTGGAAACAAGAACGTGCTTGGTAAAGGTAAAGGAACCCCTGACCATTAGGTCCAGTCGTGACCGACTCTGGGGTTGTGGCGCTCATCTCACTTTATTGGCCGAGGGAGCCGGCGTACGGCTTCCGGGTCATGTGGCCAGCATGACTAAGCCGCTTCTGGCGAACCAGAGCTGCACACGGAAACGCCGTTTACCTTCCTGCCGGAGCGGTACCTATTTATCTACTTGCACTTTGACGTACTTTCGAACTGCTAGGTTGGCAGGAGCAGGGACCGAGCAACGGGAGCTCCCCCCCTTGTGGGGATCCGAACCGCCGACCTTCTGATCGGCAAGTCCTAGGCTCTGTGGTTTAACCCACAGCGCCACCCGCGTCCCAATGTGCTTGGAGTCCCGGATAAATGCCAGAGCCAGCCGAGCCATAAAGGGGTGCCAAGCATCCAGGAGCATCTCCTTGCACTAACAGTTGCTTTGTTCCCAAAACTGCCTGGAGAAAGAGCGAGTGAGCAGCTGCCACACTTTTGGAGTAGGTGCACAGAGAGTTTTACAGCCCACTGCACCAGGGATGCCCCCTACATAGCAGCAGTGTTAGATACTCAGATACATACTCTAGGCACCAAATAGCTCCTTAAACCAGGGTTGCAGTTGCCAAAACAGAATGCCTAGTTGCCATTTTTGGGCCAGCCGGCTCGAAATTTGTATTTTTTGACATACTGGTTCCTGAAACTCATTCTGATTGTGCAGATAAAATATAACAGGTAGAATTCTACCGGATGTGGTGTTAGTGTGTGAAAACAGGCAAGATCCAAGGATCCCCAGGCATGCAGTTCCAGACGGTGGAGACATCAGGCGCCATCTTGACGCCTGGGAATCTTCACTTGGCCGCAAGTGGCCGATAGCCAGGTGCAAAATGTGCTTGGTGAATTTCAAATGCTGCATACCAGATTATGACGGTGGCTTCCAATATAAGCATTCTTATTATGTCAGGCTCGCCTGATAAGTTGCTTGCAATATATAGGTTGAGCAGGCATTTTGGGGCAGAAAAGAAGCAAGCGGAAAAACACAGACAAGGCTACTGTCAGGGCAGTAGCTCCTGACCTTCTGAACCAGCTCTCCAGTCAAATCCTAAAGCATTCATCTCAGCATTCATCTCCTTCTGCTGGGGAAAACAGGATCCAACCTCCTTCCACTCAGCAGCTTAATGTGGCATGGTGTAACGCAACTTTGGACAAAGAGCACCCACACCGGCCATTAGCCAAGCACCCAGTTCTGTACCATCAACCACACAATGCGGAGGGATGGTGGCTTTTAAACCCTGCACAACACAGTGTCGCGACGGCAGCGGTACGCACCACAGCAGGCAAACTCGGGATTGTCTTGACAGAGTTCTTCACTTCCTCCTCGGTGACCTCCACAATTGTGCAATGCTCCTCCTCGAGAGGCAGAGGATCCTCTCCGAACTTCGTCACCCAAGGGTGCAGCTGCATGGAAGACACAAGCCAAGGCTATCATGGCCAGGGCCAGTCCTAGCAAGAGGCAGAGTGAGGTGGCTGCCTCAGGTGGCAAATCCTGAGGGCTAGATTGGATGTGATGCCCTCTGCCATACTTGAGGGCAGATACCAAAAGATTCCAACTGAGAAACGACTCTGCCCATGTGGAGATGGCAGTCTGGAAACAGTGGCTCATGTTCTCCTGTCCTGTCCCCTTTATAAAGATCTGAGGAATGAGATCATCACCCCACTCTTACTTACCATCCCAGGCCGCCCATCTGCGGCCACATTGTGCTTTCTTTTATCAGATCAAAATGATCAGACAACAGCAAAGGTTGCTAGGTTTATCGAGGGTGCAATGAGATTAAGGGCCACTATCTGAACGATAATCTTGGTCATCTGATTGTTCTTTTTACCCATTGTTGTCTTTTTAATTATATATATTGCTTGTTTTATGTTGCTATGGCCGTTGGCTAATGCGAGTACAGTGGTGCCTCGCAAGACGAAATTAATCCGTTCCGCGAGTCTCTTCGTCTTGCGGTTTTTTCGTCTTGCGAAGCACGGCTATTAGCGGCTTAGCGGCTATTAACGGCTTAGCGGCTTTAAGAAAAAGGAAACAAGAACTCGCAAGACATTTCGTCTTGCGAAGCAAGCCCATAGGGAAATTCGTCTTGCGGAACGACTCAAAAAACGGAAAACTCTTTCCTCTAGCGAGTTTTTCATCTTGCGAGGCATTCGTCTTGCGAGGCACCACTGTAAAGCTTATCTATCTATCTATTATCTATCTATCCTGAGGGGTGGCAGCTAGGTGTTGGAGGGCACAGGCGGCTGGGGCTGGCTGAGGTCAGGCACAGCTTGGTGGGGCAACTCTAATAAAACTTAACATGTAAACGAGACGGACACTGATACTTAACAGCCCAGAGATGGCAAAATTCTAAGTCTGTGCAAGCCAGGGAGGTTCCAGGTTCAAACCCTGGCATCTACAGGAACGGCTGGGGAAAATCCTGCCTGAAACCCTGGAAAGCCATTGCCAGTCAGTGAGCTGGAAGGACTAGTAAACATATAAGGCAGCTTCCTTTGTTCCTATCAATGTTCATGTCCCACTTACCTTAATTTCGGGGACTGTGATCCTCGTTTCAGGGTTCTTTTCCAGCATCTTCAGGATCAGGTCTTTTAACTCCTCGCTGATCCAAGGCCTGGCAGAAAGAAAAACAAAGCGTTTGGTTGTGGGGGCAGAAGCTACAGGCTGCCACTCCTCTGTGTTCAGCCACCAAACTACTTTTAGGAGTTTTTTTTAAAAAAACAATAACCCCAAACTGGAAAAACTGGAGAAACCGGGATGGACATACCCAGTACAAGCAACAAACTCTCTTTGAAACATGCTGACATGGGGGAGATGGAGACCTAGGCCGCATATTGAATCATAGCAGCTCACTAGTGTAGAGTTGGAGGGGGACACCAAAGGTCATCTAGTCCAAGCCCCTGCAGTGCAGGAACCACAGCTAAAAGGATCTCTGACAGGTGGCCATCCAACCGCTGTTTAAAAACCTCCGGGGAAGGAGAGTCCACCAGCTTCCGAGGGAGTCTGTTCCATTGTTGAACAGCTCATGCCGTAAGAAAGTTTTCCTCTGTGTTTAATCGGAATCCCCTTTTTTGACATTTAAAGACATTGGTTCAGGTCCTCCCCTCTGGAGCAGCAGAAAACAAGCTTGTTCCATCTTCCATGTAACAGCCCTTCAGATACCTGAAGATAGCTATCATATCACCTCTCAGTCTCCAGGCTAAACATACCCAACTCCCTCAAGCATTCTTCATAAGCTTCGGTCATCTTGGTTCCCGCTCCTCTGAACACATTGCAGCTTGTCATATCCTTCTTAAACTTCAGTGCCCAGAACTGGACACAGGACTCCAGATGTGCTCAGACCAAGGCAGAATAGAGCGGTACTATAACTTCCCTTGGGGAAGAAATGGAGGCAGTGAGAGATTTTACTTTCTTGGGCTCCATGATCACTGCAGATGGTGACAGCAGTCACGAAATTAAAAGACGCCTGCGTCTTGGGAGAAAAGCAATGGCAAACCTAGACAGCATCTTAAAAAGCAGAGCCATCACCTTGCCAACAAAGGTCCGTACAGTTAAAGCTATGGTTTTCCCAGTAGTGATGTATGGAAGTGAGAGCTGGACCATAAAGAAGGTTGATCACCGAAGAATTGATGCTTTTGAATTATGGTGCTGGAGGAGACTCTTGAGAGTCCCATGGACTGCAAGAAGATCAAACCTATCCATTCTGAAGGAAATCAGCCCTGAGTGCTCACTGGAAGGACAGATCCTGAAGCTGAGGCTCCAATACTTTAGTCACCTCATGAGAAGAGAAGACTCTCTGGAAAAGACCCTGATGTTGGGAAAGATTGAAGGCACAAGGAGAAGGGGACGACAGAGGACGAGATGGTTGCACAGTGTTCTCGAAGCTACCAGCATGAGTTTGACCAAACTGTGGGGGGCAGTGGAAGACAGGAGTGCCTGGCGTGCTCTGGTCCATGGGGTCACGAAGAGTTGCACACAACTAAACAACAAAATAACTTCTCTTGATCTGGACACCAGACTTCTGTTGATGCAGCCCAGAATTGCATTAGCTTCCCCCCCCCTTTTTTTTTTGCTGCCGCATCACACTGTTTACTCATTTTATGCTTGTGGTCTACTTAGACTCCTTAGATCCTTCTCACATATACTACTGGCAATCCAGGTGTCCCCCATCCTATATTTGTGCAGCTGCTTATTCCTGCCTAAGCGCAGAACTTGACATTTGTCCCTAATGAATTTCCTTTTGCTTGTTTTGGCCCCTGTTCTCCAATCTGTCGAGGTCATCTTGAACCCCGATTCAAAATTTAACTACCTTACAAATCATGCTTTAGGAATGAGAACATTAGACCAAGCAGATCGCACCAGCTCCGCTGGAGCATAAAAACCTGTGAACTCCAAATGGGAAAACTAAGCAACGGCGCAGAACAAATGGTTTGTGACTGACTGGCTTCTGTCCACGCCTGAGTGCAGAAAATAGCAAGGTCTTTTTTAGTAAACAGAAGCTCCTTGGCCTCTGCAGCCAGCGCAGAATATGCTCGGCTTGCAAACGGTCCCATGAAACAGCCAATGCACTGACTGAGTCTCTGGGAGGTCTGTGGTGCAGCCAGGACTAATCTGATGATACTCTCCTTCCTTGCACTCTCTCCCGCCTCCAATCCCGCTTCTCTTACGGGCTTTATCAAATTAACAGGCTTAGGTTTAAACACTGAGTCAACACACTGCCATTCCCCTGCCTCTCTACACAAGCTAATGAGGAGAGAGGCCTTTCGAGATGGAAAGAACAGGTCACTGGGATGTCAAAATAAGCCAGGCAGCGAAGAGTTATTGCCGCAGGAGATGTTAGGAGGAAGAGGCCCAGCCAGCCCATTAAAAGCTAATCCCTTGCGGAGGTGGCAGATGTGAAGAGTCTCTCGCAGAGCTGACTAATAAACTCCAAATATATAGTTTGGAGGAGGAGGCAGGTGAAAGAGGATCATGTGAAATGGTGGAACTGGCAGGGAAACTTGAGATGGACAAGTTTCCCTAGTAAGAACCAAATACAGTGGTACCTCGGGTTACATACGCTTCAGGTTACAGACTCCGCTAACCCAGAAATATTACCTCAGGTTAAGAACTTTACCTCAGAATGAGAACAGAAATCGCGCGGCAGTGGCAGTGGGAGGCCCCATTAGCTAAAGTGGTACCTCAGGTTAAGAACAGTTTCAGGTTAAGAACAGACCTCCGGAACGAATTAAGTCCTTAACCCGAGGTACCACTGTAAGAGTCGGCTGGATCAGGCCCAATGGACCATCTAGACAAGAACACTGTTCTCACAATGACCACCCAGATGCCTGTGGGAAACCCGCAAGCTCGGACACAAGCACAAGAGCCCTCTTTCCTCCTGACGTTTCCAGCAACTGCTCCGAAACCCGGAGTACACTTGCCCCAGAACTCAGAGGGCTAAGCTGGCTAGGGGATCCTGCCAGGGCCCTGCCGGACTTATGCTGCCACGCCAAGAATGCCCCAGGGAACTCCCAGCTGACTGGGGACTTAATGCATGAAATGGCCATGGCACTGCAAGGCTTCAATAGTAAAATCTGAACCTGAGCTACTGCATACTAGCGTGCAGCGTCAGAGCAGATTAGGCAGCGCTGCCTCAGTGGGGCGTCTCAGGCCCCAGACAAGTTCAGTCTCCCGGGTTTCGGGGGGCAGCTTTACTGAGACATTTCACTGGCAATGCTGGAAGTCCTGGCAAGCGCAATGACACACCCCACGGGCATTGTGCACTCTGCGCTATGTGATGGGTGGGGAGGAAAGGGCAGTCGCCCACGGCCAACAATCACAGCCACATGGCCATCACCACCGGGACCTTTGCTGGACAACACCCCTTCTTTGCATTGACAGCCCCCCACCTCCAAATCACAAACCTACACCAACTTCCTAGCATACAGAAAGGGTGATTAAACAAGGGGCAGTATGGTTCCTTGGCTCAGCCTGGTTGTAAGGATCTCCTAGATACAGTGGTACCTCGGGTTACATACGCTTCAGGTTACATACGCTCCAGGTTACAGACTCCGCTAACCCAGAAATAGTACTTCAGGTTAAGAACTTTGCTACAGGATGAGAACAGAAATCGTGCTCCAGCGGTGCAGCAGCAGCAGGAGGCCCCATTAGTTATAGTGGTGATTCAGGTTAAGAACAGTTTCAGGTTAAGTATGGACCTCCGGAACGAATTAAGTACTTAACCTGAGGTACCACTATAGTCAGTTTTAGACCATTAACGGGGGCAGGGGGCAGTGAGGATGCTCAGTCCCTCCGTGTAATGCATGAGTTACAATCCAACACCGAAAACAAGCCCAGGGTTAAAGGAAGAGGGAGCTCTCTCTCCGAACACTTGCTGCTTCCCCCCGTTCGTTTCTCCACCCACCCACATTCTTCCCCCGATATTCCTTTTCAAGCGGCAGCGGCGGCGATATGATATCATCTTTACATTTCAATTAGGAACGAAGGATTAATTCATGCAAGTAGGTCAGGAATCCTTTGCCTTGGTGCAACGCCGAGTTGGGAGAATCACAGCTGCAGCATCTTCGCTCGAGACGCAAGTTTGGGGATGGGCTGGGAAGGGGACAACGAAACTTTCTACGAAAGCTGCGAGACAGGGATGGGCAATGTTGTTTTTTCTTCCTGCTAGGGGCTGCAATTCCTTGGGGGAGGGGATCTGCTGGAGCTGCATGTTGGCGGCAAGCGAGGTCAGTCAGAAGGTGAGGTCGGAGCCCCCCAAAGGGGTGAAGTCACCCCTTTCTGCCCTGCTTCTCTCTTTCTCTGCCACTCAGGGGCGGAGGAAGGGTGATGCGGTGAGTGCTGTCTGTCCTGGGTGTCACCACTGAGCGGGGTGACAAAATGCACTCACCGCAGGGCCTGCAGCGTGCTCTAAGTCATGTGTCTCTCCTGGGAGAGACACGGTGGCTTGGGCGCATGCAGGCTCCACGCTGGCCAAACAGTCTGCCCACTGCCTCCCCCACAGCTGTAGGGCAGCTGAGTGGGAGGAGGCAGGCAGACTCTGGAGGCCCCACGGTGCACCCTTGCCCCTATGGGTGGCTTGCCCCGCCCTTGCCCCTATGGGCAGCTCGCCCCACCCCTATGGACGGCTCGCCCCTCCCCAGGTGCCTGAGCGGCTTCCTCTGCCGCTGCTGCCACTCCCTACTCATTTTTCTCTGCCTCCCACTGCCCATTCTTTCTCTACCACCCCCTTCTCTCCCTTCTCTTGTCTCCCTTTACTCTTCCTCTCTCTCTGCCACCCCCTCTGTTCCCCCTGTCTCAAACCCATTGCCAGTCAGAGTAGACAACACTGAGCTAGATAGATAGACCAATGGCAGCTTCCTAAAGTATCACAGAATTATGGAATTGTAGAGTTGGAAGGGGGGGACACGGGTGGCGCTGTGGGTTAAACCACAGAGCCTAGGACTTGCCGATCAGAAGGTCGTTGGTTCGAATCCCCGTGACGGGGTGAGCTCCCATAGCTCGGTCCCAGCTCCTGCCCTTCTAGCAGTTCGAAAGCACGCAGTGCAAGTAGATAAATAGGTACCGCTCCGGTGGGAAGGTAAACGGTGTTTCCGTGTGCTGCTCTGGTTCACCAGAAGCGGCTTAGTCATGCTGGCCACATGACCCGGAAGCTGTATGCCAGCTCCCTCGGCCAATAAAGTAAGATGAGCACCGCAAACCCAGAGTCGGCCACGACTGGACCTAATGGTCAGGGGTCCCTTTACCTTTACCTAGAGTTGGAAAGGACCCCCCCTCCAAGGGTCCAGCCCTCCTGCAGTTCAAGAATCTCAGCTAAAGCACCCATGACAGATGGCCATCCAACCTCTGCTTAAAAACCTCCAGTGAAGGAGAAGCCACAACCGCCCGAGGGAGACTGTTCCACAGTCAAACAGCTCTTACTAGTTATCTGCAATTCAGGAATCCTGCCATCCCTGAGTAGACTCGAACCACCAACCAGGTTAACAGCCAGATGCACAGACCCATTGCAAAACCTGTGCACTTTAGATATTTTTCTTAAAATATTTCATTTTGATATATATGAATCTCCTTGTGTGCGTGTGTAAATATACAGGATCACATCTTCAGGCTCATTATTCATGTATTTATTTATACTTCTCCATCTATCTTTGAAGCCAAGGCTGGCTCCCAGTTTCTTGTCCTTGGCTGCCACTACAAGCCCCGCTCACATTTCCCTGGGTGGAAATTCCACAGTCCTGTCTTCCCTCTTGGACCTGTGACTTGGCCCTTATTGAAAGTGCCAGAGAACCACTAAGCCAGGATGCTATATCTGCCCACTCAGAATGGGAGGAGCTGGATGTAGCCTTTGCTGTGGGAGGTAAAGACTTTTCTCTCATGTCAGGCAGGACATATACAGAGTGGCTGGTAGGGGAGAAAAGAGGAGAAAAACAGATAACCAAATGGTGCAGCACTCATTAGGGGGGACCCTCTAACTTGCTAAAGGTCAGCGATGCCTAACTTGGTAAATGTTAGCAATGGCTAACTTGGAAAATGACAACAATGTCTAACTTGGTAGTGTCAGCAATGACCGGAGCAATGAGTCATAATCTCACTCCTTCCAGGGGCTCAGAAAAATGCCAGAGTCAACTGTGCTCAATGCTGCTGCGAGGTGAAGCAAAACCACTTCCTCTGGTCCACAATGAAGAAGAAGAAGAGTTTGGATTTGATATCCCGCTTTATCACTACCCGAAGAAGTCTCAAAGCAGCTACCATTCTCCTTTTCCCTCTTCCCCCACAACAAACACTCTGTGAGGTGAATGAGGCTGAGAGTCTCCAAAGAAGTGTGACTGGCCCAAGGTCACTCAGCAGCTGCATGTGGAGGAGCGGAGCCGCAAACCCAGTTCACCAGAGTACGAGTCTACCGCTCTTAACCACTACACCACGCTGGCTCTCTCTGAGAGGTAGTGAGAATGCAAACTTGTGGGTTAAGAGCATCAGGCCAAAGACACATCTTGTCCAGCATCCTGTTCTCACTGTGGTGAACCAGAAGCCCCAATGGGAGGTCTGCAAGCAAGACCTGAGGGCAACAGAAGCCCCTCTCCTCACTTGGGATTCCCAGTCATCTGCAGCACCCTTGTGCTCCACTGTGACCTGCAAAGCTTACTTACTCTTCCGGGAAATCCACCGGCTTGTTCTTGATCTTGTTGTGAAGAGCAAGGATAAATTCATCAATGAAAGGACACTGCAAAACAGAGCAAAGACAGAGCAAAACAGAGCAAAGGTTTGCATGCTTTTGTGAATCCTCTGCTTTAGCCCTCTCCTTTGCACTTACAGACTAAAACTCTATAACCAGTCCCAAGGAACCCTGAGAGCTCAGCTCTGCAAGGAGGCTGGGGCATTTCTGCCAGGGGTGCCAACTTGAATTAAAATATTGGGGGTGGGGTAGGTCACAAGATGTGTCGCACACACACCATTTGAATGGCAATGGTCATCAACTTCGAGGGGGACCAGCCCCCTCAAGTATTTTATTGGGGTGGGGTGTGTGAAGAGATCTTGGCCCCTATGATTCCTGCAGAGAGATTCTTAGAACATCTTCACACAAGACGCTTTTCAGTTCCACGCTTAAGAACTGCCTTCCTTCTCCATCATGAGCCTGCCTGAAATTTATGTTCTTTTTATAATTTGCTCAGGATTCTTTTATCTAATCATTTGGCAATTAGTAACCATCATCAACAACAGCTCCAGAAAGAAATTACTTCAGGCCATTAATCAGCCTCTGGCTGATTAATATTCTGCAGCCTGATAAATGTGTTTGGTGGGCACTGTTTTGTTGTTCTCGTTTTAACCATTTACTTTTGTTCTTGTGTTTTTGCTCTGTGAACCACCCTGAGATCTTGTGATGAAGGGCAGCATATAATTCTAATAAATGATAATAATCTGCTGCCCCTGTGGATCCAGCTGCCTGAGGCACCTGCCTCACCTTGCCTCAAGGGTGGGCCGGCCCTGCCCCAAGCACCACCACAAAAACCCGTCCCCCTTTTACAGACATCTTACCTTTCCATACACAAAGCAAAACAGTGTGATCCCCATGGCCCAGACATCTAGTGCCTGAAAAGAAGCAAACAGATTTTTAAAAAATCAGATCTCTGGGGAGGTTGCAACAAAATGTTGTGGTATAAAGTGCCCCCACTCAGAATACTCCACCTCTTCCCCATTTCCCCATTGCTACCCTCCAACTCCGGTTACAGCCAGTCAGCATTTTGTGGCCAATGAGCATGCTCAGCTCTTACTGGGCTCTTATTGGGGTCCCCTCCCCAAGCGGGGTCCACATCACATAAGCAGCATCCTACCTTCCCACTGAAGCTCTTCCCAGACTCAGAAAGGGCTTCAGGGGCCATGAAGGCTGGAGTCCCAGCAGTGCTGGAGAGCTGGGCATCGTTGCCCTCAAACTGATTGCTCACTCCGAAGTCGGCAATTTTGACGTGCCCGTCATCCCCCAAGAGCAAGTTGGAAGGTTTGATGTCCCGGTGGATGATCTTCTGGTAATGCACTGAAGAGAGGTGGAGAGGAGAACTTTTATAGAACCTTTCTTCTCAATCAGTAGTGGATAATCCTTTTAGTTTTATATAGCTTTATTATCCCTTTGGGGATGCACTTTTGTCCCTCCAGGCAGTGACATTTTATGGTTCGCATTTTTAATTCTTTGTTTACTTTTTCTCTGGGTTTTTTTTGTTGTTGTTCCTGTTTGCAATTTTTTGCTGCTGTGCACAACTCAATACACACGAGAGAGACTTTCTGTTCACGGCTGCGAGTGAAAGATCCCGATAACTAAGAGAGATCTGATTCTCTCTCCAGATGGAGGAGGGGCTGTTGCTCAGTGGTTAGAGCACCTGCACTGAATGCAGAAGGTCCTGCTGTTCTGTACAGTTCTTGTACTGGGGTATTGCTTAGGGTTTTTTTGTTTTGTTTCAATTGTTGTTTTTTAATATTAATGTTTTGCATCTTCATTTTAAATCTTATTTTAATGTGGAAATTGTTCGATTTGGTTGTGTAATTTTCAGTGTTTCAGTTCTTGTTTATGACTACCTTTGTTATGTTTGCCATTACATATTTCTTTCTTGCATAAGCTGCCTTGAGGATGGTTTTAACTATGGGAAGGCAACGTGGAAACAAAATTATGTATGTATGAATATATTCCAAGGGCAGCTGTGCCATAAATCAAGGTAATTTCAGCCTCAAGGCAAAGACTCTGCACCTCTCGACATGGTAGGTGTACAGAGTCTGAGGTCAGTTTCTTTTGCATAACCATCCCCTTGCAGCAAAAGAAAAAAAAAGTTTTTGGTGCATGGATGTGACCTGCATCTCTAATGCCGCAGCAGTGCTGCTGCAGTGCCCAGCTTGCAGTCTGCCGGTTTGGGTAATGGGACAGGGTAAAATTGCCAACCAACACACGGAGAATGCCAACAGGGCTATGTGAGCAGGAGTGTGTGTGTGTTAAGTCAAACAAATAAATGAATTCATTACGAAAAGGGTCCTGCTATGTTATCAGTCAAAACAGTTGGTTTACGGATGCTCGAGGAATCCCATCATTGCAAATGCCTGCATTCCTACAACCTCCTGGGCTAAGGCTTGGATCAGACCCTACTTAGCAACTGTTTCTTAATAATAATAATAATAATAAAATTTTATTTATACCCCGCCCTCCCTGGCCAGAGGTGGCTAACACCAATAAAATCACAGTAAAAATAAAAAACATGATAGGGGAAAAAGAAAAGAAAAAAACCCCAATTTAAAATACAGGTTCTTGCTGTTCTCTTGGTTACATGAACCTAGCAAATCACGCAGCCTTTCAAATTACGGGAAATGGGCTTTCCACTAAACATTAGGCAGAACTTTCTGACAGTAAGAGCTGTTTGACAGTGGAATGGGCCACCTCAGAAGGTGATGCGACTCTCCTTCACTGGAGATTTTCAAGCAGAGGTTGGATGGCAATCTGTCAGTTTAGTTGCGAGTTCTGCAATGCAGGGGGTTGGACTAGATGGCCCTTGAGGTCTACAACTAATCCAGAATGCGGCAGCTAGACTGGTGATTGGGAGCAGCCACCGAGACTATATAACACTAGTCTTGAAAGACCTACACTGGCTCCCAGTATGTTTCCGAGCACAATTCAAAGTGTTGGTGCTGACCTTTAAAGCCCTAAACGGCCTCGGTCCAGTATACCTGAAGGAGCGTCTCCACCCCCATCATTCTGCCCGGACACTGAGGTCCAGCACCGAGCACCTTCTGGCGGTTCCCTCACTGCGAGAAGCCGAGTTACAGGGAACCAGGCAGAGGGCCTTCTCGGTAGTAGCCCCCCTCCCTGTGGAACGCCCTCCCACCAGATGTCAGAGAAAAACAACTACCAGACTTTTAGAAGACATCTGAAGGCAGCCCTGTTTAGGGAAGCTTTTAATGTTTAATAGGTTATTGTATCTTAGTGTTTTGTTGGAAGCCGCCCAGAGTGGCTGGGGAAACCCAGCCAGATGGGCAGGGTATAAATAATTATTATTTATTACTATTGAGGTCCCTTCCCGATCTCCAATTCTATCATTTTTAATTGTCCTGACTCCGGGAGGGATGACTTTGATGACTGACAGGAGGGTTGTTCCACCCACCTGAGACCCCCATGCAGCATTTCCCAAGGGCACGACAGCTAGCGTGCCAGTACTCTTCCCCTTATAACACATACATCTTAAGAAACTGGGGACGGCAGGGAACTGAGACCCAGCCTTCGTTTGGGCTCACACCGGGCAGCTTCCCCACCAACAGAGAGCCAGTGCAGAATGAATCATGGCTTCTGGCAGGAGCTGATCCGAAGAGCTGCTTTGGCAAAACGTTCAGCTAACAAATGGGCTCCCAAGTTGGTTGTGACAGGTAATCATTACATGCAGGAACAAGCATGAAGGAGAGTTCAGCTCCTTGCTCAGACGCATCCTGGTATATAGGATGCTTTCTTGTCGCCGTTTCTGTCAAGGTTCCCCAGGGGAGGGAAAAACAACAATGCTACTTCCCATTGTCATGAAAACTTAGAATCATAGAGTTGGAAGGGACCCTGAGAATCATCTAGTCCAACCCCCTGCAATGCAGGAATATGCAGAGGTCCCATACGGGGATCAAACCAGCAACCTTGGCGTTATCATCAGCACCACGCTCTAACCAACTGAGCTATCCACTTGCACAACTACTATTTATTAGACGGCCTTCTCAGCAGTGGCGCCCTCCCTGTGGAACACCCTCCCGTCAGATGTCAGGGAGATAAATAATTGCATAACTTCAGAAAACATCTGAAGGCAGCCCTGTTCAGGAAAGTTTTTTATTGTCTGACATGTTATTATTTTTTATATTTTGCTGGAAGCCTCTCAGAGTGGCTGGGGAAACCCAGCCAGATGGGAGGGGTATTATTATTATTAAAATTATTATTATGGGACATCTTTGCCCTCTCTTCCTATTCTTCCTCTCTCCCTCCCTATTTTCCCTTCTTTCAATTTAAATATATTTGTGTGTGTGTGTGTGTATCTTTACTAATATCAAGGCTTGCAGTTTTGCAATTTGAACAAATTATAAACAAGCTCCATTTTTACACCAGCCTCATAATTCAATCTACCTTCTCTTACTCCTGGCTTAGGGAACCTTTGGCCTTCTAGATCTTGCTGGACTACAACTCCCATCATCCCTGACCACACTTGCTGGAACAGATGGGAGTTCTGGTTCAGCGACACCTAGCTGAGCAATTTTCAAATCAATACTTTTTACAGGGACCTCTGAGAATTGTAGCTTTATGAGGGGGATATAGTGGTCTCCTAACAACTCTCAGCACCCTCAACAAACTACAACTCCCAGAATTCTTTACGGGTTTTTTTGCAAGGTGGGGGGAGAAGGAACTACGACTATTTAAAGCAGTAAAAGGCAAAGGTAAAGGGACCCCTGACTGTTAGGTCCAGTCGCGGACAACTCTGGGGTTGCAGCGCTCATCTCGTTTTACTGGCCGAAGGAGCCAGCATACAGCTTCCGGGTCATGTGGCCAGCATGACTAAGCCGCTTCTGGTGAACCAGAGCAGCGCACGGAAACACCATTTACCTTCCCACCAGAGTGGTACCTATTTATCTACTTGCACTTTGACGTGCTTTCGAACTGCTAGGTTGGCAGGAGCAGGGACCGAGCAACGGGAGCTCACCCCGTCGTGGGGATTCGAACCGCCGACCTTCTGATTGGCAAGCCCTAGGCTCTGTGGTTTAACTGTGGTTTAAAGCAGTACCACAGTGCTTTAAAATGTTTCGTGCAAATGCGACCAGAGAGAGTAAGTTTGGCTGACTGAGATTATAGATGAAAGGAGGAAAGAAAGCTACTGCAAATGTCTGAAATGAAACCTCACAGCCTGTTTTCTTTCGCTGGCATCTTCATGCCTGGAAGCCAGCAGCCTGGGAACCACACAGATTCCACCACCATTCAGGGAGGGAGGGAAGAGAGGGGGAATGAATGAATGAACAAATGCACTTCAAGCACAATGGCACATCATGCCGTCTGCCGATTCTTGCCGCATTATATTTGATCAGCAGAGTTGCGTGCCGCAGTTCAAGGACAAAGAGCACTCCATAAGGCGCTGCCGCCACAGAAACACGCTTTTAGCTATCGGCTTCGCATCACAGCATCTGGAGGGGAGGAATGATTTAACACCCTATCAAAAGAAATCTGCAGCGGGGTGGGGGGGGAGAGATGTAGGGTGGGGGGAATCTAAAGGGAAGTGAAGACGGCGGGGAGAGGTCACAGGAACATAGAAAACTGCCTTCCACTGAGTCAGACCAAGTATTTGTCAACACTGACTTGGCAGCCGCTCTCTCTGGGGTTTCAGGCAGGGGGACATTCTCCAGCCATAAGACAGGAGCGAGCCTGCAGTCAATCGCAAGGAGCAAGTTGGAGTTAACTCTTTATTAGCAGTAAGAGGATCTGCACAGGAGTGTCAGGCCTAATGACCATAGCAACTCATCTCTGGTAGGTCTTGCTAGACTGGTGACTGGGAGCAGCCGCCGAGACCATATAACACCAGTCTTGAAAGACCTACACTGGCTCCCAGTACATTTCTGAGCACAAAAGTGTTGCTGCTGACCTTTACAGCCCTAAACGGCCTCAGTCCAGTTTACCTGAAGGAGCGTCTCCACCTCCATCGTTCTCCTGGACACTGAGGTCCAGCGCCGAGGGCCTTCTGGCGGTTCCCTCGCTGCGAGAAGCCAAGTTACAGGGAACCAGGCAGAGGGCCTTTTCGGTAGTGGCACCCGCCCTGTGGAACGCCCTCCCACCAGATATCAAAGAGAAAAATAACTACCAGACTTTTAGAAGACATCTGAAGGCGGCCCTGTTTAGAGAAGCTTTTAATGTTTAATAGGTTATTGTATTTTAGTGTTTTGTTGGAAGCCGCCCAGAGTGGCTGGGGAAACCCAGCCAGATGGGTGGGGTATAAATAATAAATTATTATTATTATTATTATTATTATTATTATTATTATTACCCTCCATGAAGCAGTTGCTGAGACTGAAGGTCCCGTCTTCTCACAGCTGCCCAAGTCGCCTCCTCTCCAAGCTTTCCCCCAAGCAATCGGAGACTAAGCCTGCATGGTTGTGTTTCCTGTGTTTGCTCCTCCCATTTCATGCCTCTCCTGGTCCTGGGAGACCAGCAGGGAGGGGAGCTGCTCACAGCAGGAAGGACAGACACCCATGACTCTGCATCAGCCTGACTCATCTGTCTCTTGGCCCCTCTCTAGCCTCTGATTATGGACTTCTTTCTGCCACAGACTCTCCCCACTCACTAAGCCCTGCTATCTCTTCAAAACCTCTTCATCCCAGTCCTCTCCCTCTTCTCCCTCTGAGCCACCAACCACGATCCGAGTCTTTTTCCCTTGGTGGTTCCCCAGCTGGCTCCTCCCACCATTCCTCTGTGTCCAACCAGTCCAAGACACCATACCTGTCTGTAGATGTCATTGGGGACTGGATCTTCCTGTATACCTGAAGAAGCGTCTCCACCCCCATAGTTCAGCCCGGACACTGAGATCCAGCGCCGAGGGCCTTCTGGTGGTTCCCTCATTGCGAGAAGTGAGGTTACAGGGAACCAGGCAGAGGGCCTTCTCGGTGGTGGCGCCCGCCCTGTGGAACGCCCTCCCACCAGATGTGAATGAAATAAGCAGCTATCTTATCTTTAAAAGACATCTGAAGGCAGCCCTGTTTAGGGAAGTTTTTAATATTTAATGCTGTATTGTTTTTAACACTCGATCGAGAGCCGACCAGAGTGGCTGGGGAAACTCAGCCAGATGGGCGGGGTATAAATAAATTACCGTATTATTATTACAGTGGTACCTCAAGTTAAGTACTTAATTCATTCTGGAGGTCTGTTCTTAACCTGAAACTGTTCTTAACCTGAAGCACCACTTTAGCTAATGGGGCCTCCTGCTGCCGCCGTGCCGCCAGAGCACGATTTCTGTTCTCATCCTGAAGCAAAGTTCTTAACGTGAAGCACTATTTCTGGGTTAGCGGAGTGGGAGTGCGTAACCTGAAGCGTATGTAACCCAAGGTACCACTGTATTATTATTATTATTATTATTATTATTATTATTATTATTATTATCTTCAGCATGCAAAGCAGATGCCCTGCCAATGAACTATGGTCTCTTACTTCAAGTAAAGCAAGGATCTAGTCCTGATTATTCTGAATAGAGGGCTGCTTTAGAGTGTAGGAAGCTGCCCTATACTGACAGAAAGAAAGGAAAATTGACATATCTGACTTAGGCAGAGCCCCTATGTCAGGTAAACCAGACGGGGGTCGATGGCGGAGCCCTCAGGAACCCAGGGGGTGTTTATATCTGGGTGCTTCCCTTTAACACCGAGGTTGGCATGGAGTCAGAGGTGGACATAGGGGAGCACGAACAATGGAAGGCGAGAGGAGGGGGTCTGTGTGTGCCAAAATTAGGCAGCACACAGGGCTGACATTGACTGCCACTGTTGGAGTTTGGGAGCACCGCAGCAGGACTGAGCTTGCGAATCGAGGCGAAAGTGAGCGACTGCGGTGCTTGCAACCTCCCTGTGGTTTCATCAAGTCCACACACACACACACACAGCGCCCTTTCTTCTTCCTAAACCTGCTTGTTCAACCGCAGATTAAAACACCTCCCTTGAGGCTGCTGCGCTGCCCGTCTCCACATTAACCGCCATGGGCTTTCCTGGACGCAATCAATAAAGGTGTTACGATTTGTAGGAAGGAAGCAGTGAGCAGAGGGGGGGCGGGTGGAGAAATTGATTCTTCCCCTCCACCCTGTACTCCTCACTGTAACAAGAACAGCTTGAGCCTTGCAAAGGGTGTGTGTGTGGGGGGGGTATTTTTATTTTTTTTAAAGGAATGAGGGAGTCTAGACAAAGGAGAGTAATCATTCACACATTACGCCTTTTCTGTAGCTTTGGGGAGAGTTCTGGCAAGGTCAGCCTGGCTTTTGGAAGGTACCTATCATAAGGTGACCAGATTTCCCCCCCAATGAATCCGGGGACACTTTTCAACTTCAGTCGAATTCAGTGGATTTTGTCAGGGGACTGATCTGTAAAATTGGGGACTGTCCCCGGGAAACAGGGACGTCTGGTAACCTTAACCTAACAGGTAGGGGACCCTAAGGATCATATCCAACTGCTCAGAGTAGACTCACTGGAATTAATGAGCCCAAGTTAGTCCATTACTGTTAATGGGTCTACTTTGAGAAGGAATAATACTGGGCACAACCCTGTGTTGCAACAGAATTTAAGTTCTTTTTATAAGCCTTAAAACACACACACACACACACACACACACACACACACACACACAGTTGCATTTTTGTTTTAGAGGCTCTTCTGCACAGGAACCCTTAAGAGCTGCTTCCAGTCAGGGTAAGAAGTATTGAGCTAGATAGGCAAATGGCCTGACTCCAATATAAAGCAGATTAAGGTTGAGGAACTGGATCTCGCTGGTGGATCAGAACCTTATTTCCTCCTCCTCCATCTCCATGGGCCAACCTTGACAGGCGGGCAGAACCACCCACCTGTCAATAAACCAATGTCATAACGGACACCTGTCAAAGTTCAAAGGAGGTCACTGTACAGTGGTACCTCGGGTTTACTTAATTCGTTCCGGAGGTCCGTTCTTAACCTGAAACTGTTCTTAACCTGAAGCACCACTTTAGCTAATGGGGCCTCCTGCTGCCGCCGCGCTACCAGAGCACGATTTCTGTTCTCATCCTGAAGCAAAGTTCTTAACCTGAGGTAATATTTCTGGGTTAGTGGAGTCTGTAACCTGAAGCGTATGTAACCTGAAGCGTATGTAACCTGAGGTACCACTGCACATGCCAATCTGCAGTTACAGAACCCAACTCTGAAGATGTACCTTCAGCTGATAGGCAACCAGGAGTGCACCTTCAAAGAGCTTTATCTGAGAGGTGATTTGATAGTCACCTTCAAATACCTTCAAGGTATTTAGGTGGGTCTGGGAACATTTCTTGTCTGAAACCCCAGAGAACCACTGCCGGTCAGTGTAGGCAACACTGAGTTGATGGATCAAAGGTCTGAGTCGGCAGGCGCCTATGTTCCAGGGGCCTTCAGATACGGAAGGTGGATGTAACATAGCTGGAGACCACCAGGCCTATGCTGTGCCAACCTCTCACATATTTCCAGAAGGGCCCGGAACAATCTAGAAAGCAGGTCCTAGGCCAGCTCCAAATATGCTTCTGGAGGCTGCAGAACGCGGCCTACCCCAATTTGTTTTTGGGTGCCCAGCCGCCCGAATGCCATGGAAACGTGTCATTTTGATACTCACAGTATTCAATGCCCAAGACGATGTCCCTTAAGTAGAGTCGGGCCTGTTCCTCAGTGAAGGGGGTGTCACACGGCACTTCCATGACAGGCCTAAAAATGGGGTAAAAAAAGGAGAACCAAGAAAGGCCTTTTCATATCATCACATAAGACCAATCTGGGAAGGACATGTTCAGTGGGGAGCTGCAATCAAACCTGACTCCCTCTATTCTCCATGGAAATCCTATTATATTTATACACTGCTCAACTTTTAGAAAAATCCTCTCTAAGTGTTATAAAATACTGATAAAATCCACATACTTAAAAAACCTACCCAGTCTCAGTCGTATTATTATTACTACTGCTACCATTAATTAAATTGATTAGTCGCTTTTTTGCAACTCAAAGCATGTTACAATTTCTTAAGCAAAAAGCAAACACCTAAGTACATTAAAACCAGCATTTTATTTTATCCTTTAAACCTACACTACCTAAAGGAGTGTCTCCATCCCCATCGTTCAGCCCGGATCCAGCTCCGAGGGCCTTCTGGCGGTTCCCTCCCTGTGAGAAGTGAGGTCACAGGAAACCATGCAGAGGGCCTTCTCGGTGATGGCCCCCAAGCTGTAGAACGCCCTCCCATCAGATGTCAAGGAAATAAACCATTACCTAACTTTTAGAAGACATCTGAAGGCAACCCTGTTTAGGGAAGTTTTTAATATTTGATGTTTTATCATGTTTTGAATATTCTGTTGGGAGCCACCCAGACAGCCAGATGGGTGGGGTATAATTATTATTATTACTATTATTATTTTTATTATTATTCCGCCCATGTAAAAAGGCCATATATGGTTAGAAACCAACGGCCCGATGAAGAAGGAATGTTTTTTGTCTGGTGCCTGAAGCTATGTAATGATGGCACTAGGTGAGCCTCCCTGGGGAGAGCAGTCCACAAGTGGGGAGCCACCTCTAAAAAGGCCCCTTCTTGTGTCGCCCACCCCCCAGGCATCTCATGAAAGGGGCAGGTTATGATCACAGAGTCCAGGTTGGTTCATATGGGGAGAGGTGGTCCTTATAGCAGCACTTTGAATTGAGAAACTAACTAGATCTGAATCTGGAAACTAACTGGTAGCCATTGCAGTTGGGCCAGGATTGGTGTTACATCCTCAGAGTGTCTTGCCACAGTGAGCAACCTTGCCACTAAAATTTTCATACTCAAGAGTAGACCTACCGGATGGTATTCAGCTAAGTTTGACTCAGAGCATACTGACTGAAATTAATCAAGAAGTAAGGCCTCTTAATTTCAATAGGTGTACTCCCGAGTAAGGCTTAGTTGAATACCACCCCATTTAGATGTATTTATTTAATTTATTTCATAAAATGTATATACCTCGATTGTAGAAAAAGCCTCAAAGTAGATATGATTCATACAGGCCCATTCATTTCAATAGGCCGACTCGGAGAATGACTAATGGATGCAACCCATTAAATAATCGAAGAAAATAAATAAATCCTTGCCCGCTAACGTGCCAACACTTGTTCTTCACACTTCACATTTTCAAGGAATGAATTCAGGTGACGATTAACATTTTTATGAGGAACGGGAGATCTACGCCTGACACAGCCACTGCTATTACTTTGTTGACTGCTTAAGCACTTGAAATAAGTCTTGGCTAACCTGAAAGCCCTCCCAAGAAGCTTTGGACTACAACTCCCATCAGACCCAGCCAGTACTTCTGTATGATGATGGTGGCGATGGGAGTGGTAGTCCAAAACATCTGGAAGGCACCAGGTTGGTTGGAGCCTGAGGAAACATCCAACTTAAAACATCTTTTGGACAGGCCTTTGGCCGTTATCTAGCAGTCAGGTTCAAGCTACTTACTTACCCCTTCCTCAGGAGGTCAAACACTGGAAGAGATGGAAAAGGGAAGAAAAATAAATAAAGGACGAGCTCGATTAACCACCTGCCTTTTAACTTGTGAGGCTGCAAGGCTATGCACACGCTTATGTTGAACGAAGTCCTATAAGCATGCAAGGGATTGTGCTGTGATTGAATTTTAGCCACCCGTACTCTATATAGGTGCATGCTCAGTGGGCACGGAACACCGGCTGGCTGTTGTGGGCATGGGGGACTGGAATGGAGTATCCTGGAAATGGACGTGGGTAGCTGAGTCGGACCCTGAACCGGAGAGCTCTATGAAATAATATTCTGTGCAGGTCCCACTTCTATAAATTGCTCCAAGAGAATCACAGAGTGGGCGTGACCTCAAGGATCATCCAGTCCAACCCTCTACAAATGCAAATCACAGCTAAATAATTCTTGACAGGTGGACCTTCAGCTTGCTCTTGGGCTGGGGACACGGCAACCTCTCAAGAAGTTAAACCCCCCTCTTCAAGAAACCAATAAAACCCACCGGCAGAATGAAAATAAAGCACAAAGCATGCTGATTATCTGTTGTGGGAGGGATCAGAAAATGCGAGGAGAGGAACAGAATGGAGCAACCTGAAGGGAGTCATGGATGGCTGGCTGAAACACTAAACAGGGGTAACCGCACACTGCGGCATTTTGTTGCAGGCCCCACTTGCAGCTGCTCCGCTTGAAACCCATTTGCCCCACCTGATCACACAGGTCGTCTGCATTTCCCCCCCCACACAACGGTTTGCCCGCAAATAACCGGTGCCGATCAACTACGTTTTTCTAAAAGATGGAAATGCCTACCCATGTACAGGTTGTCTTCTGCGGGGTCATCTAGTACCTGGAAGGAAAGAGATTTGTTCAAACCTTTGGGCCTCCACAGATCACAGGCCGAGGGAAGGAGCTTACGAACGACAGAAAGATGAGGATATCATTCTACAGCACAAAACACGGATCGGTTTTATGCTGTCCTGGATCCCCTCACAAGAAGCCTGGGAACTGTAATCCGAATGAAGGTGCTGAGATTGTTGGTAAAAGAGGGCTGAGTGATGGTGCTACAGGAGAGTAGGAAGGGGCAAGTTTCTGCCCTGTGGGTGTTGCCATCTCAAACCTGACACAAGGGACAATGGAGGCAAACATTTTGGGGTGTCTCCACCGTTGGTTTTACTCACGAGCGGACCCACTGAAATTAATGGACATGACCAAGTAAGCGCCATTAATTTCAGTGGGTTTACTCCCAGTAGAATGTAGATGGATATAGACCTTAGAGTGCAAGAACGTAAAGAGGCCACATTCACACCATAGATTTAAAGCACTACGATGCCATTGAAAACAGTCATGGCTTCCCCCAAAGAATTCTGGGATCTGTCATTTGCGAAGGGCGCTGAGAGTTGTTAGGACACCCCTATCCCCCCGCCCAGAGCTACAATTCCCTATGAAGAAGGGTTGATTGTTAAACCACCCTGGGAATTCTAGTTCTGTGAGAGGAACAGAGGCCACCTTACAGTTATCAGCGCCCTTAACAAACCACAACTCCCAGAACTCTTTGGGGGAAGCCGTGACTGCCGAAGTTGCCTTAGTGCTTTAAATCTATGGTGTGAGTGTGGCATTAGTTGCAATGGTGTACGGAGACTAGCAAGACTATATGGAAAAGATGGGTTTTTAACTCTTGTTTGCCTGTGGGACTGGGGAACAACATTATAAACGTTGCAGTCCTTCCCAAAGAGGGGGAAATTGCAAAATGTCTGGGGTTGGTTCCTGGAGAGCTTTACTCAGAACGTGGCCACATTCGAGAGAGAGAAAGATGCATTTTGATCTGAAAGCAGCAAGAGGATGTAAAATGCATCTGATCTCTGGGACAGTTTTAACAAAAGAGAGTTGGGTTTTGAAACTATTTTCTTCTTTATGTTCTTTAGCTTCCTTACAAGTAAAAAGCCTGCCCGAGCAGACACATACAGCCCCCATTACATGATCCTGCACGTGCCATTTGCAGGGATGCTTCAGTGTCAGGGATGAGGGTGGCGCTGTGGTCTAAACCACAGAGCCTAGGGCTTGCCGATCGGAAGGTCAGAGGCTCGAATCCCCAGGACGGGGTGAGCTCCCATTGCTCAGTCCCAGCTCCTGCCAACCTAGCAGTTCGAAATCACATTAAAGTGCAAGTAGATAAATAGGTACCGCTCCGGCGGGAAGGTAAATGGCGTTTCCATGTGCTGCTCTGGTTTGCCAGAAGCGGCTTAGTCATGCTGGCCACATGACCCGGAAAAACTGTCTGCGGACAAACGCCAGCTCCCTCAGCCAATAAAGCGAGATGAGCGCCGCAACCCCAGAGTCGTCGGCGACTGGACCTAATGGTCAGGGGTCCCTTTACCTTTATCTTCAGGGTCAGACACACAACAGAAACAAACAAACCTCAATCAGCTTGACAACGTTGATATGGTCCAGTTTCTTTAAGATGGCTATTTCCTGATAGATCCGCTCAAGCGGGGCCATGGGCTTTGCCTGTCCCCCGGCAGCAGCTTTTGACCCTCGAGGCGGAGGTCGACCTTTACCCAAAGGAACAAGTTGTACCAGTTTACACATTAGTTAGGAGTAGTTTTCCTTGTCTCCTTGCATGCTCATAAAGTTGTTGTCCTCCCAAACGAAGTATCGTCCCATATTGGCCCAGTTTTGCACCTTCCTTGAGAGTTTTTGCCTGGCTTTAATTCCCAGAATGCCCCTTGTTTGCCTAGACGGAAGTGTGTGCCTGCCCTACCTTCAGATAAGCTCCCCAAGCTGTAAAAAGGCACAGATACTTACGTGGAAATCCATACTGTTTCAATAGCTTCTTTTTGGAGAGGACTTTCATGGCCTGTAGTGAAACAGAAGGGGTGGGGAGGAGACGTGTATTATAAAAAGTCAAGTAAGTAGTAATTTGGAGCAGTAAGTAGGACCCATTCTATTTCTTAGTTTGTTTTAAACTGTTTTTCAATACTGTGTTTTAATTGTGGTCAGCTTCCCGGGGACTATAGGGTGAAAGGAGGGTAAACAACAAAAGAGGAAGGAGCGACAAATCTGCCAGTTGTGGTCTCTCGAGTTCTCTTTTCCCTCCACTCAGTTTACATTTGAAAAACAACGAAGCTATAGAATCAAAGAACTGTAGAGCTGGAAGAGACCACGATGGTCAGCGAGAGGGGTCGCTCTCCAGGCTTCAGCGAAAGCAACGCAAAGCCTCCAGAGCGCGGAGGGAACGCTCCCTCTGCGCTTCGGGGGCTTCGCGTTGCTATCACTGAAGCCAAGGAGCCTGCATTCGCTCCATAGGATGCACACACATTTCCCCTTAATTTTTGGAGGGGAAAAAGTGTGTCCTATAGAGCGAAAAATACGGTACTTCATTCAGACCCCACTTTTCCTCCAGGGAGCTCAAAGGTGGTGTATGTGGTCCTCTTCCTCCCCATCCTATCCTCACAACAAACCTGTGAAGTGGGTTAGGCCAAGAAAGTCTGTGAACAGTCCCCCAAGGTCACCCAAAGCAGGGATTTGAACTCTGGTCTTTTCCAGGTGCTAGTAGCCTGGCGCTGTCACCACAGTAATCTGAGCCTTTAAATCTGGACATATGTTTTAAAGGTAAGATCAAAAGGCAGAAGGCGCCAGAGCAACGCTCCCTCTTCTCTGCTGTAACCACCTTGAAGGGGGGAAAGGACAGGGATAGGCGACAATGAAAAAATTCAGCATATTGCCTGTGTGTGTGTTTGTTTGTTTGTGCGAGTGAGACAGAAAGAGAGAATCTGAATTGTTTCCAATTGTCAGAATTTTAAAAGGGTCCCAGGTAATTGGTGGTGCATTGCACTTGCGTGAAATATTTCCATTGCCCACTTGACAGCTCTCGTCAAAGCGCTATCGGTGTGAACGTTGTTCTGCAAAGTGGAGATACATGGAACATGCAATCTCTTTCGGTATGAAAAGCCGCCTGTCAATCAAGTAGCGTGGCGGGGAGCTAACCGGCCATTAGCTCATTATGCAATTTGGAGCAGTTTCTCTTATGGGTTCCCCCCTCCCTCCCAGGTGCCATTTTCTTTTGCTTTCTTCCTCAGTGGCCTCAGGCAATCTGGATGGCTCTGTGAATGAGGAGGTTTACTTGGTGAGCCGGCCAACAGGAACATCTTCCAAGATGTTTGAATGAGGAGTGGTGCTGTCCGCGATCTGTGCAGGGACCTTCCAACTTCCTTTTTTCAGCTTAGGCCACATTCATGTCATCCCAAGTGATACCCACTCTAAACAGTCATGGCTTCCCCCAAAGAATTCTGGGAGCTGGAGTCAGTTAAGGGTGCCGAGTTGTTAGGAGGTCCTAATTCCCCTCCCAAAACTACAATTCCCAGAGTTCCCCGGGAAGAGGGACTGGTTGTTGCACTACAGTGGTACCTCGGGTTAAGAACGTTTCGTTTGGGAGGTCCGTTCTTAACCTGAAACTGTTCTTAACCTGAAGCACCACTTTAGCTAATGGGGCCTCCTGCTGCTGCTGCCGCCATGCGATTTCTGTTCTCATCCTGAAGCAAAGTTCTTAACCCGAGGTACTACTTCCGGGTTAGCTGAGTCTGTAACCTGAAGTGTCTGTAACCCGAAGCGTCTGTAACCTGAGGTACCACTGTACTCTGGGATTAAAGAACATAAGAAGAGCCTGCTGGATCAGGCCCAGGGCCCATCTAGACCAGCCTCCTGCTCTCACAGTGGTGAGCCTGTGGGAAACCAGCAAGCAGGATTCGGGCACAAGAGCGACTCTCCCATCTTGTGGCTTCCAGCAACTGGTTTTCAGAAGCATTGCTGCCTCCAACTGCAACTCAGGGGACGAGGGGGCGGGAATAGGGATCTCCTTACAAACCCTCAGCACCCTTAACAGACTCCAGCTCCCAGAATTATTGGGGAGAATTCCTGCAATCTGAGCTGGCCTCCTCCATCTCTAGGATGAAGCCCACCCAAGAGACTGTGTTCCTGGACAAAGTGGGTTCTTTTGTGGTGGAACGGAGAGTCCGTTCTCAAGGCAAGTGAACTCAAATAAACACAGACAGGCAAGAGCCTGTGGTGGTGCAGTAGTTAGTGTTGGACTAAGACCTGGGAGAGACCTGAGTTCAAATCCCTCACCCCAAAATGAAGGTCGCTGATTGTGGGCCAGTCACTGCCCCTTGGCCTAACCTACTTCACAGGGTTGTTGTGGGGAGGGGGGTGGGTAAATGAGGAGGCGGAGAGCCATGTAGGCCAATTTGAGCTCCTTGGAGGAAAAGGTGAGGTATAAATGCAACAAGGGATGAGTGAAATTAGGCTCCCCTGAGAGGTCAAAATTGATTGGAGGGACTATCCAGCCACTTGCATAGGGAACGGAAGGGAGCAGGGTAGGAACTTACATAATATTGGTCGTCACTTTCATTGTAGGCCAGCTTCACGACGCCATAGGAGCCCTAAGAAATAAATGCACAGACAATGTCAGTTCAGACTAGAGAATGGCTCATTGAAAAGTATGTTCGACATTAGCAAAAATTTTTGGAAAGAAATACTAGGATGTATGAAAACTACTGTGAGGAAAGAGTTGAAAATTCCAAAACATCCTCTTATACCTAATATATGGGGCATGACAAATGGTCAACATAAATGGATTCTCTGGGCCTGGACATCTGAAAAAAAAATTAATATTGATACACTGGAAGGACAAAAATGTGGCTTTCTTTGATCAATGGGAGGATGACATGAGAACTCTTGCAACCTCTTGCAGATTTATATGTACCTTTCATGTATTAATACACAGTTCTTTACACCTTTTTGCCTAACGTATCTATTTTCTGTAAGCTGTTTCCCCAAAATGCAATTTTCTCATGATGCCTTGCACGCTTTTCATTGGGCGAGCTGCACCCCAAAAATTAAGAGAAAAGTGGGGTTTTGAAGCACAGAGGGTCCACGTGTAAGTTCTGGAAGTATGAACAAAGGCTTGGAGGATGCAGTTTGGATTCAAACGCTTGCTGCGGTGCTTTAAATCCAAGCTGCTTTCTCAGCAGCGGGGGGAAAACAAAACAAGAAAAATGCCGCCTTGAAAAAAAGGAGCATATGTTCGTTCTGGTGGAAGGAGTTTGCACTAAAAATGCTGCTTACTTGGAAATGAAAAAAAGAAAGAAAAGCTCCCTTTCTAAATGCTCTGAATACAAACCTCCTTCTCTGCAGGGGGAAATATGTTTCGTTTTGAGTACTTCAAAAGGGCTTCCACTAAACATTAATCAGCTGGTCGGCGGCTACAGAGACTCCCTTTGAAAGTGCAACTCCCAGTGCTGAACGGCGCCCGAAGCACATCTTCAAAGGTGGCTGCTGTAACTGCTGATTGGCAGTTGTCAGTTACTTCCCTTGGACTTTGACAGGTTTCAGTCACCTGACATCATTGTGACATCAGGTTGCTGACAGGTGCGCGGTCTTGCCCACCTGTCATCGGGGTTGGGGAGTAAGGATGTGGCCCGCTGGCCGGATACTGTTCCCCAACCCAAGTCTGCCTTATAAACTGAGTCAAGACCGCTGGTCCTCCTCCTAGCTCAGCACTGCATACACTGACCGGCAGCAGCTCTCCAGGGTTTCAGGCTCAGGTGCCTCTCTCAGCCCTACCTGGAGATGCTGCAGAACAAACCCGGGGCCTTCTGCATGCGAAGCAGGTGTCCTGCCACTGAGCGATGCCCCTTTCCCTGCTTCTTTTTTTTTTTTAAATGATATTTATTAAAATTTCAGAGAAAAAAGAGAATTACACAAAAACAAAAAGTAAAAATACAAAAAAAATACAAAATACAAACTACAGAATAAAAGAATAAAAGACACTTAAAAAAAAAAAAAAGAATAATAATGGATCAATCTTTCCATAGCTTACATTCATATCCTTGTTTCCCTGACCTCCTCATACCTCCCTTTTTTGTATTCCAGTTCAATTAGTTAAGTCAGCAATTTCTTTCCCTCTTTGTTTTCTCATGATCCTTTAACTTAATATACTATAACTTTAAATTTTCATCTGTTATCAATCCTTTTTTTACATACACCTTTATAGCATTACTGCTTAAACCACCTAGCTTCATTCCAACATCATTCTAACATTCATTAATTTTGCAATATTTCTGTAAATAGTCTTTAAATTTCTTCCAATCTTCTTCCACCGACTCTTCTCCCTGGTCTCGGATTCTGCCAGTCATTTCCGCCAATTCCATGTAGTCCATCACCTTCATCTGCCATTCTTCCAGAGTGGGTAGGTCTTGTGTCTTCCAATACTTTGCAATAAGTATTCTTGCTGCTATTGTGGCATACATAAAGAAAGTTCTGTCCTTCTTTGGCACCATTTGGCCGACCATGCCCAGGAGAAAGGCCTCTGGTTTCTTCAGAAAGGTATATTTAAATACCCTTTTCATTTCATTATAAATCATCTCCCAGAAAGCCTTAATCCTTGGGCACGTCCACCAAAGGTGAAAGAATGTACCTTCGGTTTCTTTACATTTCCAACATTTATTATCGGGCAAATGATAGATTTTTGCAAGCTTGACTGGTGTCATGTACCACCTGTATATCATTTTCATAATATTCTCTCTTAAGGCATTACATGCCGTAAACTTCATACCTGTGGTCCATAACTGTTCCCAGTCAGCCATCATTATGTTATGTCCAACATCTTGTGCCCATTTAATCATAGCAGATTTCACCGTTTCATCCTGAGTATTCCATTTCAACAGCAAGTTATACATTCTTGACAAATTCTTAGTTTTGGGTTCTAACAGTTCTGTTTCCAATTTTGATTTTTCCACCTGGAAGCCAATTTTCTTGTCCAAATTATATGCCTCCATTATCTGATAATAATGAAGCCAGTCTCGCACTTTGTTTTTTTAATTTCTCAAAACTCTGTAATTTCAGTCTATCTCCATCTTGTTCCAAAATTTCCCAATATTTTGGCCATTTGACCTCCATATTGAGCTTTTTCAGAGCTTTCGCTTCCATCGGTGACAGCCACCTTGGGGTTTTATTTTCCAATAAGTCCTTGTATCTTATCCAAACATTAAACAATGCTTTCCTGACAATATGGTTTTTAAATGCTTTATGTGCTTTGACCTTATCATACCACAGATATGCATGCCATCCAAATACATTGTTAAAACCTTCTAGATCCAAAATGTCAGTGTTTTCAAGAAGCAGCCATTCTTTCAACCAGCAAAAGGCTGCTGATTCATAGTAAAGTTTAAAGTCTGGCAGGGCAAATCCACCTCTTTCCTTTGCATCTGTTAATATTTTAAATTTTATTCTAGGCTTCTTGCCCTGCCAGACAAATCTAGAAATATCTCTCTGCCACCTCTTGAAACAGTCCATTTTGTCCACAATTTGCAATGTTTGAAACAAAAACAACATTCTAGGCATTCTGCTTCTGTCCTGCCATCTGACCACTTCCTGTCGGAAACAGGATGTCGGACGAAGCGGTCCTTTGCTCCGATCCGGCAGGGCTCCTGCGATGCCCCATCGAGAAATGCCCAGAAGATTTTAGTTGTTGTTGTTTTTTTAAGCAACTTCTCTCTTGAGATGCCAAAAAAATGTAAATTGTTGTTGTTTAGTCGTGTCCGACTCTTCGTGACCCCATGGACCAGAGCACGCCAGGCACTCCTGTCTTCCACTGCCTCCCGCAGTTTGGTCAAACTCATGCTGGTAGCTTCGAGAGCACTGTCCAACCATCTTGTCCTCTGGTCGTCCCCTTCTCCTTGTGCCCTCAATCTTTCCCAACATCAGGGTCTTTTCCAGGGAGTCTTCTCTTCTCATGAGGTGGCCAAAGTATTGGAGCCTCAGCTTCACGATCTGTCCTTCCAGTGGGCACTCGGGGCTGATATCCCTCAGAATGGAGAGGTTTGATCTTCTTGCAGTCCGTGGGACTCTTAAGAGTCTCCTCCAGCACCATAATTCAAAAGCATCTATTCTTCGGCGATCAGCCTTCTTGATGGTCCAGCTCTCACTTCCATACATCACTACTGGGAAAACCATAGCTTTTACTATATGGACCTTTGTTGGCAAGGTGATGTCTCTGCTTTTTAAGATGCTCTCTAGGTTTGCCATTGCTTTTCTCCCAAGAAGCAGGTGTCTTTTAATTTCGTGACTGCTGTCACCATCTGCAGTGATCATGGAGCCCAACAAAGTAAAATCTCTCACTGCCTCCATTTCTTCCCCTTCTAATTGCCAGGAGGTGAAGAAATGGAGGCAGTGAGAGATTTTACTTTCTTGGGCTCCATGATCACTGCAGATGGTGACAGCAGTCACGAACAGGATGTCGGACCAAGTGGTCCTTTGCTCTGATCCAGCAGGGCTCCTGCGATGACCCATCTGCAAATGCCCAGAAGATTTTAGTTTCTTTTTTCCCCTCTCTTGATATGCCAAAAAAATGTAAATAAAGGTGCTTAAATGGAAGGAGCTAAACTGAGTTCAAAGGCAGATGATCTACCTACGCAATCCTTTTCATCGGTTTAAAGAGATTCATGAGGATGGAAAGCTCTTTGATCAGGCAGAAAGAACTTCTGTCAGTGGAATGGGGAGATGGGTTATTTTTTATCTGGCCAATTCCCTCTTCCCCACCCCAACTCCCACAGACTTCAAAATTCAATCGTCAGGCCAGGGTGTTCCAACATGGAGGGCCTGAGGGTTACATACCTTTTTCCAGCAACATTTCATGACTTCCCACCCCCTGCCTTTCCAAGGTCAGGTAAGGAGGTGCTGGGCTTTGGGAAAGAGGTGTGTGGGCTCTGAAAGGGTCCCAGAGTCCTCCACGCTCCTTGCCAAAGCCTAGCTAGCGCTTTCCCATCTTTGGGAAGGAGGTGGGAGGGCTCTAGGACCCTGCCAGGGCCTTGTGCCTCCTTCCAAAAGCCCAGCACCAGTTTTGGAAAGGCAGCATGAGGGCTGGCTGTTCTCATGTTCTTGCAGAACATGCTTATCTGTTGGGCTGCCTCCCAGGGACACTTATGTGTTGGAGCACAGACTTTAGGCTCTTTTCCATGAAGGGCAGAGGAAGGGGACATCTCTGATTCTCGTCACGCGCAGCCCAGGTGCTGCAGTGCTGGGAACTCTGCCATGTGCAAATTTCGATATACACAGTCATTATCTCTGTAGCAGGAGGCTGGCACAGGATTCCCAAAGGCAGGCAGGAGAAGAACACCAGCCGTTCCTCCGCTTACCTGCTGCCTGTAGCGGGAAGAGGCTTGGATCAGTGAAGTCAACAACAGCACCTTCCCCTTATTCCTGCAACCTCACTTGTTCGGCACATTGAGGCCCATCAGATTTGTTAAGAGTGAGCCGGCATTGCGGCAGGGCTCCAAGACATAAGAAGCGGCTCAAAAACTCACAACCAAATGCCACGCTGGCTTCCGGTTCCGCTCTGCCTTAATGGAAGCAGCCCTCATGACATTAGGAGATCATTGGCAAAGGAAAAACAAGGATGATTGAGGGCAATTATCCTTGCAAATTCCCCCCCAGGGACAGGGGGGGGCAGGCTTCACTTCACTCACAGTTTGTCTCGAACCTGGCTCTCCTCCGGCATGGAATGGGGGGGGGGCAAGGAGGCGCTGAGTGCAAAAGCACTTCACCTGCCGAAAACCCTCCAACGCTGCCATTAAGAAGCAAAGGTTCTCCTGTTAATTAGAGCTTAATTGGACTAAAGTACAGTCATGTGCTAGAAGAGATGAGATCGCTAACTGTGGAAAAAACCAATTGCAAGGACATTACGGTTTGAACTTGAGATAAGACTTCATTCGGTGCAAAAGACGGTGGGGGGAGGAGAGCCTACAGTTTCTTTATTTAAAGTTTTCTTCTCTACATTTATGATTCAGCAACCCTCCTCTGAATGCTAGTTCAAATTATATTTGTACAAGCGAGGATGGAAGAAATTGGATTATAAATATGGAATATAACATCAAATGGAACTGTGTGTGTAAAAAAGGGGGGGAAAGGAAGGAAACTCTATTTTGCAAAAGGTTTACGATGGAAACCATCCTTTATTATTTACATATGAACTGAATAACACTAAGAGGGCTTGGAAGTATAACTGCTTATATATCTTCAGTTAGAAGGCAGGATGAAAGGAGTCGCCATCGGGATTTTGCATTCTACCTACAGTTCCAAGATAGCATGGAAGGAACTTGGAGCATAAAATAGTATAAAACGGTCATTAGAAGCAGCGATTAAAAACAGATATTTTAAAACAGTAGGCATAATAAAATTATCAACATATAAATAACAATCAACAGGTTTTTTTAATAAACATATACAGAATAAAATTGCATAGAACCCCAAAAATCTACTTCAGATGAAGCAGTTGAGGAAGAATTGTGGTTACATACCTTGCCTATTTCGCTTTTCAACTTATATTGGTTCAGCTGAACACAATCCTGGAGGGGTAGAAATAGAGATTCAGTTAGGGTAGCTAGTTCAAAAGGATTGCATTTGGAGGCTGAGATGGGCAAATTGGTCAGTTTCTCATTTTTCCAGTTAGCTCTCCTCACATCCACATCAGCTGACTTTTTTTTTTTTTAAGTAATCACGAAAACCCATCAGCATTTTTGTGAGAATTTCTAATGCAAACATTCCCGGATGCTCTTTTGCCCAATATCCCCGATTCCGCAGAGCGCATTTCCCCTGAAAGTTACGTTTCCCGTAATATAATGCACTTCTGTATGTCCTTTTCGCCAACACATGCATTTTAATGCACGTCTCAATACATGCATTTTGGCACACAATTACCTTGGATGGTAAGAAACTGCGTTTCAAAAATTTGGATACTTTCAAACATCAAGGGATGGCTGTGTTTCAGTTTGGGAGCTGTTTTGGATACTGTGAATTAGGTAATATTTGCCTTTCGATGCAAATTGAACCGAATTCCTCCCTCGCCCCCAATTCAGCGACAACAGCGAGAGCTAATCATGGCATCTGAGCACCGCAACCCAGCTTCATTGTGAGGCGATGAGGAAGAATACCCCCTTAGTATTTGTGATCTGCAGACAGGAAAAGTACACCCTCTGAGGCAAGCCAGGTTCCCTCTGCCTGTCACTTCTCCTCAGTCACACATCTGAGTGAGCTGCTAGGTCCGCTTCCCTCAGCTGGATGCATGAAGCGAGTCTTTCCGTTTTAAAAAGGGAGGAAGCGCTGCCGTGCAGAGAGGCTGTCAAATGCGATCGGGCTCCGAAGGCAGCTCGCTCTGAAGGTTTTTTGCCGCCTCCGGCCAATTTTTGTACGAAAAGTCTGCCCTCTGCCAGACGCTGTAGTCAGCATAACGCACCAAGCCATCTAAGTCTTGGTTGGGATTTGTTAACGGAGGATACGTGAGGCAAAATAATCTGGGTCTATTCATCAGGTGCATTTTAGCTGATTAATGGACTCACTGATGAAGGAAGCAACCCTAAACACACTTACTAGGGCCGTGTTTGCCGCGCAGTGCGTATCTAAACTATGGAACTCCCTCCCACTTGAGACAGGGGGTGGTCACCAACTTGGATGGCTTTAAAAGAGGATTGGACAAATTCACAGAGGATAGGACTATTGATGGCAACAAGTCACGCTATGCTCTGCCTCCATGGTTGGGGTTTATTGGTAAGTGCGTTTATTTGTAGTAATATGCTATGATCGAAGTAATGGTTTTCTATTTTTGTAAACTGCAGCCGGTGCAGAATTCGGCAGCCAGGTTGCTTACCAGGGCAAAATCCTCTGAGTATGTAATACCAGTCCTGGCCCAACTACTCTGGCTACCAATTGGTTTCCGGGCCCAGTTCAAAATGCTGATTCTGACCCATAAAGGTTTATGTGGCTCAGGGTACCAACACCTCAAGAACTTTGTCTCTCTGTATGAACTGACCCAGGCGCTGCGATCATCACCTGAGGCCCTTCTTTGTGTGCCCCCCTCCATGGGACGTTTGGAGGGTGGCAACACAAGAACAGGGCCTTTTCAGTGGTGGCTCCTTGCTTGTGGAACGCTCTCCCCAGCGCAGCTCGTCTGGCGCCATCATTACATAGCTTTAGGTGCCAGGCAAAAATATTCCTTTTTTTATCAGGTCATTTACCTAAGGCCTTTTCGCTGGGATGTTTTAAGTTTGTTTTTTCTCCACGTGCCCCACACAATGAAATCCTGAGGGCTGTTAAGATGAAGAGGGCCTTTCTGCAAAGCCCCTTCCTTCCGGTCTGTGAAATGCTATCCTGAGAGTCCCTTTTCATTTCCTTCCCAGCCAAAGGCCTTTTATTGTGCTCCGAAGCCTTTTAACACCTCTCTATCTTTAAAACATCATTGCTCTTTTAATTTCAGCTCCGCAGGTCGATGACAAATGAGCTTCTTCTTCTTAGTTTTTCCAGCTGAGCTGAGTTTTCTCAGATTCTTAACTGCGGCTTTAATCGGCATCTATCTATGCTGGATTTTATTGCCAGGGAGGGTTTTTTAAAATTGATTTATGTTTTTTATTGAATTTTATTGCACAATTCAATGTGCAATGTTTTAATTTTGTCTGTGTTACCTAGAGTATAGTTTTATCTTAAGCAAGCAGCTTGTAAACTGAATAAAACAGAACATGATACAGCCGGCCGTTCAGCTTTTGGTCCACTGAAAATATGTTCAATCCTCCCCTAAAAACATGAGTGGGAAAACATTTCCAGTCTGAGGGCCATATTTCTGTCCAAGGCTACCTTCCAGGGGCCACATTCTAGTGGTGGGCGGAGCCAGATTCAAAAGTGAGTGGAGCAGGGAATGTGACTTTTACCTTTCTACACTGGCCTAGTTTCTATAATCACACGCCCCTCCCTATCTTCCATCAAGATAAGCAAGAAGCATCATCAGGACTGAAGGTCATATTCCAGCCAAGCAAAAACACTCAAGAAGGGTGTGAAGGCCTGGTTCCCATGGCAACTAAGGAGTAAATACAGAAGACCATTTTTCTAACAACTCAGCCCTGGGTCCTGTGTGAGTGTCTGAAAGTGGCTGGAGGATGGATGGCAGCTAACAGATTGAGGTTGAATCCTGACAAGACAGAAGTACTGTTTTGGGGGGACAGGAGGCGGGCAGGTGTAGAGGACTCCCTGGTCCTGAATGGGGTAACTGTGCCCCTGAAGGACCAGGTGCGCAGCCTGGGAGTCATTTTGGACTCACAGCTGTCCATGGAGGCGCAGGTTAATTCTGTGTCCAGGGCAGCTGTTTACCAGCTCCATCTGGTACGCAGGCTGAGACCCTATCTGCCCACGGACTGTCTTGCCAGAGTGGTGCATGCTCTAGTTATCGCCCGCTTGGACTACTGCAATGCGCTTTACGTGGGGCTACCCGGAAACTATAACTAATCCAGAATGCGGCAGCTAGACTGGTGACTGGAAGCGGCTGCCGAGACCACATAACACCGGTTTTGAAAGACCTACATTGGCTCCCAGTACATTTCCAAGCACAATTCAAAGTGTTGGTGCTGACCTTTAAAGCCCTAAACGGCCTCGGTCCAGTATACCTGAAGGAGCGTCTTCACCCCCATCGTTCTGTCCGGACACTGAGGTCCAGCGCTGAGCGCCTTCTGGCGGTTCCCTCACTGCGAGCTGCCAAGTTACAGGGAACTAGGCAGAGGGCCTTCTTGGTAGTGGCACCCGCCCTGTGGAACGCCCTCCCACCAGATATAAAAGAGAAGAACGACTACCAGACTTTTAGAAGACATCTGAAGGCAGCCCTCTTTAGGGAAGCTTTTCATGTTTAACAGACTACTGTATTTTAATACTTTGTTGGAAGCCGCCCAGAGTGGCTGGGGAAACCCAGCCAAATGGGGGGGGTATAAATAATAAATTATATTTTATATTATATCTTGGAGTAAGAGACTTCCTGTCATGGGCTGGTTGAACGCAGAGGAGTGGTGGGAGGAACCAGATGGGGAGCCACCAAGGGAAGAAGGCTCAGAGTGGTGGTGGGACAACGATGAGTGGTCACAGGGAGAAAGGAGATCAAGAGGCAGAGATGAATCAGGCTAGTGAAGAGTCACAGGTGTCTCCTGCTGCAACAAGCTCCCCTCCTCCCTATGTCTCCCAGAACCAGAAGAGGAATGAAAAGGGTGGAGCAGCGACAGGCTGCACACAGGCACAGTCTCCGATTGATTGGGAAAAGTCACGGAGAAGAGGGGACGGCTGTGGGGATGCAGGGACTTTCAGTCACGACAACTGATGTCATGGAGGAGCACCAATGGGGATGAGCTGCTGTGCCTATTAGGCCTGACACTCAGCCGAGTCTATAGAGACTGTGTTTTTGCAAATACACTCGTACCTTGGAAGTCGAATGGAAGCCGTTCAGAAACCAAAGCACGGCTTCTGATTGGCTGCAGGAAGCTCCTGCAGCCAATTGGAAGCTGTGGGAGCACCGTCGGACGTTCGGCTTCCAAAAATAGTTCGCAAACCGGAACAGTCACTTTCGGGTATGCAGCGTTCGGCAGCCAAAACATGCAAGAACTAAGATGTTCGAAAACCAAGGTACGACTGTAACTCCAACTTTGAACGGTGTGATTTACTGCCGGCTCGGCTCTGTGACATTTCCTCTGCTTCATCATTTTCCATTAGAACTTGTGGACATCCAAAGGAATGTTAGAAGATTTGGGGCAGAGAAAGATTTGGGCAGAGTTAAACTGTGGGACTCTCTCCCCATTTGGACGGCTTTAAAGGAGGATTGGACAAAGCTATTAGCCTCCACAGTTGGGTCCTGGTTGCTGGTCTCCCACAGGTGTCTGAGTAGCCACTGTGAGGACATGATGCTGAGCCATTGGCCGGATGCTGCAAACCTTTCTTCTGCCCTTCTCTGCCTCTGATGAAATGGCTTGGGTTTTGTGTGACTGGGGGGAAAGCTCCAGACACCTGATACAAGAGGGTAGGAGGGCTACATTTGACCCCAGGCCTAAGGTCTTAAAATGCATTGCTGTCTAAGGATGCAATCCTTCTCTGTTGACATGAGCGCAGCCTCAGTTGTGTAGCACAGCAGGCAACCACCAATCCATCATGGATCTTCACCAATGGGGATAAGCCAACAAAACAGCTGTGATTGATTTCATCTTCGTTTTTACCAGGGCTGTAACTTGCGTAATGACTCACAACCACGGTGTGATGGATAACGCTGCCTCTGACAGCGATGGATGACCCCCAAGCAGCCTGCACTAGGGGAAAGGTGTCGCTTCGGAAAGTATTCCAATGTATCTGAATGTCGCCAGAAAGGGGCTCAGGGAGAAAGACGGTTTGGGGTGGGGCAAATGCCACGCCACGCTCAACAACTTGCCTATCGAAAATATGTCTAAACAGGAAAGATGGTGGCAGGGGAGGAGGCGATTGGAATTCTTTGTGCCGTTCTGGTTGCCTCGCCCCAAAAAGGGGTTGGAAAAGGTTCAGAAAAGAGCCATCAAAATGACCAAAGGAATGCAGTGACTCACCTACAAGGAAAGACTGCAGAATTTGGGAACTTTTTTGGAGAAAAGACGTGGCAAAATGATAGAACTTTTAAAAAGTATGTACGACATGGAGAAAGTGGTTCTTATTGTGCTCCAGTAACACTAGAACTCCAGGTCATCCATTGAATGTTGGAAGATTCCGGACAGATAAAAGGATGACCTTCTTCTCACAGGACATTGTTAACCTATGGAACTCACTCCCACAGGAGGCAGTGAGGACACTCAACCCGGATCACCTGGCAAAGCTTATTCCTGGCTGCTGGGTTTCTTTCCCATTTCCGATGTCAACTTTGCACAGCGCAGCCTGACAGACAGCTTTATTTGCAGCAGCTGTCATTTCGAATGGGTCGATCTATTCTTATCTTGTGTGTATTTGCACTCCGTGTAGAAATGCAACTGAACTACAACAAATCCCACTGGATTTCATGACCTTTTGGCCCCACTGTTTGTACATTTCTTTATATATATTAAAAAATACTTTCCTGCTGCAGCACTGTACAAATATGTCTGTCTACGCATCACACGATGCTCTGCTCCTCAAAAGCTGGTGCTGCAATAAAACAGTGTTGTGAGACCTTCTGCTGGTACTCTGGGGCTCCAACACCCTCACAAGGAAGGCCACTTTGGCCGATCGATCTATCTATCTATCTATCTATCTATCTATTGCTTTTCCTAGCACAGCTGCCAACAATCAGGCACCTGCCCACCGTTTGCCCGCATTAAAATTTCAAACTGTGCCCATATTCTGCTCTTGTGCGCGCCGTGCTGGGAAATGTGGCACACGTCAGCTGATAAAATAATCATGAGCCAGCCGCTGCTAGAATTCCCCAAAGACAGGCGCCAAAGGTACACACGGAGCCAACAGCGTGGCAACTTTGAAGCAGAAAAAACTTGGCGTGTAGAAATAAGTTCCTGCTGCCGAGTCGAGCTGGGGGGAGACCTGCAGCCTGGTGCATCTTAGGTTCAGATGAGGAGTGGGGTAAACTTTGTCCACCTGCTGAGAGCCACATTCCTGTCTGGGTAACCTTCCAGGGGTCACGTGGGGTGGGAGGGGCCAGAGGCAAAAGTAGGTGGAGCAAGGAATGCAAATATTAGCTCTGTACAGCAGGCTAGTTCCTACGCCAGGCATAGGCAAACTCGGCCCTCCAGATGTTTTGGGACTACAACTCCCATCATCCCTGCCCACTGGGCCTGTTAGCTAGGGATGATGGGAGTTGTAGTCCCAAAATATCTGGAGGGCCGAGTTTGCCTATGCCTGACCTATGCACACCCACTCCTCTCTAGCCTCCCACCAGACAAGCAAGAGGCATAGTTAGAGTTGGAAGGCACATCCCAGCAGGGGAGAACACTCAAGGAGGGTGTGAGAGATGGGATGATAAGGGGTGTGGCTTGGAGAGGGTCTCAAAGGCCGCACAGAGAGGCCTGGAGGGCCACATTTGATCTCCAGGCCTGAAGTGCCCCATCCCTGGTTTGGCTGGCAGGTGGGAAAAGGGAGACATGATAGTGGTCTTCAAATATCTGAAAAGCTGCCATGTAGAAGACTGAGCCGAGCAAATGTTGTCCCCATCTTCAAAAAGGGGGGGAAAGGAAGACCCAGGTAACTACAGACCAGAGAGCTTGACATCGATACCAGGGAAGGTCCTTGAGCAGATAATTCAACAGTCGGTCTGTGAGCATTTAGAAGAGGATGCTGTGATTACTAAGACCCAGCACGGGTTTCTCAAAAATAAGTCATGCCAGACCAATCTGATTTCTTTCTTTTTTTGATGGAATTACAAACTTGGTGGATCAGGGAAATGCTGTGGACATAGTGTATCTTGGTTTCAGTAAGGCTTTTGACAAAGTCCCCCATGATGTTCTTGTGAGGAAGCTGGTAAAATGTGGGTTGAATGAGGTAACTGTAAGATGGATTTGTAGCTGGTTGACTGACCGAACCCAAAGAGTACTCATTAATGGTTCCTCGTCATCCTGTAAAAAAGTGGCAAGTGAGGTACCGCAGGGTTCTGTCCAGGGCCCGTTGTTGTTCAACGTCTTTATAAATGACCTGGATGAAGGAACTGAGGGGATGCTCATCAAATCTGCAGATGCCACCAAACTATTCTATTATTGGGTACGGTTGCTCCAGAAGGCAGGACTTAGGATCAAGGAGTGGAGATTGCGTTAAATGGTGGATTGCATTAATAAATACACAGTGTTTTACCTAATGTACACATTTCTGCAAGGCAGTTTCCCTTAATATAATGCATTTCATTTCAAAATTCAAAGAAGTGCAAATTTCAAAGGATGGCTGTGTCTCAGTTCACATATTGCTTCAGAAAGGGGCAAATTAAGTAGGTTTCCCTTTCAACACAAACCAATTCCTCCCACATCCCAAACCAAAGTTAGTCAAGTTATGTCAGCGCTTCAGATAGATATTCCCACAATTGCTTCTCTCACCCCCTAACTGTAAAACTGCAGTAGTAACAACAGCAGCAGCATTAATAACAATACATTAAATAGCTATCTGTTTGCTTCCTTTTCACAGCCCCCCAAAATGGCTGCCAGAGGAGTTTGCCTCACTCTGTCTAACGGCAGAGCCGGCTGTGTGAATTTCATTTATCAGTTCACCATAAAAGTATTTTTCAACCGCCCTTTGTTAACAGCACACCCCATCCATCCAAAAGGGAGAGCCAACCCACCGCAGAATCTGAAATGGAGACTCGATGGGACTCTATCGTCGGCCGCCGCACTATCCGTGGTGAGATGTGAGTGGAAGGGCCCGTGGCGTAAGGACCGAAGCCTGCTGCATCTGAAGAAGCCAAGTAGTTCCCTGCGGGCTTTTCCTGAAGGGAGTACTTCCGGCCAGAGAGGATGGGTCTTGCTGGAGCCCTCTTTGGGGCAAGCAACTCATGAGCCCCATCTAGTTCTTCGGATGTTCCCGAATCAACACCAACCCCATTCCTTTGGTTGTTGGCAGCCATCTTGGAGAACGAAACGTCATTCTCTGCTATGGTTCCTTGACCGTTTTGGTCGGCGGCATCAGGGCCGACGGCAACGTGGATCGCCGCGACTCTCTCAGCGAGCTCCGTCTGGGTGTCTTTGCAACAGACATCGGGGATTTGGACCGCTGTCTCGGCTGCGGAATCCCCCATCCTCGATTCGTGGCTTTCCGTGTTCTTAGATGACGACAACGGAGGGTGCTGGAGCAGTGTGGCTCATGGGAAGCATCTGAGGTGGAGACCCTGCCGCATGGACACCTGGAAAGTATCACAAAAAGTCTTGGTCAAGCCTGCGTAGTTGTAACTAAGTAAGATCATAAGAAGAGCTTGCAGGATCAGGCCAGTGGCCCATCTAGTCCAGCATCCTGTTCTCACAGGGGCCAAGCAGATGCCTGTGGGAAACCAGCAAGCAGGATTTGAACACAAGACCCCTCTCCTATGCCGTGGTTTCCAGCCACTGTGAATGTCACCAGACCCCGAGGGCAGCATCCTGATACTAACAAATAAAGAAATTTGTTTTTAAAAGTATATGTGATTACGCTGCAATAGGAATAATCATTGCAAATACAGAAACCAATATCTGTATCTTTTCTGTTTGTATGTTTAAATTTAATGGTATTTTCCCTCATTATGTCCTTATTTCTTCCATGTCGTTGAATTAATAATAGTTTTTAAAAACAAATAAATAATAAATTCTTCATCAGCTTGAGATTTTAAAAAAATGAATTTCTTCAATGTATATTAATGCTGTTTAATATGCACATTTTTGCAAAGCAGTTTCCCCTTTCTGAATACTATTTTCAATGATATGTGTTGTGTATATTTGTGTTCTTATATTGTAAACCACCCTGTGATCCTTGATGAAGGGTAGTATAAAAAGAATAAGAATAAGAATATGCATTTTTATGTACATTTCACCCACATATAGGTATTTTTTAAAAACACATTACTTGACTGGAAAACTGCGGTGCAAAATTCACCAAAGTGTGTATATCTAAAGATGGCTGTGTATTGGTTCTTAGACTATATTGGAAACTGCAAATTTCATAGATTTGCCTTTAAGTGGGTGGATTCGCCTTTAAATGTGAGCTGAATCATACTTCTCTCCCATCCATCCTACACCCAATCAACCATGTTCCCTGGACAGTTCACATGTTGAAAAACCCTAAAACACAGTCAAAAACAGAAACCAGAGCAGCTTGGATGCCAGCATGACACTAGATCAAAACCATTGGAAACCTGTCAACTGCGCAATGATATGCAAGCAAATGACAAGAACGAAGGGCAAGGCATGGAAAGGCAAAGAACTGTTCGATCAGTGTTGCAGAGTGTCTGAAGCCCAAACAGGCCTCTTATTGCAAAGGATTCACACACAACCAGCACCCTCCCCTGTTTCATCATTTCCTCCATTCCTTCTGCTTTGATTTAGAAATAGCGTGGCCACTTCATTCCAACACGAAAAGCAGAAGCGTCCTTGCACCATGTCTGCCAAAATGCTTCCCCTTCTTTCTTCTAAGGCTGCATCTACGCCGTACAGTGGTACCTCTGGATGCGAACGGGATCTGTTCCGGAGCCCTGTTCGCATCCTGAAGTGGACGCAACCTGCGTCTGCGTGTCGCAATCCGCTACTTCTGTGCATGCGCGTGATGTTATTTTGAGCGTCTGCGCATGCGCGAGCGGCGAAACCCGGAAGTAACGCGCTACATTACTTCCGGGTCGCCACGGAGAGCAACCCGAAAATATTCATCCCAAAGCTACTTCAACCCGAGGTATGACTGTACATTTAAAGAGCTGTGAGTGGCGGCTTCGCCCAAAGGATTCTGGGAGTTGTAGTTTGTTAAGGGTGCTGAGGGTTGCCAGGAGACCCCCATTCCCCTCACAGAGCTACAGTTTCCAGAATGGCTTAACAGTCGATCCCTCTTCCCAGGGAACTCTGGGAATTGTGGCTTTGGGAAGGCAATAGGTCCACTGTAAGAATTCTCAAACTTCAGCCCCCAGGATTCTTTGGTGGAAGCCATGAATGTTTGAGGGAAGACCCTCAAGCCAAGGGCCTTTGGCCACCGTCCCCCACTAGGTCCAGCTCTGAACTTTTGCTACATGTTTTTCCCTGGCTGGGATGATGGGTGCCTCTTGGGGTGTGCAGGGTCCCAAGTTGGGAACCACTGAAATAGAGGGTGCCTTCACAGGGAAGACCTCTGGCCACCCAACTCAGGGAAGCTGGAAGTGTGTCACAATATGGACTGGAGGAGAGAAGGACTCTTGTTAAAACTTGCTCCTGTGCCCTTTTCCCTGAGGCAAACAGGGCCAGTGGAAATTTTCCCTGTCTGGAGATGCTATCAGCCAACGGAGGGTGAAGCACGTAGCCTTTTGTTTACTGTTGGAATATCGTAACAAAAAAACAAAACAAAACAAAACAATGGACAAGGGACGAAGCAAGAAGATGCAAATTAAGGATACCCACGCAGAACCAGTTTGGAGAGAATAACAGTTGGTTCTAGCCAACTCCTTCAGGAAGGCACATCAAGACCAACCCTACCAAAATGGGCCTTGATTACAACCACTCATTTAAAAAAAACCCAAACCATTTCAATAAAATGACATCAAATAAAATGATACCCAAACCACAGAAACAGTGCAGCGTAGTGGTTAGGGTCTTGGGCACAACAAACGTTTTGGGACAAAGTCGCTACTACCCGCCTTCTCTGCCTTTATCTTTCAGTTCTTGCACAATTCCCCCTTGAAAACAGCTGGAAAGAACTGTATGCCGGGATACCGCCCCAAATTTCCCTTTACTCCAGCCATTTTTCAGCTCCCAGAATCCTTTGAGGGAAAGCAGGACTGTTTAACGTGGCATGAAAGTGCTTTAAGCGTACAGTATGAATGTGGCCACAGTCTCAAAAGAGTTTGTTTTTGCTGGAACAATATCCTCTAATTCTAGTTGTGTAAGAGGGCAGCAAAGGAATGGCAGGGGGTGGCAGGGTATTTTACTGGTTTTTGTAAGACATGCCCCCTCTCCAACCCTAACAATACATTTCCTTTCTCACAGGGAAGGAGCTGTCTGCTGATGTTTGGGCACCTGGCCAAAAGGAAATGAAATTGTTTCAAATAAAACTCATGTTCCCCTTGGAGATCCCCGGTCATAACTGTCCGCGATTCATCTCCTTCCCTGCAGAGCATCTGCTGAAAAGAACCCCAGCGTGGCAGTAAAATCTGCCCCATGCTATTTCAGGAAAAGGCAGTTAGTTTATTGCCATTTTCCTTTGTAGTGCTGAGCAGCTGCCTTTTTAAAAGCATATGCGACACACAACTGCTGCTCAACAGCAAAATGAAAGATCTGCATGCAACAGAGGTTAAGGGCAGAGGGGAAAATTGGTTCGGTTTGTGTTTTGATGCCAGCCTTCCGCATTCCTACTTCCTGAAGCAAGACCCAGAAACCAAATGCAGCCCTCCGAATCTTGCACTTCTCTGAATTTCAGGAGGTGGTTCTTAAAACAAAAATAAACAAAAACTAGTAGTAGGGGAAAGTGTGCATAAATATGCATTTTAGGGAAATCTGTTAGGCAGAGTTCAAGGCGCTCATCTTAGTGTTCGAAGTCCGAAAAGACCCCCAAATACTTGAAAGGCAGCCACCTTCCCCACCGACCCTCCCGGGTGTTAAGATCAGCAGAGGGGGCCTTCTTGGTAGTTCCACCTCTCTCAGAAGTTCAGGGGGGCTGGCCCAGGAGAGGGCCTTCTCTGTGGCAGCCCCTAAGATATATTAATTAATTAATTATTATTATTATTATTATTATTAATACCCCGCCCATCTAGCTGGGCTTCCTCACTCTGGGCGGCTTCCAACAAAATATTTTAAAATACAGTAATGCATCAAACATTAAAAGCTTCCCTAAACAGGGAATAGAGAGATAGAGAGTTGGCACCCTGTTCTTCTTGCTAAATCAGGTATCCAGCTCAGATAGTGCAGGCATGCTTTTCCTCTGAGAACGTGACTCTACTTTTATGCAAGCGTAGAGTTAAGGCGAGTGAATGCCTCTATATAAGCCTGGGGACTCCACCTAAACATCACAACAGTGCAGTTATTGAAGAAATCCACAAAGCCAACCTAATTTGATTGAGGATGGATCACTGGCACCAAAACCATGGTTCACCTCAGGCTAAAAAAAAGCCGGGTGCATCTTGTGACGTATTTGCTTCCTCTCAGGTCTCTGGGAAAGGCATGCAAAATGGAGATCTTGGCTTTGATTGCAGGGGCGTAGCAGGAGGAGTAACGTTATGTGGCAACCTTATCTAGGCTCTGCTGGCCGGCATTTCCTCTCACTGGGTTGAATCCCTCTCCCTTGCATTATTTATGGCAAGCTTAGGGGCAGATCAAAGGAGTACTGATCCGAAAGGCATCATAGCAGGAAGAGAGGAGGCGCCATAAAAGGAATACCATTGCCATCTTCCCAGGACATCAAGGAATTTGTTTCTCTCGTCAGAAATCTCTCAGTGATATAGCTAAACCCCTTGCCCTGACCTACGATGGGAGAGAGAAAAATAGTTGCTGTTTTTTAATGGTAGCCATTCATCTTTTTGAGTTCCGTCAGTACGCACATGAGAAAAGCCTTTGGGAAACCTACAAGCAGGATTCAAGCACAAGAGCCCTCTCCCCTCCTGCATTGCAGGAATCACAGCTAAAGAATCCCTGACAGATGTCTATCTACCGTATTTTTCGCTCCATAAGACGCACCTGACCATAAGATGCACCTAGTTTTTAGAGGAGGAAAACAAGAAAAAAAATATATTTTGAACGAAACAGTGGATGTATGATTTTTGTGGTTCATGCTGTGGCCACAGACATGATATGTGATTTGACGGTGAGTTTGGGGTAGCCCAATGCAAAAATCCTGAGAATCCATGTGAATCCGTGCTTTGTAACAACGTTTTTGCGGCATTGTAGCCCCACAAAACAGTGGATGCATGATTTTTTTTGGTGCAGGCTGTAGCCATGGACATGCTATGTGATCTGATGGTGAATTTGGGGTGACCCAATGCAAAAATCCTGAGGATCCATGTGCTTTTACCTCCCCGCTCCCAGGCAGCCTCCTTTATCGCTAGCGTCCCTTATCTCCCTCCTGATTGCTTGCCGATCAGCTGCTCAGCAGCTTCGTTTCAACACCGCCTTCCCTCTTTCTTTAAAAAAAAGCATGATCTGCTTTTCACTCCTGGGCAATTCGGCTCCAGGGACCATGCATTTGCTGCATAAGACGCAAAGACATTTCCCCTTACTTTCTAGGAGGAAAAAAGTGTGTCTTATGGAGCGAAAAATACGGTAAGTGCTATTGAATTCAACAGGGGATAAGGACTGTAGCTCTGGTCGCTCTCATTCTTTCATGCTACTTCCTGGGGCACAACTGTCGCTGGATCAGGACCTGTTGTGCAAGGTCCTGCTTTCTCTATCATTTCTACGGCCCACATTAGTGGTGGTTGAATAGCTGAAGCAGACCAGCCTACTCTAGCCATACAGCAAGGTTTGCATTTAAAAATCTGTTCTGAAGCACTCCAGGGCTCCGAAAGAACAATTTCATCCCAAAGTCAAGAGCGATCACAATAATCACTTGCTTTCTGCATTATTATAGCCAGTTCGGGAAGTTCAAAACAATGGGGGAGGGGAAGGAGACAGGAAGAAAGGAAAGGGAGCCCATGGATGTATTATACTTTATCTTCCAGCTTCTAATTACACAATGACACACATTTGCATAATCAGACACAATTACCCTAATTGCACATATAAGCAACAATCAGACAAAAATTACCCAAGGAGGGGGGGAAAGGCGGTCGGGAGGCTAATTTAAAATAACAAAATATGTTCAGGAAAAATGAAAGCTGCAATGTTAACCTCGTGGGGCCAAGAGGTCTGACTCACAAGACACCCAACCACAACACTCTCTGCCACTAGTTAAGCCCGAGATCTGAAGTGACACTAGTCCTCATGAAAATAGCACAATAGCTGCTGTTCACAACCCTGTGCCCAGAAGCCACTGGGATAAGGCGAGAGCTGATGGAAAGTTAGGAGGCAAAATTAATTCAGCTACCTGCAGTTTGTTTGTTTATAGAAGTAAAGGCAATTCTCGTTTTGCTGGGGCTCATGTAAAGCTTTTGGCTTCATTTTGTCCTTTGAATGAAGTTTTTAGGTCACTTCTGATTTAGGCACTATGCGGGTATCAACTGGATGTTTGTCAGTTGGGAGTTTCCAGTATTTATATACTGCTATCTAATAATAATAGAGGGACGCGGGTGGCGCTGTGGGTTAAACCACAGAGCCTAGGACTTGCTGATCAGAAGGTCGGCGGTTCGAATCCCCGCGACGGGATGAGCTCCCGTTGCTCGGTCCCTGCTCCTGCCAACCTAGCAGTTCAAAAGCATGTCAAAGTGCAAGTAGATAAATAGGCACCACTCCGGCGGGAAGGTAAACGGCATTTACGTGCACTGCTGTGGTTCGCCAGAAGCGGCTTAGTCATGCTGGCCACATGACCCAGAAGCTGTATGCCGGCTCCCTTGGCCAATAAAGTGAGATGAGCGCCACAACCCCAGAGTCGGCCACAACTGGACCTAATGGTCAGGGGTCCCTTTACCTTTACCTATCAAATTATTATTATTATTATTATTATTATTATTATTATTTTATTATTTATACCCTGCCTATCTCACGTTTATGGGAACCATAAAGAGTTTGCCAACATATGTTTGTACATAGACATAGATGCAAAAGGCAATCAATAAATTAATAATAATAATAATTCCAGCCAGCGCTTATTAAAGTGCTGGTGTGTGTGGGTGTGCTCATGGGTAACTTAGTTGCTTATAAGTTGTGTGCTCATAGTTGCTTATAAATAGCGAAGTCAGAACACAGAGAATCCTTGATTTGTCTTGCACCATTACCTGTGCCCCAGGGATGGGAGTATGTGACAATTCTGATTTCTATCAGTTTCTCTTTTTTCCATTCATACATTCAGTTCTCCACATTTCCACACCAGCTTGTGGATTATTATTATCATTAAATCCTTGTGATGATTCGTCAGCATTTTACTGAGGATTTAGCGTAATAAACACTTCTGCAATTTTTCTTAACGTACTGGATGATTTTCTGCTATTTTTGTAGTAGTATAGTAATGCATTTCCATGCACATCTCATCTTAATATATGCATTTTGGTGTAAGTTACTGAACTGTAAATTCAGAGGAGTGTGATTTGTTGTTTTTATAGTACATACATACAGAGAGAGAAACAGCAGTCCAAGAGCCAGTACAATCAAGTCAGGGAGCATGGTCTCTACAATACTAGTAAACTTCCAAAAGAGAGAAACAGCAAAACATTAAAGCAGTGTTGGCCAAACTTGGCCCTCCAGCTGTTTTGGGACTACAATTCCCATCATCCCTGACCACTGGCCCTGCCAGCTAGGGATGATGGGAGTTGTAGTCCACCAACAGCTGGAGGCCCAAGTTTGGCCAGCACTGCATTAAAGCAATCAGCAAGCAGAAAAACCAAAAACTGAGCACCAGTAATATCTCTGCTATCCAGAAAATAGGATTTGCAGGCAGAGGTCAAGTTTCAGAAAACTAAAGAAGGAAAAACTGAGAAAAAAACTCAAACATGATACTAGCACTTCAGTTTATTGCCCCAGCCAGATCCATTTAGATGCTGGAATGGCAACAGATCCATCTGTTGCATCCTTTATATACATAAAGAGAATACCAAAGAGAATGTGCCTTTTTTACTTTGACCTTGGACAATTTTCAAGTAATTTTTTTCTAAAATAGCTGTCTCCCAGACTTTCGAATACCTTGGTTTTATCCTCTTTGTAAAGCGCTCTGAGGGCTTTTTCTGACAATCAAGCAGAGCGAATAACTTTTACGAGACGAATAAAATAAATCAGTGTTCAAAGGTCTACCCCTCCAGAATCTGGCCCTTCCACCAATATTGCCAGTTCCTTTCAGGACAGCGAATTTCTAAAGATGGCTGTGGTTCAGTTTGTTGTTTCCTTCTCCCATGAAAATGCGAACAAGGCGGCTTCACGATGATATGCGAACCGAATTTAATTTCTTCCCACTTCTGCACTGCAGCTAGCCAGGGATTTTGCAGGCCCCCCCAGGTGCTTCTGGAGGAACGATAATATGATTCTCCCTCAGGTTATTAATGGTTCTAAAAACCCACCAGGAGTGGGAAGAAATTGGAGGGCAGAGAGAGAGAGAGAGAGAGAGAGAGAGAGAGAGAGAGAGAGAGGGGCGACAATGCAAGAAAGTTGACAGTGCTTGCTGCTGACAGAAGCCAGGCGCTTGAAGTACTTACGGACTCCCGGGTGATGGCGGAGTTGTCATTGCTATGGCAACAGATTGCTTACATTCATTCTTGGGGAGGATATAAAAAGAGAAGAAGATGAGTGACACAGGAAGACAGAAGAGGTTTTGGGGGAAATGTAATGGCTTTGTGCCAGAGGGAATGATCCGAAGGAAGCTAAAGGCATCCGATAGGAAGAGGGATTTTGTTAGCAGAGGCCCCACCACGCTAGGCGTCTTGTAGGCCATGGCAATAACGCATGGGTAGAGTACCTTTTGGACAAAACCTCCCGACATTTTCGTCCCCAAAATTGGAGTGTCAGGAAGGGTGCGGCGCCTTCAGGTCCGGCGCTTGTCAGCAAGGTCACACACCAGAGTGCCTTGTGGTTTGGCGGTTTGGTGTGATGGCTCACGCCAGAGTGCCAGACCAAAAAAAATGGGACCTTCTGGGATCCAAACAGAGCCTGGGATTGGCTTCTTTGATCCAGGGTGTCCTGCTTAAAATGGGACACTTGCGGGGTATGGTATACTCCATGCTCTGGGAATTTCCAGACAGGGATATTGCTATGTGAGGCTGCCCTTGAATAAGACTGAGGAAAACCAACTGGTCCAAAATGCAGCAGCCAGATTACTGCCTGGGGTTCTGTTTAGATCTCACATAAATCCCGTTTCAAAGCAGCCGGACTGGCTGCCAATTCGTTTCTGGGCCTTCACGCAGGTGTTTAAAGCCCTAAAAGACTTCGGCCCCCAATAATTGAAAGCCAGCCTCCTTCCCTAGAGACTCTGTTGGGTGCTGAGATTGGTAGAGGGGGCCTTCTTGGTAGCTCAGAGTCTTGCAGGGGTGGCAGCCCAGGAGAGGGCCTTCTCTGTGGTGGCCCCTAAACTGTGGCCCAACCTCCCCAGAGAAGTGCATTGGGTACCTTCATTATACAGATTTCAGAAGATGCTGAAGACGCACCTCTTTACCCTGGCTTCCAACACTTAAGGTGTATATTAGGGTGAAGGGTGGGTAATAGAAATAAATAAATAACAAAACACTGTCGCTTCCCCCAAAAGCGGTTTTTCCAGGGCGAGACTACGGTGCAAGATTATGGTACCCAAAATGGCTGCCGTGCTCTCACGCAAATTAAAAAAAGGGGGGGAATGTCCCAGTTTTCCTGGGACAGTTGAGGGGTTTGCCATTTTGTACAAAGAAAAGGATAGAGGATTAAAAACCACGAAGAGTTCTGCTGGATCAGGCACAGTTATAAATGCCTGATGCAATTACATTTTTGAAAAAAGAATTGACTAAATCAAGGTTTCCAGAAAGGATTTGTAACTATTTGCAGCTTTCTGTGTAGCCCCTCATAGCAAGTAGGAGGCAAACACAAAAACAAACACCAGGCCCTATTAACTGCGTTTTACATTAACGATGTGCAGAAATTATTCGGCTCCATCTGGAGCCCATCAGCCCCTCCCTGGGCAAACGGAGGGGGTTTTTCCTTCAGGTGCGCAGTCAGCTTGTCAAAGCAACACAAATTAGGCCTACGGAGCAAGCAGCAAAACATCTGCTCCCCACCAGCAAATTTTGCATATTTAACATTTTCTCCGCCATGTTCATTTCAGTTACACAACAGACGCAAGCTGTCCTGACCGGCACAGTTATCTCTCTCTCTCTCTCTCTCTCTCTCTCTCTCTCTCCCTTAATCCCCCCAACCACAAAATAATTCAAGGGTGAGAGGCAAGAGATGACAGTGGAAGGAGACAGACGTATTACAGTCACCTGCTCATTGGGGAAGCAATCTAAACCTCATGGTCAGCATAAGTAAGGCTGCAGCATCTGCGACTTTTCAGTTCTGAGAAAAGGCAAGTAAGAGGCAATATGACAGAAGTTTATAACAATAGCATGGAATGGAGACAGTGGATGGAGAAAAGTTTTTTTCTCTCTCTCGTAGCACCAGAACTTGTGGAACTCCAATGATAGTTGGAAGATTCAGGGCAGATAAAAGAAAGTACATCTTCACGTAGTGCATATTTCATATGGCACTTATTCCGATAGTGGGTGGCGCTGTGGGTTAAATCCCCGCGACGGGGTGAGCTCCCATTGCTCGGTCCCTGCTCCTGCCAACCTAGCAGTTCAAAAGCACGTCAAAGTGCAAGTAGATAAATAGGTACCACTCTGGTGGGAAGGTAAACGGCATTTCCGTGCGCTGCTCTGGTTCGCCAGAAGCAGCTTAGTCATGCTGGCCACATGACCTGGAAGCTGTACGCCGGCTGCCTCAGCCAATAAAGCGAGATGAGCGCCGCAACCCCAGAGTCGGTCACGACTGGACCTCATGGTCAGGGGTCCCTTTACCTTTACCTATTCCGATAGAAGGCAGGGACGGTTACAAACTTGGAGAGGACAAATACACAGAGAAGGCTATTGCAGACCCTCCATAGGTAATTAAAAGCCCTAACCCTCCAAGTGTCCCTATTTCCCAGACAATCCCGGATTTACAGAAGCAGCCCCTGTTTCTGATTTGATCCCAGAATGTCCCGCTTTTCCTTAGGACGTCCCTATTTTCATCGGAGAAATGCTGGAGGGTATGGAGTTATGCGACCCACGAGCCAAGGAGGAAAGTAACTATACAACCTTCAGAAGACGTCTGAAGGCAGCCCTGTATAGGGAAGTTTTAAAAATGATTAATGTTGTATTATGTTTTTATATATGTTGGAAGCAGCACAGAGTGGCTGGGGCAATCCAGTCAGACGGGTGTGGTATAAATAATAACATTATTATTATTATTATTATTATTATTATTATTATTGAAAAGGAAGTCCCTATTTTCATCGGAGAAATGTTGGAGGGCATTCTACTGATGGCTACTAGCCATGATGGCTAAACAATTTCCCCTAATATAACTCAATTTGCATGTTATTTTTTGCTAATACAGTATATGCATTTTTGTGTACAATCCCTGGTTGGAGAACTCCACTGCAAAATTTGAAGAAATGCAAATTTCAAAGGATGGATGTGTTTGGATTCACTTATTGGTTTGGAAACTGCAGATTAGGTGGATTCACTTTTAAACATGAAACAAATCCGATTTGTCCCTAGACAACCACAATCTTATCCTGACATTCCAACCACTAGACCACATTACATCTATTGCTGGAATTAAACTTTCCCTACAGTCAGAAGGATCAAGTTGGCAAGACGCTTTAGACATCGCACATCCCTTCCTCCGATGCAGGACACACCTCGAAAACCACATCCAATTAGTCTCCAACACAATATACTCTCTTTTGGTGCCAGCCTCCACTGTCTGCTGCTCTTGCATTAGGGAATTCAAAGTCCCTTTGCAAGATTACATCTTCTGCACTTCAAACTTGAAGAACACTATGGGGAAAATGTGGGAAACCAGAGAGGCCAAGCTCCCGGGAGACATGCGGTGCAGTTTCCAAGGGGAGAGGATGCAACCTGTCAAATCCTGTTCATTCTGAGAGCGCCAGGAAAAAGGGTGGGAGAAGATGGCAAAAGGCCAAATGCGTGTCTGGAGGATGCTTCGCAAACTTTAAAGTGAGGTTACAGGGAACCAGACAGAGGGCCTTCTCGGTAGTGGCGCCCACCCTGTGGAACACCCTCCCTTCAGATGTGAAGGAAATAAGCAGCTATCCTATCTTTAAAAGACATCTGAAGGCAGCCCTGTTCAGGGAATTTTTTAATATTTAATGCTGCACTGTTTTTAACATTTGATTGGGAGCCACCCAGAGTGGCTGGGGAAACCCAGCCAGATGGGCGGGGTATAAATAATAAATTATTATTATTATTATTATTATTATTATTATGTGGTTCAGAAGGGAGCGGGCCAGGTTGCCAACTGGGACCTGGAAGAACAAGGATGGCGAAAAAGAAGGATACATTCTCTTCTGGGCAGCCGGCAGTGGGAGCAGTCGGAGGCAAAAGCCAGCAGAGCAATAAATTCAGATTTTACATGTATGTAGTAGGCTACTTTCTGTACAGACAGACACACAAACACACACAGTCAATTATACCTTTCTAACCCAGACAATGAAGAGGCATTATCAGAGCTCAAGGACACAGTCCAGCCAGGGAAAAATATTTGGCGTATGAAGCAAGGCCACTGATGTGTGTGACCTGGGGAGGATTCTGAGGGCCTAATAAAGAGGATTGAAGGGCCACATTCAGGCTGCTCTCCGTCCCCTTCCATTATCCCTAGCCACTGGCCAGGCTAGTGGGGCCTGATGCTGTGGGAATTAGACTTTAGTTCCCATTTGGTGGAAGTATGCAGAAGACAGCCCTGGGTCGTTTGACCCTCCCGTTATCTTTCCCTCCTATAAAAACTATGCAAGTCGCTCTCGTTTAAAGTTTAAGGAACAAATTGCTTAGTGTACTTGCAGTTGCGGACTGAACATATACACAACGCACGTTGTATATGTTAAGTTGTGGGTGAACATATCAGACGATACAGCGATTCTTCAGACAGCTCTTGTTTATTCACAGGCCAGAACTGAACTGAACTGAAGGGTTCAGCCAGCCTGCTTATATAGAGCTCCACTACAACGCAACAGTAACAACTTTCTGTAACTATCCAATCACTGAACATCACTTTCAATCCCTCATTTGCATATGTGGACCTGAGTGAAAACTATCTACAGTATCCCCCTGCTGGCCCAGGGTGAGAACCTCAGTACATAACAGTGTACCTAGATTAAACTGTGACAGACGACCTAACATTTACAGGCAGACCTTGGTGCTCTTACTCTGAGGCAGACAGCAGCACAATGCAACACACCTGCTGCTCTCATTTTGACTCACAAGTTGGTTAAGAACTGAACCACAGAGGGCATGGCACCACAGCCCTTCTACAGCCCTTACATATGCATTTTGGATGCTAATATCCCACAGATGGGAGCCAAGCAACAGCTAGAGGAGAGCCGGGGTTCGCCACCCCCGTTCCACAATGTCTACCACCACATATCTGCCTTTGGTGTTGAGTGCTTGGAAGATTTTAAAAAACGTTTGACGTTTTATTATGGTTTTTTTATATGTGTTGGAAGCTGCCCAGAGTGGCTGGGGTAACCCAGCCAGATGGGCGGGATATAAATAATAAAGAGATGTTACTACCCATCCTGAGGCTCAGATTCCCAGGTGCAGGGATGCCAGCGGATGGTGCTGAGCAAATCAGCACACTCACATACATGGGTGGGCAATTTAGTGCCCAGGAATATCTTCTGGGGCGATGACAGCTTTGCCCCACATGCTGAAGACCTGGATTAGATTGTAGATTCTTCCACCAGAATCCGCAGTGCATCTTTCTGCATCTAGGCTACATGCAAACAGATGGGAGCTTTTTCTCCTGGGTGTCCTTGCCGCCTTGCTCACCCTCCTCTTAATGCCAAGGGAACTCCTACTACCCACCCAGCCGCCCTTTGTTTGCAACCCCCTCAAACTGTTTCAATTCCGCAAGCTTCAGCCAGAGCTCTTTATTCCTCCAGCTCTATAAACAATTATTGTCTCTTGAAAATGTTCTAATCATCTAGAAGCACAAAGAACAAATTCCTCTTGCAAATAAATCACTTTCTGCAAAAGGCTTCGGAATAGGGGGAGGGATAGGAGGGCCAAAAATATCTTCATTTTGGAAAGAAATATCTGCAGTGCCTCCCACACTGTATTTGCTAAGTTGTGTTACTTAAATCCTGCAAATTTAACTTTTAGTTCTCTGAAGGCATACTGGGAAATCCGGGCTGGGGAGCATCTTCGGCCTTTCACATGAGGCCAAATTTGCATTACTGTATTATAAAAGCAGAGTTGAAAGTATCTGTACAATAACGTATTGAATACACACAGATTTTAAAGACCAGTCCCAGAAAATCTGGGATAACCATGGAGCAGAATGGAGCCTAAAAGGGAGTGCAGCCAGATGAAAAAGAGAAGAGGGGCTCTTTGCACCTTTAGTTAACACCTCTCTTCCAAGTAACTATTAAAGGTACAAGAGCCCCTTTTCCATCAGCTTTGGGTGGCCATTTGTTTTACTTGACAGGGGACTGTTCTCTATTTGGAGCAGGCATCCCCAAACTCGGCCCTCCAGCTGTTTTGGGACTACAACTCCCATCATCCCTAGCTAACAGGACCAGTGGTCAAGGATGATGGGAATTGTAGTCCCAAAACAGCTGGAGGGCCAAGTTTGGGGATGCCTAATTTGAAGGCACCCTCTATTTGAAGGGCTATTCTGACCAAGTCTAGTTTAAAGATGAAGAAGCACTGAAGCCACTTTTATGCAGATCTCTGTCCTCTTGTTTGGTAGTGTGTAAGGAGTCACCTGGGACGCGGGTGGCGCTGTGGGTTAAACCACTGAGCCTTGGGCTTGCCGATCAGAAGGTCGGCGGTTCGAATCCCCGCGAAGGGGTGAGCTCCCGTTGCTCGGGCCCTACTCCTGCCAACCTAGCAGTTCAAAAGCACGTCAAAGTGCAAGTAGATAAATAGGTACCGCTCCAGCGGGAAGGTAAACGGCGTTTCCATGTGCAGCTCTGGTTCTCCAGAAGCGGCTTAGTCATGCTGGCCACATGACCCGGAAGCTGTATGCCAGCTCCCTCGGCCAATAAAGCGAGATGAGCGCCGCAACCCCAGAGTCGGTCACGACTGGACCTAATGGTCAGGGGTCCCTTTACCTTTACCTTTAAGGAGTCACCTGACGCACAGGCTTTATAGTCCAGCGCTTAGCCAAAGTGGTGCCCTGTTGCTAAACTCACATGATCTCTGGCCTTGCTGGATTGGGCTGCTGGAAGTTAGAGGTCCAATGTCAACCCCAGGTCACCACATTGCCTAACTCTAATGGGAGTGGGGGAGAAATAGCCAAGATCAGTTTCTGATTGGCTGCATGATCTCAAAAAAGGTCATTTCGCCGACAACCATCTGCAAAAATGATGTTTATTAGCAGCAAGTGTTCACATTGTGTGTGTGTGTGTGTGTTTTGCCCAGTGGATGTTAACAATCAAAAGCAGCAAAGCTTCTTTACGTCTCGCAGGACCCAGGTGACTCTGCCGAGATTAGCCGTTACCGCATTTAGTTCTATAAAGGGTTTATCTTAGCCCTGCTAATCAAAGCTGGGTGCTCTCCCAGGCAGAACGCCTGAGCGCGATGCAAAGAGAGCCATCAAAATGCTAATTTGCGCTGACTAGGCCTGCCACAGTCTCAGCGGTCAAGGCCGCCTCGTGCACAGCTCAGTCGAAAGAGATCAGGCTGGCCCAGCTAATTATTCCCGATTGCAAAGAAAGCTGCTCCCCGATATCTTTCGGTAATATATGCATCTCCTCTGCTTCCAATCCAAAGTTAGGAACATAAGAAGAACCTGCGGGATCAAGCCAGTGGCCCATCTACTCCAGCATCCCTGTTCTCACAGGGGCAAACTAGATGCTCAAGCAGGACCCAAGAGCCCTTTCCCCTCTTGTGGTTTTCCTACAAATGGTATTCAGAAGCATTACTGCCTCCGACCATGAAGGCTGAGCATAGTCATCCTGGCTAGCAGCCACCAATACCCTTCTCCTCAGTGTTAGAAATTAGCCAGGCGCCAGGCGCATTTTGCTACTAGTGCAGGTCCACGTGCGACCATGTGGAGATCTCTGAATGCCATCTGGCTGGCCTCTCCAGCTCTCTTAAGCAGGCAAGCGGAAGACCTCATTTTTTGCATTTATATCCCACCTTTTTCTCCAGGAAGCACATGGCTCGCTCCCCTCCTCTCTTAATCCTGACAACGACCCTGTGAGGGAGGTCAAGAGGCTGTGACTGACTCCAAGGTCACCCAGTGAGCTTCCTGACTTGAGTGGGGATTTGAACCTTGATCTCCCAGGTCCTAGACTGACACTCTCACCACTACACCACACTGGCTTCCTAGAGTACGTCTGCTATGGAGCAGCTCTATAACTCAAGCAGGTAGATAAATAAGGGGGAAGCAAAATGTCACTTGGAGAAGGATCTGAAATATTTTCCTTGAAGTTTGAATTTGCTTCATTCTGTATTATTTGATGTTTTAATGCGTTGCAAACCACTTTGAGATTTTTTCTTTAAAATATCAAGCGGTACAGAAATGAAATGAATAATTATAATAATAAATAATAATAATAAATACCACTGGGGGGGGGGAAGGCGCCTAGATATTCCGTCATTAGGCAATCATGCTTCTGAATACCAGTGGCTGGAAAGCACAGGAGACAATGATCTTGTGCTTGAATCTGGCTTCCAGGTTTCCCCACAGGCATTTGAGTCAGCACAGTGAGAACAGGATGCTGGACTAGATGGGCCACGGGCCTGATCCACCAAGCTCTTCCTATGCTCCTCCATGTATTTGTCCAATCCTCTTTTAAAGCCAACCTAGTTGGCCGCCATCTTTGCCTCCTGTGGGAGGGAGTTCCACAGTTTAACCAGGCGCTGAGTGAAGAAGCCCTTTCTTCTAACCAGTCCTGAACCTTCCCACATCCCCCTTCCCACAAATTCCAGTGCTACAAGAGAGAAAGAGAGAGAGAGAAAACTTCTCTCTTATCCACTTTCTCCCTCCTCAAAGCTGCCAGCGACAGCATAGACAGCATAACTCACGGCAATCTCATTAAAACAACACTTAACAAGGCACTGAAATCCACAGCTTTAAAACTGCATCAATAAAACTTCCTAATAACCAATTTAAAAAATATGCATACAAGAGCACTCTGCTGAGCTACCACGTTGTCCTAAGCACTCACTATGCATCTTTTAAATCAAGCTCTCTCCAAACAGTGATGGCCACCAACCTGCCTAGCTTTCGAAGCGGAAGGGAAAAATTCCTTGTGAAGAGGGCTGTCAGCTAGGCATGATGACTCTTCCTTTGCCTCCACAGTTGGAGGCAACAGTGCTTCCTAATATCACTTCCTGGAAACTTCAGGAAGAGCGAGTGCTCTTGTGCTCGGATCCTGCGCGTAGATTTCTCACAGGCTCTTAAGATCTTATGCCCCTCTCTCCCTGTTGTCCAAAGGGCTTCCGAAGTTTGCCGACATCCTATTAGCTTGTCACTGCTCCATTTTTTTAAATTGGAATTTCCTTTTAGGAACAATTCCCAGGGCTGCTTCCCACCCCATTAAGAAGGGTGGGGCTTTGTGTTTTAAAACAGGATCCACTTTGGAAATGGCCCAACTGGTCAGCAGAAAGAGCAAAAGGTCAGAAATGGAAATCCCAGGGATGGGAGGCCTCTTCGTGTTGTTGTGTTGTTGTTTTTCAGAGAACATTTTCTCACAAAGTGTACTTTTTAAAAAAAGATCCCAGAAATACAGAATCATCATTAGATTTGAAGGCAAGGATCTGCTGTCCGGTTAGAATTCCGGTATCCAAACAACCCTGAATCCATCACCACCCCAAAGTTCATGCAACCTAAACATTTGGACGTGTCCTGGGCTGGGATATCCATCAGGGGAAAATAAGTACAGTGTTTAGAGCTTACAAAACTCCCAAGGGCCGACAAAAAAAAAAGTTTGGCACCTACAAAAAGACCACCATTCAATTCCGGCAAATTCTTGTTTAACTTAGCAGACTTTACTCAAGAAACAAGGTATATAGTAAGTCTTAAGTAAACTAAACATTAACTTGGCGGCTGCTTTTGTTAACAAGATCACAGATTACATCTTCAAATTTATTTTTCATTTATCGGGGACTACCCCTCATTCTCAGTTGAGAGCAATGCAAATGAAGGCAGTCACGTACATAGATCAGCACAGGAAGACCGACCTGAAACCATTTTTGATTCCCAAACTGACCAAATGTTTTCTCTGCAAGGTCAAAAGAAAATGGAAAAGCCTCCCCATTGTCTTTTCCTTCACAAATCCTGTCTTAATGGCACATTTAAGATATGAATAGGGTGTGAGCCTGTGACCTGGCTCAGGAACTAAGTATTTATCATTACAAAAGACTGGCCAGGCTCCCCAGGGTATCCAATCAAGTAAGCATTAACAGGTAATCTGCCAGACAGGAGATGAACAACAACAGGAGATAAACAACACACTCAGATTTCTGCTGTAGACCGCCCTTTCTGTGATGTAGGTATGATGTGTCTGGGGGTGGTCTTGGACTCCAGGGCGGGCAATTTCAAATGTCTATATAAGGGCAGGCACACCTTTGTTCTGGGTCCTCCTCCTTTCCTGCGTGTGAGGGGAGCACCCCGTTGCAACAGATCAATAAAGATCAGGCTTACCAGCTGCTTTGCTTCTCAATATTCTCTGGTTGGCCTCTGTTATTTTCTCCTAGAGCTGGACCATAAAGTAGGCTGATCGCCGAAGAATTGATGCTTTTGAATTATGGTGCTGGAGGAGACTCTTGAGAGTCCCATGGACTGATCAAACCTATCTGAAGGAAATCAGCCCTGAGTGCTCACTGGAAGGACAGATCCTGAAGCTGAGGCTCCAATACTTTGGCCACCTCATGAGAAGAGAAGACTCCCCGGAAAAGACCCTGATGCTGGGAAAGATGGAGGGCACAAGGAGAAGGGGACGGCAGAGGACGAGATGGTTGGATAGTGTTCTTGAAGCTACAAACATGAGTCTGACCAAACTGCGGGAGGCTGTGGAAGACAGGAGTGCCTGGCGTGCTCTGGTCCAAGGGGTCACAAAGAGTCGGACACGACTAAACGACTAAACAACAACAACCAATAGGGAACCTACGTAAGGACTCTATACGAGCTCTTGGACACCCCATAAGGGAACAAGGGCAAATTTTGTTTACAACACCAATGACCCATTTAGACCAGCGTGCCCTTCTGACATTGGCTAACCAGATGCCTGTGGGAAAACCACGTTCTGAGCCCAAGATCCCTCTCCCCTCCTGTGGTTTCCAGCAACTGGCCTTCAGAAGCATGGCTGCCTCCAACTGCAGAGGCAGAGCAGAGCCATCACAGCTAGGAGCCATTGATAGCCTTCCCTATCCTCCTTGAATTTGTCCCATCTTCATTTAAAGCCATCCAAGGGGAAGAAGCCGTCACAGCCTCTTGTGGGAGAGAGTTCCACAGTCTCTCGCTGCCCACAAGCTGGAGTGCATGCAACCATCGTTACAGAACAGGCAGGCGTATTTCTGGGGGCAGGGGAATTCTACGGTTAGAAACGGTCCTGATTTGCATCGCCACACGATGGACGGTGCCCTCTGGTTTGAAGAATTGGTGCATCAAAAATTTCGGCTTTCGCTGGTGTGGGCTGGATGGGAGGGGGAGCCTAAATGCAGATTCCCACCCACTCACCCCTCCATGGACGCTGGTAGCATCAATCCAGACGAATGCCAGGTTGCCAACATGCAAACATTTCGCAGATTTTGCAGCGGAGCCAAATCTAGTAGGTTGTTGTTTTGTTAGCTCCCGGACTTTACAGCAACAGTGAAATTAAAGCAGATAGCTTGGGGAGCGGGGGTGGGGTGGGGGTGGGCGCATGAGTATGCATTATCTCCATGTACACACCAGCCGATTTTTAAAAAATGTGCAAACATGAGCTCTCTTCCTGGAAGCTGGTTTCTCAAAACAATCTAAACACGGCAAAGAGGGACCTGCTTGCCAAAAATCCACTCGGAATAATTAAACGGGAATAAGGCCCTTTCCCTCACTCCATCCCTCCCCCCCCCCACTCCCCATCTGCTTGCGGCGAAACCATAAATCAAAAAAAGGAAGGAAAAATTGCAATTGGATTCTCATTACAAAAGGCTCGCCACAGACGATGGACCTACGGTAGCCTCAGACGTGCGCAAGGTGTGATTTATGACTCAGCAACAAAGTGGGGGGGGGTTGCCACATAGGAGAAAGACTTCGAAACAGAAAATCAAGGTAGAATCATACAATCATGAAATTGTGGAGTTGGAAGGGACCACGAGGGTCATCTAGTCCAACCCCCTGCAATGCAAGAATACTTTTGCCCAACGTGGGGCTCGGATCCATGACCATGAGATTCTCATGCTCTACCGACTAAACTATCCCACAATATTGCTGTATTATTATTATTATTATTATTAAGCTCCAGATCATGCCCACCAGAAGGAAACTTCTTTTCCCTTTTAATTGCCTTCTTCCCACCCACACTCTCCACACCTTTTTGAACAGGATGATATTTTGAGGATAAAGGTAAAGGGACCCCTGACCATTAGGTCCAGTCGTGACCGACTCTGGGGTTGCGGCGCTCATCTGCCGACATTTGTCCGCAGACAGTTTTTCCGGGTATTGTGGCGACTAAGCCGCTTGTGGCGAACCAGAGCAGCGCATGGAAACGCCGTTTACCTTCCCGCCGGAGCGGTACCTATTTATCTACTTGCACTTTGACATGCTTTCGAACTGCTAGGTGGGCAGGAGCAGGGACAGAGCAATGGGTCACCCCGTTGCGGGGATTTGAACAGCTGACCTTCTGATCGGCAAGTCCTAGGCTCTGTGGTTTAACCCACAGCGCCACCCACGTCCCATTTTGAGGATGCAGGCAAGCAATTTCTTATCCTCTGGCCTTCGAACCCGGGTTTTGTAGAAGCACACTCAACCCTAAAATAAACCATACAATTTCCTTCTTCGTATTTTTTTAAAAGCCATTCCAAAGAAAATGGACCCATTAGTTTGTGTGCTAGGGAAAATTAGCGTGCAGCTGAGAGCATTCTTTGGCAACAAGAAACGAGGGAGGGAAAATGCTCGTTTCAAAGTTCTCCCCTTGCGGTCGCACGCTTTTCTCGTAGACTATAACTCCCAGTTGTGCAGACGGAAAATTATTACCTGCACTGGCAAATTATAACTTGTTGAAATTAAGCTCAAGGTTCCCCAAAGATGCTGTTGAAAGCTTTACATTTCCTTACGGTGCTCACATATGCTCAAAACTATTCCTATTGACTAGGGGCACTCCTTATTTGGGGGGCACTTGCCCGTTGCAGCTCAATGCCCTTATTTTGTGATCGCAACGTAGAATCAAAGAATTAGCTCAGTAGGTTAGAACATGGTGCTCAGCATGAGAAAGTTGCAGGTTCAATCTTTGTATGGGACAGCTGTATATTCCTGCATTGCAGGGGGTTGGACGAGATGATCCTCAGGACAGCATTCAAAATTCACCAGGGACCAGGCGCATTTTGAACCTGGCCCGGGTGGCACTGTGGGTTAAACCACAGAGCCTAGGACTTGCCGATCAGAAGGCTGGCGGTTCGAATCCCTGCGACGGGGTGAGCTCCCATTGTTTGGTCCCTGCTCCTGCCAACCTAGCAGTTTGAAAGCACATCAAAGTGCAAGTAGATAAATAGGTACCGCTAATGGCGTTTCCGTGCTCTGCTCTGGTTCGCCAGAAGCGGCTTAGTCATGCTGGCCACATGACCTGGAAGCTGTACGCCGGCTCCCTTGGCCAACAGAGCGAGATGAGCGCCGCAACCCCAGAGTCGGTCACGACTGGACCTAATGGTTGGGGTCCCTTTACCTTTACCTATTCCGATAGAAGGCAGGGACGGCTACAAACTGGACCTAATGGTCAGGAGTCCTTTACCTATCGGCCACTTGCGGCCAAGTGAAGATGCCTGGGCCCCCAAGGTGGCGTCTGACGTCTCCACCATCTGGAGATGCATGTCTGGGGATCACTGGATCTTGACTAGCATCCTGTAGAATTCTATCTGTCATATTTTATCTGCACAATCAAATTAATTTCAGGAACCAAAAAAATAATACAGTCATACCTCGGGTTACAGACACTTCGGGTTGTGCGATTTCAGGCTGTGCACTGCGCCGAACCCAGAAATACCGGAATGGGTTACTTCCAGGTTTCGGCACTTTGCACATGTGCAGAAGCACCAAATCATGACCCATGTGTGCGCAGACGTGTGGGGCATGGGTTGCGAACGCTGCGGGTTACGAATGTGCCTCCCGCACGGATCACGTTCGCAACCCGAGTGTCCACTGTATTGGTAAATATGACTTTCAAGCTGTCTGGCCCCAAAACTGCAACTAGACATTCTGTTTTGACAACTGTAACCCTGGTTTAAGGAGCCATTGGGCGCCTAGCTTGTATATCTGAGTTTCTAACACTGCCTCAGTGAATTCTATGAATTGTAGAGTTGGAAGGAACCCAAAGAGTCCTCTAGTCCAGCCCCCTGCAATGCAGTAACTCCAGCTAAAGCTTCCATGACAGATGTGCAGCCGACCTCTGCTTAAAAACCTCCAATCACCTTCCAAGGGAGTCTATTCCGTTGTCAAAAAGCTCTTACCTCAGAAAGTTCTTCCTGATGTTTAGTCAGAATATCCTTTATTGTCAGTTGAATCCACTGGTTTGGGTCCTACCCTCCAGAGCAGCGGGGGGAAAAAGCTTGCTCCGTCTTCCATGGGTGGATAAAAGGAAGAGAGTGACAGATAATGGGTGTCTCGCCTACCTTTTGCTTTGGCTGCAAGCACTGCCACCCGCATGTGGCCCCTGACCGCCTTCCCCTAAGGCAATGTGGCCCTCAATCCTGAAAAGCCTGCCCACTCCTGATCCCAGTATTCTAAGACAGGGCCTTTTCAGCGGTAGCACCCCATTTTTGGAACTTCTTCTCCAGAGAGGTCCCTTTGGTGCCAACATCATTATCTTTTCTTAGCACCATACGAAGAATGTTTCCATTAACTTTTGTTCAGGCCTGCGAGGTATTCTGATCCTGTTTTAACTTCCCGGAGCTGCTCTTTAATGGTTGTAAGAGCAGCTCTGTTCCACCATCCATGCCTAACTTAGCAAGTCCATTACTCTTAATGGGTCTACTCTGAGTGAAATTTAGTCGCATTCCACCCAATTGCAAGCACGTCAGTAAAATATTCAAGGCAGGCCAGACAGAAATCCAATTAGCGAAATTTCTCCCTCAATTTTCCACCCAGAGGGGCAGTGGGGAAACATCTCTCTTCTTGAAATGCTTCTGAAAGATCCATTTGCAGTGCTAACAGGAGGTCAGCTGTGTTGCAGTCGGGAGCCGGTGGTAATATGCAGCCAAGCCAGGAGCGAGAAGGCCAGCCAGGCCGCAGCAGAGACATCTCTCCTTGTCTGGTTAGCACATTAGGAAACTGCACCAGGTAGATGAAGGCCATTTGTCATCTTGTAGGCTCCTCACGCCTGGCCAGGTGCATGCTGAATGGATGCATTCCGGTTTATGAAGAGGACATGAGGAAGAGGAGACCTCTCTTAAAAACACTCAGAAGCTACAGTGGTACCTCAGTTTAAGAACTTAATTCATTCTGGAGGTCCGTTCTTAACCTGAAGCTGTTCTTAACCTGAGGTACCACTTTAGCTAATGGGGCCTCCCGCTGCCGCCACACAATCTGTGTTCTCATCCTGAAGCAAAGTTTTTAACCTGAAGTAATATTTCTGGGTTAGCAGAGTCTGTAACCTGAAGTGTCTGCAACCCAAGGTACCACTGTACTTGAATTTGCTTTCAGTAGAGGTATTATTTTTTTGACAGTTTTGTATAAGGGCAACCAGTTTCCCACAATTCTGGACTTCTCTCTTCCATAGACTCTCCCAGCTCACCAAGCGCTGTTACCTCCTGAGTTTCTGACACCACCTCACCCCAAATCTTCTCCCTCTGACCACTCCTCGTCATCCCACCACCAATCCCCGGGCTCTCAGCCTCCTTCCCCCACTGGTTCCTCCCCACCATTCCTCTGTGCCCAACCAGTCTGTGACAGATTGGCAGCAGTTGTCTGATGTTTCAGAAAGGAACCTTTCCTAGCCTAATCTGGACTTGCCAGGAGTTGAAACTTCTGCATGCAAAAACAGAGTTCCCTGGGAAAAGGGACTTGATCGTCAATCCATTCTGGGAACTGTTCCCCTGGAAGAGGAATACAGTAGACACTCGGGTTGCGAACATGATCCATGTGGGATGCATGTTTGCAACCCGCAGCGTTTGCAACCTGCAGCGGCGTGTCTGCGCATGCGCAGTTGTGATTCAGCGCTTCTGCACATGCGCAAGGTGCAATTTAGCGCTTCTGCGCATGCGTGACTGCCGAAACCCAGAAGTAACCTGTTCCGGTACTTCCAGGTTTTGGCTGTCCGTAACCCAAAAAATGGGATGCGGGTGGCGCTGTGGGTTAAACCACAGAGCCTAGGACTTGCTGATCAGAAGGTCGGCGGTTCGATTCCCCGCAACGGGGCGAGCTCCCGTTGCTCAGTTCCAGCTCCTGCGAACCCAGCAGTTCGAAAGCACGTCAAAGTGCAAGTAGATAAATACCGTATTTTTCGTCCTATAGGGCGCACCGGCCCATAGGACGCACCTAGTTTTTTTTGGGGGGGGGGAATTAAAAAAAATATATTTCCCCCCCACCAGCCGCGGGGCTGGGGCGGGGGAAGCCCGAGCTTCCCCCGACCCCAGCCCCCAGCCCCCAGAACAGGCTGCCGCCCCAAGCCTTGCGCGCCCGGTGGGACCTCCCACCGGGCACGCTAGGCTTGCGGACATCTGCCCGAAGCAGATGTCCCGTGCTTCGGGCTGCAAGCTGCTGCCCGCAAGCCTTGGGAGCCCGGCGGGCACTCCGGTGGGCTCCCAAGGCTTGCGGATAGCTTCCTGAAGCCTGGAGAGCGAGAGGGGTCGGTGCGCACCGACGCCTCTCGCTCTCCAGGCTTCAGCGAAAGCCTGCGTTCGCCCCATAGGACGCACACACATTTCCCCTTCATTTTTGGAGGGGAAAAAGTGCGTCCTATAGGGCGAAAAATACAGTAGGTACCGCTCTGGTGGGAAGGTAAACGGCGTTTCCGTGCGCTGCTCTGGTTCGCCAGAAGCGGCTTAGTCATGCTGGCCACATGACCCAGAAGCTGTATGCCGGCTCCCTCGGCCAATAAAGTGAGATGAGCGCCGCACGACTGGACCTAATGGTCAGGGGTCCTATTACCTTTACCTAACCCCAAAAAAACGCACGACTGGACCACGACTGGACCTAATGGTTACCTTTACCTAACCCAAAAAAAACGCACGACTGGACCACGACTGGACCTAATGGTCAGGGGTCCTTTTACCTTTACCTAACCCAAAAAAAACGCAACCTGAAGTCTCTGTAACCTGAGGTATGACTGTACAGGTCCTCTCACAACTTTCAGCACCCTTAAGAAACAACAGCTCCCAAGATTCTTTGATGGAAGCCATGACAGTTTAGAGGAGGGATTGTCAACCTGGTCCCTACCGCCCACTAGTGGGTGTGTCAGGATTCCAGGTGGGCAGTAGGGGGTTCTATGGCACAAGCGGAATCCTCCTTCCATCAAGCACTGGTGGGCGGTAAGGAAATTTTACCACCAAGAAAGATGCATTAGTGGGCGGTAGGTATAAAAAGGTTGACTACCCCTGGTTTAGAGTGATATCATCGTGCTTTAAATGCACGGCGTGTGGATGTGGCCGAAGTCTGTCCTTGTAAAATTCCAAGCAAACAGGAAGAGAAATCCAATTAGGGATAGAGGAGAAATTAAAAATAACAAATAAATAAGAGAAACCAAAACGGAGAGAGAGTTGCCCATCCTTAAATCTAACACATGCCGTGTGCAGGATTTATCGCTTCCAATTTCAGCTTCATCTGATGGCTGCTTCTTTTGATGTTCCAGAACAGCTCATCGGAACACAGAGACAATTTACTTCATGTTCTGAATGAGCGAGAGATATTATACCATTTCCCACTTTCACACCCCAGCCAGAAAGCCTGTTGTTTTTTTTAATGCCAATTCCCCATTCCACATACACACACACACCCAAAAAGATGGGAGATGCAGCTGTAAAACTGCCAGAGCTCCCTGACACCTCCTCAGCATGCGAAAACCCACTGTAGAATTCATCCTGCACATAGGCCTTCTGCACCAGGAAGGCTACAGGAGACAGGGCTAGTTCCTTCGTCCCTGAGACAACGCAAGCCCAGCCACCTCTCCAGACTTTACAAGGCCAAGAGCTTTGCAGCTTTTACCCCAGTCACAGAAGGGACTCCCAGCAAAGTGGAGAGTTGTATCGGGCGTCATGGGGGCTGTGATCCAACAGCATCACAAAGACACCATCTTGGCTGCTCCCAAATCAGAGAATCAGTGTGGTCCGCAGTCTTCACAAACCAGACACCCGCCGGGTGTTGCTGGATTCCAACTCTCACCGGTCACTCACAGCCAGAGATGAACCTTTAGGCAGCCAGCTTCTCAGTTACAGCATTACAACAGAGGGGGGAAAACTCTCCTCTCTCTACTTTATCCACACAGTGCAAAGTGTTTTATTACAAAATGAAGCTAACGACTTTGGACCAACAGCTCTCTCTTTCTCAGCCGAACCTACCTCACAAGGCTGTTGTGATTAAAAAATGGGAAGAACAGAATCATTCTACATTGAGGCTGGATATAAATATATAAGGAACAGAGGTTTTCCATAATGTGTGGTCTGTGGCCAACCGGTGGTTTGCACCCTCGTTTCAGTCAGCCTGCAAAAAGTTTGCAGAGAAATCAAGGATATCTTAATTTGATCTTCTCTTTCTATTTTAATTTTTTGCCAGTGGAGATAGAGGTCATTTTGACCAGAGCTGGATTACCAAACAGACTAACAAGGTTCTGGCCCGGTGCCTACAGTTTTCAGAAACACGGAACGGGGGCCATTTCCCCCTTTAAAATGTATCTGTTAAAAATGCTGTTTTCTGCAGCCTGTTTTCTAGGGCCTGTGATTTCACAATTCAGTGCTGCTTTGAGGGAGATGTCAGTGATAAAGGCACAAGGAAAACGAAAAAGTCCACTAAGTGTTTCTCAAAGATCCTCAGCAGCAGAAAAAGAAGTTTTAGAATGACAGGTCTAGAGAGAATCGCCAGCGAGGCTGCCTGCTAGATGAGTCACTGGTCTGAGCTTGCCTGTTTCCAAAGCCAGAGGCACACCCAGAACAGTGACTCATTCAAGAGCACCAGGGTGAGCTTCTCTGCCAGTTCATCCATGCACCAGAGGCAAACAACACTTTTTTAAAAACTGAAAAAACAGGGCTGTCCGAAGAGGGAAAGGGCAACCCAAATGTTCAATGGGGTAGATAGAAGATCGACTCTCCTACAAGGAAAGGTGGCAGTGTTTGGGATTTCAAAGGTGACATGATAGAAGTTTATAAAATCATGTGCAGCATGGAGAAAGTAGATAGAGAAAAGTTTTTCTCCCTTCTCTGAAAACAACAGAACTTGTGGACATTTCAATGATAGAAGATTCAGGACAGGTTAAAAAAAAAAAAGACTTCTTCACACAGCGCAGAGTTAAACTATGGAACTCCTTGCCACAAGAGGCAGTGGCAGCTACAAACCCTGATGGTTTTTTAAAAGAGGACTGGACAAATTCATGGAGGGGAAGGGTATTATTGATGGCTACATGGCAGAGGCAGCAATGCTTCTGAATACCCGTTGCTTGGAACCGCAGGAGTTCTCCTGTGTTCGAGTCCTGCTTTCAGGTTTCTCACAGGGCATCTGGTTGGCCAATGAGGATGCTGGACAAGATGGGCCACTGGCCTGATCCACCAGGCCTTTCTTATCTTCTTAAGGGAAAGTGCTTTCCCTTTCTGCAGGGGTAAACAGAAGCATTTTTGTGGCCACCACAAGTTTGGGGAAGCCGGGTATTAGGTAAGCCACAAGCTCTTGCACCAGATGGCAGAAACCACAATGAAATAAGTAGTGTTAAACCCCACAGAAGACAGCGGGGAATATCATGAGGCCTTTCCTGGTTCTTAAGCACTGAACAATTAAAAAAATAATAATACAGTGGTACCTCGGGTTACATACGCTTCAGGTTACGTACGCTTCAGGTTACAGACTCCGCTAACCCAGAAATAGTGCTTCAGGATAAGAACAGAAATCGTGCTCCGGCGGCACGGCAGCAGCAGGAGGCCCCATTAGCTAAAGTGGTGGTTCAGGTTAAGAACAGTTTCAGGTTAAGAACGGACCTCCGGAACGAATTAAGTACTTAACCCGAGGTACCACTGTATATGAAAAGGGGATGGGGGAGGAGGTATTTATTTGCGACTTGCCATCAAACCCCACACTCCTGTTTTTTGTTCTGCTAACCTGGATAAACCAGTTTATGGAGGAAACAGGGAGCAGGTGGAAAACTCAGGAGCCTTGCCAATTCAGCATTCAAAAACAAAAGCACATACCATCTCAGGAGAGCTGAAAAGCTACAGCTATTTAAAAAAAATAAAAATAATGAAGGACACCTACAACGTACAATGAGCACCCGATGCATTCTGGAATACGGGGAAAGCATCAAACACACAAACACAAGACTCGAGGCAGCTAGGAGTTATCATTACCGCTTTGGTACATACACATCTAAAGGAGACCTTGGGATCATCTCCAGAAGGTGCTGTCTAGAGATGGAGGAATAGGGACGAGGGGAGAATGAAGACGGAGAAGATTTCCCCAACCTAAAAACCACCCAAAATAAAACCATCTGCAAGTTGGAGAAGATGAATGGAGGAGGAGATTGAGCAAAAGGGTGGTCTCCGACACTCGGCTGCCCACCCAGGTTTGTAGACCAAAGGACCCCAAAAGTGTGGCGGTCTCAGTAGGGTGCCTTTTTCACTTCCAGAAACCAGAGGAGCAGGTTAGGGGGCTTGCGAAACCTTAGTGCGAGGACGGCCAAACCCTGGTTTTTCTGCCATTCTCTCTGCCCCCACCCAAGATGAATCCACCAATTTTGGATTGGCAGCAAGGAAGAAAGATAGAAATTGAAGCAGGCCCAGCACTGAAGCGGGCAAATGGGAATGCAAGTTGCTCTTTTTCCCCCAACATCAAACTGAGGAGCAATAGCCCAGTTGTGGACGGTCCTTTGCGGCCAATGGGCCACTGCTCAATAAACCCTGTCTGCCCCCAGCCAGTCCTCACTCTTGCCTACAACCAGCCCGGATGACGCCCTGCCTGTCAGCTTCCTCCTCCTTAGAATCACTGAATAGCAGAGCTATTGGACGGGGCCTCCAAGGGCCATCTAGTCCAACCCCCTGCAATGCAGAAACAGCAGCTAAATAATCCCTGACAGATGGTCCGTCCAACCTATGCTTAAACACCTCCAATGCCGTCCCTTGTAGAACTCAGCAGGGCCAAGGAGGAGGGCAAAGCTGGAGTTAGCTGGCTTTGTCTATCGTTGGCTTGGGCGCCCCCTACTGTAGGGCTCCCTGATTTTCGCCCTACCAGCCATCACTGCAATCACACCCACACCCCTGCTTAGCTGATCAATATGGATCCGAAGGCCGGGGAGCGGGGTGTTGTGTGTATGGCGACAGCAAAGACTTAGTGGTTCATCCTAAGGTGGTATTTTTCCACTGTCTCCAAAAAAGGGGGAAACGGAACAAGCTTTTTTAAAAAAGGAGAAGAAGAGAGCAACACTCTTGATAGAAAACTTGGAGAGTCAAGACAGACAATTAACCAAGTTGACAGCTCAGCAGGGCTTAACTAGGGCCAGGGCTTTAATTATTGTTTATTGCAATCGTTATCTCATGCCACCTCATTCTGGGCTGTTCCGTTCTGCAAACTGCCCTGTGATTATTTTTTTTTTAAATGAAGAGAGAGGTACTTAAATGAAAAGTCATCATCACTACCATCACCTATCCACCAAGGGTCACAGATTGAGCCTCACTAGACCCCTGTGAGGTAGGGCAGGTTAGCAGACTGGCCAAATAAAGGTAGCCATCTTAGCTCATCTCAGCAAATACACACAGAGGAGTCTTGAGGCCCCTTGAGGCACGGGTGGGGAGACTAGAGCGCTCCAGGTTTTTGAGGGACTTCCGCCATCCCTATTTGGCCACATTGCAAGTCCAGCAACATTTGGAGGGCTACAGGTTCCCTAACAAAGATTTCAAAGACTTAAAGAGAGATTTAGCAACGCAATCTTAAGCCTGCCTGTTTGGATGTCCCATCGAGTTCAATAGGATTTACTCCCAAATAAGTGGCTATAGGAAGGCAGCCTTATTATAAGATCATGGAATCAGAGTTGGAAGGGATCCAAGGGTCATCGAATCCAGCCCCCTGCAATGCAGGAATCACTCTCCTGTCCTGTAGCTTCCAGCAATGTGCCATTGCCTTGTGAGATTGCATGGACCACAGAATTCCTTTTCCAGAAACTGACTCTACCGCTTATGCCACAATTCATTTCTCTGACCCTTAAGGTGCCCCAAGGACACACTCTCCCTCCCAAACTCTTCACAGGAGTCTCATCTCTAGCTCTACCTCGTTTTTTAACAACTGAGGGTGGTATCTGACGAGGAGTTTTGGAAAATAAAAACTCAGCAAGCTGCTCAAGGCAGAGTCAGTTCATTGATTCACCCAGCTCAAGATTGTCTAATATTCCTAGAGATAGCTCAGTTGGTAAAGCATGAGACTCTTAACCTCAGTGTCCTGGGTTCGAATCCCACATTGGGCAAAAGATTCCTGCAGTGCAGGGGGCTGGACTAAGTGACCCACCTGGCCCCTTCCAACTGTACAGTTCTATGATTCTACAGTGCCTGGCAGCAGCTCTGCAGGGTTTTTCAGGAGGTGCCACTAGGGATTGAACCTGGTAACTTCTGTGTGTACAGCAGATGTTCTGCAGCTGAGCTGTGGTCTTTCGCTTAAAAGCAAAGCAAGATCCTAGTCCTCATTGTTCTGAATAAAAGGGCTGATTTAAAGAGTAGCACAGGAAGCTGCCTTGTGCTAACCGCTGTCGACACTGACCAAAAACAGCTCTGCAAGATTTCAGTCAAGGGACATACTTACCCCTATGGGGACTGAACCCAGGAACTTCTGCATGCAAGGCAGGTGCTCTACTACTGAACTAAAGCCTTTCCCTTCTTCAGAGCTGGAAGACAGGAACTCTAAGACTGCCCTCCTCCCAAAAAATAAAGATGTGCCATGCCCTTTTCTCTCTGTCCCTTCCCACACCTGAATGTGGGAAAGCTGGGACCCCCCAGAAGCTCTGTAGACAGAGCATGAGACTCATAATGTCAGGGTTGTGGGTTCGAGACCCATTTGGGGCAAAAGGATTCCTGCCTTGCAGGGGGTTGGACTAGATGGGGGTTGGACTAGATGACCCTGGTGGTCCCTTCCAACTCTACGATTCTATGATACTACAATGCTAAGTCCCATAACCCCTGCCATGCTGGCTACAGCTCAGTACACCTGCCATGCATGCAGAAGTTCCCAGGTTCAATCCCTGCCATCTCCTAGTGGGGATGGGAACGTCCCCTGCCTGAAACCCCAGAAAGCAGCTGATAAATGTGTAGACAGTACTGAGCCAGATGGGCCCCTGTTCAGGATAAGGCAGCTTGCTATGTTATTATTTAAAGCTGCCCTGTGCTTAGAATCATGAGGACCGGAACCTCGCTCTGTTTTTAAGGGAAGAGCCATAGCTCAGGGGCATGCTCTGCATGCAGAAATCCCCAGTGGCACCTCCAGAACAGGCTGGGAACATCCCCTGCCTGAAACCCTACAGGGCTGCTGCCAGTCAGAGTAGGCCAAGGGAAGCCCACAGGGTGTCCCCTAGATGCTAGTGCCATCTCTAACCATTGGTCATGCTAGTCCGGCCTGATGGAGCTGCAGTGGGCCACAGGTTTCCAGCCCTGGCTTAGAGAGAGACGCGATTCTGGAGCAAAGACTTGAGCGATGCCCTTGAATCTCTCACGTTAGGAAATTCATTCAGTAGCGACACCTTTCCTCCTCCTCCTCCGACCCCCAAACGCTGGGGGTTCAAGCCTACCAGGAGAACTGTCCAGATAAATTATTTTGCTCCATCTCCCAATCTTAGCCTTGTGTGTGGCCGAAAGCACCACTTCAGTTGGTGGCGACACTCCACACATGCTCAGAAGGCACTATGCTCTTCTTTCACACTTCCAAAGCCCTGTGCCGCAAAACATTTGTTGTTTTTTTTTGGGGGGGGGGGTTGCATCTCCTCACCTCCAAAGACATAAGCCACACATTACACACAATGGACCTTTCAAAAGGTTGAAGAGCACACTCAAAATCCGTCGGTCCGCAGTAGGACCCGCAAAGAGGTCGAGAGAGAGAAGACCCCCATTCATCTTCCCCTTTTGCTTGGGAAACACGCACCCCTCCGCCTGTCTCCTCATCTTGTCTGGTCAAAACTCGCATTCTGCTGGCTGATGAGGGAGGTTGGGGGCGGCCCTCCGCACATGTTCAGAGGCACCCTTCCTCCGCTCGAAGCCCTGCGCTGCCAAACCCATCTGGTTCGGGGGTGTCAACCAGCTGTCACCCCTCACCGCCCCACCGACGTGACGCGACCCACACGAGACACAATAGCCCTTTTGGAAGCGGGGGGCGTGCGGAGAAAAGGACCCTTTGCACCGCCCAAAGCCACGGGCTCCCAGAGAGGTGCCAATTCATCATTTCCCCCACCGATATCAAACCCCTCCAGCTGTTGCACGGATCTGGATCACGGATCTGGAGAAACAGAAAATGCAAAGGCGCTAACCTCTCCAGCTGGATCTCTCTCGATCTCCCTCTCTCTCTCCTTGAGATGCACCCGCTCACCTGCTCAGGCTTCTTCCCAAGGAGGCGGCTCCCTTCCAGCCGATTCCCCTCCAGCTTCTGCTCGCTCGCAATTCCAGCGCGGAGCCCCGAAACAAAGTAATCCGGCCAGCCTCCAATCCGCAGCCCCGTAGCAAGCCCGGCGCCGCGCTGCGCGGACGCTGCTTCTTCCTCCTCCGCCTGCTCGCGGGTTGGCTTTGTGACAGGCGGCGCGATTGGCAGGCGGCCCCCTCGGCTCCTCATTGGCCCGTATAATTGGCTGGCCCGCCGCGCGCCTCGCCATTGGCCGGCGGAGCGGGCTTAATTCTCGATCGGCTGCCCGGCGTTCTGTAGGAGAGAAGGTTGCTGCTGCTGCCTGCCCGGGATTGCAAACTAGGTGGGGTTGGATTATTCCCCCCCCCCCAATTTTTTTTATTGGTTTTCACAAAATTATAAACAAACAAACACATAAAACAAACAAACATAAATCATAACCTTATTAAAAATTACACTTATTGACATGGTTAGGTGACTTCCTCGCTTCCCCTTGGTTGAATTTCAATGCATATCCTTTTAACGGTTTCCCAAATCACAGTTCTTATAAAGTTTAACTTGAACATTAACATCCTTAGATCTTTTCATTTTGAAATTAAACATATTAATTCATCACTTAACTTATATAAAATCCTAAACCGATTAACTATCTGCAAGCTGTTTCCAATTAATTTAACTTGACATATTTAACTAAATAATCATTAAATTTAGTCCATTCTTCCTCCTTCTGGTTGCGGACTCTTCCGGTTAGGTTGGCTAGCTCCGAAAAATCCATCTTCTGGGTTTGGATATTTTTTATTATTATTATTATTATTATTATTATTATTATTATTATTTGGCTTTTGTTTTGCTGCTGTGCAATGAAGGCTGTGCATTTCATCCCAGTGGTGCGCTGGTCAATTCTGCAGTGCATGCGCCGGTTATTAATTCCGCTTGTTTTTAAGCAAAATGGTTGGAGGGACATCTGTCATGAATGCTTTAGATGAGATTCCTGCATTGCAGGGGGTTGGAATAGATGACCCGTGGGGTTCCTTCCAGCTCTATAATTTCATGATTCTATCTGTTGCGTTTATATCCCGCCCTATCCTTCAAGGAGCTCAAGGAGGTGTGCAAACTTCTCCCCACCTCCATTAGGATATCCTCACAACCCTGCGAAGTAGGTCAGAATCTGCCAATTCCACTTTCTCTCCATTTCTCATTTCCCCAACCTTGAGTTTCCAAGGGACAGTTGCCTGCCTGGGCTTGGAAGCTGTGTATTTGCTCCTGCGCAGTGAATCTGCAGGAATTGGCTGTGCATATCTTCATGAGACGTGTAGTGCACAGGGAAAACTCTGAAATGTATCCATGATTTATTATATTTATTTATATCCCACCTTTTTCCGAAACAGGGATTCAAGACAGCTTGGACGGCACAGATAAAATACAAAAAGCTAAAAACATATAAACAATAAACTCTGAAAAGTAATTAAACTCGATAATAGAATTAAAACAACGAAGCACAATTAAACAATATAAAAACAAATATATTTCTTTTTTTAAAAAAAAAAAACCACCTTCCATTCCCAAACGCCTGTTAGAAATATGTCAAAAAATTTTTTGCCATTTATATAGCACCTTCTTCTCCAAAGAACTCAATGTTAGGTGCAAACTTCTTCCACCCAACGCCGTCTCCAGTATATCGTCACAATAACCTTGTGAGGTAGGTTAGGCAGAACTTTGATGATTTCTCTTTCGATTTCTCATTTTTCCAACCTTTTCTCCACATTTCTACATAAATTTGCAACCACAACAAAATAAAACTTCCCCCTATTCCCCTCTGACGGGTCCCTGTGAAGAGGGCTGGATTGTTAAACCGCTCTAACAATGGTAGCTCCAGGAAGGAAATTAGAGTCTCCGAACATCTCACAGCACCCTCAACAAGCTCCCAGGATCCTTTGGGGGAAGACTTGAATATTCAAAGTGGTATCATAGCACTCTAAATGTATGGTGTGAATGGGGCCTTAGCAGAGGCTAGGCAGCTGTCCGTAAGGAAAGGGGCTGTTTTATCCCTGCATTGCAGATGCTTCATTGACTTGAAGATCTCTACAGACCCCTTTGTAGTCTAAAAAGGTCTTACGATTCTAGATTCTGTGCTGCTTCATTCATTTACAGACTAGGTAAGGTAAAGGTAAAGGGACCCCTGACCATTAGGTCCAGTCGTGGCCGACTCTGGGGTTGTGGCGCTCATCTCGCTTGATTGGCCGAGGGAGCCGGCGTACAGTTTCCGGGTCATGTGGCCAGCGTGACTAAGCCGCTTCTGGCGAACCAGAGCAGCGCACGGAAACGCCGTTTACCTTCCTGCCGGAGTGGTACCTATTTATCTTTTTTTTTTAATAAGATATTTATTGAGATTTTCCAAATGTTACAATATAAAAATGAAAAAGAAGGAAAAAAAAGAAAAAATACAAAAAATACAAAAAATACAAAGTACAAAATAAAAATGATTAAAAACCACTCAATTTTTCCATTACTTATTTTTCCTTAGCTTGTTTCCCGGACCTCCTCATACCTCCCTTTTTTGTATTCCAGTTCAATTTGTTGGTTCAGCAAATCCTTACCTTCTTTATTTATCCTAATCTTTGGTCTTAAAATAGTAACGTTAGATTTTTACCTATTAACAACCCATTTTTCATATTCCCTTAAAGCATTACAGCTGGAAACCACTTAATTTCTATCCAACATCATTCTAACATTCATTAATTTTACAATATTTCTGTAGATAGTCTTTGAATTTCTTCCAATCTTCTTCCACCGACTCTTCTCCCTGGTCTCGGATTCTGCCAGTCATTTCTGCCAGTTCCATATAGTCCATCAGCTTCATCTGCCATTCTTCCAGAGTGGGTAGATCTTGTGTCTTCCAATACTTTGCAATGAATATTCTTGCTGCTGTTGTGGCATACATAAAAAAAGTTCTGTCCTTCTTTAGCACCAATTGGCCGACTATGCCTAGGAGAAAGGCCTCTGGTTTCTTCAAGAAGGTATATTTAAATACCTTTTTCAATTCATTATATATCATCTCCCAGAAAGCCTTAATCCTTGGGCACGTCCACCAAAGGTGAAAGAATGTACCTTCAGTTTCTTTACATTTCCAGCATTTGTTATCGGGCAAATGATAAATTTTTGCAAGCTTGACTGGGGTCATGTACCACCTGTATATCATTTTCATAATATTCTCTCTTAAGGCATTACATGCCGTAAACTTCATACCTGTGGTCCATAACTGTTCCCAGTCAGCCATCATTATGTTATGTCCAACATCTTGTGCCCATTTAATCATAGCAGATTTCACCGTTTCATCCTGAGTATTCCATTTCAACAACAAGTTATACATCTTTGACAAAATCTTAGTTTTGGGTTCTAACAGTTCTGTTTCTAATTTTGATTTTTCCACCTGGAAACCAATTTTCTTGTCCAAATTATATGCCTCCATTATCTGATAATAGTGAAGCCAGTCTCGCACTTTGTTTTTTAATTTCTCAAAACTCTGCAATTTCAGTCTATCTCCGTCTTGTTCCAAAATTTCCCAATATTTCGGCCATTTGGCCTCCATATTGAGCTTTTTCAGAGCTTTTGCTTCCATCGGTGACAACCACCTTGGAGTTTTATTTTCCAATAAGTCCTTGTATCTTAGGAGTGGTACCTATTTATCTACTTGCACTTTGACGTGCTTTCAAACTGCTAGGTTGGCAGGAGCTGGGACCGAGCAACGGGAGCCCACCCCATCACTGGGATTTGAACTGCCGACCTTCTGATCGACAAGTCCTAGGCTCTGTGGTTTAAGCCACAGTGCCACCCGCGTCCCTCATTTACAGACTAGAGACAGGCCAATTCTATTTTATTTTATTGAAAGTGAAAACAGGGGTGGGTACAATAATATTACTAGTCTCTTTTTTTGCCGCGGGCAGCTCAAAACATCCCCACCCACTCTAAAAGGCCCTAAAGATTGTTAAAAGCCAAAGACCTGGTTAAAATGGAAAGTTATCGCCTGGTGCCTGACTCATTTTAACAACTTAGGATTTGGGGTGGGCTGTGCCCGTCTCCCCCCCGCTTCCCGTGCAACTCGTGCTACCTGTAAAAATTAAAATGAGCAATTAACAGCACAAAAGGGCCTCTGCCAAACGAAACTGGAGTTTGCCAGGGAAAGTAATTAGGACTATCATGGCATAATTAAGACACAGCGAGCAACACTAGGGAGGGAACCTTGAAAACTCTCCCTACTCACTGTGACTGGTTGTGGATTGTCTTTCTCGTGGTTTCCTCTCAGAGAGAAAGGAATTTCGCCCTGGGAGCCACAAATGTGATATCCCAGGCAGAGATCCTATGCACTCTTCGCAGGGAATATGCCAGGCAGGGCATTATGCCAAGCAGAATTGCACAGGCGCATAGCTACCAAAGCCCCCTCAATCCAAAGCCTCTTGGGGGTTTGTTTGTTTGTTGCATTCATATCCCAGCTGAAATATACTCGGAGTCGAGAGTGGATTTCATGCTCTTTATTCAGCTCATAGTGGTTGAGGAGGAATGGAAGTTCCCCCAGAATGTCTGCTTTATATACATTATTTACACAATGGGCCCCACGTGATTGGCTAATTCCGGGATTCACCTGTAGGCCTATCAGGTTGCGGATTCACTTCCACCTGGAGCTGGATTGGGTGGCTCCTGTGGACCAATCAGACTGCTGCATTCTGGACCCTATTGTTCCAGGACCAATCAGACTGCTGCATTCTGAATCTTATTGTTCTAGGACCAATCAGACTGCTGTATTTTGGATCCTATTCAACTCAGTACATAACACCAGCTTTTTTCTCTAAGGAGCTCAGGGTTGGGCAAACGATTCTCCCCCTAGGTTAGGCTGAGAGGCAGTGACTGGCCCCCAAGTAGGGATTTGAACCCTGGTCTCCCGGGTCCTACTCCAGCACTCTAACCCCTGCACCACACTGCCTCTCTCTTTCACGCCAGCAAGTACAGCCCCTAGTACATAGCAGGGGGGCAACTATTACCGTAGAAGACAGAATCAGGGTTCAACATGACCTTAACAGACTGGAGAAGCCAACAAAATGAAGCCCAATAGGAACAAATGTAAGGTGTCAGCATCGCCCTTGAGCCAGTGCCACCAACTGGACTCATCCACTTCAGCCCCGACTGGGCCAGGCGAGCTGGGTAGCACTTCCAGAGACCACCTTCTGCACAGGAACAGGTCAAAGTGCTGTGGACTCATAGCTTAGAGTTGTGAGCACCGGATTCACTCCAACAAGAAGACAGTCGTCGCACAGCAGAGTACAGCAGAGTTTAGCAGAGTATATAAACAACTCGGAGAGCAGCTCTGTAGAATATCTTCTTTATTCTATAACTACAACTATACAAACTATATACAGAGCTTAATAGGTCTAAGCATAAATAAATGCTGCACTGCACTGAGTGTCTGCAGCTGCTCTTAGCAGCAACCTTATCTCTACACACAATCTCTAACACTCAGTCTCTCTCTCTCCGACACTGACTGACTGACTGACTCGTTGCTGGAGCAGAATAAGTAGAGAGCAGAACACGCCTCCTCCTCTCTGGAGAATCCCCAGACTCCTCAGGAGATTCTTGGATATGGGAGGGGTGAAATCTCCTCACTTAGGTCGGAATAACCAGCTGCACAAATATGGGATGTGGGACACAGATCTAGAGGTCTTAGTAGACCATATCCTTAACATGAGTCAACAGTGTGATGCAGCAGCAAAAAAAGGCTAATGCAGTTCTCTGTCAACTGAAGTACAATGGTACCTCGGGTTAAGTACTTAATTCGTTCCGGAGGTCCGTTCTTAACCTGAAACTGTTCTTAACCTGAAGCACCACTTTAGCTAATGGGGCCTCCTGCTGCCGCCACGCTGCCGTCATGTGATTTTTGTTCTCATCCTGAAGCAAAGTTCTTAACCCAAGGTACTATTTCCGGGTTAGCGAAGTCTGTAACCTGAAGCGTATGTAACCTGAAGTGTATGTAACTCGAGGTACCACTGTATAGGGTCCCAATCAAGTGAAGTAATAGTACTACTCTATTCTGACTTGGTCAGACCCAACCTGGAGTCCTGGGTCCAGTTCTGGGCACCACAGTTTAAGAAGGATATTAACAAGCTGGGATGTGTACAGAGGAAGGTGGCAAAGAAGGGTCTAGAAACCATGCCTTATGAGGAACAGTTGAGGGAGCTGGGCATGTTTAGCCTGGAAAAGAGGAGATGGAGAGGAGATATGATAGCCATCTTCAAATATCTAAGGGGTTGTCAACATGGAAGATGGAGCAAGTTTGTTTTCCCCTGCTCTGGAGCGTGGTATCTGAACCAATGGTTTCCAGTTACAAGAAAAGAGATTCCGACTAAACATCAGGAAGAACTTTCTGACAGTAAGTCTGTTCGACAGTGGAGCAGACTCCCTCAGAAGGTGGTGAACTATCTTTCATTGAAGGTTTTAAGCAGAGGATGGATAGCTATCTGTCATGGATGCTTTAGTTGAGATTCCTGCATTGAATGGGGTTGGACTAAAGTAAAGGTAAAGGGACCCCTGACCATTAGGTCCAGTTGTGGCCGACTCTGGGGTTGCGGCGCTCATCTCGCTTTATTGGCCGAGGGAGCCGGCGTTCATCTTCCGGGTCATGTGGCCAGCAGGACTAAGCCTCTTCTGGCGAACCAGAGCAGCGCATGGAAATGCCGTTTACCTTCCCGCCGGAGCGGTACCTATTTATCTACTTGCACTTGTGTGCTTTCGAACTGTTAGGTTGGCAGGAGCAGGGACTGAGCAATGGGAGCTCACCCCGTCACGGGGATTCGAACCACCGACCTTCTGATTGGCAAGTCCTAGGCTCTGTGGTTTAACCCACAGCGCCACCCGCGTCCCTTGGGGTTGGACTAGATGACCCTTGGAGTCCCTTCCAACTCTACAATTTGATGATTCTGCAATACATAACTGAAGCCACACAGAATATATATGCAAGTGTGGAGGAGACACTTTCAAAATGCAGCAAAAGTGAGGAAGAGAAGAGAAAGGAGGAACTATTTTGGGATGGAAGCACCTTCGGCCAGGGCGGCAGGTTGCTCACCTGTGATACAGGCAATTATTTAGTATTTTTAGGGTTGCTCTTCCTTTGCAGCTGCCTGCCAAATGTGCCAGAGGCATAAACAGAGCTCAATCCAGCTGCCGCCGTCTTTTCTCAGACTGTTCATTCATATTTTCCGCACCCCTCCCTCTGCAGCCTTGTGACTCATTTGCAGGCTGCCTTTCACTTCTAGCTGACGAAATATCTGGAAAGTGACGAGGTTCCATCTGGAGAAGATGAATCAGGGAAAGCCTCTGGAAGAGCTTGAAAACGCAAACACAAAGCAGGGAAAGAGGCGGGGGGGGGACTCGGGAAGAGCTTGAAAACAGTGGCAGAAGGGCCACTTGTACACACATAGAGAACGCCCAATGGCAGGGCCCGGCCAAGACCAAGACTCTTTGCTGCCTGAACCAGAAAAGCAGCGGTACTTATTGATCTACTTGCACTGCTAGGCTGGCAGGAGCTGGGACAGAGCAACGGGAGCTCACCCTGTCATGGGGATTCGAACCGCCGACCTACTGATCGGCAACCCCAAGAGGCTCAGTGGTTTAGGTCACAATGCCACCCGTGTCCCAAATAAACAAGCACACAGCCACTGATAGGTCGACCCGCCATTGTGAGGCTCAAAGCAATGAAGATGATGGCTCCCCAGCTGTCGCCATTGGCTGTGGGTTTCCTGTGATGTCACAAAAGCTCTTGGCAACTGAGTGGATATAAAGGCAGGCCAAGGGGAAAGGCCTTTTCTATTACCAGCAGGACACACCTGGCAATGGATGCGACATTCAGCACTGCCCAGGCTTCTTCCACTTGGAGGAGGCAAACTGGTGAGTGGAATGAGGCAAGCCTCTGGCAGTGGGATGCTAGGGAGCAATAATAAGGCAAGTTTGCTTGCTTGAAGGCTGCTGGTATCTGTGATTCGAAGCTGGAGGACATCTCATGATGGACCTCACAGCAGCTTCTGGCACAATGGGACATCGTGACCAGGGCCGTCTTCAGCAGATTCAGCGCCAGGGTGCAAATATCTGCCCAGTGCTTTCAAATTACCATGGATAGTGTTGGGGTGGCCGTGGCTGCGCACTGCCAGCCCCTGGGGGGGGTGCAACTCTGCCCCATGTCGCTGTGGGAGAGCAATCCCCGCAGAGGCTTGGGAGTGAAGTTGCGCCCCTCCCCAGCCTCCTCAGAAGGAGAGCGATCCTCGCAGAGGCTTGGGTGTGAAGTGCCCCTCCCAAGCCTCCTTGGGAGGAGAGCGATCCTTGCAGAGGCTTGGAGGGAAGCTGCACGCCTGCCAGCCTTATGGTTGGTGGGGCGCAGCTGAAAGGGGTGCAGGGAAAGGGGAGGCCGTTGGCAAAGCCGCACATCTCCCCCACTTTCTGGGTATGGGAAAGACGGCTCTGACTGCTGCCCTGTTGTATTTACATCCCTTTTTCTCCAAGGAACTGAAGGTATATGGTCCTCTCCCACCTCCTGTAATTCCCACAGGTAAGAAAGGTAAAGGACCCTTGGATGGTTAAGTCCAGTCCAAGGCCACTATGGGGTGTGGCGCTCATCTCGTTTCAGGCCGAGGGAGTTGGTATTTGTCCACAGACAGCTTTCCAGGTCATGTGGCCAGCATGACTAAACCACTTCTGGCGCAATGGGACACCATAACAGAAACCAGAGAGCACAGAAATGCCGTTTACCTTCCCGCCGCAGTGGTACCTATTTATCTACTTGCACTGTCGTGCTTTTGAACTGCTAGGTTGGTAGGAGCTGGGACAGAGCAATGGGAGCTCACCCTGTCGCGGAGATTCGAACTGTCGACCATCTGATCAGCAAGCCCAAGAGGTTCAGTGGTTTAGACCACAGTGGCACAGCAACCCTGGGAAATAAGTTAGGGCTGAGAGGCAGTGACTGGCCCCCAAGGGCACCAAGTGAGCTTCATTACCAAGTGGGGGTTTGAACCTGGTCTCCCAGATCCAAGTCTGACACTTTGACCATTACCCCACACTGGCTTTGCATGTGTGTCTGTCTGTCTGTCTGCAGTGTGTCTGGTGACCATCGGGGCTGGTAGGGCCGAATGCAAGGAGGCCACCAGTAGGTGGCGCCAGAGCTAATGACAGGGAGAGCTAACTCATTCTAGTTTTGTCCCCATCCTCCCTGCTGAATTCCACAAGGGCAACACTGAGACTAAGGAAGAATCATATAGTCCAGGGGTCAGCAACCTTTAAAAAATAAATAGAAATTTCAACACAATAATTTTAACAAAAATACATCATCCACATTGTTTTCCCCCCTCCATTTCCCCCCTCCCACCCCCCCACCCCAGACTTCCCTCAGCTCCTTTCTCTGGTTTCTCAACACATCTTTCTGTCTGCATATTGTAAAATTGTAAAGATCCTCAAATTATCTATCTATATATTACAATAAAGAGTTTGTGAATGTTTATTCAAAACCTGCGAAAGAGTCCAGTTCATTTTGTTGCTTCTTCAAATATTTTGTAAAAGGTTCCCATTCATCTTTAAAATCACAGTTATCCTTGTCATGTAGTTTGTGTGTCAGTTTTGCCAATTCCGCATAGTCCATCAGTTTTTCTTGCCACAGTTCTTTCGTCGGGATTTCCTCATTCTTCCATCCTTGTGCTATTAAGACTCTTGCCGCCGTTGTCGTGTACATAAAAATATTTTTTAATTTCTTTGGCAGTAGGGGTCAGCAACCTTTTTCAGCCGTGGGCCGGTCCATTGTCCCTCAGACCATGTGGTGGACCGGACTATATATATATATATATTTTTGGGGGTGAACGAATTCCTATGCCCCACAAATAACCCAGAGATGCATTTTAAATAAAAGCACACATTCTACTCATGTAAAAACATGCTGATTCCCAGACCGTCCGTGGGCCGGATTGAGAAGGCGAATGGGCCGCATCTGGCCCACGGGCCTTAGGTTGCCTACCCCTGATATAGTCCAACCCCCCCTGATAATTTGCTGCTCACATCGTCACAACACCACATACACCCCGTTGAAACAGGTAGCCTCAAGATCCCAGGCAAATCTTTTTGTTGTTTCTGCCTCCATGGAAATGAGATCACTGCTGTGCATTTTCCAGTGCTCTTCAACGTCATGCCTGCAGGTCCGGCTTGAGAAAAGTTCAAATTCCAGACCTGAAAGTGGTGTTAGCAGTGGTGGTGGTCTTCCTCATTGACCACCAAGTTTTACATGGGAGAACCTGCCTGTGACTTTTCCAGGGGAGCTATTGCAAGTGCTGTCACCCCCTCTGCTGGCCAATTTCAAATACTGCAACAACAATTCCAAAGACAGGTCCTGTTGCATTTTGATCAACGTTTTCCTTTTTTAGAGCAAAGATGCTTTGGAGCAGTTCTTCTCTGCACCAAAATAACTTTTTTAAAAGAAAAAGAATGAATGAAGGCAATAGTGCGCTCTCTCTCTCAAAATATTCTCTTCCTAGCAATATTTAGGAAGTATACGGTCTCTTAACTTTGAGGTTCTGTTTTAGCTAGCATATCTAATAATCCTCGATGGAAACCTTTTCCAAAATTTGTCTTATCCCCTTATAAAGCCATCAGGTCCCCTGAAGGCTGGGGAATCTCTTTCTGATTCAGGGCCACATTCCCATCCTTGCAACCTAAGGAACCCCATGCCGGGGGGTGGGGCAGAGGCAAAATTGGGCAAAGCAATAGATGCACATTTTACCTTTGTACAATAGGCTAGTTTCTACACATGCACCCTCTAGCCTTGAGAGGGAGGAAACCCTTTTTCTACTCCATTTCTGGGGATAATTTTATAAACTTCTATATCATGTGGGATTACTAACTGTCTTCTCACTTCTTCACCCCCCTGGATGTGGGGCAAGGACTTCTCAATATAAAAGGTCCTTGCTCAAACAAAACCGTTCTGGGCACTCAGGAGTTAACGGCCTCCCCGACTCGGCTGCCTCAAAGTACATTTGTAACTCTATCACTTTTTTGCTTTTTGGCAAAACTTGGAGTTTGACTTTTAGTCAAAGGAAACAAAAAGGTGTCTTTTCTTTTTTCATACTGATTATCCCCTTGCTGTCGTTCAGCATTGTCTGCCTCTGCTACTGTATCCACCCCCTCAGGATTAGGTGACTGTAGGCTCCCCTTTGCTCTGGTAACTATGAAAGTACTCTGCACATGTTCCAAAACGTCCCAACCAATGAGCACAGGGGTGGGAATTTATTTCGAAAGGGCTACCTGCCACTTCCCTGCCCAGTTTTTGAACCTGACATCTATTTCCGCCACCTTTAGGATCTCTGCTTGTTTCGAAATGCCTTTTAATTTTATTAATTTTCCTGGAATAATGGCTTCAGCCAGATATACTATCCAGCATTCTTTAACAAGATAGGCATCAGGGGCGTCGCGTGTAGGCGGTTGCTGGGGCGATTGCCCCGGGTGAATTTTTCGGTGGGGGCAGCAGTGCTGCTCGTGCCGCCCTCCCTGAGCCAGCCCTGTGCCACTTTGTGAGGCTGGGATTGCAAAGCAGACCAGGGAGGGCAGTGTGAGAATGACGCCGTGTGTCCTTCTCCTGCAGCCCTTTCTAGGAAGCTCCCGCCTTCAGATTCCTGTCTGTCCTTGTGGCGTTTGCCTCCTAGGTGGGTCAGAAGGAAAGGGTTAAATGAGTGTGAAGTGATTGGCCAGTGGGAACCCAAGGGGAGGAGTTAGAGTTGGTGTTGTTTGGAAGTCAGTTGGGAGTTGGAGAAGGAAGAGGGAGGATAAGTCTGTGGGTTGGTCGTGTTGTGTGGTGAGAGAGTGAGAGAGTGAGAGAAACTGATAGAAGGAGTCAGATAGACAGTTGGGATAATTAGTTAGCAGTTATTAGGAAAGGTATAGGTCAGTAGGGTAGGGTGGCGCTGTGGGTTAAACCTCAGCGCCTAGGACTTGCCGATCGCATGGTCGGCGGTTCGAATCCCCGCGGCGGGGTGCGCTCCTGTCGTTCGGTCCCAGCTCCTGCCCACCTAGCAGTTCAAAAGCACCCCCGGGTGCAAGTAGATAAATAGGTACCGCTTTATAGCGGGAAGGTAAACGGTGTTCCGTGTGCTGCGCTGGCTCAAGATGCAGCTTGTCACGCTGGCCACGTGACCCAGAAGTGTCTGCGGACAGCGCTGGCTCCCGGCCTATATAGTGAGATGAGCGCACAACCCTAGAGTCTGGCAAGACTGGCCCGTACGGGCAGGGGTACCTTTACCTTTACTAGGTCAGTAAAGAAACTAAGATTGAGAAACTGACAAGAAAAATTAACTGAAACCTTAAACTTGTTCATGCTTATAAAAATAAACTTGATTATTTGTTAATGTTAACAACTGTCTGGGCTCCGTGTGTACCCGAGAGAAACAGGTTGGTGGCAGCGAGGAGGCAATCACAGTGGTGGCACAGGGATCAATAGACCGTCAAATGTTCAGGGACCCTGTGCGATCACCATAGTCCTTCTTCAACTCATGGAAAGTGATGGAGGCAGCGGAACGGGGTACCCTCATAGCTTCCATGACCAGAGGATAGTGCCTTACTGTGTTCCACCCAGCTCAGTATCTCCTACACAGCCTGGCTGTCGTTCTCCCGGAGTTGAGCGTGGGTTCTCTCCCAGCCCTCCCTGCAGATGCCAAGGACCAAATTGCTTCTGCCCCTGAAGAGAACTGTAGTTCTGCTCTGTTTTTTGCTGATCATGCCACATCCAGAGTTGTGTCCAGCTCTGGGAACCACATTTTAAGGAGGACATCAACAAATGTTCTTGAGGAGGGGAAACAGGTGTGGCATGGCCGAGATGTTCGCCCACCTCTATTTTGTTATTTCAGAGAGATTTGAAGTCTCCAAACAGAGGCAGAGGAAAGCTGTTTTGTAATCAGTGTTTGGTGAAGCAATTTTTTTTACTGCAGTAACTGTGTTCTATTTTCAAGGATACTATCCCCTTGGTGTCATTATCTCGGAGTCTATGCAGGAGAAAACATCATCTTAATAACCTTGCCTTGCATTGCATTCCTGAAGGAGATAATAAGCAGAGCCAGGAGCCTAGAGGGCAGCTGGGGGGGGGGGGAGCCACAGAAGCTGCAGATTATAATAAAATGTCTCTTCATTTTGAATGGGCAGTAACTGCCTGCCTGCTTTAATACTGCAACTGGGACTAAGTGAAAGGAATGAATGAATGAATGAATTATATTTGTATGGGCTTTTAGCTATCCTGACTTTGTTACTTCTGGCCTTTCTGATCTATCCTGTTTCATTAACAGGCAAAATAAATATATTGTTGTGGTAAAAGGGGCTACAAAGAAGGGGAACCATATCCACTCTTATTTGTCAAAGCAACACTCTGATGTAGAGCCAGTTCATTTGGTGTTAGCGGCCTTCTCGTCCCTGATAAATTAAAAGCTAGCTATACTGCAGGCCTCCCATGTACCGAGGCAAAAATCTTATCACTAAGGTAGGAAATTGTAATCTCTGGCACTGGATAGTGAGTGGTCTGGAAACCAAGGCCCCATACCTTCTAACATTTCTCTGATGAAAATAGAGACATCCCCTCCAACATTTCTCCAGTGAAAATAGAGATGTCCTAAGGCAAAGCGGGACATTACAGGATCAAATCAGAACCCAGGACGGCTTCCGTAATTCTGAGACTGTCGCTGGAAAACAGGGACACTTGGAGGGTCTGAGGCACATGAGCAACTGCTGAAAAAATGTTTAAATAAATATCCTAACACCATTATCCATTATACAGCTCCCTTCACCTCCTTCTCCAGGATAGCTGGAGAAGGTTCAGAAAGGAGCAACCAGAATGAAGTTGAAGTCTGAAGAATACCATTGCAAGCAATTTGATGATCATTGGACTAAGGAATGTTTCAACCTTTAAAATCCATTTTGAAATGCTTTTGTTTTAAAGGGTACACCTGCTTGCCGCCCTGGGCTCCTCGGGTAGGAAGAGCAAGATGTAAATTCAATAAATAATCAGGAACCATCATTACTGCCAGCTGCACAGCAATATGCACACAAGGGTAATCACGGAGCAAAGAAAATTGAGGTAGTACCAAAACTAAAGGTCTTTATTTCTCTTTCTCTTTTTTTAAAAATAAAAAATATATTATTTCAAAACAGGCCTCTGCAACCCACCTTCCCTGGGATTCATGCAGCAGGAACAGCTGTTGACTGAAAAGCATGGCAGTGGGGTGTGTGTGTGTGTGTGTGTGTGTGTGTAAACCACTGAGCTGTGCCATTAAGTAAGGGGCCCATTCAGAGTCAATGGCAGCCTTGGGAGTGTTTGATGCCATTGGCAAAGATGAGGTGCTCACATAGAACCACCATCTCTAAGGACTTTGGGCATTGCCAAAGAACCACACATTTCTCTGCTGCAGAGGGTCAGCATAAGGCCATCCCAGGTGCAAGTCCTTCTTATCAGCTTTGTAGGAATGGAGGAGAAATTTGGTTCGGTTCACACGTAAACGTGAATCTATGCAATTCACACTTTGTGAACTGAGAGACACAGCCGTCCTTCAAAATTTGCACTTCTCTGAATTTTGCAAATCTGTTCTTTCGGTCAAGCAGTGTGTGCAAAGAATCGTACACAGGTAAAGTTTTCATAGAAATGCATATGCTGGTGAAAATAGCAAACCCAAAATGCACCGTGTTTGGCAAAATATGCTTTGCATGCAAAAATGTGTGATGCAGGAGAAATTTTGTAGAAAAACTAAAAAAAGACATGAATATTATTAAGGATTGAATACTTACCCAGTAGCTGGCAAGACTGGATGTGTGTGTGTGTGTGTGTTACAATTAAGTTTAGTTGACTAGTTATGTTTTGCTATACATCAAAGAAAAACAATGAAAATATTTTTTTAAAAAAGTAAAAATGTGTACATGAGAATTTGCACTAAAATGCTGGTGCATTTTCACAAGGACTTCTTAAAAGATATATAATTGCAAACTGATGTGGAAATGTGGACAACTGAACCTAAGATGGGGGAAAATGAGAATGAGAGAACTGCATCACAAGATTGTGAATTTGAAAGGACGGCTGTGTTTTAAGTCTGCATCTTGTTTCGTTGCTACTAGGAAAGTTCATCTTTAAATGCAAGTGGAATCGACCCCACATCCCTAGGCTAGTTTGACATTACTGGTTCCCTAACTTCCAAAAGAAACTACGTGCAATTTGGCTGCATCTATAGTGTAACTCCAAGAAGGACCATGGCTGCTTTTCCCTCTCTCTTCGACATATGTCCTCGGCTTCTGCACCATCCCTAGTCGAGAGTCCCAGAGGCTGTCTCAAATCCTCCCCAGACAGCTTGCATCTTGTCTTTTTTTATAGCGTTCCAGTGTCCACCTCAAGTGACTCTTAAAAACACGTCCCTCAGTGTTCTCTGCACTGAGAATATTGGGGGAATCTATAAAACAGCCGTAGAAGGGAGGCGAGTCCCGTGCTTCCGGGGTTCAGCAGGAAGGGGTAGGTGGATAAATCTCTCAGGTCGACAGCCACATATTCGAGGAGAAGGAAGAGGAGGCGGGGCATGTGCTTGGTGAGTGGATCCTGCAAGAAGTTAAGAAAGAAATATATGAGGAAGAAAGGGGGGGCAGCGGCAAAGCAAGCTGATTGGGCACCCGGGGCGGTGTGTATGCTCTGTGCCCGGGGTGAGCCAGGGCAGGACGCTCCGCGGGGCCTCCAAGGAGTCTGCCTGCCTCCTCCCACTCAGCCGCCCTACAGCTGAGGGAGAGGCAGCAGGCGGACCGTTTGGGGCAGCACGGAGCCTGCGGGCGCCCAAGCCACCACGTCACTCCCAGGAGAGACGCATAGCTCAGGCGCGCTGCAGGCCCTGCGGTGAGTGCCGCCCGACATTTTGTCACCCCCCTCAGTGGTGTTTTTTTTAAAAAAATTATTTAATAATTTTTTCAATACAAACAACAATCGCAAAAGACACAACAAAAACCATAATAACACTAATACAGTGGTACCTTGGGTTAAGTACTTAATTCGTTCTGGAGGTCCGTTCTTAACCTGAAACTGTTCTTAACCTGAAGCACCACTAATGGGGCCTCCTACTGCTGCCGCACCGCCGGAGCACAATTTCTGTTCTCATCCTGAAGCAAAGTTCTTAACCTGAAGCACTATTTTTGGGTTAGCGGAGTCTGTAACCTGAAGCGTATGTAACCTGAAGCATATGTAACCCGAGGTACCACTGTAACAAGATTTGACAATTCAGATTTGAATACACTGATATACCTATGACTACACCCTTGGACTGCAAGAAGATCAAACCTATCCATTCTTAAGGAAATCAGCCCTGAGTGCTCACTGGAAGGACAGATCCTGAAGCTGAGGCTCCAATACTTTGGCCACCTCATGAGAAGAGAAGACTCCCTGGAAAAGACCCTGATGTTGGGAAAGATGGAGGGCACAAGGAGAAGGGGACGACAGAGGACAAGATGGTTGGACAGTGTTCTCGAAGCTACCAGCATGAGTTTGACCAAACTGCGGGAGGCAGTGGAAGACAGGAGTGCCTGGCGTGCTCTGGCCCATGGGGTCACGAAGAGTCGGACACGACTAAATGACTAAACAACAACAACAACACCTTTTTAAACAATATTTCCCCACCTTTCTCTCCTCCCCCTACTTCCCACTACTATCCGCCTTATCGCTTAAATATTCCTTCCAGATTTCTTCATATTTATCCATTCTTAATTTGCGTCGACATGCAATATGTAGCTAATCTCTCCGTATTATCAATCCATGTGCTCAATGGAATCTTTTTGTGGCTCTTCCAATTCATCAAAACAAGTTTTTTTTTTGCTTCTGTGGTGACACCCGAGGCGGCCTGCCCCCCCACCTCACCACCCTTCCTCCGCCCCCCGGGGGGGGGAGGGGAACCAAAAAAGATACCAACCTTGAATGCCTATGCAATGTGCTCTCTGTGGGGGCTTCTCATGCACTTGATCCAGAACCTGCAGTGAGTGTGGAATATTGCAGCACGATTGCTGGCAGGATGAGGCCTTGTCAGCATGTAACACCTGTGCTCAGAGCTGTGCACTGGTTGCTGATTTGCTACCGGGCTGAGTTCAAGGTGTTGTTACTATTAGTATATAAAGCCCTTAGCAACTTGGGACCAGTTTCCTTGGGAGATTGCCTCACCCCCCCCATCTATGTCCACTTGACTGCTTCAACATGCAGAACTGGCACTGTTACGGGTGCCACACAATACCCATTGCGTACGAAATCCATCTGTGTGGCTGCACCTACACGTTGGAACTCCCTGCCTGTGGAAAGCAGGCAGGCACTTTCACTGTACTCTTTTCAGCAGCTGCTGAAAACATTTTTATTTAGATAAGCCTACTAGATATGTAGGGACGCTGGTGGCGCTGTGGGTTAAACCACAGAGCCTAGGACTTGCCGATCAGAAGGTCGGCGGTTCGAATCCCCGCGGCGGGGTGAGCTCCCGTTGCTTGGTCCCTGCTCCTGCCAACCTAGCAGTTCAAAAGCACAAAGTGCAAGTAGATAAATAGGTACCGCTCCGGCAGGAAGGTAAACGGCGTTTCCGTGCACTGCTCTGGTTCGCCAGAAGCGGCTTAGTCATGTTGGCCACATGACCCAGAAGCTGTACGCCGGCTCGCTCGGCCAGTAAAGCAAGATGAGCGCCGCAACCCCAGAGTCGGCCACGACTGGACCTAATGGTCAGGGGTCCCTTTACCTTTACCTTTACTAGATATGTAGAATGTTGATGCACGTTTTAGTCTGTTTTTAGTTTATTGCTGATTCTACCTTTTTTGATGTTTTATATTCTTGTTTTTAACATTTTTTAAACTGATAATTTCATTCTTCTTTGCTTTTTATGCTCTGATGGTTTTTGTTTTTTTAAAAAAACAGTCGTGGTGTACCCATTTTATGAAATAAATAAATAAATATGGTTGGTGGGGGCAGGACTAGATGATGCTCCCACTCAACAATTCTATGATTTTCCCAAGGTAAAATACTTGGGTCCTAAGTTGTTCAGGTCCTTATAAATTAATATGACAATTTATGGTGATTGTAATGGTGTGCTGTTCGATGTTGGTTTTATCTGTGAAATGGACGTCATGTGACCACATGCTTGATGGGTGAGGTTTTTGCATTTGGGACAAAATGATTGAACAGGATGTTTAGATGAGGACAGAAGAAGCTTAATTTGGACTAAGTCGTGTTGAATTCAGTGGGATTTACTGCCAAGCAGACATGCATAGGTTTGCGCACTCAGTCACCACCTCATTTTATACTGTTTTTCATAGCCACTTACAATTTCATTGAACAACCTTTTCCTTCCCGTGTAAGTCGCACATGACGGCATCTTCTTTTTCCTAAGATTTCCCCCACGCCAAAATAAAATAAATAAAATGAGAGACATGTTGGTTCATCCCGGCATCGCATCCCCAAAATTTCCTCTTTTTCACCGGGAGCGAAATGAAAGCCTTCCCCCCTCAAAAAATCTTGAGGGGTGGAAGGAAAGAAAGAACTTTATATGAATGGCTACAGGCTCCCTAGCTCTTTGAATTAAAGGAAAATAAATAAATAAACCTCACCCTGTCATGATGAGCCACATTTACACCGTCTGTTTAAAGCACTATGATGCCCCTTGAAGCAGTCATGGCTTCCCCCCAAAGAATTCTGGGAGTTTTTAAGGGTGCTGAGAGTTGTTAGGAGCCTCCTGTTCTCCTCCCAGAAGTTCAATTCTCAGAGTGATTTAACAGTCAACCCCTCTTCCCAGGGAACTCTGGGAATTATATCTCTGTGAGGGGAATGGGGTCTTCTAACAATTATCACACCCTTTTAAAAAAACTACAGCTCCCAGAATGCTTTGGGGGAAGCCCTGACTGTCTAAAGTGGTATTGCAATGCTTTAAATGCATGTGACCCAAGTCAGAGCTGGCTGAAAACATTTTGCCGCCTGAGACAAAGGACAAGGTGATGCGCCTTCCTCATTCCGGCTACAGAAGCCGACTGGTCTCGCACTCGAATCTTACGTAAGCACTGGTGGTAGACGCCCACACCACACCCGAGGGCAGCTAAAGTGAGTGTAGGGCATAACGTGAAGCCCCCAATTCTGCCTTCCAACATCTCGCTGCCATCCCTCAGCAACTAAGGCTGCCACCACACGCCACCTAACAGTAGAGCCGGCCTTGGGTCAACAGATCGTGGCATGGCTGCTGTTGCTTCTTGAGCATTATGGCCAAAAAAGGATTGGAATCTAAACCACCCTCTTCCAAGCCCAAACCGTTAACCATGGCGAGCAGCAGACGCGGCCCAGATTTATGGCGTGTTGCGGCCCTTCTGGAGAGGAGGAAGAATGTGATGCCTACTCACAGGTTTGATGGAATCCTGTTCTGCATACTTGAACTTCTTCTGCTTGTAGTAGTCCCGGTTGGATAGGAAGTTGAGCAGAAGGAGATCACAAAGTACAGAGGCCTGCAGAAGACAAAACAGGACTTCCAGTGTTGTTGACATGTGATTTGGGTGGCTACAGATGGACCCGAGTGACGATGCCCTCCTGCCATTCCCACAGACACTCTCACTTTCCTTATTTTACAAGGTAGTGAAGTCTCTGTTTTCTGCCATGTGCTCCTTCTAAAGCTAGTTTTGTCTCCCATTATAATCTTTCACAGAAAAATTGAGTCTCTGGAAGCTAAATCTCTGAAAGGGCGGTGAATGTCAGTGTACTCACACAGGTAGAAAAAATCAGCACATGGACTCCGACTAGCATTGGGAATAACTTTCTTAAAAGCTGTTCAACAGTGGAATGGACCAGACCCTTCAAGTGTTCCTCTTTTCCAGGGACATTACAGGATTCACAGAAGCTGTCCTGGTTTCTGATTTGATCCCGGAATATCCCGCTTTCCTTAGTGTATTTTTTGTCTTTGTGGAAGCCGCCCAGAGTGGCTGGGGAAACCCAGCCAGATGGGCGGGGTACAAATAATAAATTATTATTATTATTATTATTATTATTATTATTATTATTATTATTATTAGGATGTCCCTATTTTCATTGGAGAGACGTTGGAGGGTATAATGGGCTCCCTTAGAAGCTGGTGGACTCTCCTTTGTTGGAGGTTTTTAAGCAGAGGCTTGATGACATCTCCCAAAGACTTCTGGGAACTGTAGTTTGTTAAGGGTGCTGTGAGGCTCCTATGCCCCTCACAGAGCTTCAGTTCCCAAAGTGGTTGAACAATCAGTCCCTCTTTCCAGGGATCTTTGTGAGGGGAACATGGGGTCTCCTAACAACTCTCAGCACCCTTAACTCCAGGATGCCATGACCATCAGAAGTGGCACCAGAGTATTTTAAATGGATGGTGTGAATGTGGCCTGAGAAAACCACACAGACCACCTGGTCACAGTCTTCCCAACAATGGCGAGATGGGTTGCATGTTGCATTTAAACTATAGCCATTGAATCCAAATTGGTTTCTATGCCAATAATTTGGCATGCAGATCTCTGGCAAATCTGTGTCTTCTTCTGTCCTCTCTTTATGTTGATGCATTAAGTGACAACAACCCCCGAGGTTGTAAATGCCTGCAGATTCTTTTGGAGTTTCACCTGTTTCATAGCCAGAATAGAGCTTAATTCGTTCTTAACCTGAAACTGTTCTTAACCTGAAGCACCACTTTAGCTAATGGGGCCTCCTGCTGCCGCTGCACGATTTCTAGTCCCATCCTGAGGTAAAGTTCTTAACCCAAGGTACTATTTCTGGGTTAGCGGAGTCTGTAACCTGAAGCATCTGTAACCCGAGGTACCACTGTACTTCCTTACACAGCACATAGTGAAACTGGGGAACTCCCTGCCACAGGAGGCAGTGATGGCGACCAACTTGGATGGCTCTACAAGAGAATTAGATTAATGGAGAAAAGGACCGTCAGTGGCTACTAGCCATGGTGGCTGTGTTCTGTCTGCTGTTGGAGGTGCTGTTGTTGATTCTGAATTCCAGTGGCTGGGCGTTACAAGTGAGGAGAGTGCTCTTGCACCCGGGTCCTGCTTCAGAGTTTGCCACAGCCATCTGGTTGGCCACAGTGAGACTAGACAGACCCTCTAGGGCCTGATCTAGCAGCCAGACTCCTCCGGGGTTCTTCATAACAGCACTTACCACTCCAAAGATGCCAATCCCGGAGCCTATGGTTGTCATCGTTGGAATAATGTCAAATTTTCCTGCCTGGATAGGAACAGAGATGGCAAGGGGAGAACTGTTAGTGTCCTTTATGGCCACCAAAGAAAGCAAGTGAGCTTTGATTGGTTAATTCTGCACAACTGTGGGTGATTAAAGCTGCAGGAAGGGGTGTGGCCTGGGGATGCCCCACCCCCTGATATGCATCTTGCTTGGGAATAAATTCCATCTAACCCAACAGGAGTTTCACAATATGGAGTGCATGATCTGCACCCAATGCAGGTAAACCTTCTGCTTGAGCTATCTACCTGGGACTGAGAGGCACTGAGGTATAGTGGTTAGAGGAGTAGTGAGGAACCTTCATCCCTCCAGATGTTGCTGAACTCCCAGCTTCCATCATCCTGCCTGGGGCTGATGGGAGTTGGACTCCAGTTAACACCTGGAGGGCCACAGGTTCCCTTCTTTGGGTTAGAGCAACTGACAAGGAGACCCGAGTTCAAATCCTCACTCAACCAAGAAGTTTGGGCTCATCATACTTTCTCCTTGTGTCACCTACCTCACAAGGTTGTTGTGAGCATGAGATGGGGTTGGAGAACCATGTATACTGCCCTGAACACCTTTAAGAAAAGCTGGGATAGATGAGGGGGTGAGGGTTGGTCAAACCAGGTACCCAGCTAGGATGGCCAGGTCAGGAGCATCCCAGACCCTGAGATTTCAAGGTCCAAACCTGAGACATAGGGATGGCCCCATGTAATGTCATGGGGCAGGCCCTGGAGATGGAGGTTAATTGGAGAGGGGAGCAGAGGAAGGCAACCCACCGACCCAGATAGTCTAGGCTATAATTTGCAGCCAGCAAGCTGCATGCACATTCTTCTCAATATTTTTATTATTATTGAAGGCGCTCTCGCCCACCTCGAGATTCAAGCCCTACCTGGAGATTTATTGTTCTGCCCAGACACTGAGGTCCAGCGCTGAGGGCCTTCTGGCGGTTCCCTCACCACAGGGAACCAGGCAGAGGGCCTTCTCGGTAGTGGTACCTGCCCTGTGGAACGCCCTCCCACCAGATGTCAAAGAGAACAACAACTACCAGACTTTTAGAAGACATTTGAAGGCAGCCCTGTTTAGGGAAGCTTTTAATGTTTGATGCATTACTGTATTTTAATATTTTGTTGGGGGCCGCCCAGGGTGGCTGGGGAAGCCCAGCCAGATGGGCCGGGTATAAATAATAAATAATAATAATAATAATAATAATAATAATAATAATTATCCCTGCCACCTGGAGGGAGCCAGGCAAATCTAGATATTTCAGGAGGTCTGGCAACCCTACCCGCAGCTGCATTTGACTGACGTTGCCCAGCCTACTTGGAAGGAAGGCTCCACTCACAATAATCGAGGCCACAAGGAGAAAACACCAACCGTTTTTCAAAGCGAGCCTTACCTTCCCGTTCACCAGAATGTCAAATCGGATGCCAAACACCTTGTACAGGGTTCTTAGGTCTCTTCCATTTTCTCTGTAATATTTGGCGTACCTTTCAAAGCAAAAAGAGGCAATTTGTATGCATGAAAACGAACAAGGGTTCCTGGAACTGGAATCCTCAGGGTCTCTCTCTGTCTGGCCCTCAAGGCTCTCCTCAGGCCACCCCCCTCACAGCAGTGCTCTCCCCATGTATGATGCCAGCAGCTGGCATTTATTTGTGAGTGGCATATTGGTTAGAGTGACGGACTAGGACCTGGGAGAGACTAGGGTTCAAATCCCCCCACCCACCACGGATGTGACCTTGAGGACCAGTCCTTGCCTCTCTCAGGCTGACCTACCTCACAGGGTTGTTGTGAGGAAAAAATGGAGAGGGAGAAGAGCTGAGCGTGCCACGTTGAGCTCCTTGGAGGCAAAGGTGGGGATACAAATGGAATAAATAAATAAGGGGGGGGGGAGAGACAGACAGACGGGACAGAACAACCCCAAAAGGCCACCGTACCTGAAGTTGAACCCTGGAGAGAGGTTGTTGTCGTCATTGTAAAGCCCATGGAACCGGTAAACGGGCACACAGTGCCTCACAGGCCAGTCGAGGTCACAGTCCCAGGAGATGGTGATGCCAACGACGCCCCCCTGCCCAGGGGAACAAGAGGGCATCCTAAATTTTTTGGGGGGCCTAAGAGAGTGGGGCCCTAAGCTATAGCTTGTTTAGCTTATAAGTAAATCCGGCACAGCCTGCAAAACTGGTTTGCGTCTGAAGGAGTTGGAGCCATCCATGCCTGCTTAGCACCCTACCCACTTTGACTCAGCACCTACTAGTCAACCCATTTCCCCTTGCCCAGACTGGCCAGGAGGAAGTCCTCACCTTAAGGGCGAGAACGGAAAACTTCTGCCCGGATTCCTCCACCACGTACCCCAGCTCAAACACAGGACACAGGGGGTCCCTGTCTTTGTGGTAGGTGCAGTTCCTGAGGTAGCTCTTGGTGACTCGCTCCACAAGGTTACGTCTGCGGAAGAGGAAGAAACAAACCCGGTCATCTCTGTTTGCGGATGGCTCACTAAATGAGGGTTGTTAACTGGGCTGCCAGCTGCCTTGAGCATCATGCCGTGAGCGGAAAAGGCAGGGTAGGTTCAAGACAGGACCCCACCTGGAGTCCTGTGTCCAGCTTCATTATACAGCTTCCAGAGTGAAATATACTCGGAGTCGAGTGTGGATTTCACGCTCTTTATTCAGCTCATAGTAGTGAGGAGGAATGGAAGTTCCCCCGAAATGTCTGCTTTATATACATTATTTACACAATGGGCCCCACGTGATTGGCTAATTCCAGGATTCTCCTGTAGGCCAATCAGGTTGTGGATTCACTTCCAGCTGGAGTTGGATTGGGTGCCTCCTGTGGCCCAATCAGACTGCTACATTCTGGATCCTATTGTTCTAGGACCAATCAGACTGCTGCATTCTGAATCCAATTTGGATCCTATTCAACTCAGTACATAACACAGAGGATGCTGAAGACCCACCTCTTTGCCCCGGCTTGAGCTGTACGATTTTAGGACCTACTTTATTTTTATGATTCTAACTTTTTTAAAAATTAAATAATTCTTATTAGCTTTCCATCACAATAATCCAATAAAAGCCTCATTATAACAATGCCAAATTATAATACCATTAATAATGCCAATCATTCCAAAGCCAAATTATACAATTTAGGTGCTCCCCCTCCCCCCGTGTACTAGAATTGATGGTTTGATGATGATTTACTATATTTCTGCATTCCAATCTTATGAATTTCCATTACACTCCAGTCAGAATAACAAACCCTTATACGATTCTAACTTCTTTTAAACTGTTTTTAATTTTATAAGTCGCCCTGGAGGGGCAGGTAATATAAGAACAACACAACAACAACAACAACAACAACATTACCGTATAGCATGAGGACTGTCCCACACGATCTCATGGATCCTGGGCTTACCTGGCGACTTTGAACTTGGGGAAGGTGATACTGTTCTTGATAAACAAGGTGAAGTTTTCAGCCGCCAGAAGCAGAGGGGGGCTGTAAGACAAAAGAAGGATTAGTGCCTATGTGTCAAAATGCCTGTGTCCAAAGGAGGTGGGGATACCCTTCCACCTAACTTGTTTACAAAATTATATGCCACTATTAATAAAAACAATCCAGAGCCATTAGCAACAATTAAAACCATATACAAACACAAACACACATAAAAAATGCACACACAAAACCCTCCCAGTTCATGCTGTGTTGAGGATCCCAGGAATAGGCAATCATTGATTAGATGGACCCAATGGTCTAAGAGACAACATCCTACATTCTTCTGATTTTATGAGGACTAGTGTCGCTTGGATGAGAAAGCAGAGACTTACTTAGGAACTTTGTCATCGATCTCCACCGGACACCACCCAAAGATCTCGCAGGTTTTCTCTGTGTGGCTAAAATTCACACACTTCCCAGTCATGATACCTGCAGGAAATGGAAAACACAGTCTGGTTAGTAAAAGATCACCTAAGAGACCAGCATGAGCTATTTGCAGTCTTTGGATAAAGCTCTACTACACTCTAACCCAGGCATAGGCAAACTTGGCCCTCCAGATGTTTTGAGACTACAGTTCCCATCATCCCTGACCACTGGTCCTGTTAGCTAGGGATGGTGGGAGTTGTAGTCCCAAAACATCTGGAGGGCCAAGTTTGCCCATGCCTCCTCTAACCCATGATTTCCTCCAGCAGTTTGTAAACCTGTGAAGGGAAACTTCTGCATTTAATCTATGCACTTCACCTTGAAAGCTTTAGACCAGGGATGGGGAACTTGTGGGTCTCCAGAGGTTGAAGAACTATAACTCCCATCCTCCTCCCTGACATATTGCCACACTAGCCAGGGCTGATGGCAGTCAAATCAACACAGAAGTTTATAACATTATGCATGGCATGGAGAGAGTGGATAGAGAAAAGCTTTTTGCCCTCTCTTTTGCAGCCCTGCCCTGATTTCATGCAAATCTGGGATGGTGATGTTAATCCTCCAATGCGGGCTGTGTGACGACAGCCTTACGTTTTTATATATATAGGAAGATACATAATGAGTCACAGGGTGAACGCAACAAGGGCTTATTGCCTGCACAGTTTCCTTCTCACCTTGGCCCTGACGAAGGAACTTTCCGGCAGTGCATTCGCTGTCTTGGTCACATTTCCCTGCTTCGGGATGCTGAGATAAGGGCAGAAAAAACGTGTGTCACTCAACAACCAGGATGTAAATTTACATCACATCTCTTTTGCATTCTTACATCAGGTACATCATTGCTGGGGACTCTGTGGCCCTCCAGACGCTGCTGGACTAAAACTCCGACCACCCCTGATTGTTGGGATGGGAAGAATCAAACTAGTGATGGAGGAGCACAAGTCAGGCTGCATGGTTGGAAGGTTTGCTGAGGAAGTGAGTCTCACTTCACTGGGGGTTACAGGATGGAAGCAGCAAGACTTGGGAGATGGTGTGTGTTGGTGGAGGGGCAGGTTCCTGATGGCGGATGACCTTGCGTGGTATGGAAAGGAGGACAAGAAACAAAGTTTTATGGCATTGTCTGCATCAGCTTGATGCATCCCTGAAAATAGCACAAGGACTCTCATCCCGTTACTTGTTTTGCTTTGTCCCTGATTAGTGCTCTGCTTCTTGGTTGTTTGCCAGGAAAGCACTTCATTAAAGCACTTCAATTAATTTGTACAAACGTCTTGCGACATCCCTCATCCTGGCCACTTTGCAGACCTTTCACCCTTCCTAGTCGGGACCTTTTGGAACTCCCCCCTATTAACATTTATGCTCGTTTCTTTTCAGGGTTGGGGCTCTCCCGTTCTTGCACAATTGCTGCTACTTCCCACTGGGGCAAGAACACTCCCTTCTGAATCATCTGCGTCCGCAGAAAGCTTTGCAATATCAGTGGCCTCTGATTACATTAAATTCCTGGGCTTTGCAGAGGGAGGGAGGTGGGAGACAGAATCTGTTACTCTTCAGTCCAGTGCTAGCCTTAAACTCGCAGAGCTTCTGCTCCTGCCTGTTAGTTTTTGCCAACTTAGCCCCATTTGAAACTCTTCTCTACAGTGGTACCTCGCGTTAAGAACTTAATTCGTTCTGGAGGTCTGTTCTTAACCTGAAACTGTTCTTAACCTGAAGCACCACTTTAGCTAATGGGGCCTCCTGCTGCCGCTGCGCTGCTGCTGCACGATTTCTGTTCTCATCCTGAAGCAAAGTTCTTAACCCGAGGTAATATTTCTGGGTTAGCGGAGTCTGTAACCTGAAGCTTATGTAACCTGAAGCATCTTTAACCCGAGGTACCACTGTATTTAATTTGGGCTTTCGTGGTAAAATAAGAAGGCAGTTGACAGGGTGTCCTCTTGAATGTTTTAGCCAGATGATGGAATGTTATTATCGTGGTGGCCTGCTTGTATCTTTAGGAGAAAGTCATCCTTCTCCGTCCTGGTTCGATCCAGGTGTTTTGGACTAAAACTCCCCATCAGCCCCAGACGTGGCATGATACAGGTCTAGGAGGGGCAGGAGCCAGACTGCAGCTGGTAGGACTGCCACCTTTCTTCCCACAGATGCATAGCTTGGTGGAACTGCTGTGGATTAAAGCAGATCTATGGAGCAAAGAGCTGCGTTGCAGCTGGCTGCGTTTGACCCCTGTGGATGGGTCAGTGGTCAGAGCTGTGTGAAAGTCTAACAGCTCTTTATACTCATAGCTGTTCGGCAATCCAACAGACTCCCTCGAAAGGTGGTGGCTCTCCTTCATAGGAGGTTTTTGAAGCAGAGGTTGGATGGCCATCTGTCATGGATGCTTTAGCCAAGATTCCTGCATTGCAGGGGGTTGGACTAGTGGATCCTTAGGGCCCCTTACAACTCTTCAATTCTATGACTCTAGGGAGTTTATTTATTTATTGGAATAAAATTTAAATGCCGCTTGATTGTAAAAAAACAAAAAACAAACAAAACCAACAACCCTCAGAGCAGTTTGCAAAACAGTGAGATTGAAAACAGCTAAAAACAACTATTTGGTAATGTATTAATTACAAAAAAAGCTAAAAACGGGATTAAAACACATGCCAACATTCAAAACATCTGGGTAGGCTCACCTAAACAAAAATTGTTTTTAGACCACTGTAAGCAGATGAAAACATTAGCAAGATTCTAATAACACTTGTAAGGGATGCCGGTGGCACTGTGGGTTAAACCACAGAGCCTAGGGCTTGCCGATCAGAAGGTCAGCGGTTTGAATCCCCGTGATGGGGCAAGCTCCCGTTGCTCGGTCCCTGCTCCTGCCAACCTAGCAGTTTGAAAGCACGTCAAAGTGCAAGTAGATAAATAGGTACTGCTCCGGCAGGAAGGTAAACGGCGTTTCTGTGCACTGCTCTGGTTCGTCAGAAGCGGCTCAGTCATGCTGGCCACATGACCCGGAAGCTGTATGCCAGCTCCCTCAGCCAATAAAGCGAGATGAGCGCCGCAACCCCAGAGTCAGAGGTCAGAGGTCCCTTTACCTTTACTAATAACACTTGTAGGTAACAAATACTATGGACGATATGGACAGATGCAAAATAGAGGTTGTGAAATAATATTCATTTGAAAATGTTGGCAATAGAACCCAGGGAGGGGATAGTGGGAAGTCCCGAGATTCAGAGAAATCTCTTTATATGGATATGTATTTGGTATTGTTATAACTTTACACTTGTGAAATGAAATGAAAACAATTTAAAAAAAAGTTTTTAGCAGGCACCAAAAGAAGTGCAGTGAAAGCACCTGCCTGTTGTCCCTAGGCAGGGAGCAGGGGCGGTCCATCCTGTTTCGCCGCCTGAAGCGAAACAGGGGTGTGCCACTCCCTGCCTTCCCACTGCCCCCCAATTTATGCTATTGCCGGAATGCCCCCTCTCTCGCTGAACTCATTGAGAGCCGGGGTGCTCCTCAAAGATGTTGCTACTCATCTTCTCCACTCCAGGACTCCAAACTCTGGACTCGCCGGCAAATATTGCGCAGCCTAATTTTGTGTGTGTTCGCTGCTGGCTGCTGTGAGCACTTTCTGAAGAAGGAAAGAGAGTTATGTGGGATTAAGAAACAACCGATTACCTCAGGGCACGTTTCCTGCTTCTGTCCACGGGTGATAATGAAATTGGTCATAACCACAAAGGAACTGTCGCCCTACAGAGGAAAATAAGACCAGATAGCTTGGTTAAGGAGAAGAGTAATTGGACCTCTTTTGAATTATGGTGCTGGAAGAGACTCTTGAGAGTCCCATGGACTGCAAGAAGATCAAACCTATCCATTCTTAAGGAAATCAGCCCTGAGTGCTCGCTGGAAGGACAGATCCTGAAGCTGAGGCTCCAATACTTTGGCCACCTCATGAGAAGAGAAGACTCCCTGGAAAAGACCCTGATGTTGGGAAAGATGGAGGGCACAAGGAGAAGGGGACAACAGAGGACGAGATGGTTGGAGAGTGTTCTCGAAGCTACCAGTATGAGTTTGACTAAACTGCGGGAGGCAGTGGAAGACAGGAGAGCCTGGCGTGCTCTGGTCCATGGGGTCACGAAGAGTCGGACACGGCTAAACGACTAAACAACAACAACATGCCTCTTCTGCTCTCTGTTCAACAGTGGAACAGACTCCTTGTGAAGGTGGTGGACTCTCCTTCACGGAAGGTCCTTAAGCAGAGGTTGGGTGGCCACCTGTCAGGGATTCTGTAGCTGTGATTCCTGCGTTGCAGGGGGTTGGACTAGATGACCCTCAGGATCCCTTCCAACTGTAGAATTCTGTGATTCTGTGAACCAGGTGGTCCACAGTTTGGCTTAACAGCTTGCCTTTTACCCTGGTGGTGGCATTATCAAATTCCAGGTCAGCTTATTACAAAATCTCCTCCATCCATTATTTAATGATGAGAAGGTTGGTTCATAACACATCAAGCTGCCATATCAACCAGCCTCTAAATTGTGGGATTCCCTTGCTAGGGAGATGCAACTGGTTTCTTCGCTATACAGTGGTACCTCGGGTTAAGAACTTAATTCGTTCTGGAGGTCCGTTCTTAACCTGAAACTGTTCTTAACCTGAAGCACCACTTTAGCTAATGGGGCCTCCTACTGCTGCCGCACCACTGGAGTATGATTTCTGTTCTCATCCTGAAGCAAAGTTCTTAACTTGAGGTACTGTTTCTGGGTTAGTCGAGTCTGTAACCTGAAGCGTATGTAACCTGAAGCGTATGTAACCTGAGGTACCACTGTACTGCTTTCGGCAAATGCTGAAGACACACATTTTTGCCCCTGAGATGTGTGTTTTGGGGGCCCACCCTATTCCTGTGACTGTAATGTGTTTCAACTGCTTCTAATTCATAATTTCAAGTTGTTGTCACCTACCCTGGGACCTGCTGGTGAAGGGCGGGTAATGGCAATAAAAAATAATAATAATACTATCAACTTTCCTGCTCTTATTCCCCACAGAACGGTACAATTCCCAGAATTCCCTGGGAAAGGGCATTGGTGGTTAAACCACTTTTGGAATTGTAGCTCTGTGAGGGGAATAGGGGCCTCCTAAAAACTCTCTGTATTCTTAGCAAACTACAGCTCCCAGAATTCTTTGGGGAAACCCATGACTGCTTATAGTATCATAGTGCTTTACGTGTAAGGGGTGAATATGTCCTGGATATCAGCTACCAACAAGCACTGCCATTTGCGTACAGAGTTCAAATATGTATAAACAGCACTAAGCAGGAAGAAAAACTGTCCAATTAATACAACCAGGACAAAAGAAGGGTGAATGGCCAATTTTTGTTAAAAACTTCCATCACAGCCTCTCGTGAAAAAGAAAACTGCTCAGCTCAAAGACTTCTTATCAGTCGCTGATGCACATCCCGGATTACTGGGACACATTCCTCAAAGATGATAGTTGAGAAAAGCTTTCGCCAAGGAGACTTAGGCATAGCTGTCAACTTTTCGCTTTTCTTGCGAGGAATCCTATTCGGAATAAGGGAATTTCCCTTAAAAAAAGGGAAACGTTGGCAGCTATGGACTTAGGATAAACTGGGACATAGAGGATAAAGATTTACTGCTCAAAACAGATCTATAACTGGTTGTTCCATAGTATCACAGTTCTATTTGTGTTGCTGTTAACTGATTGTCCTTTTTGTTTTTTTACATGTTTGTACTTTGGGGTACATTGCAAATATTTTTACATACTGCTGGGTCTCATTGCGGTTTGTGTCACATTCACAGTGTGTGTGGCCACACTTAACTCTGTGTTTGATTGTGATAATCATTTTACCTACAGTGGTACCTCGGGTTAAGTACTTAATTCGTTCTGGTGGTCTGTTCTTAACCTGAAACTGTTCTTAACCTGAAGCACCACTTTAGCTAATGGGGCCTCCCACTGCTGCTGCGCCGCCGGAGCACGATTTCTGTTCTCATCCTGAAGCAAAGCTCTTAACCCGAGGTGCTATTTCTGGGTTAGCGGAGTCTGTAACCTGAAGCATATGTAACCTGAAGTGTATGTAACCTGAGGTACCACTGTATCTGAAAGGTGCTGTTGTTGTTTAAGCTTAAAGATAATAATTATATGGGGAAATAAATGGAAAAATCATTGACATCCCACTCTGTTTTTTCCCCACATTTTCTTCATCTTCTTAACTATACTAGCAGAGCAGTTTGTAAAACTCTGAAGGCTGGTTAGGGTGTCCGTGTGGAGAATGTGAAGGACCACATGAATGAGTTGCGAATTGAACAGGAATTGAATTGGTTCCTTTCCAGAGGGCGTGAACCGGCACTGGAACCAATTCCTTTTTCTTAAAACCAAACTTTCGAAGAGCTTCTTTTCCTTCTGTTGGACAGAAGTGTTTAATTCCTTACCTGAGGAGGGAAAACATAATCAGCCACGTCCCATATGTGTGGGCCGATCTCACTGGTATTTGTCAGGGTTAATCCTTTGAGCTTCACTGAGACGGAGCTGATAATGCCATCCTTGGACTGGTAGCCTTTCTCATAAAGGAAAACCCACCTAGTGAAGAAGTGGGAGGGGAGGAGAGACAGAAGTTAATTGACAAGGAGCAACTGGGTGCTGCGTCCTTGCATCCTCAGAACAGCCAATCACATTGCAGATTCTATACCTGTCTTCTAATTCTGGGATGGGCAACCTGTTGGCCCTAGCCGCTATATGGTCCACAGCCTAAATTTATGTGACCTAAAGCATCATTCAAATACCCTGGACGTTCCCTCCACCATGCTTGCCTCTCCTGAACACCAACTCTTTGATGGCACACTGAGCCCTAAAGGAGGGGGAGGGAAAGTTGAAATTCTGGGATATTCAAAAAGCAGCCAGACCTACAATTCATATCTTGCTAGATAGGCACATCATGAGAGCTGACGCTCACAGTCTTCCTGTTACATATTTATATCTATCTATCATCTATCTATCTATCTAATCTATCTATCTATCATCTATCATCATCTATCATCTATCTCTATCTATCTCTATCTATCTATCTATCTATCTATCTATCTATCTATCTATCTATCATCTATCTATCTATCTATCTATCTATCTATCTATCTATCATCTATCTATCTATCTATCATCTATCTAGCTATCATCTATCTATCTATCTATCTATCTATCTATCTATCATCTATCTATCTATCTATCTATCTATCTATCTATCTATCTATCTATCTATCTATCTAATCATCTTCCTTTCTGAGCACTGAAGCCCATTTTAAGCCTGCCTGAACAAAGCTGCTGTACCTGTTACTACTCTTCAGCAATTAAAGCTCACACCAATAACAAACTTAGTTGGTCTCTAAGGTGCTACTGGAAGGATTTTTAAAAATTTTTGTTTCAACTACAGCAGGCCAACACGGCTACCTACCTGTATTCTGAGTGAATAAATGTTATTTTCACCTTTTACAAGACTGTTTGTGTGGTGGTTATTTTGAGGGGGAGAAAGTGGGGGGTGGGGGGGAGGAATACCAGGGAAATCCAATCTGCCTTAAAGCATTCTGGATTACTAGCCTTTTAGTTTTTAAGGCTAAAACCAGCCTGTCTAGCGAAATGTTGCAGGGATAAAAGGAAGGACTTCTTCACAGTGCAGAGTTAAACCACGGAACTCATTGAACGGGGGCAGTAATGGCCACCAACATGGATGGCTTTAAAAGAGAGATAGACAAATTCAAGGAGGGTACAGCTACCAATGAATACTAGCTCAGCCTCTGCAGTTGGAGGCAGCGATGCTTCTTAATGCCAGTTGCTGGAAACCACAGGAGGGGAGAGGGATCTTGTGTTCGAATCCTGCTTGTGGGTTTCCCACAGGCATCTGGTTGGCCACAGTGAGAACAGCAGGCCGGATTAGATGGTTTATTTATTGGCCTGATCCAGCAGGCTCTTCTTAAATTGTCACAGCTGTCTTGCTTTAGTGTGAGACCAAGAGGAGACCTGGTTCAAAACATCTACTTCATCTCTTATGCCGTGGGAGTCATGCCCACATTCTGCTGTGGGGATGAAAACCAGATTTATCTCCTTTTTTAGCCCGGCAGTCTCGAGCAGACCATGCCACACAATCTTGGATTTCAGCTCGAAAAGTGATGGCTTCCTTTACCGCCTCCGAGAGCCAGGATGAATCAATCCGCTGTGTTTTGCTTGTGACCTAATGGGCTATTTGCGGAGTCAAAACGGAAGGGATCTGATTTGAGGGAATGCTAATCTGGCAAAATAAAAGGGGACACTTCCAGCCACATATGGCATTCCTGGAGCGAAGTGAAAGTGGTTGCTGGATATTTTTCGTTTTTACTAAATATAAGCCGCTATTATAACATCAGGCTCAGGACCGGCCCAATGCATTTTGGCACCTGAGGCAAACCTCAAAATGGCGGCCTTCCCCCCAAATACCAGGGAAGAAGGGGTAAGTGAAGACCTACATCAGGAGCAAAGGGGGAATAAATATCTCCATCGGGAGCAAGGAGGAAAGTTAAATCTACCTTACTCAATGGTTGAAGGGGGAATCAAAGACCACCACTGGGCAGGAGTGGGGGGGGGGAGCGGGCCACTCCATTCCCTCCAACATTTCTCCGATGAAAATAAGGACATCCCATTCCATAACGATAATCTTACTATTTATACCCCACACTTCTTATTGGGTTGCCCCAGCATTCTGGGAAGCTTCTAACATATATAAAAACATAATAAAACATTAAGTAATTTTTAAAAACCCTTCACTATACAGGATTGCCTTCAGACGGCTCGGGGGTTGGATGACTCCATAACCTCCAACAAAAATAGGGACATCCTAAGGAAAAGTGGGACATTCCGGGATCAAATCAGAAACCCGGATGGCTTCTCTAAATCGCGGACATCCCTGGAAAATAGGGACACTTGGAGGGTTTGTTACTGTGAATGATACTGGATGGGTGCAGAGCCCAGCAGCACCTGTCATTTCCTCCCTAGGGCTGAGAGGAGACCAGCCTCCTATTTTTCAACCTTGTAGAGGCAGCATTGAGGGGAGGGGGAGGAGGAGGAGGAGGAGGAGGAGGAGGAGGAGGAAGAAGAAGAAGAAGAAGAAGAAGAAGAAGAAGAAGAGGAGGAGGAGGAGGAGTTTGGATTTGATATCCCGCTTTATCACTACCCCAAGGAGTCTCAAAGCGGCTCACAATCTCCTTTCCCCTCCTCCCCCACAACAAACACTCTGTGAGGTGAGTGGGGCTGAGAGTCTTCAAAGAAGTGTGACTGGCCCAAGGTCACCCAGCAGCTGCATGTGGAGGAGCGGAGACGTGAACCTGGTTCCCCAGATTACGAGACTACCGCTCTTAACCACTACACCAAACTGGCTCTTGAGGATGCTGAGGAGGAGGCGGATCTGGCATTCAAGGAGCAAGCTGCAGCTGTTGCAGTGGGTGATGCACCAGATCCGCTGCCGCTGTGAATCCTGCCGCTGCCTAAGGCCGCCGCCTCATGTTGCCTTGTGGGTGGACCGGCCCTGATCGCACTACAATATTTTCATGTGATACAGCACATCTGGTGTGGGGTAACAGTTAAAAGTGCTAGATCTGGCAGACCAGGGTTCAAATCCTGGTTCTGCCATGAAGCTCACTGGGTGACTTTGGGCCAGTCACTGCCTCTCAGCTAAACCTACCTCATAGAGTTGTTGTGGCGATTAGATGAGGAGCGGGAGAACCACGTACACCACATTTATTACAAATAAATAAACAATAGAATGTACTGTATTTTTCCATGTATAAAACGCCCCTGTGTATAAGACAACACCTATTTTTTTGAACCCAGAATTAAGAAATCAATATTTTGGGGGGCGATCACCCTTGAGTTGTTCAGCCTTTTTGGGCGAGGTTGCCCCAAAGTTGTTGAGGAGGTAGCTTCTTCACAACAGTCTTATACACAGAAAAACACGGTATTCATTGGGGCTAGTATACAGGTCCTCCACAGATTTGTCTTTCACTATATTTTCTGGGAGCAAATGCCATCGTTTAAATCTACACTGCGGGAAGAAGTCCTTTCTTTTGCCTGTCGTGATTCTTCCAACACTCAGCTGCATCAGATAGTCCCCTGAGCTAATGCAAAGGGCATGAAACTACATTCTGTTCATTTTTTCCGCACCGCCAACACATTGGTTTAACACAGAGGATATAAGGCGTCAGCGACAACAATTGGATTATCATTCCCCATGAAACTTAAATTTTACTCTTTTTTTAAAGTATCATATGTAGGGCTGGGAATTCCCAAATAAACACAAAAAGCTTCCAGACATTCTCTGCTTGTAGCTGAACTGCCCTTTGCCCATCTCTCATGAGGCTGGGAATGAGAATCTGGCAAGCAAAGAGCCAGGGTATATTAATTTTAGTCTGTTCCGGAAAATAAGTTACGACGTTTATGCTGAGGAGCAGGGCACGTCGCCAAGTTTCTGTCGAAAAGGCATCTTGGTGCATGAGCCAAGAAACACAGTCCGAACGATGCTAGGGTCTCTGGCTGCTCACAGCCCCATCATCATCTGAGACACCAAGGAAGGCATGTTGCAGGGGGGTGGACTAAATGATTTCTTGGATCCCCTCCATTTCTATGACTGTAGAGGAAAGGAAGACATTCATCACTGTGGCATGGCCTTCTTGGTGGTGGCACCCAGGCCGTGACATTTTCTGCCACTGAATACTCCTCTCTTGGTTTCTTCTTCTCTAACTTTTTTGGGCTGCCCCAGGCAGGAAATGGCTTGTGGGGCAGAGGCGGTATTTTGAAGGACGCGGAAGGCTCTGACAGGGTCCTAGAGTCATCCCACTTCCTTCCCAAAGCATATTTAGCTCTGTCTCAGCTTTGGAAAGGAGATGGGAGGGATTTAGGACCCTGCCAAAGCCCTCACGCCTCCTTTCCGAAGACAGGCAAGCACTTAGCGGGGCCCAGTATACCTGAAGGAGCGTCTCCACCCCCATCATTCTGCCCGGACGCTGAGGTCCAGCGCCAAGGGCCTTCTGGGGGTTCCCTCACTGCGAGAAGCCAAGTTACAGCGAACCAGGCAGAGGGCCTTCTCGGTGGTGGCACCCGCCCTGGAACGCCTTCCCATCAGATGTCAAAGAGATAAACAACTACCTGACATTTAGAAGACATCTGAAGGCAGCCCTGTTTAGGGAAGTTTTTAATGTGTGACATTTTAATGTATTTTTAATCTTTGTTGGAAGCCACCCAGAGTGGCTGGGGAAACCCAGCCAGATGGGCAGGGTAAAAATAATAAATTTTTATTAAAATTATTATTGAGAAGGTGCCCCCTCGGCTCGGTGCCCCAACCAGATGCCCCAATGTGGAAACTAGCAATCAGGATTTGAGTGCAAGAGCCCTCTCCCCACAACAGTTAAAAAAAAAAAAGGTAAAGGACCCCTGGACGGTTAGGTCCAGACAAAGACGACTATGAGGTGCGGCACTCATTTCACTTTCAGGTATGGGGAGCTGGCATTTGTCCACAGACAGCTTTCCGGGTCCTGTGGCCAGCATGGCTAAACCTCTTCTGGCACAACGGGATACTGTGGTGGAAGTCAAAGTGCACAGAAACGCCATTTACCTTTCCACTACAGCGGTACCTATTTATCTACTTGCACTGGTGTGCTTTCAAACTGCCATGTTGGCAGGAGCTGGGACAGAGCAATGGCAGCTCACCCCTTTGCAGGGCGAACTGCCGACCTTCTGATCAGCAAGCCCAAGAGGCTCGGTGGTTTAGACCACAGTGCCACCCATTTCAACAGAACCAACACTTTGCTTGGTACCATTAACTCTGGAATATAGCAACAATGGAGAAAATTATGCACAATTTGAGATTTCTGCAGAACTTCCAGACACTATTTATACAATTTGACATTATTTTATTACATATACCACAGAACCATTGTTTTCAAGACAACCCACCCCACAAGCTTTGCCCATCTGGAACTATATTATCTGATAATCAGATAACATTAATATTCTTTACTAGGACTTTGTTATTTTCCCCCATGTGCAGCTGTGCTCATTCTACACTCCTATTTTATAGCTTTGCTTTTCACCTTTTAATTTTGAACTGTTGTTCTCACCGTCCTCTCAGTTTTATATACGCTATAAAATGAAATTTTTAAAAAAGTTACAAAAAACAGCACCCCCAGTAACAGCATTTGATCACTGCATGACACAAGATGGACAGTGGTGAATAAAAAATAATAGGGACAGATGGAGCATGTTTTATTGCTGCATGCAAATATTATTACAGAACCGGATTTGCTGCGAAGGGATCAGATTTACAGCAGATTTACACCTGTGCCTCTCCCAGAACAATCATTCGGAGGCCGAGAGGCCCTCAAGACCGCCTGAGTGGTTTTCTACTGCTTGAGAGTGTCGTTTCTAGGATATCGGCAATCATCAATATTTATCTAGTGATTTAACACTTAGTTCTAGTATTAGGAGGAAAGGAGAAAAACTGTTCTCCATCCACTTTGCCTATTGAATGGAGTTGGACCACATGACCTTTTCAGTCCCTTCGAACTCTACAATTCTACCATTCTCTATTATTCCAGGCTATTGCCTTAAAACCTTGCTGGTTGGCTTCTTCTAAGACATCTGGTTGACCACTGAGAGTCAAAACAGGACCCTGGACAAAATGAACTATTTGGTCTCATCCAGGAAGTGAGGTTGGCTTCAGAGAGTTAGGGCTCATCCTGCTTGTCCTGTGCTTAGAAAGCACAGATTTCAGCGATTTCCCACTTAATCTGCACTTTCTTAGCATGGGTCCAAGGGGAGGGGAGGGTCCAAGCGATTTCCCCTTGCCCCATTCCTTTCCCAGGGAAAACCCACTCTTTGGTGCTCAATCGGACCAAATGTCAATTTGGAGAAAACTCAACTGATGTTTGCTCCGATTGAGCACTAAAGAGCGGTTTCCCCTAGGAGAAAGCGGCGGGACAAGAAAAAGTGTGGATGAGCTTTTAGACAAGCTATTTCAAACTTGTATATGGTTTTAAAATAGCTCATCTTGTATCCTGAGCAAATCTTACATATGCTGGGGGAGAACTCAGCTAACTGAATCGCCCAAACCCACGTAGATAGGAAATGAATTAGTAGAAATGGATCAGAAATCCAAATTGGTTTGCATTTCCATGTGAACCTACCTAATTCACAATTCCGCAAGCAATATGTGATGTGAAAGGGGCCATCTTTTGAAATTCGCACTTCACCAAATGCAATTCTCCAGCCAAACAAAAACGTGCATACTAGGGGAAAGTGTTCATCAGAAATGTATATATTGAAGGAAAATGCATTAATAGTCAGCTGATCTCCACTTGTTTACTATTATTTTTATTGTATGATTTTTAACGTAATGTTTTTGTAAAATGCTCAGATTTTTTTAATGAATTGTGGCATATACATATTCTTATAACGGAATTTTTCTTCTTTGGCTAAGTAAGATTGTCTTCCACGAACACAGTCTTAACCGTGAGTCCGTAAGTGACTGTGGAGGCCAATTCTGGATCCACACGTCCTTCCGCAGTGGGGACTTATAACTAAATTAAATTAAAGGTAACTGCTTTAAAAAACCAAACCACGGGCATGTTATGACTCATTTCTTTTAAATTACAAACTGATGCAGAAAAGTGAAGAACTGAGCTTGAGATTGGGCGGGAAAAGATAAATTGAGAGAAAGCGAAATTGACAAATTCGTTGATGCCTAATTAGGCACTAATCTAATGCCGGCAACCGTTCTAGGACTTGGTTGCAAAACACTCCTGGAGATGTAAACACCCCAAAGCACACTTAAATGTTTAATTGCAAAAGTTTTACAACTGTTGCTTTTCTGTTTGTCACTGTTTGGAATACGCATTGCTTTCTGAGAGTCCTGGAGGAGATCTCTGGAAGCTATCTTGTCTTCAGGAACCACACTGTGTGCCAGCAACCTCCTTTGTTTTTTCCTGGGAAGATGGGTAGAATAATAGAAGATCCATCTCCTTTCCACCCCTCCTTAGCAGCTCAGGACTTACAAATCACTAGGGATGGCGGCACCTGTCAATTCCACATTTTCTCTGTTTCTCATTTTCCCAATCTTCAGTGCAGAATTCTTCCACAGATCTCTGACCTTCCACTTTAAAAGCAAAGCAAGATTCTAGTCCTCATTGCACTGCATTAAGGAGGAGCCTAGGAAGCTGTTCTATACTAGCCATTGGTCCATGTAGCTCAGTATTATCAACACTATCTGATTGCAGCTCTCCAGGTTTGCAAACTGGGAGGCTTTCCTAGCCGTGCCAGTGGCTGTAGGGTCCGCGCCCTCACAAAAAGCGATTGCTCTGCTACCTTAACAGAACAGGCCTAGATCTCAAGACTTCACAGGTTTAGGGGCCAGGACTGTCCTTGGTAAAGTGTAAACAGTTGGAGCTTCAGGCTTCCATTTCATATAATCATGGAATAGTAGAGTTGGAAGAGACCCTGAGGGTCATCTAGTCCAACCCCCTGCAATGCAGGAATCTCAGCTAAAGTATCCATGACAGGTGACCATCCAACCTCTGTTTCAAAACCTCCAAGGAAGGAGAGCGCACCACCTTCTGAGGGAGTCGAGTCGACTGTCAAACAGCTCTTAGCGTCAGAAAATCCTTCCTAATATTGAGTCAGAATCTCCTTTCATGCTGTTGGAATACATTGGTTTAGGGCCTCCCCTCTGGAGCAGCAGAAAACTAGCTTGCTCCACCTTTAGAAAGGAGATGCCAACAAAACATCGGGAAAATCTTTCTGACCGTCAGAGCTGTTTGACAGTGGAACAGACTGCCTTGGAAGTTTGCAGACTTGATGGGAGGCTTTTAAGCAGAGGTTGGGTGGCCATCTGTCATGGATGCTTTAGCTGAAATTGCTACATTGCACGGGGTTGGACTAGATGACCCCTGGGGTCCCTTCCAACTCTACAGTTCTATGATTCTATGACTTGACTTGAGCCAGTGTGGTGTAGTGGTTAAGAGCGGTGGACTCGCAATCTGGTGAACCGGGTTCGCTTCCCCGCTTCTCCACATGCAGCTGCAGGGTGACCTTGGGCTAGTCACACTTCTCTGACGTCTCTCAGCCTCACTCACCTCACAGAGTGTTTGTTGTGGGGGAGGAAGGGAAAGGAGATTGTTAGCCGCTTTGAGACTCCTTCGGGCAGTGATAAAGCGGGATATCAAATCCAAACTCTTCTTCTTCTTCTCTTCCATGTCACAGCCATTTACTGAAGATGGCTATTATATCCAGGGGCTTAGCTAGCTGCTCTGGTACCCGGAGTGGTGGGGGGCGGGGCGATCCACGCATGGGGATGCTGCAGCGATCTGCCAGGGGGTGCTGCGGCGATCCATTTCGGGCAGCGCGGGGCCCCAAGCCACCACGTCACTCCCAGGAGAGACGCGTGACTCAGGCGCGCTGCAGACCAGGCCCTGCAGTAAGTGCCGCCCCCGTGGTGTGACATTTTGTCAAACCTCCCCCCCCAGGATGACACCCAGGGTGGCCCGCACCCCCCGCACCCTCCTTCCTATGCCTCTGATTATATCATTGCATTGCATTTATGAACAGCTTTCCACAAAACATCAACAATAAACACACAAAACACACCAAAACAAACAAAACCTGACAGCATTACAGCAATAAAATGCTTCCCTTGGTTGCAGAGTCTTGTGTGCCCTTTGGCTCAGACTGCAGGAATCCTTTTGGGCCAGGAGTGCCCAATGCTAGATCTCTGGCAAGATTAGCAGGCTGTCTGTCCCCTGTGCCAGTTTTGCACACTAGCGGAAGGGTTAACTGTCTCCTGTGCTTCCTGGCTGCCTCCTCCCTCTTCTCCCAGGGGAAGGGGCTGATAGGACTTCTGGAAGAGGGAGAAGCAGGGGCCTGTAACTTCGGACATGGCTTTTGGGCCAGGAAGCCTCTGGAGGGCTGATGGCATCCCAGCTCCTGGCAAGCTATTTCTGGGTAGCTGTCCTGATTTTTCTTAACAGTTGGCTGACCGTGGATTTTTATTGCCATGTTTACTTTTGCGTTTTCGTGTGCGCAGAAAGGATATTTAGAAAGAGATGGAAATGATTGATTGGCAGGCACCGGCTTGCCTCAATAAGACAGGATTTTTCAACACAACAAATAGCTGGGTGACCTTGGGCCAATCACTGGCTCTCAGCCTGGCCTACCTCGCAGGACTGTTGGGAGGGTGGAGGGGGAGAGGGACAACGATATATGCCACTTTGAGCTGCTTAGAGGAAAGATGAGATAGAAATGTAAATAAGAAGAACAAGAGGAACTTGCTACTATCCATTGAACCCATATGAGAGAAAACCCACGATGTTATTGATTAGTTCAATTAATTCCATTAATTAATTCATCAATCAGCTGGTTAAATGAAGAGAGTTAAATAGATTGGAGAGGGAGGTGCAATTGGCAAACGGCCTGATACTAACCTAGTTACAGAATAGCTAGTGGAACGTAGCAAACTGCCTTAGACTGAGGATTTAAAGTGGAGCCTATTGGTCCATCCAGGTCAGTGAGCTGCAGCCCTTTCCTTAAAAGTAAAGCAAGATTCTAGACCTCATTATTCCGAATGAAGGGCTGATTTAAAGAGGAACAGGGAGTGTCTCCCAGTCCTACCTGGAGAAGTCACTGGGGATCGAACCCAAAACCTTCTGCATGCAAGGCAGATAGATGCTCCACCACTGAACGATGGCCCCTTCCCACAAGCTGGTTGACCCAAACGACAGAAGATGCACTCACCCAATGATGTAGGCAAGGACCACCAGCTGTATCAGCCTGAAGGTGAGCCCCACCTTCTTGTTCCGCACCAAAACCATCCTTGGCGTGTCATATTCGAAGAGGAACGAGGACACTTTGTCCGAGAATTTGTGCCCCATGGATGAAACGCCGCCTTGGTCTCTGCCAACCGCTGCAGGTGAGAAACCTCTGGCTGCTTCTTCAGGCTTTGGTTCCCCGCAAGTCCTGGTGTGGTGTTTCCTTGCAACTCATCCACTTTGCCTTCTGCCCTTCCCCAGGAGACGACACAGAGCTCTCTCTCTCTCATGGGTGTGAGCAGGTCACTTTACATCTCCTTAGATGGTCTGGGGGGTGGGAGGTGGGTGTGCTTTCGGAAGCAAATATAATAAACCAGCCTGCAACCACTGTCCAGGAAACCGTTGCACCCTAGAGGTTTGTGCTCCTCCAGATGGTCGCAGGAGGAAGTGAAAGAGCTGAGAAGGAGCTTGTGCAAACCTTCCAACTTTTCACAGGCTAAAATAGGAGAACGCTTGCAAGGTGCCAGCACTTTAGCCGAAAGTTCCTTGCCAAAGGTCTTCCTCTGTTACATTTTACTCTGCCTTCTGCGCGCTGTAAATATTTGCTTTGCAGTAGCATTCCCTGTGCTGATTGAATAACCAAGAGGATGTTCCTTCTTTGACTTAGACACTTAAGAAAGAATTGTTCTGCAATAGGTTATCAACAGCTTAAAGAGCTAGAATCAGGCTGGCGTATGATTATGAATGTTTACATCCCTCTTTTTCACCAAAGCTCAAAGTGGCTTACCCAAATCAAAGCAACACGGGTAAAACACAGGAAGCTAAAAACCTTTAAAAGATAATTCCATCCCTTCCAATGTTTCTTTGATGAAAATAGGGACATCCTAAGGAAAAGCGGGACATTCCATGATCAAATAAAAAACACTTCTGTAAATCCAGGATTGTCTGGAAAATAGGGAAAATAGGCTCTGTGCCCACAGCGTTAGGCACTGCAAATGTTGAAACCCACAACTGAGAAACTGCTGGAGAATTTCTCCTCCCCTAAGAGAAATCTGGTGACACCACCACCCAATTTATCTGTCCAAAAATACAGTAGAGAGTTTTGAGAGGCCATTTGGACACGGCTCAAGAACTCTTTGGCAGTGGTTTAGTTGTCTACTGCATTTTGCTGCTTCTGCCTGCAAGGCTTCCCATTGGAGCACCTCATTGGCCACTGTGAGAATGGGATGGTGGTCTAGAATGGCCCGGTCCAACAGAGCTCTTGTTTTGCTCAAGCTACTCTCCCTATGAAAACAGTAGCAAGGCCCTCTCCATACTGAGATAACATTCCCGCATGTTGCTCTGCCCCTCTGAATGCTGGCGAGAATCCGCAGAGCTTATTTCACCCCCTCAATGGGCTTTTAAACAGGAAGCCCTGCAGAGTGTGGTGGGTGTCCCCAGACGACCGCTCACTCTCTGGGGACATTGCTTGTTCTTGTTTTTTGGTAACAATTTATTGATTTTCCAAAAAAAAAGAAAAAAAAGAAAAAAAATCATAAACAGATTAAAGCATAATTTTTTTGGTCAACTTTCCTCCACCCCCCTCTTGGTTCCATCATAATATACTTGTTTATGCACATCCATAAAACCTTATATACTTAACAATCCAATTTTAAAACCTTCTTCATCTTGTTACAAGTGACTTTTAAAAGTTGTACTAATGTAAAAATCTGTACACGAAGCTTTAAAAATATGCATTGAACAATTGCCTTTTTTGTAATTTGTCCTTCACAGTTCAGTAAATTATTTTGCCAGTCTTCTTCTTTATCTTCTTTGACCGAGGCTTTTTCCTTCCATAGGGGCTGGCTGGTCTTGGCCTGGCATCCAGTCTCGCATATCGGAACAAAGTCTTTTGCTCAAACAATCCATCAAGTCTTGTACATCTCAATATCATAACATCAATTTTTTAACAACAATCATTTCCCACATTTTCTTCAAATCTTTATATGTCTTTTCACTGGGGACATGGTTGTTGCTGGAAGTGCAACTGCAGAAATCATTCCATGCGTAACTTAAGGGTTACTTCCCTTCTCAGTGTTAGCCGACTACCCATAGGTGGTGGTGTTGCTTAGCAACCAGCAAGAGTGGCATGATCTCTAGTGAGATCTGTGAACCGCCCTGAGATCTTATGATGAAGGGTGGTATAATAATAATAATAATAATAATAATAATAATAATAATGGTGAGGTGACATCTACTCTGATTGGCTGCATATCTCTGAGGGAGTTTCCCCTTTCCTGTTTGGTGATATGTCTCCCTCCTGTGGAATAGGCCTGAAAAACAAAACCTCTCTGTTCCTTTCCCTCAAATTATATACTGTTTATGCCCTCCCCCAGGTTCCCCTCAGTAAATTGTGACTGGGATTTTTCTTATTTCATTTTTATTCTATTTATTTCATGCAGTTCGTATACCACTTGATCTTTAAACAACAACAACAACCCCACATCCAAGTGGTTTGCAGAGACTCATTCTAGACTCAGTCTGCATCATTTAAGTGACTTTGTATCTTCCCTTCTCGCAGCATGGCAGCTTTGAACTGACATACTTGAAATTAAATCTGATGTTTTTACATCCAAGCTGGGTTGGATAGCCCTTGGCTTGCCTTCTTTTACATTTGTATTTTAGCTGGCCTTTTGCTGTTTTAAGCAAATTGGGATCTTTTTCAAGAAGTTGAGAAGCTCTGTGCAGGCTAGCTCAGTTGTACCTACAGTTCGGCATCCACAATTATGTCACAATTATGAAAGCCAGTGTGGTGTAGTGGTTAAGAGTGGTGGACTCGTAATCTGGTGAACCGGGTTCGCTTCCCCGCTCCTCCACATGCAGCTGCTGGGTGACCTTGGGCTAGTCACACTTCTCTGAAGTCTCTCAGCCCCACTCACCTCACAGAGTGTTTGTTGTGGGGGAGGAAGGGAAAGGAGATTGTTAGCCGCTTTGAGACTCCTTTGGGTAGTGATAAAGCGGGATATCAAATCCAAACTCTTCTTCTTCACTTAGGCAGTTTCTGTCCTTGGTCCGAAGCTGTGCTGTTAAGTTGAAAACTCTCTCATAGAAGTTATTGACATCCATCTGTGAAGTCAAACCTCTGCGCTAGCAGTGCCAAAGTGACCTCACTAGAATATCACAGAAGACCACTGACATTTTGAGAAAGTGTCGTGTGGTACAAAACAATTCCCCTCACATGCCCAAGAAATCCTGCAGGCCTGGGCCTTTTAAGCGGCAAATTACATAAACGGGTAGTTTCTTGTGCCTAGTTTTGAGATGGCACTGTGTGGAGATTTTTATCTTTAAGATAATGGTTCAGCTGACAACTGGCAGTTATCTATCTTGACTTCCTACCAGATGTCAGGAGCAGGTAGCCCTTCTGTTGTCTGGGAGCCTAGCAACTTGGAGCATTAATCCATACCAACTCATAGAAGTGGCAGCCAATGTGTCCCACTGAAAAGTCTCGCAGGCAGCATTCGGTACCAGCTGCAGCATCCAAACAGTCTCCAGGGGGCAGTCCCATGTACAGCACATTGCAGTAGTCTAACTGGAAGGTGACTGGAGCCTGGATAACTGCCCAGGAGACCTGAAGAACAGACTCCTAATGCCCTCAACAATTTCTCCATTGCAGATGCTGACAGAGAGATCTGGGATGTTCAGCTAGTTTGAGATTGGTCAGCTGCTATCATCACCACAGCTTACCACCACCACCCCTCCCCAGGTTTGGCTTGTGGGGATCGGGAGCAGAGGACGCACCCTGAATCTCTTCCATGTGTGGTTCATCTTGATGAGCTACCTTTGAAGGTGACCCGGAAACTACAACTAATACAGAATGCGGCAGCTAGACTGGTGACTGGGAGTGGCCACCGAGACACTGGTCCTGAAAGGCCTTCATTGGTTCCCAGTACGTTTCCGAGCACAATTCAAAGTGTTGGTGCCAACCTTTAAAGCCTTTAACAGCCTCAGCCCAGTATACCTGAAGGAGCGTCTCCACCCCCATTGTTCTGCCCGGACACTGAGGTCCAGCTCCGAGGGCCTCTGGTGGTTCCCTCACTGTGAGAAGTGAGGTTATAGGGAACCAGGCAGAGGGCCTTCTCAGTGGTGGCGCCCGCCCTGTGGTCCGCCCTCCTACCAGATGTCAAGGAAATAAACAACTACCTGACTTTTAGAAGACATCTGAAGGCTGCCCTCTTTAGGGAAGCTTTTAATGTTTGATTTAGTTATTGTGTTTTTAATATTCTATTGGGAGCTGCCCAGAGTGACCGGGGAAACCCAGCCAGATGGACGGGATATAAATAATAAATTATATTATTATTATTATTGATACTATTACATAAGAGGCTGTGTTTTACAAGATGTTTTGCTGTTAAATTTAGAGTTCCAGCTGCCCCATTATTGTCACTGCTTTGGCACTGCAGGCTACCAAGCCTTCCATAGAAGGCCTCATTTCATGCCATCAGTTATGATTACAGGCCGACCACACTTTATAAGGCTTGCCTTGCAGCACTCGATAGTAAACGATTGTCATCAAGGGCCTGAAGTTTGCAGTTGGCCATCCAATCTGATGGTTATCAGACATTCTTCTGAGTTTTAGGGGCCTGGCCAATGTCATGTCGAAGAACCCATTATCATCTGATCTGTGCTTCTCCAATTTGCTTCATGCCCCAGAGGTTCAAACCAAACCATTCAAATGCATTCCCAGCCCAACTGTTTCCAACAGCCAGCCTCCCATGGCATGAGGCAAAAGCACAGGGCCAAGCCAAATGGATTGGTTCAGGTCCTTCAGCCACTTTTCCTGTCCAGCATGTAATAGATGCGGAACCGTTACCATGTAAACAGCAAATAAACACCAAGGTGCAAGTCCTGTTTTAGAGTAGATATGCTATTCTGTGATTTAAAAGGTTCACTTCACAGAGCCCACATATTCCATTTCATTTCATGGTGGGTTAATATTCATGGGGAAATGTTCTTGGTGCAAAAAGAGGTGGATTTTGGGTGCAATAAAGGACTCCCCCCCCCCAAAGAAACCCTGACACACCTTGTTTTTTCGTTTCAATTTTGCTGCTTTGACACACAACCCACACCCTTCTTTTTGCGGCTTATATGATCTAGTTAATGAGGGATCACGTTGCCAACACAATATCAATACACTCTGAAGGTAACCAATTAATTTTGGCTATTGGAAAATGCTTCAAAGACAGATGCGAGAGAGAGAGAGAGAGAGAGAGAGAGAGAGAGAGAGAGAGAGAAATATCCCTTTCAATAAGATAACATTTCTGCCCCACTTCAGTCCCCCTGAAATTATCCAAAATGGGAGAAGCGACACATTTCTCTGAAGGGGATTTTCACAAAACAAGTCTCTCTCCCACACCCAATTTCAGATCAGCTCCCCTCCCCTTTTTTGCTCCAGTACCATTCCCCACCCCCACCCCCAATCTTCTCTTCTTGGCAGCAGACTTGGTATTGACTTGTCTGCTGCTGAGTTTTGGCCAGACAACGCTTGGATGACATTATTCCTCTGAAGCTTGTATATTCCTGCCCACCG